CCTCGCTTGTTTACTCTCCTCCCTCTATTATCCCTTTGCTCCTAACTCCTAACTCCTACCTTCTTCTATATTGGTCGCTTAGCCTGTATCGATGAGCACTTTCTCTCCCTTGGCGATCATACAACCGCTGTACCGCCCCCTGTCTCTGATCTTCTCCATTTTACTAACTAAACATAAACGCCCTGCATCCGTGCCCTTTGGTTGGCCTTCGTCATTTAGGGATTCTCTTTGGTATTGCCAGGATCTTGGCCACGCTATTGCCTTCGCTTTTTCCTTAGCAGCATTATAGATGCTACCGCTCTCTGTCTCAGGATCGTTCATGAGAGGGTGCCGATGTCCTTCTTCTTTCAGGTTCCAATGATGTTTCGTGGTTTGCCCCTTGTTCTGGGGAACTCAATTCCTCCTCTCGTACCTCCTCACCTTGGTCATCTACCACCTCGTGCCACGTCATCAATTATGCGGAACGGCGACAAAACTGCCTCAGCCGACTCGATAGCGATTTAACAGGAAAGGTTAGGCCTGAAGGAGTTTCAACCGGACGCCTCTGGCAGGGTAGCCGGATCACTTAGCCTCCCAGAATCAGATGGACTTGGACCGTCTAATTAACACTGCAAACTCGACTCTCTTTAGAAATCACGCCACGTTCGCCCGGCCTTATTACGATCCGCTGTTCAGGCATAAATGTGGCCGTTATTGGATGGACCAGGTTGCATTGTCCGTTAGAATAGTGGAATACGAGTCCACATGACGGTCTGCACGACGGCAAGGTCTCACTTCAGCGATACAAACCAAGAGAGGCGCAGGACTGGCGCAGCCTTTTATTGCACTAGGGGTGCTTTCGGACGCCAATCCTGGTGCACAGTCTAGTACTTACATGCAGAAGCCTGGCGAGGGCTGAGCACAGATTTGAATTCTGGGGCGGCCGATGAGTCGACAGTGTAGCTTGGGATCTCCCAAATCAGCTTACGAGGCGCGGACGAAATGGACCAGGCACCTGCAAGCTCGTTTGATTCTCAGGTGGGTTCTGACGAAACGGAATAGGCGCATTCTGTAGCGCTGCCTAGCTCCTGGGAGCTGGCGTCACTGTTACCCAACCTCATGGCGAGTATTGGTGGAATATCTGCGCACGTTATCATCTATCAGAAATGGAGCTTCATGCGAAGGCTACATCGACACCAACGTTCTGCGGTTCCATGAATGGCATGGTGATATGGCGCGAAGCTGATCCAACCAGATCTTGGTCTGCCCAAAATTCACTGGTGATGGTGCGTTTCGAAGAACGTCTCGTGTAGACCACTACCTGCTGCCTGTTAAGCGCTAGATAGCATTCAATAGAGCTCTGCAGAAGATTTTGACCTGTAACGAGACCGCGAGCGTGAAACTTTGGCCTATTTATGATGTCTGCGTCTCCTCTTTCCTCGTCACACCACCATCTGGTCTTTTTGAGCGACGGCAGCAGCGATGACAATGTTTTTGGATACCTTTCACGTACCTCACACGCTTCCTCCCCTTCAAATCATACATGACGATGGGCCCCCGAAGCCAGAACAACACTCCCGACGTACTCACTTCAAGACCTTGATCAACGAAGATCGGTCGAGATATAACGCTGAACAGAAGAATGAGGGGAATGTTGCACCCACATCGGATGGAGTCGAGCTTAGTGACTTCATATACTTGAGTACGTACTCTTACAGCTGGCGAGACGAGTTTGGTGTCGCGTTGTATGGCGACTAACACAGATACAGCCGGAGAAGGCAACTGCGAGCCCAGTGGCAGCAGAAATGGAGTAAGTGGCGATGTTAGCAGCGCCGAAGGTTTCTTTCTTACAATTACACGGGGAGGCGTAACGTCCACCTCTTGAGAAGACAGTGAGGATGAGGCTTCACATCAGCCGACTCTTCCTGAAGGTGGTAATTAAGGTAAGCGCCCAGACTCGACCGTAGTGGTGCCTCCCACACGCAATTTCTGACGTTACTTAAGGAAACGTGATCATCGTCGAAAACAATCATTCAGACTAAGAGGCAGACGAGGGTGACCCGTACAACGGTGATTCAGGCTTGCACACAAGCGATCGGTTTGAAGGCTCAAACCCAGAGTATTGCGGTAGGGAGTTCTTTACAGAGACGCACAATGCAATCACCTCGGAGACAGGTTATGGAGCGAAGACTGAAGCCAGTGAGAGTTCGCATTGGCGATCCCCATCAATGCCGCACACTAGCCCCTCAATGAGGAGCGTCAAACAGTGGGTGCGAGAGGTTTCCTACTCAGTATCCACACAAGCCACTATATATCAGCCACAGCGCTTAAATGAGAAGAGGGCGGAGACGGAAGGCGGACATACACTATTTCAAGTCTGTTCCTTCTATCTGACATTACTAGGACCCCTTTCTACGAGCAAAAGGCGAGCAGCAGTAGCAGCAGCGGAAGCGATACCAAAGACGACTATAGCGGCTATCACATAACGTCACTGATCCACAAGTGGTAATGGCCTGCCCCAGCGAACACCGCAAGTTATAAGCGGCAAAGTCGAAGCCCGGATACACTCTCCGAGACGACAAAAGCCGTTCCCGTTCCGGAAGAGGCCCCTCTCTAGCCGTCTCTCGAACACCAGACTTGCTTCGGGAGCGCAGTCTAGCAGTAGTCATGAGATCAGCGGAGGGAGCGACGTCCGGGGCCGCCATCGCCGGAGGTGGACCAAACTTAACGGCAAGTGGGCAAGCCAGTGTTTCGTACTCTCCACGATCCAATGCTGCGAAATCCTCGTCTCTCGCTCCGTCGCATGCAAGTTGGACAATAAAGCGTTCAGCAGAGTATATCTCACCTAGAAAACCCTAATAGCGCCTATTAGATATCGCTTTTCACTCATTTCTAGCAGATGTGTCCTTCGTGACTACTCTGTTCCGTGCTAGCAGCGACGCGGGTATACTCTCTCCTAGTTACGCAGTTAAGGTCCTAGAGAATGATTCAGGCTAAACAATAAAGCTTAAAGATGTTACTATTAAGCTGCTTACACTAGACACGTAGTTTCTAACGAGTCTTGTAGGATGCGCCTCTAATGTAGCTAGACTTGACACAGACTAGCCTGCGTCTGCTCGGTCTAGCTTACGAGTAAATAGGGCATACGTTGCACTATCACGACAACACAATAGGCTTAGCGACTAAATCAACGACGAATTCTCTAGCGACAACATAACATTAACGGCAATAAGAATGACGAATATCTAAGCGATAACGTTAATAAGCTCTCGTTCTTTAGGAAGAATAGCCGCTAGTCTAAAAAGGACGACAACTGTTTACACATATAGAAAGAAAAAGGCAAGCCTTGGGGCTGGATCTGTCGTCAATTCTTGAACAGATCTCCTGGGGCCGTGTAAGTACGCTGGCACACGAAATTGCGTGGGAAAGCTTAGCAACTTCAGCAAAGTCTCGAAAGGACTAGTTTGTGAGAACATATGCTCCCTTTTTCTCCGTGCAGTCGCGGCATTGGATGTAGTTAATCCAATCATGACATCACTCTTGTTCTATCTGTCATGCTCCCTTGGAGCTAAGTGATTTCACCGCGATTTTCCCCTGTGCGCGTCAGGGCCTAGAAGCGCCACCTACCAGATTAGGCAACGTTGTTTGAAAGTATGGATTGTTGCAGAAGTACGATATTCGTGACATTGCAGATAGGTTTGAGAAGATGTTGCCAGTTCTAGAACCAGATGCGGTAGCGCCTGCCGCGAAACACCGACCACCCAGCCGACCACCGGCTAGTCAACAATGACTATCCTCAATCTAAGAAATTGATCTCCCGCGTACATTTTGTCATCGCCTTGCGCAACGATGCGTTCATACGTGTGTCCATCAGAGGACGTACATCCCTTGTGAATGACATCGCCCAGGTGTACGCGTATATTGCTATTACTGACCGTTTTTTTTTTTCGGAGCGATAAATATGCTGTCCGCAGTTTGTGTTTCCGATGTCGACGACGTCGTTGCCGCAGAGTACCTGGTTTTCGATTGTGACGAGTTTTGCGGAAGAGATTGTGGCAAGGAAGACGATGGGGTTTAAGAGAAACATCATTGGTAGCCAGGAGTGGACGGTGTAAGGGATTGAAGAGTGTGCAACGGGTATGTATCGAATGATAGTTCGTGAACATGCCAATGAGATGACACCATGAACAGAGCTGGAGTTGTGCAAACTACTAACTTCGCAAAGTGGACGTAGTAGGCTACTCTTGACAAAGGCATAATAGAATACCATATCACAAACGTCCACTTTCTCAACCGCGAGCTCTGGAACCTGCTCACTCTATCGCGACGTGACCACATGGCAGATTCCCTAAACACTATACTGTCGAGATTCATTAATGGAACACGAATTCGAACAGCTAGTCGTGGTCGAGGACTTGCTCGCTGCAATTGATGGAAAACCTAAAAACAGCGACTAGCTGGACCCGGAAGGACTATGTACAATATGTATTATAGCACCACGTGAAAGACTTAAGTTTTCCAAGTCATTGCATGTGTTTGTGTACGTAGCTATACGTGACTAGATACTTGCAACGATGAGAGCGCGAGAGCCTAAGAGCTCTACAAGGTTTGATTGAATAATGGTACACCTGACACAGGCAAACTCTGACAAAACGAGCGACAGTCTGAACCCAACGAGCACTTCGTGTGTGGACTGGGTAACAACGTTGAAAAACGAACGACAAGAGTGCCTCCCTCCAAAGCGCGAACTGTCGCTGCACGTGTAAAGGAAAGAACATGGTGACTATATAAACATAGTTTGAGAAAAGAAGCGCTCGACACAAACTGTGGTCGCATACCAAAGGTAGCTGATCAGAGCGTGGAGGATAAAAGATAACACCAAAGGCTTCCTGAAAACGTAGTTTCCTGGTACAGTACCTGGTAGAAACACCGCCAACGCCTTGCTGCGAAAGATGTGCTTAAGCTTTGAAATCAAATGTACAATTTACTGGAGAGATGCCGAACGACAGACATGGTATCACCTAGATGTCCGTCGCACTGTTCGGTCTTGTTGTGGGGTCGGAGTCTGGTGTTCTCGCAGACTTCGCTTTAGGTGTGGGATCCGGATCTGGACTAGGTGCATCCTTGTACGGCTTGGGTGTTTCGATGACAAAGTCGGCCACATCATCGCCAGGCTCTTCGGGGAACATCACTGGCGGTGTGAGCAGCACAGGTGCGACTGTCGGTGCGTCGAGGCTGCCTTCATGTTCTTCTGCTGCGGGATCCTCCGTGATCATTGGAGGTGGGGAAGAAGGTAGTGCCGAGTCAGCTTGGCCAATGTCTTCAACAGAGATCACACTGCCTCTGCTGTTTGTTCGCATCATCTCGATCCCAAGCTTTGAAGTGGACTTTGGTCTTGACTTCGGACTGCGAGTGCGGACAGGTGCGTGACCTAACTCATCGTCTTCATCATCCCCAGACTCTGCCGACTCATGTTTACGTGTCTCTAGTATGCGACGTTTCGCGCCTACTTGCTCGGTCGATCGCTGACGGCGGATCGTTGCCTCTTCGAGAACGGCTGGCGCAGAATCTCCGTGGGGCAGGTCAGGTGCACCAACACGGTTGGGAACAGCTGTTTTGGGATCGGCATTGACTGCATCATCCGAGATACCCAAGCCACCCATAGCTCGTGCGATGTCGCGCTCCCTCCAATCATCAGCGTTGTGAATTCTCACCGGCATATCTTCGCCTGCACGACTGTCGTTATCCCCGAAGAAGCTAGAGCTAATGGAGTGTTCGCGGCTAGAGCCTCGGTAGCTGGCAGAAGGCACGGGTGGATAGCCGGAAGAGTTCGAGGTAGTTGGGCTATCTTCTTGACGCGAAGACTCTTGTCGAAGTCCAGAGGGCATCATCGATGGATAAATTTGGTTCGGTGTCCAGCCTGGCGGAGGCGCTTTCCACTGGCAAAGCCGACTCAGCGTATCCGTAAGCTTAGCGACAGTGGGCGGTTTTTCGATGAGTGCATCGAAGTAGTGAGGCGCCTGTAGCTCCTTCAGGTATCCAGTAACAGCAACTATCGGTGTATGTGTATTGGCGTTCTTAGTGTCTCGTATCATGCGAGCAACATCCGCGCCATTGACCTGAGGTAGTCGAAATTCCATCATGATCACATCGAACTTGACTTCACCCATGGCATACCGTATAGCTTCAGACCCATTGGTAACTGTTAAAGTGCGGCAGCGTAGCTTTTCCAATAGTTTTTCCATGACGAGTCGTGATACAGGATGGTCTTCGCATATCAATACATCCAAAGGTCGAAAGAAAGGCCCATCGCCGAAACTGATCTGCGAAAGCCTTCGAGAGCTCTGCCGGCGTCGCTGCACTCGAAGGAGCGCTTTTGCACGGGAATCTTCCGTATCGGATGATGAAGGGGAAACATCAAGTACTTGACTCCGGCGTTTGTAGTGTCCTGGCAATAGATCGCGCACAACATCGTCCTCTTGGGACCCAAGAGTTTGTGACCGAGCGCGAGGTGACGAAGCGGCTGTCTGTCCTAGAGATGACTGACGTTGTCCGGGACCAGGCTTCTCTTGAGAAATCCCAGATGGCGCTGACGGTGTTTTCGAGAGCCTGTTCGGCGAGACGGCCTCGGGAGAGGGTCGCAAACCTGACATGCGAGACGGGTCGAAGAAGCTACCTGGCTGCAGCGATGACGGATTGCTTGTCGAATGTGACAGCGTGGACGAGCTACTAGACGTCTTGCGTCGATCATGATGCTGTCCCGTGCTAAACTGTACGAGTAATGGAGATGACGGCTGCGAGCCGCGACTGGGAGAGGAATGCGGTCCACTAACTGAGGGAGAAGAAGGCCGCCCGTTGGCCCTGTTGGTAGACAGGGTACGTTTGAGCGGGCCTGGCAACATCGGACTAGTTTCCAAGGACGGCGAAGCTGATGTCACACTAGGAGACTGCAGCGGAGGCGCGGGCTTGTTCTGTGGAAGCATTGCCTCTGCGCGCAACTTCTGGATAACGTCCTTGTTTGCCTTCTCCAAGACAGGTAGATTCTTGTAGCTGAAGTTACCAAAGTCGTCAGTCAACATTGGTTCACTAAGTCTCCGTGACCTGCCCTCTCGCACATGCGCTGGAATGTGAAGAGGAATTAGCCCGCGCTTCATAGTCGACACAGTCACTTGTGATCGTACCCTGGACAGAGCATCATGAGGTCGGTCAGGATAATCGGTACTTGGTGTACCCGCTGGTGTGGTTGCTTCATCTTGGAACTCAGGGCTGAAGTTTGCCATGGCAGCTCCTCTAGTATCGAAGTACTCCGTATCTTCCGGATTCTCGGGTGCCGGAATGAAGGATGCTTCGTCGTCCCGCAAAGTCTCCCAATTGATGTCTGCGAACCATGGATGGCTTCGGATTTCTTCCCCACCGCTAGCGTATTTATCATCCTTGTTGGCTCCAAGTCGCTGTGCAGGATCAGAACACATCAAACGATTCATGAGATCCTTTGCATCATCTGATATGTCGTATAGCTCATCGTCATCCTCAGGCCAGTCAATTCTGCGCGCAAGGATGTTCTGGAATACCTCATCCGGCGTATCTGCGTGGAATGGAGGGTATCCATACAAGGATTCAAACAAAATGCACCCTAGTGACCACCAATCGCTTACTTCGTCTTGACCGTTACCCGCAATGGTCTCTGGGGCAAGATAATCAGGAGTGCCAACGAACTTCCGGTCGCTATCTTCCGGATCGAACAAAGTCATGGGTGGAGGTGGCATTGCGGAGGACGATGGCGCGAGTGCACTGTTCTGAGCGATCGCGGACTGACTCAATGAATTGGGTGCAGGATATAGGTCGGGAGAGCCATCGTCACTGTAAGCCTCCTCTTCTATCGGCGATCGTCCACGAGGCTGGCCAAAGAAATCGTCGGCTATGGAGAAGCGACGGAACATAGCCTGTAGTGCATCGCTGTCCTGGCTATCGCTCCGAGTTCCTGAGGTCCGCCTTGAAGGTTCCCGGCTTTGTTGAGAGCTCTCACGATTCAGGCTGAAGTACGACGGCTGACCGATATCTCCAGCAAGAGCAGGTGTCATAGAAGGTGTCTGTGAGGGTGAGTGGTTCAGATCAAAGGATGCAGATCGTGAAGACCCCACGGACGTGGCGCGATGAAACGGCCCGGTCTTAAGTAGGTCGGGCGCAGGCTCAACGGACTTTAGTGCACGCTTTTGTCGACCAATCATACCCATGCGCGATAGACCGAAGTCAGTAAGCTTGAGATGGCCTTTCCCATCGATGAGAAGGTTGTCTGGTTTGAGGTCGCGATGGACGATGCTCCGGCTGTGCAGATGTTCTACCCCAAGTACAACTTCAGCAAGATACTTCTTCGCCCAATCCTCCGGTAACGCACCGAGGACCTTGATCAGCGAAGCACAATCGCCACCATTCAGATATTCCATTACAAGATAGAGATAGTCTTTGCTCGAAAACGTCCAGTACAGCTTGGCCACGAAATCGCTTTCACCTTGCCACATCATGATGGCTCGCTCAGCCTTGACATTGGTGACTTGATTCTTAGCAACCATGTCGGCCTTCTTCAACACCTTGATAGCGTAGTATTCTCCGGTAGATTTCTTTTTGGCAAGGTAAACGCTACCGAAAGCACCCTTGCTGATTGGTTTGATGATCTCGAAATCCTTGATTGACGGAGGTACTGCGCGTGGTTGGGGCTGTGTGGTGGGAATCAAGCGAGGAGAAATCGGCCTTGGACCGTCTGATCCCGCGGTAGACGACTGTCTGCGGTGATGGTTGAGAGCATGAATCATTGCTGGCGAAGAGAATTCGGTGGTAGGTAGGATGGGTGATGTAATGGGTGATTGCAAGGCCTCAATACCACTTGGAAGGCGTGGCTTGGTCATTCGGAGAGGTGAAGATGGTGGGGGTACCATGGAGCGAGCAGGCGAATGCTGTCTACTAGACATCACACTGGGTAGTATCAAGCTCTTACGCTTGCGTTCCCGTGAACTTGCTACCCTGCTCAGCCCTACATCGGATGTCGCTGGTGAGTCCGCTCGACGAGGACCAGACAAGACAGATGAACGCATGCTGGTGTCACTCTCAGCCCCGGCATCGCTTTCGAAATGCATAGATTGGCGCTTGCTATGGGTTGCGATACTGATAGCTCCCACATGAGAGCGTGGTGTTTGGCATCCTCCCCTCGGACTGCTAGAACGATTGGAACCGGTTACGGAAGATTCACGACGTCCCACTCGTGCCGGCAATGAAGCATCAGCTGTGTTACGGAGCGCTTGTGCCATAGAAGAAGGGGCATCGAAGGATCCAGGAAATATTCCTTCTTCACCAGGGGCTGTATCGGTATGATTGGCGTCTGATGGCATCTCTTCTTCGGGTTGCTCGTCCTCCGAAGAACTGTCTTCACCAGCAGCGATACGAGCGGCTTTCAGGATTGCAGCCTCGATGCATTCCTGGACCAGGATATCGAATTCGATTCGGAGACGTTCAGAGTACTCAAGCACCCTCCTGTGGCGAGTAACAGCATCAATCTTTGCTCTAGCAAGCCTGCTAGTGTCTTCACACAGTAACTTCAGGCCTTCAGTATGGTCCACGGAGCCTGTGGTAGGCGATTGCCATTGGAGAACCTGCGATATGCGATTCTCTGACTGCGGCGATTGTGTACGAATCTCGGTGGCTGCGAGACCACGCCCGTTGTCCTTGACCGCTGGTGTGTTGATCTCGAGTGCGGTGTCGCACAAGTCTAGGACCAGCTCAACGATGCGGGCTAAAGGTCGTCGTACGGCGAATGATCGTGCGCGATGATGGCCAAATCCAGTTGAGCGCTCGGAGCGCTCGCGTGATCTCGAGGGCGGTGATGCAGGGGAGTTGCGTCCTGAAGGGGTACCCGAAGATGGTGTAGATGTCGAATGGATGATCAGCCCCTTGTACTCAGCAGGCTGAAGCGGTTGTACGGAGTCTACTGCTGCGGCTCTTGAACGCTGACTGTGGGATTCGAGTGTATCTAGGACCTTTACAATAGAATTGCGGTGCTCGGAAAGTGTCTCTTGAGCCATCTGTACATCCATTTCCGCACGATGCTCTTGCAAGCATAACTCGGAGTGTTTCTCGAACCACCAGGGCGTGATCTGTCGTTCACAGATTCGGCAGAGGACAGGAAGCGGTGGTGCGACGTCGCCAGGGTCGGTGGCGCTCTGTTCGGCCAGGCCAGTGAGGTAATGGGCAAGGACCTCGGCGCCGACTCCAAGAGATTCGACGAGGACTTCTGGAAGATCAATGGTCACCTCGCGGATGATTGATGGCCGGACCATCCACATAGTCTGGCTAGGTTAGTATGTTCAGATGTAGAAGTGGGTTGGGACGTACATGGCTCTCGGCTCCAGTCGTTCGGTCGTAGACCATGATGCCCTGTGCTTCAAGATTCAGAAGCTGTTCCTCTTCCTCCTCCACATGGGTGGGAGACATGGGCATTGACTCTTGACCTTCAGCAGCGTGCCTCGATTGATGCTTGCGTAGGATAGAATGAGGTCCTAGTCGTACGGTGAAACGGGCAATGTGGCTCCTAGAATCGTCCTTCCTAACCGACTCAATCGTGTCGGCGAAGCCATCGGCTCCACCGCATATGATTTCTAGCACAGGCTTGCCAGTGACTTCCTTGGGTAGAGAGCCAACGACGTCTGTCCACGAAGGGCTGACATAGCGAATCTTACCCTCGAGATCCAAGTCCATAATAATGTTCAGGCTGTGCTCGGCTGCCTCCTTGAGGTCTGCACGCTCGTTGCGCATGTCCTGGCTAACAGTACGTTCCATGTTCTGTCGGTGGCCGACGGAGCCCACGGCTTCCTGCTTCAACGCAGTCACGGCGGGCGGGGCTAGCGTCGTGGGTTTCTTGTCGTCGGCCATGGCTGAGGTGGGTTGTTGCGTGTACATTGGGTGCCGCTATGGCTGCGAGAGCCCGTCGCCGGGGGGGATTGGGCGGGTGCCCGAGGGCTGGCTGGTGATGGGCTATGCGTAGAGAGCTGCCAGGACCATGGTGGGAAAGAGACGACGGTCCGGAAGAGTCGGGCGTGTAGGTCAAAGGTACGCGTTGTCGAGCGGGACGGTGGGTAGTGCTTGCTGACTGCAACGAGGGTGGGCCTCGAAACCGGGATGAAGCGACTAGTCAAGCTGCATGGTAGTGCTAGGGGAGCGATTGGGTGATGTAATGAGCGTCGAGTGTCGGTGGTGGGTGTGGGTGCTGGGTAATGGGGGTGGGCAGTGTGTGTGTTCCCTATTTGGCGGCGGCAGCGGTGGTGGTGATGAAGGGACGGGAGAGGGGCACACAATGGACGTCTCAGCCGGCAGCACGAGGACGGCGGGAGACGACTTGGACAAAAAAGAAACAACGCCAGGCGAGCGGATGAGCAGCTGCAGGCATGGGATGGGCCTCTTCGGCACGCTATCCAGCTGGCAAAAGTCCCCACGCAGCACGCAAGCACGCGTCGAGTGAAAGTCACACGGAAAACAGCCGTGCAGTGCGCGCGGAGCCTAAGGGTGGATGCATGATGCTGGTCCCTCGGACGGCGCATTCACTGGCTCGAGCGGTCCAACCATGATTGCACATCCCGGCCGCCAAAATAACGGCAGAACGTCTTTCTTCGGTTTCATCCAACACTGCCACGCTACAGCGTCATTGCGTAATCAATCGATATCGACTTGGAGAGCGATGAACCAGCGGGTGGGCAGCAGTAGTATACCATCTCTCTCGCAGCCACGTCCGCGCGCCACAGGCCTCCCCTCTACTGACCGCCTCCTCTGCATGCTCCCGGTAATCCCTGGATCAAGTGCAGGCCGTTGTGTTATTTGCTCGCCCATGTTTCTTGTCAGCTTAGGCGACACAAGACGAACCAAAGACGGCACCTTCTCAGACAGCATGCGGGCACGTAAACACTATCCAGCAAAACGACGCTTGTAGTCAGCCCTTACTATCAGCCCCTCTTCCCCAAGTCCGGCTACTACGACGCCAGAAGATAACTAAACCGTTCGGACAATAATATCCAACGGGTACGGTGCAGCGTCGCAAACCCATGTTCACGCCATCATCAGCCGAGTATCATCGCCATTACCCCCTCAACAACACAGCCCAACGTTGCACGACCGCTGTCGTTATTGCTCAAGACAACAATGTGCCCCTCGCCAGGACCTGCAGCGTCGCCGTGGATACATCACCTGGGAAGACGTGCAGATCGCTTCTGTCCGCCCAATCACACCCACGTCGCATGCACCTCTGTGTCTTCCCCGTCCTGCTTGGATGCGGCCCAGGCCCGCTACGTCTGCAACTAAGCCGGGCTTGTCTGCAGTCATATAGACATTACACACGATGGAGCAAACCGTATGCTATTCCCGCTCCGTACCATTCCTATTCGATGTCCATCTGGGAACCATCTTGAGAACTCGACGTTGGATGCATCCAGACAGCCAGTGTGCAAGTCGAGCGCAGCTCCACACCCTCACCAGACTAGCTCGGCGCTAGCGATAGTCGCGACCTGGGCGACGATGTGCATCGAGTCTGGAGCAATTAACTAAGGTTTATTGAACAATGACCAAGTGATGTTGCATGCGACGGCACCTCCTATATGCCGACGCTGAGTGTTGAAAGACGACGCGACAACGGTGCCGCTCCCGCCCCGAAACCTTCACTCTATCACATGCTGCTGCCCCCAATGCCTGTGAACACATGCTCAAACTCCTGTTTACAACGCTGAATGCCAAGCTAATCAAAATACACTGCCTCCGGCTTGTGCACACAGATTTTTCCTGACGAATCGCTCCTCAGTACCACCCTGGGGTCCTCCTTGCTCGCCTTGACGCTCTTTCCGTCAACCGTCTTTTCCTCATACACAACCTCAACAACTTCACCGTTGACATAGCCAGGCAGCGAGTGCCATTGAACTTTCTGGCCCTTCTTCGGTACCCGAGTCTTGTCGCCGGCAGCTCCAATCGGTTCACCGCGCTTTCCACCTGCACCCTTCTGTTTCTTATTCGGAACCTCTGCATTTGCACCGCGTCCACGCTTCTTGCCCGGGTGATCGTCTTGAGATGGGCTCCTAGACTTGCGGTTGGACTCAAGAAACTTCTGGTATTCTCGTTGGTCGTTCTCCATGTGATCCGGGTCGTCCCATTGCGTGGTGCAATCCGTATTACTCTTCTTTTCGATCTTGGTATCCCCATTGGTCTTGTCGTCTTTGCTAGCATCTTTCCTGGCGTGCGCAGCCTTCGAGGTGTTGGCGACGTGTTGCTTGCCCTCTTCACTTCCTTCTTGCTTCTTCGCATCTGTCTCTTCCTTCTCCTTCTCACTCATTTGTTCCCAGGCCTTCTTCGGCAGGTACCGATGTTCTAAGCCATTTTCATCCTTTGCGCTTCCGTTGCCTTCCTTCGTCTGCCATTCCTCTTCTTTCCACTGGTCAAGGTGCCTTGCGCTCTCGTCCTTCTTGTCTGTGGTGTAGTCACCGCCGCGCTTCTTATATTCAGAGGCCATCATCTGCGCCTACAATCGACATGTCAGTGCTGCCCGGAATACCCGCTGTAGTCAGACATACCTTCCGAGCCGACCATTGGCCGGGTGCACCTCCTTTGTCGCCAGCCTGGATCTCTTCCTTGACCTCATCGCGAAGCTCTGGATCCGTGTACTTGTCGTTGGTCTTGGAAGGCATCTTGGATGAAGCTGACCGAAGAGCGAATCTCAGAGGAATTGTAGTCACACAAGGCGCGCGATATGCAGAAGCAAATAACAATGATCGGGGGAAAAGCGTGCGATACACTCCATAACAAAAGGCGTCCAGCAAACCATCTTTGTACTACCCCGGATCTTCCTCCACTGACGTACAGGTACCGGCGTAAGCTCCTACCCTTCTAATTTCAAGCACCCAGCCACCCTGAATCACCTACATCATGAAGTCTTCACGATTCCGTAGGCGGCCAGCGTACCTTGGAATCTGGTACGGCACGTTTCGTCCCCTTTCACAAGCGCGTCGGGATGACATCAATGACTTCTTGATAGTTCGCTTCGGGATGGTGTAGACGCTCGGACCTTCCACTGCTCAAAGACCGAGGAGAACCCAACCAGTGTGCATCTGCCCGATCAGCTCCCCGACATATCGTACGAGCTCCCAACAATCCGCGCTGCAATGTGGTTGCGCAGGTAGGTGCACTCGAAGTCGCTCACTCCGTGGATACGAATATATATTGCTGTGTGTTCGGCTTCCAAATTAGACAACCCATCAAATTATGCGCGCTCTCCGCCGAGATGGGCCGGTCCGGAGATAGCGTGCCACAAGTATGTGCTATACCTCAAGTGCAGCCATTACTCGGCGATCGTTGCTCACCAACTGTGTGCATTTGCCTAAACGACTCATCAGCGCATGCAATCGTAAGTTGAAATATCAGAAGCCATAGAGCCACGATTTCATGACCGGCAAACTCTCCATCACTACACCAGCATCGAGGTGCAAGCCGTGTAGCACCATTATATCGACAAGACCATCCCATTTTAACATACATCTTGGGTTCTTCTCGTCGTCTCTAAACGCCTCCATTTGCAAGGCCGATACTGCCCCATGCCAATGCGGCTCTTTCACATCCTGACATCCCTACATCAGTACTAATTCCGACCACCCTGAATGGGAATATTGCGATAGACTGCAAAACGGAAAGACAGGCAATGTATTGTTTACTCAAGTTGAGACTTACCACACCTTTACCCGCTCCAAGTATTCACATACGGGCATGATGGTTCTAGTGTTTCCACATTAATCATTCAGCTCGAAATCCTTTTTGCAGTCCGACCAGTCAGCTGTTCTCTATGGGCAATTGCACTCAGCCCGTTTGGGTTCCGTCATCAAGGTCTTCCTTTACTTCGTAACCTACAATTCTTGGTCAGGTTTGGGTTCTGACTAAAGCACGACTAAGTGTGAACACGGTACGCACTATCCTAGCTGCGCTTCGAGGCACCCCGCCATCATGGCTTTAACGCCTGCACCAACTGAAGAAATGAATGCCCACAGAAACCGACTCTCCATCCCTCTTCACAGTCCTATCGATACAATGGCTGGCCAGAAACTACTGACGAAGTCATAGTAACGCCTCGTTCGCATGCGGCGTACGATAGCTTCTCCATGTTTATTGAATCCCACATCTACTACACTCGATCAAGGCTCTTGGAAGGCCCTGGGCGGTTTTTAGAGTGCACCACAATGTACCGGCGTCGTTTCGGCCATCCGGTAGGGACATCTAAATCCAGAGCGAGCACCAGACCTGCGCTAGGAGGTGTTGCGAAAGGCTCATAGAGAATATCGAGTACGACTATGATCCGTATGTGATGTAACACGACTGGTCTGGCGTAAATGACGTTCACTGTAGATGTTTTATAAAGGCATGTGCACAGTATCACGATAGTCAGCCTGCATCTCATACCGTCCCTGTATCATCAATCACAAAGTTCCTCGACGATGCGTCTTACTCCGTTCCTACTCGTGGCAGCAGGCACGGCCATTCCTGCTATGCTCCGTAGCCGGGCAGTTTTACTGAACGCCCTCCTTCCCGACATCTCCCTCCCCATTAACTACTCTTTCGGCGTCCGCGTACCAACCTCCTCCAACCCATCATCCTCCAACCCCCTAGCTCTCCTCGTGAATGGCTACCAGGTTCAGATACCGCTCATCGCTAAGTCAGGAACTCTCGTCTCGTGGATAGCAAACTACAGAGACGGAAAGTCATATAACACACAATTCACTTCCATCAACCCTTCCGCGCCCAGAAACATCACGACAGACTCAGAATCCATCTCCCAACAAGGCGGAAGTAGCGTTACAAACGCAACAGCATTAGCAGACGGCCGACAGGCTCGTGTCGTCACTACATCTTTCTCTTCTGGTAACGCCGCATCTGCCGCTGCCGCTGCCCTCGATGGCACGACTTCGGATTCCACATCCTCATCAGGAGCCTCAAACAGCACAGCAGTCGCTACCTCAAACGCGGTAGGCGAAGTCCTCATCCTGACCTCTGCCAATACCGCCAATGCCCTGAACTCGCAATCTATCAAAAACGCTCAAGGCGCCGAAGCAGCATCGTCCTGTGCCGCCGACTCTGGACCTGCTGCATCTACACAAGCTGAGCAGGTCAACAGTCTTTATATCCCCATTGGTACCTCACCCGGTGGCAAAGATACCTATTGGCTGAAGAGTTCGGCTTATGCAGCGTGTGCGGCGGGAGTGGATGCACCGAATCAGGGGGGTAGTTCGAGTTCGGGTAGTCAGGCTAGTCTGGCGGTTGTGAGCAGTAGTGTTACTTGTAATGGGGTGAACAAGTAATGAGCAGATGAAGAGTACGACATACAGGGTTAGTGTGAAGGGAAGGTATACTTTATTGAAGGGATTTAGCGGTGCGGTTGGTGGACAGAGGGTTGCGGACAGTAAGAGTCAGTGTTAGATGGGTTAACTAAAGTCTGGTCATCGGTACATGGTGAGGGGAGCTAATAGAGGGTTTTATGCTTCTATTTACCTATCATTAGATCGTTTTAGTGCCGTTGTTCAACGGGAATGGGTAGTGACAGTTGTAATATCTGAATGAAAACTACTGCATAGAAATTTTGCTATTGAGGCTCCCATTTCCTACTCATAGAGACGTTAACATTTTCTCGCAAGCAACATGCTCGGATTACTATCTTCTTTGGTTATCAATCTCAGGGCCAATGCGACACTGCTGTCGTTGGCATATTCTGAGAACTCTTTCAACATTTGCCCTGCTACTGCACCTTTGATCGACGCGATACTGCCCCCCCGACGTCTCCGATTGACACCGTGCCTCTAAACCTCACATGCGCATACGAAGTTTGCTTGGCGTGGCCCATATGGTCCCATCCATGATCGTGGAGAGATGAGAGTCAAAAGGAGACGAAGGGTAGCTTGAAGTCTGTTGAGGATGTAAACAAAAAAGAGAAATGGCCTTGTTCCCGGCAAGACTGTATGACCGGCCCGATATCGACATGGCATAGCCGAGCGAAGTCAGACGCATAAGGATTCCAATGCGGTGGAACAGCCAGTTGCGCGAGCATGATTGCCCCAAGGTCATTCACACATACTATATGCACAGTCGGGTCCGGACGCGCATCAGCGGACTCCCCGCCTCTTGACCACGACATCCCGAAGAATGAAGATGATGGACAAAAGAGGCCAAAAAGCAAGAAGCCACCAAGTGGAGATCAGCGGGTAATGGATACGGGGCAGGGAGCATGGGCCGCAATCGCCAAGATGCGGGGAGAGCTCCTGCCCCAACATGGCTGGTAACGGCACCAGCCATGCAAGGTACCACAGCTGCTGTAGCGTTCAGCTGACGTTGAATCCATCTGTACATTACCCGCGTCCAAGTTCCAACCCACAGCTTCTTCTACAAGTCCACCATGGGCGGCGAATCTCAGCGCAACATGCCGGTGCCGGTGGCGAAGGATTACCCCAAGTTGGCGGCTGGTCCGGTTGGCAAGCAAATACACAGCATCTATCAGAGTCGCTTGAGACAGTTCCTCGATGCCGGACAGTACAGGGAACAGAGTCTCATAGGGTAAGTCTCAAGCTCCACTACTGTCACAGCTCGACTCCCATGCCCGCTTCAACATGCTCATACGTCATACAGCAAGCTCACCGAAGCTGTCGCGTCAGGTAACGAGTGGGTCAAGCTCTCAGTCTACTCGCCCCCGAATCTCTCGCGCCCTCTCTTCAAAGAAGCTACCTCTCATGCTTTCCATCCCACCGAAGTCGGCCAGTCATTCGGTCCCAGCTGGTCGACGCATTGGTTCAGGATTCAACTCACCGTTCCCAAGCACATGCTCGACAAAGAACATCTCGAATTTGTTTGGGACGCGAACAACGAGGGTTTGATCTGGACTGAAGATGGACATACTGTCCACGGGCTGACAGGTGGTGGTGAGAGGACCCAATGGATCTTGCCAAAGGCCTTTAGAGACGGCAAGGAGCATACCTTCTACATCGAGATGGCTTGCAACGGCATGTTTGGTAATGCTCCTGGCGGTGACTCAATCCAACCACCAGCACCTGACAAGTACTACACGTTGCACACTGCTGAAGTTCAGGCGGTCAATCTAGAGGCCAGAGCGCTATACTTTGACTTCTGGGAGATCTCAGACGCCGCCCGGGAATTTCCTGAAGACTCAACTCAGGCTCATGACGCTCAGCAGGTGGGCAATCGCATCATCGACACTTTCATTGCTGGCAATGGAAGTCAAGAAAGCATCAAAGCAGCTCGCAAGATCGCTGCTGAGTACGTCGGGAAAGATGTGGACTCGCACAATGTGTACAACAGCGACCAGGAGGCCATTGTGCACGGCATCGGCTACTGCCACATCGACACGTGCTGGCTTTGGCCCTTCGACGAGACCAAGCGCAAGGTCAACCGATCCTGGTCGAACCAGTGCGACCTCATTGAACGATACCCCGAGCTTCGCTTCTGCTGTTCACAGGCTCAGCAATACAAATGGCTCGAGCAGTACTACCCCTCCACATTCGATCGTGTTAAGAAGAAGGTCAAGGAAGGCAGCTTCCAACCTATCGGCGGGAGTTGGGTCGAGCACGATACCAACCTTCCTGGTGGGGAATCACTCATTAGGCAGTTCTTGTACGGCCAACGTTACTTTGAAAGCAAGTTTGGCCAGAGATGTCGCACGTTCTGGTTACCGGACACTTTCGGTTACTCGACACAATTACCTCAGATTTGTCGTATATCGGGTATGACAAGATTTTTGACCCAGAAGCTAAGCTGGAACAACATCAACAATTTCCCACATACGACGTTCAACTGGGTCGCATTGGACAATAGCCAGGTCATCTGCCATATGCCGCCATCGGAGACGTACACCTGCGAAGCGAATTTTGGCGATGTCAAGCGCAGCGTTACACAGCACAAGTCGTTGGACCAAGACAAATCGTCCTTGATCGTCTTCGGCAAAGGAGACGGGGGTGGTGGCCCGACATGGCAGCATCTTGAGAAGCTTAGGCGATGCCGTGGTATCAGCGACACTTCTGGTCTTTTGCCTCGTGTCAAGCTGGGCGACTCAGCAGACGACTTCTTCGACCGTCTGGAGAAGAAGGTCGAGAATGGCACCGAGCTTGTAACGTGGTATGGTGAGCTGTATTTCGAGCTTCATCGTGGTACATACACTACGCAGTCCAACAACAAGCGCAACAACAGGAAGTCTGAAATCATGCTAAGAGATATTGAGTACCTTGCTACTCTGGCTACCATCAAGAATAGCTTCGGAAAGAAGAGCTCATACAAGTACCCAAAGAAGGACATTGATGATATGTGGGAGAACGTGCTGTTATGCCAGTTCCATGACTGTCTGCCTGGTAGTTCCATCGAGATGTGCTACGATGACTCGGACCGCGTAAGTTGCTGCTCCTCCCATTGGTAGCTTTTTACTGATGTTATCAGATTTACGCCGAAGTATTTGCCACTGGCGAGCGATTGCTTTCTGACGCTCTTGCTGAACTTGGTTTCAACGACCAGAGTCACTGGGATCACGACACAAAACTCTTCGCAATGAATACCTTACCATGGAACCGCACTGAGATTGTCAGACTGCCTAGCGCAGCCAGTCGAACGAAATACGGGATGGCCGATGCTCAGTACGGTCTCGCTCACCGTGAGGGTACTCACAAGGGGTTAGGCGCCTTGAACGTGTACCCACTTACCTCCGCATATCCTGCTTCGAAGGCCTCTATTGAGGAGATCCGCGCCAACGTTTTCGAGCTCCGAAATTCGCAATTTGTTGTGCAAGTCTCCAATGGTGCCATCATTTCACTCTTCAACATTGCAGCAGATCGTGAACTTATTCCCAAGGGTGCCAAAGCGGGTCAACTTGTCATCTACGATGATAAGCCACTTTATTGGCAAGCCTGGGACGTTGAGGTCTACCATTTAAAATCGCGCCAGGAACTCGAGCCTAGCAAGGTTACCATCGCGGAAGACAGTGTTCATCGTGTGAGTCTCGAGATCGAGACGAAGATCTCGGACAAGTCATGGATCAAGACAACACTCAGTCTATCTGCAGCTGTAGGAAACACGCCCAGCGCCATTGAGTTCGATGCAGAAATCGAGTGGCACGAGACAATGAGGTTTCTCAAGGTCGAATTTCCGGTCGATATTGTGAACACGGAAGCTAGTTACGAGACGCAATTCGGAATCGTGCGCCGACCCACACACTACAACACGACATGGGACATGGCCAAGTTCGAAGTTTGCTGCCACAAATGGGCTGATCTGTCCGAGGCCACGTACGGTGTCTCTATTCTGAATGACAGCAGGTATGGTTTCGCAGTGGCGGGCAACGTTATGCGCCTCTCCCTTCTCCGCTCGCCCAAAGCCCCAGACGCCCATGCCGATATGGGAAGCCACAAGACTCGTTACGCCATCTTCCCTCACAAGGGCGGTCTGGATGAACGCACAGTCCGCAAAGCCTTCGAATTCAATAACCCACTCAAGATTGTCGGGCGCCAAGGTCCTTCGTCTACCTTACACAGCGGTCTTCTGAATCCCTTCCACATTCATGGCGCACCCAACCTCGTGCTAGACACGATCAAGCGTGGCGAGGACGACGAAGATGTCAGCCGTGGTGAGCTGCCAGTCAAGAAGGGTCACTCGGTCATCCTACGTATCTACGATAGTCTGGGTGGAAAGAGTAAGGGTGTGCTTACATGGGGTGATATTGATGTAAAGAAGGTGATTAGGGTTAACGCACTCGAGGATGAGGAGGGCGACCCGTTGATCATCAGCGACATGAAGGTGGGAGCAGAAGACAACAGGGAGAAGGGTGTACCGGTTGAAATTCGCGCTTTTGAGGTGGCGACTTACAAGCTAGTGTTGGCGTAACGTCGGGGAAGAATGTTGCTTGTTTGTCATGAGTAAATGAAAGGGAGTGGTATGCACACAGACATTGCTTCAGCTGCGTAGGGTTGTTGTTCTTTTGGGGTATCCTCAGCGCGTTCAGTGTGGACAGTTGAGCATTAAGCATAACACCAGGCGTCACAACGACGATAACCAACACTTTTATACATGCCCATGTGAAGTTTGATCCATTGTGTCCAAAACGCCTATGATGCCGTATCCCAGCTCTATACATCGATGGCTTGACCATCCAACCTGACATTCTGACATACCCTTCAACTAGAAAGAAAGAGAGAGGGTTCGGCTGCCTTCTAGGGCAGCCCTCAGCTCACTAGTCCAAAAAAAAACAGACTTAGTGGATGCGATCCAACTTGAGTCTGTTCCTAGCAATCTTGTCATCAACCTGGTCCGTCTTGCCAGTGATGCGTGTGATGTGGACGTTTTGCTTATCAACCTCCTCGCCCATTGCGCGGCCGAGGTGGTTGAGGTTCTTAGCCATGCCGTGGAGTGCATCTGTTGAGCAAGAATGTTAGTATATGCTCATAGCTATCTCGAAAGATAAGAGGATGATAGAGGGGGAAAGACGTACCCAAGTTGCCATCGATCTCATTCTCCATAGCATCGTCTTCTTCATCGGCTTCGAACTGGAACTTAGAACGCGCCGCAAGCGAGCTCTTGTTGTTGCCCTGTGAACCACCTCCCTGCTGTAGCTGGCGCTGGGCTTCGTTTGCGCGAGCTCCAGACTCCCATTTGGCACGGTTGGTGGCTTCACGGGTATCGCGATCGCGTGCGTGCTGGTCCATGGCCTGTTGCATTTGCTTCTCGCGTTTGGAGTTTCCTGTGAAGGGGTTGGGAACGATGGAGAACATGCTCGCGTTGATACCTAGAGACGATTTAGTCAGAATCAATCTTGGTAACGTGGAGTGTGTCCTTACGAGCCAGTTCCTTCGTCTGGCCATTAGCCCTATCGCTCTGAATAGAAGCAAGGTCAAGATTGCGCTCAGTGCTAGGAACTAGTCAGTTGTGCATCTGCGTATTGAGTACTGTCCAAACTCACTTGTGAATGCGCTCTCCTTGCGCTGCTAGTGTTCCTAGGGTTCCTCGACCGGTTTCCAAAGCCTGCTCAGCTAGACGGAGAGCATTCCTCGTGCTAGCAACATCCTGTTGTTTCATGAACTTGATCTCTTGCTTTGTAGCGTCGATATCTTCCTCTTCTTGTTCTTCGGCCGTCAATTGGCGGTCTTCGTATGTTCCATAGCCACCCGGTGTAGAACCGTAGCCACCAGAGGTACCACCACCACCATATGCGCCGCTCGGGGTGTTTCCATAGGCACCACTCTGTCCGAGGGCGCTAGGTTGTTGGGGCGGCTGCGCTTGTTGGCGTTGAGGTGCGTTGCCGAACAGCTCGTTGCGGCCTGCCTCGGTGCTCATGGTGTCGTTGGACGCAGTTCTTCCAAGTCCTCCATAGCCGCCAGGCCGCTGTGGTGCACCTCCGCCGTAGCGGTCGTTTCCATAGCCTGATTGCGCGCCAAAGCTTCCTCCCTGAGCACCGTATCCACCTGGTCGCTGTCCGTAGCTCTGGCCCGGTCCGGTCACTGCTGGCGTCTTGTCTTGGCGGAATGATGTTTCCTGACCACCGCTGGAGTACGAGGGCGGCGGCTGCGCATACGGGTCCTTGTCTGCTGGAGGCGCAGCATATGGGTTCTGGGCTGCTGGGCTATCCTTTCCTCCCTTGTCCTTCTTCTTTGAAAAGAGACCCATGGTTCAGGTGTGGGTAGTTGAGCTTGTTGAAGGCGATTGGGAAGAGATTCGTGTCGTGTATGCGTCGGCGTTAGGGGTCGGTGCGGTGAAAGCTGACAGGTTGGGAAGCACCAAGGGAATTGTGGGGGTGCCTTATCGATTGGCTGAGTCGAGGTTCAGGGTCCTTTCCGATTGCACGTGCAAACTCGAACAAGTGTGATGGAAGGAATGCACAAAGTGAAGAGGCAACGTAGCGATATATGAATGTCACAGACACAGGAAATGGTGTTTGAGCACTCGATGTTTTGGTGCGTCTGGCGTTTCAATCATTTCAAGCGCCCAACATGCCGCTAGCGAGAAGGCGGAGTGAGTGGAGTACGCCACCGCTTGTGGCTGAGGCGATGCTAGGAATAGCTCACAAGCCTGGGTCGATTGTACCTGCAAACTTGATTAAGCATTCGAACATTTCCAGTCTCTGCTTTGATCTTTCGAGCTCTCGATCTCGCCCATACCATCGCGTTTACCTTGGATGCTGAGGTCCGAAAGACTGGCGCATTCTTGGACATACATCAATTTGATCCCTGCATGCAGGTACCGTGCAGGCAAGTTCACACTTCTTGCGCAGTGCACCAGAACCCAATTCATGACTGGCTCGCGCCAATTTGCTCTGCATTACAACTCAGTCTGGGTATCTTGGTTCTACTGCTTAGAGGAGAGTCGCGATACATATAAAGCGCGACAGGCTTCCCACGCACATGAACTGCAACTCGCTCTGGGACGCAAAGCACCAGTAACGCTATGTCGTCCAGATTGCGCTATCCTCCTCATGCATGATTTCCCCATCGGAGGAGGGCAAGTCTTCGTGTTCTTCTTTTGTCCATATCTCATTTCCTGCCACCACGGGGAATGATGTTAGGACCCGGCTGATATCTCCCCACCATACCTCGCCAAACCTCCGATACCAATCCACAGTAACCTTGAGACCTTCGTCAAAGCTAGTCTTAGGTTCCCACCCCAACGCAGCCAGCTTCGACCCGTCGGTCGCATAGCGCTGATCATTGAATGGACGGTCTTCTGTATGCTCTACCCATTTGGACAACTCAGCAGAAGAGTCGTGGGATATTTCGAAGACATCTAGCAGCCTGCTACAGATGTCGGCGTTCGAAATCTCGTCCTTTGAGGCGATGTTGTAGATTTGACCAACTTGACCCTTGTGTAATATGGTGTCGAGTGCATCTGCGATATCTCCTGCGTATAGATATCGTCGTGTGGGCGAGCCGTCACCGTGAAGGAGGAGCTTCTGTCTTCGTTGCAGCAGCATGATAAATTTTGGAATGATTTCTGCGCCAATCAGCTTCGTGCGTTCACCCTAGATTCTTGGCATGACTTACTCTCGGGGAACTGATGCGGCCCGTACACGTTGTTCGCACGGACAGTAATCAGTGGCAGCTTGAAACTACTCCTGTACGCGCTGACCATCATCTCCGCTGCAGCCTTACTCGCAGAGTACGGATTCGTGGGTGCCAGTATGCTTGTCTCACTCAAATCTGCAGCTCCAACAGGAACATCGCCGTATACTTCGTCCGTCGAGATATGTATGAACCTGTTGACACCATGTTCCCTCGCTCGCTCAAGCAAGACATGTGTGCCATATACATTTGTGTTTGTAAACTCGTAGGAATTGCCAAAGCTGAGGTCGACGTGCGATTGTGCTGCGAAGTGAAAGATGGTTTCGATCTTGTGCTTTCGCAGTACGCGCTTTACATCTGCGGGTGAGGTGATGTCGCCTTGTTCAAATGCAAAGTTTGGTCGGTCGTCGAGGATGCGCGTGTTGTTGAGCGCTGCGCAGTAGTCGAGCTTATCGAACGAGACTACGTTGTAGTGTGGGTATGTAAGGACCAGATGCCGCACGAACCAACAAGCTCTGTCTGTTGGTTAGTGGTGATCTAGTACAAGAAAAAAGTCAAGAGACGCACAGCTCACAACTTCCCGTGGTCTCGTCGCGACGTACATGAAGCCGGCTCCACCAGTAATTAGGATATTCTTCGCGTCAGGGAGAGGTTCGAAGTTAGTACTGCCAATGAGTATCGGCGCCTGCTTCCAAAGCTCCTGCTTGACATGACATCTCGCATTCAAAACCGTCGACCCTCGTCGGCCTGGTATTGTTAGCGCCTGGGTTGGACTGTGCCTTGCATCGCATCGTGCAGGTGGAGACTCACGCTTTACGCCATTGGTGCCATTGGCAATATAGTGGGCGCTGTCAGAACCTTGGACGCCACTCATGGTCGTGGTGGATTTTGCTATTGTCCAACAAAAGTTGTCAAGACCTTGCGTGACATGCTCAAGTAATGTTTGAACGATGTACCACCGTGTCACGTAGGCGCGTCGCTGGCCGCCAGTGTTTGCGACAAGCTGATCTAGTGCTAACTGGTAACGGAGATGTACCCGACGAGCCATCTTACGTCATCTTCGAACACCTGGAAGCCTCATCACTAGACGAGATCTTCCGTCTTGCGTAAACCTTTGTCAGACAATATCAAGTATTAGATGTTAATGGAATGAGATACGGAGACCGTCTTGTAACTTATAGTTGTGGTAAGCATTACACTGCGGCTCCTTTTCCAGACCAATACCATTCACGTGGCTCAAGACTTTACGCGTCATCGTGGAATCACAACACAGTCCATCTTCATCAAATTCCAAGGCTCGATGTCCCAACAGCGGCGACATAACGTGGACCCTCATTATCCACCCAGCTTTGCAGTCAGAACGTTGCACCGTCTTGCGCGTGCTTCCACGCATTCTTGCCTTTTCCCGCGCAAACAGCTGATCGATTCTTTATGACTGTAGACAACATTCCCCCCTCCTACACAGCCACAATCTTTGACCTTCGGTGAGATACACAATCACAAGTTGCAAGTAAGAAACGCCTGCCATGGCAGCGTACTGGGCCTCCGCATACTCACGCACGCACCTTGCGGATCCGATCTGCAATCAGGTAGCCAAACTGGGCTGCCCCACCATAGTAAAATGTGGGGATGACACTACACTCGTCTACGAGGACGATGTCAGGAGCCTGATGAGAAGAAGGAGCTGAGTATAATCATATGGCCTTGCACTTGTGGCTGCGACTGCGAGAAGTACTCACTACGCACCTGATCTTGCTTTGTTACTATGGAGCCCGGCAGAGCAATAGAGTGGTTTTCCTCCAGGACTACGGGCATATGGACTATTAGTCTTTTCACTCTCGGCTTGTTTGTTCTCGTAGTGGATTACGGTCGCATGCTATATCTGAGATGGCGAATGGTAACTGCCCGCTTCTTCGCTACCTTCATGCCCTGGAATGCACTACTTACACGCTGACAGCCACCAGGACCGCTACCATGGCCAGTCATTGGAAACACATTCAGTCTGCCAGATGAAAAGCCTTGGTACCTTATCGAGCAGCTTTCAAAGAAATACAACTCCCCACTCGTCACGTTCTGGATTGGGCGGTTAGTTTGAAAGTAGTACTTCTTTAGTGAAGATTGAGTAACACTACGTAGGAGACCTACAGTTTGGATTAATGACGCGTGGGCTGCAAACGAAATTCTCGTGAAGCGGGCTAATATCTACAATTCTCGGCCGCGTATGCTGATGTTTGCTGAGTTGATGGGCGGTCAATACAATCTGTTGCATAAATACACGTACACGAAAGAGCAGCGCGAACGGTTTCGCGATCTCAGGAAGATTACCCATCAGGGTGTTGGGATACAGCAGGTCAGTCCAAGGCGAGATATGATGCACTTCTTTCTGATATGTCTAGATACAACGTTACCGTAACCTGCAGGATAATGAAAATAAGGTAGTAGTGTATGACCTACTCACCACGCCAGACAAATTCGTGTCACACTTCGAACGATATGCTACAAGCGTTGTGTCGATAATTGGCTTCGGACGCCGAATTGGAGACTGCCAGGATCCGTTGATCACTGAAGTGATCGCTCAGATGCAAGACTCTGCACAAACGGCGGTCGTCGCTAAAGACTTTCCAAGGCTAATGGAGACCTTCCCATGTGAGTATCGGAGATCTGAAAGAAATACAACGCTGACAGTGAAAGGGCTTGCAAAGTTTCCCCACTGGATTGCTCCCTGGAAGCGTGGCACACGACGTTCCGTGAAGCCTACATTGGGCCGGCATGACTTCTTTTATGCGTTGGCTGAAGAGGCCAACCAAAGTCCAGGTGAAAATTATGCCAAGTACCTTTTTCGTGAAGCGCCTCAGTACAATCTTCATCCGCTCGAGATCTCCAATCTCGCCGCAAACCTGCTCGGTGCCGGAGCAGACACATCAAGTAGCACACTTATTACAGCTATACTAGCTATGCGCGCATTTCCTGAGACCCTTCAGCCTGCCTGGGATGAAATTGATCGCGTAGTGGGCCGAGCACGGAGTCCAACTCTAGATGATGATCTCCCATACCTCCGCGCTTTCACCAAAGAAGTCTTCCGTTGGCGGTCCGTTGCGATAATCGGAGGCACGGCCCATGCCCCTACCCAAGACGACTATTGGAATGGCTATTACATACCCAAGGGAACCTGGATGCAGGGAAATGTTTGGGCGATACATCACAATGAGCGCGAGTTTCCCGATCCTGATCGCTTTAATCCTAGGAGGTTCTTGGACACAGATGACACAAGGCCGTTCCCGGGGGAGAAGGGCTACATGACTTTTGGGTGGGGAAGAAGGAGCTGTGCTGGTCAAGCATTGGCGGAGCAGGGAACACATCTTAGTGTTGCACGATTGGTGTGGGCATATAAGGTGGAGCCAGAGGTGGACAAGAACACGGGGAAGGAAATTCCTGTCGACATTTTCAACTACTCGTAAGTCAAGCTTGCAGATAGATTATATCCATTCCGTCGTAGTTCGAGCGTTACTGATCATTAACAGGAGCGGATCGAACTGGAAGCCGCAGCCGTTCAAAGTCAAGTTTACACCAAGACATGAGGAGATCAAGCAAACTATCATGCTGGAGGGGAAGCAAGCACTGGACGATTTGGCGAAGTACGAACGCGAGACTAAGTACACTTTCAGTATCTTTTACCAGTAAATTGAGTTGGGTCACAGTCCTACAATTGTACTCGCACATACATCTCAATGCAACGATGACATAGACCCTGCGATAATACCAGTCGAGTTACCCCAACCTGCTGGGACGATCAATGCTTAGTATGGCAAGGCGCCGGGCATCTCCATACACCTCCGCATTAAACCCCTGCCAGTGTGGAGAACACACGAACATCCCCTCATTGCCCCACGACGCCAACCCATACTGCTTGCAGACATTCCTGGGCTGGTCTGGGCTACGCTGGTTGCCTCCTACTGCCCAAGGTCACGAACCTTCCTTCTCGTCAATGGCTTTCTATCACTGTGTGAGTTACCATGGCAAAACTCAAAGAGACAACCTTGTGGGCGAATCGAAAATGCTTGCTCATATGTTCCGCCGTCGCTATTGCCAGTATGCAATACGGCATTGATACTGCTGCGGTTGGTGGATTGCAAGCTATGCCTGGATTCTTGATGGTGTTTGGGTACGAGGATCCGGCAAGCCCACTGGGGTATGGCATCGACGCAAGTACAATCAGGCAACCAATTATGTGTACATTATTGACACGATAGATAGTCAACGGTACAGCAACTTATGACCTCCTTGCTGAATCTCGGGTCGTGCTTATCTGCGATCGCCGCTGGCGTCTTTGGTGCATACTTTGGTCGGAAGAACGCGCTATGGCTCGCATGCATAGTGTGTTTAGGAGCAGTGTCGCTACAGATCGGCTCGACTTCCAAAGCAGGTCTGTACCTTGGTCGCCTGTTTCTGGGCTTTTCCAACGGCTTCTTGGTCGTGTTTTCGACAGTGTACTGTAGTGAAGCAGCGCCTGCGCATCTAAGGGAGCACGTGTTTTGAACCCACCTTCTGCCACTGAAGCACTAACAATGAGCAGGATCATGGTGGGACTCTTCTCATTCTATGTAAACCTTGGAAGCATCATTGGCTCCGTGATCGACAACTACACGTCCCGCTACCTTTCTAAACTCTCTTACCAAATTCCTCTCACTTGCATGTTCATTGTCCCGGTCTTACTCGGCACAGTTCTGTTCTTCGTCCCTGAAAGCCCACGATGGCTTTTACACCACGACCAGCATGATGCAGCGCGCAAATCATTGGAGCGTCTCCGTTTCGACCACGACGACGAGCTGGAGCTAGAATGGGCGGAGATGGTCCGCGGTGTAGCTGAAGAGCGCAAACTTAGCCATAGTTCGGGCTTTCTGGATCTCTTCCGCGGCAACGACTTGAGACGGACATTACTTTGTTGGGGTACGATCGCAAGCCAGTCAGCCAGTGGAGTCTGGTTCTTCATCGGGTACCAAACATACTTCTTCACCATCGCTGGTATCACGAAAGCATTTGAGTACACCATCATGAACTCGTGCATTGGGTTCGTAGGTGTTCATCTAGGTCTTTTCTCCATGAACAAACTCTTTGGTAGGAGAACCATCATGATTGCTGGGGCAGTAATGTGCGGCTTGTGTGAGCTCGCTTGTGGGATCGCGAGTAGTGCCAAACCTGATTCTGTGGCGACCGGAAATGTGTTGGTAGCTTTTACCGCCCTATTCATGTTTTGCTATAATGCCGGGGTGGGCGTTGCAACAAGTCCTCTGGCAACAGAGCTTGTTAGTTCGCGACTTCGCGCTTGGACAGTAGGAAGTGCAAATGCGCTTGGGTACTTTCTTGCTTGGCTGGTCGGCTTCTGCTCACCCTACTTTATCAACCCTCAGGACCTTGACTGGGTATGTACATTCACTTCCTGGAATGCCAGTACTAACGTGTTTGTAGGGCCCACAGTATACCTATATCTGGGCAGCTTCAAACTTCCTATGCGTAATATGGTTCTACTTCTTTCTCCCTGAGACGAAAGCGCGATCGTTGGAAGAGCTCGATGAGATCTTCGAAGCCAGTGTTGCAGCACGGAAATTCAAGCAGTACGAGTGCAGAATTGTGGAGGATGCTAAAGAAGATGTTTACGGACGTAAGACATCTGAGATGACAAAGCAAGTGGCGTAATATACTACCGTTGTAGATGCAACGAGTGTAGACGTTGCAGTGGACGCACCGCTTGGGATGGTATCGTGTCGGTATGATGTGGTGGTGGACGTATAGATCAACTGGAATTTCTCCGTATTCTCTAAAGCAGAATCTTGGCTAAATGGCAGCAAGAATGCTTAGTGTTGCAGTTAGAGCTAAGACTGTCATACCAAGCTAGTACTCCCCCAATTTGCTTGCGGCAGTGCCTTGTTTGGTCGGCATCTAGACTGGGAATTTGATAAAGCAGAGGAAATAAGTACACACCTTCGTTGTCAGAAGTCTCGGTCGCTTCAGCTCCATCTTCTGATCCAGTCACGGGAGCCAACACTTCCTGGGTAGATTCAGACAGCTCTTCGGAAGTAGGTGTTGTCGATATTAAAGCCGACTATCGGCGTTGTCTACAATCCGTTCTTGGATGAACTCAATACCGTAATCAAAGACTGTGGTGCCTTCATTCATCGGGGGTCAAAGTTAGAAAAGCTGCCGTTGCGAAATGATCCTTTGGACAGGCTTGGTCCTGCTTGCACCGGGATTGAATAGGGGCAGCGACCACGGAGGCGTCAATTTTGAGTTGTATCTGAAAGTCTTACTACTTTGGCCCGGACACAACAAGACGGTGGAGAGTCTGTGAACTCACACGGTATACAGGGTCCGCCGCAATGCTGATCTGCAGACTGGCGCCAGGACAACAGGATATGCTCTGGGAATGCGGGTGTTGGCCATGGGACGTCACTGCGTCGTGGTGTATCTTGAACGAAGCTGGAGGGGTTATTGTGGATGGGCATTCGGGTGACTGATATCCGCCCATTGACAATCGAAGGTATGTGGCCGTCATACCTGCGTCTAGCGGCCAGAAAGAGATTGTGGAGGAGTTTTGGGACGTAGTTGGAGAGGACAGGTCGACTTACGGGCCGAGCTGAGAACGCTGCGTATGCGTATGTCGAAGTCTACCCGATAACAATATTGCAGCGTAATATACATCTGTCTCTGAAATACGTTCGTTATATTGCTATCGTGTAGCTGTAGTGTGGGCTAAGTGGTTCCCTGAAGAGAGGTATGAGGTTAAATAGGAACGGTTGTGCTTGTCACTAGGTAGTTGCCTGCATATTGCGGGTCTACATCTAGAGCTAGCAAAGGCTAAACTGGTTCTAACGTATAGGACCAAGCTGTGACCGAACAACTTGAACAGCAATTCGCCTATTGCTTGCGAAACGTCTCATTCCCTTTACCTACAACTCATAATATGTGCTATATTAGAGGGATATTTACCATTCCTTTCACATACGACCATAGGACACTGAAAATTAGGCTTCCCGTCCGCTCAGCCATATACAAGCAGTGTACCGGCGGATTAGTAGTTAGGTGGGTGACCACTAGCGAATCCCCGCTGTTGTATGTTTTTTGCCTACCTGTAGTAGAAGTGAGGATATTTTTGTCAACAGCACAGTCGAGGTTGTCACTATGTAGAAGGAGGGACTGATTTACCTGTAGGTTGTGGGCGATAGTCTGTGTGGTATTTACTTTCTAGAATTGGCCTACCCCTGTTGCTCCTACGTGTCGTCCTCTCTTGCTTCAATAGCACGGCAGAACCTCTTCCTTGCTTGGCTTACCGCAAGGCTGAAACTTGATATCCGTATATAGGCGTGCACCATATGCCAAGCTAGCCAACTCTTTCTTTTCGAAGCGTGTGTGGGGACCTGGCGGCTTGGTGATGTTGATCAGCTCGAGAACACCTACAACTATTGGGGTAAGTTAGACCAACAAGTGTGCTCGTGTTGTACTGATATCACATCAGGAATGATATGGACTGTTGCGCGTACAAACAATCAGCAGCCTTTACGACATTGTAAAGAAGCGATGAAGAACATCATGCATCAATACATACTAGATGACAACTATTGGGGAGGCGTGTGGAGTCTAGATGGCGAGAACTACACCATAGACAACGATAATTATCCTAACTACCCGCTGTTGCCGAGGGATAGTTCTACCCCTACAGAAACTATTGCATCCGCAACTATCACGTCTACATCAACAGCTGAACAAGGCCCAATCACCTTAGACCCTCAAATCGCCATAGAGTTGGGGGCATTTAGTACGACAACACAGACTATCGACGGCCTCACTGCGGACCCTGTCACTTCCACCAGCGCGGACGACCACGCTACCGTGTTACCAATCTGGTACGTTGGACCTTGAATAGGGATAGTTGTTATACCACTGTCAAGGGTGGTTCCAGGAGGGATAGTGCCACCACCACCCGGCTATCTGCCCTTGACTATCGGTCCAGATGGTAGTCCCTCCTCGTCGGATGTGGAGGACAGCGATTGGCCCACGAATACAACTCAACAGGAACCATCTACATCTAGTTCCACGTCTATGTGTGACTACTGTGCAAGTTGTACACTTGCTATCGTGGATGACGAGCCAGAGCCAAGTGATGGACAGATTGAGAACCGCCTGCAGGCCACAAGTGACAACTTTATATGATATCTGATTTCAAGAGCCGATCTAGGCTCGTTGCCGCTTGCTCCGCCGTATCGTCTCTTGCTTCACTTGTACAGCAGGAAGCTCCTCACCGGGTTCCTTCTTTATGCGCTTTCGCTTCGTGGACTCTTTTTTGGTTGTTTGTTCCAGAATAATCTCTTCTTCCTCCTTCTTTATCGTTACTTCCTCTTCCTTGACCTCTACTTTGGCAACAACCCTATCCGAGAATGCCTTCAGGTCTGCCGTAAATAGGACGGAATGTGCCCACCCTGCTTCCTTTCCCCAGAGCTTTCGGAATAGGTTTCCAATGGCAGCGTAGGTAGCAGCGGTCAGGCTGCTGTGCTTGCCCTTGCCGAACCTGTAGTCGCGTTGGGCAATCTGCCAGACATGTGTGTCGACGGGTACGGACTCGGACCAGCCGAGGCCAAAGAGACACACACAGTCTGCAACCTTTGGGCCCACACCATGCAGGGCGAGAAGCTCTTCATGCGCCTGCCGGTACCCCTCGCGACCACCTTCAAGCATCTCCCCAGCCGGCTTCTCCTCTACACCAAACTGTGGACACTCCGGGTTACTCAGATCATCTAACCATTTCAACCCCTTATCTTCCGAAACCATTCGTGCAGTCTTCGCAATATACTTGGCACGGTATCCAAATCCAAGCTTGATGAGATGCGCTTCGACGTCCGGGCCTGATAGCGACTCGGGCGTAGGGAAATCGTGGTAGGGTACGTCATCGATACTCGCTATGAGCGGTCCGTAGTGCAAGCAAAGATTATGCACCATGCCCGATATGCGACTGATATTGTTGTTGCTGCTGCATATGAAGCCAATCAGGGCCTCCCAAGCATCTTGCCGCAGGATTCTTATACCGGTGAATTTGGGAGCACGCTTCTTGAAGTTGGCGTCGGATGCTGCCCACTGTTCGTATAGCTGGCCTAGGTCGGGCGCGAGGTTGAAGTAGTGTTTGACAAGGGCAAGCGTGTCGTCTTCCTCAGAGGCGACTGAGGGCGCATTGGACGGGGGCGGAGTAGGGAGAGGGCTTGTGACGGCTGGGTAGGTCACGCGGTAGTGAAGATATTCGGCATCTTGACGGAGGGAGAGTATGCGACCGCGAAGGGCCATAGACCATACGTCGTCAGCGGACTTGCGCCATCTGCTGCCATGTAAGTACTTGTTGCGACCCGAGTACAAGAGACAACATGAAAGGTACCTGAATGATTGTCCACATCGCAGGGTAGTGCTGATGCATAGTTCGGTAACGCTAATAGGCAGCCTATGCCATTCGGCTGCACGCAAAGCCATCGTCTATGGTAGTACAGTTGTACACGCAAAATCCTATTTGAGCAGGAGTGAATGTATCGCGGCCTGGGTCTGGGCCTCGGTGACAGGGGTAATCGCGCCAAGGACACGCTAAGGCAGCCCCGACTTTCTCTCACACGTTTTCCGCGACGGCAACCGCAATCACCACAGAAGCATCGCGTCCTAGAGTCGGGACAATTGCACGTGGTTGATTCATCGATCGTTTCTTGATCCAGATCTGCTAATTGCAGCTTGTCTCGCCATCTCACCCCCAGCAGCAGCAGCAGAATCTTACGCGGCTGAACTGTACCGCCAGCGCGAGAGCTCCTAGCATCCACAACCGCTCGCCATGAACGGCGATAGCTATTCCAGAGGTAAGCTACTTCTATCAGTACATGTACTGACTAGTGTACAGCTCCCAGAAACAAGACTAACATGAGCAGACGGTGGCCGATCGAGCGGATCGCGGAATTATGTGAGTGCAGACACTCGTCGCGACACCAGTGGGCACATGCTGACCAGACAGTCGTCGAGAGATGACCATCGCGATCGCGGCGACCGTGGCGACCGAGCCGACCGTGGTGGTGACAGGCGCCGACGCCGTTCCCGCTCTCCCCGCCACGGTGGAGGCTCCCGCCGTGACTATGAGGTAGACACGTACTCTTCCAGCCGCGACTACCGTGAGCGCGAACGCGAAGATACATACGCCCGCCGCGAACGCCGCGACGACCGGGGCGAGCGTGGAGGAGAGCGTGGTGGCTGGGGCGATTCCTACTCCCGACGCGACCGACCTCGAGGAGACCGCGACCGCGACGACGACCGTGGCCACCGAAGGGAACGTGGAGACCGCAACGAGAGGGCCGGCGACCGGTTTGGTGGCGACGACCGTAGAGGCGGACGGGGAGGACGCGATGGAGGCTTCGGCGGCGGACGTGATAGGATGCGTCAGCAGAAAGAGGAGTCTCCGCCCTTCAACAAGCCGCGCGAGGCTACACCGGATCTCGAAAGCTTCACCAACATCCAGAAGCGCCAGCGTCGTATGACACAATGGGACATCAAGCCTGCAGGCTACGAGAACATCACGGCCGAGCAAGCTAAGCTGTCGGGCATGTTCCCATTGCCTGGAGCTCCTCGCGCCGCGCCCATGGACCCGTCCAAACTGGCTGCCTTCATCTCGCCCTCTTCCGGAACTGCCACAGCTGCCGCTCTCGCAACGTCAGCCGCCAAGCAGTCGAAGCGTCTCTACGTCCACAACCTGCCCTCGGGCTGCACTTCCCAGGAGATCATGGAGTTCTTCAACAACCAGCTCAATGGGCTCAACGTCGTATCTGGTAACGACCCTTGCCTGTCAGCTCACATTGCTACCAGCAAGGAGTACGCTGCGCTCGAGTTCAGGGCACCCGAAGATGCCACTCTCGCCTTGGCTATGAATGGTATCTCCATGCGCGACGATGGAGGAGCACCTGACAGGTCGGGCCTATCCATCCGCCGCCCCAAGGACTACATCACTCCTACCGCCGACGAGAACGCATACCCGCCCGGTGATGAGGTCTCATCCGTTGTCAAGGACAGTCCCAACAAGCTGAGCATTGTCAACATCCCCACCTATATTGAGGAGGAGCAGATTCGAGAGCTTGTAGAGACCATGGGCAAACTGAAGGCCTTTACTCTGGTCAAGGACACCGGTACTGACCAGCACCGCGTAAGCAGTCTCTCACCCAAACACAACTCATCAACTAACACAGCCTAGGGTATCGCTTTCTGCGAGTACGCGGACAACGGAGTCATCGACGCCGTTATTGAAGGTCTAAACGATATTCCTCTCGGCGATGGCAACCTCAAGGTCTCACGCGCCACTGTCGGACTCCAGCAGACGACTGGTCTCGATGGTGGAGTTGGTGCCATCTCTATGCTGGCAGGAGCTAGCGCTGCCGAGAACCATGAGCACAGCCGTGTCATATGTCTGATGAACATGGTTACCTCGGACGAGCTACTCAATGACGAGGAATACGAAGGTAAGCTTGAACATCGTCTTTGAATTATCGCACGATTCTAACGACATCCAGAAATCAAGGAAGACATCGAAGAGGAGTGCGGCAAGTACGGACCCATCGTTGAGACCAAGATTCCTCGTCCTGCCGGCGCCCGTGTCAACCTCGGTGTTGGCAAGATCTACATCAAGTACAAGGATACAGAGTCTGCGCAAAAGGCTATCAAGGCACTGGCCGGCCGCCAGTTCTCAGGGAGAACGGTTGTTGCGACTGAGTTCTCTGAGGAGGGCTTTGACGTCGATGCCTGGTAGATTCAGGGTTGTTTGAGTTGCGTGTTCGACTTCTTTAGCTTGTGCAGTTGCACGCCATTATTGTTGCGTTCGGGAATACTAAAATCAGAGAGTGAGAATCAGTATTTGTACACTAGTTTGGTTTCAGAGGAAGTTGGCATGCTTATGAGCGAGTTGGCGCTGGCATTTGCTCGTGTATTGAATACTTGGGCTAGAGAGCTGGATATGCTTCATGTAGCTTGCCTAGATATCAGACCGCATTGTTATTATGGTCGATGAACTTGATAGTCGTGTCATTTTTCAACGATTGCAATTCTCAACATTAGTGAGTTAATTAATGTGGACATGTGAAGCTGACGCTGGTGCGAGTGAACGGAGCGTCCCGTGCGTACACACCGTGACATGCATAATGATTATCGGCTAGGAAGCTCACCTCAACATTCAGTTGCCCAGCACTCATTGGTCCACGGAGTCACAAGGACAAGATATACGGATAAAGAACGCTTAGGCGCAACCCGGCTACCGCACAGTGGGGAGCACCATATGAGAATGCGGGATAGGAAGAGCTAAGTCCGTGTAAATCCGCGGGAGCTAAATGGTGACTTTCGTCACTAAACCCGGCACTAGTGTAGATCAGAGAATCGTTCAAAACTGCAGTAAGATTCGTCCGGCTTAGCAGTGGCATTGTCAGATACGAACCCCTGGAGCTGAAAGGAAGGCCTAAAAGTTAGTGGCATCATAGACCCTCCAGACGCATTCTCGGGCTGCGGGACGGAGATATCGAAACCTAAACGCCCGTTGGCCTTTAAAGTGCGCCCGGCCCTTGTCCTAGATGTCCACAGTAATACAAGCACGCTAAAAGCGCAGGAACGCCCTCAAAATCAACAGACTACCACCCTCGTCTACACCACTAACACTCACAAGTACAACTAAGAAATCACCATGGCTGGCATCGGGCGTTTCCTCTATTCCCAACTCTTCGTTACACCACCGACGCCTACCGACGACCAGACTGGCAAGACTGTCATTGTCACAGGCTCCAATGTCGGTCTTGGGAAGGAGGCCGCACGTCACTTCACCCAGCTCAACGCCTCCACAGTGATCCTGGCTGTACGCTCTCTTGAAAAAGGTGAAGCAGCACGCAAGGACATCGAATCGACCACGGGCCGTAACAATGTAGTCAGAGTCATGCAACTCGACATGTCGTCCTATCAATCAGTCCTCGATTTTGCCGAAAAAGCGAGCAAAGAGTTGGAACGAGTGGATATCGCAGTCTTGAACGCCGGCGTAAACCGCGGCGTCTGGGAAGTCTTCGAACAAGACGAATCAACCATCACTGTCAACGTCGTTTCCACATTCTTGTTGGCGTTCGCTCTATTACCCAAGCTCAAGGAGACGGCAAGCAAGTTCAACACCAGACCCACACTTACGATTGTGAGCTCCGAGGTGCACGAATGGACGCCTTTCGATGAGAGAAATGCACCGGATGGCAAACTCTTCGAGAGGTTGAACGAGAAGCTTGTCAATGGCAAAGAAGTCGGACTCGACAATCGGTACCAGGTTAGCAAGCTGATGGAGGTACTGTTCGTCCGCGCATTCTGCGAGCGATACCCAGAGTCAAATATCCCAGTAACGGTGAACTTCGTCAACCCTGGCTTCTGTCACTCGTAAGTCTCCTATCTTCCCCTTCCTCACTGCATCCCATACTCATCTAGCCAATAGTGAATTCGGCCGCGAAGGTCCAGGAATCCTCGCCTTCATGCGCTTCCTGCTCGCACGTAAGACAGAAGTCGGATCAAGAACTCTTGTGCATGCCGGTACTTCAGGTGTTGAGTCCCATGGAAAGTATCTCAGTGACTGCAAGATTACTGAACCAAGCGCCTTCGTTCGGAGTGATGAGGGCAAGAGGAGTCAGGAGAAGGTTTGGAAAGAGCTGATAGAGAAGCTGGAGGGTATCAAATCTGGAATCACCAAGAGCTTTTAGCGAAGTGATATACACTAAGGATTGTAATGAGTTGAGACACACAGTGCACGGAGCGTGGTCGCCTTGAGCTAGATATTCCGCTGTGGTACTAATGGTGTCCAAATGTTTACTTTATTTCACTGCCACCACTTTTGTACTCCCTGACGCAGAGGTACAGTTAACCAAAACTACCGACAATCACACACACACACACACACATACACACACCCTAGCTTTACCTACTGTCAGGTACAGCAATCTACAGATCAATCTCCGTCGCAGGTCTAGCGATGTCAGCACGCCAATGGTGCGCATTTAACGGGTTATTCTGATAAATATTAAGTTCGAAGAACTTGTTGTGGGTTGCACATTTGAAGTTCTTGAACCTATAGTGCTGTTAGCGACGTCATACTTTCAGCTCTCTTCCATGATACTCTTACGTATTCAGCTTCTCGAAGTTCGCATCAACGAGCCACTGCTCAGTCACCTCAACGAAGGCACCATCAGAGCCGGTAATGAAGTATCGTTTGTTATCGAGCGGGCCGTAGTTGGTTTGCCTGACAAGTTGGACTGCGAAGGTGATGTCAGTCGAGGTCGGCGCCGTCTTAGAGGAGACAGCGCTGCTCTCTTTGGGATAGCTGGCCCAAGCCATGAAAATCTGGAACTTGGGTTCGTGGGACAGGATACGGTTCTTATAACCCTGAATACTGGAACAACAAAAGATGGAAGACATGACTAGCAATTGGAGTGATCAGACAAGTTCCAGTGAAGGCTTGTTCGTAGCTGAGGAAAGAGATCTGGAAAGATCGTGTTGCTCTTATGGTCGCCATGACATTCTGACCGGCCAATGGGATGTGAAAATGCACACTTGAGGCCTACAACCGCGACTAGGGCTATCAAACCTTCGGGAGGGGTCTCTTTGACTTCATATTGCATGATCGAGCCGCATTCGATTTGGAGATGTATTTGGATGGAGCGATATGAAACCATGCAGGTTATTTACCGGAGCGTGTGCCATCCAATCAGTGGGCAATTTCGTGCACAAATTCTGTATTTATATTGAAACCAGTACTGTGCTAAACCTAGAGAACGACTTAGGGGTAGAGAATGACTAGGATTCAAATATGTATACAAGCGAAAGCCCTAGGGTTGATTACATTGTCTTCAGGGTGGCAAAGATCAACACAAATATCAAAGCATGATGATCGCGCCAAGCTCGTGTATTGACTCTCAACTAACTACTACTTCAACTGCGTGTGATCTGGGTGCTGAGACTTGATGTGCCGATTCAGATTATCCTTGCGCGGCATACTCTTTGCGCACCACTCGACCGGACACACGAATTGCGACGTATTGACCTCTAGACCGAGATTTCGTCGATGTGCCTTGGTATTTTTGTGGCGTTCTAGGTCTTTCCTAGCATCCTTGCTATCTTGAAAGTATGTGTCACAAGGCTCACATTTGTACGTTTCGTGTTTCCTCAAATGCAGTCTATCGAGGGTTAGCGCTGTGACTATATCACCCCATACTTTACGTACTTCAATCTAGATGGCTGCTGGAATGACTGTGCGCATATCTGGCAAGTATGATCCGGTCTGTGTTCTTGGAGGATAGCAGTAGGCTGAGATTGAAGTGACGCTGACGTTGTTGGTTCGTAGGCATTATGTGGGGCTGGAAAAGAATGTTGTGGCCGTGGGGAGAATAAGATGCAATCAGGTAAAGGAGGGAGTCCATCTGTCTCAAGTGGTGGTTGATGCTCTTCTTCGCTTTGTGCGGATGGGAAAGACTGGTTCGCTGACGGAACACAGGATGGGGTTTCCCGAAGGTCGAGCAAGCGCGGATCAATAAAAAGATGATGTTCGTGTAAATCTTCGTCTCGAAACGTGCTTCCCCTAGATTCGGAGATTGAACGCTACGATAAGAGTGTAGCGGTGGCTCTCCTGTGTTCCGTAGGTACGCTCCAGGCTCCCAGGTGAGGAAGAAAACGAAGAAGAGCGAGACAAGAAGATGAAAGGAAAGACAAAAAGAGTGGACGCTCTGGCGGCCACAAGCCCCACGGTGAAGAAAGAAAAGAGGATGAAAAGACGTCTGGAGGACAACTATATAATATGCTCGAACCAGCTGAGCGCTGATTGGCTGCACGTAAGATTTTGTAGGCCTCACAATTAGCGTATCCTACCTTACCTATAATGAGCTTTCCATGCATGCACCAGTGCACTGACCAGGTCTGATGATCATTGGATGCTCGATTGCACATCTTTCCCTGGTACGACAGTTTTTGTCGACAAGGGTCGCTCAGTCAGAGCGCGTCAGGTTCAACATGGGTAACAAGCATCAAAATGTGGGAAAGGTGATCAGGAATGAAAAAAATCTATTTGTTCTATAGTACAAAAACTACATCTACTGGGTATCGTCTAATTCATTCATAAACTCCTAGTTCTTGAGCACGTAACGGTACCTGGGAAGGCCCTTCTCAAAGTCGACAATGACATCGTTGGCCTCCGACATGGGCCTGACCTGGACCCAAGCCTTCAGGTTGGTCTTCTTGGCCAATTCCAACATGTCGCGGATGTGTTGCCTGGTACCGATCAAGCTACCAGCAATCTTCAAGTTCTTGAAGATGAGGCCCATGGGGGAGAAAGAGGGCAATGGGTCGTCAGGAGCACCGAGCTGGACGAAAGTACCGTTGACGTCGAGGAGGTTGAGGTACTGGTCGAGAGGGAATCCACCAGAGATGGTGGAGATGATGATGTCGAGGCCGGCGGCGTTCTTGTTCATCCATTCGGGGTCCTCGCCAGTAGCGATGAACTTGTCAGCACCGAGCTCCATAGCATCGGCCTTCTTGCTTGAGGAACGGGAGATGGCAACGACCTCGTCACATCCGAGAGCCTTCGCGAAGAGAAGGGCGAAGTGACCGAGACCACCAATGCCGACGACACCGACGCGCTTTCCTGGGCCGGCACCGTATGAGACAAGAGGGTTGTAGACGGTAACACCACCGCACATGAGGGGAGCGGCGAACTCTGAAGGCAGACCCTCTGGGATAGGGATGGCGAAAGAAGCAGGTCCACGCCAGTTCTTTGCGTAACCACCCATAGCCTTGTCGCCAGACTTGTACTTGGCGTTGTAGGTCATGACGAAGTTGTTGCAGTTGCTCTCCTGCTTGGTCTTGCAGGGCCTGCAGCTCTCGCAGCAGTCGCTCTGAGCACCAACACCGACGCGGTCACCGACCTTGAGGTCCTTGACATCGTCTCCTACACGGGTGATCTTGCCGATGATCTCGTGACCGACGACGAGAGGGTAGTCTGAGGGGCCCCAACCGGAGCGGAGGGTGTGAATGTCAGAGCCGCAGACACCGCAGTGACTGATCTCCATCTCGATGTCGGTAGACTCGAAGTTCTTGGGGGTGTAGTCACCCCATTGCATGTTTCCATCAGCGGCGGAGGGGTCGTGAGCGACCCATCCCTTGAAGTCTGGTGAGGAAGACATGTTTGTTTGGTGCGGGTATTGAGTAGAGGGAGGCGACTGGATTGATGTGGTGAGGAGGTAGGATTGTTTGATGAGATGCAAGTATCCTAATTACCCTACTGCAGTCTTATACTTCTACACCTTTTCTAGAAGTTTTCTAGCATTTGTAATACATCAAGAGACGGTATGAGGTTGCCGTATCACTATCCTAGTGTTTTGCTCTTTCGCCGATCTACGCCGTTGGCATCGGACCCACCTTGACGACGTTTTTGAGCCTCAAGCGGTGCGTGCACTACATATCCGTTAAACCCGCCTTCACCGGTCCGATAAGGGTATGGGTCTGAGGCGACAAGACTGCAAAACTTTCGGACAAGGCTCGCGGTGAAGACGTCAATCTGGGGCGAGTCCTAGAACGTGTATCATCGATCTGCCGCGACACGTGGAAACCTCAACAAGGAAGGCGTTTGCGCGACGCTAATCTAGTTCCCGTTGACGTGTCGGGAATTAGAATCGATTCGAATCTTTCCAGGCTTCTAGGCCAAATCTCGTTGTTATGACAACATCTCTCATTCTCCTGAGACGAAGTCCTTTGCGGCGACCTGCATGCTGGATGCAAGCCCACTCTTCGGCATGCACTCTCCTCATGCCCTCGACTCTAGCTTCTGGTGTTCAGAATTCTCAATAATAGCCAACGGCGTCTTGCAGACCAACATATGATCGGAGATTACATCATAAGAAGTTAGCATATCGACAGCAACTAAAAGAGCCGGTGGATATGAGAAAGACAGGGTATCAGTCTTCCGATCAGCGTGGGGGAATCTCCTGATGTATCATCTGAGCTTCTCCTTCACCCACTCAAGGCTTTTCTTGACCACATATATCGCTTCTTCGTACTCTTCCCACCGAAGACTAACCTCAGTCCTTCTTTCTTCGAGCGGTTCACTTCCTGGCAATGAAAGCCTCGCATCGTAGGATCGCGTGCCATCGTCCAGTATAACTTTGATGATATGTTCCGCTTCAACATGTTTGCAAAGAGTACTCCACGTCGGTTTCGTAACGTTCTTCAATAACAGTATGGGTTTGTTATCTTTGTATTGACAGATAATTGGCAGCTTGATGAAGAATCGTGGGGTGCGGGATTTCATTTCCAGGGGTAGTACACGTTGGCCGAAACTGTATGTGGAGCCATACAACGCCTCGTTCAGGGCATCGAGCGCACTTGTTCTCATGGATACTGTCAGATTATGCAGAGACATGGTAGAACAGCTAGCTTGTCTCTGTGTATAAGAAGAGACTGCAGATATTCGCAGGTTTTCAGGAATAACCTTAAATACTGAGCGTGTTACTTACGCGTGAGCATGTCTGGTAATGCGCAGATGTCACCACTACTTATGTGACGAATGTCCTCCTAGTCAACTACATTCAGTACGCAATCAAACTTTCTCGAATTGCTGGCATCATCAAAGCCATTGACTTTTACAGCGTAACGTCGATCTATAGAAGCATAGTCGCATGTCAATTGAAGGTGGCGCTGCGTGTGGAGAGCAAGACAATCGTGCGAGCGGCGAACTGAAGACTTCAATCGAAGCCATAGACGAGTGATGGCCCTATGACGAGGTTTGATAGAAAGGCCGATAGATCACCATTCGTGATCTGTCAAGGATGTGAAGATTCGGGGCAAAGAGGCCGAGGCAGAGATGACGTTTAGTGTCTTGGCATGCGTCACAGCCCAAACATACCATTGCAGAAGATTCTCCGACTCCAAATATACGCTCTAATATAGGCCTTTGAGTTTCTAGTCCGAAGCAATCTTGAGACTGAAGAAGGCATAATTAAAGGGACAGCATTATTGGTCTTTTTGTTATTTTACCAAAACCCTATTGTGTTTTGAGATATGTTTGCTAGATCGCTGTCGTGCTAACACACGCGTGAGTTTTCCATTCTTCAAAATCGGCCGCCTCTCTCCGAACACAGGTGTGAACATCCATCAACAGCCACTTGGCAGCAAAGTCACGATAGTCGCATCCAGGAGCAAATTTTCTTCCCCACGTGTGGAGCCTATCGTCTGCGGCCATCGTTGCATCATCCACGGCATAATGCCTAAGGGCTTCCGGTTAGAGAAGGGGGTTCCTTTGCTTTCACCTTTTGTGCATACTTTTCAAATCTGACCTCAAATTCAGCGATCGCGGATGAGGTCAGGATGGCCTTCTGATTGGCCCAACAAAGCAAGTATCACTTCTCGCTTAAAAGGGACATCGTAGGGCATACAGAATACATTCGAAGCGTCGCGAATCATCTCAAAAGATCACACGCTGTAGATCCTACGATGGATGACTTTGCAGTTCGCACACAGCAGGGAACACTACCTACCACCAACGCATGGAGTCAAATCATATGCATCGCGAAAGTGAAGCCTCTTATCTCATTACAGATCGAAAGCCATTTCGCTGCTGATCTAATCCCAGCTAAGTTTCGGAGCTGCTGATCGAACATGTGACTAGAAGATTGTGTGGTACGATGCAATGAAGGTTGCGGGCGGCTCGATCCAAGTCAGCCGCTACGATGGCGCTACCCGTAACGCTAAAGTTGGGGTAAATCTGGGGAAGCGCCATGGCGTTGCGGATGGTGGCCGGTTGGGCTCTGATGGTTGGCTGCCAGTCGCTTAGACGAAGACGCGGGAAAGGTTCGCGTAAGTGGCGGGATCTAGAGTGGTGGCTACCGAAAATCCTCCCGTTAGAGGGACTTCAAAGTGGACTGAAGGTTTAGTGTGAGGGCACGAGGAAGGAAAGCAATTGTGAAAATAGATGAAGTGATAAAGATCATAATTCATAGACGATGGATATATACAATACAGCGCTATCATGCGAAACTCAAGCCCGCCAGTTGCGTATTTACAAGGGTAGTAGCGACTCTCTCATTACTCTTCGTGAACACAATGTGTCTAGCAAAATAGACGCTTAAACGACCTGCTTCTCAGGGTACTCGTTGTAGGTGGCGCTCCTCTTGCGAGAAGCATCAGCCTCGATCTCGGTAAGGCTGGCGCGGCGGTTGTCGGCGTGCATGTCCTGGACATCTTGGAATGAGATGGAAGGGACGAAGCCGGGAGACTTCCAGGCCTGCGAGCACTTGCCGTAGAGCTCGTCGACCTGCTCGAGAGAGAGTCCCTTGGTCTCGTAGATCATGGCCCAGACGAAGAAGATGCAAACGAAGCAGCATCCACCCCAGACGAAGAAGACCTTGGCACCCATGTTGGCGTTACCAGGGCCGTCGTTGACCATGTATGGGGTAGCGTATCCGATGGCAAAGTTGAGCAGCCAGTTTGATGCAGTAGTCATAGAAAGGGACTTGGCTCGGACCTTGAGAGGGAAGATCTCACCAGTGACGACCCAGGCGACGGGTCCCCATGAGCAGGCGAAGAAGAAGATGTAGATGCAGACGAATGCGATCAAAGCCTTCTGGGCAGATTGGTTCTCGACGCCAGCGACGGTACCGGTGATGGCAACGATGAACTGGCAGACAGCCATACCAATAGCACCGAAAAGGAGAAGGTTGCGGCGGCCCCACTTCTCGACGAGATAAAGACCAGGGAAGGTGGAGGCGACGTTAACACAGGAAGTGATCATGGTGACGACGAAGGGGTTGTTGATTCCGGAATTCTGGAAGAAAGACGTTCCGTAGTAGAAGATGAAGTTGACACCGGTGAGTTGCTGAAGGGATTGAAGAGCGCAACCAGTGAAAAGACGCTTTCCCAGGTTACCGCGGAAGCAGTCGAGGTAGGTGGCCTTGCCAAGAGACATCTCGTACTCGTGGTTGGCAGTGATCTCAGCCAACTCCTCAACGAGAGCGGGGTCCTCAACATTAAGTCGGCGAAGAGTGGAAAGAGACTTGGCAGCCTTCTCTGGGCGGCCCTGCTTGATGAACCAGCGAGGAGTCTCAGGAAGCCAGATGCAGCCGACGAAGAGAACGATGGCCCAGGCGAATTGAACAGCGATTGGGATACGGTACGAGCCGGTATCATCCCTATCCTTGGTGGAGTTGTTGACGATAGCAGCAAGCAAGAGACCGATGGTAATAGCTAGTTGGTAGCAGCCGACAATGGTACCACGAATCCACTTGGGGGCAGTCTCGGATTGATAGAGGGGGATAGTGGCACTGATCATACCGACGCCATAGCCAGCGAAGAAACGTCCAGCAACGAACATGGGGATAGCGGTAGCAATGGTCTGGAGGATAACACCGACACAAAAGACGATGTTGCTGACAACGAGACCCAGGCGGCGACCAAGGAAATCGGCGGTAGGCGCGGCAGTAAGAGCACCGAAGAAGGTACCAGCAGATAGGATAGAGACGATCAAAGAGGTTTGCTCGGCGGTGACATCGGGAAGGCCGTCGGTGCGATTCTTAAAGCCAGTGCTGAAAAGTTCTCGCCAATGCTGCATTCCGAGAATACCACCAATGGTACCGGTATCATATCTGTGAAAGTCAGTATAGTCCTTTGAGAAAAGGTAAGACTTGCATACCCGAATAAAACACCACCAAAGGCAACAAAGAGGCCGACCAAGATGGCTGGCGCGGTCGAGCCAGCTACGCCCTGAGGCTTCTGCAACATCAGACCCATGATAGGCGACTGTCTGGGAATGTAGTAGTGATGGAGAGGGAAGACTCGAGTCCAGAGAGAGGTAGTTGAGTACTCGGGTGAGGATGTCTATTACTTCCCAGTGGGCTGGCCATGTTTAAGTAGATTTGGGGAAATGTTCCCACGAGCCTGGGGATCTCCACGGGCAGCCCCCTAGTCTGGAGACTGGAACCATGGAGTGAGCGCGCTAGTCCCGCGGCTGGCTAGCAAGCTAATGAGAATAGGTCCGAAGGTGCTGGGGTAGTTTAGTAGGTGGTCTTAGCCAGGATAGTGTTGGAGCTAGAGCAGACGAGATGGGGATCACTCGTACGTCGCTGGCCTGTGATTGCGAAAGCGTTCAAATCATTGTGAGCCAATTTTGGGTAGATTTGGAAACGAGGAAGCCGAGGTCTTGCTAGCGCAACGTGATTCAGCGGTTCCATGTTCGTGTTGCTGGAACACGATGGCAGGTATCGTTCGGTTCTCAAGAAGTACATGGCAGACACAGTCGGTTCTCTGACGCGCACGCTCAACAGCGAGATGGCAGTCGCGTGCTGGTACAAAGATGTGGCGTGTGAGCAACTTGCTGATAGGGTACTAGGTCGGTAGCGCCGTATTTAGCAGACGTGACCTGTCAAGTCGGGTTCGTGTATGCCGTGAACCACTGACCTCATACTGGGGATAATGCATTGATGTGCAAGCAGCCATCGTTCATCGCTGCTGCTTGATAGACATGACTGCGGAGTGGTGTGTAGGACGATGATCTTGGCTTGGTGTTTGTCTCCTCTTAATCGTCAGACGATTACAACGCACCGCTCGTTAACGAGCGTCCGCAGTATGTGACTGGCCGTTGCGATCACCGACGGGCTCCCCAAGTTCAGACAAGCTGTTTCGTACGCGATAGCTATGCAGAAGGCATCGAGCTGCATGCAGTATAGTCGTAGAAGGATTCTGGAATATTGCTGCTCCGGTGCTCGGTACTGCTAACCTTGGCCCAAGAGCTGGTAGCAGCTGGTAGTCCGTGAGGAACGGAGTGCAAATCGGAGAGGTGGGGGAGGAGTAGCGTGGCAGGATTTTGCTTCTGGGCCGCGCCAAAGTCGCGAAGGAACAAGAGGGCAAATGGGGTACATTAGTTCCCATAGCACTGCGTGAGGCTCAACAAGCATGCTTGACTACGGTAGCGTGGTCTCGGCCAACCAGGTGGGCCGGTCACAGTAGCCTCGAACCATGCACCCAGCGCTTGGTCGAACTATCGGGAGGATTTTCTTGAACTAACTAGTGTAAGACTGGTAATACGGTGATGATTAGTTGCGCAATGTGTCTGGAGGCGAAAATTTCGTACTCTGTATGCACGGAGTCTGTCAGCCTCTCCGCTCAACAATCGGGGTCCATTCAATACCTTGATCTTCCAAGGTTGGAACGGGACATAGCTGGCTATGTGGTCCGTTAAGGGAGCTCAAGGCCGCCCCGAGAGAATCGATAATGTCGGAGTCGCCTCCACTACGCATGGGGCGCGTCACACCATGGTGCTTCCCCGTGGAGCAGGAGTTTTATGGGGATCACGAGACACAAATCACGGCTGTCTCGTGACATGCATATCTGTGATGATGGGGAGTTTGCAGGCATGACGAGTTTCATCCAAAGTCGCAGCTTATGTCAAGCTCCCGAGATCGCTGTTCAAGCTCGAAAGCCAAGACGGCTTGGCGAAGTTACGGTGTCGCCGTGTCAGGGACGAATGCTTTGCCCGACAATATCGGGTCGGAGTGTCTGACTCGCGAGCCGTTAGTACATGGCTGTGTATAGACATGCTCACACTCGGCCGCAGTGTATTCAGTCGGTCTGGCCACATTTCCTCAACCAAGAAACATAACTCTGTAGGCCTCTGGGCATCTACACATGCCCATGAGAGACATGACGACAATGCCTGGGGTTCGTTGGTGCCATTGTGTTCAATGCGGAGGATCGACGCAATCCACAATCCGGACAGCCGTTGAAGTCACGAGCGACACGGCATCAGCTGAAAGGCATTGCGCACGCAGTACCAAAGGTACCACGGAAGCACTGCTCGCCTGTGGTGTAGACGGCGAGCCCTATCCCCATGCGCAGGTTCAAGGCGCGCACTTTCTAGGATGCGACCACAGTTTTTCTTCGCCAATTGGCAGAAAGATTGATGACCTAAGAAGCCATGTCGTTCAGTCCCGTATCTTGATGAGATGTTCCTGAAGCACTGGATCGGCGTACCTGCAATGTTGTTGGAAGGAGGTTTGCTCGACGAACAGTAAGTGGTCGTGGCTCACTGAAGAGCAAGTTTTAACACCAGAAACCGATATTTGCTCCATATGAAGCAAGCACGGCAATGATGCGACAAACAAGAGATATGGACAGTAGGTTGCGGATATGAGCTCAATGTCAATAGAGGCAAGTCGTACCTTGCTCGCCAACCAACCAATGGCAGCGCATGTCAACGCGTCGTTGCTTCCCCACCAAAACGCGTCTTTCACCCACCTTCACCGCCCCTCCAAGCAACCTCACATCCACCTCCCGAAAAATGTCAGAAACCCCCGTCCCAATCCACGAGCCGCCATCTCTACCCTCATCTCCCCTCCCAAAGCGAACCAAGGTCATTGATCCCACACCTCTCTCCCACACCTCCACCCTACCAAGAGGAACAGACTCGGGCGCTGCAACACCGACACCCTTGGCAGCTACACACCTCCCAAGCCACGACAACATGGCAGCACTACAGCCTCCAGCGTCCATTGCCGCATCATCGTCAGCAGCAGCAGAACAACAATTGCAAGTCCAATTGCTGAGCCCAAACGCCAAGGCGCCGACAAAGGGAAGTGCTTTTGCTGCTGGACATGATCTGTATAGTGCAGAGGACACTATGATCCCTGCACGGGGAAGGGCTTTGGTAAAGACGGATATCAAGATCTCGGTGCCAGACGGGACGTGTACGTATCCCTCTTCTGGACTTGCCCAGTCCAGCTATTCTTTTATAAATTGGATGCATGAGACTGACGAATTTCGGATATAGACGGAAGAGTAGCACCTCGCTCCGGCCTGGCTTTCAAACACGGCATCGATACAATGGCCGGCGTAATTGACGCAGACTACCGCGGCCCCGTTGGTGTCATCCTCGCCAATCTGTCGGAAACAGACTTCCTCGTCAAGATCGGTGACCGAATCGCCCAGCTTATAGTGGAACGGGTTGTCATGCCCAATGTCGTCGTGGTCGAGGAACTAGAAGACACAGTGAGGGGTGCTGGTGGTTTCGGCAGCACAGGGGGCTTCGGTGCGGCTGCGAAAGTAGCAGCGGCAGATAGTACCAAGGCTTAGGTGGCTGCATACGTGGTAGTTTGTAGGCTGGCTAAAACATGTTACGACGTGCTGGGTATGGTAATGGCCCCCGGTTGCTTGCTAGTGGAGCACCTGCTGGCTTATTCGAATGAGCCGAGTACCGTTGGTGACGGAAGACAACACCTCGATGAGCTCGCAGGCACTATGCGAGGTCAATTGGCCAAGCCGAGGCCAAATTTGTACTTCAGGACATGCTGGTGGGTGCGGCTGCGCTACTAGTGCGAACGAGCCACTGTGCAGGTGCTGGCGAGCAGATGAATGTTTTGTTGTCCGGCTTGGATTCAATCTTTCGCTGATCATCGTATCAACGAGCGGTCGATGGTTCGGCCATTGAAGCTTGACGCGTAAGGTCTATACAACCAAATATCATGAATCCCCAGCATCCTTCTTCTCACCCTCTCTGATAACTTTACCCTGCGTCCCCTCTTGTAGCACCTGCATCGCACCACCATCCTTGGTCCCAACACCCAGATGTAGCCCACTCAATTCATCAGGCTTCCTCTTGCCAACATCCCTAGGTACACTTTCGCCCTCATGCACTGCTCGAGGTCTGAACCTTTCAAGGTCCGGCGGATCCAACATCTCCTTCACGTACCGCGGAACCGTGACTTCACTAGCATTCATGAGCGCCAAATGACGCTTCTTGCTAACTTCCTCGTCCGCCTCGTCGCCTTCACCACGGCCTCCTTTCGCGGCGCGAGCATCGTATGCAGCCATCTTGTCCTGACAGGCGGATGTTGTGCGGGTGAGTATGGCTTGCATGGACGCGAGAACCTTCTGACACGCTTTCGCCAAGGGAAGTTCCTCGGCTGGCACATCATCAGGTGACCGCCAGCTTGGTTTCGCATGTAGATTCAACTCTGGCGTAGAAGCAGCGTGTACGGCTTCGATGAGACGGGGGATTGTCAGCGCGGCGAACATGTCTCCTGTTCCTGAGAAGAAGAGAGGGAGTTGTGGCGTGTCGATGCGGAAGAGACGTGGTTTGTAGTCTGAGGTTGCAGTCGAGCCGATGATTGTGAGGTTTTCGATATCGTTCAGGTCGATCTGCGGTGCTTGGGATTGTGAGGTTGACTGAGATGTTGCTGCATTGGGTTGCTGCGGATCGGAGGGGGTATGTGTGCCGGTGCCGGCCTTTGATACTGGTCTCGAGGGTATGGTCTGGTTGTCGCGTGTCAAGCGCAAGGATGTGATAATTACGTGTGGAACCTGGTAGGTCTTGTGGAGGACTTGGATTGCAGCGGCGAGAGACTTAAGGTCGGTGATGGGGGTATCAGATAGTAGTCTGTGTTCAGTCAGCAACTATCGCGCTTTGTTTGGCAGGTTTTTGAGTGTACTCACTCGGCCTCGAACTGGTTTGGCAGTATGAGATCTGCCTCACGCAACAGTCCCTTGTACTCTGGCACTTCATCCTCTGGAATATACAGCTTGCCGTTGTCACCCATGACCGGATCGAGCACTGTCTTCGTTAGATTTGCACAGTACAATCTAGTGCAGCCACACACCCCAGAAGAAGCTACCAGGCTTCGTGCCAGCATTGAACTTGATATCTCTGCCAATCGTCCCTATGGCTTGTACGGCCTCGGCGCTGGGCATGTATCCCGTCAGGAGTACGTCAAAGTTGGTCAGGTTCGATTGGCGTAATCCTTCGTAGAGGTCGAGGATCTCGGGTGCGGAGGTTTTTGTGCCTTTAATCTGCTTGTATGCGGTGTGGTTGCTGTAGTGCACAGTGTTGATTGCAGAGACGTCGCAACCTAGCGATTGCATGACAAAAGTGGCCATTTTGTTCCCGACATAGCTCAGCTCAATGTCAGTGTGCTGCATGTATCACGGCGGCACGCGACTCACCCATGGACTACCTGTCGCATGTCAGTTACAGGCCTCATATTCCGCTTGTGAGTCTTACATGACTGGCGATGGCGAGCACGCGCGTATCCGGTATCAGCGTGTCGGAAGCCATATCTGCACGAAAGAGAGGAATAATCAGGCGACGGAGGTGGAACACAGGTACAAAAGTGCAGGCGGGGTATGTTGTTGATTTACTATGTTGATCTTCTTATCTGAAATTCCACGCGGTATGACGTGAAGCCGTTGGTGGGGCAGTAACTTTCCTTTTGTGCCTAGGGCGCGGAACACACCACGCGGGACCGCGTGCTCGCCAATGTCGCACGCCAGAACCATGAACCTAACAGACGCTCGATGCATATCAAAGCCATTGCGCCGCAAATCCCCCCACATCTATCCAGAAAACATGCCGCTCGTGTGTTAATAAAATCATGATGCGTTTACTCTTCGTCGCCAATCTACTCAAATTAGCAACGTTACTGTGCAGTATGAATTGGGTCCTTACCTTGGGTGCGAGGTAGAACCTCAGGTAGCTGTTGTCTTGGAGAGCGTACTCGACAAGCAGAGGCACCTCGCTGGAAAGGCAAAGCTTGACTGAATCTGACAGACCACTGGCCTTGCAGAAGTTGGTCAGGTATTTCAGCGAGAAGGTGAGCGACACGGGCTCGTTCATGTCAATCAAGACCGCCTCGGACTCCTTGTCGACACTAGGATCTTGCTTGAGGATGACGGATCCCGAACCAATGTCACCAGAGCATGCAAACTTGACACCCTCCTTGGTGCATTCGATCGAAACTAGATAGACATTAGTTCGTGCTTCAATGTTCGGCCGCGCCGTCCCATGTTTCAAAAGACGTACCCGACTCTGACAATGCACTCAAATCTCTGCAGATGCGCTGGAACTCAGCAGCAGGCAGCGTGATTGTGGCTGCGTAGTCCGTCTCGGGAATACCCAGATGCTCCTGGTCGATGTCCATGAGCTTAATGTCATATTCGCTGATTCTAGCTGCGCTCTTGGTCTCGAAGACCAGATTGACAACATCTGGCGCATCCTCCGCCTTGATGGTGAGGATGTCGTCGCTTCCAGCAGCACGCAGCACCTTTGTGAGAGATCCGAGGTTGATACCGAGCGCGATGTTGCGGTCGCAGCGGAAGGGAGAGAAAGCTTCGGACTTGAGCATCATGGAAACGAGAGCGACGTGCGAGTTGTCCATGGCTTGGAGCGCGATACCAGAGTCATTGCAGTCGAAGTTGCAGTCCTGTACGAGGTCCTTGATGGCATCGACGACCTGCTCAGTGTTAGAATGGCTTATGTTAAGCTTTGTTGCGTGAATGTACATACCTTCTTCAGGACGTTGGCCTGGTTTAAGCGTGCCTCAAGCACTGCAGACTATTAGCTTCGCTCGCTACATGCAGCGTAAAACACATACTGTTGGATGTGAAGTGAGATTAAGAGGGTACGGTAACGCTGAAGGGGGTATACAAAGCGTGGTTGTGCAGGAGACAATTGCGGTGGAGGCAACAATCAATGGAGGGGAACGCGAAAGTGGTTGGCAAACGCGTCGGCCACGCGCTAAATCAGCACAGGGCATAAAGTGTCGCCAAGACCTTACATTATGCGCCTGAGTGGTTGTGGATGTAGTAGGAGATATCATGGCTTTAGGAATACACAGTACCTCGCTCATGACAATAAAAGCTGGCACATCTTTCGTTGAAACTGTGACATGGCAGTATGGTCTGCGACCCACCATTATGTTTGCAACAATCAGAGAGAAGCACGATCATAGCAAATCCAGAATTTGCGAAACGTATGTCGGAATTTGATGTACTGAAATGGGTATCATGATGGGACGATGCAAGCACAACTCATCCGTACCTTAAACCACCTGTCGCTCATTCCAGCACTGCTCGCCTCTGTTATGGATGGCAATAACTTCCCACTTCCTGGCTTGCAGTAGTGCGTTTCTTCCCTGGTGATATTGGGCATCTCAAAGCTCCATCATTCGTGCCTTTGTCCGATTTTAGTGAGCTCTGAAGGCTAACGCCTCCCCTAGTCCACCAACACGACCGCATCCGTGGTTATCATATGTCCGCATTCCAAGTGTCCGCTCATCTTGCACTCTACAGCTCTACAGCCTCACGCCCTGACCAAGCCATAGAATAACGTCCAGGTAAGCACGAATCCACTCAAGCCCCCAAACACATCGCCGAGCCACAAGTCACCTAGTGGCCGGTAGAAGTATGCGCCAGGCTTTCCATCTGTCTTGAGCGCAAAGAGCAGCACTGACACCACTAGCGAACCTAGCAGATAGAATATGAAGCCTGCGTACGACTCGAGGCCCAGTGTGCCGGCGGCGACACCGAACAGCGATGCGGTAAGGCTGCGGATGTTGGAGACGACCTACAGCAAGTACGAGTCAGTGGATGAGAACGACGATGGGTAGGTGACTTTGACATTCCACGAATAATCTGGTGTGGCTTGGTGGTAGGCGTACCTGGGTGTTGTGCTGAACGCTGCTTGCGACGATTGGGTCGATGGCGAGTTGTCGCTCTTGGTCCAAGGCTGATGCCGCCATTGTGTATGTAGTATCGCGTTGAGCGCCTGCAACGTCAAAGTCTTGCTAGATATTACGGAGGTAATCGGTCAAGAGCCGGGTGTTTGATTCGGCCGTATGGTTGCTGCTCCGGTTGGGCGAGTCAACGGAGGTTCGGATACGACGTCGCGCGAATATGCAGATATCAGGAATCTTTTCGATAGATACGGGATGTTCGGAAAGGCTCCAAGACGTGCGATGACGCTATGTTGGCTGCTCGTGATACCTCTGGACGTGGTGGAGGTGTTCGGTGCACGGAAGTGGAGAATGGCCCGTGCGTGGACCCTTGACAGCATCACGCCTCGGAGCACCTGCCAACACCTTCAACACGTGTGGTAGAGCGACTGAGAAGATTCATTGTTGCGTATCCTATTTGCCTGGAAATTCCTCCTAATCATAATCACACATCGTCATAGAGAGGACCGTATCCCTCCAGGTACCTTGACATGTCAGCTTAACGCATTGTTTAGTAATGTGAGCCAAGTACTTACTGTTCCAGATGGGGGGATAGAAAGTAATTCGGGGTCTCTCTTGCAGCTCGTAGATAAGCAATTGCTTGCTGAAAATACCGACCGTTGGCCATGACCGAGGTGATGTTTCCAAGACTCATAAACGCCTCGGCAGCCTGTACAAGGTTAACGAGACAAGATATTGGCCGAAACTTTACTCACCATAGACAGAAGATGGCCGGTGACGACGCCCTGTTCTGTTGCTACGTATACTGCGCGCTGGAGATAGTCGGTAGCTGGTAACAACAATCCCCGGGCTTCGATATAGACTGCTTGGTGTAGTCGCTGTTCGGCTTCAACCAAGCCCCTTGTCGTTGAGCTCAGGAGTCTAAAATTGCTTGTATCGCTGCTAAAAGAATTTCTCTCTGTCCGCGCAATACTTGACAAAGCTTTTTGCGCTCGCAGCAACCAGTTTCGACCAATTACTGTGACAATCAGCGGTGATGGCTATAGCGTCGGAGGAACTTACAAGTTAGAATGTCAACGTTTTCTGGATATATCTGCAGCAAGGTCACTAGCTGACGCAGACACCAGTCCCCTAAGTCTTGAACAGCACCATTATCAGCATCGGCAAAGGCCACACGCTGAAAGACGCTGATAAGCGGCAACTGCCATTTTCTGCGTTCTTCATCCGGAACCGCATCAACTATTTCGAAAGAGGCGGTTGTGTTGCGGATTGCTGGCAGTTGGTCCCGCCAGGAGGCAGGAGATGTATCGAGATTGGCGTTTATGAGTTCGACAGTTTCCATCAACCTTTGTATCATACTGTCATCCATGTCGGCAAGAAGAAATAGGTGTAAAGACCAGAGAATAAAAAGCAATAGGCGTATGCTCTATGTAATCGTGACAAACACAATATATGAGGCAACCGTCGAACCAGCATGTACATAGACATGGTCTGCTAGACGGGCCTGCTTGGAAAGCTGCGGCTCATCCTGGTGGCTGTACCCGGCACAGGCAAAGCATTCTTGCTTAGTGCCCGGATACACTGGAGGTTAAAACGTGACTGACGGAATGTCATGAGCAGATCTTGTGTGAGCTATCGGAATAGCCCAGGCTCATCCACGTAAACGGACGTAGCTAGATGCGCGTCTGCGGGTTGCGCCAAAGCAGTACCATTCCGTAACGACCCCCATGCTCATGGCTATAGCAGCTAAACCCGAGCAAATGAGAAGTGGTGGCAAGGAGGCGAAAGACTGTGGAATCTTCTTGTAGACACAAGATATTTGCTCCGTTGCCTGCGGTCCAGTTCCGCGCCGGGACATTGAAGTCGTTCTTGTCAAGATGTTTTACAAGGTTGCCATGTCGTGCTTTGTAAGCTTGGAGCTTCAAGCCTGAAGCTCTCACGTCCCGATTAGCTCAGCACGGAGAATTGCGATGGAACTACGAAGTTGCTTTTGCGGGATCTGCAAGCTGCCCACGTTGCAGATGCAATGCTGCAGGTACGTCATCGGCATTGTTATCGATTACAATGGAGCGAGCTGATACTTGACGGTGTATACGACAAAAGAGCCTCTTCGCATTATTGCGGACGTGTTGAAAGCCGAGCATGTTTAATCAGCCGAACAGCGAGTAATCCACTAGTATCGTTTAGACGGGTCGGAAGTGCGATGGGGAACATTGGTCCGTTCAACGTCTAGGATGGCATGGGTTCAGAGAATATGTGAGGCTATGCGACTGACTCGCCGCTGTTCCGCAGGCTCAAGAGGGGGGCACGCTCTCAGCTAGCTGTATGTTCAGTTCACAGGAGCGGTCAAGATAGTCGTCGGTCTACCCGGTCGTACAGCTTCGAGGTGACATGACAGCCACCAACAATTGCGCCTCGAGGTTACGCGCGCGTATGCAAGGAACAAGGGGTAACATGTTTGAGGGGGGTGCTGCCAGTGCGTAAACGAGCGAACGTTCCCCATGAATGTTTCATGCCAATCACAGACTACTGGCTCATTTCCCGGACCCCGACCTTAGTACTACTACTAGTCGACTACTCGAACCACTCCATGTGTCTCCAACGCTCCCTCCTGCTTCCGCCAATAACAACAATAACAACAACAAACCTCATCGTTGCTTGACAGTTCCCACCATTGGGCCCCACGCCGACCACGCGCCCGCCGCCCCTGCAGCTGCCATCCCCGCCATCTCCATATCACGGGCACCTTCCGTCTCTGGATTAGAGCACCCGCAACTATCACAAGCGATCGAGCGGGAATCGACGACGACAACCAAAATCGCACCATGCGGCGGTAGCGACATGGAGAACATGATATCCGACGACTCGCCTCTTGCGCAGTTGCTTCAAGGTGGGAGACCCCGGCACTATGACGATGCGCTACGCCATGGATATTAACCGTCGTGTCTAGGAGAAGGTACTGGATCACCCGACACCTCCCCGTCCACCACCTTTCCGCAGAGCTTTGCACCCCGCGGGCCTTCAACGCTGCAATCGAGGATAAGAGACAAGCTCCCACAGCCGCTACGAATACACGCCCGCCATGGCTCCATCGCTCGCATACACACGGCATGTTCGGTACGACTGCGACCTCTCCCCCAGTACCATGATGGATGGTTATTAACATGGTGCAGAAAGCCGTCAATTCCCGCATCGGACGCGCCGACAACGAACGCTTCCTCGAGCAGTTCCGCTACCTCATCGTCGCTTCCCAGCTGCTCGGGGAACAGGGAGGCCTGCGCGCATCCGCCATTCCCAGCTTCGCGACGGACGGACGCCTCGCCTCTCACGAATTCAAGGTCGCCAGGATAAGCCCCATCGGCGCCGCCGTCACGGGTACAACTGCCTTCGCACTGGCATGGCTGGTGCACTGGTCGCGACGCCAGCCTGTCTTTAGCAAGAGCAGAACCCTGCTGGTGGTTCTGGTATTCGCTGCTGTCGCTACAGCCGGTTATACCTACATGCGACGACAGTGGCTGCAATACCTAAGACAAGAGGCAGTAAAGGGCGCGTCTGATTTGGTTGCAAACCTGCAAGCGTTCGAAGCCTCAACGTCATCTGCGCTCGCATTAATCCAAGAAGTGGAACTCGTTTCACGTGGCTATCGCTTGTAGGTCATCTTCCGTCTAAATTCCGTGCTACACGTACTAACACCGCGCAGGAGCAGCCCCTTGCCTCCCATATCACGTATCGAAGAGAAGGGACAGGTTCGCCGTTGTCAGAGACTACGAAAGAACCTCCGAGCTGCATACGCCGACGTCGTCCCCATCCTTGCCGAACAATGCCGTAACCTGAGCCAGCTAATTCAAGAGGACGACTTGGAAAAGTATCTAGACGTTTACGAGATCAGCAATCCGGACATGCAGGAAGCAGCCTTGGGCTACAGCGACTCTGAATTCGATGACGCCGAAACATTGAAAGCGCTACGGATTCTGCAGTATCGCTTGTCAACTCTACGACGTGTTTACCTCTGTTCTCTCCTGGCAATGGAGGCAGACGGCGGCAAACCCGATTTCGCGCGATGGTCGACAGTGGTCGATTCAATGCTAAATACGGCCCGGCCTGTTGGAGAATGGAGCGAGAAATTCAACCGCGTGCTCGCTGAAGAAGAGCAGTTCATACTCCCGTCGCCAGCCAAGGTAGCACCGACCCCTGGTCGGGAGAAGATCCGCAATTCCGTGCGCAAATTGTCGGGGTTGTCAAGTGGAATCCGAGGCCTGCAAGCCAAGATGCAAGTACTCCGCGAGGAGACTAGTAAAAGCTTAGAAGATACCGAAGACGTGACTGACCTGGGCCACTCCCTCCTTGCCCAGTACGACTCGATCGGTGCCGATCTAAAGAGTTTGGTACAAGCTTGGGAAGCAGGCAAAAATGCGCTCGCCCTGAATATCGATCGGCACGAGCGCAGGATCTCACAAGCATCGAGTGGGTTGCGCTCGCCTGTTCCAAGCCTAGGCGGTCTGACTGCGGTCGATGAAGGCAGTCCGTCTGATGCACTGCGTGCTCTTAATGGCGAATTGCTGAGTCCTCATCAGAGTGCTCCGTCGAGCGATCAAGGCAGCACATCCGACGACGAAGTGTTCGAAGCTATTGCCATTCCGAAGACCAGAGCCACCATGTCGAGAGAAGAGCGTATGCAGAAGATCCAAGACGACCGCCTTCGGCAAGCTTCGTTACGTGAGCAGCGGGATGCGAGCACCAACATGCTGAGAGAGTTGGAGTCAGTTATCAATTTGAGGCCACACCGAGTCTCAGCGCCTCCGGCCGGCGCACGAGTTACAAGCCTTTAAAGCATCATTTCCTTTTATTCACCTGTTTGGACTACCGACGGCTGCCACATGGCGCATCTCTTTCGCTTGCTTTGTTTCTTGGCGCGCATTGGGTCTCAATCTGATTCTGGGCATTTACGCTATACCACTGTCGCGGTCGTATTTACTTTCCTATCACATATCTTGGAGTCGGAGGACTAATGTCTATAACGCATACCTTGTGGTCAGAACACCCACACAGAGTAGTAATGACAAATATCAACATCGTCAAGAACAAGATCGGTTATGAGGGGCTCGCAATTCGCTCTGTCGTTTTTTCGCAAGTTGAGACTTGGTCTTGGGTACACGACAACGTGGCTGACGGATGTTGGTCACGGAGATTTCACCATCCTTGAACCTTGCGGTAGCGAAAAACAGCTATTGGCGAGCCACAGTATTCGCTGCATGAAGAGCCAGTAACGTCTTCATGTTTAGTCACACATGCGAAAGGTTACGAATACACACAATGCCCTTGATATGAATTGTTTCGACGTCAGACACCTAGTACTGTAGAAAGCGGTCTTCCGCTTCAGTGGAAATAATGCAACTCTCATCATCTTTTTCCATCAGAATCGCAGGCCAGGTGATTGATGATTCCAGCAGCATGCTTATTCTATCTCCTCGTGCATACCGAAGTTACACAAGTAAGATGGAAGAATTGATGAACCACGAAATGCTCCGGACAATCACCCACTCCGATGATGCCTGGCAAATTTCCGCTCTGGATGGGCTAAGGCGCAGGTGAAACTGAGTTTACGATGGACCGCGACCGATGGACTAACCGCTCTTGCCCAAGACGACCGGGTGATCCTTCCTATTGGGCTGATCGACGAGTCGTTGACACCAGCCCCTGCCATCGACCTCCATCGTCGTGTGTACTTGCCCTCTGAACTGTCTTCACTTCACCCCACTGCTTCACACCAGCCGATGATGAGACTAGCTTGCTTCTGCCATGTTTCTATCTCTATTTCTATGACTCTCATGAACAAGCAACATCCAATGTGAACACGTTCCTCGAGGCTCACGGCGGAAAGCGCAGCTAACGACCCGGACCCTCTATCGAGTACCGACCCAGAGTAATCACTCATCTCAACACAAACATCAATGTCTGCTCAAAGAAAACCCCTCTAAGGTATTGGCATTATGAAAGAAAGGACGCGGAAAGAGACAGAATGAGATGTAAAAGAGAGGAGTGATTGACAAGAAACTTGGAGTACACAAAACGTGCTGCCCGTCTTTGAGACCGGCTCTATCGGGCCGCTTTGACCGACCCTAGGGACCACACCTACCAAAGCTTGTTCAATCTTCATCATCGTCCACGACGCCATCGGTCCGCGGTACGGGAGGGGGCGCACCGTGTCGCCTGCGCATATGGACTCTCAGCCCATCCGAGCGAGCGTACTGCCTGCCACAACCTTCGATTGGACACGGATATCGGGCTTTGGCTCGATTAGATCCGACACAAGCTTGAGTCTTGAGGTGACGCGTCAGGTTTCCCAGAGCGTGTACACCTGTTAAGACGGTGCCGCAGCGATACGGACAGGGCACGCTGTACTCCGCATCGATCGCAGATCTCTCTAGCGATTGGACTGGCGGTATGGGGTATATGGCATCGGGAGGTGATGCGCAGACGTTCGCCGTTGGAGCAGCATAAGAGTATGGTGGTCCCTGGCTTCACACCAACATCAGCATCAGCCAGCAAACTCCAGGAGCACCACATACTAGCCTGATGTAGCGGACGAAGGTGACGGAGGCACATGAGCCGCTTCTATGGTAGTGTACCCCTGGTTCATTGGGTAACTGGCTGTTGAATAAGCAGTTCCGTGACTATTGCCTGGTCAGCAGACGTCTAACATTCATCGCGTAGCATACACGTACTCATACGGGTTAGCATAAGGCTGCGGCATTGTATATCCATACGACGGTACGGGAGCACTCTGCGAATAAACTACTGCGTTAGAGTGCGACTGGTATACACTACTGCCGACAGTGTTGTGTCCTGGCGGAAGTGTTTGTTGGTAGCCACGGTGGGGATAGTAGGCACCGTGAGGCTGGGCATACGCGGGCACTTGGGGCCAGCGCTGGGTGTACACTCCAGGTCCGGATAAAGGAGAGGTTATCCTCATTGCCTGCTCAGCTCTACTACCACAAACCACTACGGGTGCGAACGATGCTCTTCTCCTATACTCTTCGTCCTCTTGCGACCATGACGCCTCGTCACGCCTCTGCGTCTGATCATACGCCATGAAGCCGATGGTTCCCGGAACTGTCTTGGGAATCGTCTGAGAAGATTTTGCCCGTACAGATGTTCGAAATTGAACAAGCTCTCCAACGGAACAATTCTGATGACTCCCATGAGGTGACGTAAAGCTGTTTTGGGGGTGTCACTAAGCTAGCTGTTGAGTCTAGCGAAGCACCTCAGTGCGCTATGTCTCTGTCAGTTTCCTACTCTCCAGCCAAAGATCAACCTACAGAAAATGAGGCTTACAAGTCCGAATCAGGGAGATTCAAAAAGAACTGACAATCAAAAAAGTGGTCTTCTGGGTGACCTAGGATACGCACAGTGTTTATGCCGCTATGCGTACTCAACAACGAGTGATTCAGTTGGAACAGAAGACGCGCTGCGGCCGGTGGACGACCCTTAGCTGAGGCACAACAGCCCGTTACACAAGGAGACCGGCAAGGTCAACGCCAGGGCACATCGCGCCTAACTGTGTACTTGTCTGTCGAACCGGAACGCGGATCTGCCCCGTCAACATATCTGCGTCTCAGCTTGAAGGGCAAGGGCTTGTGCAACGATCGTTAGTTGATGTTCACGTCAATCAGGTATGCTATAGTGACACCGGATGTGGCACAGAACATGAGAAGCGTGGTTAGCCTCTATGCGGTGGCCTTTGCCGCCTAGGGTGTATTGCAAAATTACGGCATGCGCGCGGCTGCGGTTGCCGCGACGGGACGCCTTCTCTCTAAGACCACTCCAAGAAGCAGGCAAATATACTAGGAAGTGCACATAAGGCCATGCCCTGCCGGGGTACCTTGATGCCATGTGCAGATATGGTCACCCACACACTCGTTCAGTGCTCACGCGTCATTGTGGTCTAATGCGCACTGGCATCGCCGATGACTACAAGGCGCTCAATTTCTCAAGCCGACGTGTAGGTATAACCACGCCTGAGGGTTCCTATGTCCACGTCGTTAGCTCATCCCACCTACGGTTTCAGCAAGTCTCTAGATGAACCCAGAGCTATGATGTCGATATCGCGGGTATCAGTAATAAGCGTAACGGCGGACGAAACGGGCGAGTATGTTATGCGTCCTAGCCTGGCTCACCCATGCCAGCACGCCTTGTGCTTCCTGCACGTCTTACTTGCAGCGGAACTGTGACGAATACGAAGCTGCGTAGCGCTTCGCCAATATTTGGTGCTTATCAAGGGCTCTCTTGTTCAGGCACACATATTGCAGTATCGACAATGCTTTCTTGCAAGACAAAGTGCGTTGACGGGACGGCTCGTGACCGGCGCAGCGCCGGCTAATAGTGGAACTTGCTCTACCCTTTCCACGCCTTACCGATAAATTTGACCGGGCCGACAGCTTCCCTATTGGTAGGGAGTGTCTTTCCGTATGGCGAATGATATTCCAAGAGAACGATATCAGCGAAGGCAATATTGTGGACTACAACAGACGATCATGTCACCAAAGATCATAATCCGAGCCAGATGTTTTTCGTCGCTACCCCATGAACATTGGATATATACAGGCTGTAACGGCTCAGAGAACGAAACACAAGAGGGGTACCCTTCAGAGAAATGGTCTCCTCTATAACTCAATCCAATTCATCACCACCACGAGAATACGTTCCCAGCTACTCGGTTTCAAAACTGTGGATTCGACCCAGCCCTACGGAACAAAGAAAGTCCATTTACGCTTAGCCACGCCCAAATCTCTCTATCCGCCGTTTTCTCTAGGTGTCATGATGACGCACATGGCTGCATAACAGCATGACTCGTAGTAAACAAAGTCTGGGTAGCGGAAGCATACATACACCTAATGTTTAGGTCGCAAGATAGGCCACTGCGCGTATTACATTTTGTCACCTTTTGCTTTACATCTTCGGACAGGCATTCGAAGAGATAGTACTGTTGTGGACAGGGTTCCCGCTGTATGGCACGATACGCGCCTGCATGGCCTTCAGGCACTGATCGAAATCGGTTGTGATAGGGGTTTTGGACATACCCCCAGCGGTAAGTCGACTGCATTACTCGTGGCACCTCTCCAGTCTTTCGCACCTTTCCAAAACCCTTCTATTCGACGTCGACAGTCTGCGATGTATTGCATGGAGATAAAAATTCGAAGGACCTGCGCGAGAAAAAGCGGTGTGCATATGAGCATGTTGGACGTACAAGTTTGCCTTCTCCGCGAGCTTTACACGTTAGATGGTTCTGTCGAATGCAGTGACAGCAAATTTCGAAGCCTGAAATTGACTCCCTAGCCGACCATGCTCACTGATTATGTCGCTGGAGTGGTCAATGCGCTCGGAGGGTTTGGTGGCGAGTCTGGCCCGCGGCTGGCCTTCGCCATATTCGGCAGCAGATACATGATCAGAACTAATTGACCATACTGGCAAGATAGTGCCTTGCACGCAGAACCCTACGAGGAAGCTAGTGGAATCATATGCGAAGATACCCAGAAGCTGTCCAGATCACTCTACCAAGTCGATCCGGAACCTTGCACATGTGGTCCCACGTTGGGCGTATTTGGTCGCACTGACACCGAGGTCGCCATAGGCTGGTCTGTAATACTGGAACGAAGCAACTTCAGCTGTGGAGCCCCTGGATTACTCTCTCATCGGTAGAGTTGATAGTAATTCCTGAGGTTCTTTGAGTGATTTAGTTCCGGGACGCCGCGTCGGCACATAACTTCGTTACTGCTTTGATCAATGACTCGAAAGAATGACCTTGAAGGGTAGATGCGTTAAATTATTTGCACTGGGTTTGTTGTACCAGGTTTTGATTCGAGAGGCAACGTTACGCTAACTTTACTCTAACATCATGAATTGAAGGGTTGTAGTACAAATGACCAACGAACGAATGTGCAAGGTCTCCGAGCACGCATGTTTTTTTTCTTGCCTGTTTCCTCAAATGAAGCGAGTACGAAACACCCAAAGAACGCCTCGAGAACGCCTAAAGAATGCCTACAAACACAGCTCGTGAATCAGAAATAGAATACTCTAACAACGACTCCTAGGAATGCGGAGCAGATGGGCGCAGCATTCAGAGCCTGGCATCACCTTTTCCGCCTCTTCGCCGGTGGAGTATTCAGCTCCGGATGGCTCCGTCGGAGGTGGACAAGCAGTGCATCTTCGCGCCCAAACGTTGACGTGCATCCTGGTTGCTCGCAACGGATATTTCTGTGATTTCCTGCTGTGGTGCATGCACCATGCCTCTCCATGTGGCGGTTCAAATTTCTCTGTGCATATTGGCCAGTGAATGGCGGCTTGTCCACGCAGACAGGACAGCGCAGACTTGGCTTGTTGCTTCACTTGAGTCAGTAATGTCAGTCAACGAAGTATGCTGGTCTACGTACTTAGCTATGCTTGAGCTGACATCTTCGTTCTCGTTAGCACTTTCGGAAACTGAAGGTGTTAGGTCGTCTGTCGTCGAGCCTGGTCCAAAATCTGGGTAGCCCAGTGTGACAAGATTTTCGCCGTCCATTCTGTTCATGCTATTCACCTGCAACGGCTTGAGATACCGACTTCGGTCTGGATGGGAGAATACTGCCGTAGACGATGGCTGCCAGCACCCTTCTACCGACATCGAGTGATTATGGGCCGGAACGTAAGGTTGTCTTGGCGGCAGAGACGTCGGATATACATTCTGTGCTGCTTCGTATATGGATGGTGGCCAGTTGTAGGCAGCGAACTCCTCCGATGGCAACGAATCCAAGTTGTAGGCCCATGCAAGTGTGCGCTCGTCGGCGATGTTTGAAGCGTGGTACGCCTCGTTGTCGTTTTGATCATCTGGATCGCTCTGCTTCAAATGTAGCTCAGCAAACAACTCCAATATTCTCGGTCATATCGTGACGAGATCTGGGCCACTTTACTCACCATATCGTCAACGCGATGGGTAAATCCGTATGATCGATCATTTTGTACCGGCATCATGGTTGCATCGTATGCCGGATCTATGTCTAGCAATCTATCTAGATTTGACAGGATACTAGGGCATACAAAGTGAGGCGTGCGATTGCAAATACATTCAAAGTTCGAAAGCCGACTAACAAGTGGTTTTTGACCAGTCACATCAGGACCACAAAGCTCATCGCTACTAGACGCTCAGTGGCTGCAGTAATCGAGTTATGACTTCGAAATCGCACAGCTCATCATATGTGCCTTGCGTGGACAACGCATAATCAGAGGGATTCTGAGACGAGGGTTATGGTGCAAAATCGCTTTCGCAGCGGATGCTGTCCACTCATAGTTGGCTGTATTGGTTGCCTCGTTGCTGCGATGAGCTGGCGACTAGTTGCCTTCTGGCTCACCGGTCCTGATCATACGTGGACGAATCCCAAGTCTTCGAAGAAGGCGGATGGCGCTGATGCCGGGGCGTAGAACTCGAGAAGGCGGCCTCAGGAAGAAGTATCGTATTACCTCGGCGTGGGCTATGTGCTGGCAGGTCCATCGTGTCAGGATCCGATCGGGTTGTCCTGAAGACCTTCTGGGATGACCCTAGCCCGTCTACCTGCTTCAGTCGTCTATAATGATGCTGCAAGGGTGGGGAGAATGCTTCCAGTTCCGCAAGGCATCTGGAGCGATCTCAGCTACCCGTCCCATCTTGGTACCACTGATGGGCGAGCAGGACTAGCCATACAGCCAGTAAAGACAACGTCTTTGATGCCCACAGCGGGTAGGGCAACGCTCGGCGAGTGGCTGGTCGTGGCTGAGCCAAGTTAAATCTGATGAGTTGTGGCGGTACAACAGTACCTCGTATCCAGGATATATGCCCCACAGGGCACAGCAGAAGAGACGGGAGCTAACATGAACCAGAAAGCAGGCGGCACGCTCTATTGTGTTATACCACGTCGGGCATCAATCGCATAACTCAGCGTATCCCAAACAATGAGGCGGATTATGCAAGTATCTCAATTGAAACAATACCATCCCTCCGCTGTATATCCAAGGCGTCGATTCAACACCCCGCTAGAGACGAGGCAGAGGCAGAAGGCTCAGCCTTGTGCGTGTAACCACTGCCGGATTGCCACGTCGTTTCGAGGGCGATAATCAGAGCTTGACACGTGGGTGAATTCGTGTCCTGACTAGAAGCCTGGACGATATCGTCTCGAGGAGACTGAGGCGGTCATATTGCCTCCTTTCTGATACGTGAGCGATGGTCTGCGGGTGATTGTGGCTGTGCCGTGATGTTGTGGCGCTGATGCCTGCAAGCTCATGCAATGCCCTGTCGTGTGTGGCGTAGGCTCGTATTGCGAACAAGCAATCGAGCTGTACTCTGGTAAGTAGACTTGAGATCTTTTACTAGACTTGTGGTTGGTGGAACTTTGGTATGTCACAATGGAAACTACCAAAGCGTAGGAGTTACACAACTGAATTCGATCAGATGGCATATGCACTGTATGTTCCTCACGAAGCCACCCACCATAGGTATGGCATCGCTATGCAGTATACTCTACAACACAGCCCTTACCTCCTCACTCCCCCTGACCTCCGCTCTCCTCTCGTTCTCAAACTCCCTCCACCTGGTCTCAACATCCTCCTCACAGACATAGGTGATGAGCCAACTTCCGACGCCACCCCATCTCCATGCTAAAGGATCGTCGCCAACATTCAGTCCCTTCTCCTGGTACTGCTCTTTGCTTACTCTCCCCTTACCATTGAATTCACCAAAGGCACGAAGCATACTATCACGCTCTTGCTGTACAGGGCCATCGTGGACATGGTAAAGGTATTGCTGACGGTTTCCGCGCGAGACAACGCGCTCAGTGCGTTCACGACGACAGCGCTCGTAGACAGCTAACGCGCGCTTCTTCTCAGTCGTAGATTTGCTCTTTACCCTGCCTAGGCATAAACCAAGGACGTGTCCGTCTTCCAACGACATACCAGCGCCTGACGCGAGATACGGGAGAGTGGCGTGCGCGGCGTCACCCAGTATTGTGTATGCGCCAGTCTCGTGAGACCATGTGGGATCGAGACCAGGTCGGATCATCAAGCGCCACTTGGCTACAGACTGGCACAGCGCCAGCAATTTGGGTATCCGTGGATCCCAGTCTTTGTATAGAGCACGCATCTCTTCGACGTTTCCAGCGAGTGTATTCGCGCCAGCGGGCATATCATCTGGCACTAGTAGCACCATGTTGAATAGCTTGCCACCACGGAGGACGTAGTTGACAGCGTGCGCATCCGGGCCTATCCAGTAGTTGACCTGCGGGTCTTCCACGAAGCCTCTAAGCTCGGGATCCTTCATCATATCCTCGGTGTTGAGCAGCAGCCGATAAGCTAGATCACCAGTGAGTAGTGGTGGATCTTCATGGCCGAGCAATATCTCCCTACACTTGGAGTTGATGCCATCGGCGCCAACCACCAGATCGGCCTTGTGTCTTGTACCATCCTGACACACAGCGATGGCTCTTGTAGCCTTGTTTCCCACATCTTCCTCATATTCGATGTCTACAACGCGCGCCTTTGTAGTGAGCTTCGCACCAAGCTCCACAGCGCGCTCCAACAGTCCCATGTGCAAATTTGCTCTGTGGAAGTCCCAGAAGGGTGTACCACACTCCTTCTCGTACTCATGAAAGTCCATGTCACTTATTTTGTTGCCTTTCCAGCCGATCATGTTGCACAGTCGTGGCGAGGTAGCGTGTTTCGAGAGGTAACTCTCTAGACCCCAGGAGATGAGGACGCGCGAGGAATTGGGAAGACATTGGATACCAGCACCGATTTCGCCTATCTCGGGGGTAGATTCGAGGATGTGAACGTTGTGACCGGCAAGAAGGATTGATATGGCAGCTCCAAGACCACCCAAACCGGCGCCAACAATAATAACCTGTCCATGAATATTAGTTGGAACTCAGAATCCTGATAGAGGAAACCTACATTGAGCCTACTGGACTCAGCCCTATGCTGCTTCTGAATAACTTGGGGTTTATCACCGGTCATGATGTCACAAGTATAATGTTCTCGAGGAAAGAAAGTATATCTCACACTGAATGACCTAGGAAAAAGCAAATGCCATCGTAACGGTGGTAACGCACATCAAGTGTATAAACACATCAGGCACGCAGTCACTACTCGATCGTCATCACGCACCGCCATCTTCACCCACCTATCGCGATTCACACGCGTGACTGCTAGTTAGCTGACAATTACTGGACCAATGTGCAACGCCAGGTCAGTGGCGCTTATCGAGCTAGTCTGGCATCCCGAGCACATGGTGTGGTGAAGGCCCAGGATGGGGGAACCCTCGATTGGTGGGTATTAAATTGTGATTGCGTCTACGGATGGGCGTTGATGCATGTGTGCAAGAGTGGGGGAGAGATGATGGATAGAAGATGGCTGGCGTGAGGGGTATGCAGTAACGCGGTGGCCATAGCTCCAAGCTTGAGCTTCCGATGTCTGTTCCGATCATTCCGAGACAGGCAGGCGTGAATGTAGACAATAGTCACAGCAATGCAGACAATGACAGGAAGGCCCGCGACGTTTCGCGATTCATTCGTTTCTCTATCATCACTATTGAGGCATAGGACCGTCGTAATCAAGCAGTGAGTACGCCTTCCCTTCCTTCTGCAACTTGAGAATCTCACCACGTGGCGACGGCATCATCGCATTCTCTGGCACCTTGTTATTCTTCTTGAAGTCATCCGCCATCTGTTCCATAGTCACCCATTCGATACCCTCATGTTTGTTGATATGCTCGATAATCCTATCACCCTAGTTAGTGCCCTTATCAATGATTCGCCGTCTCACCGAACATACCTCTCATGCATAAGCACGACATGTGGCCTTCCACTAACATCGGGGTGAATTGTCATTGGGAAGACGAATTCGTCGTACTCGCGATAAAAGTAATCGAAGTGGTCCATCCATATTTGCTCGACATCCCTCGGATTTACCCACCCGTGGCTGTTTGCGCTCTTCTTCATGAACATCATCGGCGGCAAATCGTCAATATACCAACTCCCCGGTATCTCCACCAGTCCAGTCTCTTGCCCCTTGGTAAGGGGCTTCATCCAGTCCACTGCTTTCTTGCTGTAATCTATCTTTGTCCACTCATCGCCTGTACGTAGCCAGTAGCAACGGTGGTCTTCGTGCGACATGGAGTGATCATATTCAATGCCATAGCTGAGTAGAAGTTCTGTACCTTCTTTGGAAGTTTCCCACCAGGGTGCTACGGACCCACGTGGAGGTTTGCCGTTGCAGAAAGCGGTGAGTTGCTTATAGGTCTTATCAAGAACGTCGCGTTGTTGCTCGAAGGTCATGTCGGCGGGATTTTCGTGTGAGTAGCCATGAAGGCCGATTTCGTGGCCTGCATCTCGTACGGCGGCGCAATCTTCGGGAAAGGTTTCGAGGGAATGGCCAGGCTGTAGAGCGTCAGATAAGTAGACGTCGGCTTAGGAAAGATGCGAGGTTTACGATGAACCATGTTGCCTTGATCCCGTACTTGTCGAAGAGCTTCAGCAGGCGTTGTGTTCCTATTGTTCCAGCCCAGAGACCTGTGCCATGTGAGCTATTGTCTAGTCTCTTGCCTTAAACAAAATACTAACCTCTGCTGATGTCGCTCGTAGAGTCTTCACCTCCGTACGAACCAAGCCAACCAGCAACAGCCTGTAAAGCGCCCTGTCAGTAATCGCGTACATGCTCGCTACGTACAAGAAGTCTTACGTCGATGTCAACGCCATAGCTTACGAGGACCTTCTTCTTGCCCATTATACCTATTGTTCAAGATAAAACAACGTTACAGTTTAGTGCAAGATCACGCAGCTGTACGAGTAGAGAAGATTGATGTAAGATTTGACCCAAACGTGCAACAGGAACGATGGTCGCGTAGCTCATGATAGCTGGCGTAAATACCCCGCTTATTCTCGGAATCATTGATGCAGGGCAACCCACCTGGTAAAGCTGATTGCTCGATTGGAAGGTGGGGGTATCTTGTGATTCATCGTACCTGCCGACGGCTGCTGGAAGGCTTATCATCGCGTGTTCGCGTGTACACGTGCATTAGCGCTCATCCTTCAAAACACTGTTTAGTACTCGTAGTATTAGAATCTGGGTTATAGTGTAGAACAAGATACGTCGAGTTATTTCGACGGTGGAAACAATCGCAACAGTGAGCAGGCGAGTGGTATGTGATTGTCACTAGACTGTATATCTGGAATTTTGCATGAGTCTGCAGCGACTGGCTTTAGGCCCGCTTCTTCAGTATGCTATCAATGACTGTGGCCGCGCCTAGAGCCTTCTCCTCCTGCAGTCTTCGAGCTACGATCTGCACACCAATCGGCATGCCATCCATAGTATCCAAATCGAACGTCTGCCAATTCCAGTCGTCCATTGCATTCCTAGGCTCATACTCGCTCATCTTCTTCGCAGCTTCGCCATCAAGATCTTTCGAAACTTGACCAGCAGGCAGAACGACAGCCGGATAGTCGACAAAGTTGAAGACCTTCGTGTATCCAACCCATTTACATTTTCGGTGAGGTACAGCAGAGTGAGGCATGACAGGTGTGAGAAGGATGTCGATTGGTTTGCCAGAATTAGCAGACCTTGTTGAGTTCCAGAGGTCAAGGTAGCGCTTCTGCAGTTCAAGCTTCTTTTTGTTCAACTGCCAGTAATCGTAAACCGAGATTGCCTTGCCTTTGTTGACGAGAGCTTCTACATGCGGAATGAATGGTTCTCCGCCAGCAGCAACGTCTCGCCGGATGTCTTCACCACCGTCTGCAGTGTAGTACTGATCCTGAACCTAGTTAGCTCGGGACTAAGTGAATTGTTTCGATCATTTACCATGATGTCAATACACTCCTGATGAAGGGTACCTGGGTTCCACGTTATCATTTCATGCCCAGCCTCTTCGAGCTTCATGGCGACTTCATTCAGTACGCGGGTGATAGGTGGATGACATTTCACGACCCCATCGTCACGCATGATGGCAATTACCAGCGGTCTTGAACCCGCATCTTCGAAGGCTTCGGATCGCCACGATACCGGGCAGCATTTCGGATCCTGCTCCCAAGGACTTGCATCAATAACAGCTTTGGTGACCGCCGTTAGCGAGTTCATGGTCCGTGTCATTGGACCAATGACGGATGGAACGTGCTCTTGACCATCGGTTGACACAGATACTCCCTGGTACGGTAGGCGTGTGCTGCTAGGCTTCAGTGCGTATAGCCCGTTCTATCAAGCTGTTAGCACGAACAATACTGCAGAGTAGGTTCTAAGATGCGTTGTCCCAGAGCTGCTTTAGCTACGTAGACAGGAAAATGTTAGGCGCTATTGCTAATCATTCCTGCGTACGCTAGGGCGAAAGTAATTCAGAACTTACTATTAATAAGTTAGTTCAATGTCTTATAGAGTGTTCGTGACGGCTACCTTACCCATGTGAGAGGGTATCCGCACACTGCCTCCAATGTCCGTGCCCCAGCCGACCACAGTACCTTGCAGCGATAGAAGTGTAGCCTCTCCCCCAGTCGAGCCACCAGACGTAAAGTCGGGGTTCTTTGGATGAACCGTGATGCCCCACAAGGGATTATCGGTTTCGCACCACTGGAAGGTTTCAGCATCCGATTACCTTACATGGAGTCCGTGGCATGATATACCATGATGCTCTGTGGCAGATTAGATTTCGCAACGATAATCGCACCCATCTCCTTTAACAGCGACACTAACACGCAATCTTGTTGGGCAGGCTTGAAAGCGCGCCCAACGTACCCCAGAGTGCTGTCGTAGCCCTTGACATCGAACTGGTCCTTGAGCGTCATGGGCACCCCGTGGAGGGGTCCCACGAGCTGGCCAGTTTCTTCAAAGTAGCTGTCTAATGCTTTTGCTTGCTCGATCGCATCGTTGAAGAGAATCTCGGTAAGGCTGCGTAAGTCAACAATTGCTCCGTGATGCGGATAGGGCTATCAGTTGAGCACGTGCCAGTTCGTCTTAGGTAGATGTTAGCGAATCTCAGGATCTAAAGCATGGGATATGGGTGGGGGCCCGTACTCGTTGGTGGGCGTCTATGGCGCTGGAAGATGTGGCGTGAGAATGGCATGATACCTGAGCAAGCCGTGGACCTCACCGGTTGATATAGGCAGAGAGCAGCTGCGATGCCGTCACAGCACGCGACATAATGGCCTCAAGGATGATTTCGGCATCGCCAATGGCTGTCAAGTTTTGATTGCTCTGAGATTCGCTGCTTCCATTGGGTTGCTGGCGTTGTCAATGTGTGTCTTTGGTGCACTCGAGTGCATGGTACCTCGGTTGGCGCTGCTTGAGCATCGGTAAATTTCTGTATGGCATCGTCCCGTATCGTTCGCTTCTTTGTGGCCGTCTGCAGCCACTGCGACATCTCAGAAGTCGCCATGTTGGATGTAGATGCGATGCTGCAAAAGAGGCCTGGAAGTCGCTCATGTAAACATCAACGGCGCTCGCGTGCCGAACACAAGTACACGACGCCGACATGGTATAGATAGCGGCATCTGCAGGCCCATGGGCTTCTGGTACTCCTCGGAGGCACATAGTGTTGCTGGTCCTGGGAACAGTGGGGGGAACGATGCAGGGATGCCGAGGTGGACGGGAGCGCACTTCCCACCCGCCGGACTGAACGCGTTCACGGCGGAGTGCGTGCGTCTCTTGCTACCCCTTGCGGCGCATCACCCCATCGCAGAAAACATTTTCGCGTGCAGCAGCACGTTGACGCACTTCTCTAGACGCCATGGCACTCCTCAATGGGTTGAAAATGGGCAGATGTTCGACAGAGAATCGCACGCTGCCCCTCCATCCTTCTCCCGTACCTGCGGACCCCCATCTTTGCTCCTAGTGGCCGACCATTACTGTAAACCGTTGGCTTTATAGCATGGCTCCTTCGTTATGGAACCTAATGAAGCGCTCAACGTCCAACAGCCCGCCGACGTCGGTAAGACAGAAGATGGCACCTGGTCTAGCGATCCCAGACACCGATTCTCGTTCATCGGGTAGTAGTTTGGAGGTTGCGTCGCAGTTCTCGTATACCAAGAATGATGACTACTCAAGCTTCATGAGCGACGTTATGGTAGTCGGCGCAGGGCCTGCTGGTCTGATGCTTGCGTAGGCAACCTCGTGCCAACTAAGAAGATGGCAATCTGACGTCAATAGTGATAACCTGGTACGATACGGTATCAAGACGCGCATTATTGACGACCGACCCGACCGCACCTCGACCGGACGCGCCGATGGAATCCAGCCAAAGACCATCGAGACTTTGCGCCAGATGCGAATTGCCGAGCCGCTGCTACGAAAGGGTGTCAAGATCTATGACATTGCTTTCTGGAAGTCGTCGGCTGAGAAGTCGCTTCACCGCACTGGTCGGGAGATCCACTACCCACCGGTAGTTGACTTGCTCGATCCGTACATTCTGTTAGTACACCAGGGCATGGTAGAAGGCGTTTTGGAAGACGACCTGCGGGAAAGAGGCGTTGTCGTTTCCCGAAACACCGCATTCATCGACTTTGACTACACGCCCATGTCCATCCGTCCACTTACGGTTAATTGTGAGCAAGACGTCAATCACGCAAAGAAGACTTTTGCCACACGGTACATAGTTGGATGCGACGGCGCCCACTCTAAAGTGCGCAGGTTAGTAATGTCCCTATACAAAGGTGCATGTGAGACAGATACTGACATCGTACACCCATCTTTAGGTGCATACCAGGTGCGACACCTGTGGGATCATCGACCGATGCTGTCTGGGGTGTATTGGATGGTGTACTCGACACCGACTTTCCCGATATTTGGAGCAAGGTGGTCATACAGTCAGATGCATTAGGGTCTGTACTGATGATTCCTCGCGAGAGGGGTCTGACCCGTTTATACATCGAACTGCGGCCAGGATCCACAGAGGCGGTCGGAGCGCAGCAGACCACACAAGAGTTCGTGCAAAAGCGAGCGCAGGCCATATTGCACCCTTACAGGCTTGAGTGGAAGAATGTTGAGTGGTTTGGACGCTATAAGATCGGACAACGAGTCGCGGCGCGCTTCACAGACGACGAGCGACGGGTTTTCATTGCTGGCGATGCTAGTCACACTCATTCCCCCAAGGCGGCGCAAGGTATGAACACAGGCATGCACGATGCCTGGAATCTGGCCTGGAAACTCAACTTTGCGACGCGTGGACTTGCGAAGCCTGCGTTACTCGAAACCTATGAGCAGGAACGACAGAAGATCGCAAAGGATTTAATCGATTTCGACTACGAGCACGCGAATGCCTTCCACGACGGAGACCCGGCAGCGCTCGCGGCAAACTTCACGAAGAACGTCGCGTTCATCTCTGGCTACGGAGTCAGTTACGACCTCAACACCCTCAATGTTCAAGCAAAAGGTTATAGCAGAGGGCATCTGAAGCCAGGCTATCTACTACCACCTGCAAAGGTTACGCGCTACATTGATGCCAACCCGGTCGACATTCAGACCGACATACCTGCACTCGGACAGTTCCGTATCTACTTCTTCACCCACAATATTCGCGCCTCAATGCCCTTCTTAGAGAATGTTTGTCACTCGCATATGGGAAACAACTCGTATGTCGGGCGTGTTACAGCTGCTGGCAACGCCTCATATACCGTCCAGCCGCCTCTCGCGGCACCTCACGACCAGTTCGTTCTACCAGAGCGATACACACCTGTCAGCGGTGTCTTCACCTATGCTTTAGTAACCGATGAGGATCGCAATAACTTCGAAATTCGAGATCTACCGGCCGTACTTCGCGAATCCGCGTTCACATTATATCTCGATGATATCCCCGATAAAGACACCCGGAAGCAAACATGCATGGACAAGTGGCTTGATGAACTTGATGAGAATGAGGTTGTTGTAGTCAACGTCCGCCCGGATGGCTATGTTGGTACAGTGCGGAGATTCGCCGAGGGCACCAAGGAGAATGGCATGGCCGCTGTGCAGTGGATGGACCAGTACTATGAGCAGTTTCTGCGAGATACATAGAAGTCTGTGTATTCTTTCATTCTGGCATTTTTGGTTTTTGTGTGCACGGCTTGGGAGTTTCAAGGAAAGTTCAAGATATCAACTTCACGGAAATAGATGTATGACTTAGCATTGTTCTGTCTTAACAATCACGCGCCTTTCAACGGCTCAATATGGTGGGGTTGATACAAGCCAGACTACTTTTTGTTACATGCTTATCTCCAGCATATACCCGCTGCAGCTAGACTATCTTCAGTACATAGTTCTTCCCCCACTCTTATCAATCGGGCTATCATCCTATCAATGATGACCTTGTCAAGTGCAATCCGTCACTTTAGGGTATGCAGCTCATTTCATACAACACCGCTATGCGCAGCGCTACTGATACCTAGTGGCGTTGAGCAAAAGAGGCGCATGCGGACTGGGGTCAAGAATGGGAGGTTCGAGGGGTGTTATGTATACTGCGTAAAGGTCGGCAGGTGGTATGTCAGTATGCTACTTAAAGCTTTGTTACAGGGTCCGTTAGAACACGATCAACACAGCAGGCTGTCAGCGCTTTGTGCAACATCTGCAGTCGCATCATTTTCACAACTGCTTCCAAGCGCCGTGTACCATGCCGATCGAGCAGCGAAAAGACATCACAATGGCGGACGAGAAAGGTCGGAGGCTATCTGGTTCTAGCTTGTCGAAAGAAGAAGCTGGTATAGTGATTGATACCATCGACAAGAGTGTTGAAAGCGCTTATGGTACTTCTTATCAAATTATCGTCGAACAATGACCATGCTTTAACACGCTGTACAGTACGAAAACTGGACTTCTACCTCTTACCGTTCCTTTCGGTCATGTACTTCTTCAACAGGCAAGTTCGTCCCCTTGGAGTTCTCAGCTACCCTTTTCTGTTGGCTGACTTGGCCAAAGCGTTGACCGATCAAATCTGGGTAATGCGAAGACAGATGGTATGGACAAAGACCTTGGCTTTACAGGCGAGCAGTATAGCTTGTTGATCTTGCTGTTCTACATTCCGAATGGATTGTGTGATCTTCCGCTTAATATGTTGACGAAGAAGTGGAGTGGCAGGATTATGCTTCCAACGTGTAAGTTTGTCTTCTTTTGTTACCGACGGTGAGCCGAGACAGGGGCTAGGCGAGCAGATTCCTGGCTCTTTCAATGTTTTTGAGTGCTGTCATGTTAATTGATCGATCATGGGCTGATAATAACCCATAGTAATGGTAGGATGGGGTGCAATGGCCCTCTTCCAATGTGCAGCTCACAACTTCGCCGGCTTGCTTGTCATCCGCCTCCTCCTTGGTACTTTTGAAGCTGGGTTCTTCGCCGGTGTCGTCTTTTACCTCACGCTGTTCTACACACGAGGCGAACTCGGCTTTCGCATTGCATTGTTCTTCGGCAGTGCACTTCTTGCGGGGGCTTTCAGCGGTCTCATATCCTTCGGCGTCTTCCAGATCGACCACGCGGCCATACCGGGTTGGAAGTTTCTCTTCATCATCGAGGGAGCACTTACGGTGGTGCTCGCCCTGATAGCATATGCCTGGTTGCCAGCGACTCCTCAATCAGCATGGTTCTTGACCGACGCTGAACGCGCTGTAGCCGAACGCCGCACACTCCGCGATCTATCTTCCTCCGGTTCCCACGAGTTTAATATACGGGAATGTTTTCAGGAATGGAACACGTGGAAGATGCTTCCCTGGTGCATCGTCGCTTTCACCTACCCTGTCGCTTTCAGCACAACATCGAACTTTCTGCCTCAAATTGTCCAGCGCCTAGGGTACTCCGTCGTCAAAACCAATCTCTGGACTGTGGCGCCCAACGCCGTGGGATTTGTCGTCTTGCTCTGTATAACGTACAGCAGCGACTACTTCCGTGAACGCTCATTCCACATCTGTGGTGCGCTGTGCATATCTCTCGTTGGACTGGTTGTTCTCGCAACAGTCGATGTTCTCCGAAACAAAGCCGTCGCATACTTCGCTTGCTTCTTGCTTTGTGCGGGAGCGTACATCCCTTCTTGTCTCGTGCACTCATGGCATAACAATAACAACCTCAATGAGAACGCTCGCGCTGCGACAACGGGCCTCATGGTTGGGCTTGGTAACCTCGGAGGTATCGTTTCCGCTGCGACCTTCAGACAAGAGTACGCGCCAAAGTATCTACCGACGCTTTATGCAACGGCGGCGTGCAATGTTACGTGTATTTGCTTTACGCTGTGGTTGGGCGGGTGGATGAAGCTGGAAAATCGAAGGAGGGATAAGGTGCAGGGTGTTGTACTGAAAGCCGAAGACATCAAGACTAGTGAGTTAGGCGATGGAGAAGATAGTGAGATGTGGAGGTACTTCACCTAGAACAGGCTACACTGTGGTAGGCGCGTCTCCATGGACAGGTCGAATGGCATCTGTGTCGAACCCGAGTTGACATGGCTGCCTGGCGGACCACGAGAGATTCCAATGTATGAATCTAGATCAGTGCTCCAGTGCTAATCCTATGTATCGAGAATTATGAGATCAAATTATCCTGCAAAGATTACGGTCTCAGTTTGTCTAGTCTTGCGCAAAATGTTACTGTACTGACCAACTGTGCCGCAAAATTAAATTCGCCTAATCCGGTAAGCCCCACCAGTAGAGCGCATGGACCCCACTCCTCCACTCGTGGATATTTTCTGAGATTGCAGCCGCAACTACTGCGATCGTTGTCTGGTTGTTCTGCATACATAGTCGTTCCCTATAAGCATATATTCCCATGGTTAATCGCACTTATTCCATCACCCATGCTCTTTGAAGTTCCTTTGCGTCGTATTCCACTAAGGTTGCACACAAATCCTCGACCATGTGTTTTGTCAGGCGGTACAGCCAGGCCGTTGCTGAGAAAAAGCCAGAGCTTGAATCGTCAACCTCAGGCATTATACTCTCACGAAGGATTTATCCAAGGATATGGACTGCGAACCAGGGCAAGCGATGGGATTTCTGGTACGATCCCTAATGAAAAAGTTCCAATGACCGAACGTCTCTTGCCAAATTCAATAAAGACATCGCTCGCCGACGGTGAGTACATGGAAAGAGGCTGGCTTGCACGTGTCGTTCCAAGGCTGCCGGCCAATCAACAAACGAGTCTGTTTCGTGAAACGATTAAAAGATTATTGGTGAAAGCTCGTCAACACAGACGTCAGGGCTCAAGAATGGGTCTTCAACGTCGCACAGTTCTAGCACTTGTACGCGACGCCCAGCAATTGTACCGACAGCTTCGACTGCGTGGAGTTGTATCTATCGATGCTAGCATCCTGAAACGCGCCCGAAATCCTTTCACAGGAGTCTCTCACTCCAGCTTAGAAGAGGAGATACAACAGACAGAGCACTGGCGAGTTATTGAGAGTTCACATTACCAGCAAATAACAGAGCGCTTGCGGTCAGGCACAGCGCTTGACGCCTTCTCAAAACATACCCTCAAGCAGCAATGCAAAGTCAGTGGTCTCAAGCTGTTCAACGCTAAAGATTACTTGAAAGGACTTCGTCTGGAACGCACGTCTGTACCCTCGGTTGGATCGAAAACGGGGACCGAAAATCGACAAGCAGGCTACAAAAAGACATGTAGACCTGCCAAAGGCGTCTCCAATGTTGCGAACCTTCCCTACACTGCACAACACTATATGTTGGGTGACATTTATGATCGCTTCAAGCGGGCCTTCTTCGTCTTTGGTCGGCGCGAGATTCGCAAACTAATGTAAAAGAAGGGCTGGTATGATCCTGAGGGTCTATCCATCAAGGAATTCGAGTACCTCATGGACCAAGATGAGCATTGGCATGACATTCATCAGCTTTTCAAGGACAAATTCGAATCCATTCGCCTCATCCGCAACGCGTATGCACACGAGTCAAACGAAATGAACATGGGGCACCTAGAAGAGTTGCTTATTGATGCCAAGGTCATTGCTCGGATACTCGCAAACCCTCCTCTCCTCAGCCTCCTTGATAAATACGAGGAATTGCTAGCAGCATATAGCAAGAGGGATCTTGAGTTAGGCGGTCCCGTTCGGGAGAAGTTCCGACACGAATTGATAGCAGCAAAGAAATTTCGAGATGCTTCATTGAAGCGATTAATCAGTTCTAGGCGTAAGAAACTCACACGTCCTGTGGATCTACGCGCAGAGAAACTGCGTATCCACCACAGGTTCGACGATTTGAAGGCCAAACTTGAAACCGACTACCGCAGTTTCGAGTTGATACTGGTCAAGGAGCTAAAAGAGTTCTCGCTTGCCTCATCGATTCGATATCGCTTGGATTTGAGGAGCTCAGAGTGGGCCACTAGTCTCGTACAAACCCTCTCCGAAGAATACGCAACCACCAAGAGCAAGCTAGAAACTCTCCAGGATACAAGTATCCAAGGAGAGTCACGGGACATGCCAAGTGCTGTCAAATTTTCCAATGTTTCTAAAATTGGCCCGCGAACCTCGCAGGCTGACAAGTCTATACCACCGCCCCGCCCCGCTATCGGAATCATGGAAAAGAGCTTCTTGGAGCACAGACCTAGCTCAGCCAGGAATTATCCGTGGAAAGGCTTTGATAGGGCGTCAGTCCCAACGAAGCAGCACAATCTGAATCGCAAGAGTCAGGACAAGACCATCAGCCCGACCGGACAGGCGGAAAGCAAAGCACAGTTGCCAATTGACAAGCTTACAGTCGGGATGCAGAGCGGCAATGACGGTCAGTTCCAACAAGTCCGCGATGACGACAAGAATATCAAATCACTGTCGAGACCCAAAGATGCAGTCGACACCTTCGCCACGAAGGCAATCAGTGAGGATTCGAAGGCATTGAGAATGTAATCACATGACAATATTGTGCGCCGTATCCAATCCCCCCCTAGTTTACGAATCGTACGACGTCATTCTTGAAGAATAAACTTGCCTCCCATTGAGTAATGGGGATTGATGCAACAATGGCGACAGCCAAGAGCCCTACGCTCAATCCTTTTCTATTCATTTTTAGAACATATCATAATGCTATAAACACATGCTGTACATCACCGCTTTACGTTCTGTCTACCTTCTTCATGCTTTGCAGACCAAGCACCAAGAAGCGGGCTACTTGACCAGTACCTAGCAATAAGGGTAGTTTCATTGATTCGTTTGATGTATGATAGAACAAGTGTTTAGCGTTGGCCACTGGCGAAGCCGCCGTTTGAGCTTCAGATCAGGGTATTTCATAGACCACCAAGTCCTGCACTACCACCAACCAATCGCCACTGTACAAGTCCTCTAAGCACCATCATACCATCATGAACAACAGCCCATCGCACTTTACTTAAGCACCTGCTCACAACTGCTGCAAGTCCATTTGTACCCCTCTTGCCCATACTGCCAGTGACAACGCCGTCACCATCAGCTTGGAGTAGCTTCTCCGGCTGAGCTCCAAGCACAGCGTCAAGGAGCGTCTTCATCTCGGCAACTGGATCCCAAATAATCTCATCTTCGTCTTCTAGATGCTGGAGGTGTTGCGGCAACTGATCTCCAGAAGAGAGTGGTGGCATGGGCCGAGCATACCACACACCCCAGACTACCAGCGTACCGAGATACACGGCCCAAGGATGGTGCCATATTCTGCCTCCCACGATGTCTGAGAAGCTGATTTCACCATCGAGGACGTCCACTCCTTCGTTTACAAGAGCGGCGGCGTGGCAAACTGCTTTCCCGGCTTCTTCCATGTTCTCTGCTACCCACTTCTTGACCATACGTTGGGAGCGCACGTAGTCGTGGCGTGCGACTGGTCGACCAAGTATGTGGCGGGCACCGGCGTAGATTTGTAGGTCGAGGAAAGGCGTGTGGAGGAGGATATGCGCAGAGTGGTAGAGCGCTAGTGTGGCGGTGCGGGAGACATGGAACTCCTTAGCCAGAAAATGTGTGGACGAGGGAAGCGCGGAAAGATACGTGGTGCAGTAAGCAGTGTAGTCCGCGTACCAGGCTACGTATGAGGTTGCGAGACGGGCCTGCCAATTGCCGAGTGGATTTGACTCGATGACGCCTAGCGATGTCTGATCGCGGCGTTGCATGTCCCATGCTACGGACATCAGGCCATGGAGAAGTAGAGAGCGTGATAGGCTATTCAAGTTCTTGGGGATTGTGGCAGTGTCAGGATGAAGATACATCTTCAGGCACGATAAGAACAATGGAGTTGGTGGCTGCTTCTGCCGCAACTGATGCCATGTCTCAGCCGAGTCGGCTTCCCACATAGCCTGATCGCAAGGCATGTTCGAACGGAGTTCGAAGGCGGACATGCAAAGTGACTGGCAAAAGAGAACTGCATGTTGCGTATCCCACATGAAGCATAGAAACGCCAGCCTGCGCACTTTGAGCGGAATGCCGTGAGGCTTCAGTTGATGGATACATACCTCTTCTTCTGCTCTGCTTTACACCATGTCCGCCAGTCATCTTCAAGGTCATCAGTGGCGTCTTCCGGTGTTGGTGGTCGGATGCTTTGGCAGTCGCTCCGGCGAATGAGGTTGATGAGCAGACCGTGGAATAGATGCGACATGTCGTGTTGCTTCTGACCAGCTCTGCTCTTGCCGAAGCACTCTACTAATAGAATAGTTTGAAGTACCCAGAGATCTGGCTTTGCTGAGAAACCAGCATTTGCGAAGATCTGTGGTCGTAGCACGTCATGAATGCATACCTGATTGGGGTTAGCTAAAGCTCATTTATAACGGTGCGCGTCTACTTACGGCGAGCTGATGAGCGTCTTTCTCTCCATAAGTTGCACCTAGCAGCAAAACCGATGCGAGGAGTAGAGTATCGATCTCTGATGGATCGAACGTAGACATATGAATCAGCGGGTATGTGGTGTTGAAGCGTGTGAAAAAGAGATCGCAGTATGTTTGCAAGCACGATAATGAAAGTAGCGGGTCATCTCGCATGACTATACTACCATCTGGCACAGTAGGCTGTATGATATCAATGAGATCGAGTAACTGCTGACGAGCTAGCTCATCAATTATTGGCAAGCTTCGCGATGGTTGGAGCAGAGACATCGGTCGTTCGACATCCACAACAGCATTGTTGACCATCATTGATACTGGGGCGTTTGATCTACGGCCAACGGATTTAGCCTTGGTATTGGAAGATGAGATCGTCCTGGTAGCTGATTTGTCTCTTTCGTCGAATGGCGGCGTGATTATCGGTACAGTTGGTGAGTGGGGATGAAGAACTTCGTTTGGTTGGGATGGAAGTGAGCCAAACTGGCCAACCGTGGATAGCGACGCATCCATATCCATATGTTCCAACTGAAAATCCAGATCATGACTTGGCTGAGAGATATTGCTGTCTCCGAAGGACATGGCAGGGAATGAGTCTCCTACGACAGGCTGTTGAGCCTGATCATTGCTCGTCCAGTCCATATCAAAGAGCCAGTTGTAGTTACTCATGGTTGTGAAGGGTGCATTGAAAGAGCTCGCCGTATCTGGATTGAATATCTCGTCGAATGGCGCATTGTCGAAGACTGCTGAGACGAATGGATCGCTTGGAGGCTGCGTGTTATCGGTAGACCAGAAGCGCTGATCCGCAGGCGAGTATGAACTAGACGTAGAGATGCTGTTGGGATCGAGGGCTCTTGAGGGATAATTAATTCCTATACCCGAGTCGTTGTCGTCGAGAGAATGAGATGTTGAGGGATTGTTCGATGTTGGTGGCGATATAGGAAGACCTTGATGTAAGAAAGAGGTGAAATCCGGCAACGACTGCACTAGGTTTTCACTTTGCGGCCGCGAAATAGATCGGGTCTTCTGACCGTCGTTGGATAAGCTGGGCCTTTTCGTGACTATCTTGCCTTCGGCATCTTTCCACATTCGCTTTCGGGTGTTTAATACTCCGCAGCCTTCGGCGCCAGCTTCTTCGTCTTTCTGACGATGGCGACTAATATGTCTCTCTGCCCATATATGTTAGCGACCAAGGAATGGCGCTTTCAGATTCGTGATGCGAGATAAGTCCGTCAACATTTTGAGGGTCCACGGATTTATGCGACTAAGCAAAGAGCATCTAATGTATCGAGAGAAAGCCATGTAGTCTGCAAGTCAAGGAAACAGTATATTATTCTTACCAAGAAGATCTCTCCGCTTGAAGTGAGCCCTGCATCGATCACAAGTATACTCCCCAGTCGAATGATTCAGCAAATGTCTTTGCAAATGCTCGGCCCTCGTGAAAGACCTTCCACATTCATCATTCGTGCAAACAAACTTCTTGCCCTCATTCTTGCTAAGATTCCTTCTCTTGCGTCCGCGGGTCCCTGAACTTGCACTCTCGACAGTAGTGGATGCCATAGCGCAAGATCAGACAAATTGTTTCGATGATCTGATTAAAGGATGGGGGCACTGGGGATGAAATGGGGTGAAGAGAGGCTCAAGAATCCGCATTACGGAATACCACACGATAGTGCGCGTCGGATAGAGGTATGCTTATCGGGGTCAAGAAGTCCGACTATCGCGGCCGAGTGTGGAGTTGAGTCGTGCCGCTAGTGGGCGGGGTTACGCGTGGTGGCGTAGGCTTGGGAACGCATCTTCAAGAGTGGGGGTGAAGTTTCCCATCACAAATTGCATCCATCAGTCATCCACAGTCGATTTGCTCTCTGTTCCATCTGTCGTACTTGCAAACTAAAGCAGGTGCGTGGCCAGAATATGATGAACAGCAGAGCTGATTGTCGAGCTGACGAGGCGGAAAGCGCGGAGAATTCGCGGTTATCTCCGCTACGCGTGGTTCGCATGCGGATAGACTATGGTGGCCTAATGTGGAGCTGTCATGTTAGAACACCCGCAATCGCAGAAGTCCATTCGGGTGAGCTGCACCGGAAGCATCAGATATGGTTGGTGATGGTTGTTGCTCTATCATAGCCCGGCGCGACACGACCTTTTTGACACACTTGCGGCGCGCCCGTTAGTCATGTCACAGTTGAGATCATGGCCATCGGCTTTGCTTTCCTATCGGCAGCGCGATAGGCATATCTTAACCGACGTGAATATAATCAAGGTTACCGTGCGAGACCAAACGTGCATGCCAATGTAGCTTGTTGGGGACGCGACAGCATTGCTATGCAAACATACATTCGTTATCAGGTATGGATACAAATGCAGTGAATAGGCAGCCTCACGAGCCATCGGAATACCCGCAACGAAAGGACTTGATACCAATCGTTACCCACCTTATACTTAAAGACAAAAGCGGCATCTCAAGGGCCTGCTTACGCGACAGCAACCAAGAAATTTGTCTCCCCTTCTTTCCTTTCAGTTCTCGCCCGGTCAATAAGGTCATCCCCAACCGCCAACCTCAACCTCTCACACGTAGCCGGGCTATCCAGGTTCCAGCCTCCATCATCCTTCTTCCCATTCATTTTCCTCGCTGCCACCACTGCCTCTCTCAGCGCGAAGAAGACCGTTGATCCCAAGAACAGCGGCGGCTCCCCAATACCTTTAGAACTTTGCACACTCCTCAAGTGATTCCATGATAGTGGGTTGCCATCGTTATCTTGGCGGAGCATGCTGGCGTTGAAGACCTGCGGGATATCGCTGAATCCAGGGATCTTGTATGTACCAGGACCTCGAGTGAAGAGCTGACCGGTTCGGGTCCAGAGTGTCTCTTCGATGGTGAAGAGACCTTGGCCTTGAATAAAAGCGCCTTCGATCTGTCCGTAGTCTATGGCAGGATTGATGGAGTTGCCGACGTCCTGTAATACTGTTACCATGCTGAAATGAATGCATATGAAAACAACGCTTACCATCATAATGTCTGACCGGAGCACGGTGTGATCGCCCGTGAGTAGATCAAGCTCGACTTCTGAGCAGCACGCTCCTTGTGTCCAATAGTAATACATGGGCTTGACAGTGTCCAGGTTTGTGTCGCCCCAGATGTACCCGACTTTGGGCATCTTCCAGAAGCCATTCGCAGCGAGATTGACGCGATCGACATAGGCAGCATGAGCGAGTGCCTTGAGTGGTGCATCTTTCCCTAGCTTCTCGCGATACGGCTTCAGCCGCTCATTGATCTGGTCGCATGCATTCTTTACAGCCATACCATTCAGATCGGATCCAGATGATGCAGCGGTAGGAGACGCGTTTGCAATCTGATAGGTCTGGCTGTCTTGAGTATAGATAGCATCGAGTGGGGTACCAAGCTCTTGCGCTGCTATCTGACACATCTTGGTGTAAAGTCCTTGACCCATTTCAGTTCCGCCGTGGTGGAGCAACACACTGCCGTCGTGGTAGATCTTGATATATGCGCCCGCTTGATTAAGATGTAGAGCTGTTGCAAAGCTGAGACCAAACTTTGAGGGAACGAGACATATACCTCGCTTCCTCCACCGGTTCTTCGAGTTGAACTCCTTGATGGCCGTTTTCCGGTTCTCGTAGTTAGCGGACTTGCTCAACTGATGCAAGAGCATCGGAACGTGCCAGTCCTCGTCGATCTTTTGGAAGAACGGAGTGTGTTCTCCAGGCTTGTACAAATTCTTCAACCGCAGCTCGTCGACATCCATATCCAGACCCTCTGCAATATTGTACATGATGGTTTCCGAAAAATACATGCCCTGAGGCGCTCCGAAGCCTCGGTATGCAGTGTTACTATGAATGTTGGTTCTGCATACATGACCACGCAGGAACACATGTGGACATTCGTAAGAGTTGTCAAAATGCGTCAAACATCGATCCATAACTGCTCCGCTCATGTCCTGAGAAAAGCCACCGTTGTTGTAAACATCAGCTTCAAGAGCGATGAGCTTGCCCGTTTTTGAGACCCCGACTTTCCAACGAGCCTGGAAGGGATGCCTTTGGCCGCTAAGGAGCATATCTTCATCGCGGTTCAGCATGATACGCACTGGCCGCTTCTCCTTTCTGGCGGCTATCGCGGTGTAGACTGCGAAGGGCACGCTGCGGGACTCCTTGCCACCAAAGCCGCCTCCCATACGCTTCACGCGTGCGTTGACGCGATTGCTCGGCACACCCAATACTGAGCTCACAAACTCCTGGGTCTCCATGGTGTTTTGTGTTGAAGACCAGACCTCCATAGCTCCGTCTTCTCCGGAAGGTATCGACAGCGCTGCGTTGGTCTCGAGGTAGAAGTGCTCCTGCCCGCCTAGCCTGCTTATACCTTCAAAGATTTTGTCGCATTGAGCGAAAGCGTCAGCCATCTTGTCGTCGACCGCGAGGCCTTTCCTTAGGAACTTTCCATGTGGATAGTAGCTCTCGGCTGCGATGGCTTCGTCGATGGTAAGGATGGGTGGCAGTTCTTCATAGTCGACCTTCACAGCTCGGGCGGCCGCTTGAGCTTCCAGAACCGATTCGGCATAGACCATACCGATGATCTGGCCATGTGAAAGTACTTTATCTTCCGCGAAGAACGGTTCATCTTTTTTGATCGAACCCCAAATGTTGGCGTCCGAGGGAATGCTATGTCGGTCAATGTAGCCAACAACGCCAGGCAGTTCGAGTGCTCGCTCCCAGTCGATGCTCAAAATCTTAGCATGGGCCTTTGTTGACATGACGAGTCCACCAAACAATTCGCGGTCTAGTCGCGGCATATCGTCAATATATTCTGCTTCACCAGTACACTGCTTCAAAGCCGATAGGTGTGCCACCTGCTTGCCTACCACACGTTGTTCGTAGGGGTTGTAATCATCTCGAGTACCGCTAGAGATCTCACGATGAATCTCATCGATCACCTGCTCGTCGACATTGCCTAGGCCGAACTCAGCGGCAGCCTCATGCCAGAAGCGGAAGAAGAGCGACAGAGTAAGCGTTTTCCGGTAATCAGCCATGCCGCCAGGGACGCCATACGGAAGATCATAGTCCTGCAGCAATGCTGTGAGAGCAGCATCAAGGGTCTCCGAATGAAACCAGGGTTTTCCCAGGAGGGCTTTCTGCGTCTTCGGTGATTCCTTTGTCATAGGCGCCATGCCGCCGTATACAATCGAAGCGTCCTCTACTAGGCCTTCCGAGTCAAGACGCACCCGAAACGCAGCCGTGACAATTGCGATGTCGTCGTCTTTACGTTTCGCTTGCTTGTACGCTTTAAGAACGTCTCGCGACCCTTCTGGAAGCAGAGGGATTCGAATGCGATGCAGCACTGCATCGGGTGGGAGGGTTGTAGTCCTGTAAGCTATGAAGAAACTTGACATCGGAAGATCAACACGGCCATCCTTCTTATTGACAGCTTCTAGTGTCACCCCAGCTGCGACCAGCACAGGATTGGCGTCTGAAATAGGCGATGCAGTTGCAATGTTGCCAGCTAATGATGCAACATTACGAATCTGACGACCCGCAAAGTATCGCAATTGTTTACGAAGGGCTTCTAGCACCATCGCACGCTTTCCGAGCATTGCATAGACCTTCTTGCAGATTTCTTCAAGCTCAGTAAGCGGGGTGTTTGCAGCAACGACTAGCTCGTTCGCTGTCTCGAGCTCCGCATACATGGGCAGTTTTGTCTGCTTCAGCTCTGGTATATCTGAGATGTAGACAGAAACAGCAAAGTCGGAATTTTTGAAGCGAACCTCCACTTGAACCTCACTGGCACCGCTAACGAGCTTGGCTGAAGGGTAAGCGTCTTTCAAGTCCACGAGCTGCTCAAGCTTGGTAGGTCGAAACCAGATCTTCTTGTCATTACCGTAGCATAGCGGCTGCGGCTCGTACTTCCATAACGTGGGAGGAAAGATGAGCTCAGTTTCCGGAACGTACTCCAAAAACTCGATTTTAGGTACACCTTTCACTGAGTTTGCCGCCGGCGCCTCGATAGTGGACGTGGCGGTCTTAGACTCAGCAGCCGCACCATGCTCCTTGCTCTTCAATGGTTTGGCGTACTCGGCGCCGCAAATCGCAGGATCTGCTTGCAGCTGCTCCTTGGCATCTAAGATGACTGGTATGTGCTCGTTTTCCGACGCAGATGTAGGCTCCGTTGGTGGTGACGAAACATCCGACTTGGTGTCTGTAGAGCTGCTATCGGATAAGGTGTCTCTGCAGCAGCCACCTGGTCGTCCGCAGGAGACTTTGGAAGGACCAGCACAGCCATTGCGAGTCAGATCGACGACATCTTTCTCGAACTTCTCAGCGTCGGCAGTCGTTGGCTCATCTTCTTCTGCCAGCTGACCCTTCAGATCCTCGGTGACGAAAGTCTTCGCAGCTTGCAGTATCGGTTTGTAACCTGTACATCGACATAAGTTGCCATCGAGGTGGCCTTCCATCTCAATCTCGCGAGCGCTGAGGTGGAACTTCTTCGTCTCCGGGTTGTATGCGTTGCGTACTACTGCATAGAGACTCATAACGATACCAGGTGTACCTATGATATCCTTCAGTACAGATCTTGAAATCGATCTTTTGGCTTGACCTACAGAAACCACATTGGCTGCCGTGCAACTTCGCGATCCTTTCTTGCAGAGGATGGGGTCGACCAACGTTGCCGATGCCTTCGACCGTGATTACATGTTTGCCATCGATACCAACCAGGGGAAACAAGCATGCATTTACAGATAAATGCTTAATTCTCTTCTTTTCAAACTGCCAGTCTGGAACCTGTAGAACAACAGTGCATGCACCGCATCCACCCTCGCCACATCCCAGCTTCGTGCCTTTGAGCTTCGGCTGAGCGCGGATGTAATCCAACAGCGTCCAATGTGGATTAGGATTACTGATGATCCTTCTTCGTCCATTGATGTACGTTGTGATATCTGGTGTTCGGAATGTCGTCTCAATGAGAGGTGTAAGGGCTTCCGTAGCGGAAAGGCCCCGAGGCGGATCGGCCGCACTGCTTTTCGGCGGAATCGGCAAAGACATGATGGGTGTCAAACCTCAATAGAAAAGCAGTGAGACGGGCAGAAACGCGATGCTGGCTTCATAATATGGTCAGCGAACACCTGTTTTTGCAGCATTCACGCCTTCCTCACGTAATGCTATTGCTGATTGGCCGTGAGGCGACTGTTCCGATGATAGACGATTTCGCCTCTCCTATGGCTGGACCCGCAGTACCCCACTCTTGGACCACAGCTCAGCAGCGTAGTACAGATGGCTGTTTGTGCGCATACCGCAAACATCAGCCTCGTCACACTCCTTGCTCAATCTGCCCCTCCCCCATTTCTGTATCTGCAAACACCACTCCCTAACATGGGATCTGCGGCGATGGAGACTACTGGTTTTGACACTAGCGTCAGGTACATAGGAGACCCTGAGCAGCAACCATGTGGCTGTTCCAACCCTTTTGTGGTAGCCACGATCCCGTTCCCTCCCCTTCGCAGTCCTCAGCGCAAGTGTGAAACTCGCAGATATGCCGAAAGCAAACAGCCCAACCGGCTTCCAGCCACTCAAGGAAACTGCGCTTTTCTCGCCGTTCAAGCTAGGCCCTCTGAATCTTGAGCACAGAATCGTGCAGGCACCATTGACACGTATGCGAGCAACCAAGGAAGAAGACGGCATTTTCGTGCCGAAAGAACTACACGTTGAATATTACAGCCAACGCGCGAGCAAGGGTGGATTGCAACTGACGGAGGCCACTGATATTTCCAAATACGTATGTTGTACCCAACTCGTTAAAGTAAGCATGCTAACTTGTAATAGGCCAGCGGATACCCAGGTGTACCAGGTGTATTCTCCGAATCTCAGATCGCCGGTTGGAAGAAGGTAACCGATGCTGTCCACGCAAAGGGTGGTTATATCTTCTGTCAGTTATGGCATACTGGCCGTGCTAGCCCTCCATCGTTCCGGGACGGAGCGCCAACTGTCAGCTCAAGCGACGTGCCTATGGAGGGTAGTTGGCTTGACGGGGTTGCATGCGCCGACCACCCACCCAAGCCGCTGACTGTTGAAGAAATTCAAGATCTGACAAAGATCTGGGCTGAAGCCGCAAAGAAAGCTGTCGAGGCTGGCTTCGACGGCATCGAGATCCACGGCGCGAACGGATATTTGCTAGATCAATTCCTGCACGACAATGTGAACAAGAGAACAGACCAGTACGGTGGATCGATAGAGGGCCGTAGCCGATTTCCCCTCGAAGTCGTTCAAGCGTGCTCAAAGGCCATCGGTGCTGATAGAGTCGGCATCCGTCTCAGCCCATACAACTACTTCCAAAACACCAAGGACAGCAATCCCAACGAGCATTGGGAGTACCTGTGCGAGAAAATCGCGTCGCTTCCGCAGGGCAAGAGGCCGGCCTATGTTCATATGTAAGTCGATCAACTTTGATCGCCAAATCAATGCTGACAATGGCTAGGGTCGAACCGCGTTTCGACGAGGTCCTAGACGAACAGGCCAAGATGGACGCTCTCGCCGCATACACCACAAGGGGAGGCAAGGGCGTGGAAGCAGAAGCGACTGTGAAGGTCAAGGGCAATACCCTGGTTAACTTCCGCAACATCCTGCAGAAGGGTGGTGTGAAGTTCATCGCGGCTGGTGGCTTCGATAGGAACAACGCCGCGCCGAAAGTCGAATCCGGAGATGCTGATCTCATCATCTTCGGTCGATGGTTCATCGCGAACCCTGATCTTCCCGAGCGCCTCGCTGAGGGTCTGGAACTAAACCAGTACGATCGCAACACCTTCTATGGCGCCGATCCGCCGCAAAAGGGGTACACGGACTATCCTTTCCATGCGCAGACGGCGTCTGCTTGAGCAGGTATTCGGGTTCGATGCATCAGTGGCGCTGGCATGATATTCGCATTTTTTGCGTGCTGGTAGAATATAAACACAGTTTCTGAAAACGTGAGCGTATGCATCAGCAAGCCCTGTGGTTACTGTCCTATCTCGTTGTCATGATGCGGGTGTCGCCAAGAGTCGCGGCCCCACAAACGCGAAACTGACGCGTTAGCTTTCACACTTCGGTGGCTGGAGCGAAAGCCGGGATAGTGTCAAATTGGGAGAACAAACTTCGCATTCAAGATCTCATTCTCGCATTTCATCTCGCCTTGCTAAGGTTCCACGTGCAGTCCTTACTATTTATACTGCCAACCACACTCGTGCCTTATCGTTGTTCGACCAGTCAGTAACGCGACAAAAATAGAAAAGTCTATATCATCCAGACCTTCAAAATTCAAGGTTGTGCAGCCGAAAATCACCCAGCTTTCCAAGGGCATGAGCCAGTGCGCCATTGGACATCGCGGTAGCAATGAGTCCATCAGGCCTCGAGCGCGGAGATCCGGAGGAGATCATATAAGTGCGTTGTCGGATGAGATCCTACTGAGAATCTTCCGCTGCCTGCCTCTTACGGACTATCCAAGGAGCAACTTCACGGTAGGATATCAACCAAGACGCCCAATTCGCGACTATGCGGCGTTGGCGTTGACTTGCCACACTCTCAACCGTGCTGCCACGACCATGCTTTACGAACACTATGATCATGGCTTCGACTATAAACCATCGACAATATTCATCGGGACTCTGATTGCCAATCCAGCACTAGCCTTATTAGTGAAAGGAATGAGGGAGATCGGGTCGGTAGAGTTTGGTATTGATGAACCAAACTTTAAGCCTCGCATTCGGAGTTTCCGAAGCATCAGAGCGATATGTTCTAAGATAGAGGCTCTCAGTATACCACAAGGAGAAAGATATGTTGCACTCTTACGCGAAGGCAACGATTCATTTTACGGCTTGGAGACAGCGCTTATCTTATATCTTTCGCCTAACATCGAAACTGTCGCATCTAATTGCTGTCCAGAAGCACGCACAAATAACATTCCACAGCAGGACATCGCATTCGCTCAACGTCAGCCACAGGCGGCACTACTGCCTCTGATCCATGCTAGCCAAAGAATCCCGTACGGTCACGTTCACCCCTTCACACGGCTCAAATCACTGAAGATTCGGATGCAGGGACTTCACGTCATTTCTCTGTCCCCTGTTCTACGGCTTGGTTCGTTACGTGATTTGGTACTTTTTGATTACACACAGCAAGAGGATAGTCTCAACGACGTACCTTGTCAATGGGACTGTCCTCCGCAAAGCTCAACGATACAAAATATCCGGCTGTTTGACTTAGAGTGTCATCTTGAATCTTTAAAAAACCTTCTCAGCTCTTGTAAAGCATTAAAATCATTCGCATGGACGACACCGTTTACTGACAAAGACCCGCCATATCAGTGGCCAAACATCAAAACTTTGCTACAGACACTTCAGCCTGGACTCGAAGCTCTCAAAATCAAAGAAAATCGTAAGGTTGACGAGGCACACCCAAGACTATGATCACTTCGAAACCTTACCAATCTACGATATCTTGCTGTACCGTTCGAGCTAATAGTTGGTATGCGCATCTCTCTTCTGATCATTCCATCACTGACGCTTCCAAGACCCTGCCGATCGAAGTGAGGATACACACCTCGGCACACTTCTGCCGACAAATCTGCAGACATTTGTGCTTAACAAAGGAGACGAGCGAAATTCTTTCCGGCATCATGACGATCCATACCACAGGATTGTATGCGATGAACAGGTTCAGAGCTTTCTCAATGCAGATCATAGCGGCAGCATGTCACTCCAGAACTTTGGCATCATATACAACACGACTTTTCAGTATGAGCAGTCGGAGTCGGAGGAGACAGAAGACGTTCACTTCAACTTTCACCTTTTCGCCGAGCAGTGTAAGCTGCGCGGAATTCATTTCGACTATGTCATTAGACTTCATCATGGCCAGGATCATGGTAAGAATCAAATCACGATTAGCTGATAAACTTGATGTACTGACTATGTATCATAGATTGCAGACAGCGGCTCGTCCCAACACGACTCATTTTAGATGAAGAGGTTACAAAGGAATATGAGAAGCACTTGGACTCAACTTTCGATCCTGTTCATTATAATTTGCAAGGCATCACACGGCCAGCATTCTTTGAGAAGAACGACGATGAGTACACGGTCTATCGAGATGGTGACGACGACAACTAGTGTGTATCCGAAATGAGACGACTATCTTGTAAGGTGGGACTGGCGATGTACCGGGCTCACTATCTTTGCAGCATACTTTTGGCCAATCGTCCAAAATCAGCCTACGCCAATGGATGTGACCTCTCAAACTCCTCAACAATCTCCTCCGCAAGAAAAATGTCCCCGCCATTCTCAAAACCCTCGAGCAAGATATGAAATAACCGACGCGCCAGTATCAGTCCTGGACAGTTCGCCTCCTTCAAGAAGCTGTCCCCGACAACACTCTCAAACGTACGTTTAACTTCTAATAACTCCGCATCCTGCGGTCCGATCATCGCATCGCCATCCTCAACTCCTCTGCGATCCCCACTAGTCCATAGAAAATTCGGCGCGCGCGTGCTCAGAAAAGCTGGTGCAAAGAAAGCGAGATCCCAATCCATGATCCCCGTTATTTCGACGGTTGATTCGGATGTGACAGATGTGAGGAGGTTATGTAGGTGAAAGTCGCCGTGGTAGAGATGGAACGGTGAAGAGCTGGGGATGAGACCTAAAGAATGTAGCGTTTCGATCGCCTTGATGATCTTATCCCAGAGATCGTTGCAGGCGGGTAGTTTCGTTACACCAGCATGCGCGCGTTGACGGGCGCAGAGGTCGAGCAGGAAATCTCTTGTACTCTGCGGAACAGAGAGTGAGTCGTCGACGCTTGTTGGATGAGTATTAGGTCGGGTGCGAGGGATGGGAACGGTTTCAGTGCTGACGAGATCGCGCTTAAGATCGTAGGTGGAGTTGCGGATGCTAATGAGGCCAGGACACTTATTCTTGATCTTTCTTATATCTAGTACGATATTGGAGATAGCTCGGGTGGCACTGAGTCGCTGAGCTTGATTCAATGTTGGCCACAGATTGCTTAGAAGTTGGCCGGGTAGCCGCTCTTGGAGTATGTATGCGTGACATAGGGCGTTATCTGCACCTGCGTCGAAAACGGTGACTTTAGGGACAGGGTGTTCGAGCTTGTAACTTAAGTATGCTAGGGTAGTGACTTGGTGGTGCATATTCTGAGGAGGGTTGCGCGGGATTCGCAGAACGAATTGCTTTGGTTTGCTTGTACGATTCTTCCGACCCGTGAGACATGGTCGGATCATCTCATGGATACCCCGAGTAGAGTACCATGGTGCCTTGGGTGGGGATTTGCAGAGCGTGATGCCAATGATGCGGTTATGTCGGCCGTCATGTATCCGCTCAATATCTACATCTTCGGTGCGGTAACCAGGGAAGAGATCGCGCATGAGCTGCGGAACCCTGAGGCGTAAAGTTTCGTAGGGTTCTAGTTCCTGTTCGGCTGTTGATATCGTCATGATCTCTTGGGAAGCGGCATCATCCCTGTCTTCTTCATCGCCAACGACGAACGTAGACTCAGCGTCGGGTTGCTCGTCTTGGACATGTTCATTGGTGAAAGCGTTCGTAGGAGCCATTATGTAGGCTCCTAGGGAAAAACTTCTTCGTGGAGATCGCTTCAGTCTTAACGTTCGTTCCAAGGTGTACAAAATCAGCTTGATCTGGTTTTCCGACTTTCGCGTTGGAGGGATAGACAAGGAGGAACCAAAGCCAAGAATGAGAGCAAGCTACAGTGAGGGTTCATTGTTGAGGCACAGGATATTACTTCTTTGTCTTGGTAGCCACAGCGTGTGATCTGCACTGTTTGTCAATTTTTTCGGATTGTAATAAGAGCCGTCAAAAATCGTCGCTATCGGAACTTTTCATCACTTGAATATGAGTGGGTGTTGGACACTTCGCCTAGGATGGCTCTGGTTGAGCCCAGCCAGCGGTCTGTTAACTTGCACAGCCTCGCAATTCTATTTATCTTCCTCATCGTCAAAGATCTCACAAACCTCAAGTTGCGTTTTCGCGTGCAGCTCATTCCATTCCCTCACAATCCTCCGTGCAGTATCATAATCATCGTTAGAGCAAATGCCCATGATAGACAATTTCGCGATGTCTCTCGCAAGCCTATACTCTGTCGCATAAGCCCACTTACAGTACTTTTCACCAGCAGCCTTTTTAAAAGCCATTTTCACAGCTGCAAGATCTGCATTCTTTGGTGTAACGTTGGCAGCAGCTTCATCTAGTTCCTCATCGCCATCGTCTTCGGTATGCCAGAGCCAGGGTGGGGGACGACAGTTTGTGAAGGTGGGGGCGAAGACGGTTTCATCCCAGTCTAGGATTGCGGAGAGCTTCGCATTGGTAGGAGAAGTGATGTAGATGAGTATGTTGCGGGGTTCCAAATCCATATGTGTCAGTGCGTAGATGTTTTCGTTTAGGAAACCCAGCCTGTGTAGATGTTGGATGATGGCTGTGAAGGGTTTCCAAGGATTCAAGTATTTACGGTGGAGCGTGAGATCGTATGCGCGTTGACGAGCAAACTGTGAGACGAAAAACTCATAGACGGTCTGAGGGGTAGATAGTACGAAGGGCTCAACAGAGTGCACTTGGCGAAATGCGTTCCGTGGTGGGCAGTGTAAGCGCAGAACCTGCAAATTTGACGACCTGGCGAGGAAGGCGTCGGGGTCCAAATTTCCTGGGGATGACGACTTGATGTTGCCCATCTCCTTCAGTGCGGAACCTAGATCCTGTGCGAAGCAAATGCGCTGCTGCGTGTTGAGCTTGAGGTACATTTCAAGCTCAGACTTGCCGGGAAGCCGTGGCTGAATCATGTATGGATTACCAATAGGGTTCTCAGCCGATAGATCGAATGTCCTGACACTCGGTACCGGGACACTAGTTGTAGCAAGAAATTTGAGGATGGCGATTTCGTGTCCAACCCACGCATGCTCGTTGCGCGGTGTACGGAGGACATAATCTCGGATCTCTGTCTTGCGAATCATACTTGGGCATACATTTCGCAGAAATTGTAGTACTTGAAGCTTGATCCAGCTCGCTGGTTCCCCGGAGCTGTCAGCCCTAATGCCAATGACACGATTATAGGAGCCACCATCCATGCGTGTGGTAGTCAAGGTATCTTTACAGAGATGTGGCCACTCCTTCCTGCAAAGCTCGGATACCTTAGACTGGAAGGTGTCAAAGGGCTCATGTTCGAACATCTCGGTCGAGGTCGTCGACATGTCAGAGCTTGCGATTGAAGCCGTATCGTCCTCGTCATCTCGCGCAGGCTCGAGATGATCAATAGGCGTAACACTGGATGGGCTTTTGTTACTAGGCATGGTTATTCTGTTGAGGGTGTGATAGAATCTGATTGGCAAATTCGGATAATGGTACGGCGTCGTTTAATGATATAAGAGGCTCTGCTGACGTTGTGTGAGATCCAACAATGTTGAGAGAGTTACTTTCGCAAAGGAAGAATCGTGATTTGGTCTAGTCCCGAAAGTTTCCGTGTGCGAACACAGCAGCTAAATGAAGAACGAGGACCTCTTAAGAGTGGTGATTATACTGCTTTCCAAATTAGGACCTAAAAGCTCGTACTATAAGTATTTGATGCAGCCAGAATACTCACAACTTGATCAAACATAACACGGGAGCATTTGTATGAAGTGGCACTCAAGACTGAACAAACGTATTTAAACTCTTGATATGACACGCGCACACGGATCGAAAACTACTATGCGAGCGGTGTGTGCCAAGGTTGCGAAGGAGAGGCTAACGCCGCAGCCCGAAGAAAACACAAGCAGCAACAAGACTTGAAGAAGCAGACGACCAATGCGAAGAGACGTGACAATGATTATTGGTACCGTAGGTAAAAATGTAAAGTTGGCAGAGTTACACTGGAATAGGGGTAGTAACTCCTGTGAGACGGTTATCACACGTAAATTGGGCGTAAGTTGCGACCTTCCAGATGGCATGTACTGGTAGTTGGGGCGTGGACACTGTAGCCCTTACGGTGTTCGATCCATGACAATTAGTATGAATATAGACGTGTTTGCAAACGTAACATTGCGCTGCGAGACGACAATGGAACAACAAAGAGACCGAGACAAAGAAAATGAAGTGACTTGACACCCTTTGGAAACTAGCTAGAAGTGCAGGCCGCGTTGCCTTAAGAACGACCGTAATAACAAAAAACATTCGGAAAAATATCAGTGTTTTGGGGCGAACTCATTTCAATGAGCATGTTGCAATGCAAGAGAGTAATCGATCCAGGCGACTGCAGTGGGGTAGGAAGTAAGAATGCAACAGAATGTTTGTTCACGCGAACAGAGGCGCACGACTCGTACCCATACCCCGGAGTCGTTACTGTCTGATAACAGTCAGCGCATAGTAAGATGTTTGTATCTAACAAGACCCGTCGGAGGTGGCCGAACCTTCCTTTGTCGCCGTAGCTTTGTGCCCCACGGCAAGCCTCGGCCCGCGTCATCACATTTGCCAAAACCTCCCCGCGTCGCGTCGCCTCTTCTGTTCCTCCCTTCTTTCCACCATGACAACAGTCACGATACCAAAGTTCAGTCCTGGTGAAGCTGTGACAGAGCAAGATGGGTTGATTCATGGCGTTTCGGCGCAGGAGTTGCAGGTTTTGGGAGAGCAGTGCTTCGATGCGAGGGCGAGGGCTTACTGTATGTTTTACGAACCCTTTGCGACGTGGCGAATGGTGGTAGTGTTGGCTGGAGATATGGACAGGAGAGACATTTGCTAATTGGAAGTTTGATCAGGCCCATACTCCCTCTTCCGCGTCGGCGCGTCCCTCCTCCTCACCACTTCCTCCGCAACGGATACATCTGCAGCCCACACTATCATCGGCGCAAACGTAGAAAACGCGTCCTACCCTGTTGGCACTTGCGCTGAGCGTGTAGCCATGGGTACAGCCGTCATGGCAGGCCATCGCATCGGAAGCTTCAAAGCCGTCGGTGTAACGACCGACATTGACGACTTCTGCTCGCCGTGTGGAATGTGCAGACAATTCCTGCGAGAGTTCTTGAAGCTGGAGACACCCATCTTCATGTTCAACAAAGAAGGGAAGTGGATTGTGAGGACGATGGGCGAGCTGCTTCCACTCAGCTTTGGGCCAGATGTACTGCCACCAAGGGAAGAGTTGAGGAAGAACCAGGAGGACGACAAGGCGAAGACCGCATAGAGGATGTATCGGGGGCGTTATGAGCAAGATACCGAGGGTTCAAGCATGTCGAGCGTGGCGTTAGTAGGAGGTGCATGACCTCGAGAACGCCGGTGTATTGGCTGGTCGCTAGAACTAGATGGTAGATTTCATAAATGAGAATCTCAAAGCCTGCGATACATATCGACCATCTGCCTATCTCGAGCTTTGTGTTCCAAAGCATGCGTTGTCCAGCTGCCTCAGAATGTAGCTAGCCTGACCCTCTCCCTGCCCCGCGAGAGCCCCGCGGAAGCCACCATGTAGCCCGATAAGCTCCCGATAAGCTCCCCATCTCAACCAACAATCGCACGTCTAATTCACATCTCCGCGCCCCGTGGATATGTACACTGACATAATACCTCCTGCCCAAGCAAGCAGCTATCGATCAATCCGATGACATGATGTGGTGTTTTGTAGACGCGCTGTTGCGCGTGTTCGTTTCTTCTCCCTCTGATCTCTGTTTATTACAAACTGTCGCAAAAGCACGTTGAACATATTTACGACCATGGCTGACACGAATGGAAACGGGACAAGAGATGCTGGCATTACGGATTCGGAGCACTTTTCGCCGTACAGAGCAGACGGAAAATTGGTATGTCCGCAGTACATCCTTTTCGTTTTACTGCAATGGATTGAAAAAGGGCTGGAAGCGAGTCCGGAAAATTGTAGGCAGCATGAGGAGAAGTCATGGCTAATGCCGCGATGTGATATAGTATGGTTTTGTATGCGTGGTAACAGGAGCGACTCAACCCGTAGGAAAAGCAATCGTCGCTGAGCTTGCAGGTAAGTCGCGTCCGAAGCCATCCTACAACTACTCACTAACACATCCTCCCAGCACACGGCGCAGCATGTATATACGCGTGCTCCAGCCTCCCTTCAGAACAGTATACCGAACTCGCCGACTCAATAAATGCACAATACCCAAACACAAAAGTGATTGGCTACCCCTACAAGATCAATTCCGAAGAAGATACCCTCGCCCTAATCGACGATGTGCTGAACTCCTGGGGTCGCCTCGATGTCTGGACATCTTCTACGGGTCTACTAGGACCCACATCGATCAATCAGACAGGTCCGAAAGATTTGTACGCCGCATTTGATACAAATGCCATGCCTGCTTTCTTTGCGCTCAAGTATGCGCCCGCTGCTATGCAGAAGACGACGCCCAAGGGGAGTTATCCTAATGCTGCGCCAAAGGACGTTCCGTATGGGAGTATCATCGTTGTCACCAGTGTTGCGGGAACGTATGGCGGGTGCTGGGCGCCTGCTTTTACAATGGCTTCGCATGCTGCACTTGGTGTTGTGCGCTCTGGTGTGCTGGTGCTCAAGGGGACTGGCGTGCGTATCAACGCTATTACGGCTGGGCAGATTGATGTCGGCGTTGATCTGAAGGATTGTGGTGTCAAGGAGATGGCGCAGGGCCAGTTCCCGCCTGCTGCGCTGCAGGGAGAAGAAAGTCAGAAGAGGACGATCGGATTGGAGAGAGCGGGGAGGCCGGAGGAGGTGGGCAGGACCGTGGGGTTTTTGGCGAGTGGGTTTAGTAGCTATATCACGGGAGCTGAGCTGAGAGTCGATGGCGGAGCTGGGGTTATGAATCCTATTACTGTTCCTGTCTAAGGATATGGTAAGGCATCTGAAAGATTGACGCGATAGGTGGGAGATGGATCGAGTACAGTTTGCGGAGCTAGTTGATGGTATCCTAATATATGGTGACTGTACCATTATGCCTTTCTCGAGATTCGTTATATCATCTATTCTTTCGTACCTGTATCATGCGCCACCTAATGTTGCAGCACGACTGGCACCCCCTTCTCCCAGTTCTCAATACTTTCTTTTATGTTGACCCAATACCTCAACTTGATCGCCTCACTCTTCGCAGCATCTAGATCATCCCTCTTGAACGCCTGGTCAATTATCTCGGTACTCTCTGCTATCCTCTCCTCATTCCTTTCCCTCATCTCTATCAAATCTTCTTCGCTCTCTGCCTCCTCTATGTTCTCTCTCGCGTCCAGCACCTCCATCAACAGCTCCGGGTCCTCGACTTTCGCTGTCTCGTCTTCTGCTACCTCGATTCCGCGTAAAGATAGCAGGTATTGTGCTCTCAAAAGCGGGTTCTGAAGCGTTTTGTAGGCCTCGTTGATGCGTGCTGAGAGGGCTTCGGCGCGTTTCTTGTCTGCTTGGGGATGTAGATCGGGATGGGCGCGGGCTTGTAATTGGAGGAATTCTTTCTTCAGGGCAGAGAGGTCGATGGCGAAAGGGCCGTCTGGGGGCGGGCCGGACGGGAGGGATTTCGGGAAGAAGGAGTAGTGTGTCTGTGGGATTTGCGACGATTGTGCTGTGGTGTTCTGCGTCTCGAATGGCTTTTCGACAGTATTGGGAGCAGATGATGTGGACTGGAATCTACGCGATATTGTCTGGGGCGGTATACGGTGTGCGCAGAGGAGGCATGGCGTTACGCCCTGTCGTGTGCGAAATGACGAAGTCGTAGTTTCGGAAGTGAGCGATGCGCGGATTCTGCGCGCTGCAGATGAACGTACGGAGCGCATCTTTGAATTTGTAGGCGTCTTCACAGATACGATTGGTACAGGTGAGGTAGTGATGAGTTTGGTGGTGAGTTTGGCGGTTGATGTGAGTCTTCTAGAAGTGCAGCGACGAAAGATTTCCGCGTCCAGTTCCGACCAGTTACGTCATCCATCGCCGGCACTCATCATCGACAGCTAATGGTAGAAATGCACAACAGATGCTGAAGAAATTCTGAAAGCAATGTCGTACTATTATGACCATTTGGTTCAAGGTCAAGGTTGTGTCTGAGGACTGTATCGTCTGCATTCTGACTGAAGAGCGCGGGAAGCTCATTGCGGCGCTCCTTTCCATGCACTTCGAGGTCCTTGGATAGACCCAGAAATATGTTCCTCATAAGGACTGTCTAACTTCCATCGCATGTAGATAAATTTCATTTCCTGCTCTACCTCTAGATCTAACTGCACATGAGGCCACGAGCAGGGAACATCAGCCCTACTGCTTTCCACATAGCTTATCGTGAGCTACCGATCCACGACCCCAAGGGACAACTCCAGCAACCAAGAGCGCTCGCTAGTTGTACTAAGCTATCGGAAATAGGCTGAGTTGACTGTTTCGTCACCTGTCGATTCCGTGCAACACAGTCGTTCCCATATCTGTGAAAGCAGTAGTCAGTATATAAAGTCCAGAAAGCCTGGATCCAAGTAGGCTTGCAGTAATATGCACGAGTACGACATGTTCCCAGGCGGGGCAATTGTCGAATAGAGATGATGGCTCGCGAATATGCTCGTATTGTCCTACATCTAAAATACATTGTTAGCTTGACCAATGTTACGTCTGAGCAGTACTGGTAACGTACCATATATACCGCAAATGCAGCGTGTTTAAATGTAGGGGACCTAGGAAGAGCTGAACCTTATCGACGCAAGCGCCTTGATAAGATTTTGCCATCATGGCGCTGGTACCTGGAACCATGCAACGCAATGCGACGAGGACCAAACGAAGCCTTCGCTCAGGAATCTTGGAACCGCAATCAAGATTTGCTTTGGCGACTATCGTTTTTCACTGCCTCTTCCGCCTCACGTACTCGCTCCTCAAACCACCGCAACAAACGCTCCGTGGCCTCAATGTTCTTCCTTATCTGCTCGGCATCCTGCTGGAGGCGCTTAGCTGCTTCAGCCATATGAGTTCCTTTCTCGGGCTGCATGGCATCGGCCTGGGAGACGCTATGCTCCAAATGACGCAGCAACTCTTTCTGCCTTGACCAGGTTGTGCGTATCCGTTCCGTGACAGTTGTCGGACCGTCATAGTTCATTTGAGCGTCTCCGGCTGAATGTTGAGATGTTTCGTAGGATGTTGTGATGTCCCGGGAGATTACATCTAGCCCTGCGCCGTTGGGGTCTGCTTGTATGATCTGTTGTAGTTGCTTTTGCGCGTCGTGTTCATGATACTCAAGAATCGCATATCGCGTCACCAGATCGGAGGCCATGTTGTTGAGCAGTTGTAGTTCTCGGCGAAATATATCCTTCTCCCTGTCCTCCTGTACATGTTGGTAAAACTCATGTTCTCTCTGCGCAAGGTGTGGCCAGACGTATTGCAGCTCAGCACCCGTCTTCTTTTTGAGATTCTGGACTTGTTCCAACCATTCCTGTACTTTGCTCGCGTCTCGCGACTTGAGATCGTCCTTGTACGCACGAAATCCGTTTTCCACGTCAGGTCCTGCAAGTTCGTCTTCCTTGAACTCGATCTGGACGAGAGTTTCTCTGTCCAACTCGGCTTTCAGTGCAGCCAACGAGCCACCACCAGGCCCTGAACTCCCTTTATGCCCCGCTTGGGTCGGTCCACCAGACATACCGCCCATTCCCCCGACCCCACCAACTTGCAGAGGGCTACGGAGAATCCCCATCAACGAAGACGAGTGGTACCAGAGCGCGAGTTTTCCGATTCTAGAGAGGGACGCCTTCGCTCTGTCGTCGTTCTGTAGCTTTTGATACTCCTTTTGTTGAGCCGCAATGACCGTCTGATCGAAAAGCTGGAGGAGTGGCGGGGGCATGCGCACGAGGAAGGCTTGTCCGACCTTGAAGCCGAGCGCACACCCAACCGTAGCCGCTCCAAAGAACCGCGAGAAGCCGTAGACACCGGGCAGAGCACGCGGGTTCAATGCCATGAACATTCCCAGCACTCCACCAGCCAATGTCGCATCTTCCGAAGTCCAGTGCTTTGTCCGTTCCCATAGCTTGCCAGGCGTGGGCTGTATGTTTTCCATCTTGAAGACACCTCGGTTCAATTCATGTCGCCCATATATCCCAGATGCTGTGCATGTAAGGTCGACGGTACTGATCAAGGCCGCGGACTTGAGGAACACGCCAGGTCGTGAGCGGCCGACAAGGGCCAGGCCGCCAGTAACGGCTGCAGCGGCGATGGAACTTCTCCATGGCGATGTGACGAGGCCGCTTTGTGTGGCAACGGCGCCAGGTGGTCTGAGAACGAAGGGGAGTTGTCCCTCGCCTGTTCTAGTCAGATCTGAAGCTATCTCTGGCAGTTCAAATACTTACCTTCAGGAACACACAATCGCACCATTGTGGATTATTACTTGTGGAAAAGGTGCAGAGGTGGAGGTACAACCGCGGAAGCCATCGAAATCAGGCGTTGCAAGGTCGAAGTTTGGCGGAAACAGTAGGGGCTGGCGAACGTCGAAGAAGCGCGTCTCTGATGTCGAAGCGGGATGCGGCGCGACCCTTGCAATAGCGCATCCGCCACGACAATCGTAGTCTGGAATCGCGTCCTTTCTGCCACATATACTGTTGACGATTCAACGTGCATCGCCCAAGTTTTGATCAGATCAGGTTTGATGATATGATGGCCTGATCTAGAGCCACCCTTGGCGCGTAGGATCATATGGATACCTAGGTGAAGTCTGAAAGGCCTTTGCGCTACCGTAGAGACTGGGTATACGCATCTTCGATTTAGCTTAGTTCGCCGCTGTGTTAGAGGTGGCAAAAATAAGGACAGTGTACACACCAACCGTCCCAAAGGTCGAAACTGGATTCCTGAACTCAAAGTCAATCCATCAAACATATACCGGACTCCCATCATAGCATTACCGTGTCGCAGCTCATAGCTTACACAAGCTAGTCAAGCTAGTCAAGCTACCCCACCATTGTTCCTGTCGCGGGTCGCTTGGCCATCGCTCCGCAGTCAGCCAACCTCGCATTTCACAACCCACCAATATATTCCGTTATATAACCAATTTCTTCTCTTCTTCTCATCAATTGGAACAACAGTTCAACGGTCTTATGGTCTAGTGGTATGATTCTCGCTTAGGGATCCCCGTCTGGGGTGTACAAACCCGAGCACAGCTTGCGAGAGGCCCCGCGTTCGAGTCGCGGTAAGACCCGTTCTTTTTGCGGTGCTGGACGTCGTGGTAGTCGGTGACAGGAACGCCAGACGTAGCTGTACCTTCTTTTTGCACTAACACACAGGTGTGTGTAGACAGATACTTGTGTTGACGACGCTCCATGGATAGACTTCGTTGCACGACAGCATGCTCGCCCTTGACTTATTTCGGGCGGTTCAAAGACCGCAAAGGTTGAGATGGATAGCGAGGAGCTTAGTGGCAGTTTAATGTTAATTGACAATCTATACTGCATCTACCTTCTTGGTGTCTCCCTTCTGATTCTGTGCAACACCAAACGTTGCTCCTCCTTCCTCTATAAACCTCCGCTCGTCATCTGTACTAGCCCTACCCAAGGCAGCATTCCGATGAGGATACCTACCAAAACGCTCCAGTATATCCCGGTGTTCCTTTGCAGCTTTCTGGTAATTTTCAAGCCACATCTTCGTGCCCTTGTACCCCTCTAAGCCTTCGAGTTCTCGTGCAAACTCCGCCAGTATTTCGTCGGCGAGGTCGTGGGCGGACAGATCTTCAGAGTGCATAAGCGGCATGTAAAGCCAAGTCCTATGCGCAGCAGAAAGACGCATGGCTGGGTGTGTGTCTGGGCGCGGAATGGGCGAAGAGGGCGACAAAATGTTGCGAATGAACGCATGAGCGATGCGGTCGTAATGCGTGTACACCAGTCGCAATCCTTCTTCTGTGCGGTAGACATTCCGTGGCATTTGATCTAGCAGCAGTGCGAAGCTCAGTGCCGCCCATGCAGCTTCCTCTCCCGTTGCAGTATCTACCTTGCCTTCCTCGTTGGCAACTCGCGCAATCTCGTCCAGAAATGGCTGCGCATTCGCTTCTGGAAACCTGTCTGGTCCGATAGCTTCGAGCGCATTCACGCATGTATCTCTACATTGTCCATCAAAGAGAATTCCCTCCTCGGGACTGCCTGCGAACCAGCGTTTCGCAATGCTCATGTCAAAGTCCTGACCGGTTACATCGACGCCAGGGAACCACAAGTCTGTTATTTTCTTGTATAATGCCCGATTGAATATTGCAGGATCGAGCGCGAAAGTAGACGTAGACATTGTGCGCTGAAACGTGGTGGGGAGGCTCGATGGACGGAAGTTTGGCGCGCGGAGACTCGACAGATACAGGCTGGATGTGATGAAGCGCAGCGGCGTACGAACTGCAAGACGAGTAAGCATATCCTGTGACGTTAGCTACGAGGCTTTACACGCGGTTTTTACATGTAGAATGGAATCAGCTTCACGGCGCGCTACTTGAGCTTGTTGCTTGCCTGAATCGCGATTCTCTGCCTTCCGTTAGGTAAGATGGATTCGCTCCGTGACTCGACAGGGACGGCTGACTAAAGGACTGTCAAAATCCCCGGATCAAGGCCTACTCGGCATCTGTCGCGCACTTCACGAATCTGAACAAAACATGGCGCTTTGTGCATGATTTTGCCATCGAAACCAAGTACAGCCAGCGTCAGAATGCGACTTGGCCTTAGTACCTAGGTAAGCACGACATTGCGGATGCTGGGGGAGCTTGCACCGGCGTGCAAGACGGCGCCATAACACCTGTATCTTCCCCAACGTCAAAATTCTGGGGTCTTGCACATGGACCGAATACGTCGGAAGTTGGAGTAGAGTACAGTGCAAGATTGAATTAAGCTCACTTACTCCGCATTCCCCTCTTCTGCACTAGGCATGCGCAGTGTGGGATTCATCCACCCGAACATGTGGGGAAACCTGCATGATGGTACATCAAACACGTCGCGTCTCGAGACGCGGTAATATTCCATGGATATATTCGCTTATATCAGATCATAAACACAAGTCACTAGACGTGCTGCGTGTTCCTACTTCTGTCTTGTTGTCTCTCTTCAGATACACCTCGAGTCTGTATCCATCTAGCTAGCCCCACATGTACACCATCGTCTTAGTCGTGGTACTCTTCGTAGTCTTCATCTTTTATACGCGATACAATAGCAAGGCACCTCCCGGCACAAAAGCCGCACCTGGACCTGCTGGCCTTCCAGTCCTTGGAAATGCACACCAATTGGGCCAACAACCACATCAACAAATCACCGCCTGGGCTCGCGAGTATGGCGAAGTCTACAAGATCCGTTTGGGTTGGAACGACTGGTACATGATATGCTCGCCAGACGCGTGTAAAGAGATTCTCGACAAGCAGTCAGCGCATACGAGCTCTCGAGCACCATTACCGGTATCTGGCGATGCGCTAGGTGGCGGAATGAGATTCTTGTTCATGGAGTACGGGCCGGAGTGGAGGAAGCTGAGGGGCATTAGCCACAAGCTGTTGACGCCGGCCGTGAGCGCAACCTTCAAACCAAGTCAAGAGTTCGAGGCGAAGATGTTGCTCGAAGAGATATTGAAGGGTGCGGATCCAGCAAAAGGCAATGAAGTGAGCTACAAGGCTATCAGAAGATATACTGTTAGCGTTATCATGACGAGCACGTATGGAAGAAGAATACCAGAATGGGTGAGTGTCATCTGCAAACAATACAAGAACGTATCGCTGATGGGCAGCAGGATTGCGACGAAGTACACGGAATCTACGATATCATGAACGACTTTTCTACAATGGCAAAACCAGGTACCTACCTGGCAGACACTCTTCCCTTCCTCGGCAACCTCCCGCCGCGACTGCAATGGTGGCGCAAAGGAGTCGAACCATACTTTGACAAACAAGCCAATCTATGGATGTCTTTCTGGAGTACACTCAAAACTCAGATGGAGACCAAACAAGCCCCAGAATGTTTCGTAAAGCAATTCATCGAGAGTGACTACGAAAAGCAGGGCATAAGTGAACTGCAGGCAGCATTCTTGGCTGGTAGCATGATAGAAGCTGGTAGCGAGACAACGTCCGCGGCGCTCAACACTGCCATTCTGTACCTTAGCGCAAACCCAACCTCACAGCAAAGAGCAGCCGAAGAGATCAAAAAAGTCACTTCCTCTTCTCGATCCCCTACGTTCGAAGACGAGTCAAGACTTCCTTACATCCGCGCCATCGTCAAAGAAACTTTGCGTCTACGCCCTGTCACAAACATCGGTACACCACACTACACTACCGCACCCATAACTTACAAAGACATTCACATACCTGCCAAGTCAGTCGTATGTCTCCAACAATACCCAATTCACTACGATCCCAATCATTTTGAAGACCCCCAACGCTTCAATCCGGAGAGATACCTCAATCACCCTCATGGCAGCGGGCACTATGCGGCTGGTCCAGCTGCAAGTCGCGATCACTGGGCTTTCGGTGCGGGCCGCAGGATTTGCTCGGGTGTACACCTAGCTGAGAACAGTATGTTCGTCGTATTAGCAAAGTTGTTATGGGCTTTCCACATCTTGCCGCCGCTTGATCAACAAGGGAATGAAGTACAGGTAGATACCAGTGATGAAGCGTTTGATGCTGTCGGAAGCACTACAATGGCAAAGCCGTATAGGGTGAGATGGAAAGTACGAAGTGAGGAAATCAAGAATACGATTATGAGAGAGGCGGCCGAAGCTAGGAGAGACGGATATGTCCTACGAGGGGTGCGTGTCGGCGAGGAAGGTGTTGAATTGTAAGCTTGACAGGTTCGCTCTCACTTGGGACATATATCTCTCATCCCATTCTTGATCAGAAATGCTTGTTGCAGTAGCCTTGTTTCGTCGTTACGTTGGTTTGTTATTTGTTGTCTCTACTTAGAGTAGGTGCTTGTGTTACCCTCTCATCCACACTTCTTTCCCGTTCGGCTCTGTTCCTTCCACTCGCGACTAATACAACAAGCCGAGGAAACTATCGCCCTAGGCTGTTACCATGTCGTCTTCAGCAGACATCAGCTTACCAAGCGACCCCAACTCGCCAGCAATTGCAAGGCCTTCGACGCCACCTGCTCAAACACCAATCTCACTAGACGAAAGCCCGGTACCCGAATACAATAACAGTATGGCCTCACCGCCACTCACCGTTGACTCACAGCGCCCTTCCTTCTCGCCAGCCGATTGTCGCACCCTCCAGAAGATACTGCATGACGTACGCAGCCCTTCGCCTCTTTCCCCAACACCATACTTTAGTGATAAACCAGCGAACCGGTTGAGCCTGACAGTAACGCCTAATGGTGACGCCGATGAGGACAGAGTCAGCTGTGAAGGTGCCGAGTTGGCTCGCGGCGACGAACGACAGGATGGTTACGAAGATGAAGACGACAGTATGGAGCTGAGGGATGGCGAAGATGCTATTGAAGCAGATGAAGAGAACAGCAACACGATCGAGGATGTCATGAATCTGCCTGACAAGACGGTACCGCCCGTACCGGTTCATGACTACAGCAGCTTCTATGTCCACGATGAGCCTCTGTCGGATGGAGCCGGAGAGCTAGGGCTTCGTCATGCTTCGATTGAGAGAGACTTGGCAGAGCAATGCCGGCAACAAGAGAGCGCACAAACAGTTGCTACGGCAGATTGTATCTATGATGCTGATGTGCCGATCGATGGCATACCGGATGACACACCGGCTATCGATGATAGTCATGATCTCATGGCCCTTCAAGAAGATGTCTGCATGCATCCAGTAGAGGAAGAGCGAGCAGTCGCTGTTGCTACGCTTGATGTGGGTTTACACGCTTGTGGATATAATCGTCGTATGCTTACTATATCATAGTCTTCCGAAACCTACAGCGATCAACGTCGAGCGTCCGTCTCATCAAGCAACGTCCGCCAAGCTTCAGAGGTCTCTCTAGCAGCGTCAACGGCCTTCATCAGCTTTCCATCTCCCGCCTGCGCCGTGATTCAAACCCCCAATAGCAAGCACATCGGCTTCGCAACCTCCGTCTCCACCCCAGATACGTCTTTAGACAACAGACTCAGCTACTTCGAGGCACAAGAAGGCGAGAGCGTTCCGCCATCTAAACAACAACGTAACATGTCTTCAATAGAGAAGATTGCCAAGCTTGCGCGAGAGGCCAGATTGGAAGAGGAAGAAGCAGCGGAGCAGAGAAAACTGTTAGAGCTGGATCAGTTTAGGGACATCGATCTTGCGCCTATAGAGACGGTCATGGAGGGCGGACCAGCAGGAGACTTGATCATGTGCGGAACTCCTGTGAAGGCGAAAGATGAAGAGCTGTTCTTGCAAAGGCCATCTGATACATCCGACTCCGAGATCGACGATTGGGATCATACACAACCCTCGAAATCCTCAATTCCTTCACCCCGTCGCCATGCTTTACTCATCGAACAGGACGAAGAGAACGATGCAGATGTTGAGGAGTCAGATACCGGCTCCAGCTCGGAACGGCAGCAGCTCGCTGTCTTTTCTAGACAACCTACTTTCATTACCGTCATTGGTATGCTTCCAGCGGGGATGTTCTGGGCCACAATTGCACCAGCCATTGAGGGTAGTAGTAAGGCATTCGACATGCTCATCGAGAAATTGACCGGATTGAATGTGTAGATGATTAGGCTAGAGGAAGGTCACGAAAGCTTTTTCATTAGAATCGTATGAGTAAGTTCCCAGCGCCGAGTTTATAGAACAGAGTTAGAAGCGGCCAAATATAAGGGTTGATTGTGCATCGCAAGATCCTTGTATATTACAGGCAGCGACTATAATATGTTACGTAGATCGTAAAGAAGAACGAAACTGCTTTTGGAAGCCAGGAATCCGCTTCATGACTCTGCTTGTCGCTGCACAACACCGTGACTATGCGACTCGACGCCACCCAATGCAAACCGTATACACCATCCTGAAACAACTCTACCTTTATACGCTCCACAATCTTTCAAATCACGCTGTTGAAGCGTCGCAACACCAACTCCATATCGACGTCAAACAACAAAGGATCACTCCCTGATCATTCTGATCATCATCCTCTTCCCCACAGGTCTTGTAATTGAGTAATTGAAAGACACTGCCGAGAAGAGGACGCTAACCGTCACAGAGTATTCCTCTCCCCTTCATCCCCACCGACATCACCTTCACCCTCCCCATCATCATTATCATGACCCTCGTAGTCGGTCAAATCATCGCTCATGATATGCAGTATCTGACTAAATGTCCTACTCTTCCAGCGGCCCATACCCTCCATAAGATCTGCGCAATGCAACAGGGTACGGCGAGCAGCGAGATATCCGCCTTCAAGCGCGATGCCGGTTATGCTAAAGCTACCACCGTGATGTATGAACTTCACGACTTGCGTGGTGTCGCCGAATGCCACGGGGGATTGCGGTGTATCGATGAATCCAAGCCTACCGACGGATATCCAGTCTACAAGGTCGAGAAGCTCAATGCAGGAGTCGTCCATAGAACAGTTGGATGTTGGGGGTAGAGCGAATATGTATAGACCTAGGACGAGGGCGGCATGAAAGAGAGCGACCACACTATGCGGATTGACAATGTCGCTTACTTTACGGTCAAAGAGCAGTTTGTAGATGTGTGCGGCGTGCAGTACGCTCCTTCTCGCACTTGGCGTTTGGCACCATACCGAAATGTCTTCTAGAGCGTTGACGGCAGGCTCAGGTCCAGAACGTCCAGCTGCGAGTTCGAAGTAGCGTATGTTCGCTCCGAGAACCATGCAAGAGGCGTGCCAAAGGACGGCGGAGTTCAGGTCCGCGGTGCGTAGTGCGTCGATCGAAGAGCTGGAGAGGTTCACCAGTAAGGGTAGGATGTCTCGACTACGAGCATCTTCGGCGTAGATGCGCCAGGGCTGCAGTTGCTTTTGATTTCCTGTCACTTGAGCAAGCCTGTCGTTACTCTCGTAGATGCGCAGGAGGAGTAGGGTTAGTAAGGATCGGAAGCTTGAGGCATCGAGCTTTAATCCGGGAGTCGGATGGAACGATGGTGTTATCTTCTGCGAGTGAATTCTTGCGCCACGCTGTACAAGGTTGAACCACTTCGCTGCGCTGTTGACGTGATAGAGAGAGTAGTCCGAGGGTGGCAAGATCTGGACCGTTTCGGGGCGAATCATTGGCGACGTAGAGAGGTAGCCTGCCCACCAGCAATCTGCTTCTATGAGACCGAAGATGATGCGTTTGCCGCATTCGACTTTTGACCAAGCTTTCCATTTGGAGTCGATGTCGATCATCTCATCCAGAAGAGGGTCTATCTTTACGCCCTCGTTGGCGGAGAATAGGCCCTGACTTTGCGAAAACTGTAAGGGTTAGTTGCATGACCGGAAGCGGTGTGTAAGCGGCTATATACCTCAATAAGCTCTGCATACATCTTCTCCGCTTGTGCGATACGGCTTTTCCGCTGTGTAAATGTTAGCACACGGGAAAAGTCATCGATCGCTGCTACCCACTCCTGTGATGGATGCTAGATTAAGCGCGAGCAAGCTGGTGGCAATGATTCGCATCTGCCCATGTGGTGGATGATCTGTTGTCGATAGTGACTGTAGTTCCGCCAACGCAAGTTGCAACACAGCCTAGGCATACATTAGTAGTTGTGAGATATACACGGCTACCACATCGCTTACTGGGAACGTGCGTGTGACAAACTTTGCTGCACCTGCAGTACCAAGAATACTCAACCCAATGAGGCACATGCAAAGTAGCAATGGCCGAGGCGCATTCTTCGCCGAGAAAGTCGGAATATGAATGATCGGGAGGGTAGGATGAAAGTAGTAGAGATACATCTCCAGAGCGATATCCAAGATTTCAGCTGGTGGAAACTGTACACCTTCGATACTTGGACTTCCTGCTGCATCGCCGCTCGATGATGCAGTGTCGCCATAGGATTCTGACCTCGGCGGTCCAGATGGTGGTAAGTTGTTTAGGGTGCTTTGCAGTCTGCTCCTGCACTCCTCGTCCAGTCCCCAACGCGAATTTCGCCGTTCCCTTTCGCTCATAGGAGTTTCCAAAGCTCCAGAACCGACTTCAGAGAGTATGTTGGTACACTCGCATGCTACTAGGTTCTGCCATAGGTCTGGCATAAGCCGCGTAGATTTGCGATTCCTAGACGGCCAGCAACTTTGGACTCGTTGAAATCGCTCCCGTGGGACTCTGCTTGCTATTGAAACACTGCTGCCGGATGGACTAGCCTGGTTTTCTGGGACTGCTCGAAACGCTTCGTGGTCGAAAAAGCCGTCCACACCTAGATGATGCGATCCATGGGGAGTGTGCATGTCACCTTCGAGCGGAAACAGCCACGTTTGTAAAGCATCCGCTGGAGTACGGTTCGGAACTGGATTGTTGCTTTGGACGAGCTCGAAAGCCCACTGATCCAAACTCGAGACATGTCCGGCGGGTGAGAATGAGAGGGCCTCCATAGCCGGATCAATTGGTGGGCCCATACTTTCATGAGGATTTCGATTCGACATCTGGGCATGTTCTGCACGCGCAATGATCATAGGTGACGGCGATCGCCATGGTGTGTCGGCCCCGGGTTCGAGGTGTTGCGCCGCGTTGATGAGTGCTTCTATACGGTCCTCACCGGGTGACGGCGGCTGCAACCGCGATGAAGATTGCCGAGCATGAGTTGGGGGAGAGATATGCGCATTGTATTGATCGTTCACGTTGATCTGTGGTATCTGAGATTCTCTTCTCCTGGACATGGGCGAGAAGTTGGACTCTTCGCGGATTAATGGCGTTGGTGCTGGAGTCGGGCCGTTTACGTTTCGTGATGCTGATGGTCGCGACGTGTGGTTCTCGTCCATGGAGTTGTGACGGAACTCTTGCTGATCATTGGTGTTTTGTTGTTCATTGCTCTTCATCCGGTTCATCGCATTCTGCGCATGGCCTTTGCAGTGTCGGAATAGGACATCGCTATATGCAGAGGTTGGACGCTAGTTCGGAGGTTTTTCATTGGGAGCCTCACCTGCGCGAGAAATGCTTTTTGCACGTCGGGCACTCATAAGGTCGTTCGCGTGTATCTGAGATGTTGTTCAGTCAACGATGATGATGGCGGTTTGTGATGAACAAACGGGATCGCTCGTGCCGCTTCACGTGCTCTACTGGAAGAGAGGTCAGCCCACTTTCTTCACGCGTTTCGTCGCGACATACACTTGGTGAATGTGCGATCGCACATGCTGCACTGTTTCAAAGCCATATCGCTCGTCGCAAAGATTTGACGTGTAGGCGGGTGTCGGAGGACCCTTCGAAGGCCGGTGTCTGCAGGTGCTGTCTAGGTCGCCAAGAGATCGCGGACTGCGGGGGAAAGCACAGCCATGACTCGGCCTAAACATTATAGGCTCATCTCAACTTCATCTACAAAACGCATATAAACCTGCAATCCTGCTGCTGCAGATTGCGCCGCGTGCATATGTGTCTCTCCGAACGTTATAGCTGATCTTCATGTTGGTGGTCCATAGTCGCCACTTGGAGATACCTCCGGCGCGAAGGACCCTCAGGCCGTCGCCTAACGCCATGGCATCACTAAACACCACAAATCGCACCGTGCATTGTCACACCTGTTGGATGACGAGATAGATGACCTGGAGACACGCCCTCAAATTTCAAGACTTCTCGAAGGATTCCGTCCTACTCGAACCCCGGATCGACTCGCATGTGGGACCATGAGGCGTACGCTAGTGGGGCCTCCCCTGACCGCTCACCGTGTTGGAATCGCCGACTGTCTCATTGGGCTCATATAGGTGACTAACTTTGCTTGATCTGGTGCGTGAAATCAATCAATTACCACTTTAGTTGTCGGCTAGCCACGTTTCATTTTGTCAATCTTCCGCTAGAGGATTGCGCATCAAATGATCGCGTCTCAGACAAGTAAGTGGATAACTATACGACTAAAGAGCATGAATCCACTGAAGGCCCAATGTCACTTAAGAGCGAGTGCGTGACATGTCACCGCCTAGCTCGAGGAGACAGCAAGGCTGTAGGACTCGAGATATCTGATCAACATTCAAGGACAAGCACTTAGCAGTTACTACCGTCTACCCTGAATAGTCCGCAAACCTCCATCAACTCTCTGTACAGATATCCGAACTACAATAGCTTGACCAACCACAGTTAGGCGAGAAATGTTCGTGACGACGCCTTGGCAATTGTGCATTGGATTATAGCGATGTCTATGCTACCTTCGTGAACATATCCAATACTGCAGAATACACAACCAACAACACGCCTCCACCTGGTCCAAACCTTAGTATTTTCGCCACATATCCCTTGTACAACGCCCTGAATCCTTCTTCTCTAGCAACAACCCCCAGACTCGGCCACGCCCAGGCGTACTTCTGCCTTACACCAGGTGTCTTAGCGACACTCTGTATCCGACTCTTGACCACATCTAATGGCGTGTTAAATGTCGTTCCTACAATACCGCCCACAAACCCCGCAATGAGATCATTCCCCATCTTCTGCCTTCTCGGATTGCTCGATGTCGCCGGAGCAGGTAGCTGAGCCCGCACCTGGAAGATGCAGCCAAAGTACCCAGCGTTCCATACAATGTGTCGCCATAACGTGGCTTCGAAGCCGTTGTATAGTGCCAATGGACCTTCTTGGCGGACTACTTTGACGAGACAATCAAAGAGGCCATTGTATCGTGACGCGGAGGTCTTGTCTTGTAGTCGAATCTTGAGGAGCTCGAAGGGGACGACGACGAGGGATTCTGTTGCGCCAGCGCTGGCACCTGTGAGGATCGCGAGGGGTTGTGTCACGGTCGGAGTGGAGAACAGGCGTTGATAAAACGGCGTAAAGGAGTCGTTTGCGGAGAATTTGATAGCACTGTTTCTAATCAGTTGTGCTCAGCTCGAAGGGAAAGTTCGATCGTACCGCTTGGGTACCTCCATCAATATAGGCGCTGTGATGCCGCGATATAATCTCGATACACCCTCATTCTTAATGATCTTTCTAAAGCAATCCAAAACACCGTTATACCCTTCACCATCAACGACTTTGCCATGTTGAAGCTGGATTCGTGTCTTGACTACATCAAGCGGGTACCTATCTACATTCTTAGCAACTTTCTCAATTTCCAACATCAAGGTAATCTCACATTACCAAGATCTCGGATATCCCAGCAACGGCCCCAGCAGCAAACTGGTAACGGAATGGTAGTGGCGTTGCATTATTACCCGTTTCAGCTGCAATATTCTTGGTCGTCATACTGAAAGTATCTACTCAGTCGTACCTTGCTTCCACATGTTCAATATGCGTTCTACAAGCCATACCACCCTCTCACGACACTACCAACGCACATCCCACCCCCCACTAGTCGTATACCACATGTTTCGGCTTTCGCAATCAAGCCCACATGGCACATGCAGGGCACGATGCACCCGCGATATGGCCAAGAGCATGTCGCGTGAAGGACGTTGTGGGGTGCATGCTCATGGCGCATGTGGGGCTAGCGTATCCGGTGAAGCGCGTCGAGGAAAGTGGAGCCACCGTGGGGCTTCGTGAAACGTCACTCTCAAGGCTTGCTGACAGCGGACACGCGGCTTGGGAAATTCGATGGCTGGGCTTTGGAGAACGTGCAGCGGAAGACTAGGCCTCGGAAAGAGGATACCCTGAATCATGTGACGACGCGCAAATTGAGGAATGTTTTTCTGCGACGCGTTCTTGCGCGATGAAACTTTGGAACTTTGAATTGCAGGATAGATCGCGACGTCACCATCTACGCAACAACCTTCTTCTCTCTCAACTCCTTGATCTCGCCTTCTCCATAGCCCAACATGTCCCTTAGAACCTCATCTGTATGCTGTCCTAACAGTGGCGGTGGACTCCTGATCCGCGGCTCAGCTCTCGAATATTTGACCGGATGATTGACAAGCTTCACCTTGCCCACTGCTGGATGATCGACCTCTTCAATCATATTACGCGCTAGAACATGTTCGTGCTCAATCGTGCCCTTGATATCATTTACAGCCGCATAGGGCATCCCACTCCCTTCGAAGATTTCCAGCCACTCCTGCGTTGTCCTGGTCATGAGTTCGGCTTCGACGAGTGTGTCAATTTCTGTGCGGTGTTTGACGCGGAGCGCGTTTGTAAGAAAGCGAGGATCAGTCTTCCATTCTGGACGTTGTAGTTTGTCGCAGAGGATGCCATAGAGGCGGTCGTTGCAGCCGCCTACTGCGATGTTCGTGTCTTTCGTTTTGTAAGCTCGGTAGGGTACTACTGTCGCTATGGCCGAGTCAGTATGATCGTTCTTCATACATCTCAAGTCTAAGCTTACCATGTGCGGTTCCCCATCGTCCACTGTCGCCTTTGCCCGTCACCAGCGCACTGCTCGCAATGTTTGCCAACCCCGAAACCTGCACGTCGCTCAAACTCGCATCGATCCACTGGCCTAAACCAGTTTCTTTCCGCGAGTATAATGCCGCTTGGATGCCAATCACAGTGTACATGCCAGTCATAATATCCGTAACCGCTACACCAACCTTGACTGGAGGCCCGTCCCGCTCGCCAGTGATGTGCATCAAGCCCATCTCCGCCTCAACCATCACGTCGTAGCCCGCGCGGTCGCGGTATGGTCCTGTTTGTCCATAGCCGGTAACAGATGCATATATAAGGGAAGGGTTGAGCTTCGCAAGCGTCGCGTAATCGAGCTGGTACTTTGCAAGCGATCCGGGTAGGTAGTTTTCGACAAGTACGTCGCATTCCTGGGCGAGTCTATGCAGGATGGAGATTCCGGTGGGATTATTGAAAGCTAATCCTACCGATTTCTTGTTGCGATTTACCTACATCGAGTTAGGACGATGGCGGATGGCACACATGATCATACTGAGGAGACGTACGGAAAGGTAGTACGCGCTTTCGCCAGGGAACTGACGCTCGACGCCATCGATATATGGTGCATCTGGTGGGCCCCAGGACCGTGTATCGTCGCCTCGTGTAGGGTGCTCGATCTTAATGACATCTGCCCTGATGGCTCATCAGCATGCGTTATGTCCAGCGATGCGTCTACTACTAACCCAAGATCTCCAAGTATCTGAGTACAGTATGGCTACTTGGTATTAGCGAATTCAGTTCTACTTCGCTAAATCGATCACGTACCCCAGCTAGCACACGGGTCATGTCCAGTACTTTGATACCTGCCAAAGGTAGTTTCTCAACCATCTGTTTGGAAACATCGCCCTTAGTCGTAATATTTCTCCTCCATGATTGCAACGTTCGGGTAGCGATCCGACCGGCCGGGGATTGAAAACACGCGTGTGGTGCCGCTCTCGCGACGGCTCCGAAAGAATACATGGTCCTGCTCCAGACTCGCCATGTTCGCTCACGGTCATGTTAAAGGAAAGAAGCTCAATGTCTCGAAGTTCTTGCCCCACATGACGCTTGTGGGGTCCGCAAAGGGTCTGATGTGTGAATGCACAGACGATTTTTGATTCATGTGCCAGAATTTGAGAGAATGCTCATTACGTGATATGGGATATGAAGCAAATACAATGTACATGCGAGGTTTGAGAGTGCAGAATTGCATCGCTGAAGTGGCTGAGACACTGGAACATAAGAACTTGAAAAAAAAACTACTATGCATGGACGCCGTTCGTTCCGTTGGCCTTTGAGTCGGAGCTGAGATATTGCTTCAACTCGTCAGCATGAACGCCATCTGTGTTGCTGGTATTTGCGCCGTGCGAAAAACCGCCAAAATAATATGGTGCCAGTCTCTTTTTCTCAGCGATCTTGTCGTCCTTGATCCGTGCAAGCAACTCCTGGGCTCTCTTGTTGGTAGAAAAGCGATCCGGAAGGGCATCCCAGACCTTGTAGTCGGTACCCCGGGTCTCGATCGTTCCACAGCCTTTACGAGCGTACTCAGTAAAGAGGAAAAGACGACTTGATTCGACCATGATGGTTAATTGGTCTACGTTACTGTTAACACATGTCCGGCTGTTCGATGATGAGCATGACTTACCAGTGAGTATCTTCTCCGGTTGACTCTCGTGTATTCGCATGCCATGCTGGTATCCTTCGTGGAATCCACCGTGAGGTGTGTGGCCGCCCTCGAAACTTCCTCCACCGGGTCGGAAATCGTCGCTTCGTCCAAGACCTTGTCCGTATAGACAGGCGAGGAATTCCGATGCCGAATTGCGGTGGAAGTAAGGCAGTCGGAAAGTGTTGGTCGCAACGTCCCACCTTGGGCCAAACCAGAGGAAGTCTGCCAGTGGTGTTAAAGGATCACGAGACTTGGCTGTGAGGACTGTGAAGATCGATGGATCAGTGTGGTCGATGGATGTGCTGTTCTGTGACGAGAACTTTGTGAGATCGTACTTGTACGGAACAACGTTGCCGTGCCATGCGACAAGATCGAAAGGGCTGTGGTCTTGTTGGATCGCCACGAGTTGACCGTTGGTCTTGTTGACGATCTGCCAGTCTACATGCAAATCATCATCGATAGCAGCTACAGGGTAGAGGAAATCGCGAGGATTGGCAAGACCATGGCCGCCTAGTGGGCCAAGATCTGGAAGCTCCCACATAGAGCCCCAAACTTCTGTGATATAGCCACGCGCTACCGGTGTATCCGGGGCCAAGTTCAGACAAAACCTAATGCCGCGCTGTATGACACAGATCTCACCAGGCTGCAAGAAGATCTTTCCCATCTCAGTCTTTATGTCAAGATTGCCTTGCTGCGCGCAGATGAGGAAGTCGCCGTCGGTATTGCAGAATGCTCGTCGTTCCATACTAGAGTTGATCATGTATACGTACAACGCAAGACCTTCCTTGATGTTTGGGTCCCCACTGCCGCAGAGTGTGTGTAGACCATCGGCGAAGTCAATCTTCTCATCTTCTTTCGGCAATGGGAACGGATGCCACTCTGCCTGCTCAGGAAGTGTCTCGACTTTGGGATTGATGGACAAGAAGCAGTTTGTGATGTTTGACTTTGTCTCAATCGGAATGTAGCCCTCTATCATGTCTTAGTACGTGCACGCAGGAAGGGTGACAACAGTACATACTATGAGCTGCTGCTGGTCTGCATCGGTACATATAAGTACTGAAGTTGTGGGCACGTGGAGCTGCGAATGCGGAATATGTGATGCCTTCAGTGTAAAGTCCGAATCGGACTTCTTGAGGGTTGTTCTGGGCAACGGGCAAAGTGCCTGGAATGACCTCCGACTGGTGTCGATTTCCCCATCCTGCTTGATAATCGTATGGATCATTCGCACGCGTTGGCTTTAGTCTTTGGAGATCTGTGAAGTGAAATGCCTTCTGGGGGTCGGTGACGAGCTTGCGTTCCTTGAAGTCTTGCATGATGTAGGTTGTATGACGATGGACTGTAGGTGTGACCCAGCTTACCATGTCAAGAATCAGCCTTATATTGGACTATCCATGGCCATGGAACTTTGGGCCGACATCTGCCGCAGCTTGGTGGTCCGGCCTGTGCGTGATGTGGTGGCGGGGCCCGATACACATAATAGCGGGGTTACCAATTCGGTAACTAAGCTACGGGAGCTGTGAGAGGCCCACATGGCGACGTTAACCGGGTTAGTGGAACCCGTGAGATGAAAATGCGATGCACTCTCCCACACAAAGGCTGTCATAACGTAGACCTAGTGGCTCACTTGCGGGGTTCTTTGGTGGTCGCGAGAAGGGTACCAATCGAAAATATAGTGCTAATGCAGATGAAGCGTTTACAATGTGATTGTCAGTAATTTCTATGCATGATGACTATCGTGCGCTGACGAATAAGAAGTATATTGTTCATTTAGATGCAGCTAAGACCTCGTCCACCATCAGTCCACACGAGCCTAGATAGTTCTTCGCATCGCACAGCGAGCTGAGCTCTTCGCTAGAAATCTTGTCGGTAATTTCAGATCGCGTCTGCAGAGCTTCTAACAAGCTGGTATCGTTCTCAATGCTTTCTTTGCATGCCTCGTACACAACATCGTGTGCTTTTGACCGCCCGACATGTGGAGCAAGGCCCATCATGACAGCTTCGGCGACAATAAGACCCCTAGTAGAGTAAAGGTTTGTGAGCATCTGCTTGGGGTTGACTACAAGGCCAGAAAGCGCAAAGTCAGCCTGATTCAGCGCTCCAACAGCAATTACAAAGCTTTCTGGGACAGCCACCCATTCCAGATGCCATGGACCAGAAGCACGCTCGAAGTCCGACACCATACCGTCGAGCACCAAGCCAGCATTCGACCGCAGAACCTTTGATGCTGCCAGGATGACCTCGCTCGAAATGGGGTTTCGCTTTTGTGGCATAGTCGAGGAAGCACCACGGTGTGGCACAAAAGGCTCCGACACTTCTGAGAGCTCGTTTGAAGACATAATGATGATGTCAAGAGCAAGTTTTCCCAGGGTACCACCAACAAGCGCAAGATAGTTTGTAATTTCAGCAACACCATCTCGTGCGACATGCCATGTAATCGGAGGGTCGGTTAAACCCAGATCCTTTGCCATTTCCTTCCGAACACGGATGCCATCATCGCCTGAGCCTAGTGAAGCCAAAGAGCCTGCAGCTCCTCCAAATTGGACCATCAAGGCACGAGGTTTGAGCTGCTCGAGACGTTCGAGGTGTCTTTGGAACCCTGAAAGCCATATAGCGCACTTGTGCCCGAAAGTGATGGGCAGAGCATGCTGAAGATGGGTGCGACCGGCCATGGGGGTATCCCGATGCTTTCTTGACAAATCTTCCAGGTTCTTGATAACGGAGCGAAGTGTACGCTCGACAATTTCAAGGCCTTCTTTCATCTGCAATATGCTTGCCAGGTCCATAATATCTTGTGTCGTCGCTCCCCAATGCACATATCGTCCGGCCTCATCACCACATGATGCCGAGAGTTGTCGCACCAAGGGAAAGATGGGGTATCCGACGATTTCGGTTTCGTTGCGTAGCCTGTCGTAGTCGAGTTCGACTTCGCGGGCTTTCAGTGTCACAATTTCTCCGATATGAGAAGGTATTACATTGCATTTTGACTGTGCCCTTGCCAAGGCGGTCTCGGCATCAACGCATCGATTGATGTACGCTTTGTCGTCGAACACCTTTCGAATCTCATCGGTTCCAAACAAAGTACGAAAGATAACTGAGTCGATGGCGCTCACGCTGCCGAGCGATCGTCGTTGAGGACGGAAAGTGGTTTGCCGAGGAATGGCACGTAATGGGACGCGTCGAAGCAAGAACATGATGTGAATTGTAGTAATCAGAGGACCTCAATGAATCACAAAGGGGATATGAAGCTCTAAAGAGAGGTTCAACGATACCCAAGACATGGCGGCTCCCAGGCGGTGGACGTGTGGGACGCGGGTGCAGTAGCATCGTGTGGGGAAGGCACTGCCGGGCCAGAAGCGGGCAGCCCCTGTATTTAGCGCTAACAAAAGTGGCTAGACGGAATAAACACGTGATGCACGCGACAGTTTCGTGTTCACTATGATCATTATTGCCAACAGCGTTTTATCAGATTGTTATGATGCTATGACTCTCGAACGAACAATGAAGCAAGGCCTAACCCGGTACTCGCACACATGCTAACGATACCGATCTCCTTGTCCTGGCGTCGCAGCTCGCCAAAGAGCGTAGCAGTCTGCCGAGCGCCCGTCGCTCCAGTAGGATGTCCAAGAGCTATCGCACCTCCATTCGGGTTGACCTTGTCTTCATCGAGACCCAGCTCCCGAATGCACGCAATAGTCTGACTGGCGAACGCCTCGTTCAGCTCGATAACGTCGACGTCCTTTAGTTGGACACCAGTCCACTTCAGCAATGCAGGTATAGCATATATCGGGCTGATGCCCATTTCATCGGGAGCGCAGCCTTTCACTTGTGTACCGACGAAGCGACCGAGTGGCTTTAGTCCACGCTCTTCAGCCCACGAACGCCGAGCGAGTATGGTCGAAGATGCGCCGTCGGATATTTGAGACCTGGTAGGTTAGCCTTGTGGTAGCTTTGGGTCAGGTCAACATACGAGTTACCCGCAGTACTCTTGCCGTTCTCGCCGAACACAGGCTTGAGAGTCGACACTTTCTCGAAAGTTAACCCATGTCGAATGCCATCGTCCTTGATGACTTCATATCCTGCAGGCTGACCGCTTGCTTCGTCTATCCTCTGGACTGTCACTGGCTCTATCTCCCAATCAAAGCGGCCTTCCTTTTGGGCGCGACTTGCGCGACTATGACTTCGTACCGCAAATTCATCTTGTGACTTTCTATCGACTTTGTATCTTTCCGCCACATTCTCCGACGTAATTCCCATCGGCATAAGGCAGTCACGAGCATCTTTGACGGTTGATCCTAGGAGTGTAGGCGATACATCGGTCGGGAGGCCCCGCGAGCCGTAGTTTCTTGACATGCTCTCTACACCGCCAGCAAGCCCCACGTCAATCTGACCCACCATTATCGAGTGTGAGATATGGGTGATGGCCTGCAGACTGCTCGAACATTGACGATTGACCGTATGGAAGGTCGTCGAGTTCGGAAATCCAGCATGGTTGAGCGCCATACGTCCGGTTTTCGCGAAACCAAGCTCAGCAAGTACATTTCCAATCATGACATCGTTCACATCATTCTTTTCGATACCAGCTCTCTGTACGGCGGCTCTCATAATCTGATATATTTAGCAATGGTGCAGTGCATTCTCCTGCCAAAACTCACCGGCATCAATATGTCTTCTGGATGAGCATCTTTGTAACCGCCCTTGAAACTACGATTGATTGGCGACCTGACCACAGAAAGTAAGACAACATCATTCGGGCTCTTCTGCAACACAGTTCGCGCAGCTTTGCCAAAGGATGCCATTTTGGCGTATACACTGAAAAATTACGCGATGCATTACTCCAGGAGTAGATTACCTATTGTATCATATCCCAAGCCCGAGAAAGTGCCGCATCGTGGTTGCGGCAAGGGCTGTGGCGGGGCGACATGTATGTGTGGGGCAGAATCTGGAGGACCCCTCTATGACAACTCGGGCAACACCGCAATGATGCTTGCCGAATCTAGCTTGCATGTAGACGCGTCCATTCAGTTTGAACGTTTTCACACGCAAACTGAGTTCAACAAGACACTGCACAATGGCGCTTCCTACCAAATACCAAAATGGCAGCATTGACTCCTCTACCAAGGGGGTGTACAGAGCGTCGCCAGTCAAGCTCATGATATACGGAAATGGTAAGCCGTCTGTGATTACGAATTGACAATAGCTTACCAATCTGCACAGGAACAAGCAGCCAGCTTTCAGATGTCATTGCCGAGCTCGGTGCTACGAAAGCCTTCATCATCACGGGCCGCTCATTGTATGAGAAGACGCCTGTGATCAAGGATATTGAGAAAGCACTTGGTGCTGCACACGGTGGTACATTCAGCAAGATTGGGCAGCATGCGTATGTGAGAAGCAGTGAGATTTAAGTAGCGCAGACTGACATGTCCCAGGCCAATCGGAGATATCAAAGAAGCCACAGCCTTGATGGCAAAGTCGGGATGCGATGTCCTCATTTCAATAGGTGGTGGATCGCCTATTGATTCGGCCAAAGCAATTGCGTACAACATCCATGAAGAGACTGGAAAGTGGATACCGAGTATCGCCGTACCGACAACGCTCAGTGTAGCAGAGACGACACAAAACGCTGGTTTCACCACCGAAGAGAAGCACAAGATCGCCGTGAGCAACCCGGAACTTGTACCAAAGGCTGTCGTTTACGATGGCGAACTGGCCATATACACGCCTTTGAACCTATGGACAAGCACAGGAATCCGATCACTGGACCACGCAGTTGAGCTGATGTACCACCCTCTGGCTGCTGAGATCCCTACGAAGCGCATGTCTTTGGAGGCTATCAAAGATCTCTTCACATACCTGCCACAATCAAAAGCTGACCCCAACAACGCCGAAGTGCGAACAAAGCTCTTCGTCGCGTGTTACTCCTCACTTTTCCCTTTCCTATACACCGGTGGAGTTGGTCTCAGCCACAGCATAGGTCATGCAATAGGTGCTACCTATAGCATCCCGCACGGTATCACCAGCTGTCTCAGTCTAGCACCGACGGTACACTTCAAGGCTAGCAATCCAGAGGAGGCGAAGCAAATCGCGAGGATTATTCCCTACATTGGCAAGCAAAGTACTAGCAGCGATGAGAAGGACTCGCATGTTGTTGCAGACGCTATCGCTAGCCTCGTTGAAGAGCTGGGCCACAAGACTACCCTGACCGCTGTAAGTTGCTGAAGCATGCCATGGCGATTCTCACTAATGCTCGATCAATAGTACAATGTGCCGACCGGCGATGCAGAAGAAGAAGCCATCGCATCGCGTGCGCTACACAGCAAAGATCACAAGGATTTCGCTAACTGTGAGTTGTCGCGTGAGCATTCGAAACTTTTATCGACTGACATGTTCTGCAGTAAAGCAAATCGTCCACGACCTGTACTGAAGTGTTTGGGCATGGCGTCAGATAGCCTTTTTAGCAATACGGATCTGTTAATTCATTTCAAACGTGAAAACGCGTCAAATGCGCAACAATCATAAAGTGTCAGCCAGCAGCAGTTTCTCGAATACGCGATATCGCGTCGACACGTGAGCTGATTGAGCTCGTTTTGCCGTTGGAAATGTTTTCCATCTCCGAGCCCCATTGTCTTTTTCCGCTTCTCTCGTCATCCAATGAACGTGCGTTTTGTCCGCAACCTCCGCATCTTGGCCGGCTAAGTCCTCATCCACCTCCGATTGTGGAGCTTTGTTCTTACCCGCCATCGGCACGGCATTTGGGTCGGTCTGGCCCAATCGGCTAGTTACTATGATGCATGCCCTCGTGGTGCTCGTGTGGGGAGCGTCGAGTTCGCTGTACACCACAATTCTTACACGCGAACTTTGTGCATTCAGGTTTGCGGAGAAGCTGAGGGCTGAGCCAAGTATCGCTGTCGATTGAGCTCTGATTACTCTTGGAATTAGCCGACGCTATCAGCAACCTCTTGGGTCATCTCGACCTGTGTTGAATAGATTGAAACTTCTCGATTCAACTTCTTTTCCAAGATACCTCGCGACTTACGCATACGACCTTCACCATGCAACGTTCTCTTCTCTTTTCGGCACGCCGCCGTGGTCCAGCGACGGGCATGCGGTTCTTCTCTGCGAGCGCGTCCCGACCAGCCATCAACAAGATCGTCTCCTCCGCACAAGAAGCTATCAAGGACATGAAGTCCGATACCACCGTATTGGTTGGTGGATTCGGCTTTTCAGGAGTCCCAAACACCCTCATCAATGCTCTGCGCGATCGAAGCGACCTCAAAAACTTTACGGTTGTGAGCAATAATGCTGGTATGCCGGGTGTCGGGCTGGGCCAGCTCCTGGAGACGAAGCAGATTGGAACGATGATTGCGAGTTACATTGGAGATAACAAGGTGTTTGAGCAGATGTATCTCAAGGGGCAATTGAGTCTGCAATTGACTCCTCAGGGCACGATTGCGGAGAAGTGTGCTGCTGGTGCTGCGGGTGTGCCCGCTTTCTACACGCCGGCGGCTTATGGAACGATAGGTATGCAGGAAATATTGGGTGCACATGAACGATACAGCTAACCAATTGCAGTACAAACCGGCGAACTCCCAGTGCGATACAACACCGACGGCACTATCGCGAAGATGGCCCCTCCCAAAGAAACCCGCGAGTTCAATGGCAAATCCTACGTCATGGAAGAAGCCATTTTTGGCGACTACGCCTTCGTCAAAGTCGCGAAAGCCGATCGTCTCGGCAACTGTCAATTCCGCAAAGCACAAAACAACTTCAACGAGGCGATGGGCAAGAACGCGAAGATGACAATTGTCGAAGCAGATGAGATTGTTGAGGATGGAGAGATTGCACCAGAAGACATCCATCTCCAGGGCATATACGTGAAGAGGGTGATCAAGAGCACAGTCGGCAAGGAGATCGAGAGGAAGGTGTTCTGGAAGAGTCCAGAGGAGCAGAAGAAGGCGCTTTTGGAAGGTGGTGAGTTGTGTTTGAACTTCACCATGAGAGGCGTATGGCTAAAGAAATCTATCAGGTTCAACCGAAGCATCACAAAAGCGTGAGCGCATCATTAAGCGCGCGGCTCAAGAACTAAAGGATGGCATGTATGTCAACCTTGGCATTGGCATGCCGCTAGCAGCGCCTGCGTTTCTACCCGAGGGAACTGAAATCGTACTGGAGTCAGAGAACGGTATCTTGGGCATGGGCCGGTATCCCAAGCCTGGCGAGGAAGTAAGTTTGTGGCAGCAAAAAAGCATCGACATTATCGCTAACAAATTCAGGATCCTGACCTTATCAACGCCGGAAAAGAGACTGTTACTCTGATCAAGGGCGCATCTACGTTCGGTAGCCACGAGTCCTTTGGCATGATCCGATCAGGGCGGATAGACGTCGCCATGCTGGGCGCTATGCAAGTCAACCAATACGGAGGTTCGCTCTACACTATCATCCTATATTCTTTCATCCTTACTAAGTTCATTTACAGATCTTGCAAACTTTATGCTTCCCGGAAAAGTAAAGGGCATTGGTGGTGCCATGGACCTCGTTGCGAACCCCACACAGACCAAAGTCGTCATCACTATGGAACACGTCGACAAGAAGGGCAACCCCAAGATCTTGAACCAATGCACATTCCCTCTCACTGGACAGAAGTGTGTAAGCACTATCATTACTGACTTGGCAGTATTTGACTGCGATCGCGTTGAAGGGTTGACGCTGAAGGAGTATGCAAAGGGCGTTACCGTGGATGAGATCCGGAGTAAGACAGAAGCGCCATTCAAAGTTAGCGAGGACCTGAAGGAGATGAGCGTGTAGGTGAAACCAAGGAAATGATACCAATAAATGACATATTCAATATCCTCTCGCATTTCTCTACATTCCAACGTCCGCTGACATCACCCTACCTGCTGCCCCCATCCACAGCATCTAAACCCACATATGCCGGCGACGGCACATCCTCACTGATATCGGCCCAGGCACTCCAGTGTTTCCAAACCAACTTCCTTTGCTCAATCTCATCCGCAATTGCAATCGCCATATCCGCTACGCTTATCCCGGTCAACCTGCCCTCAAACACGTCCTTGTCCTCCTGCTGCTCGCCCACCAACACCATATCGTCAACGCTAATCTCATACTTCCCAGTTCTCTTCCCTGGACGATACAAAGCAGATGGTGAAACGAAACTCCAATCAAACGTCTTTCGGTCTTCGAAGAACATGTACGCCGTCCGCCCCGCTTTGATAAAGTCCGATGCGTTGTCTTTGACGCGAATTTGCTTTTCGTAGTCTGCGATTACAGATTTGTCTTCTTCTGTGGCCGTCCTAGAGCTTTCTGCTAACCTGGCTTCGCGATAACGTCGCAACGAGGTACCCATGATGCCTAGACGCTCCTCCATATAAGCTATGTGCGCGAGCGAAGTTGAGATTGCGCGGCGGTAGGCGAGAAAAAAGTCAGGGTGGTCGACGCAGGGAAGATCAGTGCCTGGGACGTGGAGAGAGCCTGCGCCACCGACAAAGAGGAAGTAGGATGAAGGACATATTTTGTGGGCTAGGAGAATCTTGCGAACGGATTCTAGGAACGGCACTGTTACGTATCAGTCACTGACTGTCCAAGTCTATGATGGATTTGGACACGTACTGTACAACAACGCCCCGGCACCTGCCGTGTGCGGTCCAAATTCGCTAACCAGTACATCAAGGCCTTCGAATTGCTTTGCTAGCTCTTCTATAGGAACTTGATCGATGTCTATCGGACGTGGAATGTAGCGTGGATGCTTCCCCAACTTCTCAGGGTTACGCGATATACCGACTACGGTATGGCCTCGGTTCAATAACTCGACGCATAGATAAGATCCGCCGAAACCTGCAGGACCGATAACCCCAACGCGTAAGGGTGACGGAGACATGGTACGGTCAATTGTAAGTTTTGCGATGGCTCTTCGGTTTGTTGACTTCAGGGTGAAGTACCTGTTACAATTTGCACATGACTATTATCCAATATTACCGTCCACCTACAGGGTTTTGACGGCAACGAGGCCGGAGTGGTGGCGCCGAAGATATTGAGTTGGGGTAAGGAAGCTGGGGAAGTGAGGGGATAATGTGGGGCATTGGTAAACACACATGCAGGGACAGACGACGCTAACCGATCGAACGAGTACACATCTAGGTACATGGTGAGCATCGTGAAGTCACCTCCTTGACCATAGAGACTGTCCCACGGCTGAGCTCACCACCTTCGACATAACACAATCATTTCGCAGCATGGCATCGGCAGAGGGTTACGCATTCATCGGTCAGCGGCTCATCCCAAATCGCACTTGGTATTGAATTACTAATGACGACCAGGCCTTGGAGCCATGGGTTATGCGATGGCAGCCAATATTCGAAAAAAGATAAATCAGTCTTCAACCCTCTATATCAACGATATAAACGCTTCGGCTTGCTCCCGCTTCAAAGACCAATACTCGTCGTACGGTCCTATAGAAATTGTCACCACAGCACGCGAAGCAGCTGAAAATGCAAAAGTACTGATATCGATCGTACCAGGGGGAGACGATGTAAGGAAGGTATATCTAGACGAAGCGGATGGAGTTGTAGCAGCAAAGAGAGACGACGAAAGGATAATGCTAGAATGCAGCACAATTGACGTGAACACAACGAAAGAAGTAGGCAAAAAGTTGCAAGAAGCGGGAATAGGAATATACATTGATGCACCCGTCTCCGGCGGCGTACCAGCAGCAGAGGCAGGTACATTAGCAATGTTGATCGGCCACCCATCGCCACCACAAACACCGACTTCTTCAGCCTCTCCCGACTCCCGGCTCCTGATAACCGTCTCCATGCTCGGCCCACAATCAAAAGCATTTTACCTTGATACCCTCGGCGCTGGTCTAACCGCAAAGATATGTAACAACTACCTCTCCGGCACGGTCCTCCTCGCCACCGCCGAAGCCCTCGCGATTGGCGTATCCCACGGTCTTGATCCGGCTGCCTTGTACTCTGTGATCAAAAACAGTACTGGCCAGTCTTGGATGTGCGACCATGTCATGCCCATTCCCAATGTACAAACTGAGTATTGGGTGCCTAGTAACACTGGGTATAGACCAGGATTCAAGACGCAAATGATGCTCAAGGATCTGGGATTGGGTATTGAGAGCGCAAATCAGGTTGGTATCAGACCTAGTATGGCAGAGCAGGCGTTGCAGGTTTGGGAAGGAGCAGCGAGGGACGAGAGGTGTATAGATAGAGACGGTAGTAGCATTTATTTGCATATTGGGGGTGTTTTGCCGAAGGGATATGAAGACACGGGGAAGAAGAAGGAGGAAGGATCGTGGGAGTTCACAGGTTGAAGGGATTGTATCATCAAGTTGGATATGGTTGTGTCGCAAAACTCTTCCTGATACTTTCATGTATAATGCATGCGTCCTATTTTCCTTGGAAAAAATTCTGGAACACATCCTGGATAGCATCAAACCCTGCCATCTCCCCCAACTTCAATATCCTGTCATCTCTTCCAATCTTCGCTGGATCACCATCCGGAACCCACCTACTTGTGACACCATCAGCACTCGGCCCATACACTTTAGCACTTAGCTTTTCGGTCTGCACTGGCGGCCAAGGATCTTCTCCATTGACGAATTTGATGAAGTCTTCTCCATATTCCCGTGCCACTTTCTGCTGCGCATCGTCCAGGTGCTCGTTGTAGTTCTGGAAGAGATAGGATACATCCAGAATGTGGCCTGCTTCACCTTTGAAACGGCCTTCCCAAGGTATGCCTTCGTTGAAGTGATAGAGGAAGAATTTCGAGTCGGCAGTGTTAGGCCAGCCTTTGGCGAAGGCACGAGAAGGCGCGTAAAAGGAAATCTCGGAGGCGAAACGTAGGACTGAGAGAATACCTTCGTCATCAGGGGTCTCAGGAGTAATATTGTAGGATTTGAGGAGTTGTTCCGCTACATCCGGATGGGTGGATAGCGTAGCCTTGCAGGAATCGATGAACTTTTGCGCGATGCCGGGGTTGCGACCATCGAGACCCATGTATGCGAGAATATTCGCCTACGAATGATCAGCTCATCTATCGCGAGTGCCACAATGACATACTTACATCCAGTTTTGACTCTCCTATCATGAAAGCCTTGCACCACTTTCTGCCCGGCATCATGAAGGTTGGGCTATCCTCCTGAGATGAGACGGTAAGAAAATCCGGTGAGCCAGGCATAGTAATACCATCAATTGAGGGTAGCATTGGCGCTGTAGGTGGCACCTTTTGCCATAGGTCGTCCAAGGGTATACTCAGAAGGGCCTTGATACGATCCTCTGGTGACTTGTCTTTCAGGCCAAATGCTTCTATGGCCTGTTGATACGATGACTCTGCCACAAATTCTGGGATAGGCTTGAAAAGTAGTATGGCTCCTCCGGTGCTCAGACAACGCTTCATCAGCGGCTCCTTGGAGCATAGTAAGACTGTTGCAGACACTGCACATGTTAGTCCAATCTCTACATCGAGATCTTTGTGTACATACATCCACCAGCGCTCTCTCCGCATGCGGTGATCTCATCTGGATCACCTCCGAAGCCGCCTATGAACTTTCTAATCCATTGCATAGCCGTGCGCTGGTCGTAAAAGCCGTTGTTTGCTTTGTAACCTGCTTGGCGCAGTTCTTCGGAAGTCGCAAAGCCCGTGAAGCCCAATCGGTAGCTATACATATTAATACCTGTATTGATATTTTAAAATTCTTGAAAGACCCACTTGATGGTGATACCGATAATGGGTTTCTTCCTTTGGACAGACATCCTCACTATGGGGGCCGGGTCATAGTGTGGGTACCAACTACTTCCAACAGCAAATCCGCCTCCATGTATGAAGACAAAGACAGGCAGCTTCGCGTTGGGGTCAATAGCACCATCTTTGTTCGTCGGCACAGTGATGTTGAGATTCAAGCCTTCGAGATCAGAATGCGCCGGAACTTCTGGGAGTGGCAATGATTTTTGAATGAAGCCAAATTCCCGCTCGATAGCACCAACTGGAGATACTGGAGGAGGACTACTTCATTTAGCATTATAACTTTAAATTGACATAACTGACGTACCCAAACTTCGTAGCGTCCGTAGTTCCAGACCCATAGCTATCAACAAGCTGAGGTGCAGCCAAGCGGTCTTTTATCGAAGCATACTTTAGACCGAGAAACTGAACTGCTCCATCTACACTTTTGCCCTTCAATTCACCCAGATGTTCGTGTTCGAGAGTTGCCGACATGTGAGCTGTTGTATGAGAAAAGATGGTGCGAAGCAGAGAATTGTCGGTGATTCAAAGATCGACAGAGTATTTACTACACTCTAGTGTGTTTTGGAATTCGGCGAGTAAGGAGACGTATCCTTCGAGCTGCTCGTATGCAAATAGGTCCGTGGGGTAACGATGGTCCGATAATTTACCCCGCACTTGTACCTGCCACTCGAGTAGTGGGGCAATCACCAGCAACCAGATATCACTTGCACAATGTGGGGGTAATGCAGCAGCTAAGCCTCGCAACTACGAGGCTGTCGTGATTTGCTAGACGCCTGAGTCTGAGAGCCTTGAGCTCGGTAACTAGCAAGCACGTGTGCGACTAGGAAGAGAACTATCGGAGTACATGTTGTATGCAGCCAGCTGTTTGCACCATTAATACCAACCATGAAGGCTAGCCTACCTCATACCGATGCCTACGTCAAGCTTGCACTCCTCGATGGCGGCAGCTTTTTGGGAGATTTGAGCCGGATGCATGCTGGTGAAAGTGGCACGTTCCGTATGTATAACTGGGCGTTCTACATTTCGCACCAGGGAAGACACATACTCTGGGATCTAGGGTTAGACGAGGTACGTGAACCGAGGCCGAAGGAGGATAATATAGACTTCTTCTAAACCATTTGAAGGACCGAAGTTGTTACACCCCTTGGGTCAACAAATTCATGCTAGAGCATGTCAATCATGTTGGGCCTAGCAGAACCATCGTTCAACAATTATTGGAAAGAGGTGTACCCGCCGAAGATGTCGATACTGTCTTGTTCAGGTATGAGCTAAAGGTTGGGTCTAGCTTATGTTAGCTGAGCAGCAGACAGTCACGCTCATTGGGACCACTCGCGACCCATTAGCGATGTGTTTCCAAATGCAAAAGCGTATTTCGGTCCGGGCACGAGAGAGGCGTGCCAACCAGGGCACATGAAAGACCCAAGCCTGCAGTGGGACGGTCGCTTTTTCGATCCCGAGCATTCGACGGAAAAATGGGACGAGCTAGAAGGTGAATGGAAACCCTTCGGCCCTTTCGAAAGAGCGCTGGACTACTTTGGTGACGGTAGTTTCTGGATTCTTGATGCGCCTGGCCATATGCCGGGTAACATGGCGGCGGCTGCAAGACTGCAAGACGGCGAATGGGTGATGCTGGGTAGCGATTGTACGTTGTGTCATGAAATTTCCATTGGTCGTCGCTAATCATGTAAACTAGGTTGTCATTCGCGGTACGTTCCTCCAGGTTACACCAGGCGTTTGCTTACCGTCATGGTTGTTACGATCGGGCGTTTGCTGACTGGTTAGGGATTTGTTGAACGGCGCGCGAGAAATTGCGGAGTTTCAGGGCCCAGGGGCAGTGAGTATGTCTCTTCATACAGACCTTGCCTCTGCGAAAGATACCATTGCTAAGATACGGCTGCTTGAAACCAACTCTGGTGTTCACACCGCGCTCGCTCACGACGCGTCATGGCTGAAGAAGGGTACAGATCAGGTGCTTATGTCACTACTAGACGACAAGATGTGTGTCGCAGCCAAGGAGAAGATACCGTATGATGAGATACCATAGATCGAGAGTGAGGTACGAGCAGGGTTTAGTGTCCGAAGATTGGGCGCCTGATATCTAGGCAACGCGACGTTGTGGCGATTACGCGTTTTCCGTGACGTGATTGCTGTTGACTGGTATATACGGAGAGTGGGATGTCCTGACATCATCCTTCAATATTTCGATATAGTAACAAAATAGATGCACAATGCTTAAAGGGATATAGATGCAGCCTTTAAGTCAGCTGTGCGACGCTTACAGACGCGGTTGCGGTGGTTGGCTGCCTCAATCTCTACGATCACGCTAGAGATGTCTAATTGGAAGAACACCGTAATGATGTTTTGTGCCGCGAGACGCCGCGCGGGACGTTCGCATGCTCAGAATCAATTACCTATGCTTAAGCGCGCCCTGGACCGAACATTGGGAGTCGAGGATGGGGGTGCGAGCGATGCATGATGGTTATCAAAAAAATGAAGAAGATGTAGGGTGGGCCGCGCTTGCAGTACAAGTGCGTGAGGGATGCCCTAGAACCACGTCGCGACGACAGCACCATGACGCAACCCACCGACGCTGTTTCTATTGATACTACCATCGACTTCCAACGTTTCAGACGATAGCGAGTTGATGCGTCTACGGCCGCAATAGGCTATTCAGCGCTTCTACATCAGCGCGAGGCGTCTAATCATGCGCTAATCACCTAGTGCTGATCCCTGGCATCCATGGCACCAAGATCGGGGGCCTGCTGACTTGCACAACCTCAATAACGTTGAAGCCTGTCACACTCAGTGAACCTGACATTCTCGTCTTTCACTATGACTCTCCGCGATCTACCATGGGTGACAATACTCTTTTCCGGCGTCATCGCGGCACTCGCGTATGGGGCAATGAGGCTCGTCCAAGTGCGGCGCTTCTACAAGGACCTTGTACGTGGACAGTATCCATCGCGAGTTGCGATCGAGACAACACTGACGACACATGTAGCCCAAGCCGCCTCACAGTTTCTTCTTTGGCCATCTCAAATTGCTAGGCGAGACCTTCAAGTTACTACCAAGCGATGTGCACTATCAAGCAGCAGCCGTCACAATCGCCAGGAAGTATAATATGCCTGGTCTGTTCTATCTTGATTTGTGGCCAATCGCATGGGGGCAGATTGTTGTTACAGATCCACATGTCGCACTCGAAATGACAGCCATTCGAAACCACCCCAAGCATGAAGCAGAAGGACTAGTCATTGACCCCTTGATTGGGAATGGGAATATCGTCACGTCGAATGGACCACAGTGGAAGCACCTCCACAAGATGTTGAGTCCTGCTTTCGCCATCTCGCACATCACCAACATGAGACCAATGGTTGCCGACGAGGTAATGAAGTTTCGGTCGATTCTTCACGAGAAAGCCAAATCTGGTGAGATTTTCAAACTGGAGGACCCTACTCAGCACTTAACGTTCGACGTGATCTCAACTGCGACCTTTGGGCGATCTCTCGACGCTCAAACAAATGGCAGCCCTGCTCTGCAGCACTTTGAGAACATGTGTCGTGCTTTCATGACATCCCGAGAGTCCCTTAACTACATCCGGAATTTCTTTGTCAACAGGAAGGTTTTTGCCGAAAGAGATAAGCTGGATGCCATCATAGTAGATCTCATCAAAGAGAGATTCGAGATTGTAAAACGTAAGCAAGAAAGGCATTGAACTTTGACCGGGTGTGCGGCTGACATGCGCCTTGCAGGTGACAAGCTCGATCTCTCGGAAAAGCGAGGGCTAGGAATCATGGATCTCATCTTGCGAGATTATGTTGCAGAACGACAGAACGACGTCGAGAAGCTCGATCTCCAATTCATCGAAGACGCTCTAACACAGGTTAAGACGCTCTTGATCGCCGGGAGCGGAACCACGTCAGATACCGTCTGCTTTGGAGCTATGATGCTCAGCGTTCATCCTGAAGTAGTTCATAAGATGCGGGAAGAGCACGACCGCGTCTTCACCCCCGGTATTGATGCGACTTACGAGATGCTAAAAACGGATCCGTATAAACTGAACGAACTTACGTACACAAATCATGTTGTCAAGGAGGTCCTCAGATTCTTCCCGATAGGCAATACTGCGCGTAAAGGTATCGATACTCTCACATACCAGGGTCGGGAATGGCCGGCCAAAGATCTCATGATCTGCCCAGTCCAACTGGCTATGCACATGGATCCTGCGATATTCCCAGGTAAGTAACATCCATCAACCTTCCCGCCTGGTACGCACTCGGTCGCTAATACTTGCTCTCAGACCCGCTCAAGTTTGACCCCGATCGGTTTGCACGAGAAGACTTCCCGCGTCACGCATGGCGTCCATTCGAAAGAGGGCCACGTGCCTGCCTCGGCCAACCGCTGGCTATGGATGAGCTGTTGGTCACATTCTTGTTAACTATAAGAGATTTCGACTTTACTTGCGCAGACTTGAACCCCAACGAGACGCCTCGAGTAGACTGGTACGATCTGGACTTGACCTTCGGTGACCGCGCCTTCCAGGAGTTTGTGTTTGAGGCCAAACCACGCGACGGTATGCCGATGACAGTCAGCAAATCTAGCTGGCCATCGTAGTTACATAGCATGTTGCCGACTCCGGATGAAGAGACGAAGCACTTACAAGCCCGGTAATGGACCGCCCCAGACCGAACATTGGTTGGCAACTTGGGCGTGTATATAACGACTTGAAGAAACCCATGGTGGACTAAGCTTGGGGTACGAACAGAATTTTGCAAGGTACCTAGGCATTCCAGCTGTTATACGGTCAATACTATATCGCAAGTTTCCATTGTAAACTGCCGAGCGATTATGACGATACATGAAGAAACTATCGTTGTTGAGGCATAAGCAAATACGACCCGCGCTTCCATCCTATTCTTTCGTCACCCGGCATCGGCACATCCCTTGCGATTTCTCGGCCGATGCTTATGCGAGCTTGTCGTGTATTTTCAATATTGACCGAAGCCATAGAAGTATTCTTGCCGTGCCTTACACTTACCGCTCCTCGGACGCGTCGCTTACAGTCGTAGATTTCCATTCAGCCTGAATGCTGAGCCAATCGGAGTGCAGTCAGTTCCACTTAGCGCGAACCCCTCACAGATTTTGCAAGTACCATGGGGCTCCGCATGCGGCTCGGGTATACTCTTGGCTGCCGTATGCCTCTGAGCCAAGCAGCGGGAGTGGCTTCGGACACAAGAGTGGCTCGGTGGTCGGAAATAAGTGGACTTGCGACCGGTGGTCAACCGCGTGGCCATGATAACCATGACGTATAGACATCGTGGGCTTATGTCGTTACCAATAGTGTGCTGACGCAGGGTCACCGACTACGGCTATTTAGTTTGCTATAAGATATGGGGTGAAGAGATGGGGAAGAGAAGCATCAGGATCGTCCGAACCAAACAACCGGCATCATGCTCACCTCGACGCGTTCGCTGCAAGTGCTACTCGTCGCTGCGACAGGAGCTTATGCTCAATTCGTGTTTCCTGACTGCACCAATGGAAGACTGAGCAATGAGACCATTTGCGATGCCTCCGCATGTACGTTCATTCTTCTGTTGCTAGGCCAATTTTATCATACTGACCCCTTCCAGCACCGCTGGCTCGCGCAAAGTCTTTGGTAGCTCTTTACACCCTCGAGGAGAAGATTAATGCTACAAGCAGCGGCTCCCCAGGTGTTGCTCGTCTCGGCATACCACCTTACCAGTGGTGGAACGAGGGTCTCCACGGCATTGCTGGCCCGTATACCAACTTCAGCGATGAAGGGGAGTTTAGCTACTCAACTTCGTTTCCCCAGCCCATTTTGATGGGTGCGGCCTTCGATGATGATCTCATCACCGAAGTTGCAAAGGTCATCTCAACCGAAGCGCGTGCATTCAACAACGCGAACAGAACCGGTCTTGACTTCTGGACGCCCAACATCAACCCTTTCCGTGATCCTCGCTGGGGCCGTGGTCAGGAGACACCTGGTGAAGACCCCTACCACCTGTCTTCTTACGTCCAGGCTTTGATCCACGGACTCCAGGGCGATGCGTCTGACCCGTACAAGCGTGTTGTCGCGACTTGCAAGCACTTCGCTGGTTACGATGTCGAGGACTGGAACGGAAACCTCCGTTACCAGAACGATGTCCAGATTTCTCAGCAAGATCTTGTCGAGTACTACCTCGTCCCATTTCAGGCCTGCGTTCAAGCGAACGTGGGTGCTTTCATGTGCAGCTACAGTAAGTCGGACGTTTGATCCGTTTTTGAATGTGTTTGTAACTAACAAACTTCAGATGCGGTCAACGGTGTGCCAACATGCGCTGATCCTTACTTGCTTCAGACGATTCTTCGTGAACACTGGGGCTGGACTAATGAAGAGCAATGGGTCACATCTGATTGCGACGCTGTTCAGAACGTCTACCTACCGCACGAATGGTCTTCAACTCGTGGAGGTGCTGCCTCCGACTCTTTGAAGGCTGGTACCGACCTTACTTGCGGCACTTACATGCAGGAGCATCTACCCGCTGCTTTCCAGCAAGGTCTGCTCGAAGAGTCTGTTCTCGATCAGGCCCTCGTCCGCCAGTACTCCTCGCTTGTCCGCTTGGGTTACTTCGACTCTCCCGATAAGCAGCCATACCGTCAGCTCGGATTCGACGCGGTCGCCACGAACGCTTCGCAAGCGCTCGCACGCAGAGCCGCTGCCGAGGGTATCGTTCTGCTGAAGAATGACGGCACACTGCCACTCTCTCTTGATTCGTCCACTTCAGTCGGACTCTTCGGCGATTGGGCAAACGCAACCTCCCAGCTCCTTGGTAACTATGCTGGTGTTGCTACGTACCTACACTCTCCACTGTACGCTCTGGAGCAGCTCAACATCACCATCAACTACGCAGGCGGTAACCCCGGTGGTCAAGGTGACCCAACAACAAACCGATGGTCTAACCTTTACGGTACCTACTCTACTAGCGATGTTTTAATTTATGTTGGTGGTATCGACAACAACGTTGAGGAAGAAGACCAGGATCGTACATACCTTACATGGACTGGAGCCCAGCTCGATGTCATTACCGAGCTTGCTGAGACAGGAAAGCCAGTCATTGTTGTGGTCACTGGAGGAGGCCAGATCGACAACACCCCTCTCGTGAACAACCCCAACATCTCCGCTATCCTTTGGGCCGGATATCCTGGTCAGGATGGAGGTTCTGCCATTATCGACATCATCACTGGAAAGACTGCTCCCGCTGGACGTCTACCCACCACTCAGTACCCCTCCAATTACATTGCCAAAGTCTCCATGATGGACATGAACCTGCGCCCTGGTGAGAACAACCCCGGCCGCACCTACAAATGGTACAACGGAAGCGCTGTCTACGAGTTCGGCCACGGTCTGCACTACACCAACTTTTCCGCCAATGTTACTACCCAGATGCAGAACAGCTACGCTATCTCTGCCCTCACCCAAAACTGCAACACCACTGGAGGCTTCCTCGAACGCTGCCCCTTTGCTTCCGTCGACATCGAAGTATCCAACGACGGCGACGTTACTTCTGACTACGTCACTCTTGGTTACATTGCCGGAGAGTTTGGTCCCGCTCCTCACCCCAAGAAGTCACTCGTCTCTTACAAGCGTCTTCACAACATCGCAGGCGGCGCCTCTGACACCGCGACTCTTAACCTTACCCTCGCGTCACTTGCTAGGGTTGACGAGATGGGCAACAAGGTTCTCTACCCTGGTGACTACACCTTGTTGATTGATAACCACCCGCTTGCAAGTGTCAACTTCACTTTGACCGGCGAGCAGACTACGCTGGACTTGTGGCCTCAGCCGCCTGCTAACCGCACTGCTCAGGGTGTGAAGGGGGTTGGCGATTACTGGTACGGAGGATATGGAAGCGAGTACGCAGAGGAGCCTGCAAATCTCCAGAACACTATGTGAGAGTCGTATCGTTTAACATCATGAGATATATGTAGAAGCTATATGATACAGCTTTTGCACTTGGCACCTAAACATGTGCGTGTTCGCTTTCAGCTTCACCGTCTAGCTTTACCTAGGTAATCTGCTCCTCCCTAGGTCAACTGTCAGCCTTTGTGGTCAAAAGAGCGAGTGAGGATGTATGATTGTGTCTAGATAGTCAGCTAGTCCATCATGTCTCGTAACTGAACATGGCCAATAATGGTGTTCAAAGCACTTCCATATTTCTATGATCTATGCAACCCGATGTGCTGCAGGTGCTCTCCTGCTTGCGTTTATATAGAAGCCTCTTATAGCTTGCTAGAGTACCCGCCCGCCTCCTTTGTGAATAACACCTTCATCGGCTCTGCAAGCAGATCCTCCGTCTTCATCGCCTTTCCTAATTTCTTGAAGTCCTCGCTCTTCGCATGTGTCTCTAGAGCTGCTTTGTTCGCGTATCTAGTTATTATCAGCTTTGTATCTTTTCAGAAACTAACAGAAAATCTCACGTCTCAAGCATCACGAAGGTCGGCGCATCGCCCTTGACTTCGCGCTGTAGGTGGTACCGGAGTGTACCGGGCTCGTTCGCCTTTACAGCTTTAGCTGCGATTGTGAGAAGCTCTTCAACCTAGAAAACGTGAGCTTTTTGTATGGAATAGCCAGAGTTAGTGGAGGTATTAAGGCATACCCTGTCTGCCTTGCCGGGCTTAGGCGTGATGATGGCGATGATATCGAAGGGGCTGGACATGGTGACGTAATGTTTGATGCGCAACTGTTGACAGGCACAGATGGAGATATCTCAACGCTCAAATCTTCTCTAAGTATTAGAATAGATAGATGTATGTGATAAAGACAAACAGACAGCGACGCTACAGCTGACATACCTCAGGCCGTCGTCGTAGCCCTGAGTGCTCCGCTCTTTTTCAGTGGAGCCGAAAGATGCCGAGGTACGATTCAGACATAGCGGCACCTGTTGCATTCTTACTCTTCCTTCCATCCTCCCATGGTGGTCGCAATCTGCATAATCCCTTCCTCAAAAGTATTCGATGCTCGGGGCTCAACTATATGATGCATGCGCGCTTGCCGATATCTAACCAGTTGAGAGATTTCGGTCCCGCAACAAGTGCATTGAGAGACGAGTGAGCAGGATGAACCTGCGGATACGATTACTCAACGACTCTACGAAGAATTGTAAGAATTTCGGAAAAGTTATCATTCAATTTTTGGACTAAGGATGTACGTTGATTCGTACGTTCAAGTTGACTTTAGCGAGTCTGAAATCGAAGATACGCAGGGAACTATATACCATCGTGCTGATGATTGTCGCTATTTATCATCACTAGTACCGCTGTTTTCGGGTTCAATAACTGCTCTAGCTCCCAGATCATACCTATCGCCTTCACGCAAGAAGTAGAACCTTGCGTTTGGCGGTGGTAGAGGCCTCTCCCAGCTTCCTTCTCTCGTCCAAAAGCCGCCGTCGTAGATCAGCGCATACGTGCTACCAATGACTTCCAGCTCGTTCTTATTGACTACTAGCGCAGTGTCCTCATCAATCGCCAGTCCGAGTAGCTCTGGGTAGGCGTTCAGGATCTCAAACATGTCGAAGTGTCTGTTGCGTACTAGTACGTGCTGGTCGATGGCCGAGTTCTTGAGATATCCAAAGCCGACAGTGTGATCACCTGGAGACGACTCATCAGATTAATCTAGGACAAGGAGTTGCTTGTAGGGTACTAGCATGGTTGACAACTTACCTATCACGATGGTATTGTTCGCTGTATCACCGCGTGCGAGGAAACTGCCCATGATACTCGCCCCAGCACTGGATCCCGCGATGACACCTCCTGCATCTAGAACAGCCTGGAATGCTACTTCAGTCTTGGTTCCAGCGTATGCATCGACCAACCTCCACTGCCGTCCACCACCAAAGAAGATGCCATCCGCACCCAACAAGGGAGCAATGAACTCATCGGTGTCGGCGACGGCGGGATCGTATGTATGCAGAACCGTTACATTGTTGGCACCATAATTGCGGAAAGCTACGGCTGTAGTAAAGTTCTGATCATACGTATCTTCGCCGCCTGCAGTGGGAACAACTACGATGGATGCATCAGGGCCTCCAGCGAGAGAGATGATGCGCTGGTAGATGCTTTCGCTTTGCAAATTTCCTCCAACAATTACAAGATGACCATTTTCTGGACCGACATATGTCGTGTTGGTGCCATTCGTTGCGGAAATAGGACTCGCGATGGTCGTGACCGCCAAGGCGGCGGAATAGAAAAGAGTGGTGAACCGCATGATGGGAACACTGATATCTGGCGATTTTACTACTTCAGTCGGAGGCGCCTATACATATACTGCCAACTGCCAGTGACGGCGTCTTATCACGAAGTTGAGGCTGGTCATCGCATCATCGTTGGGTCCTGGTCCGATTGGGTCGAGATCGACAGCACCTGCCTGAAGTGTGTTAAAATCCCATGGCATCCCCACCCTAGTATGTTCCGAAACATTGGCACGGAGATAGGCGGTACAAAGTGGAGGATGGTTGCAAAAGGTTGATATATTGTTGAAGACCCACGAATTGATGCAACAGATTAAGACACCAAGGCGCTAAGTGAGTTGATGATGTCACCTGGTAGGCTAACACTGGATTGGAAGTGACCAACACATTGGAAACAACTATAACATTCTTTTGCTCTTACTAGCTATTTTACGGGGTTTGAAGGCGTTATGCATCTTGAGTTCAAAGTCACTGCCAGATAGGTATGCATCTCAGTCCTTCGCCACAGACTAGTACGCACGACAGTCATCGTCACTGGCATGATCATAACCATCGTCCACCTCCTCCACGGTTCGCTCTTCCACCTCGCTGGGTGTCAGTATTTCATCTTCTTCATGACCTGTTGTGGACATGGTGATCTTGCTGTTGATACTCGTGCTCGGAAGGGTCGTCTGGAGTGCAACCTAGTGGGTACTTGTAGAGATCATTTTTGCTTGAATTGCTGCTGGAATTCCTAGAAACACGTTATAGTGCGCCTGTCATGCGATTGCTCCATGTTTTTTTTCCAGCGAATATCGGCAAGTTTCTCGAAGCAGTCGAAAATCATAGCGACTGTAAAGGTCCTGCGATATCTAGAGGGATGTGGAAAATACCCGCTTCGCGCTAGTATGCAAAGTACACATGTGTTCCGTGAAATTCATCTGATTTCCTATGTTTCCAGTGTATATACCGGCATATAATGGCCGATAAGAGATAATCATTCCTCGGCGCCCTCCATCTCTATATCGCCTTCTTCGCCCTCTTCCTCCTCTTCTCCGCCTTCGGCCCACCAAAGTGTTGGGCCAAGACCAGGTTGGCCCATCGAGCCCTAAATCACACATTAGACGCACATAGATTCGCATGATTCCTACGACTTACGATGATCTTCCAGGCTGTCGGTCTCTCTTCAACGATCTCACCCTTCTCATCCTTCTCCACGATAGTTGGCCTTTGGTCGTACCATTCTTCATGCTCTACTCTGAATAAAACTGGCTCGCCCTTATCGAAGAACAGTTCCGTGCCTTCGGAGTTCCAGATCCAGACCATCTCAGCTTTGGAGAAAGACGAGTTTTCTGGCAGGTTTTGGTAGGGAACGAAGACTTCCGAGGTGAACTCCAGGTCAAGGATGATGCCTTCTTCGTTGGAAGACTTGATCCGTCCATATATGATCTCGCCGCGGAAAGGACGGAAGACAGCCATGCGAAATTCGACTGCGTGGCATGTAAGTAAATATGCTGGGATTGGCGCGAAAGTGCTTACTGTTAACGTTGACAAGTCCAGTCCCGTGACCGATCAAGCCTTCAGTTGCTGAAATAAGATCCCACATACAGAGGCAAAGACCAATTCCGGGAACGATCCTATTGCTGTATTTGTCGTTGACTACATCTTTAATGGCTTGTGCGCTAGGCTTCTCAAAGTCCTGCGGCTTGATCTGTATCAAGTCTTGAATCGTGGTCTACGGCGTAGTCAGTAGCAATTCGAAACCAAGATACAGCGCGATCATAAGCGACAAGATTTACGCGTAGTTGCATCCGTTTCTCTCATCTTTTCCTGTCGCTCAAATTTTCTGTCCAGCGGCGCGAAAGCGCACAGACGACGTGTCAGGCCTCGGATCGTGCTGGGACTTACAAGTATGAACATGATCGCAGTTTTGGAGGCTTCATGGATGTGAAAGGAAAGAACCGGTCGCTACCTAGACATGGTGGATATAGACAATAGAGTCAATGGTGAGACTCCTCTGGGTAACCGCTAGCGTTGCGCTAGTGATATCGATAAGGAACTTTTTGGATTGCGGACTTCCGAGGCGCGTCGCATCTTCTGCAACAGCCTTCCCAGCGTCTTTTCGCGATTCACACTGTACAATATACGTTTTCATGTAATTACTATTACTAATGCATTAAGCTTTCGATAAACACAACATACGAATACACAGATACCCCGATGTCGTTCAGATTTCCTCCTCCGCCTCCACCGCCGCCGAAAGCTACATCCAGCGAGCAACCATACGCGAGTCAACGAGGTGATCCTGTCCGAGGAGGCGGTGATAGAGGTCGCGGGAGAGGCGGCTTCCACAACTCCGGTGGTAATGCCAGAGGTGGCCATGGGCAGAATCGCGGACGGGGAGATGCGCGCGGCAGAGGGGGTCAACGAGGTTATCAGAACAACAGGGGCGGCGCAAATCATAGAGGAGGGTTCAACGCTGGCAATAGGCAAAACCATATGAATGCGCCGTCAAACACTGCCGCTGCAAATGGACACAACAATCCCCCCTTCGCTGGCGGCGCGCAAGCACACGGCGCGGCACAACAACAATACGACCCTAATGCTCTCGCTCAGGTCATGTCATATATGTCCACACCGTCTGGCGTACAATCGATGGCCGCGTATGCCAATCACATGACGAGTACAGGCAACACCTCTGTTCCGCAATCTCCACAGCCTAATGAGAAACAATTGAGTCCTCGATATTCGCCTCAGCAGCACGCTGGTCAAAAGAGAAAGTTGAACGATCGAAACAACCAGGCCCAGTCGCAACCGAACCCACCGCAGTCGAGTTCCAAGCCGCCGAGGGCTAAGGCTGCCGTACCCCCTCAGATACCCAGCTTCGGCTTTTCCTTACCTACACCGTCTGTAGTACGACCGGACAACAAGAAGCGCAAAGTCAACCTGGGACTCTCGCAACAGCCGGTCCCTGATGAAATTAGTGATGAGGAGGACATTGATGAAGAAGCCGCATACACGGAAAAGCTCAAGGGTGGAGGTTTCGCGTTCGAGCATAACGGAGAGGCAATCAGTATACAGACAGGGGCAGAGGTCGCGGCGTGGATCAAGGACCGAAGAAAGAACTTTCCTACGGAAAAGAGGGCCATTGAGAAGGCAGAAGAGGCTGCAAGGAAACGGGCTGCCGAGCTTGAGTTCTTGCGTAGGGTGAGCGGCAAACCACCTAGGGAGCACAACATCGATACCGAGATCCAACAAACAAAACCTCGCGAAAGGAGACAGGACAACAAGGTGAAGAAGGATGATGGGGTAAAACAGGACGCCGACAATCGTCGACAGGAAGAACTCGCAGCGTTACGAAAAAAGCTTCACGAGAGCATGGTGAAGAAGCAGCCTGCGCCAAACGTAGTAAATTTGGGCCTAGGGTACGAAAGCGAGACGGACTCCGATGCGGAGAGTTCAGTCTTGTCAGAATCATCTGTGGTATCAAGCTCGGAAGAGGAGGACGAGTCCGAGTCTGAATCAGACGATAACAACGAAGCACCAGAACCTACATCGTCGAAGATTGCTCCGCCACCCATCAGGGTTCCGCCTCCTCCGCAGGCGCCGAAGAAAGCCGAAACGAAGAGCATGAGCGTATGTACAAATTGGAAGCGCAACGGGAAATGCCCTTATTTCAGCAAATGCAAATATCAGCATCCTCCAAGGGAAGAAGATAAACTGCCGGGACTGTATGAGCGCATGGTGGAGCAAGAGCTGGTCAAGGCAGATCAACTGGCCCTCGACGCGATCAAGTACCTGGGACAGAATGGGTTCCTAGGTTGATCGAAGTGGAACTGCTGGCGGGTGCGCTTCGCAGTCTGGAATGGTTCATTCGCCAATGACATATGTACATCCCTCATCTCCTACCCATACTTCATGTACCTTCTTCGCGTCCACGTCCCATCTCGCGCCAGGACCTATTGTTTCCTTTTTCGCATCAGGGTCGTCTGGGTATGTGTACGTTATGAAGCCGTTGAGAACGAGGTGTGTTGTCTTTCCGCTATGCTTGTGTGGCGAGTAGTGGGCATTGCTGCAAGAGAGTCAGGCTACATTCATTGGCGTAGGAGTATGTAGACTCACGGACTATCGGTCCATGTAAATACATGGTCGAACCCCCAGGACCGGACTTCGCTCTCTGCTTCTTTTCGTGACTTTGCCATGGTGAATGTGCGCCTAAGAGTTTATGTCGGGAATGTTGGTCTCCAATACATCGATAATATCTTTGAATGCTGGACCCTGAGTGACGTCGACGGCCTTGGCAAGGCTGGAACGGCACATGTCAAGCCTAGACCTTATTCTTACAGCACCGCAAACAGGGCAGCCCGCACTCTTTGCCATTGCGCATGCAGCAAACGTCGAGTGTTGCGTGTCAGCCCATAGCAGATATTAGCCATGACCTGTGCCCCACCAATTGGATGATCAAACGCCAGTGCGGCAGGCCAAGGCAGGCACGAGCTGAACATGAGGCTATTGCGCCCACTTCAACGTCGCGGGCCGCACCTCCTCATACCTTCACAACTAGATCCCGCTGCCACTCCGCACTTGGCTTATAGTTCCAACAGTAAGTTGCGCGTACAGGTGACTACCCAATATTGTAAGTATGTGAATTATTTCCACATATCATCCAATTGCAGAAGGACACACTGACACCGATCAGCGAGCTGAGCTGCCTGGACTCAGCCATTACTCAGGCACACAGACGCTTCAAGGGTCATACACCGCTACCACCTTACATTCTGTTGCTGTCTACAAACTTGCCTGAACCTTCTTCACTCTTCGATCCCGCTGTACGCAGCACAACCGCAAGATGACACCCACCAAAGACAACAAGCTGGGTACGCCCAAGGCCGTCAACCCAGAGCTTCAGGCAGGTGGTGGTACAGCATCGGCCTCCACTACAGCTCGCAAGGTCGACGCCTTATCACCACTCCTTACACAATACATCAAGGCAGTCTACGACGAAATCATGAAGCGATACGACTTGGGAACAAAGGAGGGACAATTGAAGTGGCTGGCGGAGGAGCAGCAGTGCTCAGGGCAGAACGCTGAGCTTCTGGCCGACGGCTCCTTCTCGCACTTCGCCAACTACTTCATGTCAGGATCGGCAAGTGTATTGAAGCCTGCGCAACCTGTGGATGAGTCGTATCCAATCTCCAACTACTTCATCTCCTCGAGTCACAACACATACCTTACCGGAAATCAGCTGTCGAGCGACTCGAGCGTCGATGCCTACAAGAACGTCCTGATGCGAGGATGTCGTTGCGTCGAGGTCGATGTTTGGGATGGAGACGAGCTTTCCGATTCTAGCTCAGATGAGGAAGCTGCCATGGGCAACCCAGGATCGAGTGACACGAGGAAAGAGAAGAAGAAGTCCAAGTCGGGTCTGAGTATCCGTAAGAGGCTAGGGCTCAAGTTTGGCAAGAAGAGCGACGAAGAGAAAGAAGAGGAATCACCGCAGCCGCCTCAGGATGGAGATAACAAGATCAAGCCCTGGCACTCTGCCTCTTACACGTCAAGGGCCGAGCCCAGGGTATTTCACGGCTACACTTTGACCAAGGACATGACGTTCCGCGCCGTATGCGCGACTATCAGGGATTATGCATTTGCTGCATCAAACCTACCCTTGATAGTAAGTCTCGAGGTACACACCGGTCCAGAGCAGCAGGAGATCATGGTTGAGATCATGAACGAGTACTGGAAAGGTATGCTACTTGAGCTACCCCTAGATCCAGCGCAGGGTCTTGATGAAGCTCATCTACCGACGTTGAAGGAGCTGGAGAATAAGATCCTGGTCAAGGTCAAGCGTGGGCATATGAAGCCAGTCGCAGTGGAGCCACAACCCACAACATTAGCCGCACCAGCATCAGCGCCGCCACTAGAGCATACCACGAGCACTGATTCTGCGGCTTCAGAGTCATCAGAAGTCGGCCCAGATGGAGAGAAGAAGCCTCCGGCGCCAAAGCCTAAGATTATCGAAGCACTATCACGACTGGGTGTTTATCTAGGAGGCTACTCGTACAAGACTCTTGATGCTCCAGAGGCGAAGATACCTACTCATGTCTTCTCCTTGTCAGAAGGAACCTTGATGGAAGTTCACGAAACGGATCCTGTCCGACTCTTTGAACACAACAAACACTTCTTCATGCGCGCTTACCCAAAGGGCTTGCGGTTGACTTCGTCCAACTTGAACCCTTCGGTCTTCTGGCGTGCTGGAGTTCAAATAGTAGCCCTGAACTGGCAACGCTGGGATGGTGGAATGATGCAAAATGAAGCCATGTTTGCAGGTACCGGTGGCTGGGTCCTCAAACCCGAAGGGTATCGCAGCACCAGCCAAGAGGTGACACAAAAGACCGCCATACCTCATCACGACCTTGACTTGACCATTGAGTTCCTCGCAGGACAGGATATCCCTCTGCCTCCCGAGGAGGACGACCCAAAGGATCTCAAGCCTTACGTCAAGGTTGAGTTGCACGTGGAGTCACACGAAGAGCGTAACGCCGAGCCAGTACCCGGTAATGGAAGAAGCCAAAAGGGCGAATACAAACAGAAGACGAAGACAACCAAGACCACGAACCCGGATTTTGGCGGTGAAGTCGTCAAATTCGTCAGTGTACCCGGTGTCACGGAAGAATTGACATTCGTCAGGTAAGTCTCATCTCTTTTTCTGCTACGTGTCAAGCACATGCAGGTTGCCATGGGACCTGCAAGCATTACCCTCGCACTCACAGATGCTCTTACCGTTCTACCAAGAAAGGTGCTCGAACACTGGTACCTGAGCTCCATCTGGATGGCTCTGCATCTTTTTGCTGCATACGCGACATTGGCTCGTTCCACAGCCGTTGCAACGAAAGCTTTGAGTAAGCGATCGTAGCACACAGCGAGGATCACGATTGGGATCGCCGTGCCTGCAGATCGCAGTTATTCCCGTTCCCACCATTGCAGCGCCATCGCCTTGTCGTTTTGTTAATGGTCCTCTGCTGTCGTTCTGGTCTATCGGTCATCCTGCCACCGCCTCACCATGCAGCGACGATAGCTCTGACATAGGCGATCCAATACAAGGGGAGCTTGCCCCGATACGCCGTTGCTTTGCTGCTCGTCTTTCGTTTGTTCATGCACATGCTGACCAGCCACCCCAGATTCAAAGTCATGGACGATGAACGACTCAGCGACGATCTAGCCGCTTGGGCATGCTTCCGCCTCGACCGTCTGCAGACGGGTCTACGCATGCTGCATCTATACGACTCAAATGGTGTCATCACCAAGGGTGTGCTGTTGGTCCGCATTAGGAAGACGGTCAGTACGGCTTGATAACTATTCGTTATTCCTGACCGCTACTATCGACATGTCTTTCCTTGGAGCCGCTGCCCTTTGTGGTGCGATGACATGCTAATGCAACGCTAGTTGTTTCCGAGAGGTGCAAGGGTCCAGCGTGGGAAGCAATTTGACCACGAGAGTTTGCATCGCCATCAACACTTGTATCATCAATTGAGAGATGAGAGGCATAGACAACGCGGTGGGCTACGTGGGAGAATTGCATCTTTGTAGTAGCGTCAGTTGGACCAGCTATGTCACTGGTTTTGGGGTCTGTGGTGTTTTAAGAGCCTTGAATAAACTGTGCTCAACTTACATGCACCGGTGCCTTTCACTATATAGCATACAACGCTGCAGCTCAAACCTTTTGCAAGGAACACACAGAACCTACTTGACAACAATTCCAGTTTGCTACTCAATGCCAGGAGTCAGTTTGAAGTGGAGGCCACAGTCTCTTGTGGCATGATTTCATTGGCCGGTCTTGGTGTCAGTATTCCTGTCGAGTGGAGAAACCCCTCGATAAGCAAAAGCGGCGCTTGCAGTCATTGCTGCTCGAGACGGTGAGTATCACTAATCCGGGATACGTAAAAGGTTACCGAGCGACAGTGCGCACACCACTGAGGCTGGACAGTGTTGACATCGCGTCGTCTCACGCAGTAGTGTTGACCCAGAGATAGCCCTTCTCTGTACGACGGGGCATCCGTTGAAACGGAAGCCGCCCTGTACATGTCTCCCCGGGCGAAAACAGGCGACATGCTGTGCAAGTCCCGATGGTGGACAAGGCTGATGGCTAGTGACGACCGCTTTTCCGACGACATGCGGCTTTTTGATGGTTTACTGTGTAAGTTGCCCAGCCGGGAACCGTCTTCCGCTTGCCAACCAAAAAGGAATGTAGTGTGCCGGTTCATCCGCCAGCTCAGTATCTCACGATCCTACGGATGGCCCTCTTGCAGATGGATATCGAACTGGAAACGCTGAGTCGAGAGCCGTTGAAGAAGCTGCTGTGGTACTGGTGCGACGTCAGGATTTCACGATTCCAACGAGGAAAACCAGTGCTGTGAAGCGACCTTGTCCTACCATGCAATCAGATCCGGATTCAGTATTGCGGACCTGCAGAACGGGTAGATACGGATAGGTTGTCGGAGTAACGTCTAAAAAGCGAGGTCAGAATGCGCTTGTTGTTCCTGGCTCGCCATATGCTGTGTAACAAAGATCTTGCAGTGATAGTCGCGTGGCGCCGATTTGAATCTGTATCTTGCATGTACCTTGCATGTAAGTGATGAGATATTGCTGTTTTCTCGGCCCGACCCCGTTGGTTTCATCCTGCGTTGCTCATCTAGAATTGCGAATCAGTTAGTTGGGAAAGTGATGACGAGAATACAGACCACAATCGAAATCTGATCATCTGTGGACAATTGACTGTCTGTTTCAGGCCCTCGTTCATTTAAAGTGATGAGCTAGCTAAATGCAAGCTGTGCCGAGCGAGTGATACGAGTACTTGAGTTGTATTAGAGAGGTTTCAAGTCCATCGGTGTAGCGTGTGCGGCGCGTGCGCCATGCTCAAAGTGGGACCAACGCACAAAATATGATGTGCATAGCTAGCTTCGTCGTAAGGCGACTGGCAGCTCTCAGCAAGCGACACGATTGGCTACTTTGCTTCGAGGCTCTGAGGAAGGACGATAGAGATTATGAGCATGCTTCGTTCGTTGTAGCGACCCCTCGTTCTTGACAGGTAACAGTGATTCTAAATCGGGTCCATGCGATTAAGGATTTGTACTTCAATCAGCTCAAGCTTGACGTAGCCTCAATGGGTACAGTCGTCGCGTAGTAAAGAGTAAATGGATCGGTGCGTCAGGTCACTCACCATCAAAAGCTTGACAGTGCTATTCTGAACACTCAGCTTCTCTCAATATGGCAGGCGGATGGAATGAACCCTTAGATCAACCTAGTGAACGGTAGCGCTAGACCGGTTGGCTAGACAGCCTCGTTCTACCAATGTGATGATAAGCTGCTAGTGTTGGTGCAGCATCTCAAAGGTTCTCTATTTGTATCTGTACATGGAGATTGTAGCTACAGAGCTGCAAGGACAACATTCTGCGGAACTGGCTTTACTGATTATTCTTGGAATCTAGTATGCGACGAGACATGGTATTCGAAATGGACCAGGAGATGGTCAGCGAACATGATCAGTGTAGAGTGCCGGCCGAATGGAAAGTCACCAGGCAAATATATTTACTTCGCTTAGGTAGATACGCACAGCACCAATACAACAAAAGCATCTAATCGGATGTTGTAACGAGAACCAAGCCGTGAGAATGGACGATGTACTTGAGCTATCACAGCTGAGAGTTGGCTGACCCTTGTCAGCAATGGACGAGAGCTGGTGGTAGAGAATGTGTTGGAAGTCATTGATGACCGGGTCTCGATGGCATACTAAGCTTCCGAGCTTGATCGATGTCAAAGATAGCAATGCTACAATGCGAATTCATCTCGTTTACTGACCATAGAGTTAGTGCACGATACTACTTGGCGAGAAGAACCCCAGCAATATTGGGTGTGAGATAATGACCGGATGTTTAGCATGTACGATCCGTAGTCGCAAATTAACTTACAGAAAAGTCCAGAAAGATCCTTGTCCAGCAGAGAAAAGAGACTGGGGGTTGGAGGTTTCAGGTGGTGAAAGAGACCAGTAGTCAGCGCAAATCGCGATCTTGTGGCTTAGCTCCATCAATCAGCCTTTGCAGACTGGACAGCTGAGGTCTACATCAGCCATGTACGACAGTTGAAGATGGTCGTATCATCGAAGGACGGCCATCGGTATGAGCTAACATGCGCAGCATCGATCGCACTCTAGACAGGCGGCGGCTCACCGGGTGCATCACCAAATAGTTTGGCTCACACAAAGTTGCAAAAGCAATACGAGCCTAGATCACGTAGGAAGGCAGGGATAGCGCGTAGGTTTGCCTGCAGCTGCATGTTGCAGGGCTCGTACATTCGTGGCTTTCTTAGCGCCGAACTCGACAAAACGAAATAGCGACGAGGATCAGCAACGTTACCAAGGCCGCAATCCAGAAGTAAGAAGTCGAATCAGGATGCATTCAGGAGATTGAGTTGCTGCAAAAGAACGACAATGTAGCTTGGCGGCTTCCAACTTGATAAGATGAAAGTTATTATTTAATATCGCGTGTTGGCGGTGGGTAACATTTAAGACTCATCTATCCGTCATTTACGGCTGATTTATTCGTCAGGTCTAACCTGAGCATGCAACGCAACGAACGGTTGACGGGATTACGTATTGGAGGTGGTTCTGCGCTTGAGCCTTTTGTGGCTTCAGTGTATACAACGGCTACCCTGCTCCAGAGCTGATTCGAATCTAGGTAGGCGACCTGGAAGTTTAGCGTCTCCAAGCCGCCGTTCGACATGTATCTGCCCGTGTGCTCCCAGTAAAGTGGAACTGCATGGCGCAAGCATTCCTGATGAGCTATCGGTGACGATGTACGATGACTCATGCACATGGTGCAGGAACAAGGCGAGAGAGACAGTCGTCTCCTTGGATTCGGAAGACTGCAGACAGATGCGGGCGCTACAAGCGTGCTTCAAAGCACAAGAGTTACGCTAGCAATAGGGGATTCTGGTGTACCGAAGCCGTTCGGGAAGCATACGAGGTATAAAGACACGTCTGTGGTCTAGATGGAAAGTCATCGCTCTGTCCAGCTCATCTCTGCAGTGCTCCCCACACTCATTCAATCCCTCTAACCGTGTTTTGTTTGCACCTGTCTATCAAGACATCACCGTCATTCGCTTCGACCATGTCATTGAAGACTCAGCTGCAACATCGACACCTGCCACAAAGCGTTATGCGTCTGCACGCGCCCATTGATAGATTCGCGGCCCCTTGTATGAGCGATGCTAATGGCATCACCACCATGCCGGTGAGCTCGAAGCAAATGTGCTTTTGGAGCATGTGCTGATTGTTATAGGTACCTGGTCGTCGTTGCCCTGCTTGTCTCGAGCGTGGAGACACGGTTTGGGTCATTCCGGGAAAGTGCTGCGCGCAGTGCGGTACCCCCGTTAACTAAAGAGACCTTTCCACAGTGAGAATACACATATCCCAAGTCAAGACTGTTACTGATTGCATTCAGGACGAACGTAGCTTCAGGACTCGAGATTTCGCTTGCTTTCGGGCGGTCGTTGTGGTACACGTAGAGTGACTTCCGCATCTTGCGCTTGGGGGTTGTTTGTCTGCATTTTCAAGTGTTGACCTCGCAACGTTGTACTTGTACTCGGGTAGGCGAATTGGTATTCACATTAGACGGTCGCTTACAGGTTGGTGCTGCTGTGTGCGTTAGACTCGAGCTCAATATATGTGTGCCAATCTGATAATCGGCAAGTTTGTAGATTGATTGTGGTTCCTCTTACCGAAATGGCATGAGGAAGTCCTTGAAGTGAAATTCCAGTATGTGAAGCGCAGGCTGTCGACTGTAGAGAGCAATGCATATTTTAGAAGCGCACATAACACCGCTATGGGATTCTGTTACGATGGATGTGATATCGGTATCATGCGCGGTCGCGATGCTTGTGAGTCTAAGCAAAGCTAGAAGTGAAAAGGGTCTCAAGTTTTGCTTGGCGCCTCACGGTCCGGGAAAGAGCGTCCAGGTGCTAGCAACGCTCAGAGTAACAGTGGGTGCCAACGAAGGGTGCTGCAGTCTGTCAAGGTAATTAATTTATGGTTTGAATATTAAGGAATGATGAAGAGAAATCGAACTGGATGAGATTATGCGACAAACAAATACACGAATGAATTAAGGGAGGTAGGTATCCAGCGGTGAGACGCCCTATGCTCGGAAAACAGCCGGGCAATGACCTGCGCGTGCAATTTCGGGCCTGACCATGATATCCAGTAAGCGCCTGTTCATCCCAGCATATGTGGTGATGTATGCCTAACTCCAACGCCATATCCAGATATGTTACAGATTGCCATTTAACCCAGGAAACAAAGCTTGGTCATTATAGTCGTATGGTGTGGGAGCGCAGAGAGCAGGTCGTGCTTGATGCATATGCTGGCCCGTCTCTATATCGCGTCTCGCTCGTCGCCCCCTTTATCGGGCTGTCGAATGGTGCGTGGAGTTTGGGGACGATGCGCTTATTGCCCCCCGGTTTGTCGTTCATGTTGAGTCATGACCCATCGCATCTTATCGCGAGTCTCCTTCAGCGAATCGACAAGTTTCTGCGCTTCTCGCTCCTTCTCTGGTAGTGCGCGTCGCAGCCTCTCTGCTTCTTGTATAAGGCCTTCCATCTCTTTCCGGTGCTCCTTTTTGTAAATCTCCATCAGGTTTGTTAGCTTGGCTTCGGTCCGTGTGGATCGAGAGGATTCGTGTTGTAGCTGATCGCTAATGATGGCTTGTCGCTTGATCTTATCGGCGTCTTCGATGCGCTTTCTCCGTAGCTCGTTGAGCTCGTCGTTGATCTGGCGGACCTTCTTCTCGTAGCCATCGGTGATGCGCTTGAAGCCGTCTCGTGCCGTCTCGAGGTTTGTGTCTGCCATACCCCTCATCTCGTATGCTTGTGAGAGCTGCCGTTGTGTCTCTGATCGTGTGTCGCCCAGCATCCTGAGCGCTTCTTCGGCCCGCTGTTCTGCTGACTTCCTTCTCTGTACCTCGGCGTCGAGCGTGGCTTTGAGCTCTTCCAGCTTCCGGTCTTTTCGTTCTATGGCTCTCGCATTGGTGTCGGCGAGCACCTGGAGATGTTGGTACTCGGCGCGGGAGTCTTCGGCTTTGGTTTGTGCAGCCGACACGCGCTTGGCTTCATCTTCCCTGGCGAGCTTCTCCGCCCTGAGTTCTCGTCGCAGGCGGTCATTCTCTTGTGTGATCTTATCAATGTATTGTGATGTCTTTGAGTTGGGGGTGCTGTAGTGGTTGGGGCGGTTCCACGAGCTGTTCTCGTCGGGGCTCATGGGCGCTTTGTCGACGGCTAGCGGGCCTGAGACGTTGCGGGGCGTTGTGTAAGAGGGCATGGTTGTGGTCGAGGTAGTGCGTGTTGGTGCGGCGTTCGCAGTGCGAGAAGTGTCGTCGGTGGTCCAAGCTGACCCGTTCATGTCATTCCTCTTGCGGGCGGTGAAGTTGAGTTCGGGGAGCAATGGTGCCGAGTCTTGGTGTTTAGGGTTAGCATCGAACGTTGCCCAAGACTGTTTCAGAGAGATGCATGCGGGAGTGCAAACAATGACAATGTGCGGCGCAGGTGGGAAAGATGTTTATGCGGCGCCGTCAGTCAGGATGATGGGTGATGCGCCGTGTTTGGGAACACCAAGGGTTCACCCGGGCGCTAAGCCTTACCTAGAACCGTAGTAACCGGGGCTACCTTCCTTCTGCGAAAGGGAAGCAGCGGCATGCTTCGAGTGCGCACTTGGATGGGAGCCGACATCTGTCTTCGAATTAGTCTTTTGTTTTCTGCAAGACGTCCATGGAGGACCAATGCTGCCGCGTAGCAAACGCCCACGAAAAGCAATGATAGAACAGCAATCTAGTGGAGAGAAGACAATGACTTACTGGTGGCTGACAGGTACTCATGCCTTGTTGATTGTCTTGGAGTACTCGAGCAGATCTTCGCAAGCTGTTAGCAGCTGATAACCTGTTCTTTGCTCGTTAGTGTTGGACAGGCAGTGTGGTTGACAGCGGGTGAGGTCGCGAGCGGTGGTTATTTGATGAGCAACATGAGCAGCCGAGTCAAAAGCAATCCATCTTGGAATGAAAACTAGTCTAGCTATTTCAAGCGCCTACAAACATCCCCTTCACTTCACCTCAAGAAGATTCATCGTGAACTGGTTATGCTGGTGTAACGGTTCGCCAATCAGCGATGACCCCTGCTCAGGTACCCGCTGTCAAGTGGGCTGAAACCCTGGCAACAGCCCTACCGGACGTGACGTGTGCGTTTCCACTACCACGAAACACCGCAATACGCCTAGGCTTGTCGACCTTCACGCGTTTATGCGGGAATCATTGCCAAATTTATGAGTATGCTGGGAGGCCCTCGATACCCCGTGGCTCTACGCCTTGATTCCCGATACCACCGCGAATGCCTCTCGCCACCAATCATTACTCACTTATCATGATCTTACAGCCTAAAGTATTCTACATGCCTCTCTACTCCGTCATAGTTATATCGGAGATAATATACCCCACACGACATTACCGACGTGGCTGAACTTCACCGCTTACGGGACGTTGCTGCGTTGTGAGTCACACCTGAGTATTTGTTCCTCGCAGCTTCCTAATTCTAGAATATCATGAACATAAATGCTACATGCACTAACCGCTGCCACTGCGACACACAAGCTCTTCGCCATCATGAACTGTATAGCCTCAGAGACATACTTCGCTCTGCCCTTTCAACATCGACCTGCTCATTCCGCTACCAATAAGAGTCAATGACCCAGGAAATAGCACAACACACCGGGCATGACTAACAAAGCCGTGTTTAAAGTAAACATATCCACCCAGGACACTTCACAAGAGCGATAGTTCGACTGTATAGGCATTGCTCCAGAATCTCGAGTAGTGCAGCAGGCGTACGAAAAACGGTTTCTATGAATACCACTATACTCGGGTTGTCATATCAACCCCTTACCGCTGCGAACGAAACATGGTGCACCATCTAGCACTAGAACAGGACGGTTACGTCAGCGACCAAAGTAGAACAATTATTGGACACATATATTGACCACAGGCTGCGTTCAGTCCATAGTTTACAAAACTCATCATCTCAATATTAAAGGAGTTTACTTTCATCACCCATGGCTAGTAAATATGCATCTGCACACATATTCGTGAAGGAAGCAGATGCTTCTTAGTCTACTTCATTAGCTGACGGTGTTCATTTTCTTGTTGACTGCGTAGGCCAGATGAAGGATTAGGTCAGACTGAGGAAGCAGACCGCATAGAAGCATGTGCTGAATAGAGAGGCTCGGATAAGGATTGGACCGGAGGCCCTTTTGAGTAGTAGAAAGTACAAGTGAAACGGATATCATTTCCTGTGTATGTACATCTAACGAGCCTAGTCTCCCTTTATCTAGAACATATCAGGTGCCTTCTTGACGCGGGTCTTGCCCTCGAATGGCTGCTCAGAGGAGATCTGGTTATTCCTCAACTTCTCCAGCTTACGCTCGTTGTCCTCGTTCGCAAGCTTCTTGTACTTCTCGATGACCTTGTCCATCTGGACTTGACTTCCAGCGGGGACGTTGTACGGCGATCCGACGTTCATGATCCTGCGCTCGTTAGCCTCAGATATCCACATTGGTGTTTCCTCTATTTGCATTGCTTCGCCTTGGTCTCGGCTTGAATCTCCTCTTCCCATAGCCTAGTATGCCACATTCTAGGTATTACGTACTCGGGAAACTTCATCTCAACATATTCCTGCGGCCGTGTGTTCAAGAACAGCACCCTGTCCTCACCCGCCTGCTCGATCATGCGCACGTGGTGGTCATTCTGCGAAGTCCACTTCTCGTGTAGTCCGGCCGTAGCATTGGCGATCATGCGGGTGAAGTACGGCTCGTTGTTCTCGCCGTCGTTTCGCGATATAGCGTAAACAGCCATTCCTGCGGGGATGACGCCGATTGAGATCCAGAAGCCATACTACATGCCAATTGAGTTAGTCACATTTCCCCCAAGTATTGCGGTATCGTGGAAAAGGCCTGGGACTGTTTGGGAGGGGTAAAGGACGGTTGACATACACCCATAGGCTCGTCTGCGGCTGGGCTCGGGTGCCCGTGAGCGTGTTCATCGTGGGCGAAGCGGCGCGACTGGCGCGGGAGGGAGGTTCGGCTCGTCCGGGCAGCAGCCACTGCTGTTCTACGTAGTGACTGCATCGTGAGGTTGCTGGCTGTCGTTGATGTCGCTAGGGTTCGCGATGATGCTGAGCTCGAGATCCGCTTAGTCAGGTTGCCTTAGCGGCTTGGCATTTATATCCGCTTCTTTCTCATGTGCGACCCAACAGTGCCATTAGGATGGCATTCTGACTCTTAGGACCATGGATCTATCTTGTCATTTCCACTTTCTAAAAATGCCCCAAAGACAGTGTTCCCCAGGATTTCGTCAAGTTTTCGCACAACATTACCATTTTTACTCTTGTTCGTTCATGGTAGATTGCACTGAGCCATTTCCATAATATTTCAGCGCCGTCTCGTTACATCATCTAAAGATGACGCGGACAGCTATTGCATCAAAGCACGTGTGCTGATAGCACATATGAAGGTTTACAGGCATTGACTCGATTAGTGAGCAGCCCCTCTCTGTTGGCGGTGCCGTTCGCGAGCATGAGACATGACAAGACATCTTGTTTGCAACGATGTTAGCAGACCAACTGTGGGTTCGCATAAGCTGCAACGTCTGAGATATTGAAACCCCAGCATGAGCCATTTCGAATTAGGGGTATTAGCACTGTAACGATATCTCATCCCAGAACAACGTACATGGTGAGAGATGATGCAAATCTTGAGACAGCGACCCTGCATTCAAAGAGAGATCGCATGTTGATGATCAGTAACCACTTGCTTGCACCGTGCTATTGAACGTGCCTTGATCATGCATTTAGTCACGTGCATGTCCCAATTAGGAAATGACTGTCCGAACCTCGGTATCTTCTCCGCAGAACACCTATGGGGGATCTGTGCGGACACGAACTACAATAACACGAGCGAGCCATGATTTACTCTCAGTCTCTTCAGCCATTCTTCGACCGAAAAGACGGCACTTCCCAGTCCCTTGTTCGAGATAGACATTACCAAAACCTACTGGAATTTACCCATAGATCTAATCACATCGCATCGCATCACTAGGATTCCAAGAGCTGCCATCATGCCCTCGTACACATCAATCCACCTTGCCGAACGGCCACAAGACGGTGTTGTTGCCGGCAAGACCTTCACGCCAAAGCAACAAGAAGTCCCATCGGCATCATCCCTCAAAGATGGCGAGGTCCTCTTTCAGACACTCTATTTGTCACTTGACCCAGCGATGCGCGGCTGGTTGAACCCGACGCGTTCTTACATTCCTCCAGTTGAGATTGGCGCTGTGATGCGCGGCAGCGGTATTGGCCTTATCGTCGCAAGTAAGAGCAAGAAATTCCCTGTTGGTACATACGCGACTGGTATGTGTGGATGGTCCGAGTACTCTGTGCTTAATGAGAAGCATGTCGAATCATTGGATCTGCCAGAAGGCGCTGTGCCAACTGACGCGCTGGGCGTGTTGGGAATGACTGGTCTTACCGCCTACTTCGGTATCCTGGAGATTGGTCAGATCAAAGCGGGAGATTTCGTGGTAGTCAGCGGCGCAGCTGGCGCCACAGGAAGTGTCGTGGGCCAAATCGCTAAGCTGAAAGGCGCAAAGGTCTTGGGACTTGCTGGCGAGGATAGCAAGGTGTCGTGGCTGAAGGAAGAGCTTGGCTTCGACGAGGCACTGAACTACAAAGATCCCCAGTTCGCGAAGAAGTTCAGGGATGCAACCAAGGGTCTTATTGATGTTTACTTCGACAACGTGGGTGGGGAGATCCTTGACCTCGCTCTCTCACGAGCCAAGCCTTTCGCGCGGTTCGTTATGTGCGGCGCGATTTCGGAGTACAACAAGAAGAAGCCTCAGGGTCCAAAGGTACGTCACGTCTCAGTGCCCAGTTTGCTGGTTACGTTACTAATCGTACGTATAGAACTACATGATGATCATCTCCATGCGCATTCGTATGCAAGGATTCGTCGTTTTCGACTTCGCAGACAAGTACGCCGAAGCAAGGAAACAGCTTGCTCAATGGCTCTCAGAGGGAAAGCTCAAGCGAAAAGAGACAATCATCAAGGGAGGTATCAACAAGGCGGAGGATGCACTAGTTGGATTGTTCGAGGGAAAAAACACCGGTAAGCTTGTCTCATCACGATTGAGATCATGTTACTAACAATTGCAGGCAAAATTATGGTGCAGGTGGCGGACCCAGAGGCAGTAAAGGCGAAGTTGTAGATATAGAATGAACCATCAGACAAGTCCATGCCGAATGAATGTGTTTCTATATACGCAATGTCAGTATGGACGCTCTCGTTAAATACTGGGCGAGATCGAAACCGAGGATACTTAGTCCAGAGACTGCAGGATGAGCACAGGACTAGCGAGGAAGACCAGGCCTTATTCACGATCTATAGTCACGTGGGAGCTACCATTCATGTATATTAGCTTGAGCCGACCGTTGACGTATTTACGATTTTCCTTCCGAGCAGGCGGAAGGAAGGTTATCGCAGCTTGCACAAACGTCAGTCGTGGCAACTAGAGATTCGAAAGCGCACATGCTAGTAGTGCATCTTCGTTCGACAGAAAATACCTTATAGAGAAGTTTATATTTGCCACTGCAACGTGCATGCTTACATGCATCATGAATAGCCTAGTCTCGATCAAGCTTAGGAAGCAACCATGGATTCCTTCCATTGTGCCACTATTTTCAGGATCCGACGATTGCACCCCGCACCTCAGACACCCAGACTTAATGTGACATTTACCTCCACTCGTATCTAGAATGGCCGAACCACCACTATTTGCTTACGATCCGTTACCTACTGGCTGTATTCGCCTACTAACACCCTTATCAGGCGAAACCGCTGACGGCCACTCTTGGAGCGTATAAACGGTACGTCTAGACCGACCTGGTCTAAAATTTGACGCACTTTCATATGTGTGGGGTTCGGAGGCAGAACACTTCGATGTTACTCTAAACGGCAGCGTTTTACAAGTGCATCGCAATCTATACACTGCACTACCTTACCTTGCGCGCCGAGGAGACACCAGTCCAGTACGACCAATCTGGATCGACGCTGTATGCATCAACCAGGCGGACCAGGAAGAGAAGATGGTGCAGATCCGGGAGATGAACCGCGTCTACAGGCAGGCAAAGAAAGTGTGGGTGTGGCTCGGTATTACAAAATACCAAAAGCGGATTCCTGATGCCGTTCGCTTTCTTGAGAAGCTACGCAAAGTCAGACGAAGGCACCCAAGTGCAGACTTTGAAGACTTGGAACGGAAATTGCACTTTCAGTCTGTTGACCTGCCATTGAAATCTGCACTTTATCATCTTCTCTTCAACCACTGGTTTGGGAGGGTGTGGGTTATACAAGAAGCGGCTTTGCCTCAAGACATCAGCTTCATCTCTGGAGATACCGGTTGCAGCTGGGGACTTATGAGAGACTCAATGTATACCCAAAGCTCTTGGTTCTTTCTTGAAAAAGAGCTTGTTAGATGTGAGGATCTCCTCAGTAGTTGGCATCAGCCCATGCGCGTAAAAGAGGGCGCAGATACGTGGAAAGCAGGGGTGTTCTTCATTCGAAACTTCACGTAGGTGGGACGGGATCCTGAACAACAAGTCAGCAGTGTTTCCGCCGCGGCCGTTCTGAAATCAGGGATGCTGATGTCGCTCGATCAGGACTGTGGTAGGCCTGAAGATTGTGTACTAGGGTTACTAGGCTTAATCGACCCAATGTACCTAAGGGGTACATATCTTGATCCAAACATAGCTTATGTTTCATTTCAAGACTTATACACCCGTTTTACGACATTTATACAAGCTTTGGGCTCAGAGTACGACAACGATATGTTGTGGAAAGTGCTCAGCCTTGTATTCGAACCCAAGAGAAGCGAAGGCCTTCCATCGTGAGTGCCGGATTTCCATCGTCTGCCCTTCCCTGGCTGGAGATCTCGTTATGTTAGCATAGGCAAGAGAATATCCCGTTACGCAGCGGTCAAGGCGCTCAATGTGCCACGAAGCGGTTCGAAGCTAGAAGAGTTGGTGCTGCTGGGTAAGATACTCGACGAAGTTGCGACTGTTCACGAGAAGATGCCTGCCCCTTGTTGGGTGCCTGAATCTGAATCTGAATCCAAATGGAGAGAATATCTGATCAATGTCGCGTGTTGGGAAGAGAGGATCGCTGACGATGTAATGAGTCGCATTCCAAAGAGGGGCGAGACAGAACCTCGGGTTGGAGTTGTAGGACAAATCACCTCCGACGAGTATTGGCATACGCTGGTAGATCATGAAGAGTGCTACATAGACGAAACGATAACCCGTGATTGGTACCTCGATTTTCAAGCGATGGGCCGACAACTGAGAGGTGTCATTACTGACAAAACAATTCGAAAGTATGCATTTCTTCCTTGTATCGATACTTGGCAGTGTGCTTACACTCCATCAGAACAGAAGCAGACCCCCCACATTTGCAGTCAAACACACCCGAGGTAGCCACTGAGGTGCAGTCAACGGCAGAAGATGAACATAAGAACGCACACCAGTTCTTAGAGGCCATGCGGAAGGTCGCTCACAAGCAGTTTTTCGTGACTAGAGAAGGGTATCTCAGCTCAACAATGCCGGGCGTACTGCCAGGAGATAGACTCGTCGCGCTGAATGGGTCACCGATACTGCACATTATCAGGCAGGTGACTGTCGCTGATGGCAGCCAACCAGAAACATGGAAATTTGTGGGCGAAGCATATTTGCCCACTCCGATGCATGAGAACGAGCAGGAGAAAGATGTACAAAAGTTAGCTACAGACGAGGGCGATTCAGAAGCAATCGATGCAGAAGAAAGAGATGTGGAAGAGAGGGAGTTTGTGTTTGTATAGACGAGCTGAAGGCTATCTGAGCCAAGACTTGCCAGGTCTTGATGTTAAGCAAGCGATGAGATTGCGGGAAGCTAGTGGGCCGCTGCAAGTGTCTACGTGGACTTTCCATATGAGTGTACGATATAAAGTGTATTCAGTAAGATCCGTAGCAAAATTTGCACAATGATGGAGAGGGCATTCTATGTTGGCAGCCGGTACCTGCAGAATCGCCCCCGCGCTAGCCCCACGAGCGGCGGCACGTGCGCTAAACTTTCAAAGGCCGCTATCATCTTCTTCCCCACTCACTCTGATCAAACTTCTGGCCTCGTCTTGTCAAGGCATGTTATGCTTCGAACCCTATCGCGATCGATAACACGAGTCATGGCCTCCAACGAGCCCGCCCGCGTTCCTATCCCCAAAAATGGTGTCGACTACCGTGGCAAAGTGGTGCTTGCGCCCATGGTGCGCTCCGGTGAATTGCCCTCACGCCTTCTGGCGCTGAAGTACGGCGCCGACCTGGTCTGGGGACCGGAAACCATTGACCGCGCCATGATTGGCACTACAAAGAGACTCAATCCGCACACGCAAACGCTGGAGTTTTCGCGCCTACCGACCTCGAAGATCAAGAACCCTACACTCGATCCCGAGAACCGCGAAAGCGTCATATACCGCATACATCCAGAGCTGGAGAAGGGGAAGCTCATATACCAAATTGGCACGGCGAATCCGGAGCTGGCTGTGCAGGCAGCCAAGATGGTGGCAGCGGATGTCGCAGGCATAGATGTCAACTCTGGCTGCCCTAAGCCATTCTCCACGTCCGGCGGTATGGGCGCAGCGTTGCTGAAGACGCCAGATTTGCTTTGCAACATCTTGACAAGTCTTGTCGAAGAAGTAGGAAAGCCATTTGAGATTGGCATCAGCGTCAAGATACGAATTCTAGACACGCCAGAAGAAACCGCGGCACTGGTGAAGAGACTGGTGCGCACCGGCATCACGGGTCTCACGGTGCACTGCCGAACGACACCAATGCGACCCAGAGAGCGCGCAATTAGAAATCAGCTCAAGATGATCGGAGAGATATGCCACGAAGCAGGCGTCGCATGCCTCATGAACGGCGACGTCACATCACGCACCGAAGCCCTTAAACTTGCGGAAGAGTTCAACGTCGATGGAGGAATGATCGCAACGGAAGCCGAAAAGAACCCTAGCTGCTTCCGACCTGATGCAGAAGGCGGCCCTCACGAGTGGCGATCGCAGTGGAAGACCGTTGTTACCGAATACATGCGTTTTGCACTGCAAGTAGAGAATCGCTGGGGTAACACAAAGTATCTGCTCAGTCAGATGATACCCGGGAAGGAGAAGGCATATGCGGCTATGAACAAGTCAAAGTGTTACACAGACGTTATCAAGGCGTTGGGCTTGGAGAACGTGGATGACTTGTTGCAACAGGCGAACACTGTTGACGAGCATCTGGGCATACCGCAAAATGAATCGCGAGCCTCTAAGCGGGCGAGGGTCAAGGAAGCCCAGAAACCTGAAGGGGATGCTGAGAAGAAGGAGAAGCGCAAGGAAAGGGATGATGAAGAGCCGGAAGCTAAGCGCATCAAGGTACCAGAGGTGGAGCCCGAAGCGGCTGTGACTCTCCCGCCACAGGAGATTACGGCTCCTGCTGCGCTGAGCGTATGATTCATGTCACGATATCTGGGTTAGGCGCGTATCTATTTGGGCATTGCAGGCGTATTGAGCATTTACGAAGGTGAAAGGGAACACTCTCAGATGTGAACGGCTAAGAGTAGGAGCATATGAAATCACATCGATATCTACTCTACTCTTTCTCTTCCAAGAGTGCCTTTGCAGGGTCACGCCGCCTTAAGAGTCAGGATCTCGCCCGGCATTGAAGCACATATTGGTTGACTCTTCACCATGTGCACTACTTCAAGCCTAAGCATGAAGCTACGTGCAGCTGACATTTATCGTATTTGGCACAGGCAGGCGGAGTAACACGGGGCTGAGTTTGCATTACCCGCGTACTTAGCCTCCACCTTGGAATGATTCTGCGGCGGATTGACCGGTCATAAGACCCACTACGCTCAACGAAATTATTGGCAAGGCATTTTCATCGTCGCAGGCGTATCTTCTTATCAGACAAGCTCGTGCTTGCTAACAATTCTTGAGAAAATGGCTTGCAGCTTATCGTGCGCCACAACCTTGGAATTACGCGGGGTAGACATATCACAAGAGCATAGCCCTGTGCGTGATTTATGCCTCTTCTACCTTTCGATTTCGGCCAGATACAACGGGGCGGGTTTAAAACGACGGATTTCCAGATAGTCATAGCTTCCAAAAAACTTCGTCTTCTCGCTAGCAGCTTGATCAACTGAATCCCGGAGATATGGCCACGCAAGGTCGGTCCTATACAAGCCATACCAATGCCAAAGCACAGCTAACGCTTTTCAGACCCCAATGCTCAACCCATAACTTTCGCGAAGCCGTCCGCGTTCTCGAAGCTGAATCCATTCAGCAAGAAGGCAAAGCCGCTCAATGACAAGACGCCCCTAGTCACCAGCACCGAAACTCAGGTACTCGCGGAGGAAAGGAAGAAGCTATTGATCATGAAGTACCGCAACATGACTGAAGAGGAAGTAGACGCGTACTTGATGGAGAAGGCCAACGGGGATGGTATGAATGCGCAGAGGGGGTTTAATGCCTTGGGTTGGGCGTTGGCGCCAATTAGAATATAGTGAGAGGCAGTAGTCGGGAAGGCCGATGAATCTTGTTGACGATGTTGTGTTCAATCGGCTAGGTTTGACCGGCGATTTCGATACTAGTGAATGGTTAATAGCTTTTATGTATGTGGTCTCTGCTTCTATGTAAATTTGTCTCTGATGTATTCCATGTCCGCTCGGTAACGGGCGGAAACAAGTATGTTCATAGGGGTATCCCGAGTCTTTCCAGTGGGTGGGCGCCGGAGCACGACGCTGATACAGCCCTGGGCTGACTCGAGAGGAAAAATCATTCGATCTATGAAATCTGTAAAAAGATTGGGTTCTGACGCCGCTCGCGACGTTGATCCATTGCCTTGAATCTCCACATCTCGGAACCCAAGCTTCTCTATGGAATTACCCAGTACAACAGTTGACGAGAGATTGGAAAAAGCACTCAAAGCCTTTATTGTCAGGAAGAAGTGGTCCCCGATACTCTTTGGAATCAAGAACAATGCTTTCAACTTGTTGAAGAAGACTCATCGTCCTCAGCAGTACATTGCCAAGATGAAACCTGGAATGTGGAGCTCCGAAACTCGAATTGAGCATGATGTCGATCTGAAGCGAGAGAATTCATAGGCACTGCATCACAAACAGTGAAAGTCTCTGGAACAGGCACACGACCCGCAAGCGCTTTCACATTGATCACGATGGGAGCTTCGAGACAGCGAGAATATTGTGCGCAAGTTAAGGGCAGGAGCGCGACGTATGTGCCCTTCTTTACTTTTGGTATAAGATGAGAAAGGCTTCGCACCTGAAGAAATGAGCTATACCGCACTAGCGGCAGCCTAACCTTCATTCCACCTTGAACCCACTGGAGGTAGTGGTCGTCCAGTGCACTCCATGGTAACTCGAAGGCAAATCGCATTTGGGAATACCTTATGTCCTCGGGAAGACACTCTGGTTTGAGCGCACAGTCTGTACAATGTTTTCTCCGGCAAAATTGCCTGGTTGAGTACGCAACGAATGGTACTCTATTGATGGAATCGTTGGTGGCGAAAAAGAATAGTATGTGGTCGGCCTCGCTCTCGAAGACTGCTTGCTGCAATCTGCGAAATGCTTTGTACTCCCCTTCGCCATATAGCAAAGGTATGTTTACATCAAAAAGACCCAGTAGACAGTAGGTCATATCTTCCGCTCTAGTCACGAGGCTATGCGCAGCCCATGTCATTTTCTTTGCAGCAACATAGGTGTCTTAGTATCGGTCCAGTTGCTCTCGAGAGCAGAACGATCGATCCACGTAATAATGGCAATCTGCTTGGCTCGCGAAGCTTTGGAGCCAATAGGGGTCCAGTCGGCTACGTAGAATTCGACACTACGCGGTACCAGTAATTCTTGCAAGGTCCAACCGCGAGTGAACCATAAGCTTTGTTCGAAGGCTGTATCATTGCCAGTCTCGCCGTCTGGAACGTCACTCAGACAAGCGTAGCAGATCTGAGCATCCTGATACCATCGGAACATTGAGCTGATCGCCTCTTGCAGTTCCGCAGAACTAGACTTGTCAATGCAGCAATTCTCTATCCAAACCCAGTCAAAGTCATCCTTGGCCGCGAGCGCGCAAGTTCCTTGCACCTTTGAGAATTCACTCCTGGCTTGAGCTGGGCTGCCGATGCTGCTGATAGGCTCCTTTATCATGTCCTCAAAAAGGAGCTCTTCTTCTTCCTACCGATGTGAGAGGATAACATATTGAGGTACTTTGCCGATGAACGTCGTAAGTGTCAGGGTACGTGTGTTGAGTAGTCTTATGTCTACGCGCTCGTCGCACTGGGACTTATGTAGGCTTAATTGGCGGATCGATAGATGGGATGCAAGATCGGTAATTTTTACCGGGAGTAAGAAGCTAGAATGGTTTGCTGATAGACTAAGAGGGTCATGGTGGCGGACGCGAACGTGTAAAAGTCGCTATCTGGCTGCAGGTTAACCACATTCGTGCATGCGGGGTGCAGCAAGTCGGCCCTTGGCTGCAGCCATCACTATGCGAATCACCGATGAATAATTCGATTGATCAGTTTACGTGATGGCATCAGGGTGTTGTGGTGGAGTGGCAGTACGATTGCGATGGAACCTGTCTATGGTTCGATGAATATTGAAAGCTGGGACGACGAAGAGACGGGCAAGGTTGATACGCTAGCCAATCACGTCACAGGCGCATATGTACGGGGTCCTCCAAGCACCTGGAGTCGTCTTCATCGTGCTAACAACTCCTTATAACAAGCCTGAGGACCGCTCCGAGCTCCAAGCACATACACAACACAGGGCGACTGAGGCAGAATTCGACGAGTGCTGGAAGTTACTCATCACTTCCAAGGCCACCGCGAGCAACGCGCGAACTAGGTTACCTTAGGCTTTCCCCTCCTTCCAATACTCACCGGCTGCGTTTCACAGCCTCAACGTGCCTACGATACAGACACAGCATCTGAGCATGCCTCCACAAGCGGAACTCTGTGAATGCACGGATGACGTGGCCCATGCCTGGCCCCCAAATTGATGCAGACAAAGCTCCGCCTGGATGCAGAGCCGCGGCCCCTTGAAAAAGTCGCATGTTCGCTTCCTTCATCGCGCCTCAATTGCGACAACGCTTTTTGGAACCTGTAACAACATCGAGTTTTTCGCCAAGTCTTCAAGTGAACAGAATCTAATTATCTGCCCTTATTTCGATCCCAAGGGTACTACGTACGCTCGTTGCAATGGCCAGCGACGGCGTTACTACGGTCGAAATGGCGACTATCGCCGAGTCTTCCACAGCCAACAAGACCTCCGTTGCCGCAACCTCGAGGACTATTACCCCCAGTCCAGTAATGTTAAAAGAGGAAGGGGCATTGATTGGGTCATGGCTGTGTGCCGACGGTAGAATATCTCTCGTCAGGCTGCCTCTTCAAGGTGTCGTTAATTTTGGATAGGCCCGTATCGCGAGTACATCGAAGCGCTGAGCGGCTCCAATCCTGGCCTAAAGAAAGCTGATCCGAACAACTTGGATGGTCCGCTGATGAACGGCAAGGCGCTTGTCGTGCTCTTAGATGCACCCAATACTGGAGTACCTGGTTTCCAAACGACCGAATTTAAGAGTGAAAAAGACCTTCGCAAACACTTTCAAACTACGACGCATAACCACAACCGCCGACGTATCTACGTTATGGAAGGTTTGGCTCCTGATTACATCGCGACCGTTGGCGGTCACTTCTTCATGGACCCTACATTCTTTCAGCGCCAGGAGAGAACATGCGTCTGGAGTAACGATTTTACACCAGTAAGCGATGCGTTGCCCCAACCTAGTTTGCTAGACCCAAATCAGGCTTTCCATCTCCAGTATTGCGAGTTGAGGCAATTTAACAAGGCGCTTGAGAATCGATATTTCTTCTGTGAGCGAACAAGACGGCACGTTGGCATGACAGCGTCGCGTCAGAAGGAGGAAAGCACGGTAGGGATACTGCGACGTAAAATTGGATGGTGGTCTCGCAAGACTGAAAACGGAGGCTGGGATGGTACGTGGTTTTTCTACTAATATTCGAAGTGATCATCGTCTGGGTGCATTCTGCCGTCCTACGCCTCCATATTCCATTTCGAGGACCGAAGAAGCAATTTTAATCAGCATGTGAAGACTGCTAACAGATTTAGTTGTGATATTGTGTGATCCTCAGCTGTTCCATCTCTCTCCTGCGCCTAAAGAAGTTGTTCATGGCGATGGCACACTTCGACCCATCGACAATGTTCGCGAAGAACTTCGAAACGCACCATTTCAGGAAGGCTATGTAGATTTTATACCTCCTGTACCTTTTGACCAGATTCATGGTAAGAAAAAGCATCCGCATACGTCGATGCTGCGCGACATCCTCCACTATTACCAGCAACACTCCGATTTGTTCTCTCAAGACGAGTGGGCTGCGCCCGACACATCAGCAATCTTTCTTAAAAAGATTGTCGCTGCGCACTATCTCCAGCTTGTTGACTACATCAAGGCAATGCTACCTTCATTGGAGCTTCGACTCACCACTGCATGGGTCGAAGAACAGGGTCAATGGAAGAGCTTACAGACCATCTCACGTCGATGCGGCAATTACCGCGATGATATCGAAGATGCTTTACTGAGTCTCGGCTACGCACTAGACGGCCAGGTGAACAGCTCCGCTAGTTTGCGTGCGTTTACATGGAAAGACTGCGAGAAAGACTTCCAATATGTCTACTTTCGGCTCAAGATCCTGAAAGAGCGTGCAGATAATCTTATGCAAGCCATGACTGGACTGGCATCGATTGCTGGTAATCGTCAGAATCTAGAGGAGGCCAAACGAGTCAAACGACTCAACCTCCTTGCCCTGTTGTTCATTCCATTAGCATACACGAGCAGCTTGTTCAGTATGCAAGACAATTACGCACCGGTAAGGCAACCATGTACAAACTGTTGATGAGATAGACACTAATATCGTGCGCCCATCTTTAGAACCGAAGTGACTTCTGGGTCTATTGGGTCAGCGCTATAGGGGTTGTCGCATTCACGGCTGCCATCACGTGGGTCTTGGACAATGCTCTGAATGACGAGGCGCAATGGACCTGGAAACCGATCAGCTCTCTCAAGTTCTGGGACAATGGACAACCCATACCGGGAAAAGTGAAGAGGAAAACAACCAACCTCTATCAACTATGACCGGCTCATTCGATGGATCGTACGAATAGTCCTAGAGGACTTTACCATGTCTGGAACCCGAGCTTCGCGCAACTAGACCCTCACGCCTGGTCTGTCGGCGTGTGCAGCGTGTACATGGCATGTCAAGATAAAAAGCCATTACACGTCACTCACGTTGCGGCCATGACGGTGTACTTGAGCAGCGTCGATGGTGGAGAGGTTGGGGCGATCGTGGACCAGGAGCAACCATGGAATCTTGATGGGGGTCTTCTCGATGCGACATTCAAGAACCACAACATCTCTTTGCTCGAAAGAGCATGCGGAGAGCACTTCATGAAGTTCTGGAGAGATTGGATGAACGATGTAGGACGACACAAGTATTCAGATGTCGTCTCTCCGTTTGCGGTCTAGATCGCGGATGTACACTTCGTATAACCCGATCGTGAAGTTGAATTTGGGTAGGCGCAAGATTAAGAAAAACCCGGGTTCCAGGTCCGTCGGCCTAGGTTCAATGGTGTTCCGGTAAATGTGGCTGCACTAGATCTTCGCCCATAGTGTTCTGCCGCTCCACCTAATTAGCCAATATACGTAGGACTCACTAGCGCACTATGTTAAAGCTACATATAAATGCACTGCAAGTGTCTTGCTTGGCCACTATTGCAGTCTTGGAGAGCGTTGTCCCCCACAATGTATTTCCTTCCCATACTCCCCCTGCTAGCTCTAACAACAGCAACTCCCCTCCACCCACATCCCCAGCAACCCAAATCCAATATCAAATGCCCCATCATCTTCGACGGTCGAATCTCCTCCAACCTAACCCTCCAATCCTTTGATACAGCCGAAGGCTTCACACCCTACAACCCCGACTTCGTCAAAGGCGAGAATCGCACCTGGTCCTCCATCCTTCTCTTCCCTTCACCCAAAACAGCCCCTCAATCCCGCTTCGACAACCCTCGTCAACATAAACCCCTCGAAGTGACCATTGACGATGGCTCTTTATTCCGCGCAGGCGCGAACCTACAAACTGGTTTCCGCCGCGCAGGTCTCTTGCTGAAAGAGGATCAGAACGATGCTGGCGCCGACGCTTCGGACAAGGGCGTCGTAACATTTCATTGGAGTGTGAGACAAGACTCACACAGACCGTTGAACTTGAGTCACGAGTACATGAACGTGTGGCATGAGAAGGCCGATTATTCTGGAAATCAGTTCATGTTTGTAGGTGGTGTTGTGCTAGTTGGTGACGGCGGCACGGGAGTGGATACGAAGAAAGAGAGGGAGAATTGGAAAATCCAGAATGCGAAGAATGACTTTGTGTTTACGACGCGCATTCTCAAGGGAGAGTGGCAGAATTTTGGGGTGCAGTTGGACAATGTGAAAAAGTGAGTCTTCTCTCTTCCTTACGTGTTGAAGTTTCGATGAGTTTCTGAATGCTGATGAGGGTTCAGCACGATCAAGGTATATTACTCTACAGGCGACAAGCCATTGAAAGCGGTCACCAAAGCTTTGCCGAACGACAATTCTGGAGGCGGGCAATTGCAAATTGGTATTGCGAAGAAGCCTACGGAGACTGAAACGGTGGTGTTTGATGGGTATCAAGAGCACATACCACTGCGCGGTGAAGGTCAGATTTATGGAGGCATTTTCGTAGAAGATAGCTCGGGTGGGTGCGTTAGTGTATGAGTCGGGCAGGGTAACATCAGATGCATGGGCACATATGGGTATTTCTACGTTGCTGATTGGTGTGTTCTAAAAACCTAGCTGCTTTTCGTTGAGCTTTGAATCTGGTAAAGTGCCATTTTATGATCGAACTGTCGTATGAACAGAGATATCTCCACTGCCTAAGAAACTATAGTGATACTGAAAGGAATATTATGATAAAAAATTGAATCGTGATTTGGTATATACAAAAGTCGTCAGGAAGGAAACAGTAGCCGGCAGTATGTATCTCAATGGACCATGCTCTTTCCTATTTCGCTTTCCCAGTTGTTGGCCCTTTCGAAACCATTCGAATGGCTTTGGTAATCCATCATAGCCTGCATGACCTCATCTCTTGACGTTACAACAAATGGTCCGTATTGTACGATGGGCTGATCGAGCGGCAGACCAGCGACGAGAATGAATCTCGACTCCTTCTCAGCACCCTCTTCTACAGAGGCTTCGATACTATCGCCGTTGCTCTCAAAGACGACGTTGTGGTATTGTTCGATAGGTCGTGATACGCCGTCGGACGAGAAGATGGTGGTGCCGTTGAGCAGGTATGCGAAGGCGTTCCAGCCCTTTGGCAGGGGCTGCTTGACTTTGCCACCAGGCTGAACTGTGAAGTCAAGTAGCCAGACGGGTGTGTATGCCAGCTCCTTCAGACTCTCGGTACCGTAGGCCTGTCCACTGATGACCTTGACGTGCACCTTGCCATTATCCGCGGTTGTCTCAGGGATCTCCTTGGCTCGTAAGTCTCGGTAACGCGGTTCGCACGACTTCAGCTCTTTGGGAAGATCGACCCAGAGCTGCATTCCAACATTGGGCGCGCCGTCTTCGTTTTGGCGCGGCATCTCGGCGTGAACAATGCCGCGGCCAGCTGTCATGAACTGCAGGTCACCCTGCTCGATGGTTCCCTTGTTTCCTGCGAAGTCTTCGTGGTCGACGGCACCAGAAAGAAGATATGTGATAGTTTCTTGGCCTGCAGACATAATGGAGTTAGTATGTTTTTCGTATATACGCCAGGGAAGGGAAAGTTGCGTACCGCGGTGTGGGTGGTCAGGGAAACCTGCGCCCGGTGGAATGGCGAAGTGGTCGAGCATCAGAAATGGGGAGAAGTTGCGGAGCTTTGGGGTGCCAACACTCCTCCTCACTTTCGCTCCGGCGCCCTCGGACTGCTCAATCGCAAGGAAGGACTTTGCGATTTTGCGGGGCGCATCCGTGGTGAAGGTCTCGTCGGGGATGACGGGCAGTCCGCGAAACATGGTCGACATGTCTTCGGTGGTGTTGTAGAAGGGCTTAGTAGTCTTTGCGAGGGATGTAACGTGTTTTAGTGACTGTGTCAGTCTCGAAAGCATATACTCGTTATTGTATACTGCAAGTGCGATTGCGAGGATGGCGATAAAGATGGATGAAAGCGTCTTCATGGGTCGGGAGGGGGCGCTTTATGCAAAACGCTACTAGGGTATCGAGAATGTTCGAAGACCGCTCGGCAGCGATTGGAGATCGATGCCATCGTGAGCTTGCCTGGTTGGTAAAGATTTAACAATCCGGCGAGTGTTTAGGTGAGGCTTGGCGGAGAATGGCTGCTTATGTCGAGTATGACCAAGCACTACTAATGGGAAGGCGGGGCCAGCCACGGAAAGTGGAGCTTCCGACGGCCAATCAGAGCTGAGGCGATGACGGAATGGCTTCCGTCATGTCTCAATGCTCAACACCGAACATGTACCCTGTCTCTTCTGCTCCCATCGCGCTTGGAGCGCAACCAGTACGTTTCTGTCTCAGCAATACCTTGGTATTCTTGTCCATCGCACATCGAAACTACTGGCCATGCGTATCTACATGAGCTTGCGCAGACCGCGATGATTTCGCGACCCATTCGTGCTTCTCGGGGCTTCGTGCTGAATGCGTTGTCTATCAAGATAGCTTCAGGTAATATCGGTTTGCGGTATGCACTGCTCAAGTTATTCACGATTGCTCAAAATCCAAATCTTGCCTAGAGAGTCGCACACGATGTTCTTTTACCACCGGCACTCGGCACACCCACAGCTCATGGCCTGTTGGTGACATCAGGGTAGGATCTTCAATGTTTAAGATTTCTTTCAGTTGCATCAGGTTTTTCAAAAATCATCGTTCTCTGAATCATACCTCGTCTTGTATCATGCGTCTTTTCACTTTCACGTCGAGCGTCTAGGCCTTGCAGCCCGCTTCTATTGGGCTTCTCGTACGTGCAAGCGCTCGTACCCAGCGAACGGATGCAAACATTTACTTAGCGCTGTTGCTTCGTGGCACGAACATGACCTTCTAGGGTTAAATGTCGCGTTGTACTGCTCATCTGATCACCCGCATATTAACGATCACTATCACGATGGAAGCACAAAGACATGAAGTGCCAGTGTCAACGTTGCGATTCAATGCGGTGGACATACGCAGATATGTCGACGAGAAAGCTCAGAATGGATCGTGAAGCGGTAGTCCGGAAGATGCAGAGCTCTCCAGCGTATCCCTAACTTCGACTCCGACCCATCAACAGGAACCATTCGAGACGTTCAGAAGGGGAGTGAGGCAGCTTTGCGCCGCTGAGTTCTCAAATGCGACAGTTCATATCGAACGGCTGAGAGGAGGAACTTACAATCGCATTACAGCTATTACCGTCACACCTTCGCCTCCTCGGACATCGAGCATTCCCTGGGTGCGTTCGTTCATAATTAGTCGCGAAGATCATGACGAGGCTCAGAAATCACAACGGTACATACTGAGGAGCCCGCGACAGGAACCGTCATGTGACGACTTGGGTATGAAGTACGATGCGTCGACCTTAAAGTTTGCACAGGACCTCCTATCAGTCCCGCTATTTCCATGACCACGCCCGAATTTATGCAACATCAAGTTCGTCGGTGGCAACTATTAGAAAAGTACAATTGCGAAAATAACGCGACGATATGGGAAAAATTCAAGATTATCATCCAGGCTCTCTACGACATGGAGTTCATTCTGGATGACGAAAAGTTTTACTTCTGTCATCTCGACCTATACGCGCGAAACATGCTTGTAGAGATCGAAGACGACTCAACGCTAAGACTGACTGGGTTACTGGACTGGGATGCTGAATTTGCGCACTTCTGTCCCAAATTCGTCGCCTACCGTGCGCCATTCTGGTTATGGCTATCGAGAGATCAAAACGAATACGATGAGATGATTGCCGCGGACACGCCGGTAGATGCAGATCTCCAGCATTTGAAGATATTATGGGAAGATGTGGCGAGTGATGAGTGGAAGCGGTATGCTTACACACCTGAGTACTTGATTGCGAGGAGGATATTTACGAGACTTCGAAATGGTATATGTTGCGTTGGGGACAAGAATGATGCTAGGTCTATTATCGATGATTGGCAAAAGCTCCATTACGATCAGAAGCTCACGACAGTGCACTCGGATGATGATGATTCGTACGGATCGGGATATGGAGATCGAGATCATAAACGATGAGTCTTGTGAGTATCATTCTAGCCTAGAATCAGAGGTGCTCGACTTGCAAGATGGAGTTGCTGGGGTGGGTAAGTAGAGAGACTAAAGATCTAGGAATTATTTCAGCAACTTCTGGTCATGATGGTCATGTACCTAGGTAGGTATGGGAATCTGTGGTAATCTGTAAACAATGGGGAATGGTTCCTAAGTCGAATCCCTTCAAGCCGTAAATGATGTACCGTCTACGCGACGTAGAGTACAGCCGGCCAATCGTAACTTGACAGCAAGGGTGGGGGTGAAGGACTTCGAAACCCCACTCGCGCCATCTTCGAACGCAACGCCATTATCGATAGCGCTACGCGTGTGAGGGGTAGCTAAGAGATGGGGATATGGGAAGCTGGACTAGTATGAGGCCGACGTATAATCACGTGCGATGCGATATAATAGCCCTTTGTAGCATTCCTAAAACATCATCTATCTCCGCATTCATAACTAATCAACACCACGCTTTGCGCGAATACCACCACCCGCTTCGTTATATCACTTCCTATACTTACCAAGGGGTCCACCATGCCTAGCGCCGGCGATGCACCTCCCATCCTCGACTTCTCAAGTTCGTAGACCCGGCTGGTAAAGAACTCGTAAGGTTAGAACCTCCGCTGATGACAACCAGATTTCTACCGAAGTGACCCAGCGTCCAAGCAACAGCTCGTAGACGACGTGCGAAACTGTTGTCTACACAATGGTTTCTTCCAGATCACGGGGCATGCCGTACCGATCGAGCTGCAAAAGAAAATGATGGACTGGAACAAGAAGTTCTTCGATCTGCCACTGGAGGAGAAGAGCAAAGTGAACAAAGGTAAATTCGACAACTTGTACGCATGGCAATATATTCACACCTCCATCTAGACACAACAAATACTTGGAACCGAGGCTACGAGCTCCTCAAATCCCAAATGCTAGAAGAAGGCACATCCCCCGAGCTAAAAGAAGGCTACTACATTGGCGACGAAATTCCAAAAACACACCCATACTTCATCAACAAGAAACTCAATTCTGGCCCCAACATATGGCCCTCAGACTCGTCTCTACCGGACGTCCAAGACTTCAAAAATACATCTCTGGAATACTACGCCCAAGTCGTTCAGCTCGCTAAAGACATCCTAAAAGTCCTTGCCCTCACCCTCGATCTGAGCGAAGACTACTTCGACGACTTCGCCAGCGGTGCCGTAGCAACAATGCGCCTCCTACACTACCCCTCGCAGCCACCCGACAGCCCCGCGAAGCTCACCCGTGGGATCGGCGCACACACAGATTTCGGCTGCATAACCATTTTACTGCAGGACACGGTTTCTGGCCTGCAAGTCTACGATTACACGACGAAAGAATGGCTCGACGTCACCCCCACCCCTGGCGCTTTCGTTATCAATCTCGGCAATTTGATGATGCGTTGGAGTAACGATCGGTACATATCTAATCTCCATCGCGTTATCAATGTGAGTGGGGAGGAGAGGTACAGTATCCCGGTGTTCTTCTCTGGAAACCCGGATTATGTGGTTAGCTGCCTTCCGAAATGTAAACCGGAGGGGGAGCAGCCGAAGTGGCCTCCAATTACAGTTGAGAAGGCGATTCTGGGTGGGTACAGCGATTCATATGGACGAGCGGAGAGGTGGAAGAGAGATGAAGAGGCGAAGAAGAAGGGCGAGACTATTGTTGGGATACAGGAGGTCGCTGTTGCGTAGATTAGGTCTGGTAGATTGTAACTCAAAGGCTTTTACCAATATACGCCTCATCGAGTTCCTCAATATCGAATATCCAGAGATAAAACCTTTCTCGCTCGACTTGGGAGTTGTAAGAATGGAGAGGATGTTCGACATGTTCGAGCCGTTTGCGTTTGATAATCTGGAGCTTATCGGTATGTTTTCTGTGTGGCTTGGCGGTGGGAGAGCGGACAAGCTCAAGGGAAGCTGTGTACATGTTACATGGAATGTGGAGGCTTTAGAGAAGGAATCAGATCATCTTTCGAGGAAGGACTCATTTTTACACTGAAAGAGAAGGTTCCTGAGGGTTGTTGGACGGAGGGTGGCAACTTTGGGAAATCAAGTGGAGATAAGCATCGCCATTCACGATTAGGGGAGCTTAGCATGTGAGATGTCCTCACAGAAAGGGCATCTGCGAAATAGATGTGAAGCCAGTTCTCATGCCAGAGCGACCTTACTCAATACGCATGGTCCTGATGTGCAGTGGTTGTACGCCTACACGTCCACGATTGTATGTACTGGCCCGGCCAAACGCCTCTCAATCTCCTCCCACGACGCCATACGTCGCTTGTCTTGACTCCATAGGGTTCCTTTGACACCATGTGTCCATATCCAATTATCGCATAGTACAATCTCGTCCTCGTCGCCATAAAAGCTGACCGGTACATCAACTTCCCAAATGCGCACTGCGTCGGTGTCCTTCCAGCTCCGCGTCTCCTTTGGAGTCCGATGGTTTGAGTTGACATCGATTAGAATAGTGTCCAAACTTTTGCCATTGTATGATCTGAACATGACATCGATATCTTTGGCTGCTAACTCGAGGGGCCGCATCATGACTAGCGTTTGTAGTGACGGTATCTTGAGACAAAAAGCTACCTCAAGATCCGTAAGTTCCTGGGCAGTGATGGCAAGCCGTTTCAGATTGGGTGGTGGATGTCGAAAGTAGTTGAGGACATCGTAGCTAATGATAAGTTCTTCCAGGTGCGGCATATGTGCGAAGACATTATTCTCAGTGACATGAGGTCTGATCTGCTCGACTTCGCTTGGTGTCGCATAGATTGGAGACAGGTCCAAAGCCAGCCTCTTGAGCGTTGGTCCAATCAGGCTGCAGAGGTCGATTACCTGTGGTAGTCGCACCAAAGGCGTATAATTCTCTTCTATCAGCCTTTGTACCTCTACTGGTGAGATGAAGATAGACGTGATGTTGCGTAGAACTTGGGCTTCTGCAAATAACCTGTCGTTCCGCCCAGCTTCTCCGTACCGGAGAGTTTGTGGATGATGTCCAAGATTTAATCCCAGTGTTCTGCGAAATCGCGCATAAGTCGTACAGCTATCCAAATAGAGGCAATAAGAGTAGAGATATCTTGTGGCTATGAGGTAAGTATTGCACGATACCAAAGTGAGCGCGCGCAATGTCTTGGTGATGATGCTTGATGGCTCGTATGCTACAGGCTGCCGGCCGTCGCGGGTACCCACAAGTTGGTCAAGGACGTTCAGAAACAGCTCCAAAGGTAGTTTCGAGAATCCTCGCTGCATTCTTGTTTGGGGTTCAGACTGAACGGTCATATCGCCAGTAGTGTGGGAGCTGATGGATTCAAAGTCGTGACAGTGAGGATGGAATTTAGTAAGATGATTCATCCAGGGATGGCTTGGACACACAGACGCTTTGGTCATCACCTGCTACCTGCTCCATTACGATCGCGCCCTAACACCAGTAGCGTGGCACGCAACCAAAAGCAACATCAGACGCACGGTGGCCGTGACCTCCGTATACGCCGCAGAATAGAATGGCGATTTATACCGCATGTGGAAACAATGCAGTTTTGTAGTGCGAATCAAAGTGCCGGCCATTAGGATCGGGCGAAAGCGCATCCGAGAGTTCCCAGGTGGGGAAAGGCGGAACTTGCCATCTCACCACTACACTCCCTCCATCATTCCGCTCTGACGATAATCATATCTCAATGTATTCAACTGCCTGTTGAACATGTTCTCCAATTCGCATGTCTGTTCTTTGGTGTTACTTGCAGGACTGAGCGAGACCGACGATCCGGGTTGGCGAGTTGCCATAATTCCGGACAAAGGCATCGACGAACGAAGGGTCTTTTTTAGTCTGATCTCCACATTCCGAAAGCACGTATATAGCGGGTAACTCTCAAGGTAGGGTCCGGGGCAATTATCTTGTACATTCGCCAGGAGACGAGCCTCTTGTTCCACCAATATCAATGCCAGTGCAAAGTGCAGGCTCAGTGGAATCATCTTAACAATGTCACTTCAGCGAGGCATTTTAGCCGCAGTCCTAGTCGTGTTGGCCTACATCATCAAGGTAACCTACCCGCACTAGTGGCCCTCAGCTCAAGGCTGACGAAGCAAAGCTCGTGTGGACTGGATATACGTCTTCGCTGTCAAAGTTACCAGGCCCTCGGTACTCCAAATACACCAACCTCGTCCTTCGTTACCAAACCCTCTCAGGAAAAAGAATCTTCTACGTAGACAAACTTCACCAGCGCTATGGCGGCATTGTACGGATCGCGCCGAACGAGGCCGCAGTTTCGGATATAGCAGGCGTAGCTCAAATACACAAGATTGGTGCCGGGTTCTTGAAGTCGGACTTCTATACGGGCCTTACGCCAACCAATACACCTGGTATATTTGCTATGCGTGACCCGCATGCGCATGCCAGCCGAAGGAAGCTGTTCGCCCGAGCGTTCAGTAACAGCAGCTTGAACAGCAACTGGGATGTGGAAGTTAGAAAGAAAGCGGTTTTGGCTGTCCAAAGGATCCATCGGAATGCTTCTGGCTCTTCACAGGGCGCCGATATCCTCAAATGGTGGACACTCATGACGAGCGACGTGATTGCACACCTCAGCTTTGGAGAAAGCTTTAACATGCTTGAGCTGGGAAAGGTATGTGATCCACTTTTCTACCTTTAGAAAAGATCAAGATAGTCTAATCGATGGAACAGCAAACACCGTACATTGATGCTATCCAGGCTGCGCTGCTTGCTGGGGTGTTGCGAGCCGAAATGCCTATCGTATTCAGTATCCTCCGTCGCATCCCATTGGAACAAGCACGGCTAATCACAACCACCGACGATGTCGTGTATGGATACGGCAGGCGCGCGATTCAAAACATGCGTAACAGTAACGGCAATACTATGAATCTATTTGGTCAGATGCTAGCTGCTTGTGAAAACAGCGAGAAGGTTGCACTTACAGACAAGGACATTGTGGAAGAAGCTGGAAATCTCATTGTCGCAGGATCAGACACTACCGCGGTCACTTTGACCTATCTCGTCTGGGCGGTCCTCCAACAGCCGCATCTACAGACTCGGCTCGAGAACGAGATTGCACAACTAAGCGACGAGCTGACCAAAGAAGAGCTCGAGACTGCGCCTGTATTGAACAGTGTTATCGACGAAACGTTGAGACTCTATGGCGCTGCGCCCGGTGCCTTGCCTCGGACCGTTCCCAAGCAAGGCACGGTTATAAGCGGGTATCACATCCCTGGGGGTGCCGTTGTCAGCACTCAAGCTTACACAAACCACCGGGACCCTTCAGCCTTCGCTGAACCACTTCGATTCGATGGTCTTCGGTTCTTGAACAAGTCCACGATGTCAGCCCTTCAGAAAGCATCATACATGCCGTTCGGAGGTGGCTCAAGAGTGTGCATCGGCATTCATCTCGCATACATGGAGCTTCGTCTAGCAGCAGCCCTCTTCTTCCGAGAATGCCGTGGTGCCAAAATTGCTGACTGCATGCAGGATGAGATGATGGAGATGGACAACAGGTTCTTGATCTCGCCTAAGGGTCATTGCTGCTATATCACATTGAACCGATGAACTCCGGTCTGAACGCTCGAACTATGCACCATCGCAATTTTGGAGCTGCAGTAGTCTCTCAGAGATATATCACGGTGTACGATGTCACATGTAGTAGGAAAGAAAGGAATTAGAGTGATCAATGTCATTGCGCGCAATGGAATGATTAGGTGAATGCACAGATACTATGCATCGAAGAGCATGTTGAATGAGCCCAAGTTCTCATGTTTATATCACTTCGTAATCCCCAAGTTTATCCTCGGGATACAAAGCGTCCCACTGTTCTACCAACTCTAGAGCCAAGCAACGGTTGTTGATGCTTGGTATACCCGTAGATAGGACTCTAAACAGCTTCCTTGCAATTGCGCCTTCCCGTGATAGACCGAACCTAACGAACTCATTTGAAGCCTCACGCCGGAAACCTTCTCTGAGTGCCTTGCGATCCTCCGCAGGTGACTCATATGTGGCCACGTCTTCGTCCGTTTCATCGACAAATCCGCCTTTCCAGGCCCAGAATGGGGCGCGAAGGGCCACAAACTTGGGTGCGAAGCAAGCCATATCCCAGTCTACAATGCCGGTAATCTTCACAGTTGTCGGACTAGTAACTTCGGCGAGGATGTTACGAGGAAACAAGTCGCCGTGTGCAAGATGGAATTCCTGTCCCAACCATCCACGTCGCTCCAGTGCGTGGACAACAGCAATCAGTGCGTCCCATAGTTTCAGGTTGTGGCAAACCTGTAAAGTGTCCTCCTCATACCTTTGCCAGCGCTCACAATGGTCGACCAGATACTGGCAGGGTGTCTGATGCGGCGCTGGGCGCTGGCTGGGTTGCCTAAAGCTTGTTTGTCTCCTGGCTTCTCCGGGACTAGGAGCTGGAAACTGATCCAATGCGATGCTTGAGCTTGGAGAGGTCAAGTTACTGACTGATATCCATCCAGCCGCTGCCGAGGTCATGGCGGCGATCTTTTCTAAGATTACCGTGATCTGCTGCACGGCCGACATCTTCTGGGGTTGGTTCAGCCCCGTCCAGAGCCAATGCATATTTTTACCCGGTAACAGAGTCTGTAGAGTGTACGGCCTTCCTAGCGCGTTTCGTGAATGGAGGTCGAGTTTCACAATCTTGGATACAGGCAGTGTCAGGTGCGAGCTGACAATATGCTGGGTAGCAATGTCGCGAGGGACGTGGCGGAAAGCAGGACCGGTTAACTCGCCATCCTCATCGAAAGGTATCCGCAAAGCAAAATCTCTGGGTTGCGGAGGTATACCGAGAAATTTCGAGAGTCTCGCGCTGAAACTGACTCTCGAGTCTCGTTGTTGGGCATCTGGTTTGAGACTAATGGCTACGACTATGTTGAATGAACCGTCCCCAAGCTTGTCGATCGAGGAATCATCCATCTCGCCTTTAGGAAACAAATCCGCCATGAGTTGCAGAATTTGCAGCTTCAACCTCATGATTCTTTCACCTCCTTCAGGAAGTGGCCACGCTCGGTGAAGATATTGTCCTCATCGAAGTATCGCAGAGGTTTGTCATCATCGTTTCCAGAGTAGATTGATTTCTCCATACTCACTAATTTGTCTGGGAGATGCGCCACCGTCGCATCAATGCAGGCTAGTTCATCCTCGCTGAGTTCCATGACGAATTTTTTTTTCCAATTTCGCCTTCGCTGAGCACGCGTTGATTAATTCCACGTTAGGGAAAGCAAGGTGGATGCTCGTTGGCGTTACTGTCTGGTGAGCTTTCTGGTCACCAGGAAGTTTGGCGAGATAGTCCTATTGATCTTGCGTGAAGTGTCGGATCATGAATAGAGCCACATTTATTGTGTATATATGATGGTCGTTGTAGGCGCACGACGTCAGGTCGAGTATGTGACGATGAGAGAGTAGATTCTGCGCTTTTTGTGTATCTGGGTGCCGAAAACGGTGGCCAACGCAGATGAGTTTTGGTTCTGGCATGACACACACCAATGGGCCACTCACAACCTCCGCAATGCAAACGAGACCCATCCAAGAAGATCATCATGAACAAAAAACCCGACAAAAAGTAAAGTACTGAAATCTTCCACGAGATAATTGAAAACCTACTCTATTGGCTGTTGAGGCGACTTAATATCTATCGTTTGTGGATAATCGTGACTTCATTACCACCCAGGCAAAAAGACAGATCTCCCATAGTTTTCACAACATTATGATCAAGATCGGATAGCCGCGTAGTTGCATGTTGTATACATCCCCCCGACACCCACGGGTCACTTAGAATCATCCTGATGTGCGTCAGATATAGAGTCCGTATCAGAATCAGGGTACTGAACACCATCCTCAGGGTGAAGTTCATTCCACTTTCGAATCACGTTTTTCGCCTCTTCAAACTCCCAAGCACTACGCAAGCTCTCCTGCAATATGTGAAACATGCGTCTGGCAAGCATCGCCTCTGGTGCGAACGCGTAGAGCTTGTACTTCTCCGACGCATTCTCGAGGAACACTTGCTTCAGTCCCTGGCCCTCTTCCGAAATGGGCTCAAAGCTTGCCATAGTCTCTTCATCCGCCTTTTCGCTATCCATGTCCTCGGGCGTCCAGAGCCAGAATGGTGCTCTATAAGCCATGAATTCAGGCGCAATGATCGCCGAGTCCCAGTCGATAACACCCGTGATATCAACTTCGGTCTCATTACGTACCTCCGCAAGAAGGTTGTAGGGCTTCAAATCGCCGTGAACAAGTACGCACGACCCATACAAGAAGTCGCGAATTTCTAGAGCTTTTGAGATTGCTCCAAAGCCGTCCCAGATTTCTTCGAAGCAAAACCCGGTAGACCTCTCGCATGCGCGCCACTGCTCGCATCGCTCCAGAAGGTGATCGATGGGCTTACGGGTCAATGTCGGCTTGCATGTTTGTTGATCGTCGTAGGCTTGTGTATAGAATGCGTCGACGTAGATTGAGGAAGTGGATGGTCGCGACAGGTTTCCAGACGATATATTGCCAGCCAGACCTTCGACTGAAGCGATGACAGGAGCAAGATCGGTAATGTGTTTGGCAACGTACTTCTTTTGCTGCTCATTGAGTTGACTCCACAACTCCAGCCAAAGGTTTCGACCAGGGAGGCGCGTCTGAATCATATACGGCCGTTCGAACACGTTCGTAGTGGTAAGATCATAGCTGAAGACTTTGGGAACCGGCGAAGGTAGCCGTGAGCCGACCGTCTTCAAGATTGCCACTTTGCGCTCCATGTGTCTGGCCATGGTAGCTGCGGGATCTTCATCCTCATACCTTGTGCGCGGGATGCGCACAATATAAGGTTCGAGCTTTGGGGTCGCTTTCTTCCCCCGCGCGCCTAGGCAGCGGCGCAGGAACCAGTGTAAGCCAGACTTCTTCGGCTTCGATGAGATGATAACGCCAACGACTCGATTGTAAGAGCCACCCTTCATTTGATAAATTGCTATATCCTTCGGGCTACGAGGGAATTGCTTTGCGGCTAGTTCGACGACTTTGTGCTGGAATGTCTCGAATGGCTCCTGGTCCTGAAGAATCATGGCCGCTATTGAGACTACATCGTCTTGCGATTCATGGTGCTGCTGCTGATCGCCATTGTCTTCTGGGTTTTCCGCTTGGCGCATGCTTGTCTCCTTCAAAGAGGTATCAATAAAGGGTGGTGCATCTATAGCGGGTACAGGTAAAGCTACAGGTGTAGAGATAGAAGGTTGCATGATATCTTTAGGAGATATGAAGACGGGTTGTTGCGTAAGCGGAAAGACCTTTTGATTTCGTTCAGTACACTTGAAACTGGGCGCATTGTTATATCGGCAGGTCTTTGTTTGCTATTGCCAAGTCTTGCCGGTGCACAGGGTCGTTTCCCCCAAGATATCACTGCGCGAACGGTGTGACGGCTCAAATCGATCCACCTTCACACGTCAAGTCTCATGTCGTTACAATGCATCTCATTAATTCCATGTATATAACATCCACAAGAACCGTTCAACGTCCACAGATCCAGCACTTAACTCCACTAATAGCATATATCACCCCAAACATCCAGAAAACACTCTCACATTTTCACGCATACTAGCACCATGGGTAAACAAGCGACTAAGGGTAAGGGTACTAAGCACCACTGCCCTGGAAAGTCAGGCTGGGTCGGTGACGAGAGTCCTGGAGGCTGCATCGAGGGTAACATCGGCGACATGTACTACTGCAAGAAGCACGAGATGCCGTGCCGTAATGGCTGCGTAGGCAGGTTCCATCTCAAAAGCCAGGCCGGATGTCTATCCTGCAAGCAAAGATCAATAAGAGAAGCCGCGATAGATAGACAAGCAAAGGAGAATCATAAAGAAGTAGAGAAAGACAAAGGAGACGATACATTTTCGAATCCGGGGAAGGATAGGAAGAATCAGAAGAAGTAAACGAACTAAGACGGTAATAGAGTGACGAGAAGCATAAGAGGTAGACTGAACTAAGACCACCATCGGTTGATAAGACAAAGAGACGCTGAATAGGCATACCATGCTTGGGGAGTATTCCGAGTACATTGGGCCAGATTGTCTTCTGTGACGCTATTCTCAAGATACCGTAACGTATAGTTTTTGAATTCATATCACTAAGAAATACTTCTTCCTCGTTTGTTGTTTGGTTGTGATTTTCACTACCTAAGGAGTGCATTTAGCATGCGAATCGAAAAGAAGTAAGTCGCTCATTGTCTAGAAGCGCACTCAATGTTTTATGAGGAGGGCCAGAGCAAGGGAGCGTGGTCACCTATTTTCCTGTTCTTCATGATCATGATCCCTGGCGCTTTAACAAAATAGTGAAGGCGTTCATAGCCGTGATTGCGTGCATTGAGCGAGAGAGAGAGAGAGGGAGAGATCCTGCTGACAAATGTGCCGACGAGCACCTTCTAGCGCTCTGGTTCAGAGCTGCTTTTCAAGACGTCGAAGCTTGACGCACCCTCATTTCCAACAACGAGAGGGAAGCTGCGCCAGTTGTCTTTCCATGTGTCTCCCGATCCTGGCCAAATCTTCTTCCAAATATCCGACCAACGGCGATGCCCGCTCCGGCTATCGAGAGTTTTATAGAACTCTCGGCCAGCGCGTAGCCTGTCCCGCAGGCCAAGCTCCGTCAGAGTGAACTCGTGGCAATGCGTATCTCGCGGATCGCGTTGGAAGACCCAGCTGCGTGCGATCCAGCGTGCAGCGTTCTGGAAAGCACAATCAGTCATGTTGTTATTGATGGTATGCAAACCATCCATGTGTAACTCTACACGCGAAAGAGGGGAAATGGCCTGGGTATCAGATTTTCGTATTGTAGCAAATATTGATTTTGCGAGCATTTCATTCAGTGCTGCGTTTATCAAAGCCTGATGGATGAAGCCCTTGCCAGGGAAATTCATACTCATACATGGTGCGTCCGGCCCAGTCGGTGCGTACTCTGAGCAGCGAAGCTCCAGCGTGAGGCTAATCAGGTCGGGCATGTGGCTGATTGCTTGATATTTCTTGACTTCTTCTGCGTCTCCACCAGTACGCAGTATCTCGATGGTCAGTTCCCGTACCTTTGAGCATGTGTTGACTACTTCGCGAACATTTGGGAGAGATAGGATACGCTGTTTGATTTGAAGGTGACGCAGACCTGGGGCGTGGTGCTGTAAAATAGTAGTAAATGTCACATCCCCCACACCCACGACCACAAGCGTCTTCAACGGCGGCAAAGCAGCAATGAAGCGCTCAAATGTAGGATCGACTTCGGCCGGATCGTTATCTGGGAAGCCGCCCTCAACTCTCAGCTCTTGAAGATTGATGAATGTTCCCATCCCTGCCATATCGGCTAGCTTGGATAGGGCTTCGAGCTCAACGCCGTGCAAGAAGTCGAGAGTTACCAGGAAGGAGAAGTCAGTGCAACTCTCCCAAGTTTCCAACTCAGATAGATATATTTTCGAGACGATAGCGAGACTGTGTAGCTGTCCTTTCGTTGTCGAAGACGCCGAAGTATGTAAGCCAACGTCGTACTGAGGATAGAAGCCACCCCACGGTGGTGAACGGTGCCGTATAGGGTGTATTTCCCCGCTCGGGGCTAGGCTGTGATACACCTGGACCCGCCTTAGATTCGGGCTGTAGTTTGAGATCATCTGCAGCAACGCTTGGCTGTTGTAGTACGTTTTCGACCTGTCACTAAACGAGTATGGTCCCACAATGCTATATAGGCATGGGGAGGTCGCCAGCAGATATTCCGATTCTTCGATCCCGCTTGAGATATCTGCTGAGTAGTAGAGGCTGCGCAAGCTGAAGGTATGAACATGCAATCGACAGGACGGAAAGTGCTCATGTAGTGTTGACAGGATACACAGAGGAACTTGCTCTGTAGAAGCCCATATAAGGTCTTTGAGAGTAAGAGTTGAAATGAAGCATGCAACTGATGTCCATGCATGATCTGTTCGAGCCCGCTCTTCTGGACTGAAGCCCTCTTTCCAGCCTGTCGGTTCAAATTCCACGCGGGGATGAGGTTGGATGATGCATGGGTCGTCCTCATCATCGATCGCAGCTCTGCCATAAGTATCGTCAGCTGTTTCAGCGAGGAAGTCGATCAGGTCATCCTCGCTGGCTTCAGCCTCGTTGGCTTCATCCAGTCGCTCTTCATTCGAACGCGTCGCGCCAGTAATTTTGACAATGCGAACGTACTTCTTTCGATAACCAAGGAAGCGTCCCAGCGCCTCGGTGTCATTGCGCAGCTGTTCCGCGCTACTCGCTCTGATTACCAACAGAGAGAACCGCTCCCGCGTCGCGGCGGCACAGCATTCTTTACTGGTGAGCGCGAATGCGTGAAGGCTTTGTCGTTTTGCGTCACACTGCACGAGGTACTCGCAGATAGTCTCAAGAACGAGCATAGGAAGGCTTTCCATATCCACCGGAAGACGCGCCTGATGGCTGCAAATCGCGTGCGCAAGATCGGATTAACGGCGTATGATGAAAGTATGTTACTGCGAGCTAGGGTCTTCACGAAGACGACCTGAGAGATTGGTAGTCGAGGCATACGACCGGTCGCAGTGCCAACTGACGCGGGGTAAACACGAGATTCTTTAGGGGCGTAAGATGATGCTTCAAGACACGCGGTCGCCGTTGCGGCAGGGCGCGCCGGGTATGGAGGTATACGAGAAGCATCGTAATGACCTCCAAATGCGTACTCACTCTGCATAGTAGAAACTTATTTCGTTTGTGAGGAAATGGGGCCCTGCTGTAGGCTTAGGAGGGCACCGATCACAGCGTCTGTGCAGAATCCAAGGTTGCTTGCATTGAGCTATTGTTGCACGCTTCTAACGCGTCCCAACCCCCCTAGTCAATCGACGTGAAGCATCAGCCAATCAGATTGAAGTCCGTGCAAACCAATCACATACGTCATTAACCTACGAACGTAGTACAGCTAACAAACGCGTCGCGACAATGGTCACTACACGTTCTTCATCACATAATTTGAATCAAGGTAGATCTGGACGCCCAGTATTACGCAATCAATTTTCAAACAAGAGCTCAATAAACACACAACCGCTGCGCGCAACTCTCCCGCTGCGCTGAAGTCCGCCCTGTACATGCATCTCGCCACTCTGTGGCAACTCATTTCGTTCACTTTTTCAAAGTACTTTTGGACGCTTGTATTTGGCTCAAAGCATCCTAGCTAGAGCTGGTGAAGTGATCCGCTTCTAGTTTCCTCTGCGGGAAAAGTAAGACCACTGCCCAAGGTTTCCGGGAAGCCTTTATATTCGGCGTGCAGGAAAGTCGACACCTACATGTTAGCAAAACCATAGCAGGCGAATTCGTTCAAGTCTGGTCGTTTCCCTAAGCGAATGCACCTCTAGTGCGCAAACCCAAGTGCTGGGTATCAAAAGGAGAGCAGCAAATTGGGTTTCTTGGGTCATAGTTGGGGAAGGCCCGTACAGGAGCGGTCTACGAAGCACATAGGACCCGTGAAAATGAAGCGAGGTGCCATCGACTCATTCTTCAAGCGGCCTGAGCCCAAGAAGCCTAAATATGAAGTTAGTACGCAGAAGACAAGCCATGCGTCTTATCCTTTCGCCATTCCACATCTGCCCGCCTCAATTACGGAGCAGTTGGGATTCGCTCCTGCCGAAGAGGGTAAAATCATGAACGATCAGTTGGACTTGGACCTCGTCTACTATCAGCCCTATGTACCTTCCAGTATCGCGCCAGGGCTTTTCGAGTTTCTTCGACAGGAACTCCCGTTCTACCGCGTACAATACAACATCACCCGTGGGGGAGCGCAGACTCGGATCAACACGCCACGGTTCACTACCGTCTTCGGTGTTGATGATACATCCCGCTTCACTTCTATTGGCAGTATTGTGGACGCAAAGACTGGAAAGCCGGTTGAGAAGAGCCGATATAAGTGCGCGCCTCGTCCGATTCCGCAGTGTCTGGAAGAATTGAGGAAGGTGACGGAGGGTACGACTGGCGAGACTTTCAACTTTTGTCTAGTCAACTACTACGCCGATGGGAGGGACAGTATATCATACCACTCTGACGATGAACGTTTCCTCGGTCCCAATCCAGTAATCGCATCGTTCAGCCTTGGTGCGAAGCGTGACTTTCTGATGAAGCACAAACCTATACCTCCCAAAGAGGGCGTTGTGACAGAGGAGCCAAAGGGCATCAAACTACCTTTGGGCTCAGGAGGTGAGAAATATTCCTAATTGAACTGCATGTGAGACACGCACTGACTTGGTGTTTCTACCCTTAGATATGGTCTTGATGCGTGGCAAAACGCAAGCAAACTGGCTTCACAGTATACCGAAGCGTGCGGGCCCTGAGGCGGGCAAGGGGAGGATTAACATTACCTTTAGGAAGGCCATGATAAAGGGTGGTACGGAGAACTACTATCAGTATAATGTTGGCACTGGAGGTGTGCACCAGTGGGACGCGAAGACGGAAAAGATGGTGCCTTGGACGGCGGCAGTAGAGACCAAAGCGACTGTGAATGCCCCTATCAAGGACACTGGAGTAAGCCACAGTATCTAATCGACTGTGACGAGTGGCTAAGTTGATTTTGACGACTGGAATGATACAATGTTAGCATTTTGACCTTGGCTGTATACATGACTGGAATTTTACTATATTTTCTTACTTGTTTGGCAATATCGCGTGACAAAATGCAACAAGCATCGTGTGAGTAAATATGACGGAAAGCTTGAGCATGAGCTTAACCTCAAAAAGCTCCGAAGGATGCAGGCTTAGCATGCCCACGATGGGCTGTGTCCATGAAGGCCAGTCTCATGACCGTGGCCTTGATGAGATAAACCTCAAAAGCCATCTCATGTTTCGTCGAGCGCCACATGTCTTTGGGGAGAATCAACCTAGGTAGTGATGCGGCGGGTAATTAAGGCGGCGCTGGCGGGCAGGTGGCTTGAGCGTGGGCTAGCCCGACCCCGCCTGGGGGAAGCGCAACCACGAGCAGTCCTGACATGTGGAAGAAACTATGAGGAGGCTTCAGCAATCAAGACGGTTGTGATAGTGAACATGTTCTCGCCACTGTGAAAGATGCTGTGCAGATTAGAAAAGCCACGTGGGTCTGCCTGATAATGACACATGATGAAGGGTCGCATATCCCAGGGCATCTTGGCGATGATGGTTGAGGGTGGTCGGAGTTAAAGGCCGCCTAATTCTCTCCACGTCTGTACCAATCTTCGACTATAACACCACAACGACACCTGTCCAACTCTTCAGCCTCGGAGTTTTCGAGTCGCCAAAACTAGCGCATATCATCTGCGATACGATTGACCGCTTTCCGCTGTGTGAGTGTGCTATCGTGAGGTGGGCGCGTTGGACAAGGGAGCTGGCAGTGCGTGCAAGCCTGGTTGAGAAAGTACGAATCAGCGCGTGGCTTTATGATTGTGCAGCTGCTGACAAAGATTAGCAGGCACCAACGAGTCTTCGATACAGCATCATACCATACACCTCCCGCTGCGTAGTCGATTGCCCCATTGCGTAAGCTGTATCTTCCCCTCAGCAAGCGGAAGCACTACGCAGGCCACCACGAGAAGAGGCTGCCTTGCGGTGAATACCTCACAGACGTCTGAGCATACATTCGAGCACCACAAGAGGCAGACTTACAGACAAAGAGCGGAAAGTGTGCCGTACTCGACGGCAAACACTGGCTGGAAAAGCGGAAGCAGATCGCATACAAATCAACACCAGGGCAGTCCAGCCATTTCAACCTCAGGTCCGCAGAGTCACAGCACTTGGCGCCTGGAGATAGCTCACCTCCGGAAGATTTAAGACCGCACCAGGCCGCGATCGCACAATTGTACACCTTGCGACCTTCGACACACTTCCTTCTGCACTGCGCACACTAGCGAGAAACCGGATCTGCACGCGACGACTCTGGACCACAAAACACCCTAGTTCTGCGTCTCAGGCGTCCGACAACGCGTGAGATTTCATCATTCATCTCAAACGGACTTAACCCTTAAGTCCGTATTCTCCGTCGTCGACCCATATCACATCGCGACCATGCCACCAACACCACCTTCAACGACCTCCTCCAGCGCAGGGCACTCGCCGCCAGATCCACAATTCAGAGTTGTACGCAAGCGGAATCGCGTTCCTTTGTCATGTGGAGCATGCAGGCATCGAAAGTAAGCACACCTCTCAATGGAGAAGAGAGGACCATCGCATACTGACTTTTGTAGGCTGAAATGCAATCGAGGCCATCCCTGCGACAATTGTACCAAGCGCGGAGATACGGCATCATGTACGTACGCTGCGCCAGGCAACCGCAAAAAGAGTTCAGCGAGCACTGGCTCTGCGACTACACCGGATGATATGCAAAACCGCATTGACCGACTTGAAGGACTGGTTCTCTCCCTAATGACCAATGGTGCACAGAGCGCTGGTCCTGCTGCTGCTCAAGCAGCTATCGCAAACAGCCTCGCCAACACTAGCCCGGATCAGCAATTTGATACGAGCCCAATGATCACTAGCATGAGCACCGCACCCGAATCGATACCCGAGGAGGATGTGAACGAGGAAAGCGAGATGGAGAATGTTACAAAGTCGATTGGAGTAATGAAGGTGCACAACAACCACACTATATTTGCGTCAGAAGCACATTGGTATGCAATCTTGGGCGAATTGTCCGAAGTCAAAAATTACTTTGCCGAGCACAAGAAGCAGTACGAAGATCAGCTCAAGCGATACAAGGCGACGCATGTTGAAGATCGACCACCGGGTACGTCGTTCTTGATGGGCGGACAGAAACCTAGCTCGAAAGCTGAGATCCTATCGCGCTTCCCGCCGAAGCCCACAGCCGATCTCCTTGTCTCGCGCTTCTTCAACACTTATGATCCCGGCATTCACATCATACACGGCCCATCATTTCAGGAGGAATACGATAGGCATTGGGCACAACCAGAGGAAACACCAGTCATCTGGCTAGGGACTGTGTTCGCGATGATGTGCATTGCGTTGCAGTCGTACACACGGGCTGGCGATGAGCCTCCGGAATACCACAACAAATCTTGGGAGATGTCAAGAGAATACGGCGATCTAACGGCACAATGTTTGATCATGGCGGATATCACACAGCCCATCACGGGTATGATGGAGACCCTCCTCTTACACGTCCATGCCGAGTATGCTCGTAGTCGAGATGCAGAGGTGGGTATTCTGATAAGTACGGGTATCGTCGTGCGGTTAGCGATGCGAATGGGTTTGCATCGGGATCCAGGACCATACCCCGGCATACCCGTGTTCCAGGGGGAGATGCGGAGACGTATCTGGGCTGCGGTACGCTCATGCGATCTGCTGTTTTCAGTCCAGGCTGGGTTACCACCCATTGTCCGGCCACGAGACACAAATACTGAGATACCGCGCAACATTTACGATGACGAGCTGCACAAAGACATGAAGATACTGCCTCCTTCGAGACCGGAAACAGAAGCTACACCTACCCTCTTCCTGATCAACAGAACGAGGCTAATCTACAAGCTGGGAGAAGCCGTAGAGTGCACGGATACCTTGACGTGCTCCTCGTACGATGAGGTCATGAAGCTTGACGCGGAAGCCAGAGAGCTGCACGATAACATTTCCCCGCATCTCAAGATGCGAGGAATGGATGAAGCGGCACGCGACCCTTCTACTCTAATCATGCAGCGCTTCACGTTGGATCTTCTCTTCCTCAAGATAATATGTGTCCTACATCGAAAGTATCTGTCTTATGCGAGGGTGCAATCGCGTTTTGCTTATTCCAGGAAAGCAGTCATTGAAGCCTCCATGATGCTTCTCAAGCATCAGGCGACTCTACACCGGGAATGCCAGGCCGGCGGTCGGTTGCGGAATGTTAAATGGTTCATCTCGTCGCTCACCACCGTCGATTTCCTTCTCGCTGCAATGATCATATCGTCCGATCTCTACCACACTGCGCGGGAAGCATCGGCTCGTTCCCCGCCATCTGCAGACACGCTTGTATGGAGTTCGGATCGTCGGGATGAGATGCTTGAAGCAATAGAGATAGCAGTGGGTATTTGGGACGGCCTTAAGGACCATTCTATGGAAGCATACAAAGCGCATACCACACTTGGCGTTATGTTGGATCAACTAAAGAAGAATCGATCAGCAAGACAAGCGCCGAACGGTTTCCAAGCAGCTTCATCGGCATACCCGGCAATGGCGCCGATGGAAGATGCTAACGTTGCACCTGAACACTCGGCAGCAATGACTCTGGGCTTACTCAGCACGGGCGGCATGACGCCTAATGCTAACATGTTCGATCAGCGATACCCAGCAGGGATGGCGAATCTACTGAACGACCCTATGCCTCAACCATCGACGGGCTTGACACCCCAATACAATCAACCAACGAGCGGATCAGTGGGGCCAGAAAACGCACCAAGTCCGTTTTCAAATCTCTTCGGGGCAAATCTCTTCCAGAATCTTGATCTTCCGCCGACAGACAACGTCAACTGGGTATGTACTTATGGTGGGTTTGTCAATAATAGTCTGCTAATCCAATCAGGACATGTGGGACTCGTACATTCAGGGCCCAGGCATCGAATCGACGAACAATTTCTTCCCTATGGACCTTGGCAATATACCTATGCAAACCGAGCAAAACGGAATTCCAGTCACGGGGCAGTCATCAAATCAGCAGTCTGCACAAGGAAGTCGGACAAACGTGTTTGGGCAAGATGTCTACATGGGCGTAAGTACCGGCTCGCACATCTCAACGCTTTATTCTGATAGCTGACAGCAACAAGGCTGATCCGAAGACGAGCTCTGGTGAAGGATATGCTCTGGGTTTCATGCTACCGAAGCAATCCAACTAAGTACTTCACGCACTCATGTTACTTGTGATATGGATAATGAGCACATGGATACGTATTTTGAGCGTACTGTCTTTTGCATGGTCTTTGAATTTCGGGAGCAGAAAACGGCGGTGTTACCAGATATCCCCGCTATTAGTTGGATCCGCGAAAGGGAGGTATAGGCGGATGGAAGGAGGCGCAGCAAGCCATGTGCCCTGCAATTGAAACACAAATGAATTCAGCTCAGCCTTTGCGCTTGTTTCGAATAGCCCATCTGTTTGCGTAGCTTTACTTGCTCTCCGCAAACTTGTTTCTATTGAGAGCTTTCGCATGGTTTTCAACCAACTCGTATTCCGATATAACATGATGCGATAAGGCCCATACCAAGCTTCGAACCCTGCCAGCTGCCGTGTTTCTGCCCCACTTCAACCGCTGGACCCTGGATCACGGACTGGTGAACGTCATAGCAGTCACGACAGCTTACGCGCTCGCGGGCTTTTGTTTGGCCGTGAGGCTGCGACGGGTTGCCGCCCCAGCCTTGGGTTGTACACATAGCAGCTGTGCCTTTTACGTCTCTACTGTCTTTCTCTCACGCATCATCCATCCCCGCCATCTACCAGGCTGAAGGCTGAGAGCTGTGCATATCCTTGTGGAACCCAAAATAACACACCTTACACCACGATATCGACATACCGCTCGAACTTCCAGTAATCATCATGGCAAACCCGCCGACCATGTCCCCACCCATCCTCACCGCGACCGGTTTCCCATCTTCACCACCATCCACCGACCCCATCTCGCCCGTTTCCCGAAGCGGCACATTCCCTCATAAGACCGGTCCAGCAGTTGTTACGCAAACACCTCTTATCGACACGAATACACCTGCTATAAACGATGCGCCGGTCGAGCTAGACGGAGGCGAACTGACTCCGGAGGAACTGAGGAGACGAACAACAGAGGAAGTGGGTGGAGTCAGGGGCTCTATGCGGTCCCCAGATGAAGAGGGCATTGATGCCGAGTTCCTTGGTGAAGGAGAGGATTTGGGGAGGGAAGCTAGAGAGGCATGTCGACACCTCCACGCAGGGACCGTTTATCAAGCGCAGACAGGCGTCCTGGCCACATGAACAGCATGCAAAAGGTTTTTAAATCATTGTGCTGACATACTACTAGAAACGGGCAGCCATGTTGGCCTCGCGCTCGAAAGATCCCAGCGTTATCGTCGACGTACCAAAGGAGCCTACGGCTGAGGAGGTCGAGGCTGCGCGAAAGGCAGATGCGTTGCTACCGCCGGGCATGAGGGGGAAGATACCCGAGGCGCGATGAGGGATGACTGTCTATGATGCGAATCACCGTACATCTGAGGGAGACGGCGATATGTCATGCAGGTCAATCCGCTAGACATACTCAAGGGATGATGGACTGGAATTTACATGGACGAGCTTCATCTGGATTTGAACTTGTGGATGCGCATATAGTAGACAGCTGCTCGGTTTCATTCATCTTGCGAAACAGTCGCCGTGCCTTCACTTTCAACTTCCTTGTAGCAGTACGCCATAGTGCAGCTTGGCACTTGCTACCGTCATTGATGGGTCTATAAAAGACTCTTCGGTCCTTCTCCCCTCTTCTTGCTCATACAGCAGATATTACATATTTTTGAACAAAAACATCGTCCTCTGAGTCGTTGTCCGCCACTCACTCTGCGCTTCTTGAAATGCGCCAAGAACATAACACGTCCGGCCCTTCTTCCTAGATCGACATTCTCCAAGATAGAAGCACAAAGCATGCATGAGGTTCTCTACTGACAGCACTTCGAAACTCGACATGATGCGTCGCATGCGGAAGTCTATATTTTGAGCAATGTCACCGAAAACTGAAACCCTACAATTCATGTGTTGCATCGAAAACTAAAAGGCTGATATATCATGCTGTTTGTCCAGTTTTCGAGTAGCTCTACCACGCTTCTTTGTATAAAAGCACCATGTCTCTGGACAAACCCTCTTTCCTCAATTATTATGTTTTCAAGTTACCAAAACATTCTGCAAAAGACATTCTGTGTCCTGTTCTGCCTTGCATTTCGCCCAAAAGCTTGATGGGAAATTCATGTGAGTTTGTATTGTCGAGTTGAAAGCGTATGATGAGAAGTTGTGTCACTATAACCCATGTGCAAACCGAATTCAAGGGTTGAGAAATGTTCATTGACGCGACAATGCGCAACTATATACAATCGAACGAAACAAAAACACCGCATCGGCCGGTAATCCTCAAAAAAACCATCTCAGAGCCTTCTACTTGCAGTTTGTGCCCTTGTAGATGAACGTTCCATCCGAGTTCTCACATCCACAAGTGCTATCCTTGGGACTCTTGATGCATCCCGCGCCATCACCGCTCTCCTTGCCCTTCACACCGGCTGCGTCCCAAAAGAACGTCCAGGTACCGGCTTTGGCCTTCATGGCCGATCCTGGTGCGCAGTTGTATGCTTCGCATGTTCCGTACGGCCAGCCGTGGTTGCCGTCGTACTGGTGGTCTTGGGTGAAGACGGCAAAGGTTTGCTTGGATGTGCGTGTGTTGTGGCTGCACTCGGCGGCTTGGATGGCTTTACTGGTCTTGATGGCTACAAGCAGATTAGTGTGTATTTTGGCATGGATGCAGAGAGGTGGTAAGCATACGTGAGCAGCTGGGGGCTGAAGGGTAGCTGCCATTTGTGTTCGACGTCGCAGGGTCCAATGTTGCCGTAATGGCTGTTACCAGCATGAAGGCTGTAGCGACAGAGTATTGATAGAACATCATCTTGAAGATAATTTTCGATTTAACGAGCAAGTGATGAAGATATGAGATGTGATGTGATGAGTGAAGGAATATCTCTTGGCCACAGCGATCAAGCTTCTTATACAAGCTCAACACCACTCTTATCCCTTGCCGCATGCCTCACGGTAATCAGTTTTCCCATTACATGACGAAGGACTACCAGATCCACATCCACGTACCACAAGTTACGCAGTTCTCGGAAATTGCGTTCTGGCCAATCTTGAAACGGACTAGACAGGGGTGGCAGATGCCCAAAGCTACAAACTGCTCTCAGGTAGAGTGAGGAGGTCGGAACTTTTGTGCCGCCAACGGCCCGAGCCTTGTTGTCATAAAGTCCTCTCGTCCTCTGGTGCGATAGTGAGGTGTTGATCTAGTCAGCATCGGGTGCGGGAGCCTTGCACCAGTCACTTGGGGACTTGTCGTCGTCTTCATACCCGGAGTCGTATGCCCCATCGTCAGGGTCTTGCGCTGATGTAGCCGGAAGATCCTCAGTGCACTCCGACGTATCGTCGTCCGTGTTCGATGCGTAGTCCCAAAGGTCCTCAACGGCTTCATCGAGATCGCCCCGTGATGCCGCACTCTCCTCGGAATTACTAACCCATTTTTCTCCCATATCCTCGGTCATGACCCACTCCTCACTTTCCCATGGGTCCTCCCCTCTCTCCACACGAGCCACTCTAGCAGCATAATCAATGCCACTTTGCTCCGCCCTTGCGATGAACTCCTCTTGACGTGCCGCAAGTTCTAGCTGAACAGCCACCGTATCTCTGGTATACTCAGGCTGGTTTTGTTCATACCTCCGAGCTTTTACTTCATGGTACGGCGCCCAAGCCGCTCCATCCTGAAGCGCTAGTTCAAGCTTCTCTAGTAGCTCAGTAAGAGCTGGAAGAAGTCTTGCGTATGCCTCTTGTAATCCCTTGAACTTTTCGTTTTCTACCTCAAGGGTCCCACCACGCTTACCAAATTCATGCGAGAACCAGTTCCTCATCTCGTAGATGGGTCGGTTTTGATCCATGGCTCTGGAAAAGGTCTTCCACAGTGAGCCTGCATATTCGGGGATAGGCCACTTGACTGTGGCTTCATACTTGATCTGCTTCCAGTCTTCGTAGAATCCTACGTGACGTGAATGTATTCTGCTCTTGATGTCCGAAATACTTTCATCCAGGGTGTCTGGATGACGGGCAGAACGAAGTGACCAAGTGTCTTGCTTTTGGCTTGCTAGGCCGTACTTGCTGTCGCGGTCGAATGTGTATGTGATGAGGTTGTGAAGGCTCTGGGTGAGTTCGAGGTAGTGTTCTGCGGTGGCTTTGGAGAGGACCTCGCCGCAGATGATGTTGGACTCCATGCTGAAAATGGAATGCTTATTGAGAGGAAATTGGGTTGGAAATGTGAGATGGTTGAAGAGAGAAATGAGAATTGGAAAGATTGGATATATAGTCGCTTCGCTGCGCCACGCACCGGCCGTCCATGTTACTGCTGAAGGGTCTTCCACGGAGATCTCTTACAGAGATAGGTAGATTGGTGGGGATTACCATAGTTCACGAAGAGATTTTGGGAGCTGGGCTCCAACTCGGAGCGCGCAATTATACCACGCTGCCTGCGATAGGTTGCATACGACCTTACCGAGATTTTGGACCAAGGTGGCAGCATCTTGTAATCTTCGGGCTTGGTCCCCAATGTATCTTATGACAGGATTATTTTTTTTGGTATTTGGTAAGGGAGACTTTCGAAGGCGTATCCTGGGGCGCAGAATGTCGCTTACCATGCACCACGTTAGTCATCCACGCCCTGGCGATTGACATGCACCAGTTCCTCAAATAAAAGCCCTGATTCGAGTTCAAACAACCGTCGATCGACCCAAAGACTCACGGCCTTGACTATCGGTCCATATTGCTGCGAATCGGCGCGACCACACCTGACACAACATCAACCAACGTGACCGACTATGAAAGCCCTTATACTGGCCGCCGAAGCTCGAACGGCGCATATCCATGATATACCACAGCCAACGCCTGCTTCGAAAGAACTACTTATTCATGTTAGGGCGGTAGCACTCAATCCCGTCGACCCACTTTACGTTGCGCATCCACTGGGCCGCTCGGGACGGACCGTTGGGAGCGATTTCGCCGGTATTGTAATCAAAACTGGCCATGAAATACCCACAGAAGCCAATTTTTGCGTCGGGGATGAGGTCGCAGGCTTTTTGCAAGGTGCTTGCAGCGTCAACGACCGGCCAGGTGCATTTGCAGAATTCGTTGTCGTGCCTTGGGACCTGGTCTGGAAGATACCAGCGTCGGTGACCGTGGAGCAGGCTGCGGGCGTGAGCCTTGTAGCCCTCACGGCTGCCCAAGCAATATGGTATCGGCTAGGGATGGAAGCTCCTTTCGCGTATGATCGCCAGGAAGTCCTCCAGGAGCACCCAGACCGGAAGTCCACACACAAACAAGCGGATCAAGCCGATGTAATCAACGTTTTTATCTACGGCGCATCCACATCAGTGGCATTGTATGCGGCGCAGATGGTACGACTCAGTGCCAAGTCGAGCGTCAAGGCTATAAAATTGTACGGCGCATCTAGCGAGGCTCGGTGGAAGCTCCTCAGGGCAGAGCCATACCGGTATGACGCTCTCGTTGACTACCGAAATCCTGATTGGCCAGAGCAAATCAAAGAACTTACGGGTGGTGTTGGGATACATTATGCGTTCGACTGCATTTCTGAAGCTAGTTCCGTCGAGCGCACTTGTTTGACCCTCACAGGCAGTGGGAAGATAGCCATTGTCCGATCTCGCGAAGGAGGAGCTTGGAAGGCGAATAGTATTCATGTCGAGCCAAGTTATGGTGCGGTGTGGGAGGCATTGGGCGAAGAGGTGCAGTACCAGGGCTTTACTGTACAACGATCACCGGCTGCTCGGGGGTTTGCAGTGGCGTTCTACGCGTGGCTCGGCGAATCCGTGGGTTCCGAGCTGAGCCCAAATCCAATCAGATTGATGCCGGGTGGTTTGGAGAGCGTTGTTCGGGATGGATTCCAGCTGCTTGGTGCAGGTGGCATGGAGGAAAGACGAATCATTCGCGCTGAGCCTTGGATGAGGTCCGTCAGTGCCGAGAAGCTTGTTTACAGAATCTGAATCGCATCGACCTTCCGGGTTTCTAGATCTAGCAGTTACATTATTAATAGTGTATTCGTTCTCGAAAATCAGCATTTGAATGGTTTCTCGCAATTCTGAAGCAAAATCGCATCGTGCAGCATTCCCCCGAGGCGATAGGTTTTGTCGTATAGCATAATATGGGTAGACTACAAGGGGTGAACAAGCGTCTAGATGGTCCGTACAAACTTTGGAAGTGATACGTGGGCAATCGAGGAGTCTCGACAAATGATGTGCATTGCAAAGACTGAGCGAATTCTGAGCTGTCGACGAGTGAATTCGCGAGGCGGGCGGTGATGGCGTCATTGGTTTCTTAGGCGAGAGGTTGGGCACAACACTCCAGAGCCTGTTCTTGTGCTTCTTCTTCCCATCGATACATCGGACGACGTGGCATCATGAGATACATTTAGCTCCCGTATAACGATTTTAGCCCTATAGGGCGCAGTTTCATACATCCTTTGACCACATGGCTGCATCGGGCTTCACGTTTCACGTGGGGGGTACGTCAAAGGAGTACCCTTGCGATGCAACGCTTTGTTTGCGTAGATCAAGAGGCTCACCACAGCACTACCTCTGTGTTTAGATCAAGGTTTGCTGCAAACGTGCCTATGCAGCATTCATTATGGCTGTGGTCGCACACTCATATCTGTTCATCCCAATCCTGTCATCGCTATCCATCGCCATCTATCGACTGGGAGGCATAACCTTACATAATGATACCAGAACTTCGACGAAGAATCGATGACTGTCCGGCAGGGGGCGTGTTCTATATGTGCAATGGTTTCCGTGGTTGCTGTACGATAGATCCATGCATGCCAGGTAGTACCTGTCCTGTCGACAAGGACCTGACTCCAGGGCGATGTAGGTTCACACAGTGTGTTCCATGATAATAGAAGCTGATCAAAATAGCCTCAGAGAAATCTTCAGAGCCATCCCTCGCTCCAATCACGTCAGTTCTGATGGTCACAATCACCGCGACAGGATTACCATCGAGTTCTACAACAGCATCACCACCGTCACTTGATTCGGAGATCACATTCAGCTTAGCGGACCCTTCGTTCAAGACTGTTACACGGAGTGCGTTAGCCACAGCAACACCATCTGGCAACACACCAGTTTCAGCAAGCCACGCACACTCACCCGTAGCGGCTATCGTCGGCGCAGTGCTGGGCACTATCTTCTTCTGTGCATTATTCGTCTCCATATTGCTATACGTAAAGAATAAAAGGCGTACCAAGATATATAAAGCGCCACAATATCCGTCTCCATTGGTTGGAAGCGATATGACACCGCAATTAACAAGTGAGTTCAGATCTGGAATTCCAACCACTATGCACTGTATTGACATTAGTGCAGGCAAAACACCTTCACAGTTTCAGCAGAAGATGGCTGCACTACACAGAGCAGAGTCGATAACAGAACCGGATGATCCCGCACAACTAGATTGTCGAGAGATAAGCCAATATGACCATCAGCGCAACCATTCGGTCGGACGATTCGCTGAGCTTCCTGCTGAGCCACTGCCATGGCCAGGTAATTCTTCCCACGGTTAAACAGTGATTCGACTATGAGCATTCTGGGGTATGGGCTCTCAGTCTTACATGTATCAACGATTATAGGAGACACGAGTCGTCAGATTTAGAGGCTGGAGGTCATGACAAAAGTTTGGGATGAGTAACGCAGCGTTGTTCTAAGAGAAGGAATCATACCATAGCTCGTTCGGTTCATCCAAAGCCGCATCGTTCAGATAGCGAATCAGCCCAAATACCGGATGGTGGCGTACATAGCTCAACGAAAAATAATGCGAATGCAGTTTTAGCAAAACAAATGACAAGCTTCCCGTAGAAAATCACCGTGTTCATTTTTTCTTATAGCTCAAATCGATGACCTTAAGGTTTATAGTGCGATATTTACTAGTATTCGTTCCAGGTTGCATATACCACAACCGACCAATGATAGAAGAGAAGCCCCGCTGACGTCACATTTGGGCACCTACGATCTCATACCTTTTCGTCACTCGCGCATACCTAAATCTGCGCCAACTTTATCTGTTCCCCTTTATATCAAGAGGTTCAACAGAACTCGCCTCGATCTATTCCTATCGCCATGTCCGAAGACGCCGCACCGCCTGCAGCACAGGCAACACAAGCAGCACCTACCTCGATACCCCGCTATTTCCGGAATGATGCGCCTCTGGCACGACGAGATCCTCACAAGCAACTGTTAGCGTCATTGGACCGACTGATCACGGACTATCCTCCGCATCATGTTCCTCCAGGCGGTGGCTTGTATTATGGACCGATATCAGTAGCCTACCTCTTCTACGCCTTGCACAACATATATCCTGACCTCACACTGGATGAATACCCCTTGAACACATGGTCTGCAGCTTATATCGAACAAGCACAAGCTCATATCAAAGAGTTTCCAGCACCTTCTCCCAAGAAATGTGGTATCTCCAACGACATCATGTCCCTACTTGCGCTGTACGCTGTTACTGCGAAAGATCCAGACACGGTAAAAGAGCTGTGTGATCATGCTGCAGTCATGCTCGAGGATGAAACCTCTAACGAATGGTTATTTGGTCGCGCCGGCTATCTGTATCTCCTCCGCCTCGTACGTGGAGCTTTTGCCCACAACAAGGACGTTATCGAGCTCATCGAGGACACAGCGGATGAGGTCATTGAAAACATCATGCAGAGCCCGCGCCCCTGGAAATGGCATGGGAAGGCATACGTTGGTGCCGTTCATGGCGCGATCGGGATCATTACACAGATCGTGCTTACCGATCCGTTATGGGCGTCTAAGCTGGAAGCGGAATTGGGCGCCTTGCTCAGCTATCAGTACGAGAGCGGCAACTTTCCATCGTCTCTGCCACCAGGTCGTGACAAGCTCGTACAAGTCTGCCATGGGGCGCCTGGTGTAGTCACCTCTCTTCTCTCGATCCGAAAATACTTTCCAGGCCTCCACGACCGTATTGACAGAGTTATCGCCAAAGCCAGAGAATGCATCTGGGAGAGAGGCCTCCTGACTAAGGAGCCATGTCTATGTCACGGCATCACCGGAAATGCCCTTGCTCTGGACGGTAAGCAATTCGAGCACTTCTTGACCTATACCACAGGTCATGAAATCAAGTCCATGGCTAAAGATGGCATGTTGGAAAAGTCGGACGATCCATCTGCATTATGGTGTGGTGAGGCGGGTCGTGCCTGGGCGTGGGCGGTCGCAGACAAGGACCTGGACAAGAGACTCCTCGGTTACAACGATATTTGAGGATTCGAGAGACTGCTGCCAGTGATCCTACTGGCGCTCTGATGATACACATGATGCCATGAGCGAGACGACTGGAGGGCTGTCGAAGCGTTATGCGCAAACGGCCCGATTCGAGATACCTGTATAGGGATACACAACGCGGTCAGCTCCGGCTAGCTGCACGAATGACCTGTACTAGCGTCTTTACTAGGAGCCTCTAAAATCAGCAATCAACTATTTCCGGCTTATTGCAACGTTCCACTGCCACATATGCGAGCCAGTCTATGGTGTTTCCCATGAGCAAGTGCCCCGGAGCGGCTGCTGGGCGAGTCGATATCACATCAAACCTTAACCAGCACGACGTCTGCACGGCAAGCTTAGTAAATGTGGAAACTGTGGTCATTCAAGTTTCTTTTGATCGAAGTCATGCTAGGCACCCTTCGTTGCCTAGACATGTAGCCACGAGCGCGATACACAACATGCTACGTATCTCTCCACGCGTTGTACAACATTGATTACAGAAATCCGCGGATGTAACTGATCACCAATCTTTAGGGCCAAGATACCGATGCCTATGTGGTAGGATACGTATCAGGCTGAGATTCTGTGGTCCTGATGTGGCGTTGACAGCCAACACGTATACCACCACTGCGGCCAGAAATCTGTCAGATCGCTTACGGTAATGCACCCGGTTGTAACGCACAACGGCCATCTGCGAGAACATCGAACTTGCGCTGTTTTGTACTCCTTCATCCTAATTCATCGACTATCAATACGGGAGAAACAAAGCCGTGGCCGGACAGAAACGCACAGGTTCACCACATCAGCACTGCTTCTAACCCATACTTCTTGATTTGAGGCCTCTTCATGTGCGAACTTGCAGTTCGTCGCTCATATCTTGACCGTTAGCGCACTACTAGGTATTTTAGTCTCCTAACAGTCAGTATCGCACTTTTCCTGACCACTTCCAGAGGGATGCTGATGGGAAGCTAGAATCACAACGCATACCTCGCGTTGCTCGCCCGCTGCTACGTTGCAGTACGCACATTGTATCTTCTCATATCATCGCATGGCTTGCAATTTGTATGCTGTTCTTTCGAGTCTTCATTGCAAGGTAAGTACATCGCGTCTTGTCCGGCAGATTTCTTGGTTCAGGGCACAATGTCGCTACCACGCCTCGTATCATCAGAGCACCAACACCAGGGGCCAACGCCAACACCGTGTTCTCAGCTGTGCCTCTAACTGTTGCATTGAACCTCAGATGTTTTTCTCTTCTAGGCTATCCTACGTACTGTAACTTCCGTCCTCCACGTCGCCCGCATTATGACTAGCAGTGACATTTGTGATCATCATTCACCCCTCACACCCATGACCCTTCGTCGTGGCCAGTTTGTTTTCTTCCACGCAGGGACTGTAAGCCATGATGTACAAATATCGCTCCGCCTCCTCTGACCGACTCTCCGCAGATTACGCAATCAATCAATAAACCAATTGTTCACCATGCTCGCCCCGCGGCTAATTAGCTGCCTGCTACCCTGGCTTCTGATCCCATATGTCACGTGTACACCTTTTCCAGCACGAAGGAGTTCTCATGCGAGCCGACAATCCGAAGTGGGCGCAGTGATCGGAGCGAAGACGAGGGACGAAAACGGTAAGAGACACTCCAACTTCGTATCCGAGAATCACCGCTGATGACTTATAGGAAATGCGTATGTCCGTCGAGAGGTGAGAGACCTGAAGAACAGATTTCCAGACCAATGGACTCTCTACATACTGGCGCTGCAAAAGCTTCATCAAACTCCACAGAACAACCCCAACTCATTTTATGGTCTATCATGTAAGTATAATTCTTACCAAGCAAGTTACAAAATTCACTGACTTCACCACTTAGCGATACATGGCAGGCCTTACGAAATTTGGGGAGATGCGAAAGGACTGCCAGACAAGATCGGTAAAGCAGGCTACTGCCCACATGGCAATGAATTGTTCATGGGTTGGCATCGCCCGTATCTCGCACTCTTCGAAGTAAGTATTTTGTCCTCAGTATCATAACTGTGTCTCCCAGGAGCACACGAAACAGATACTAACCCCGCGTAGCAAGTACTATCCGGTCATGTCCATGATATCGCCGGGCAAGCACCAGCTGATCAGATGGAACGATTTCTCGCAGCAGCTAACGAATTCCGCATACCGTATTGGGACTGGGCCCAGGGGACTACCACTGGCCCTGTTCCTGAGATGTTTACATCTCCTTACTTGACGGTGACGGATACGGATGGCACCCCGGTAGTGCTATCGAATCCGCTGTATTCGTATACATTTAATCCCATACCCGAGGGTTTTGACATGAAGGTAAAGTGTCTTTAAGATGAGGGGCCAGGATCACGCGATTTCTGACTATTCATGTAGTGGCGCCAAATGAGCACGACAATACGATGGCCGGAGAACGACACCCCAAATGCGACATCACAACAATTCAAGTTTGTAGATGCTTTTAGGGCCCAATCTACCAACTTGATAGTCCAAGTAGGGGTTGCCTTCCGGTCCAGCACCTTCTCGCGGTTCTCGAGTATACTAGAAGACCCACATGGTTGGATACACGGTGTGATTGGCGGCGGCTATGACTCCAAGCAACCTTGGGCCGGTCATATGTGGCCGCTAGAGTACTCGTCTTACGAACCTCTCTTTATGTTACATCATGCGTAAGTTTGCTCCAGTTCGGAAATGGTGTCCAGCTAACATCAGATATTAGCAACGTCGACCGATTACTCGCGTTATACCAAGGAGCGCACCCTGATCGTTGGATGGAACCTTCCGATATAGGGCCACACGGGAACGTGTACCTTGAGGACTACCAAACCGTAAGCGCAGACACGCATCTTATGCCGTTTAGAAAGGCATCTGGCCAGTTTCTTACTTTTAACGACTGTCGCAATACTACAGTCTTCGGTTATGCTTATCCGGAAACACAGCGTTGGAACTTCGCATCGGACGAAGACTATCAGAGAGACGTCACAACGACCATCACAAACCTTTACGGCGGACATACACGGGCACAGGTCCAAGTACAAGTTACTACGCAGCATGTAACAGCGTTTGGACAGGCGCTACTGGATAACAACAACACGTACACCGAATGGACTATTGAGACGCAAGTTATCGCTTCCAGGCTCCCACCAACATTCATCCTCAGCTTCTCGTTGGTCGGCCTATCTCAGTCGAGTTCTATAATCGACTTGGGAAGTTGGATGATGCTGATGCCGGAGCGCAACGATGACTTGCACAGTATGGGAGTTTCAACTGTGCCAGAGGTGAAGATGAATGGAACGACAAGTATCACAACATATCTTGTCGATCGCGTTAACGCCAATGAGTTGGCCAGCCTAGATCCCAACGACGTTGTGCCATATTTGAGCAGCTACCTAACCTGGAACGTCTACGATGTAAGTTTATAGAGCCCAAGGCTACGGGCAAGTCTGACTTATGTAGGAACACGGTGAGCGCATTCCGTTCCCAGATACCAAAACACTGAAGGTAGATGTCTTCGGCACCAGCGCGCACGTGCCAGACGACCCTAATGCACCGATTGAGTACCATGAAGGTAACGCCATAGCTTATCCGGAGATCACGGCTAGCAAGGCCAACGGCTCGAACAAGAACCCACCGGGGATGATGCCTCCCTGATCTCTGCAGAGTTATCGTGTTGCCGCCCATTTAGCAAACCTCTTCGTCGCACCAGTACCTAGTTTGTATCTCATTCTCTTGCTCAGGTGGCAATGTATCTTGGCAGAACGCTGTATCAGTGGTGCATAACGTTTCCCTTTATTGCCCACTAATAAGACTTTTTCGTCCTCGCAACATTGTGTCATTTAGTATGGCCGGGATATCTCTCATGATCATAAAAGAAGATTGTGCAGCGAAGCGCTTCGGTGGGGGCCCCGGATATAAGAATAGCTTAACCCCACTCACTAACCATCCACCCCACACATGACGTCCGATTCGCTGGGGCTGAGCTGCTAAACCTCACAGCTGCACTTTCGGCATGGGCTTGTCTCACTCTTAATACATGCTTGATCGCTTCAAGCAATTTTTAATCATCTGGGGTGACCTCCTTACTGGAAAAGATGACTGCACTTGCTCCCCGCACATCACGAAACCTTTGCACATCATCGCAATCAGCCCACCTCATATCGACTGGTACCCGGATACATTTCCGTAGTCTATCCACCGTCACGAGTTCATCATCATACCCATTTAACCAACGGCACACATCAACCAAACCTCACCTTCAAAATCCAAAGATCATAACCCACTACTGTAACCAGTCATTCAGCACAACGCCTCGCAATATGTCCACCTCCCAACCCCCAAAGAAGGACTGGTCAGCAACCCAATACCTAAAGTTCAACAACGAACGTACTCGCGCCGTCTACGACCTCGTCTCCCAGATTCAACCCCACATCACCTCCCCAAATCCCCGTATTTACGACCTAGGTTGCGGTCCGGGAAACAGCACAAAAGTTCTCCTTGATGCCTTCCCCTCTGCACGCATCACAGGTATGGATAGCTCGCCTGACATGCTGGAGAAAGCCAACACCGCGTTCTCCGACCAAGAAGCCGTCGATTTCACAGCCGGAGACCTGGCAACATTCAAAGTAGACGGCGAAACAAATCTACTGTTTAGCAACGCTGTATTCCACTGGCTCCGCTCCTCAGAACGTATCCCCACTCTAGTCCGCCTCTTCGAGTCTTTGCCCAAGGGAAGCGTACTAGCCATCCAAGTACCGGACAACTACCACGAATCTTCCCACCGCCTCATGCGCGACACGGCTTCTCAGTCCTCAAAACCATGGTCTGCTTCCTTCGCTTCAACTAAAATCGGTGACTTGTCGGATACTACGCGTCCGGATCTCGATCCCATTGAACCACCGTCTGCGTTCTACAATGCACTGCTTCCATATGCGGGTCATGTAAATATCTGGAGGACAAACTACATGCATGTGCTTAAAGACGCGGGGGCGATTGTGGAGTGGGTCAAGGGAACGGGCTTGCAACCTTATTTGAACAGAATTGAGGGGGAGGAGGCGAAGAAGGCGTTTTTGAGCGAGTATGAAAGGGGATTGAAGGGAGAGTACCCAGAGTTGGAGGATGGAAAGGTGCTTTTGGGGTACCCGAGGTTGTTTGTTGTTGCTGTGAGAAAGTAGGGTTGTGTAGGTTGATAGATGATGGAAAGATACGAGCTTAGTCGTATTCTATGCTATGCTAGGGAAATAACTCCACATAGTTTTCCATTTCCACCACACTATCAACCCAGTTAACATTATTCGAGCTGGCGTCAGACATGATGAATATCGAGATCAGGTTATAAACATTATCGTGCAAATCATACGCGTGACCCACTCTCCTCCATCAGAGGTGATGTTTTGTGCACATTCGACAGATGATCAAGTCGCAACCTTGGCAGCCGTTGGCCCAGCGGTCCGCGAAGCCGCAGCGATCACACTTCGTAACGTCTCCCTTGTTACGGTAAAACCGCTCGAACTCGTGAACATGGGCTCGGTTGCTCTTTCCTCTATTGCGTCGTCTCTCACGGCGGCCATTCTCTTGCTGGTTGTTGGCGGCTTGAGCTTGGGGTCGAACCTGAGGATGAGCCTGAGGTTGAGGCTGGGCTTGAAGCTGAGCTGCGCGTACGTTCGGCTGAGGGGCAGGTCCAGGTCCAGGTGGGAACACATTGACAGGGTTTGCGACATTCCGAGCGGCATCGTTCGCGGGTAAAGGACGATCGACGATTCTACGCTCATCCCAGAGTGGACATTTACATGTGCGCCACTTTTTTAGGCATGTATAACAGAACTCGTATTGGCAACGACACCTTGAGTCTTCAGTACGACATCTCTCGAACGAACCGAACACTTACGTGATATGGTAGCAGCCGCGCTCAAGCTCGACCATCTCCTTACAACTCGGGCACGTTTGCCATCGTTTGGCCTTCGCAACGTTCGTAAGCGCTTTGACATCCTTATCCTCAATGCAGAGACCATCATGTTGCTTGCTCTTGCATGTGACACAAGTCTGCTGGGCACATTCCACGCATGTAGCTATACCTGCGACAATGTTGGCAGGCCTGACCCAGTTGGAGCATGTACTGTTGCTGCAATAGGTGCGATCCAGGTTTTCAAGCTCCTCTCGTTTAGCGACGAACCTAGAAAAGATCGCTGGGGGCAAAAACGGTATGCAGCTGATGATCGGAATGATCTTGGAACAGCATTGGGGCGGGAAGTGCGAAGTATCCGTTATGGAGCACTCGAAAAGGCGAGTGAGGCATTCGCGGCAGTATGCATGCGGCTCATCATCGCCATCGTCCTTACATGGAAGCTGAAGCATGTTGCGAGTCGCATGTATGTCCAGACACGAAGAGCACGTTGCAGACAAGATGGCTGCTTGTGCACTCTGATCACGACCGACGAGCAAGGGCTCATCCACCAGCTTGTCAAGCTTCACTCGTTTTGTTCGCCCATCTTCAACTTCCCTGAGTATTGCCGGGTCAAGACGAGCGGAGCGCTTCTTTGGTGTAGTTGTACCGGCCTCCGGTAGGATTGAGTCACTGTCTTCATCATCCACATTGTCGACACACGCGCGCTTGAGGTTGTTTGGTGCCATGGTAGACCTCAGGTCATCCTCAATAGGGCACTTCTTGCCTGGTGCCTTCTCGGCCTTGGAAGGTGCCGTCTGCAGGCCAATGAGATCAAAGAGGAGGTTCTTTTCGGTGAGAGTATTGCCATTGAGGGCCTCAGGCTTCTGGTCTATGGTGTTTCTGGGCACAGTGCGCGCCTGTGGGACTGCAGGGCGTTGAGGTACCGGCTTGCCGGCGAGTCTGCATGCCATGTCATGGTCGCCTTGCTCGTGTTAGCACAATCAACGACTCACGGATAAGCCGCTTACACTTACGCTCAGCCTGCTGCTCCTCGCTCAACAGCCTCTTGAACGCCTCCTGAACGGCATTCTCTTCCCTGATGATGCTGTACGCAAAGACTTGACCATGTACGTTGTGCCATTTATTCAGAAGCTCCTCGCGAAGCGCGGCAAATGCGACCCACTCGCTGTTGATCACACCGCTGTTGTTGGTCTTTGGTAGGGTCTTGAGGATGGCGTCGACGTCGTCGAGTTGAAGCTTCAACACAACTCGGGCGGTGGCACCGTCCATTGTAGCGATGATATGTGGTACACGAACGAGCAAGTACGGGTAAGGCAGGTGGTGGAGGACGTTGCCTAAGGGCTGCTAAAAGCATGTGCTTTTGCGAGACGATGCTCTGTGGATGTGAGCAGTAACTGCGACGTCTACGAGAAAGGATAAAGGAAAAAGATTGTCGAACAGAGCGAGGTTTTGCTGCAGGCGGTGAGAGATGAGTCTTGCAAAAGTGAGTATGAGGTGGCGGCACTTGCCAAGCACGATGAAGGTGAGGAAGGCGCGACTCCCACACCGAGAACAACAATATAGGGAAAGAACAGGGTGAAGAGAGGGGATAGAATCATCGGATAGCTACACGAGGCCTTGAGGTATCTACCAACGGCAGGCAACGGGAGCCTTTAGAGACTACATTGGGCAACTTCCATACATTATCCACACCTGCCTACTTGGCCTCCACAATAGCAGCTTACACGCTTCACATGTTAGCTCCATCGTGGACGCCCACCAGTCCTCAAACCGCGGTACTCTTCGCGCTTTCAAACACTTTCTCTACAAGCGTTCCTACGCGCATGTTCGCGCCGCCGTAAACAATGCCAAAATCGTATATGGCACATGTGATTACCCAGAAACGCCTATACCAATGCTGCAAAATGTCCCTCCAGTATGCATCAAGCAGCACGTAGTGCTACAATGCAATCAAACAGTCGTCAAACTTATGCCAAGCCGATGCGTGAAGATGAACTGGCCAGTCTAGATGTCATAACGTAGACTCTGGCCAGGGGTATAGAATAGGATCGCCGCTCATTGAATGCTTTTCGCTCAAGCCATGAAATTGATGCATGCAATCAACGCCTTGTACTCCAGTATGGTCCCAAAAAGAGAGTTGTCGTATCTCATCCAGCGCCCGCGGTGCCAATCTGTGTATGTTTTTGGAAGCCAGGCGAGCGATAACTGTGCCGATGAGGCGATGCAGTGCGATGACCGTCAGCCGAAGCTTGTGAGTTCTGGGCGAATGCAGGGTTTGGTGCATTTCGGTCATACCCTGGGGTGGGGCTGTGCTGGTTGCTGCCAGTAGCCATTGGTTGACCGCCTGCGCCTGGGACCTGACGGACTGACGCCTCCCCAGCCTGCGCCGAGGGGTTGTTGTCCGCTGTCGTGATTTGAGGTGCATTACGCTGGTCTTTTCTGGAAGCAGTGCCGGTTTGGTCCCTAGGTGACGGTGTAGGGGCTGACAGAGGGTTCTTTCCTCGCTGCTCCCATTGTCGCATGATTTCTTTCGCGCTCATGTCAGACACTTCGTCACTGAGAAGTTCCATGATTTCGGGGGGTACCTGATTACGTTAGGCTTAGAAAACAATGTAACGATGATGCAACATACTTCCGAGAACTCATCGTTGTTCTCAATGAGATCGAACACGACCTTAACCGCACCCTGATCCACGCTCTTTACCTCTTTGTCATTGCTCTCCCGCAAAATGTTCGGTGCCATTACAGTGGCGATGTTCCATGTATCCATCTTGTTACCCGTCTCCTCATCTACGGTGTGGAAAGACGATACCCAGTTCAGGAAACAGAACAAAACTTCCATGGTGTCGCGATGAGCTTTGGGCAGCAGGCAAAGCACTAGATGTAAGATCTTCTTTCTTTGCGCTTCATCTTCAACGTCTGTCATTGTTAGTCAAGCTCTGTGAGCACAATCAAGGGGGCTTACCATTGGCTACCATGAACAGCCTGTACAGCTTCAACGTCAAGACCGGCTCGGGCATCAATCGCAGGAAGCGCTTCAAGAGATTGGCGAGGATGACAGGGTTCTTGGTGTTAAGATCGACCTTTTGAACACCATTGGCGTCGATTTCCTCTTCAAGCTCGCGTAGAGCCTTGAGGTTACCGTTTTTCCTAAACACACCCTCAATGGACATGTCCATACTTCTCATCGCAGTGATACAATCCTGAAGCAGAGCCGGAACCTTGAGAGCGCCAGGTCCTACGCCTTCTGTGCATTCATCACCATACTTTTCCACGAGGTATTCAAGCGACTGTCTGAAGGTTGCTTTGTCAGAAACTGGTTTCTCGACTCCTGTAACGCCTTTCTTTGGTTTGCTTTTGTCGGCCTTGAACGCTTTGCCGAACCCAATTTTGCCCCAGAAGTTGTTCTTCTTCGATTCGATGAGATCGAGAAGATCGCCCTGGTTGTACTGATTGTCGTCAAGCAGAAGGCCGAGCTGAAGCACAGCAAGGCCCTTCAGCTTGAAGTACTCAAGCGGTGAAAGTTCCGAAAAGTAGGTTCGAGAGCGACCTTCTGATATTTGTTGAAGTTCTTGACCCCCAGAGAAATCGCGACGGTGACCGTTTTGAAGCCTAGGTTGGTCATCTCGTCCTAGCAATGCGCTTCCACCGGCACGGAATGCGTTCGGACGCTGCTCTCGCTGCTGCTCTAAGGCGGCCATACGAGCAATGTCATCCAGAGCAAGAGAATTTACAGCGAGCGTTACAGCGTCGGCTTCGTTTGATATTTCGCGTTCCTGGACGATTTGCATACCTCCCGGCAACGACCCGTCTCCCCCAGAGCCGAGACCCTCCGGACCGTCAATGATTCGCGATTGGCGGGCACGTTTCATGGTATTCGAAAGATGCTTGTCAAGGCGCGTCGATCTTAGGCGCTTGATATCAGACATGGATTGCTCGTATGCGGCATTGTTGCTGTTTTGACTATCTGTCGCTGATGTGCCTCCATACGACTTTGAGCGAGTGTCGGGTCGTAAGTGAGGTGGATCATCTCCAAGGCGGTGGCCTTGAGTAGAATCGTAGCCTGTGAGGTTAGGATCATCTACAAGTCATTAGTGGGACGAATGTAATCTCGGAAGCGGCTCCAGAAATCTGAGTCGAGGTGTCAAGATGAGTGGTGACGGTATGATCTGTAGGAGAGTTTTTCTTACCTGAAGTGTGTGGCAGTGCGCCACTGGATCGCAGAGTCGCCATGAGACGTGCATGCGCTACATTTAGTAGATGTACATATTGACGCAGCTTGGTGACCTGCTCAAAACCATTTTCAGCGTCTGGTTGCGCTGCAGCACATGCGGGACAGAAAATACTTCGCTTGGATTTACTCCAATAAGCATTTTGAGTGTTATGGCGTAGGTCAGCATTGCATCCACGGCAAACCATACAGCTGTAGTTGTACGACATGTTGTTCAAGTGTAAACACTTGTCTTCGACCTGTGCATCGCATATGGGACATGCGTCCGCCCACCTCGGCACAAGCCGAGCGGACTCAGCGGCCTGGTCCTGTTGGGCCTCTTCTTCCAACCGCGCATCAAGCGAGTTGACTTGGGTAAGGAAGTTGGTCAACCCGGTCGAGCTCCGGGTCTCGCGCTCTAATTTTAGAGAACCCTGCAGACATATGCGGATGAGAAGCTTCAGGTAGTGGGCCAATCCAGTGACCAGGGACAGCAGTTCTTGGGTCACGCCCAGTCGTCGCACACCGGTACCTTGGGACTGGGTAAGAAGCGCGAAAAAGGCTACCACTTTCTTACAGAGCAGCTTTGATTCGCGGGAGTAGGTCAGTCCCTTGGGCGTTCTGATGATCAGTTGCGCGTCGAGCGCATCTGCAGCCGCAAAAAGCAATTCGATGTGCACAATGAATTTCTTGGCTGCCATGACACCGTCAACGTAGGCCCCGTTGCTGACATGGAGTAGCATGTCAGATATGCAGGTCGCGGACTTCTCCTCGAAAGCCGATAGCGTCTTCCAGATCCAGTTGACTTTGGCTTCGATTTCTTCTTCCTGCTGGCGCACGCTCTCCCGCACCTCATCCGTTGCATCACCATCGGCATCTTGCAATCGCTCGATGATTGGCTGGCCTGTGGAGTGTAGCCTGACATTCCAATATTTGTGAATCATGTAGCATTCTGGATGCCAATGCTGGTTCTGTCCATTTCGGAAGATCTCGACGAATTGTTTCAAAATCGATGTCTGACAGCCGTTACACCGTTGAGCGAACTTGGTAGAGTAGTGGTAGTGACAGTAGACGCTCCCCTCATGCTCGTAGTAGCTGTCCGAGGCGCCGAACACCGTAGGGCATACGGAGCAGGTGAAGTGCTCAATGTGGTATTTGCGATCGAGTGCTGTGATGTATGAGCCACGCAGGGCTTGCCCGCATTCGAAGCAAAGCAGGTCAAGCCGTCGGAAGTAGTCTGTTTCGCAGAGGGGGTACTGCCCGGGCGGCTTGTCAGGGACGGGGAAAAACTTGGATGCGACGATTTTGCCGCAATCCTAGATGTATGTCAGCAAAGTGGTCAAAGATGGTATAAAGGGAGGTCAAGCGCTCGAGAACATGGGGAGCAGTCCGTCCCAAACAACAATGCGCCAGCTCCTGTTGCTGCAGGGCACAAGCCCAATTGCTCCACTCCAAGAAATAACATGGGGTGTCTTACGTGACAGGTAAAGCATTCCAGATGGAACGTATCGCCCAATGCTCGTACAAATTGTCCAGTCAGTCCTTCTCCGCACTTTCCACATATCTTTCCACTACGCTTTGGCTTGGCGACGGCCTGATTCTGGTCCCCAGGATCGGTCGACGATCGCAGGGGGTAGTTGGTGCGGTCATAAGGCGCAAGACTGTTGGACGACGATGCGGCCTCGTCGGTGGCTCGCCTTGAAAGGCCACCATTGTGCGGGTCGTAGTTGTTGTACTGTGACTGGGCGCCCTGATGATCCATCGGAGGCGGTCCCTCCGCCGGTGTTCCCATGTCCAGCTACGCCAGCTTTGAGAATCCTCCTCTATGATGCAGGGTACGTGACGGTTTCGTGTCGTAGTCGAGGTGCGAGGAGCGCGTGACAGGGAGGCGAGGGCGAGTATAGAGGGTGTAAGAACAGGTATCGCGGTATAGTATACGGGGTTGTGTAGGAGGTGTTGGCGACGAGAGGGGTGTCGAGTCGCGGGTGAATCTATCCGGGCAGGTGGCCAAGGGTCGAAGGGCGGCGGTGCGTTGGCGAGCGCACTCTTTCTGTGGATGCGCAGCTCCTGGCAGCTCGGGCTGGGTTGGGTGTAAGGGATGCTATGTACAATGGGCGCAAAAGCAACTCGTTCGGCATGCGGTCGCCGCGGAAGAGGGAGGCGTGTGGTGAATTAGGCCCGGCGTGCTATGGGGGGCATAGGACAGAGGACCCTGAGCGGTGGATGAAACGCGGTCAGGGCGGGTAGGGCAAGCAAAGGGATTGAGCGATAATGGACATGCAACTCGAGGAAGCGCAATCACTTGTCGCTTGGCGGAAAAATCGCAGAAGGCGTCTTGTGGTGTGAGGCTGGTGGTTGTTCCTGTGTCACTGCGGCTGTGGTCAATGTTCGAGGAGTGGACGCATGTCGGTGAACAGGCTAGGCGGTTTATGGAACAACTAATTGCGATGTACAAGCAGATGGCCAGCAGCAGCATCGGCGCCTGGAGACCCCTTGAGCTTATTTTGGCGATTAGGAAAGCCGGCATTAGATGCCATTATGCAGTCCATCTACCCTCCGTTGCGCATGCAGTTAGCTATACGGCATACGAATCCTTCACAAAATGCACTACCTTGTCTGCACACACGCACACACGAGCTATTTCCCACAGCATCCTCGGCACATGGCTGGCTATTGCTTGCGCATTAGGCACCCGATGGAGGTCAGCGGGGAAGGCTGTTCAAGCCGCTCGTTTCAAGGTTCATGGCTGACATGCTAGCGGCCTTGGGTCTTGGCATTCGAGATCTCGACAGTCGCGACTTCCACCAAGTGAAGGTTGTTGTTCGCGACTGGAAGGCACGCCCGTCGTTATTGCCAGAGCCATCTCTCACTCTCACGCCCACGCTCACGCTCACGCTAGCTTCGTCGCTTTCACTAGCAGCATCGAGCTTGCTCACCACTACAGACATCAGAGCCCGTCGCACCTAGAACAAAGACCTCTAAACCACTCACCCCAACCGCGTCCTACCACCGCCTACCGCTGTCTACCATCCAGTCGCATAGTCCCCAGAGCCTCCCCCCGCCATGGAAGGAGAGTCGGAGCATGCGCCGCCGCAGAGGCAGGAGCCGCCTGTGTTCAAGGCCCCAAGGCTAGTCTCGCGCCCAAAGCCTCCGGTGCAGCAAGAGGAGGAGATGGGCTCTGAGATCAAGCTGGGCGATTTCGAGGATGTCCACGCCCTTTCCGTCTCCGAAGCGCGCGCCGTCGTCACAGCCGTCCACGAGGCACGAAAGAAGAAGGACCCTGAGAACAATCCGCTGCGCGACAGGATATACAATGATAGCATGTGAGTGGACATGTGGTGGCGCGAGCAAAGGTGTAAGAGAAAGGACTGGGACTGACTGCAGCAGAACCATTACGCAGTTTCTCGATTACCTCGACAACTTTGCGCGCTACAAGGAGGAAGACAGTCTGCACTCCATCGCTGCCCTTTTCGATGCCCATCCCGAGATCTCCGTTGTTGAAAAGGCGCTGCTGGGTAATACATGACCCGGAAGAAAGAGAACGTTGTACTGACAACAGTGTTAGGAACGCTCACCCCGGATACCGCAGAGGAGGCCACCACCCTCATTCCATCCCTGAACATGGACGAGGAAGAGCTCCAGTTGATTCTGGATGAGCTGAACAAAATGCGTGAGTTGGAAAAGATTAACAAAATGGCTACAGGCCCCTGAAGCTGACTTCTCGGACAGAGGATCGGCTTCGATAGCACCCTACTGGGACTTTGGATCACTACCTGGCCCGTTTGGATGATTCGGCGAAAGCGACTTTTTTACCGCACTGAGATTGGTATATCTTTGCCCGCGGATGGCTTTGTCTAAATTGTTCCACTCACACTTTATTGAAGCACAACAAACAAGCTGATTTGCAAAGTATCAGCATTTGATCTAAAACCTTGATTGGCTTGGCTTGGCGGCAAAAGTCCGCAGTTGCTATGAAAAGGCAAGTATGGAACACTACCACTGGACTTTTTGGGTTTCATCAACACCGATCGGCAAACACTTGCGACACTTGTCCCGACACACTGTCTTGCTACTTATGGGTACTCGTAAATATTACACACGTTCTATCCGTCGCGAAAGGACAAGAGTGTTTCTCCACGCACCGTACATTCTCATTCATGCGCGCGGATTCTGTGATGTTAGTAAAACAAAAGTGATTGTGAGATCATTGATGTTGTTGTGCAGGCGTTAGCACGCTCCCCTATGAGTACAGAAGCTCACTCTGACCTCAAGGCAGGCGTGTTCTGTGCATCACGCGATGCCCCTGCCAGTAAAGAAAAGACCAGCGGTTGCAGCACCTGTAGTCTTCGTGCCTATATTTCCACTACCTTTCAACAACACAAAACATTCCTTCAACACCGCTCACTCTTATCATCGCTACCGCCATTACAAATCTTTCCCGGCCACCACAAAAACCATTTCAACTTCGTGACAACCCACTATGCCAGGCTTCACCTCCTTCCTCCTCAGTCAAGGTCGCTTCTCCGCCGCTGTCCAAGAACCAACACCACCCCATTCCGACGAGTCGGAAACGGAAGCCTCCAAGAAGTGCCGCCTACATCAAGAGCGTAGGCGTGCTCGACAGCTCTCTCGTATCTACGGCACTGTCATGACGCGCAAGGATATCGAACACACTCTAGGCATGTTGAAGCAACTCAAATCCGACATTGCTGCTCAAATTGAGAGCTTCCATGACATGGGCGTTGCGTCTGAGAAGAAGCGTAAAGAGGCTATAAGTGAATTCTACACGCGTGGCCAGCTCATCCTCGGGGATGGTGTGAAGGTAATAGGTCAGTTTGAAGATGCTCAGGGGGCGGTGCAGATTGTTTCTGAAGGGTTCATGGAATTGAGCCGAGCTATGGTTGGTTGTGAGCAAGCGAATGGGAAGGTTGATGTCATGGATGTGGAGGGCATTGTGACGATTTATCAACGGCAGATCGATAAGCCGCTGAGTGATGTGATTAAGGAGGTTGGGAAGACGCTGGGTAGGAAAGAAGGCTGGAGCGATCCGAAGTAGGTGACCTGATGAACATGAGGCATACCTGTATATTGTGAAAGGTTTTGTCTTCAGCATATCAGTGCTGGGCTTCGATGCATACCATAATGTCAAAGAATCGAGTTAGTTGATTACTTACTTTGATAATGTTTCTTGGAAGTTTGTAGTTGGACAGGAATGATGGATTGCATCTCAGTGTGACTAATCATGACGGGCATGTAAGGACAAATCTTGAATCAGTCGAGCGGCGAAGCGAAGACATCACGGTCGGCCGACATCAGCATCATGCAGCTCGTCATGCATCTATTATTGCAAATATGTGCCGTACATCGGTTCCAACTTCAGCGCTGTACCGTGCCGGCTGACCCACGCCGCAATGCCTCGTTGCCCAGTGCGATACTATCTTCACCCATATACAGTATGGCTCTTCCTAATCTCTCGCCGCACGACTTGATCTAGACACACGAATTTTTGATCATATTCACTGTCTAGGCATGTTCGTTGATGCTCTAATGCTGAAGGCCGCTGATGTCAGATGCGAACATCGTCTGCTTACGTAAAGCTCACTACCGAGACAGATGAATCCGCAAAAGCCGGGCTACTAAGCCTAGTCATTCAGTATCATGAGGCAGTGGGGCTTCCGTACCTTGTGGTTTGCTGCAAGGAAGATATATGACTGCATCCAAGTGTGGGTATGATACTACCACGATACGTGACTAATGGCGGAAGTATTATCGCAGGTGAATAGTTTCCTTGAGGTACTTGAATTGGCGTCAACGCTGCAGTCGTACAGCGTAATAAAATTATCCTCGGTGATGATGCAGAAGATTTTGTACCTGAGCGATAGTTTGGTCTAAACGCCGCAAGGATGGAGAGGTACGTGTGTTCTTGGTACTATAGCCCATGCTATCTTCTACCTAATCGATACTCACATATATTGCAGTTTGGTGGCGGGTCAAGGACATGCATTTATGGAAGGCTGTTAACTGTATGCTAGATCTCCTTCTGCGAAATGTACAAAGTCATCCCGCAACTCTTACGCAAAACTCACTTTGAGCTCTCGGTACCGGAATTCGAGTGGGAGATGCGTAACCATAAGTTCAATAAACTGACTAAGGTTCACACTACGTTGCGATGTTGACAGCCGGAATGACTTGAATCTCTTCAAATACTTCATCGACGCACAGCTCTGCTTATCTAACTTGTCAGTGGCCTTTCACTTCAGAGCGAATGTTATCAATAAATTTTGCGACCTACGACCCAGGTGAAATGTCGTGGCACATTCCTCCCTGTTTCTACCTCAGCGTGCGGATTTGCTGTTGATCTCGCAGGTTCGGTTTCGACTCACTCATGTACTTACCTTCCAAAGGAGATTCACCACATGGCCTGCAACTGCTGCTGCCCTTTGAATCCAGAGATCATCGAACCTTCTCAACGAGCACCCTCGGATGAACTCACCACAACAACCATAACATCCCATCATCTTCTACCATGTCCAAAAAAGATACAATTGCCTTTATGGCTCTACCACCTGAGGTACGCGTCAACATCTACAAGTACATCTCACCAGTCAACACTCGCCCCGCTGAATCCTCTGGTCTCTGTCGAACTTGCCGCCTCATCCACAAGGAGTGGAACTGGGAAGCACGAAAGAGTGTATTCTATGAACACGATCGGTTCGAAAGATACCTGGCCTCCAGCGGGATTCAACTTCATGAGTCGGCGGCTGAAATGCTTTCCACCTCATCCATCACGATCGAGCTACCCTTGGAGATCTTCTCAGGTTCTGATGCATGTGCTCTAAACCTCATACCTTGGCATTGGACCTGGATCACAAACGTGAACATCATCTTCAGTCAAACCTGTCCGCCCGCGCCAGATAGGCTAGTACTCATGTACTACTTATACGACTGCCTGGACAAGCGGATGAACAACTACATTGCGGGCCATACTGCACGCAAGAAGCTGGATCATTTTACAATCAGGAATATAGCTCTCCGATGGTACGGTGTCCCTAAGTGCCTTTTCACTAGACACCGGGACAAGCAATCCAACAACAAAATACGCCGCTAGAATGTCCAAGTAGAGAGAGGAGAAACTGGTCGTGAACATCTTAGTGTTATTTGGCAGCGCCGCAGGAGGATGGATTTTTATAAGGCGGCTTGGAAGCTGCGTGCAGCGTGGTGGATTTGGTACGTAGTGTCAGTTTCCCTAGCAATACGTCTCGAAACGGGTGTTGTTCGATTGAAGCCAACTGGTATACTTACAATACTGTTTGAGATGCTGATAGATTTGTATAGCTTTGTGTACTTGTAGCACCTTCTGAGGGGAGACTGGGGAAGAGATGCATGTATGTAGACGAACGATATGGATATCGGAGCTTTTCGAGTTAGGCGACCACTTTTTAGATCTCGAGGCGCTCCAAGTAAGTGAATGAGATCAGCCTGCCTATAAAGAGAATCGGGACCAAGCGATATTTCCGGAAATCTCTTGTGCTGATCTTTATTGTGGACGTTATATATCTCATCTCATCCTCAAGCCCCTCTTCAATCGTCGCCAACGGTATCTCCGCCGTCAAAGCGGAATAAAATTTCTCGCCTCCCGCACATCATCCAGATAACAATGTTCTGCTTTTCTCCTTCCCACTTGTACCGGTGAGGCCACTTCCGCTGACGATACTACTTTCTTCCAGTGAAGTTGCTCCTGTCGCCTCCTCTCCCCCTTCACCAGCCTCAGCCTGCCTTCTTCTTTCCCGAAAACGCGCGACGGACCGCGCATCTACCCTCTTTTCATACGCCCTCTTATGAAACTTCTTCGTCGATCGTTTCCTATCATTAGCAAGTTTCATTATGAAATCGTTGTTCCACCCATAGTATAGCCACTCGGCATTTGGCTGCGTCTTGCCTGCCTCCTCTGGTGCATCAATACAGCTAAAGTTCTTACAACAGACGGTTTCATTGAAAACAACATGCTTGCCCTCTGACTTCAGCTCTGACTCGATCCGAGGAGAGCACTTCAGTGCTAATTTGAGTGACTTGAGATTAGAGCGACGATTCCGCTTCTGCGCTTCCTTGGACCAAAGTGTATCATCTTTCACACCGTTTTCGAGGTCTTGTCTGAAGTTCCCGAGGACTTGGAGAAGAGTCGCATAGCTTTCCGCAATTCGTGGCCAGTATCGCTGTGCGGCGGCTTCCCGGCCCATCTTCGAGGGTTTCGAGGCGTATTTGTAGCGTAGGTGTTTCCAGCTCATACTTCTTGTGGCTTCTTCGAGTTCTTTCCTCGAGGGCTCTTTTGAGTGGTTGTTGCGGAGGCGGAGGGCGAGGTCGTCGAGGCGACGGTCGATACGGTGATGACGCTCTTGAATCGATTCCAAGGCGCGGCGCGCTTCGCTTCGATCGGTTTTGGGGAAGGCTTTGATCTCTTCCGCCTGACGGGTCATGAAGCTTTCGAGCTCTTGGCAGGCTCGTACGAGGATTTGGGCTTCGTTGCGCGTTAGATGCATGCCGGCGATGAGCGCCTTGGAAGCTTTCTTCGAAAACCAAGACATGATTGAGGTATAGATGGACGATATGACTGACATGAACGGTATGAATGACATGAACGGTATGAATGACATGAACGGTATGAATGACATGAACGATATGAATGACATGAACAACATGAAAAGCCATGTGCAGACCTGTATCATGCGGCTAAGTGCGCTTGATTTGTGTAGAAATGGAACTTTGGGTGGCTCGGGGGCCTGAGCCAGTGAGAAGGAAGGCATTGGGCTTTCTGGAGTAATGGTATGGGTCAGTGGAGGAAGCTCGTCTCGCGCATGACACAAGTAGTGACAAGTCGCTTTCACGACGTTCATAATGAGATAATGGTGGCGGTGCAGGCAGCACTGTTTTTGCTGTGCATTGTGAATGGAGAGGTGTGTAGTGTAAGACATTGCAAGAGAAATTGCAAAGACGAAAACCTTCGAGACATTGTAGGTTTGTGAAGCAAGCGCCAGTACGAGCAAGCTTGGATTATCTGGCAAGGTCTATGTCTAAGCAAGTCGATGGTAGGGCTGATGTATTGGCTTTCGTTCGAAAACAGAATGGGTTCGCCTAGATGATAAAGTCAAATCCCGGCACGCTCACATCTTCGCCCTGTCTCCATGGTCGGCATTTACAAGGACATAGCGATAGCGTGCATGGCCCTCCTCCATGTCGACTACACTTTTGTTCGCGTCCTTCATGCTGCGCTTCTGTACCCATGGTTTGACACCCTTGTCGGCAGCGAATTTTAGCATTTCCTCTATCTCCTTGGGGCTGCCAATCTGACTGCCTCCAATCTTACACCCTTTGCCAATGAGACCAAATGCAGCGATTTGAGGAAGCTTGTCTTCGGGTGCGCCAACTTGTATAAAGGATCCACCTGTACGGAGGAGCCGAAGGTATGACTCAAGGGGCATGTCTGGAGAAGAGACTGTGCTGATGATGAGGTCGAGGGTTCGGCTATGGTTACGCGCCCACTTGTCGTCTTCAGATGTGGCAATGTAGTCTGTTGCGCCCATGGCTTTCGCATCCTCGACCTTGTTCCTCCGTCGGCTTATCGCCACAACCTTCTCGCAGCCCAATGCTTTCGCAAATAATACGCCGAAATGTCCCAGACCTCCTAGACCTACGATGCCTACCTTCTTCCCGGGGCCTGCACCGTTATTCTTCAACGGCGCATACACGGTAATGCCACCGCACATCATGGGCGCTGCGTCTTCGCTCTTTATCCCAGCTGGTATCTTGATGGCGAAATGCGCCGGTACTCGAACATGATCCGCGTATCCACCCATGCTCCAGCTTCCGTCTGGGTACTTTGCGTTGTATGTGCCCACCATCTTCGGGCAATGTTGCTCGATGCTGGCGCTGCATTCCTCGCAGTCGTCCTTCAAGCAGCTAAATGCTTGTGCGCCTACGCCAACTCTGTCACCTAATCTGAGGTTCTTAACTTTGTCTCCGACTCGTACGACGTTTCCGACAATTTCGTGGCCAACACATACGGGATAGTGTGTCGCGCCCCAGCCAGATCGCAGAGTATGTATGTCGGTGCCACAGATTCCGCAATGAGAGACTTTGATATCAATGTCGATTTCGTTAAACGGCTTAGGCTTGAACGACGACCAAGTCATGTTGCCCTGCGCGGCATTCTTATCGTGGCCCAGCCAGCCGTGGAACTCGGAGGGGGAGGTCATCTTCGTTTGTATGCCAAGGCTCTTGAAACTGGAAAGCGATGCAAGAAAGGTCGCGCTATGTCAGTACACGGGTGTAGGAATACGTCGCAGTATTAGCTGCAAAGGGTGTGAAGACGGTATATGCTGAGTGTTGAGAGTAGTAATCGCGCAGCGACCAGGACCGAGGATGGCCGACGTCATGTTGTTTGGACAATGTTATCCGAGGTATCTCGCCGTAGCTCTGAACGCGGGATGAGGGGTTTACAATCCATTAGGGACAGCGCTCATCAACAACGCGGAAAATCATGATGAAGTTCTCATCGCGGTATGATATCTTTGCAAGAGCGGTAGAGGAATGTTGGTGTTGTAGGTGGTGTTGGGAGTTGTGAGTACTGAATGTGCAATATGGCGCTAGAGCGCGACCATCAGTCAGCACCGTAATGCATATGAACAGGCCACTGTTTATTACGTAGCTCCATCTTTGTCCCAATTACAAGGCCAAGATACCGAGAGTTGAGGGTGAGGTAGACTATGAGATCGTTCATGAGATAGTTTATTCGTGTTACGTATGAAAAAAACCGTGCATTGAAAGTGCGAGAGTACCAGAGCTGTCGACCGCTAAGCATCGACCTTCTTCATACCTTTTGTGAAAAGAGGACTCTGCCTAACGCGTCCCCAATCATGAAGCATCATGGTATTTGCCGTGCCGTCTCTGACTTCTCCACCACCGCGCTTGATCATCTCCTCTTCAAACGCATCTATCGCAACTTTTCTGTCTTCGCCAGCTTGAATTTTGGTAATGGCTTCGTGCAACTTTCCAGCGTCCGTGACCGAGTGATTGAGGCCTTGCCCTCTCTGGTAAGTCATCGGATGAACGGCGTCACCAATCATGGTAACTAAGCCGCTGTGGTTGTCCCAACGATGGCCATCCATTCCAGGATCCCAGTCACTGAGCCCGAGATACCACACGGGAGTGCCATCTGGTGTCCACTCAAACGCACTCCTCCACGGGTCACAGAATTCCTTTGCAAACTCCTTCTGCTGTGCAAGTCGCTGAGCACCGGTCCAGTTCTTGGTGGCCTCCTGCTCTTCCAGACTACTCCTCCACGAGATATAGTAGAAGAACGTCCAGGATGATGGGTCTTCTGCGTCTGGTGCGTCATGCATGCCAAAGAAGGCGAAGTTGTTATTCGGATGCGCGCATGCTAGGTACAGCGGATGAAAAGACCTCAAGAAGAGAGCTTGTTCCACGGTAAACTTGCACTGAACAAAAGTAGCAGCATATGGTATGTGGTTGATGGCACCCAATTCAGGACCCAATAGGATCTGTCTTGTCGAAGAGTGAGCTCCATCAGCACCTACCAACATGCTTCCAGTTGCCGTTGTTCCATCGGTGAAATGTGCTGTGACTGACTGATTATCGTTTGCGTACGAGACATCTTGTAAGCGCTTGTCGAACTGTATGTCAAGGCCTTGCATCAACATGTCGCGCAACTTGCTCCTTCGCAGGCGGTAGAAAGGCCCGAAGGTAATGGCTGCGACCAGATCTCCGGTGTCGCCTCGCAGCCACTTCAGCGTGTCCTGCTCTTTTGTGGGCACATTCGGATCGACGGAAACGCTCTGAATGCGGTCCCACCAGCCGTCTGGCATGAGGCTCTTCAATGCTGGTGCGCCCCAGTGAAGGCCCATATTCCAGTCGCGCTCGCCATGCTTCGCGCCGTTCTTCTCGAAGACGATACATGGGATGTTCGCCTAATTCCCCAATGAGACTAACATCTACGTTACACAGACGGATACGTACTTTGCGAAGGCCCTGTGCGAGTGCAAGTCCAGCGGTTCCTGCGAATGAGTGAGACCATGTGCAGGTATGCGGCGTAGTCGTCGCTCACCAGAGCCAATTACGAGGATGGGCAACCGCGCCGTACGCGCTTCGCCATTGGCAGTTGGTTTTTCCATAACAAACAGCCAGAGATCAGCGATGTTCTGGTCATCTCACAACCTGTTCTTCGCACTCTCTACAACAAAGTTCGAAGTATCCACAGTGGAGGCACGCTTGGCCCACACCATCTTTAACGCACGTTGCATCATACGACGGGCCGAACAGCACACGAACGGTGAGCGCAATGCCGTCCACTCTGTCGTCCACCACGGCTACCAACCAGTTCAACGCGAGACTTATACAGCGCCATACATACACCTTTTGAGTGCAATTGGAATGTTTCCCAAAGACTTGCTGCCTGCAAAGCTCAGACTCTTCGTGCGACATCGGTAAAGGGGAGCCATGGCCTCGCTTACCCTGAGCCGCTCAACTGACATGCATGCGATGCTTTTGGCGTGCGTTGTGGAAGCGCACCCGCGAATAGCAGCAGCCGGAGGGCAGACCGATCCGCTTGATCTACTCGGGGATGCTGCGCGAACGCGGCGGCGGCGCCAGAGCTGCACAGCTCCACTTTCTCAGAGACCCCTCACCCATTAACAAAGCCACCAAGGAGGGACCAGAGTCAGCACCAGCAAATCCCCGGTTCGTCGGCCCCAAAGTCATTAATATGTAACCTGTTGGCTGCCAGGCTTGAGGCTTGAGGCTTGATTTACACCATCACCATACCACACACTCGAATCGTACGGCCATGGCCTCTTCGTCGTCCCAGAAGTCCTGCGAGGGCATCGGCATGCATCACCAAGACAGCGCCATACATCTGGGTGACGCTTCGACGTCGTCGTACCCTCAACAGCCAGCCCCTACACACCACCAAACCTCAACAGATTCCGAGCCTTCACCAGTAGACAATGACGATGAGCCAGGCTTCTCGTCTGACTCAGCCTTCGACAGCGGAAGTCTCCTCGGCGACGAGACGAATTCACTAGCGTCGTCTATCCTAAACCATCGTATAGAAAATGGGAGGCAGTACCACGCGTATCGAGACGGCGCATATTGGGGGCCGAACGATGAGCTGGCCAAAGAGATACTGGATTTTGCGCACCACATGTATCTCCTGACTCTCGATCAGAAGCTGCATCTTGCGCCTTTACAGAACCCGCAGACAATACTCGATTGCGGCACGGGTACTGGCATATGGGCAATTGTAGGGTATACCTCATTCACAGTCTACTTCATATACTGACAAGTCCAGGACATGGCAGATCAATATCCTTCCGCGATCGTTACGGGTACCGACCTCTCTCCCATACAACCCGAATGGGTCCCACCCAACTGCCATTTCGAAATCGACGATGTCTCGCTAGAGTGGACATTTCCGCTGAATCACTTCGACTTTATACACATCCGCGAACTTTTCGGCTGCATACCGGATTGGGACTTCTTCTTCCAGCAAGCTTACCGTCACACCAGGCCTGGTGGCTGGATAGAGATAGTGGAGCACTCCGTATGCCCTACATCTGACGATGAAACAATGGGGCCAGACCACTTCTACCATACATGGGGAAAGGTTGTCGTTGAGATGGGCGACCGTTTCGGCAAGACCTTTACTATCTGGGAAGAGAGTGCTGAGAGGATCAGAAGAGCCGGCTTTGTGGATGTGACGGTCATGGAGTACAAGTGGCCTATGAATGGATGGCCGACGGATAAAAAGCTCAAGAATATCGGGCGATGGAACCAGTTGCGGTTGATGGATGGGGTGGAAGGCTTCATGCTGCGGTTGTTGACCCAAGTCGGTGGTGTAAGTATTAGCCATGATGGTATCATGGGCATTACTGACATTCTCTAGTGGTCCGTTGCACGAGCACAGGTGCATCTAGCGCAGATGCGCAAAGAATTGAAGAGTTACCGAACTCACGCATACTTGCCTGGGACTGTTGTCTATGCCCGGAAGCCCCTATGAACATGAGAGCTTCGCATATTGCCTCGGTGCAATGCTAGCAAAGCCTAAGCACACACTTCAGGACGTTTCCCATGCCCGCTATCGGCCTGTCCACGCATATCCGACTTGGCACTCATTATACACACCCATGGAAGAAGGAAACGAGACATTAGGAAAGAAGCTTGCCATTAGACAACTTGTCTACGAAGATGTGCGCGCCAGCAGACGCCTTCTACTTAGGTGGTACTTTCCACCTGACAGGATTAACGCTTAGTCTTATTAGACTTTCAACCTCGTAGTAGAAGCGTACATGGCCGCTCATATCGAAGAAACGTCAACGGCCTCTTATCCCTAAGTGCTTGGACAATCGGCGGACTGGCACTTGCCGCAGCTATCCCTCTCGGTCCTAGGACATAGACACGATGCCTTGCAAGCCTGGTCGCCATTGCAGTTCTGCTGACAAGCGTAAACGGCGGCCCGGCAGACTTGACAGTGGTCGATTGGTGGTGAATCTGCCGTGACGTCGTCGGACGTTGCCACCTGAATAGTGGTAGAACAGCTGGTAGACGCACACTTGTGACAGCTGTCCCATTCGGTAACAGGGCAATTGCATGTTGCCTCGCAAGGCTTGTCACCGCGGCAGTTCTGTTGACAGGTGTAGATAGCGGCCCGACAGACTTGGCAATGGTCAATTGGTGGGGACTGTTGGTCACCCGTGGCAATGCTGTCGAACTCAGCTGTCTCGGGACCAGAATGAGCCGTGTCGCGTTCAGTGAACTCCCATTTATCGCAGTCTTGAGGAGCCTCGACGCATCCTGTTCTAGTGTTAGTAGACTAAGAACCGCCACAAAGCTCTGCTTGAGCTAGTCTGTTTTATCACATACCCTGTTGGCGACAGATCGACTTTAGGTTCGAGTGCAAGTAACACGCACAATAACCCTCACAATGGGGACCTGACCCGCACTGCTCGAGGCAATACGGCAAGCCGGCGTCGCAACCCTGTGCTACGCATGTATTGTCATCAGCCTTGGCAGTAGCGTTGTCGTACTCTAGAGCGTCTTTGTTGTAATCAATATTTTTGGGAGCGGCTTGGTCAGCGTAGTCTGGTGCAACTTGATCGGTGTCGCGCTTGAGATTGATACCGTGCTTGAAGTCGAGACCGCGCTTGGTGTTGAACTTCTCGCAACCCTGAGGAGCTGAGAGACATCCTACTCTAGTATCAGCAAAACTTAATTTCCACGGAATACTTGTCGATTGGATTTTTCACATACCGTTTGTGCGACACTCGGGCATTGGATCTTCTTGTGTGTAACATTCGCAATACTCCTGGCATTGAGTACCCCGATCGCAAGCTTTGACGCAATTTTGCGTGGGCAAGAAACAGCCTTGTTTTTCGCAAGGGCTCCGATTGTCCTTGCCGTAATATTTTGCGCTTGCAAAAGCCAGGAGGCCGGTGATAACGAGGATGATAGCGTTGAGTCTCATGGTGACGCTTGCACAGTGGTTGAGTTGGTATGGTCAGAGAAGAAAGGTGGGATATAGAATCGCAGTGGAAAGAGTTTTTGACCTACAAGGTGAGAGCGCATTGTTGACACTGCGTCACCGCTCGTGTCAGGAAAGAGTCATGTGGACTGAGTGGGGGCGTCCGAGCGTTCGGTGGGAGTGAGGGTGAAGGTGAATGAGGTGCTCCACTCGCATAATAGACAGCAAGAGACAAGTCGGAATCAAATCAAATCCGGCCCTGAAATAACGGGTCTCCAGAACTGCTTACAGTGAACAAGCTGATGATATAGTAACAGAAGGGGTCCTTCCTTGATGGTTACATATTCCCAGGCCTCCCAATATGACGCAACTCAATGCTCGGCTCTCTCTCTACCACTATCTCCTTGCGTACCCAGATATCGACATCTTTATCTCTTCTGACGACCGACGGATCGCGACTTTGTTGACTAGCAATCTTGACATAGCTCGACAAATGGCCCGTACGACCTGCCGATTCGTACCCCGATGTCGTCCCAACACACGCTTGGTTTGCACTAAGAAGACCCGAGTCAAGACTCATCATGAAGGGTTTGAGGAAGGGAATCGTGGAGGCCATTATACTAGCGACTTGCACTATTTGTCCACAGACAACGATACGCCATATCGAGTAGAGGAGATCGGTTTGTGGAGGCAAGCTGCGAATGTATCCGATCTGAGCGGCAGAGGCGAACACGACGCTGGGGGTCCATACTGTCAGCGCAAACTTTGTGATGGTTTGGTCAAAGGCAGAAGAGATATGGCTTACACTATGCGGGACCAGAAGCCGGTGACGAGCGTGAGGCGCTTTTCTGGTGTAATTTGCAGCGGTAGTACCATCAATGTTGGTACGATTGCAAGTGCAAGGTCGGTCACAATATTCATGACTGCGTTGTAGGTTCGTACAGCGCGCTAAAGAATGTTAGATGGCGGCGCCAAACACACTGGATCGTTGGTCCAACTTACGATATCCATACACTTCGGATTCGTGATGTCCCACCTTCGGGGTGAAGGGCACTGGAAGGCGATGAGGAATACCGCACTGAATCCCCATAGCAGCGTCAGAACGCCCGTTGCACGCATCATCCTCTGGTGTCTGGCGATTGGCGTAACTGATGCGAGAGAGACGAGTAAGGAGCCCTTAGCAGCGACAACGGTAAGCACGCTCAAAATCTCGCTGCCGAACAAAGCCTAATACTCTCAGCGTCGCCCTCCAAAAGCTTTGTGATTCTTACCTTCCAAGCTCCATCAACCTCAACTAGTGCGAGGCCAACTTGTAGATTCCCGATAGGCTGACCAGCAGGACTAAGGAGTGTTGCCGCCTGTCCTGCGGACAAAACCTGTTGTGGTGTCTGTCAGTATGCATATTGGTGGCTTTCCTCCTCAAGCACTTACCAAAGCCGCTAGCAGTACGAAGTCGGCTCCCACAAATCGCCTACCCATAGCCTTCTTCGTGGCAAATTGTGCTGTAACAGCTGATATCGAGAAGGCGAGGAATAGCCATGCCAGAATCTGGATCAATGGCGCTGCATGGCCGTCGTGGAATGCAGGCTGCTTACCAGCGTCCATGGCTTTACGCCTCGAGAGCATGGTGAAATATTTATTCTAGGGGTGATTCTGATAGTCCAACTGTCCGAGCAGCGCGATCTCTGCAATATAGTCCAGCGAGAAGGAACCAACACCCTACGGCCGTTATCTCTGTGCCTCATTCCAACATCCTTGAATCACATGGTGCCCACAGACGGGACCAGTGTCGTAACATGATACTGTTCTCATCTCACATGTTACTCTTTCATAGGGGCGTTGCTCTGTCCACTCAGTTGGTATCATCCCACGCACGTATGTGAGCTTTCCAGCTCCTTTCGTAGACCTGCATAACTAGGCAACGGGTCCGCTGCCGAGTACGTAAGGGGAGTACTTGTCTCTCATTAGCACGCGGACAAGCTTGCGTATACGTTACAAGCACATTAGACGGCACAGTGTAATAGGTCGCTTAGAAGGCCTACGCCACATCCGTGCAGAAGTGCCATATAAAAGCACCAATTAGAGGGAAAGCAGGCAACACGGACACCTTGGCAACTCGCGGTAACGAAGCAAAACGGCAGCTAGCAGCAAGAGGATTTTGATGGAGATATCGTAGGTGTTTCTACGACCATAGCGGCTGCGCTATACACCTGAGGCGTAGCTAGCGCTAGGTACCGCTCGGGACGGTAGAGTCCGCGGCTTCTAGGATCGATTCCGGCCGAATCCTGCAGGATGCGTATTGAGTAAGGATCTTCGCATTGAAGTGAGGGTGACATTGTTGAGCTGGAAGGAGCAGAGAGGTCAACACAGAAGAAGCAGTACACGGCGTCTGTAAACGAGGTTTGGAAGTGTTTGCAGTTTACAAGCGAAAACCGCGAATCTGGGTACCACGTCAGCATTTCCATGGGCTGTGTACGAGAGAGCAGCATCTAACCATCATGGAAACTTCGTTATCAGGACACCCCCGCGGCAGAAGCTGCGGCACAGCATGTAACCTTCTCGATCCGTTTAGCGAAACAATCTGGATCAATCTTCGCATAGCCGACGTATGAACGCGACGCCACTAATTACAACGACTTTAAGAGGCTGCAATTGACTTTTGTTTTCCTCGCATCCATTACAGTGTTCATTACTGTCTCTTGTGGTTGTTACCTCTTTATATATATCACCTGAGGCCATGGAACTTGGCAATCGAACAAAGGCCGAAGCAGTCACTTCTGCCATCGAGGACGGTGACCATGATGGTTACACTCGAGATGAAAGGGATCTTATCCGACTGGGCAAGAAACCAGTGCTGAAGCGTAACTTTGGCTTCATGCAGATTTTAGGCTTCGTAAGTTTCGAATGTACGAAATGCATGTGAGACACACACTGACTTCGCATCCTCACCACTACAGTCATGTACCGTGTTAGTGACTTGGGAAGGCATACTCCAAGTTTCCACTCCTAGTTTGCTCAACGGTGGTCCTGCGGGCGTCTTCTGGGGCTATATCCTCATATGGATTGGTTCTATCTCCATTTATACGGTCTTGTCCGAGTTGTCATCGATGGCACCCACCGCAGGTGGGCAGTACCAGTAAGTAACCCGATCTTATAGATATTCCTAGCTGATGAGTTCTTAGCTGGGTCGCCATGTTAGCCCCACCGTCGTACAGAAAGTTTCTGAGCTACATCACTGGATGGGTGACACTCATCGGCTGGCAGGCCACTACCGCTTCCTCGGCGTACCTTGCCGGAACTATCCTGCAAAGCACGATTCTAATGTGCGATTCTGATTATTCGCCGAAGCCGTATCAAGCAATGCTGCTTGGTTGGGCCGTGCTTGCATTTGCAGTCACTATTAACACTGTCGGGAGTAAGACCCTTGCACATTTCGAAGGCCTGATCTTGATATTGCATGTCCTGGGCTTCTTCGCAATTTTGATCCCGCTCGTATATCTTGCTCCGCATAGCGATGCCTCCATTTTCACTACATTCGTTAACACCGGAGGCTGGTCGACGCAAGCGCTTTCTTTCATGGTTGGACTACCATCATCCGTCTTCGCACTTGTTGGTAAGTGACTTTTCTTGACGAGAGTCTGGGATTGAGCTTCAGCGCTAACCTTCGCAGGTGTCGATTCATGTGTTCACGTAAGTCGTCCTTCAGCTGGTTGCTTGCCGGCGTACTAATTCTCTACAGATGGCCGAAGAAGTCAAGAATGCGTCTAAAGTAGTGCCGCGAGCCATTCAAATCAGTGTATTGCTGAATGGTACACTGGGCCTAGCGATGTTGATCGCGTATCTTTTCTGTCTTGGAGACCTGAATGAGGTATTGGAGTCTTCAGCAACGCTAGGGTACCCCTACCTATACGTGTTTTTGAAGGGTACTGGATCAGCTGCCGGAGCTGCAACCATGGCTATGATCATGTGGACTCTGGGTGTCTGCTGTCTAGTTGGCCTCATGGCCGCCACCTCCCGACAAATGTGGTCCTTCGCGAGAGACAACGCCATGCCATTTTCGGCTCAAATCACCAAGGTGATTGCTTTTCCCTGATCATTTCAGACTCATCGTGCTAACGCTAACAGCTCAATTCTCGAACGCTGATACCTGTTAACACCATCATGATCACGGCTGCGATTTCGGTACTTCTATCTTTCATCGCACTCGGCTCGTTTGTCGCCTTCAGCAACATTGTCAACCTCAGCATCGGTGGGCTTTATGCCTCATACTTCATCGTCTGTGCCTTGCTTCTTTGGCGGCGTCTTCAAGGCATCAGCCCGTACAATTCGCAAGCTGCGTTGGTGGGACCAGATACATTGCAATGGGGGCCTTGGAAGGTTCCGGGCGCGTTCGGTATTGCCAACAACCTGTTTGCATGCGTATACCTATTTGTACTGTGGTTCTTCTCTTTCTGGCCAGGATCCGTGGAGGTTACCGTACAGTCGATGAACTTCAGTTCTGTCACATTTGGTGGGACTGTAATTCTCGCCGTCGTTTGGTACTTTGTGAAAGGCAGAAAGACATATGTGGGCCCGATCGTTGAGGTGAGTTTGTAGTGTCCTCTGGTGAAGTTTTCACGGGAGGCACAGCAGGGCTCGCAGCCGCGTCTGTCCGTGAGGTGAAAGAGAACTATGCGGCTATCGTCCCTGAATAGGGGAGTTGTCTTTCATTCTAGTATCATACATATAGACAGCGATAGATTGAGGAGAAAGAAATAGCTTTTTGCGTAGCTAGGCTTGATGGATCAAAGATGCTAATGAAGAAACCAGTGCATGGTCTGACCATTGTCATTCCCGCGGCTTGATCAGTCATGTATCCCGATAAGTAATAGTGCGTAGGCTCACCAATGGTCGCAAAATACATGCTCAAGACAACCTGGACTACTAGAAACTTTAAGCGGTCGGACAACTTGCGATTATACGAGATGACTATTCGCTTTCGAGTTTTACCACGATACCTGTGGAAGCTGGGGGTATGGTGATGAGAAGGAGACAAGATTTATGCGCATGCTCAAGATCTGGATAGGATAGTGTGCTGAAAGTATACTTCAAATTCTTGATCAGTTGAACACTGATGGACAGCATTGATGGAATAGACAGAAAAGCAGTGTATTATGACTAAAGGCCCTGTAACTTCCTGTACAGACATAAAAAGATGCTAGAAACCGCCCATAAAACCTAGGTAACCAAATACCTGACCCATGAGAGTCTACCCGTCCGATCTCAAACGCGCAAGAACATTCCCAAAAGCGGCACGATAACTAATGTACAGAAAAACACTACAACGACAAACAGCAACACAGAGAAGAAGATATCTACAAAACGAAGCGAAAAGAAGCGCGTGGCCATGAAGAATAAAACAACAAAGACGAAAAAAAAGAGGTATCACGCATGCTTATGAAACAAACTCCTCAATCCAGAGCTCCACCTCCTCATATGCCCACGTTCTCCAGGCGAGACACCCGCATGCTCATCACCACCACTAGTCGTAGCTCGATAACTCAGTCGTTTCCGCAGACTATGACTGGTTTTGGGACGTTCAGGCGTCGAAGGTGTAGCTCCCTTATCAGGAGTAGTAGGAGCGATGTATGTGCTATGCCGCGAGTTGGCGTTCACCGTGGATCGAGGCGAGAAAGAAATGTTATGTGAGGTTGTAGGGCGGGTAGGTGTTTGTGGAGACGAAGCGCCGATACGCGGGGAGGGTGAGGTGCGGGCTTGGTTTATGATGAGGAGGGTTGGTGTAATTGGACGGCTCTTCTTTCTGAGAAGGTTTTGGGGTCGCTTTCTGAAGGTTGTTAGTCGTCGGTCTTTATCGTGTGGTACTGATGTAGCGTCACTTACATTTTGGTCTCCTTCTCTATCCGGTGAAGTTGCGCGTCGGTGTCTCTCAGCGTCTTCTTAAGGTTGTGTCGGGACTTCTTCATGCCTTTGAGTTGAACAGCCGCATCGTTGCGTTGCATGCGTATCTTCTCGACTTGCATTGCCCATGAATCGAGATCTTCTTCGTGGGAGACAGTACTGGCGCTGGTTTGAGGCCTTTCATGCTGTATGCTGACGTGGCCAATTGAACTTCTCGTATGAGAAGACATGGGGCTAGGCGGAGCAGTGTCGTAGGGGCCGTCTTGGATAGTGATGTGACGTGGTGAGGTGGTCCTGTTGAGTTCGCTCGGCTCCTCCCACTCCTCCAAGACTTCCAGATGTCTGATCTTCTCTTGGAGTGTGGCGACCAGTTTCTCAAATGCTCTCTTATCATCCCGCAAGGTCTTCACTTCTTGCTCTAATGCAGTGAATGACGTCGCATATTCGTCCTGATGGTGTCGCATCTCTTCAATCTCAGTCATCTTCCTCTCCAGTTCGGCCTCTAGGCGAACAGCGTTGTCGTGTTTACCGTCTAATTGTCGGTGCTGTTGTTGCTGTTCTTCGAACTTTTTCTTCAAACCGTCGTACGCCGAGTTCAGGGATCTTATTCGGTTGTCTGAAGATGATCCGAGCTCCTCGATGTACTTCTCCTTCTTCGACAGCTCTTCGATTAATTTGCCTTTGCCCTTCTTGAGCGCACCCAATTCACGCGTCTGATCGCCGATCTGGTGATGTAGATCTGAGTTCTCATTGATCAAGATCTCAAGTTCGTTGTTTCTTTCACCAAGTCTGCGCTTGTACTTTTGCTTGGAATTCTTTGCCGCTTCCAACTTAGATTGTGAAGCCTCCATAGACTCATGGTAGCGCCTCTCGGTATCCTCAATGGCAGAATGAGCGTCAGCCATGTCAGCTTCCACACGCTCGAGGAAAGCCTCCAGTTGAGCGTTCTTCTCACGTGCAGTGTCCAGCTCTTCTTCTGCTGAAGTAAGACGAGCCAGCAAATCTTTCTCAGAGGAATCTAGCTTGGCATTCGACTCTCGAAGAGAAACAAGCTCCTTGTCGGCTCCGACGAATTTGTTGATCGCTTCCAGACTTTCCGACTCCGCAATGTCGAGGCGCATCTGCGCAGCTTGCAGTTCGGTCTCAAGCTCACCATTACGGTGAGTCGCGGTTCGAGACGTCTCCTCGAGTTTTGCGTGAGCCAGTTTAAGGTTCTCTAGTTCTTTGCTGCTAAGTGACAACTTAGAGACTAAGCTGAAACCTTCCGACTCAGCAATGTCGAGGCGCATCTGTGCAGCTTGGAGTTCAGCCTCAAGCTCCCCGTTCCGATGCGAAGTTGTTTCAGAAGATTCCTCAAGTTTTGCGTAAGCTAGTTTGACCTCCTCCAGCTCCTTGCTGCTAGCCGACAACTTGGAGATCAAGCTAGTGCTATTCGAGTCCAGCTCGGCTATCCGTGAGCGCATGTTCGTTAGATCATCCTGAAGAGATCCAGCATGCTGTTCAGTGTCGACTACCTTACGCTCCAACTCGGCTTTTGCCTGTCGGAGAGTGGCTAATTCTTCATTTGCCTCCACAAGCTCTGTAGTGGTGGACGAATTTTGTGCTTCGAGCTCGTGAAGTCGGGAGCGCGTGTTCGTCAGATCTTCTTGAAGAGACCCGGCATGTTGTTCGGCGCCGGTTGCCTTGCTCTCCAACTCGGCTTTCGCCTGGCGAAGAGCGGCTAGCTTTTCGTTCGTCTCTGTAAGCTCTGTTGTGATGGAGGAATTCTGCGATTCGAGTTCGCGAAGACGCGAGCGGGTCGAGGAAAGGCATTCTTCTGTGCTTGTCGAGACAGCTAATGCTTCGCTCAACCTCTTCTCGACATCATCCTTAAGTTGTCGGAGAGTTTCCAGCTCTTTCTCAGCTCGACCTAGTTCTGAAGTGAGCTCGGCGTTGTGTGCATCCGCTTCGCCCATTTGGGAACGACTTGCAGTGAGATCCTTCTCCAGTTGTGCATTGGTGGCAACGGTACTGTCAAGTTGATTCTTGATGTCTTCATTGTTTTGCCGTGCAACAGCGAGCTCCTTCTCTAAGCCTGCATTTGCAGCCTGTGTCTCTTCGAGTCGCTTCTCGGTGACTGCCTTGGCTCGGCACATAGCTTCAAGCTCTTCTTCGCTGGATGCTAGTCTTGCCTCAAGCTGTGGGATCCGAGCCTGAACCTCCTGCAGCTGGGATTGTGTAGATTGTAGATCCTCGTCAAGCTTTTCGTGGGATGCATTGTGGGCCAACAACTGCTCTTCGAGCTGCTGTTTCGATCTTTGGACTTTCGCCACTTCACCCTGTAGCTCTGAAAGTTGCAAGCGTACGTCGCGACCCTCAGACTCAGCCTTGACCAACTGATCTTTCGCTGACTGGAGCTGGGTTTCGAGATCTGATTTCGAGCTGATCACGTCGTGCAACTCCTCTTCCACTTGGTCTTTAGCAGCCTCCACATCCTCGAGCTGCCCACGAAGATCCGCCAGACCTTTGCTAGAAGTCTCACCGTCCAATTGCGCGATGGATAAGGCTTCTTCAGTCTTTGATTTTGCCTCGATGTTGTCCTCGAGCGCACCCTCTAGCTCTGTGACGCGAGTCTTCAGCGAATCACTCTCATTTATCGTAGCAGAGAGCCGCGCATCAAGACGACTCTTGGCCTGAGAGCTGATGTTCAGGTCGCCCTCAAGCTGGATAATCTTAGTCTGCAAGCTGTCACGGTCGCTCTCCGTCCATGTCAGTCTCGACTGAATATGGTCGACCTGGCCTTCGAGGTCTGCTTTCGATCGGAGTGCCTGACCGAGCTCATTCTCAACCGCATCTTTGGAGCTTCGCACATGATCCAGCTCTTGTCGTAAAGTAGCCTCCAGCCTCTCTGACGACTCAAGCACTGATCGGAGATTAAGCATAGACGACTCCAGTTCGCGGAGGTGTTCAGCGCTTTTCTTCATCTCGGCTGCATGCTGTTCATCAGCTGCTTGCTTGGACGCCTGTACTTGGTCCAACTCTTGCTCGAGATGTGATACCCGCTCTTCTGATGTCTGAAGCTTCTGTTGGAGTTTTGACTTGACAGACTGCAGGTCAGCAAGCTCGGCATCTCGCATCCGTACATCTTCGCGCAGTCTGAACAGCAGTTGCCGGGCATCTTTGAGATCGGCTTCGATTGATGCCTTTTCGTCGTGAAGTGTCTCTAGCTTAGCCCGGTTGCTGGCATCAGCCGTCTCTAACGATTGAGTGCGCTCGTGGGCTTGTCGCAGTTGTTTTGCAACGTCGTCGTGAGAGTTGCGCAAATCTTCTAGCTCAGTTTGGAGGTTGGTCTTCGATTCGGCCTCTCGCTTAAGGTTCTCTGACGTGGCACGCAAGTCCCTATAAACATTGGCTTTCTCTATTCGCATAGCCTCAAGCTCTGCAGTCAAGCTTCTACTTGCATCGCTCTCAGCTCGTAAATTGGCTTGGACCTGCTCCACTTCCTCCTTCAGAGCTGTCAAGGCGTCTTCGGTATTTTTGCTTGTGGCTTGCGACTCATGGAGCTGCTCACGTAACGCAGAGATGACACTCCCACCAATCTCGATCTTTCGAAGATGCTCAGCCTCATCTTTCTCGTACCCAGTAATCTTCTGCTCTAGACGTGCGATGTGTTCCAATCCTCGGTCAAGTCGCTTCCTCAGATCTTGGCATGCGCTTTCCTTCTCTGCGAGACGGTCTCGTAGCGACGATTCGTGGCGCTCAGCGATTTCCGCCTTACTCTGCAAAGAGTGTAGGGTTTCTTCCAGTGTGGTGGTGCGGATCTCCATTTCCCTAACCAGAGCATTCTGTGTGCCAAGACGGTCATTCAGGTCAACCTTCTCTTTCTGCAGCCCTTCGATTATGTACTGCAGGTTTCCGTTCTTGTGTTCCCATTCTGCGATTTCATCGCATTTGGCCTGTAATTCCTGCTTCAATGTCTCTTCCGAGCCTACTGTGATGTTCAATTGCGCCTTGGTCGACTCCAAGATTTCTTGTACCGCAGACCTCGAACGCTCCAAAGCAGCAATTCGAGACTGGTGGCTTTGGATCTCCTGTTCCAGACCTTCTCTTGTCGCTTCCAGAAGCCTACCGTCTTCCTTGCTTGCTGCACATTCGCGTTGTAATTGCTCTATGCGGCTTCGGCAGGCAGCAAGAGCCTGGTCAGATTCGCGTTTCGCTCGTATCAAACGACTGTCGGAGGTGCGTATCTCCGAAGGACTTGACAGACGGGGAGTGAGCTCGAGATCTAGATCGTGCCATGGCGAGGGAGACGCTCGCGTTGGAGTTCTCGGAGCAAGAGTTGGACTGTCAAGAACACTTGAACGCGTCGGCGGAGATGCAGGTGGTGAGATAAAGAGACCTATAGGTTTGTGTTGAGGTTGAGGTTTCGGATTTGAGTCTGTACGATCAATCAGCAAAGCCAGGGCCTGGATGCGGTATACTTACATTGAAGCGTCAACATAGAAGCCCTCTCCAGTGCCTCGAGAATCTCCTTGTTCCGTCCTTCTTCAACATGCAACGCCCTCTTCAACTCCTCTACTCTCTTCTGCGCATCTTTGCCTTCCAGATAGCTACTTGTCCTACTCTTGGCTAAGCTACGCGCTGTAGTTGCAATCTGCTTTTCCTTGACCGATATATTCACGGCCATGCGAAAGGCCAGACGCCGCAACGACGACACGGACCGCTTTGCTTCGGCTCCAGCGACTTGGTGAGCCTTGAGTTCGGCGCGAAGTGTATTACGCTGGGATTTTATGTAGGATAAATGTGCCCAATTGGATATTACCGTAGGCGCGTCCTCCTCCTTGGGTGGAGCCTCTGTGCTGTCTCTGCCATCGTGTTCAGGTCGCGTGGACTTTGAAGAAGAGGGACCCCAGTGTTCTAGCATAAAGCTGTCTGTCATGGACGATACAGAACGCGACAAGTTGGAGAGTGGGGTAGCAGACGGCCGAGAGCGTGGAGACGATATGGACTTGTTCTCCTTGGGGAAGTCGCCAGCGCACTTTTGCATATCGAAGAAGCTTGCTGGCAGGATGTTCTCCAGGCCAGACTGTATGCGCCCGCTAGCACTTGGACGGTCTTGGTCCTTAGGCTTGGAACCAGACGCCATGATGGGCGGTGGGTTATGCGACCATGAGGTGAGCAGAACGCGACTTGCGCCAGAGGATGATCAAAACTCTGTACGCAATGTGGCTGGGGAACTGCTGCAACCGCCCGATTGCGTTGGCGCTGATGAACTGTGACAGAACGGGCTAAAGGAGATGTGTGTAGTGGGCCACTGTCACGCGAGATGCGGGCCTAGAAAAGAAAAACAGGGGTACGATAAGGATGCGAGAGGAGACTGTAGGATTCGGCTGCGGTTATGGATTCTATAGACGACATGTGAAGTTTGAGGTTGGGCTGACACGATGAGACACGCGCCTGAGGCTGAGAGGACGGGGTGGGCGACAGCTGCCGCACCAGGGTGAATTATGACGAGGGAGCAGCTCCGGCTGTCACTGGAGGGCATACCATGGTTCTTGCGATATTTTCCGGTTGCGAGCGTTGGCGCAATTGAGTAGCATGGATCTTCCCAGGCGGCTCCGATGGTGGGTCGAGAGTGGGGAGACATATGCCCCTCCGGAAAGTGTCTTCCATGGCATCGTGTTCGGTGGATGCAATGACCATGCCTCGCACTCACCAACTACGGATGCGCGCGGGCAGGAGGAACGGGTAACAAGTCGCATGTGAACGCGTGGCTTGACTCGTAGGACGTATGAACCAGCCGTTTCCCAATCGCAGCAATCTCGAGACTGAGAGCGATTGCTGTATGCACTAGGCTGCTTGCGGCGCATGAGGTAATGATGCATCCCCCGCTACGATCGTCCCAGGATGTTTGAAGCGAGCCCACGATCTGGTTCATGGCGTTGGCCTATAACCTTTCCAATATTTGTCAACACAAAACAACAACTATATTGCTTCTGGACGTCGAAATCGCGAGAACCATCGTACCGCTGGATCTTGTGCTTCAAGGAATGACGATGTTCTGCATGAATCATGCTAGGCTTTTTATTGTTTCAGCATCTATTTGGTATACCTCTTCTGCAAGTGCTTGCCAATAGTAGTCAACTGGATGTTACTTGTTCCCTCGTAAATGGCACCAATCTTGCTGTCCCTGAAGTACTTCTCCGCAAGTCCTTCCCTTACGAAGCCCATGCCACCCATCCACTCAATCGCCTGTCCAGATACACGTCCAGCGACCTGCGATGACATGAGCTTGGCCATGGCAGCATCCATGATGAAGTCCTCGCCGGCTTCCTTCTTGCGGGCGGCATTGTAGACGAGAGCACGGGCAGCTTGAATCTCAGTCCACGCCTGCGCGAGCTGATGTTGCATCGATTGGAACTCGCCGACGAGTTGACCGAATTGCTTGCGGTCGTTCCATACGTAGCTGGGGGTTGTTAGTATTCGGCCAGAGTATGTGTGTGTGTGTGTGTGTGTGTGTGAGTAATGCGTGTACTCACCCTGCAGCGTTTTCCCAGGCACCCAGCGCAAGACCAGTCATCTGCGCTGCGATGCCAATGCGCCCCTCGTTCAACAGCGCAATAGCGTACTTGTAGCCCTCGAACTCCTTGCCAAGCAGGTTGTCCTTGGGAATCTCAACGTCGTCAAAGTTGATGACGCAGGTACTGCTGGCCTTGATACCAAGCTTCTTCTCCTTCTTCGCAATGGAGAAGCCGGGTGTGCCCTTCTCAACGATAAACGCAGTAATGCCCTTGTACTTCTTGCTGGGGTCGAGGTTGGCAAAGACAATGAAGAAGTTGGCTTCAACACTGTTCGTTATCCACATCTTGCTTCCGCTGATCTTGTATCCATTGTCGGTTCGCGTGGCTTTGGTGGCGAGCGCGAAGGCATCGGATCCTGAAACGGGTTCTGAAAGACAGAAGGAGCCGACCGTGTTTGTCGCCAACTTGGGCAGCCACTCCTTCTTGATCTTCTCAGATCCGTACTTGAGAATGGCGGTGTTGACAAGTGTGTTGTGGACATCGCACATGACGCTCACACTGGGGTCGACACGCGCCAACTCCTCAATGGCAATGATAGCCGATGTGAAGTTCATGCCAGAGCCACCGTATTCCTCCGGAATTTCGATACCCATGAGGCCTTGCTCGAATAGTTGCTCCACTACTGCGGGGTCCATGGATTCGGCCTCATCCATGTCTCGCGCCTTGGGGAGAATGACATCGTTGGCAAACTTGGAGACGGACTCGCCCATGAGCATCTCCGTCTCGGAGAGGTGGGTGATGGGCGTGGGGGGTACATCTGAGATGTCAATGGCTTCTCGACGGGCGGCAGTCATGGAAAGGCATCGTAATCTAATTAGATGTTGTGTCAGCCTCCATATATTCACCTTCATGGTACACAAACATACTGCGGGGCGACGCGGGCTGCTGGTCGTAGCGAACGCGACGAAGCAGTAGCAACGCGGGTGAGGGGTCGTAGTGATCTTGAGAAGGAAGCCATTTTTACAATATTGTGTCAAAGTAGAAGGAACGAATGAGGCATATCTTTCAGATCAAGGACGGTGGAGCGCCGCTCACAAGCCGAGGCAGCTTAAAGTTAGCCGGCGCAGGCCGCACCATGCATGCCATGTGTCCGGGGTTTGCGGAGAACACCACGTCACATGCCAGCCGCCACCAACAGAGATCACAGCTCCACAAAGATTGCGCAGAGCCTCAATGTTCTTAACTACACGACATCAAGCCGTGGTATGTTGCAAACTAGGTACTAAAGTATAGCCTTGGTCGACGAAAACAGCGCAAGGGTATATAAAGCATACATGAAACAAGAAAGCAACTGATCGTAACACTGACATGACAAGGGAACAACAGCCTCCATTCAACAAGCCGCCATCCAGCTGCAAGAAAAACCCATCCTATTAAGATTGTATATCCGCAACTCCAACATCTCCTCTCATGATGAGCCTTCCAAGGTTATACACGGTTAGATCCCATGGCAAACCTACCGGCCTGCATCTGGGCCTTGTACTTGCTGAGCTCCGCAGCCTCCTTTTGCTCTTCAGCTAGGAGAGCCTGGGCCTCCCTCTTGCCCTCGCGGCGCCTCTTGATGCAGCAAAAGAGGAAGACGACTGCGCCAATTGCTACTGCTCCGAGGACGCCAGCAATGATACCAATCTTGGCGCCCTTGGAAAGGGACTCGAATCGGTTCCTAACGCCGTGAGGAGATTGGATCTCTTCGAGGACCTCGGACTTTCCCCTAGGTTTTGTTAGTCTCATGACATGATAACGGGATAGCTAAAAAAAAACGTACTCGATAACCTTAACCTTCTGCCAATCGCCAGAGGAATCCATATCGGCCCAGGAGTACTTTGCAGCGTTCGTGTAGTCCTGTGCGTAGACGGACTGGATCGTCATGGTGTAGGGACCTTTGGTGAAGTCTGTCTTGCCACCAGCCCACTCGACGACACCGGGGTCGTTCTTGTTGGGGTCACCAGCAGCCCACGAACCAAGACGAATATTCATGGGTGTTTGGGGGTATCGCGTTCCTCCTTGAGCCTCATCGTGGGTGAGAGTCCTGACCTTCTTGTCATCCACCCACCACTCAATGCGGTCCTCGGTCCAATCGATGGTGTAGTTGTGGAAGTCGTCCTGTGGATTGAAGCCCTGGTCGAAGTCTTTGCCACGGTCGTAGGTCGAAGTGTCTCCTTTGCCGAAGTAGTTGGTCAAAATCATCTTGTTGTCGCCACGGAACTCCCAGTCGATCTCGTCAAGCGCCTCCGACTGCAGGATGGCACTGGAGATGATACCCGTACCAGTAGCCACCTTCATGACAACCTCAAGGCGACCGAAGAGCATGTAGAACACCGAGTTGGCTGTGGGGGAGTCGCCCGATCGCCCAATGGTGAAGGTCGCGCCCTTCTCGACCCAGTCGATCTTGCCCTGGTTGGGCATCCTCCAGATCTTGTCATCATTGGGGATACCAGTCTTGTTCCAGTTGAAGGTGACGTTTCCGCCGAGCGCTTCCATGTCTGGACATCCTGTGGTGTTGAGGGGATAACCTGTGTCGACGCATTAGTATATCCTTTACTGGTAGTGCGCCATAGGTCACATACAGTCGGTATGGGTTTGCGCAGTAGTCGTAGAGATAAGGCCTGCGATAAGCGCAGCCGTAGAAAGGGTGAATGACTTCATCTCGGCGGATTATGTCGGTATGTAAGCACTATGAGTACTGAAAGAGTGTGATTCGCGCGTAGACCAGACGCGCTGTAGGTGTTTGTAGCAAGGAGTGACTGGGATAGTGAGTGTTGAGTAAAGAGTGGACTCTCGTAACGAGAAAAGGAAAACGAGGGGAAAGTCGTTCAAGGGAGCGTCAGGACCGCGTTTTAGAGACTCGGAGGTGAAGAGCAATTGGGGTGCAGCCTTGCAAGAAGATTTAAGGAGTCGTCTAGTGCACGAATGCTCCCTGCTCATTGCTATTGGTCGACGGACCCTAATCTACAAACGGCGCTTGTCGATCGCCGAGAATAGCGACTCTCCTGAACGCTCTGTGCCATTGATGACTTGTTTACTATTGCCTCCGATTTTATTTGGTCATTAAATGTTACTCCCGCCTCAACTGCCGTCAGTCGCCTCAAGGGCCGCAAACAATGTGCCCACGCCGCTTGTGCGACCTCCCATGATCGTGTCTCGCCTGCAGAACGCGGGTGGCTTTGCGCCAGGCCGGGAGCCAAGGAATTGTGAAACACCAGGCACTCTGCACTGCGATCCCTGAAGCGACGACCTGCTCTGTACGCCACTGGTGCCGCCGAGCATTGAGATACCGCTGCGATAGCGATACGATGTGGAGATGAAATCCTGTACGCTTAATGGATGCGCGCATCTTGACACCCGCTCCGCAACCATCGTGGCCCACCATCGTCGGATTTTGCGCCACTCTTTACGAGCCGGATTGCCGTGTTGCGACCTAAAGGGAAAAAGCCGTTTGACCGTGCCAAAAAGAGCCTTTCGCTTGTCTGTGCTTTCTCTCAGCCTACCCCGTCGAGCCACAGCATAAAAAGAACTCGTCTCGGCGTCATTACGCTCTCCTTGGTCTCCATCGCTCATACCTAGGATGTGGTCGCCGCCGTTCGGCACGAAGAACTTGCCCCATGCGAATGCCGGACCGTCCATGGCAAACTTGCCCTGCATGCGCCAGCGGCCCATGTAAACGTTGAGTGCGACGAGAACTTTAGCAACATGTGTCCAATCGAAACCAAAGTACTGGGCTGCCTTTCCATCAGACACGGTGTACTTATGCCAACTGCCCCAAAGAACAATGTACTCGGCTTGATATCCTATGTCGTCATCATCGACCGTCATTCGATGCCACTTCAACAAAGCTCGCATAACTTCGATGCACGATCCCCTGACCTCATGCGGCGAACGCGAATGGATCACGGCCAATGCTTCATATCGACAGCCAGTTTGCAGGAGCTGTATGCAGAGGAGAGCTTTCTCCATACGGCTCATAGAGCCAGGGCTCACGATAAAACCCGCATTGCCCAGCCACTCCTTGATGGCCCGCAGCTCATGAAGCTTCATGTAGTGCAGGTATGGCAACACGAAGCGAGCATCCTCAATCGCATGCATTGTCATCTCGGTGATCATGAAGCCGTTGCAGCTGCCTCGTCGCACTTTGTGGGGGTCGCGCAAGATGGGATCCATATTGGCTTCCTCTTGTTGTAGCCGCATCTTGACTTCGTCTCTCGGTTGCGGGATCTTTTCAGGATGCGTCGCAGGTAGGTGGAGGCTTTCTGAGCATTGCGATGGCGCTCCGTGAGTGAAGAGGTGCGGTAACTGCCTCAGCGCCTCAAAAGCATTGGCTCGCCCTACTCTCTGAACTTGGACCTGCGGAGGTCTATCCTCGATTGGAAGAGCGCCGGACATGAGGTACGTATCTTCGTCATGGAATATTTCAGCAGGTTGCTGTCGCATGTCAAGGGCGTCATGGAACGCTTGTTTCTCTTCCATCGTACAGCTGCGTACGTAGCCTTCGACTTTTCTATTATCTGTCGATGTATTCCTTTGATTCTGCGGTTCTGATATCCTACACAACTTGACGCCGGCATCGCCGCAGCTCTGTGGGCCTCTCAGTTTTTCTTCAAACTTCACTACGCTCCTATACGACCGCCAAGCATGTCTCATAGCATCTTTGACCAGTGTCTCAATCTCATCTCCAAGTTCGCAGTACATATCGACATCGAGTTTCTCTAGGTTTCGGTGCGCAATCTTCAATTCGCGCTTGATCTCCGTAACTCGGGTGACGTTCGATCGCTCGTGTTCGGTGAGGCTCTGGAGCCAGTGGATGTAGGCGCTGACACCGCGTACATAATCTCGTATGTCATCGGGTCTGTCTGGAATTGTGCCGATGGAGGCGTGGGCTGGGTGACGGCTTCGTTTCGTCGCTGCATGTTCGTCTGACGATGGCTCCTCTGTAGTGGGCCTGGGTGTGGCTTCTGCATCTGCAACTGTTGACCGGCGATGACTGAACGGATTGTAGAATCGGCCCATGGCAACTGCATTCAGCGGTCATGTGCACGTCGCAACACGATTTCGTCCTGGAATATAGAAGGCCAGTTCCAAGGTGTTCTTCGCTTCGTGTACCCTTAGGCCCATGCGTCGTTGCATTGGATGGCATCTGGTTGGCTCCACGATCGCGTTCCGACACTGACAACTTCTGCTCATCATACTCATCAAAAATGTATGTCAGATCGGGAACACGACAAAGCTCCTCGTCCTTGATGCGCGCTCAAACGGTGCTCTTCGTCGGCCGCTTGTACGACTTGCCATATGTGTGCCTTGTCGTAGCTGCAGAATTGATAAGGATCCACCAGGCTCGTTCTGCCGCAAGCCTCACATTGTCATCACTTCCCTCCTAGCAGCTCGACTAGTCTTTTTATCATCACGTCGCGCACGGACACCGATGGCTATCGAGTTGTTTTGTCATACATTCCGGTACATATCGGATACAATACAGCACGTTGTTGAAAAATCCAATAATGACGAACAACATCGAACTCACTACGGTGCTAAACCAAGTAAATTTCTGTTTCGACGTGGCCTAGGCCTCTACCACATCATCCTACAGCTGCCAGTCGTTGGCCTCCTTTTGTGTCGGCCAATATGTAAGTGCACCCCAATGGCACTTGATAGCTTCAAACCGCGTCAGATTCAGCGGGAGACCGATGATATCAGGAGCGGCGCGTTCTACCAAGCTTGCTATTCGCTGCCACGCCCATCCATGCCCCTCGAGTTGATCAACATCTTCCTCGAACGACTCCTGATTCTTCATACAACGGCAGGCATAATGATCCAGGTACGCGTGTACAAGCTCGTGAAGGATCGTAGCCAGACGGTCCATGGCTAAGCCATTCAGTTCACCATAGCTTGGTACTTTATCGTCATAGTTGAAAGCAGACATGTGAATGCTAGGTGTTCCGGTTGTAGGACTGCAGTATAGGCCAATTATCTCTGGGCGGTCTCTCCAATCTTCCCACTTGAAGTCTAGTTCCATCTTAGCGTCCGACCATTTAGTTGGAAAGAAGATCGTTGAAAAGATCTTGACCAGCGACATCATCTCATCTTCCGAGACTTCGTTTGCATCGTCCTTTCCCAGCCTCTTTATTAGAGCGTGGTCCGATGTGTCTTTAATTACTGCTTGCAGGGCCACGTAGGCTTTCCGTTGTACGGCGCGAAAACCATCCCAGCCCACTTCTGTGCTACGTTTGATCTCATCACAAAGTCGAAGAGCATGGTGGCCGCTCAAGCGCAAGGGTACGCGCTCTCGATATCCTGGCTTGCCGAGAGTTCCTCGGGCCGCAATGGCCTTGTCACATGAGTTGGCACATACTTTCTGCTCCGTATCGTGTTCAAGTCGTTCCTTACGATTTTTCTTGTGATGTTTTCGAACCATGTTGATGAACTCCTCCGGCGTGTCAGGAGGAGGTATGGGGTTCAGCGGATCCGCAGATTTGTAATTATGGGGAAATCTTCGACACATATTGATTTTCTTTGTCTTTGTTGTGGAGATTACCCGAATTATTGGTTTTGGTTTCTCTGGCTTTCGCAGTAGGCCTATGCGACTGCTATATATGTTGCTCAACGACGAGAGTCTTACATGTTATGAGACGTCTCAAAATTTGCTGATAACATTTGATTTCAAGTTGAGACATTGGCTACTTCTCTTATGTTGCCACATCTGGAAAAGAATGCGTGCTGGGTAAGAGAGACAACACGGCTTTCCTTTCGCAAGGTGGGACGTGGCTATGCTCTTTATAATGGTACGTGAAATTCGCGGACACAACCTTCAAGTACGCACCTACTATCTCGCTATGCTGCAAGCCACACCCCATCGTGGCTTCCCGGCATCTAATTCAACTGGCACCACTCACTCAGCCGTAGTAACTCCAACTCAGCCAACTCCAATACCAGAGCAATTCAGCAAATCTACGGCAGATGTCAAAAAGATCTTCTACCACCAGTTGTTAGAGAAGAACTTCCCCAAGCTATGCACCTGCGAGGAACGTATGCCACGCTTCTACTTCAAGTACCCTTACTCGTGCCCCATGCTGCCTCATGACAAAGGCGACATAGTCATTCTGCCGAAGGAGAGACCTCAACTTCTGGTCATTTCCATGATCAGGCCATATGAGGCGCTTCAACTCGCCAACAACGTGATCCAATACTTCAGCAGGCCAGAAAATGACATGGATCTCCAGCAACATGAGGCTCTAGGAGATATACGGAAAGTCATAAATGCAGGTCTTATGCAGAAGCTTGGTTCTCCGTATGCACAACTGGCTTACCCCACCGACGACATGAGAGCACTTTGCAAGCGTCTTATAACCGTTTTCTTCTTTGGGGCGGCAATTCCGATACAGTTTGTATGGGACTTTGACGTCTGTCAGAAGAACGACTGGCTGGGGTTTACTGAGACGGGGTTTCACAATGGCGACGAGTATGAATGCATCACCATGCATCCTACGAAAGTAACAATAGAGGTTGAAATGTCTCGCAATCGAGGAGAGTCGCTGGCGCTGCAACGCTTGTCCACGTTGATGCACGAGCTCATTCACGCTGTGCTTGGGAAACTAGCTTGTAGAGATTGCGTTATTCGGATAGACAATCTGTCCGCTCATGGCCGCGCATTCCAGAGACTGGCGATGGCTATTGAGAAGGAATCTCCGCGCTTGCTAGGACTGGACCTGGATCTTGGGAGGATGGATGGAGTCTTGAATGATATGAAAGATGTGGAAACTGGGTTCAACCACCCGAGCGTTCATGATTTAGAGGTTTATGGGTTCGTGGAGTCTTTGGGGGAAAGGTTGGGCTTGTTGGATGGGTCTTGGGCTGGCTGACACCCTACATACCATATGAGGTGTCTATAAAGCGTACACAAATTAAAAGAGAACCAGTTGATCTGCATTTGACTATGTTCCTCTTACAAAACTTCTCCAAAGCATACATGCCACTTGACTCCAACATGGCGCTTGACGCAATCATCAGCGCCGTTACAACTTTGACCTTGGCTTACGCCATCTACGAGAAGGGCGTCTCAAGGACGAGACCATTATCCCGACCTGAACATGTGCGACGAGCAATCTTCGAGCTCGAAGAATGAGTCATACAAGAGTCGGCTATTTGGATGTGCCGCAGCTGTATGCCGGACGCGTATATGCCATTTACTCCATGTCCAATGTACGAGCACCGAAAAGCGGATTTGGTAGTCCGTGCCAACCCGCAACCGCGTCTGGACCGATACAGTATACCCGCAGATTGGGAGACTACTTCTCTATCGAATCGATGAATAGCAGACACTGGATACACCATTTTATGGTGCATCGAACCAGGGAATCGGTTGCTGTCAAATGCCGATTGGGAGATGCGGAAGGCTGCGAGTGGGCGTGATCGGGACGAAGTCGCGGGTGTAGGTCGTTTCTTGTTGTCGATCACGATGGACTCGGCAGTCTGTAACTTCCATCTCTTCATACCCTGCGCTTCCTCCTCTCCAAATACGCCGTCTCAATGTCACCGCCCTCAACAATTCCCCTCAAAGTCGGCATCCTCGTCTCCACATACTCGTTCATAACCCTCAGCACCTTGGCAGGCGTCCGATACGCATTCGGCGGCCTCTTACTAACATCGCTCAACCCAACATGCGGCACTTTCTTCTCCAAATCAGCTTGTGCCATACTCCTCATGGGGCTGAACTGCTTCCAATACGGCTGCCGCTCAACAAAATCTTGATGAACGGCGCGCGAACGATCAACAGTGACCTGAAACCATTTTGTCCATTTCTTTTGTTTTGGGGAGGTGGGTGGTGGGTCGAAGGGCATTGGTGTGGGTGAGGGTGGGTGGGGCTGCTGGGTGGTGGAGGTGGTAGGTAGGGTTCGGTTTAGGAGTTGGGAGGGACGGAGAATTTCGTCGATGCCTGCTTTTTGGGGTGTTTGCTGGGTTGGCGCATATTCCTCGTCTTGCTCGCCGGTGTGAGTTTCGGGGGTGGTGTCGTCTTCGGTGGCTATGAGCTTTTCGAGGGCGAAGCGGATGGGTGAGGCGTCGAGGGCGCGCTGGGCGGAGGACTCGTCGCGGTAGATGGCGAAGGCGACGTTGTCTGCGGGGTTCTGGTATTCGTACTAAGGATGACATGAGTAGTTGCTCGGAAGAAGCAGCCATGGTGTGCGAGGGAGACGTACCCGTAGATACTGGAAGGTGCTGATCTCTCCAAAGCGCTGCAGTAGGCGGAATATCTCGCGACTTTCGGATAGGTTCGTAGGACGTGGTACTATGCGCAAGTGGATAGAGCGCGGTGCCAGCGCTCGGCGGACAGACATGGCGGTGGTTGTTTGTGTTGGAGGTGGGACAGATGCGGCACGAATTTACTTGGGATCAGCAACAACCAAGTGGGTCACCAATTTACCAATGCTAAGGTTCACGGAACATGCATCTCGTGGGAAACAGTGTGCTGGGTCGAATTGATAGTCACGGATTGATAGTCACGATAAGAGAGAGTAGTAGCAATGTGTCGCATATTGATCAAGTTTGGTATTATATAGTAAGCTGTAACGCCAGGCTCAACCCGCAGGGAGCTCGTCCACCCGATAGTAATATAATAGTAAGTCTCCAAGCCTTGTTTCCAGCAAGACCAAGTGGTATAATGCGCCCGTAGTAACACCCCAAAACGCCTTCGCTATGCATGTAACCAAATTCCAGCTGATAGTAATTAGGACGACCGCCTCTTGCATACGCCGTTGGCCTTGGACCGCTTTCGCATGCGCACGGGTCTAGTGACGCGGACGCAGCTTTCGCGTCGGTCGCCTGCTCTCCACACTGGCATGCTCACGAGCGGCTCGATGCCTTGTGCGGGAATGTCGTATTCCATGTCAACGCCCTCGTCGTCTCCGGAAGAGGCCGACGTGCATGTAGATGTTGACGATGTGGAACAGGTTCGCGATGATGGCTCGTTGACGGTGCACTGCTTTTCCTCCTCGATCATCTGAACCAGCTTGGAGATATCCCGAACGTGCGAGGAGCTGCACTGCATGCGCGAGCTTTGTTGACGCTGCATCCTGAGAACGGAAGCTGCGATGCGCGAATATGTTGGTCGCGCCTGCTCTTCTTGTTTGGTGGACGGCGCGCACTTGTCGTCGTCGTCGCTTCCTGGTGTAAGCGGGCCAGGAGGATAGCAGCGGACGTTGGTGTCGATGCGGAGGCTTTGCTGGTTGAGTTGCACGGCGAGGTCGCCCATTGTGCATGGCGGAGTGAGTGGCCGATTTGGGAAGTAATGTGGGTCTATTGCCTGTGACGTGGGCGAGACGTTCATCGCTGCCCGCTCGGCTTCGTAGACTGAGTAGTCGGGTGCCGACACTGGATTGAAGGAGAATTCGCGAAACATGGTTGCCATTGTGTTGTTGATGTCAAGGTGAGAGTCGCAACTGAGGGCTTAAACGGTCCCAAATGACGGCGGCGAAGGATGCTATAAGGCGCTGCCCATGGCATTCCGCGGCTTGGGGGCGCTGGGCCAAGGCGAGACTAAGACGCCGGGGCCAGGCTTACCGTGCTTCTGGTTAGCAGGCACTTGCCGTTGGCGCTGCACTCCTCATTCCTCAACCGCTCCACTCGAGTAGAATCAAAATCCCGGCCTAGCTCGTCGATTCATCTCCATTCCCTGACCATGCTCCTTTCTTATTGCGCGGCAGAAGTCCATGGAAAAAACTATGGTATTTGCTGCAAATTGACGGCAGAAGTCATGCGCACCCAAACTGCCGCATATTCATCGTCACTCCCGGCTGACATGGCGGCAGAACTCAGGGCCGAGTGATGGGCAGCTGGAACTGAGCACCAAGGGCTGCCTTCTGGAAGCCTGTAAGGACACCCACACAGCCCGAAAGCCCGCTGCACCTCTCATTCGACACTTGACTTGATGCGATAATCTGGAGAAAGGATCGGCAAACATCGACTGGCTGCGGAGTTTTCTCGTGGGCGTCCACAATTGCGCAGTCTGCTACGTCTAGTCCTCGATCCAGAAGAAGACGCAGAACCTACTAAGCGGCCGGTTCTTGATAGTGGATCCCAACCATGTCCCGGAAACCCCCAGTGTCGAACTACGTGTCGAGCTATCGTTATTCCCACGCCTTGCCTCGCTAGAGCTGCTGACTATCGCCGCTAGGCGCATTTCAACACGCTGATCGGCACGCCTAGGTGACTTCAGCTGTAGGGACCACCTGGTAATAACACATGGCGTACACATGACCCTTAAAATTCCACGCACACGTCTTTGGAAGTCTGAACAATGGGGCATCCACACGTTTGGTGAAACCACGCGCCGGGAAATGTCACGCCTGATCATCCCTCTAGCAACTCGCTACTGCTTTTTGCCTTGTTCTCTCCTATCGCAAGGCTCCTTTTTCTTATTTCCTATATCCAATATTCCGAACCGTGGGGACCATGACGCTAAAAGAGCCTTGGGTAGCATCCGCCTCAACGTTACATGCGAATATTCCCTAATTTCGGTCCTTTGTCCTGGGGGGCATTCGCCACCGTGTGGATCCACCCCAGATGCGGACTGCGACCCCTGATGGTTCGATTGGGGATCGGGGTGCTCTCCCGTCAGACGTGGCTGACTTTTGCATGAAGCCACAGTTTGAGGTACCCGAAGGCTTGGGGGGCGATGCTTGTGATTCGACACCGTTCTGCTAACAACCCGACAGCGGAAGACATTTTAGGCCTTCACCGGAATAAGCGTTCCTGTTTGAAGTGCGACCCCCAATTTCGCATCCTCCTGAATCTTGGATCCACTCCAGCTTCCCCGTTAGTAACAGTCCCTGCGTCGCTCAATGCAGCGAATCATGAACATGTGATTCTAGTCTTTAGATAACACACCTCATAGTCTTGTTGTAGCGCACCGCATACGACAGCAAATCGCTCTGCCCGAGCTGATGAGCTTTTAGTCTACCAACTTTACTCACGAAACTTGGAGTCGACTTTTCATAGTGAAGGTAGCATATTACAGTGTTAGCCCCGAAGACATTCCAACATTGCTAAACAGCTATCTGGATGATCTTCAACGGAACGTACCATGTATTATCTCGCCGACTTCACTTTCAAACGAACCGAGTTTCCTCACGCGTCGTTGCAATCAGAAATACAGTCATCCGCCTAGAGGATCGACGTGTGATTCGATCCTCCGCCAACTACTATATTCTCAAGCCCTACTGCCCTGAACCCGGCGTCGCCGATGCCTGCCGCGTATGGAGCTGAACAAAATGGTCGCAACTAACCTATAGCTAGGAATCCTGGGCTGTTTGAGGTCAGACGCAATCGGCCAAGTATGCTTGCGGTATCAGACCGCCGGAATGAAAGCCTTAGAGATGGCCCTGGATGCGTAGCCATGAATGTCTTTGGGAGTTCTGCTGTATCAGCTTCGGACTCCCCTAGCGGGCACCCAGTCAGATGAAGCTGGAAGCACGACAGCCAACTGAACCTTCCAATCGCAAAGAAGTACTGCACCGTCTAATTTAATTGCGCTCACGTCATATCTCAAACGTTGCCGTCTATATAAATATTACCACTCACTATTTCTTTCACATACGACCATAGGACACTGAAAATTAGGCTTCCCGTCCGCTCAGCCATATACAAGCAGTGTACCGGCGGATTAGTAGTTAGGTGGGTGACCACTAGCGAATCCCCGCTGTTGTATGTTTTTGAAGTTTCGGATGTTTTTTTTGCAAGACAAGTGGGGCATATTGTGTACGTCCGACGTCGGGCATCCCGATTGAATCATACCGTCCGGTATGCCCATAGGAATACGATGCAAATAGAGAATAGCAGTCACTTTGATCTCACATATTCTGTACACTGTGAGATTTTATAATCTGCTTTCGTTGACATGCACCAATATGGTTTTCCATGTATCACGGCGCCATGATAGAGAAGCATCGTTCAATACGAATACTTCTCGACAGCAGCATAGTTATAGATGCAAAGCGGTCAGCAGATTCTTCCCTTGAACTGAGAGCAGACAGTATGGCCAGACGGCTCTTCTGATCCCATCCTTTACCCGCCGTCATGATCATACGCAATGCTACCGTACTGCCATGACTGTACACAGAGAGGTCGCTTGATGCACACAATGGTAGCGCTGAAGCGTACCGATAGGCGACTTCGGGAGTCTTCGATTTGGACATCATCCGGATGATTTGCTGAGATTTGCTATACACTCAACTGGCAGTAATCGTCTGCCAGGGTCGCTAGTGACACGTACGGTTTTTGTCTGCTAAACATGACAGAGAGTGGTGACGGTGGAGTCGCTGTTGAAGCAAGGCTGCCATTTCAGTGTAGAAGGTTATCATTACTAAGCCATACAGGCGGTCTAAATGGGGTCGTGATCTAATGCTGCATAATCATACAAAATCTATACACTTCTTTCTTTCTCCGTTGTCCTCATCCGACAGTCCTTATCGTCATCTTCTCTTGTCCTCCTCCTCTTACCCCTCCATCAGCTTCACTCCCACTCCCACTCCCACTCCCCACACCGTTCATCCCAAAAACTTCCAAATCATGTACACTGGGCAACCGTCCACTCCCCTCACAATCCCTCAACAGACTAGGAAACCTCCCCATATCCACCGTGCCTCCCAAAACAACGGCAGCGACCTGCTCTATCTTCTTCGCCAGCATCTGCCACGCGCGCCCGTGGCCCAACGGGCCAATACAGGAATCGTGCATCGGACAAGAACGGCATGTATATGCTTTGAGAAACGCGTGACACATTTCGTGGAGGAGGGTACCGAGGCGGTTGTACAGGCTGGTTGATATCTGCTGTTGCTGCCGCTGCTGTATAGTAGGATCAAGACTATCGTGATGGCTAAGATGGTTGAACTGACCGCAACCTCGATATAGCACCGGGTGCAGAAGAATCTGCGTCCCAACCAACGGGTTAAAAAAGCTCTTCCCGAAGCACTCCGTCTGTCTGGTGTCTAAATAGCTGAAACCTGCGCTCAGCACCTTGTTGTGCGGTGGCACTTGGTCTGAAAAGAAGACACGGTTTAGATGCGCAAAAAGGTCATTTAGTTGACTTGTTGATAGCGAACTACGGAGATCGGGAGACGTCAGGTGCGAGCGCCAGGTGGATATCAAACTACGCAGGTGGTGTACAGATGGTGTCGGGCGTGCGGACGGATGTAGGTACGTTGCGTCTAGCCAGGCGATGTGGTGTCGGACTAATGTCATTGCTTCGTAGGTGCCGTGGAAACGTAAAGTCAACTGGGGTCCGAGGCCGATTGTTCTTTTGTCATTTTGGTAGGAGAAGGAGCGGGTGTGCTTGGAATGGTGATGGGTATGTGGAGGTCGGTTTCGTCGGTCTTCTATCATGCCGTGTGAAGCTAGGGTACTGATTTTGTATAGTTTGGGGGCGCATTCGTCACAGGTGCAGGGGAGGTCCTCCGCTTCAACTCGTTTCCTCAATTTGGTGAGGTCTCTCGGAACGGTGAACGTGGCGGGGTCGTGGGGTGTCGTTGGGCTTCGTCCGAGGATGCGGTCTTCGATAAAGGATAGCTTTGGGTCCAGAGTGAATAGCGGTTCGAGGAATGGTAGTAGGTTCTGCCATCTTGATGGTCCATGACATGTCTTCCCTTCTTCTAATTGATCACCAAGTCGTCTTGCATCGTTCTTCTTCTGTTGCTTTCCACTGCCAAGAATCAACTTTGCGATACGCCGGATAGGATGGATCCGCCTTCTCCTCTTCTTCGTGGCAGTGTTATTACTGGCATCGTGTGTTTCAAGAACAGGAGGATTCCCCATGGGGTCGAAGTATTAAAACTTGGGCTATAAAATTGGCATGTTTGGGAAAAGAGAAAAAGATTTGGAATGGAGACTTTCGGGCCATTGAAAGGGACGATAACCGTTTTGGGGGACATGTTTAACCGAACAGTGAGGCGGTAAGAGTGTTTAAGATTGAAGGATTCGGATTTACACAGGGGTTGCTATCTCGTGATGCAAGGTGTGCCGCGCACAGACTGTCAGAGTGGTCTGGGATCGAGACGAGGGTTTGGCATGGCAGATGATGCCGATACAAAGCAGGCAGGTTTGGAGACAGTCTGAATCCGGGACATGATGATCATGTTTTCCTGCGTGCAGACGCACCTAAGACTATGTTTAGTCTTGCCGATTATCGCGAAAACGCGCGTCGTATGTAAAACGGAAATCTCGGGAATCCTGCCTGGTTGTGACGGTGTTGCACAAGGACCACGGTCCGAATGCTGGAGTGTGGCTGTTCATTTCTTGCCGCCACGTGGCGCAGTTTGGGGGGTGCACCGCGACGTTTTCAGGGTCTATCAAGGTTCCACATCCGCTTATCCGACCCCTGTGTGTGAAACGTCGCGCACGCGCACCCGGGCTGCGGCATCCCTTCGAGTCAGTGGTGTAGCGCGAATGGCGATCCGGTTTCTTCTGGCTGTTCGTCTTGCGTCGAGGTCCTCTCTGCCGTGGGTGTCGTCGTCGTCGTCGTCGTCGTCGTCACAATGCTGCTTTCCCAGTTTCTGGCTCTGGAGAATATCTTGATGGATGGGCTTTTCATGACGATGCGTTCAATGATAGCGTCTTCGGCCCGAGGTATGCTTCTGCACGGATAGGCCTAGTAATCCTCACACCAAATTTAGGTGCACCCTCGTTGTACTTCAGCTTCCAATATCTCCTGAACATACCACGCCATACAGTTCGGGCCCTCCCGAACACTGCGCGTACGAAGAGTGCACTACCGAGGTTGAACATATTCCAGTCTACATGTCTCTTGGATTGTCTTCCAAATCGATGTCCATACCCAATAACTTTGAGCTGACCTGCTCCATCTCCTGAGCCAACTTCTGCCAAGCATGGCCATGATCGATTTGGATTCCACATTTTCGGCAAGCGTTCGGGAGAAAGAAGGCATGGCAAAGCTCGTGGATCAGCGTCTGAAGACGACATCGCTTTCGTCCATTGGGATCGTTGAGGAGAGTGTCTTCGATTGGCCAGGAAATAAGGGTGGGATGTAGTTTGATCTCGCAGCCGTGTTTCATGGGGGTACATTCTCCAAGATTATCTGGCTCATCTTCCTCTAGCCATGAGAAAGTAATTGATCGTTTAGTCTGACGAAGAAGGATACTGGAACTGAAGAAGACTGTAGATAGCTGATTCAACAAGGTCGTCATGTCAGACACAGACATGGTTTTTCGCAGATCTAACGCGTTCAGACGTTCCGCCCAGATGCTAACCAATTCATTAAGATGACGTACACAGGCTACCACCTCTTCATTTGGTCTCATTATGTATGTGGCTTTTGTAATGTCCACGATACTTGCAGCGTATCCCTTCTCTTCAGGTATGTATAGTCAAGCCAACGAACGTGATGCTGTGCTAGTCTGGTGACTTTGGCGTTGCGCCGTCTTTTGGAGGTGAACATATGGCTAATTAGATGGTGAAAATGTTTGCAGGCAACCGCTTTTCCCTCGTTAGGCTTCCTTTGGTTGAGGTTAAGCTCTTCTTCGTCGCGCTCATGGTGTATGCAGTGTCGCATCGAGAACGAATGTTGCTGGGAGTGGAGGAATTTTCGCGTTCTGGTTAATCTGAGGATGTAGTGTGAAATAGCAACATTGCAATCTCTTTTATAATTGTTGCTCTTTGCATCGCTACCAAGATGCAATTTTTTGGATTGCGAATTCTAGCTATTTGCAATGCAATCTTATGGTTGGGTGGAATCACTTGTAAGAGCCACGGAACGCTTCCCCAAAGCCGAAAACTTTCTGTGCACTGTCATCAAGAGATAATCAAGAAGTCAATCCAGATATTCCCATATCAACCGGACTTACTATGATAGATCAGGCAGCTTGTTTGGAATACATACATGTTTTTGAGACCTAGGTATTTGTCATAAATACAAAAGCTAAGAAGATATCTCACACATCATCTTCCGACGCATGCAAAATACCGAGCAGCCTCAAATATATAGTGATAACTGAATGTCGAGGTCAATTGAAACACAGGGGTATAGCCTCCACGAACGCCATGCCACGTTTGAACGCCAGATTTTTGAGAGCCAACTAGGTAATGAGAAAAGGAGGTGGACGAGCGTCCGGGTCGGCTCATGTAACTGATCCTCAGTTACTAAGGTCGATTATCTCCACGTTAGCTGGTACGGAACGTCTAGCAACAGGTTCAGGAGTATCGTCAGATACACCTTCGCGCACTTCGGCCTTGGGTTGCCAAAATCCATCCTGCTGAACGAGAATTTGTCGCGTGCTCGCCAGTCCCCGTGACTCGAGCTGCTTCTTAACGTCCTCAATGAAGCCATCCACTATAAGCATCTGTGGACGAGCATCGGATTTGCAAACAGGACATTTCCATTGATCAGCCACCGAGGCGTCGCCCTTGCGTGAACGGGAATTGAGAAAGGTGTCTAGATCGAAGCAGTCATTGTGTGGGCAGGCCTTGCTACGCACTGGGATATCGCACATCTTTGCTTGGCTGAAGGGATCGAACAATTCAACGGTGAGTGTGCTTTGAACGACAGTGATTTCTTCATCGCCTACAGCAGCGAGCTTGTTTTTGATACCTTGTAGGACTTCATCCGCCGAGATGCGACCCTGATCCAGACAGTGTTGCTTGATTGATTCATGAGATGAGACATCCATTGCCTCGATGGCAATCAAGTAGTTGAGATGTGACGTGTCGCTGGATGGAGTCATTACCACGAACTCCAAGACATTCTCACCTTCTCTTAATAGGCCAGTGAGGTCGATAGGCAGATCTTTTCCATAATGAACCTTTTTCCGCGGTTCAAGAGGAGTGCCGTTGAAGGTATAATAAGAATGAGGTATCCAATGGGTATCAGCCACTGCCCAAAGATTTTCCGTTGGAGTTTTTGTTGGCTTGGATTCCGGCCATTCGACACAACGCAGACGAGCGAACTTGCTGGTTTCATTGATGATCACAGCCCCGGACCCACCGATTGTATCCCGCACAGTCCTTGCGATCCTCTGCATATCGGAAGGTGTGAGAGTGAATTTCCATTCCTCGATGGCACAAGTAGGTGTAGACAGCCGCGCCGGAGGCTTTAGGAATCCTTGGTGAAAGATGTATAGCGGCGAGGATTTGGATTGTGCTTGGAGAACTGGACTTCGCAGGTGGGCCTGGTGCAAAGCAAAGCGTGCAGGATTAGGTACCCGCTGCTGTGGCTGTTGGCAGCCGAGAACAGGAAGTAGAGGCCGCCCTGGCTGGTTGGATGGTAGGACCGGGGCCGCCGATACACCGGTCGGCTGGGCAGGCCTTGTGGGAGGACGACCACGCCCAGGAGTCTGCTGGATAGTAGCTTGTGCTGAGTGTTGATCAACCGATCTATTCGGACGTGGTGGCATTGTATTAGTGGTTGTGATAGAGGAGATACTTTGTACGTGTTGTGGGCGATATCGATGAACTGCAGGTACTTGTTGCTGTTGTTGCCGAGGTTGGGGAACACCGTTGTAAATGTCAGCTAATGAGAGGCCTTGCTCTTGAAGTGTAGCTTCAAATCTTTCAACTAGCATTCTCAGCTTAGTGCCCAAGAGCTGGTCTTCATGGCTTTTCTCTTGTTGGCGGTACTCAAGCGACTCGGAAACTGGGTGAAGATGTCGCTGGTGATAGTCGTCTTGACTCTGCAGAAGAATGTCAATCGCCTGAGTCTCGAAGTCTGTGAATCGAGGGTCAAGAAGTACCGCACGCCAAAGAGACCGCAAAAGAGCCGTGAATAAGAGACGCTGAAATGTGGGAGAAGCAATGCGGAATTCGACAGCGAGGTCCCATGCCAGGGGGAGGCATCGACGTCTCTGACATGTCGTCTTCAGCTGATCATAGTTTTGGGATTGGACAACGAATTGTCTGAACAAATATGACTGGTGCTCAAATTTGGCCGGCCACATAGCTGCAATCTGTTGCATCGGGTACGGGAAATTTGTGAACAGGTGAAGGTAACTAGGTGAGAGTCTATGGTTTAAGTCAAGAACATCAGTCAATATCTTTTGTGCTTGTCGCAAACCCGGTAGGGTCTTCAAATCCACCGTCAACATTCTTGGAGCATGGGTGAGCAGGCAGTAAAGCTGATGCATAGTAAGATAGGGCCAATCCCGGGCCTCAGCGGCGTCCCATAGCACACGGAGACGTCTTCCGTCCTGCGGGTGACCTGGCGACAGGGGATGTGATGCCTGGAAACTATTCAGAATCTGCAGACAATCCGTCTTTGTATACCAACCATCACTCGACGATTGATGCGCCGAGGGCACGCTGAATGTGTTTTTTGATTGCTTGCCAAGTTGTGAGTGATACAGTTTCGGTGCTTGCGAAATCGTTTGTGGTGGCATCCAGAGTGCGTATGGTTCGGGCGGTGTTCTGCTGACCCTCGGATTTTGAACCTGTATGCCTTGGGGCATTTGCGGCGCCGCCCTCATGCTGAGTGACGGACTTCGACTATTGATCTGATCCAACATAGGACTGTCAGTTTGTGAGTGCTGCCCAGAAGGTCGACGAGGTAAGTTTGGGTAGGCACTTGTTGTGTTTGCCACGGACACTGGCCGGTCTTGCCCCTCCATCTCGCTGCGCCTCCGCTTCTCTGCTTGTTGTGTCTGTCCTCCACTTGGTCGTTTTGAAGGGGCGCTCTCGTGTGGTGGCGGATAGGCCGATGTCTCCTTGCTTGGAGTAGGGGACGGAAATACGTGGGCAACCGACGGCCCATAATTAGCAGTGTTCTGAGGGGCGGCGGCACTGGGAAGCTGTGGAAATGTGGAGTTGGAGAACGGCTGTGGTTCTGTCTCAATGGTCGGATGCGTCTGCGATGGTATTCGCGGTGCCGTATTCAGGCTCCCGGATCTGGTACTGGGCACGGGCGCGAGTTGTTTGCGAGGCCTTCCGCGACCGCGCACCGTGAAGGGCAGCGGGTTCGTTGTGAGTTCGGCAGGCACGACAGGCGGCAGGGCATGCGCGGCCGTAGGCAGTGTCATCCAGCTCTTTTGCCTTCCCCCAAGATTGCCCAGTGCATAGTTGAGCGTTTGTGCTGTATCATCCTCTGGCAGAGGGCGCCTCTCAAGAACCATAGCACGACTCCAGTGGTAGACGATATGTTATGTTTGGTGTTTTTCTTTGTATGCACGCGCTGGAAGCCTCCAACTGCTTGACATGGGCGAATTCGGATGTGGGGAGTTCATGTCGCGCGCAGGGACAGACCCTTTGGTGTCCAGGTTGCTGCCAGACGCGGAAAACGGAAGGCGCGTGGTGGATGAGGTGAATGTCCAATTCGTCGGACCCTTACGGCACTGGGAGGGCATGGCGCACGGACAGCGATGTTTCGCGAGCATGCCGGGTCGCATTGGGTCAAGGATATGGGCGCTTCTGGACGGCAATTAATGTTGGGCCAAGTCAGAACCGCTCCAGGGCTGCCCGCTGATGGCTCGTCCGTAAAATCCACTTTGCCAGCATAGGCGGCTAATAGTCGTCGGGATTTGTTTTGTAGCGCTGGTACGTCCACGGTTTTGCGTACCGACGTAATTCCTATCGCATCAAGGCTAGGCCGCCTATTGATCCAAGGATGCATATCACTAGTCTCCTGCCCTTCTGTCCCACCACCCAAGTATAGACACGACACCCCCGGCAGCCGCACGACGACAGGATCAAGCAATATACCTCCACCCCTCCCACAAACATCATCGCCACTTTGTTTCACTCCCGACCTGTCTGGTTGTTTCAAGTAGCGGCGGCCTCGGGAGCCAACATTTAAAGTCGCTGCTAGACGTCCAGCTGTTGCGCCCGCCTCGCCCGCCGATAGCGCGAACTGCCACGAGGATGAACCACCTATACTGACTGGAGACTGCTTGCATACACGCCCAACCCGAACCAGCCTTGTAGAGCGCCTGTAATCATGGCGCAACGCTCCCACACCGAGGGTTGCCGGCCTGGCGACCAACTCGTCGTAGTGCGTATGTTTCCCCCACCCGTGCTGCTATTGTGTCGCACATCCTATCGACCTGCTGTTGACGTGCGCTCGCAGATGAGTTTCTAGCCAGGAGTCCCGACGAGCTGAGTCTAAGGAGAGGCGACCGCATCGAGCTTATCGAGCGCGACGACGACTTTGGTGATGGCTGGTTTCTAGGCAAGAACACAGAGACAGGAGAGAATGGCCTGTTTCCTGAAGGTATGCTCCCCTATCGTAGGCAGCATAGTCGTGCAAATGCCCCTTATCTGGCTGTTATGCTTCTTTTTTCTACGAGTAGCACAGCTGATGCACCAACAGTATACACACGGCCAGCACCAAAACCAACGCCAATCCCGACTATGCTCTCGCGCAATCCCTCACAAATGTCTGTGCGATCAGAGAAACTATCAGGTCCTCCCGGCATGGCCATCTCTGAGCTGCCGACCGCACAGCCACCGGCTACCACGAGCGCCCCTCCACCTTTAAAATCAGCTCCCACGGAGCCCCTGAACATCGCGTCGGGGCCAGAAGTTGCACGAAGAACGTCAATACAGAATGGCCCGAGGAGTATCAGCATGACGCTGAATGGAGAAGCGCCGGCCGAAGACGAGACAATAGGAAGCCCCGTCATGCACGAAACGCTGAGCGTCATTGACGAGCACATCACGGGCATGAGCACGCCAAGGCACAGCGCGGTAGGGAAGGAGCTACGGTCCAATGACTCAGGAAGCGAATACAGCAGCCACCACCGACTGTCATACATCAACGGACAGGAAACGGACGAGGAGGAGCAGAACTGGCACACCGAGGAGGAGGTCAAGACGTGGTCGCCTGCGCGCGTTGCCGAATACCTCGAAGATGTGGGTGTAGAGAAGAAGCACTGCGACGTGTTCCGAGATCAAGACATTGATGGCGAGGCGCTGCTGGGCGTAGATCGCAACTTCATCTTCATGCAAGAATTCGACCTGGGCCCTATGGGACCACGACTGCGCACGTGGATGAAGATTAACGCGTTGCAGTCAGAGGTCAAGAACGCGAAGGAGGCGGAAGCTGCGAGGGCTACAATGCTCCTGCCGCCTGTGGAGAGCCCCGACGAGTTTCCAGCGGACATGGGAAGGAGCAGGGCTGCGTCCACTGGGGCGGTCCTTCCTCGAATACCGACACTTAGGGAAAGCATAGGATCCCGCGGCAACACTAGTCGCCAGCATATCCCGCGTGCAGCCTCGTCTGCAGGGCGGTCGTCAACCATCGACGCGACTTCTCCACTCATCCAGCACACACCCGCCTCACCTACGCTCGGTTCGCCTGTTCGACCCTCCGCTGCTTCCGTCCGGAGCATGAATCACAGCAGGCGCCATTCTTCTATCGACTACAACCAGGGGCCTCCTACGCCTAGTACACCCAGTCTGATGAAGCCACCCACATCTGCAGCCATGCACGCACACAAGAAGACACCCTCCTTCGATCGCAACTGGACCATGGGATCAACGGCCAAGTCAGCACAGGCACAGGATCTTATGAGGCCTGTTTCGTCACATCACGCGCATGCTTCCAGTACCAACGGAACTGCATTTGACTTCCGCGAGGCTGGCTTGAACTCTGGGGATCTGGATCGTGGCTACTTCTCTGGCGGCGAGGTTGACAACCGCAAGAACAGGAACGTGCTGCGTAAGAGAGAAAGCACGGGCGGTCACTCGCGCAATGCAAGTCACACCACCGAAGCTGGTCGTGCCTCGTTCAGTCGTCGGCACAGCAGGATCGGCAGCGCAGATTCAGCTCTTCGGCCAGCAAGTCCAATGTCTGTCGCCGCGCAAAAGTACTACGGTACGAGCATCAAAAGTGACCGCAGCTCCAGTGCATTCGACTTTGTACGGCCTCTCAAGCCAGCGAGCGACATGCATCCCACAGTGACCAAGCTCGCGTACGACTCGCACAGCATTGACGCCATCGCAAATTCGCCTAATATCGCAGGTAGCGAGACCTCAAGCACAGGTCGTGCATCGCCTTCGCCCGCTGCTGCACCATCGCATACACGCTCATTCTTCAGCAGCAAGAAATCTTCACAATCCAGGGGTCTTCGAGCGATATCGGACGCAATCACTGGCGGCGAGAAGGCGAACTTGAGCTCTGCTGATGTATCAGCCTCGCAGCACAAAGACTCGCCGATGCAGTCGCCTTCACGCACAGGTTCTAGCACACCTTCTGGTACCTCGTTGTCGAAGAGTTTCGAACTTGAGAAAGCAGATGCCAACAGACGGTTCACCGCTGGCTCCACTACCTCCAAGGAAGGAAAGAAGAAGGCCAAGAAGCATGGCACCAGTGCATATCTCAAGGGTCGTCAGCAGATCACTCCACAACAAGCCATGGAGAACTGCGACTATAGCGGTTGGATGAAAAAGAAGTCTTCGAGTCTCATGACAACATGGAAAACACGATTGTTTGTGTTACGTGGACGTCGCCTTGCGTACTACTATACCGAGAATGACACAGAAGAGAAGGGTCTTATCGACATATCATCGCATCGTGTGCTACCAGCGAACAACGAGAGAATGACTGGCCTGCACGCGTCTCTCACAGGTGCGGCCTCGTCACCTACATCCCCGCACAATGCCACAATACAGACAACGGCATCTGCGGACAGTGCTAAGGGTATCCTGGGGTTGGAGGAGGACGTCTCGGGCATGTTCATCTTCAAGCTCGTACCACCTCGTGCAGGACTACAAAAGGGTGTCCAGTTCACCAAACCTATCGTGCACTACTTTGCGGTAGACAGTCTAGCTGTCGGCCGACTTTGGATGGCTGCACTGATGAAGGCTACAATTGACCGCGACGAAGCGCTTCCCTTTACAACCACGTACCAGCAAAAGACCATCTCACTCGAGAAAGCACGCGCCATGCGTCAACGTCCGCCAAATCTCATGGACGAAGACGGAATGGAAGACGCCGAACGGAAGAGCGAGATCTCTAAAGAGAGCATCCAAGAAAGCACTATCCACGAAGAAGACGAGAAAGGCCTCGCAATCTCAGGACTCGATGACGCCAAAGCTCTGCTCGCGTATGCCGACAGCCCGGGCCCTCACGCGGAACACAAGCCCGACAGTACCGCCACAGCAATTGCGATGTGATCGTCCTCAACGTGGTGTCTGTCCACTCTTCTCTTCTGATACCAATCCATTATCTTCTAAGTTCAGTACATGCATTAATATTCACCCAATAGTCAGCTGCTACCAAGGACATGGAAGCAATCACTAGCGGGTTTCTGGAGGCCTTCTTCTCATAGCGAAACCCACAATATCTCTTTCTTTCTCATCATATACCGTCATGAAGGTTGACCAGTCGTCCTTTATATACAACATACCCCTCTCTTTTCTTATACCGAGATATTCCCGCTTCATATCTGCATATTAGCATATTGATGACGAACCTATCTATCCCTTATGATCTTGGGAGCCCTGACTGGAAAAAGCGAGATTTATAGCTTGATCTTCTTTCTTTGCGTAATGTGGATGCACAGCGACGGATGGACGGATGGATCGATGTAGTTAGTTGCTATGGGGAGATGAAATGTGTAATAGTACGATTGATAGATCAATCCTCCTCTTTCAAGTGACTGTGTGAGATATTGAGTTGAAGGGCAAAAACTCTTAGTAACGTCCCCCGCCCGTAAGCGAGAAATGCCCCTTAGCAAGATAGACCAACCCTCTAGACAACTTAACCTTTCTCAGCTACATCTATAGAGTTGTACTTAATGTTATCCTATCCTTTAGCTACAGCTCTATTACCTTCTGCACTACAGTAGGAAAAATACAGTTGTTGTGACTATGCTAGCTATAAAGTTGCGCGCAGCACTAAAACCTCCTTTGTCTTCTTACTCTATTTAGTTACTACTGTTAGCACTCCTTCTGCTTCTAAAGTGCTAGAACTACAGGCCTAGACTAGACGCACATCGTCTTAGGTTACAGGGGCGAACCGACGTTGAAAATGTGTACTCTGAAGCTATCTCCGTGCTGGAGACACCTGGCCTTGGCGCTGTGCGTTTTAGCAGCCAGCCCTGGTCTAATTACGTAGCGAGAAGAAGACCAGCAAGGCTAAGCGTATCGTATTTAACGCTAGGTCTAACAGGCTCCAAGTGTAGCGCTCTGTTAGAAGCTTCGACGGCAATACCACGTGACTGCTATCTTTGTAAAACGCTATCCTTTTGTAGACTAGTGTTTCCTAATGGGCTGCACGGACATCGAGTGCAACTACGCCTTGTTACTTCACTGCCAAGTAGCAGCTGATTAATAATCAACTAGAAGCTTGTACGTGCCAAGCACAACACTATATAGAACAAGATCCTGTAGGCTGAATTGTCACGCAAAAGCTTCACAAGACTACAGCCAGTCTTCCAAACCTCTGATGTTCTCTGCAGCAACACGCTACTCAAAAACTTGCCGGTACTCTTATGTCCCTAGATAGGATGACAAACGGAATCGAAACAACGATCCGCTAGCATTCAGCCACGAACAAATAGAAATATATGCAAGGTCAACACTACAGGTCAATACTACAGGACCATACCCTGCCAGATCCAACGCCCATAGCGACCGTAGTCCCGCGCACAGACGAGCACCATGGCCGATACTCTGATGGGATCCAAAGCATCTTCTCGCTTGCGTGCATGATCCACGTGTTATCTAAGCTAAGGCTTGCCCCTGGATATAGAGGAGGTACAGGTTCAGCAGCCGTTGTTCGGGCTAATATAGAGGGCATATCGATGGCAATTGTTCCATTATTAGTGTAGAGATAAGAGTCCGCAGAGCCAAAGGAGAAAACCTGGGAAACTTTGCCAACGTCAAAGGTCTGCAGACACTCGCCGCTGCTTGCGTCCCACAGCCTGACGGTCTTGTCCTCTGACGCTGACGCTAGCTTTGTCGAGTCGTGTGAGAAGGTTACAGAGCAAACTATATCGCTATGGCCGGTGAAGGTCTGCAGACACTCGCCGCTGCTTGCATCCCACAGCCTGACGATCTTGTCCCATGACGCTGACGCTAGCTTTGTTGAGTCGTGTGAGAAGGCTACAGAGCTGACTATATCGCTATGGCCTGTGAAGGTCTGCAGACACTCGCCGCTGCTTGCATCCCATAGCCTGACAGTCTCGTCCTCTGACGCTGACGCTAGCTTTGTCGAGTCGTGTGAGAAGGCTACAGAGTTGACAAGACTGCTATGGCCCTCGAGTGTCTGCAGGCATGCACCCCACCTGTTGCTCATCTCTGGCTTGACAGTAATTCCTTCTGGCTCTTCGTGCTGGAACAATTTTCTAATCGCGCTTTCAGTCGGACTGAACAGCAGTGCAGATGCGTATGCCTGGAGAGGGTAGCTTTCAATTAACCCTTTGTGGTACATGATGAAGCGGCGGGCATCTTGGAGAAGCTTAGTAAGCTCATCACCACGCTGCATATCCTGACTGTGTCAGCATCTACACCAAGTACAACAGACAGACGAAGCGCCTGCGCAAGCCGTACCTGGTTGAGAGAGCAGAGCCTTGTCATTGAAACCACACCTTTTGCTATGCCCTTGCACAGACTGAGCCCTTCTAGCCAGTACAGGTACTTATTTCTTAAGAACTCACCAACGATACCTGTGACTTGCACGTAGTTGACGTCGTTTATCCGAGACTTGGGTTTCGAGTCACATAGATGATCAATCCAGTAGATGCACGGGTAGCGCGACGCTGCTAGTGGGTCTGGGGTATACGGTTTCATATCGTTGACAGAGACCGCTGGCGCTTCCAGGCTGTACATGTCCCTGTGCAACGTCCTTGACAGGATGGCGAGCGACCTTGAAAAGACGACATGGTGAGCGGCTTCGATCCCGTGCGGAAAGATCTTGTCTGATGCTTTTGCGAGGAGAAAGCCTTGTGCGGACTGATGCACAAAGTAGACCGTGCCTTCTCGCAGGGTGAGAAACGACCCGCAGAGGCCGATGACCTCCTCTACCTCCGCTTCGTCAGCGATATCGTCGAGCAACTCAATAAGGACCATCAGCTCCGCTAGCGTGATTGGCCGATACACTAGCGAGATGGAAGCCAGCACCTGCTTGCAAAGCTCGGCATCATCTGACACGCCAATCTGCTGCATCATCCGCTCGTACAGCGCGTCCAAGCCAGGCGGGAAAGAGTCCAGCTTCTTCAGAACGTTCCGCTTCGCTGTCTTCTCGAGGTCCTGACACACCAACGCTACCCACAGGAAGGTATCATTCGCGTTCGATGTCAAACGTTCGAGCACCGCATCCCGAGTTTGCTTGTCGTACTTCTTCTGCTGTGCTAGCTGAGATACCTTGTGCTGGATGAAGACGCTAACAGCCGCCGATACGGACTCTGCATCCAGCTCGAGACTCAGCCTTACCTTGTGCCCTGCCTGCTCGAGCTCTTCTTCAATGTCTGGCCAATTCCGGCTAGACACTATCCATTTGACGCGAGAACACGCAGACGACTGTTCTGCGACAAAGCGAAGTAGCTTCGGCAGATCAGTGACGCACTCGTCCAGGGCGTCAATGAGTATGTACGTAGTGCCCAAGCTTGGATCCTGCAGCACGTCTACAAAGACCTCTGTCAAGGCTACCCATGCGTTCGCATCCTCGAACATGCTCTTGCCTGCCTGGTCATGCCTCGTCCGAATGTGCACAGTAAGCGCCGGCTGCTGACTGACAAGCAAGTACAACAGCCCACGCAGCACGGCCGTGGCGCTGTTGATGCGCGAGTCAGTGGCCTGGCAGAAGAAGTAGATTACAGACGCAGCACTGGCGAGCGTCTTCTGCAGCTCGTCGATGATGCCGCAGAGCAGCATCGTCTTGCCCTTGCCGGGATCGCCCTTGATCCACAGCAGCTGGTTCTGTGGATCGTTGTGCCATTGCTGGAAGCTGCTGTTGTCAAGCACCCAGCGGTATGAGCCCTCCAACAAGCCGCCCTTTGTGTCCTCGATGCGCTTCTTGTCGTTGCGAGGGTCGGAGGGACGCAAGTTACGGAGGCACTCCTCTCGCTTCCGAATCTCGTCATGAAGCCGTCTAAACGCTTCCTTTGTGCCTTCACCATAGATCGGCGCAATGTCGACGTCAAAAAGGCCGGACAAACAGTAGGCTGCGTCCTCCTCAAGCTTAGTCTGCCGATTTTGTCTCCAGCGAAACCGTTCATCGAAGCTAGACTGGTGTAGAGGAGCCCCCTCAAGCACTTCGTATGGAATGGTTGTGACTTCTTGGATTTGAGTCTTTAGCGATGTCCTATCACCAAGCTTGTGCCAATCGCGCGAGAAGAAGTCAACCACGCTTGGTGCGAGAAGCTCTTGCAGCGTCCAGCCACGCGTGAACCATCGACTTGAGCTGAAAGCAGACTCCCATGTGAACTCAGTCAGCGTATCACTGAACTTCCTCTTCCTTGTGAATACATCCGCTAGATACACGTAGCATTTTGTTGCCTTTTGGTACCAGCGAAACATAGAACGGATGGCTAGCGCGTGCTCAGCCTTGTTCGCCTTGTTGATGCAGCAGGTGTCGACCCAGAAATACTGCAGACCGTCGCGCTTTGCCTGCTCTCCACATGATTGGATCTTGTTGTAGCCAGCTTTGTCCTTGGCTGCGCTCTTTGCCAGGTCGTCGAAGGTTACCTCTTCGTCGTCGGCTCCCCAAGTGTGAGACAGGATCGCGTAAGGGGGTATTGCGTTGGCGTTGACCAAGTCATCAGTGACACTGAGCTCTCCGTCTTCTCCGTGGTAAAGAAGCCGCATAGTTTCGCGTGGACATGTGGTAGATGCATGCGACAGCAGCGGGACTCGAGACACCTGGCGCGGCGGCCTGGTAGTGAGAGCGTGCGGCGGCCCGTTGTTCTATTGCATTCGAATGTCAGCGAGCGCAGGGTGATGCGCAAAAAGCTGCATAATCTTTGGCATACCTGCTAGGCAATAGCAAACCGCGACGTTGATGCAAGCTGAGTCTAGTGGTTCTGGCCATGTCGTTGGCTTGCGAGGCTGAAATTGGCAGAGACCTGAGGCGGGGCAGACGCGGTTGAGAGCACGCGCGCCAGGGAGCCAGGAGTTGGGCGCCAGGCTGACAGCGGCTAGACTAGCGGCTGCCCACACCTCAACGCCGAGCTTGATTTGATGGAGCAGAAGAGGGCCGACCCGGTGCGATGAGTGGAGCAATGGAGACATGGTCATAGATCAATCAACTATAACTGCATTGTACCTTGCAGCGACGCCTGGCTAGCCATGTCGTCAACGTCTGCGCAACTCGTTCTGTAATACAAAACGACCCCTGCCAAAGGATCTCGAGGCATCATGGCCAGTTCGCTGCAACCATCTGCGCTACTGGCGCCTTCCACGTTCCTGGCCCATGGCTGCTCTGCGTCGTTCCAGCCATCGCTTCTGGCGCAACTCCGTCTGGCGCAGCACTCTTGCGTTTGCGCCTGTGCTTCGCTTTGTTTGCTGCAGCTTCTGCTGTCGCAGCACGCTTCGCTCGCACCTCCTTGAGCTGTTCGTAGGTCATCACCATCGCCTTGCCCAGCACCAACGACTTGGTCGATTGCCGCGCTTTAACTTCGCCGTTGATCTTCGACAAGAGCCGGTTGTGGTCCTGCAGAAGAGATCGCTCGGCAATGGCTACTCTCGTAGCTTTCGCCATCATCTGCACGTGGCTAAGTAATCCCCGCTTTTCTGGCTCGTTAAGCGTCTCAGCATCCTGCTTAATTCTGTTGAACAGTAATTGCACATGTTCTGTCGTTACTAGAGTAACAGGCGTTGCAGGTGTTTGCACAACATCAGCTTGTGCGATAGCTCCCTCTGCCCTAGTAACTTCTGGAATAGCAAGTTGCTCTGGAGGCTTTAGTATGCTTCTAAGTACACGGTTAGGGTTAAATAGGAACAGACCTGTTGCAGCCTAAGCAGAGGTAATGTTCCTCTTAGTAAAAGCCTGTGCTCTTGCAAGGCTGTAGAGAGAAGTGAAATGCTCCTTGCTGATAATGTCAACACCTCCTCGACTAAGTTGGTCCAAGAAGGCGATACAAGATGATGTTGTTAGCAAGGTAGAACTCGAGGACTTCCAGCGTCTCGTAACTTCCAAAGTCGTTATAGATTAGTACGCGTAGTTTTCTGTTAGCTCTCTCTTTAGTCTGTAGGTTAAACACTCGCGTGAGCTACTCAAAGCTAATCTTAGAGTTGTTGTATCCGTTCTTAGAGTGCGTATAATGCCACCTAGGGGTGGGATAGGTCGTCTAGTTGCTCCGATGTGTTGAAGCAGGCCAGATGATTAGAGGCAGCAGTGCTCTGCCATCACCGCTAATGCATTCAATGGCCGTCACCATAGTTCGCTTAACGCCCGCGCCTCTGTAGTCGCGCGGGTCGTCCTTACTTACCAGCACTTTCACACAACTTAACATGCTTAACATCACACCTGTCTCGTCCATGTTGTAGACGTTTTCCGGCACGACAGCTGGGTCCTGAAGCACCTTCTCAATAACTTCGAACCAATGTGTCATCTTTCTATACGTGTCCTTCTCATGGTAGTGCTAGTCGACCGGCTTGACGGCCCTCGCCTTGATCTCTGGGTGTCGCTTTGCAAAGCATCGTGACCACTTCTGGCCTGGTGGCTTGTTCGGCTTCTTCACGGAGGACCGCTAGCGGGCGACGCTGAAGGCTATAGAGGGCAAGAACTTGTTTCGCACAGGATGCCCGAGCTCAGACTTCATTAGCAGAAACTTAACAACGGCTTTTTCTTCATCCGGGGTGAGATACTGCCGGCCTTAAGCGACCTCTTGCTTCGACGGTCGCCCTAGAGACCGATGGTGGAGGGTGGAGAGTGGAACATTCTTTCGATCGGCTCGAGCAGCCCAGGTCCTGGACACTCCTGGAGAGAGGGGTTGCGCCAGCACGAGACTGGCTGGATCCATTTTAGCAAAACGTGGGAAAGAAACAACCTGAAGACGCCTGTTTGCGATGTGAGGGAGCACGACGCTCGTTCCAAAATAGCAGTCACGTGGCATGCCTGTCGAAGCTTCTAGAAGAGCGCCACACTTGAAGCTTGTTAGGCATAGCGTTAAATACAATACACTCAGCCTTGCTGGTCTTCTTCCCACTACATAATTAGACTAGGGCCGGCTGCTAAAACGCACAGCGCCAAGGCCAGGTGTCTCTAGCACGGAGATAGCCTCGGAATACACACTTTCGACGGCTGCTCGTCTTCGTAGGCTAGGGCGATGTGTGTCTAGGCCAGGCCTATCGTTTTAGCATCTTAGAAGCAGAAAGAGTGCCAATAGCAGGGACATAGTAGAGCAAAAGGGCGAAGTAGTTTTTAGTGCTGCGCGCGACTTTACTGCCAGCATGGCCACAACAACTGTAATTTTCCTGCTGCAGTACAGAAGGCGAACGAGATGTAGCTAAAGGACAGGATAGCATTAAGTGCGGGTCTACAGATGTGGGTGGGAAAGATTGAGTCGTCTGGAGGGTTGGTCCATCTCGCTGAGGGCATTTCTCGCTTACGGGCAGGGGACGTTAGATGTTGTTCAGTGTACTTCCTTGAATTTCGACAGACCCCCCTCTTTCCTTGGAACTCTCAATGCTCACCTCCGAACAGCAACTCAAAAACCCCTTGAATACCGTAGCGTGTATAGAAACGGTGTCTTCTATCACCCCTAGCCTGCACAGCTTGACTGCCCCTATCATCATACTCCTGATCGGCTTCATCTCTACTGCTCCTCTCTATCCCAAGAAAGAAGCACAGCTCAAGATCTACACCCCTGCCATTTGCGCTGAAACACCTTTATCTAGCTGATCAGCAGCGGGGCTTTTGCAAGAGAAGTCCGAAACATCTAGTGTTGCTATCGTTCACCGTATTGTGGTCGACTTTGAGCCGGAGAAGCTGTTCCGTAATGGTCATGAAGACGGACTCTCCACCGGGGAAGAGATGCGTATATGTGTGCACGGGGAATACAGCTAGAAAAGACGACGAGAGAGAGCAAGGAAGGAAGAGAAGACTATTTGTGACAACTGCTACGAGTATTGAGCAGGTAGTTGACGCAGTCGATATGTATCCTGTGCAAGATGTAGAATCAGCAACTTTGATAGAGGAGGGGAGGCATAGGATTAAGGTGATGAAGTGGTTTTGTGTTGTCGAATACTCCACACCATAGCTCGCCAGCCCCTCATATCCCTCTCCCTCAAAATGATAGACGCTGTTGAGGGTGCGAGGGAAGAAGCTGAGAGGGTGCTGAGCCCGATGGAGATGGAGATTGTAAGGAATGAGGTGTGGTTCGGTTGTTGATAATTTATTTGTTTATTTATCTCTTCATTTAGGTCCTGCGCAGTGCAGCCTTTGACTATGTAGTGAAACTTATGAATCTATGCAAGCGAGTGTTGTGGGGGGTATCATCTCCAGAAAAAAAACACAAATCCTTAACGCCTTCCTGATGCTGTTATGCAAGTAGTTCTCATATCTCCCAAGTTTACGCGGGGAAGGTAATCGCCCTCTTCCGCCTCATCTTCATCTTCAGCTCTGTGTTTGTGGTGCTCTCCTGTGGCGCGAACCAATCTCGCAAGCCACACTGGTCTTCTAGGCTCCTGAAAAGGTCGTCTACGCGGTCTAACATCCATCCACTGTTCATCCTCCCTTGCGGCTTCGCGTAGCCTAGTTTGAAACTTGTGGAAATACCGCAGCTCCCCGCATCGAAGGAGAACTGTATGCACTTGTCCTGCTCTTCGCACAAGGCTCGGCAGTGCTCAAAGGATTTCCAGGCGTTTCGCTCGAATTCATTCTCGGCCGCCGAATGATCGTGCGCATTGTACTCCTTGTCTGCGGACATGTTGTCCCATCCAGGAACTGACGCGTCGATCTTTGATCGCACAAGCTCCATGAACACGTCTCGATGGCGCAGGAGAATTTGGTGGCGCTTGTACCAGTCTTGCTCGAAGTCCCAGAGCTCTTCGATCTCAGCAGGGGCAACGTGGTGGTAGGTAATCGCAGGAAAGCACCATAGATCACGGTCGATCTTGGAGACTGCTGGGTCGAGGGTAGCAGGAGAGTCGCCCTGAAAGTGTGGAAACGCGCGGTGAAGAGGAACATGTACGTCCTCGAGTACTTTTCCGAGCGCGCAGTCTCCGACCCAATGCGTCTTTGTGAAGTCCTCGTATTCAGTACTGCGCTCGGATCGTCGCGACGCAACCCTTTGCATAGCTGGATTTGAAAGGGCAAATCCGGCGCCACCATACGCAAACTCAACCTCATTGATGAATAGATGTTTCCCAATGTAATAGGGTTTGCTGTCGTCGAAGTTGCCAAGGAATTCGAGAAGGTTGTTCCAGTTCACGTACGTGTCCGCTTCCATGAAGAAGTACCACTTCGCATCCGGCTTTTCCTGCAGCGCATGATCGATCATGGGCAAAAACTTCCACTTATCCAACTGCCACCCAGCGTTATCCGTTCGCAAATAGTCACCCTTCGACGAACCGGACAATGATGTAAGAACCTGCTGTTGCTTCACACCCCGTCTTCCATGCTCTTGTAATTGGTGGTACAACTTGAAGTCTTCATTCGTCGTCTTCGTGTCTTCACTAACCCCTTTGAGTACGTCGTGAACAGTGTGTCCCTCTATATCCTCATCCAGGTCCGAGTGTACAACAAAGTGGGGAACGCATCGCAACGTGGTACGAAAGTGCACTGGCACCTTTTCCTGTGATTCGGTGGCTCCAGTTCGCAAAACGACCAAAACATCGGCGGCGAGCTTGGACTTTGGGCAGAAAGTCTCTTCAGTATGATGGTGGGCGGGGGATTTTCCAGTGTGGAAGCGGGGTTGAGTGGCCTTTGTGAAGATATTGAGAACGGATACGGAGAATACGGCGCAGAAGATCAGTCGGCATATGAAGGAGCGGTAAGACATGGCGGTGTAATTAAGAAGGGCGCAGCACCGGGCTGGACCGTAGAGTTTAAGGAATGAGTGTAGTTGCTGGTAAGGACAGTGATAAGAGAATGAATGTGTTTATGGGTTCGCTAGTGGTCCGATAGAGAGTGGAGATGTGGTGCCGTAGCCATCGGATGCCGGCGGAGTTTTGCAAAGCGGGGAGTAGTCGTATGAATAAGGAAAGAAGAAGAAGGTTCAGGGAAGGAGGCATGCCCTCTTGAGCGACTTGTAGCTTACGGCGATCGTAACCTTTTGTCAGAACGTGTGCGCAAGAGTGGCCGAAGCGACATGGCGATCAATGCCTCCGATGTGGGTTCGTAAAATGCGCCGGACCTGTCACGGCGTGTCATTGCCGTACGAGTAGGATCGTCACAAACCTCGGTATCAATGGCATAATTCATGGCACGCTTTGCGAAGCGCTGTGTCAGGCAAGTCATCTGCTGGTACAGTTTTTTTGGCTGCTCTAATGGCAATGGAGTATACTGCATGGTGTCAGAGTTGTGGGTGTCATAACGCTCGGAGCCGAGGGGTTGGTAACCTGGGGCATGAGGCGTTGCGCCTACCGCTTTTAGCGCTACGTCATGGCCGGTTTCAGATGGCTGCATCGGGTATCGCGGATTTCGATCGGCATTTCCTGCTGCCCCATTGTGGAAGTTTGTATGCCAGCGTGGATCAGCACCATCACCAGATGAACGCGCGGCGACAAAAGGAGTATCCTCACCTGACTTGCTCAAGGGATATCCATGCCTGAAGCGACCATGTGCGTTCGCGGTACTCATTTCCGCCGTTGCTGCGGCCGTCCGCTCAGGTCACCCTGCATTCCGAGATCAGAGTTATTTAACCGAAAAGAAAATACACATAACATACCTCGGGATATGACACGAAAGTTCTGCCGATGAGACGATGGTTCAGACGAAGCGCTCGCAGGTCCGACTTGGGCTTGTAAAAGAAACGCAACAAACCACAAAGGGGTCATTCTTTTCAATTCTTCTCTCCACACAACTTCCTCCAACTGGCTTCACTGCATTCCATTCAGTCTTGCTTTTCGATTCAATAGCCTTGCATACGTCAAATATGTATAAATGTTAGATTGAGAACGATCCTATTTCCGATCTTCCAAAAAGCACAGTAAGTTTCCTATACGACGCTTTCCTCAACGAACAGCATTTGAGTACCACCCAAACAACGGCGAAGCAACGGCAAAACATCGTCAAAAGAAAATTCGCACTACGGAACCTTTTACAATGAGTCAGCATGCTTTCCAACGGCAGCAGCCGGGCCTGACTAGCCATCGTGCCGAGATTACTCAACGGCAAGTGTAGGCCCTTGCTTCCGGCTACGTTCTATACTTTGTTCTGTGTGTTGCAGTCCTCATATCCTACAACCGATATATGGAAGACAAGCATTGTCGAGCGTTGAGTGGGCAGCCGCAACTGCTGCAACAAAGTGCAAGGTGCCTTACCATTCAGACGTACCTATGGTTATGTTCAAGACGGTAAAGGGTTACTGGGGGTCAGCTTTCAGACCGCATCTTCTTTCCGTTCCTGAACTCCTTCCTATGAACGTTCGACTAGCTAATAATTAAATTCGGTCAGAGGGTTGCGAGCGTAACAACGCGCGACGAAGATTGACTGTTAGCGGAAGAGTATTAACAGCACATGGGTGATGCCGCGACACACCTTCTGGGCGCGTTGAGCCTCTTCGACATTCTGGCCTGCAATCGTGGATCAGAAACTCACTTGAAGCATATCGTTGTTACTGCTGTGACTATCCCATACAACGGCCGGGAATATCGCAAGGTCAAGTATTATTCGTATGCGCGTTGAGTAGGTAAAGCATTTTGGCTCTTTCGGTACTGTACTGGCGCACCTCGGAGGTTTCGTTAGGCTGTACTGTGTGCCACCGCCACAAAGTTGTTCCAATGCTGACCGCATGGAGGTGCACATACAGCGCGTTTGAGATTCCAGCCTTTGGCCACGATTGTTCTCAATGACGCCTCCGTTGCTTGGGCTGACTGGGCGAATACACTACGGTCCTAACGAATAGCATCTGAAGTTACACATAAGCAGCGTGGGAATATCCTCCAAGGACAACTTTTCAGTGCTGCAAACCAGCAACAAAGCTCGATACTTTATACTCACCGACCAAAGTCTAAGACGGACACCAAGATTATGGAACACGCCAAGAACCTCCACATCATACACAGGTAGTTAACGGAACGGTGGGAGCGTAGCCGAATGGACAGTGGGGCGCTACGGGGCTTTGGACATTACTTACACCATCAGATGTCAAGCCGTAAAAAGGCGGTGATGCTCGAGTAGGTGCCTTCGTACATTGCTCTGCATATAGTTCGTACGAAATGCATATCCGGATTTCAAAAGCAAAGCTGGTACCTGAAGCGGCTTGCGGGATTGCCACAAGTACTAACGATGACTGCATACATTCCAGGCACAACTACACACCGCTGGAGAGTTCCTCGTCATCGTACTTCATGTGCAATCCGAGCAGCCGAACAATGACGCTTCAATAAATTAAATATGCAAACCAGCCAATGATCGTTCCTCACTTAGCAGCATGCAAGGCCCTTGTTATTTCCCGTTCCCCATACTAAGAAGATTATCGGTATGATTCTGAAACAGCGCTAAGGTGTCCTTTGTCCACCAACTCCTAATCTCACCAAAAACGACATTCTGGTACCGCCATCAGCAGGAAATACATCAGCCCTAACTTCATGGAATCAAGCTTTCTGCGGAATGTTTCAACCCTCGTGTATGCACCCCGCGATGCAGTGCCTCCAGCCAGAAAAGCTCCGGACGTCTCATCACGGATGATGATCCGGAAATTACCACCGGCACTTAGCCAGCGAGTAAGCGGCAGCCGCAATACACCGCAATATACGAACTTTCCAACCTAATGTCACATGTGTCGTGTACTGCTCGTCCACTACCACCATAAGTATAACGAACCGCTTCAATGTCAAACACAACAATTACTGTGCGAGCAAGTTTGATCTGAATTCCACTCTATGCAACGCTAATGATGAGATGGTTACGTGCTGGGCTTGCTGGACGATCCATAAATCATCTCGGCTACGGCCTTGAACCACCGGCTGCAAGGGCTCTTAGGGCTGCTAGTACCACATGTGCGGTGTGTGTACCTGGTGACGGGAATGCTTCAAGGTCAGGCATAGTAGGCAATTTGTGGGGTGGAAGGGAATCTAGAAGACTTTCGTCATGGATGTTTCTCTGGAGAACACCTTGGCATATATGAAGATATATATATATACCTTGGTCCGTCGCTCTAAATCAATCTTGTTCAAACCGACAAGCTCACTAAACCATCTACCAACACCAAAGACAATCTACAAGAAACAACTGCCTATCATGGTCTCCATCAAGCAACTCGCTCTCCTCGCCCTTACCACCGGCCTTGCAACAGTCGACGCTCAGTCTAGCGGAAAGACCACACGATACTGGGACTGCTGCAAAGGCTCCTGCGCATGGGCTGGCAAAGCCCCTGTGAGCTCACCCATCACTACCTGCGACAAGAACGACAACCCACTCACCGATGCCGGCACAAAGAGCGGGTGTGACGGCGGCTCAGCATACATGTGCACTAACCAGTCACCCTGGGCGGTAAACGATGACCTTGCATATGGTTTTGCGGCTGTGAAGCTTGCTGGAAAGACGGAGAGTAACTGGTGCTGTGCATGCTATGAGTACGTCTACCCAATCTCTCTAAAAACACACCGAACAATCATGAACTAACTTTTTTTTTCCTTCCTTTCAGATTGACTTTCACATCCGGTCCTGTCTCAGGCAAGAAGATGGTCGTACAAACGACCAACACCGGAGGCGATCTTGGAGACAACCACTTCGATCTTGCCATGCCCGGTGGCGGCGTAGGCATCTTCAACGCCTGCACTGCGCAATTCGGAGCGCCACCCAACGGCTGGGGCCAGCAATACGGCGGTATTTCGTCCCGCTCAGAGTGCGACGGCTTCCCTCAGAAGCTCAAGGCGGGCTGCCAATGGAGGTTTGACTGGTTCAAGAACGCTGATAACCCAAGCGTTACCTTCAAAGAGGTTACTTGCCCCAAGGCATTGACGGATAAGACTGGCTGCATCAGGCGTTAGAGCGTGGAGAGTGATGTTGAGTAGACTTGAGTGCATCTTTCGCTGTATATGATTACGATGGAACTTGACTTCCGGTATATATGAATTTATGAACAAAGAACGATATTACATTCGTTGACCTAACTAATCTTGTTTGGTCGTAAACTCTGCCTGCCCAACTTCATGTTCATGTGAGCTTCCCGAGCTGACTTGTGCCAGCTTACCATTAACGCCGGCAATAGCACTTTCAACGGCCGCAGCTACGTCGATGTGAAAGAACGGTCTGTTCTGTCCGTGTACAGTGGTGACCTTGCCACTCGGCAGACCCTTGTTCCTATTGACGGCATGGATCTCATCCGGCGCCTCTTCATCGTGTAATTTCGAGCCCGAGTTATCAAGAGGTGCGTAGCTGTACACTGGGTTCCAGTGCTGACGTGATGCGAAACGTTCGCGGTCGATGTAACCAAAGCCAGCGGTTGTCAAGGCGCGCTTAGTCCAGCGGCTGTTAATCGACGCGAAGTGCCATTCCACAGTTTCAGGTGCTGCATGACGATCCAGTTGTGCGCGCACATCAATGAGACCTTGGATCGAAGTAACATCGACGTTGTTGACAGCGCTGAAGTCTAGGATGATAGCACGGAGGATAGGTCGGTTATCTTCAAGGTTCAACTGTTTTCCACGGCGTGGACCTTGTGAAAGTCAGTACATTGAACCGCACTCACTGCAAATGTCAACTTACCTGGGTCATTCCATGGACGATCACCGATCCTTGTGTATTTGTTGAGTTCTGTTCGGCGGGAGATGGTTTGCGCATGATGGACAATTTCGTCCATGTAACCTTGCTGGTTGAGATATGTGAAGCCTTCAGTGAAGCGGTAGATCAGTATACCAGGATACGGAGACTCGATATCAACAAGCGGGTTTGAACCATCCTTGCGGCTGATTGGAATGAATGCTTCACGGACAGAAGCATCAGATCCAGGGGCGAAGTGGCCGTCTTCCTTGTTTGCCATCGACTCCGGAGTAGCGCGATAGATCCTGACTTTGCCAAGGACGGCTCCGTGAGTGAAGAGCTGGCGCCAAAGCAGAAGTGCGAATGAAGCTGCTATGGTAACATAGATGCCGTTTTCGATGTTCGTGAAGATTGTTACGAAGACACCTGCGAAGAAGATAACGACTTCCAGAGGCGACGTTTCCCAAAATTGGAAGACCACGTTGGGCGGAGTAATGAGATCTCCGACGGCGTGGATGATAACCGCAGCAAGGGTAGCCGAGGGGATGTAGAAGAAGACTGCAGTCAAAGCATACAGGGCCAAGAGGACGATGATCGCAGTGAAGATACCAGCAAGTGGGGTGCGAACACCTGCTTTCGATTTGATAGCGGTACGCGAGAACGACCCGGTAGCAGGGTAGGCGCCGAGGAATGGACCGATCACATTCGTAAAGCCGACGGCAACCAGTTCTTGCGAAGCTAGTATACATTGTTAGTACTTTTCCTGTAATCGGGCAATTGGTATCATTGCTTACGGTTGATGACGTAGTTGTTGATTCGTCCGAAAGACTTTGAAATTGCGATGTGTTCGAGAATCAACACGATAATTGTGACCGGAAGATCAGGCGCAATTGCCGACAGGAGCTTCGTGTCCATGTTCGGAGTACCAGCGTGCTGAAAGCCTCTTGGTACGCGACCGAGGATCTTGAACTTCGCCATCTTGACATCGTTCTTGGCATTGTGGAGACCTTTGACGTCCTTGTTGGCAAGCCAGCTGATCATGATGTACAACAGAATGACGAAAGCCATTCGTAGTGTGCTCACGAAAAACCAGACCTTTTGTTTCGACGGCTGCTTCTTCGACATAATGTTGCAGAAGATGCGGATGGCATAGAGCATGAATAGAGCAGTCAGACCCATAGCTGCATCGAGCTTTGTGCGTGGAAGGCCTTTGAAAGTGTCGATGATAACCAGATACGTAGGACCACGTGTGTTAACCCCGGAGATACCCATGAGCGCTGGAACCTGGCCGGCTCCGATCGAGATAGCAGCACCTGTCATGAATGAGGTGATAGCGACAAGAGGAATAAGCTCGACGATCCTTCCAAGCCGTGTAAGACCAATGAACAGCAGGACAGAACCAGCGATGACGGAAAGAGCTCGGGCAATGTCCACAGCTTCAATCTCTGGCTGTTTGTCCTGGATCTTGGTGACGATGTTGCCGACAATGGTGCTCATGACAGCCACGGTACCAATAGTGATGTCTTTGGATGTAGCGAAAGCCCAGTAGAGGATGAAGCCAACAAAACTTGTGTAGAGACCATACTCCGGAGGCAATTTCGCCAGCAGAGCGTACGCCATACCCTGAGGGATCACGACAAACCCAACGGTACAACCGGCAATAAAGTCTCCAAACAGCCATGTTAAGTTGTAGTGGAGTATCCAGTCCATGAATGGGAACAAACTCCTCAGGTAGCGCTTTGTGGCGGTCGCTGACGGCTTGAACTGAGAAAGCCATTCCTTCGCGGTGGGTTCACGTTCAACATCTGAAATTCGTTAGCTATTGCTGATTGATGGGCCCTGGAGTATTCACATGTTTCCACGGAGGAAATCGACGCAGCGCCAGAAACCTCGGGCTCTTTTCGGTAGTCAAGATTTATTCCAAGGACCTTGGCCGCGGTGCGACCAGCTGAAGCCATGTTGGCGGACGTCGTCAGTGAAGACTGTACTCTGGGCTCCCGTGGTTCCGCAAACAGCGAGTGGTTCAAGGTAACAAATAAGCTTCCAGATGGAATCGGGATATCCGCCAATGTCGCGGATGTTGAGTTGAAGTATCTGTAAGACTCGACGCTGATATAGATCGAGAGAAGAGGGTGCAACCTTATACCATGTTATGAGGATGAGCGCCCGTGGAGATGTAATGGGCAAACATCAAGTTCGGTCAAATAGAAGTACCATATCGTTCCAGATCTAAGGCGGAGGCACAGCCGCATGTGCGATGGCCCGACGCCATCCCAAGGATTTGACGTGGAACAAGACGGCACATTGGGCTTGGCGTGGGCAGAGTATGTGAGTGAAGCATTCCGTGCAAATCACAGTGCAGCAACGCTATCACAGAACAGCGCCCCATCATGGCGTGCTTGCATTGAGCAAGATCCTAAATATTGGCAGATGGCAGACGAGAAATTTGGCAGGCTGGGCTGAGCGAAGCGTTGAGCTTGTAAGGTCTGGGCTTCCGAAGGCGGAGATATGGCGTTCGGGGCGTTGGAGGATCGCGTGGGAGATCTGGGGCCGCTGGTTGGTCATGGCTGTACTAAACTGTACTCTACGAGTCTCCAGAGATATTATGATGTAAACGGTTCATGCGATTTCCTCTTTATCTAGCGCGTTCCATCTTGATGGGCGGAGCGCTACAAACGAGAGGAAGAGAGTGTGGATACGCCCAGTCTCGCAGTGTCTCAGCGGAGACTGGCATCTCTGTACTGTTCGTTCAACGTTCGCAATTGATGCCAAGGATTGCGACATCTCGGTTGGCGGCATTGGCACGAAACGCGATGCTTACCTGGACAGGCCTACTGCAGCCACACTAGCGCCCGAAGAGCGGCAATGTAAGTTGTCACATACAAGCTGGCGGATGGGAAGAGCTAATGTACTGCAACAGACGGCAAGTTCCTCTGAGCACGCCCTCCCTTACATCTTTGGGAAGTTCGGAGTGTCTTGCCCGAGTGTGAGGATTACTCCAATGTTTCGATGGGAATGTGAGCCAAGAAGCCAGCGTATACGAGCATGTAGTAATTAGGTGCAAGCCCGTGGCAAAGCCTCTAGATATAATCAAGACTCGAGGGTTCGCGAAACCATCACTGTGGTGGGTTCGATGATCTGTGTATAGTTTCCAGCCTCGTTTACAGCAAAGGGCCAGTGCTAGATCAATCTTTGAACGCCGTGCGGCCAATTTTTCAATTTGGTGTCATGCTAAGACAAAGCATTCAGCTGAACTCTTTTACCTGAATACCCTGTGTTACGTAACCTGGCTTTGCAATAGCAAATCCAAGGGAGCATTGGTCAAGTTCGCGGGGGTCAGTGAAGCCCTAGGATCTTGAGTCAAAAAAGCACATCCTTATATTACCCACAGGCTAGAGTAATCAGCGTGATGCTAAGAATCGTCCTAGCCCGTGCCACTTCTTTCAGCCAGTATGTCACTAGGTGCGGTTGTTGTAGACTCTTGAACGCGATTGGTCTTCGGCCCAGTCCGTGACACGCGAGAAGAGCAAACGATAGGGGTCTGGTAGGCACCGAGCGCCTGGAACAGCAAGGAACCTGCATGATTTGCGGCTATCGCGACGCAGTAGAATGCCCAATACTCGCAAGAACAGAAGAAGTGAGTGGCGAATTGTCCCAGACATCTGGCCAACCCAGCCCTATGCGCCATTGAATGTACATCGCCGAGGAGATTCTGAAGTTCGTCTAGAACGTGCACCGGGCTGTGACGATGGCCTGACTATTGTCTCTCGTGGGATTTCATCTCGGTCACTGCCCGGTCGAGCAATGGGCGTGCGCACGGATTTCGGAAACGGCAAGCGTCTTGGTATTTGTTGTTCGAGAGAAATGATCGTGGTAAGGAGGTAGGTGAAGCATGGCGTGCTTGTAGACTTTGGATAGCGCAAACGAAGATCGATAATGCGTGCTCTGGCGAATGTTAGTACAATTGCAGGTCGAGGCGTCCTTTGTTGTCAGTGGCGCGACCACGTCGTTGACATCACGAACGAGTCTCCAACGATGGCCTCCCAAATGTGCAAAAAGGGCGTCACAAAGGGTGTCACAAAGGGTATACGTAGGTCATGAAGCCATTGTAGGAAAGGGGGTCTCGCATAAAAGAAGATGCGCTACCTCGATGAGCCACGAGATTACGTCATTGGTCCCCGCAAAGATCAACACTGGTTGACCTTAACACCGCCAACATGTGACCCTGACATGCTCTGATATCGACAAGGCAGAACGCATAGCAGAAATCTATGGTGAGTTATGAGCGCTGTGTGAAGTCAGTTTATTGTTGTCCAACGTATACCGTACACCAAAGCACACCTTCGATGATCAGCGCGAAGGTCAGCCAGGCAACAGTCTAGGCTAAAGGCGCTTACTCTTCTTCGTTGTCCAACGATCACCTTAACGCCATGTAAATCCGGTTCTCGCTCTCCACGCGTCCCGATAAATGCGAGATGAGGGGTCAAATTGTCAAGAGGACCTTAGCCTAGAACAGGGCGGAATACTCCTTTGTTCAGAAATCAGGTGAATTCTCACCTTGTCAAATGTAGGCTGAGAAGAACGTCAGGTCTGGAATGAGCATAAAAGCACCAGCAGACACTTGACTTTACAAGGGCGAAGAACTGGCATTGAGCAGCTTTACGAGTGCGACAACTACTCGTGGATCTTGCAATTCTTACAATGGCGCCCAACGTTTTTCTTCTTCAAGGCGGTGTTGCTCTGATACATGACGCGAACAACCACATTGTTCCTACTAAATCTGACATTCTTGTGGAAGATGGCAGAATCACAAGAATCGCGCGAGACATTAGGCGGTCTGAGGCAGTCGAAATCATCGATTGCACCGACAAGATCATCAGCCCAGGCTTCATCGATACCCATCGTCATGGCTGGCAAACGCAGCTCAAAGGCAGGCATGCGAATGAGAGCCTGATCGAGTACATGGTTACTGGTAAATTCCCAGTTGTGATTATCATCAAATTTACTTCTGACGAACAATAGGCAACTCACAGAATTTCCAGTACTCACCCGAGGATGTCTTCTACGGTCAGGTCGCGGGTATGCTGGAAAGTATCGCTGCTGGCACAACTACAGTAGTTGACCACGCACACATAACCCGCTCACCAGAGCACGCCAAGTCTGCTATCGCGGCTACTGCATCTTCTGGCATCCGATCCGTATTCTGCTATACCCCACTGATGCTCATCACTCAATTCAATCCCCTCACTTTCCATCCAAATCCTTTCGAAGACTGGGTCATGCAAACCTTTGACGAACTAGCCGACAGCGGGCCTTGGGGAGATGGAAGAGTAGCCCTAGGATTCGCTTTTGACTTTTGGTTTCTACCCGTGGATATGGTCAAAGGTATATTTGCCAGAGTGGGTGCGAAGGGTGTCAAGACAATTACCTGTCACGGGTCTGTCTCGCTGGGGCTCAATGTGATACAGCAAGCATCAAGCCTTGATCTGCTAGATGAGAAGATCATCATTTCGCATGGTGGTACGATCTTGGAGGCTGATGCCGAGCTTTTGAAGGCTGCTGGGGCATTCGTGAGTTCCACTCCTAGTACTGAACTCCAGATGGCCATGGCGAGGCCTTATTGCTTCGATGCCTCCTTCCAAGATGGAGGTGTAAGCGGCGATTCAATCGGATTGCAGGACAACTCCGCGCTTGGCGTCGATTGCCATTCTTGCACTGCCGGCTCCATCATCTCTGAGGCAAGGCTTGGCCTACAAAACGCGCGAAACCATTACAACGAATACTACATGAAGCAAGACATGATCCCACGTTCTCTTCCCGACAGTCTCAGTGTCGAGGCCGCATTCAATTTGGCAACAATCAAAGGTGCCGAGGCCGTAAACATGAGCAGCGAGATTGGACGTATCGCGGAAGGCTACAAGGCAGATCTAGTCATCTTTGATGCCCTCAGTCCTAGCATGGTCGGCGCAGCACAGCATGATCCAATCGCCGCAATTATCCTGCACTCGAGCCCGGCAGATATCGAGACTGTCATTGTTGACGGTATCGTGAGGAAGAGGGATGGAAAGCTGTTGCCAATACAAGTAGACAGTAGCGCGAAGGTGAGTGTGGGCAACGACACTCTAGACTGGGCAAGCGTTGCCAAAAAGATTATATCGAGCAGGAAGAAGATGCAAAAGGAGATAGATCAGATCGACTTCAAAGAAGCATTCGATTCGATCGTCAAAGCATTTCAAGTTGATGAGAAGAAATTGGTAGGCTGAGACCCAGAGAGTGTTTACCAACGCTCGAATCCTGGCGAATAACGCTGGTCATTATCCTACTGCTGCCATATGTCGCAATCGGCTCTTTTTTGCGTCACGCATGCGTTGCTTTATACTTGATGTGGTTCGTCAGTAAGCACCTCCTTCACCCCAGCCCCAAGAGTATTGATACTATTTATTTCCCCTCTCACTCCACAAACATGTACGCTAAAGGCTCCAAGCTATATGCTATCAACTGTTTTTTTAAAAAAAATCCTGGCGCGCGGTCTTACTGATGGCCCCTTCTCCATTTTGAACACACCATACATATCAGGCTGAAAGTCACGTTGGCACTGTGAAATACCATGTTCTTCAGCAATCGGATGACGCATGCTAAAGCGCGTCGAGACCCACTAATATCAAAAATATGTGATGTTCTTGGCAGTAAACAGATAGTGATAGAATGTGGTGGCAATCTCGAAGAGCAGAAATAGAGATCTGCGCTGCAACTACCCGGTCGAGCTTAATCGAGGCGGTAAGTGGCGCAGGAGCTTGGGCCTTTTGAGCATTCCGAACCGATAGCTCATTCTAAGAATATCGCCAACATCACTACACCAGCAGCGCGTCTTGAGATTTTTTAGAATTTTGTTGTTGAATTGGAGTCTACGAAAATCACCTGGTTGCTATACATTGCACTTCTGCCACAATGGACGTTAAAGAGCCCCTACTACCGTCAGAGCCCCCACCCTCATACGAAGACGCAAGAAAGTCACCACTTCCGCACAACAGATCGGCATCAGGCGCACCATTGGCGAAAAGGCCACCACCAGGACCTCCCCCACCACTGAGCTTGCCAGCGCTCAACCAACTGAGGGGATCCAGGGTTGTGCTTGCGAGTGCGTCGCCACGGCGGAGACAGCTTCTCGCCCAGGTAGGAGCATCTCCACTTGGCCTTTAACACATGGCGTGCTAATGTATAGTAGATTGGTCTCACCAAAATCGACATATGCCCTTCCAAGTTCGCCGAAAACCTAGACCACTCGCTCGGCGCATTGAACTACGTCCTCGAAACCGCGTCCGCCAAAGCGCATGATGTATACAGGGCCGAGATCAACAACCGTGAGCGTGGTGAACCTGCTATAGTCATCGCTGCAGACACGATCGTAGTATCGCATGCCGGCCGCATACTAGAGAAGCCAAAGAGCGAGGCAGACCACATAGCAACGTTGAAGATGCTCAGAGATGAGGGGGAGCACAAGGTCATGACGGCTGTTGCAGTGATGAAGCCATTAGAGTCAGCAGTAGACCCGGGATATGCTATGGAGACACATGTTGAGGAGACAACGGTCAAGTTCGATCCTACTGGTATTTCTCCACATCCACGTACGACTGGGCTGAGCACTAACATGCACAGTTACCGACGAACTTATTCTCGCATACGTCAGAACGCGCGACGGCAACGATAAGGCTGGCGGCTACGGCATCCAGACAGCTGGTTCCGTTCTCATCGAGCGCATAGAAGGATCCTACGACAACGTCGTCGGGTTGCCTTTGCGACAGACACTAAAGTTGATAGAGAAGGTCATGGAGCCTGAGGAAGAGGAAGATGGAGACTTCTTTGTGGACAGCAGAGAGGAAGAGGACGAGTGAGAGCCACTTGGCATCTGCAAGTCAGCGTTGGTACTTGGTATACCTGTCTCCGCATAAGCTATTGAGGATAGCATGCGGCATACAGTCCCATGAGAAGTGGACCTGTTTGGGTTGCGCTTATTAGCGGGACTAATATCTGCCTCGAAGCTGAACCGGGTCAGACAGCTTGGGGGCCAGTCGTTGTACGAACCTGGAGGATTAGAATGGTTTACAGATACCCCAACAAACTATGCCTCTATACGTTCGACGGACATAAGTCCAAGGGTTATCACCGTACACCCGTATCGATGTCAGACAAATTGTACACGATTACTATGAAACCTCCTGTACAATGTGTTTCAAGACGGCCTTCTCTTCTCTATATCGTTTTCTGACATGATTGCAAATGCACGGGACGAATCATGAATATGCCGCAACGTTTCGTCAGGCCTTCCGAGTCAGAATCTTATTCTAACATTCTCACCGCTGGGCGCATTGAACCCAGGGTGACATTCAGTATTCAACCCCTCCATTACCAATCTTTGCCCCACTTGCCTCGGTTCAGCCTTACCCTCGCTGCGGGCACCTTTCCCAATGTGTGTGACTCCCGGCGCGATGCTCGTCATGGCTTCGTGTCGTTCAACGTTGTCTCGAAGATTCTGCATTTGCGACAAGTTTCGTGCCCCGCGTCGAGACACTCGACCGAAGAGTAGCTTCCAGAGTCGGACGAATTGATGCGCCTCTTGCCGGTAACTGCCCGATATGCAACGTTACGACAAGGCTTTCCTGGACGGCGTCTCCGGACCCTCCCATGATGCAATCAGGGTCTTTCTCTCGGCGGTGAAATCACAATTTCTAAGCTAGGTTCTGCTGTAGCTATATAGCTAGGTGCTCGTTGCTACTAATTTCTCCCTCTTCATCACACTATTACACTACCTTACAATATCATTGTCTAAGATACCCAATACACTCCCTCCTAATACCCAACTTTACACACACGACATATACACATCACAATGGTTCAGAACAAGGGAGTCATCTTCAAGAAGGTCCCAGAGGGATGGCCAAAGCCGGGCCAGGACCTCGCTGTTGAGGCCCGTGACATCGACCTCGACCAGAAGCTCCCAGACGGAGCTCTGCTCGTAAAGAACTTCTATGCCTCCTTCGACCCCTACCAGCGTGGACGCATGCGTGCTCCCGAATCCCAGTCCTACTCTCCTCCATTCGAGCTAGGCAAGCCCATCACCAACCGCTCCATCTTCAAGGTCGTCAAGTCCAACAGCGACAAGTTCAAGGAGGGCCAAACTCTTATTACCATGGGAATCAGCCCTATTGAGGAGTACTCCGTCCTCGAGAAGGATGCCGTCGCCAACTGCATCGAGCTTAAGAACCCCTACAACCTCGACCCCAAGTACTTCCTCGGCCCCCTAGGAATGCCTGGTCTTACCGCATGGTCATCCTTCTACGAGATCGGCCAACCGAAGAAGGGCGAGACTATCTTCATTTCCGCTGCCTCTGGTGCCGTCGGTCAGCTAGTTGGTCAACTCGCCAAGCATGAAGGCCTTACCGTCATCGGCAGTGTCGGTGACGACAAGAAGCTCGACTTCATCACCAAGGAGCTCAACTTCGACTCCGGCTTCAACTACAAGAAGGAGAAGGCCGCAGACGCACTAGCCCGCCTTGCCCCCAACGGCATCGACATCTACTACGAGAACGTCGGTGGTGAGCAACTCGAGGCTGCCATCAACGCCATGAACAACTTCGGTCGCATTGTCGCCTGCGGTATGATCTCGCAATACAACGCTAAGCCCGGCGAGCAATACCCCATCCGCAACCTCATGCAGGTCGTTGCCAAGCGCCTCACTATCCGCGGTTTCATCGTGAGTGACGAGAACATGGGCCCCAGGCACCACAAGGACCACCAGGAAAAGCTTCAGAAGTGGCTCAGCGAGGGTACTTTCAAGGCCAAGATCAGCGTTACCGAGGGTATCGACAACGCGGTCGATGGTTTCATTGGCATGCTCGAGGGCAAGAACTTTGGTAAGGCTGTGCTGCAGATCGCGGATCTGAGCAAGGAGTAGGATGTAAATACCCAATGGCTTTAAAGCTGTGTTTTTAGCGGTTTTCTTTAGTTAGCGTCACCGCTGTCTGAATGAAATATGAATGAACAATAATAATGATCTACCGCATATATCAGTGACCTAGTACCACATTTGAGAACTAATATCCCGGAGTTCGGTCTGTAAAGAACTGGTGGACATATCTGGTGTTGGTAGTCCTCATCAGAGTGTGCAGTGCAGTCACCACGATATGCCTCGTAGCATGACCCGCACGAGCGCTGACGTCACGTTCCGCCGATCACTGGCACTTTCCTCACTCCATAACTTCGGCTCTCGTGACTTCACTGTGCTTCACTGGCGCAGACTCACTTAAACCACTCGATGGCGTCCATGGTACATCCAGCTGTGGAGTATTAATCTAAAACGATACGGTGATGGCTCTGGATCGCCTGCTCAACATAGTGACCTGCAGTACACGCCTACCCTTCAAACACCTTCTAGCCCAACCGACGCAGCCTATCTTCAACACTAAGCACTAATCATCAAGCGGGCCCCAAAATTGCATATCGATGTACATACGCCAAGCTTCTTAGCTCACGCACAGCGATCGTGTATGCGACAAGGCTGAGCTGCGATTGATGTCGGGCAAACTACTATTACGATTTACGGATATCCGCAGGCCTTCAGGCAATTTTTCTATGGCGGTCTCATCTTTGCTTGTAGAAAGCCATGTATTTATAGCCTGTAGCATGTCGTACGCTGTTACACTTGTTGCTAATCGTTTTGATGGGCCGTGAACCACTCGACCTCTCTCAGCCTTGCTCTTCTGCTTATTCGCTGCGACTACGACAAGGCGCCACCAATAGTCCAGCCTTGCGCCATGTCTATTCTTCATTCTCGTATGACTCAATATTCCGGATCTTCGTGCAGAATCTAGGCGGCTGGTATCAGCCTCATCGCATATCCACTATAATCCAGAGGTTGCCGGACCCCTCTTTCCTGTCGCAGCTCTCTTCTTTGCTGTTCGACTCATTGCTGTTGCATGAAAGGAATAATGGGTAACTGTGGGAGTTCTCTCGACTGTAACAAGTGCTATTCTAGCGAACCATATCCTGGCTGCGAGACCGAAATTGAGGTTGACCCCGACGTCGCGGGTATCGGAGTGAGTGTATCATAGATGACCTTTCGGACTGTGTGCTGACCCTATCTATAGGTACTTGTCTCGTTCCTCTTCTGCGCCTTTGCGCTTTCTGCTGTCATCGTTTGGGGCTACTTCAACGAATGCTTACCGATTGACGTGTTGTCTCGCACCGACCACTACGCGTTGCAGTCACTCAAGAAGCGCCGTCAACCCTTCGTCGAAGCCGATCTCCAATTCGATCCTACGCCGAAGCAAAAGGAGAGAACACAAGTCATCGTTGGCTTTATTACAGTCTTGAGCGACCAGCAACTAGTGACCGGTGTTGCGATTCTGATTGCAGGACTTGCTAGTCGATGTCGGATCTCGCTCTACGAGTTTAATATTATCACGTATCTCGCATACTTTGCTGAGTACTCGCATTGGCTCTCACTAGGCGTGCTGCAAAGTCACCTCTTTGCTCGCAAGCTCGTTCGAAACTGCCGAGTCATCTTCACTATCGGATTTCTGGCAATCTTCATTTTTTCTTACATCATCAACACAGTTTCGAGTCAATGGGAGACAACATTGAACAAAGGCAATGAACTTCAATGTCTCTTTGAAGCGTCACGGTTCGGCGAGATCATTCAGTTCGATATGTTCGAATCAACTTTCGTCGTTGGAATGATACTTTTCAACCACACTGTGGCCATCGTCAGTTTGTTTTTCGACCCGGAGATAAGCCCAATTGCTGTGGTGATCGACTCCTTCTACGCATGTTGTCTACGTCTCAAAGGTTTCTCCAGGGAAGACGCTAGCATGATGGTCATCGAGGCGGAAAGGAAATATAATGCTTGGCTCCAGCCTCCATTGGCAACTACTAAGCAAACCAAAATTTCTGTATGGTTTTTTTTCGAGAGATACTACAACTCGTATCTATCAGTTTTCCCAAATATGATACTGGGCATGTCGTATGGTACAGGGAAAATCGCTCTTGCTGTATGGTATGGGGGATTGAAGCCAGCAAATGGTCTTCAGATCCTGGGATTTGGGCAAATTGTAGCCATAGTACTACTAGCACTAACTCTTCTGGCTGCAATTGAACTCATGGATGGTAAGCAGATTTAGTGTCTGATCACAGATTATGTACTGATTTGGGACTTGTGCCTACAGAACAGAAGCTCCTCAAGAATTACATTGCTAGTGGGAAGATTCAATTAGCTTATGAAGCGAGTGCGACCGAGACGACTATAATCGAGCGCGAAATCGCCCCACGAGCACCTCATAGGACATATTCCGTTCCAAAAGGTAGTGATGGTTGGCTTTGGAGGCACATAGTGCGTCTTGGATCATCAAAGTCACAAGAAGATTTCGATGCCATAAGAGCTGGCAAACTCCTGACACAGGACGACGATATCTACACTGCAAGGAAGATGGGCAATCTAGCGTTATCGTACTGCCTGGTTGAAACTTGCTTTTGGGCAGTCGTGGGAGTTGGATGGAATTTTGATGATACACTCTATGGTGAAACAGCGGTATATCTTTCGCTTTGTTACATACTCTACCAGTCCTTGCTCGCCGCTAAGAGCATAGTGGACAAGGTGTACTTCATCAGCGACGAAGTCCGCATAACCCGCTCCCAAAAGCGGCCAGAGTCTCAGCTCGGCATCCTTCACCAAAGCAACCAAAGTCTTGATATTTCGGCAGAACCAAGCAATGTTAGTGTACGGACTACCTCAACACTGCCCTCGCCACCAGTGAGCGTCACTGAGCAGCGTTCTACTGCGAGAGAAGGACAAGTAGAATTCGGTCCGCCGGGCAGAATTGATACAGAAGCGGATATTGGACTTCTACCATTGGCAAGACGCAGAACTAACCCTCCGCCGATAAGAGAGCAAACCGTTTGATCGCAACGATCAACACTCGAATCTCTTTTGTACCACCATGGCCCTAATTTAGCAGGATGGTTTCCTTGTGCTTACCGCACTCTTCACTCTTTTCGCCGCTTTCTTCAAACACTGCGTATAAGTATGTACACATAGTTATCCGGTATTGGGAAAACAAATTGCCACCTACCAACTATAGCAGGTGCGTTAGTCGGCATGCTGTGAAGTAGCGTAGCACCTTTCCCTCCAAAGATCCCTTCCGACTTTTACTCTTCGCGACCATTGTTCTACTATTCTGTCTACAATTCGCAAATCGTCAACGGATTTTGCATGCTAAGCAGCTGTTCACTATCAGGCTTTGTAGCGGCGTTCACTACCAATCCAAGAGCAAAGCGTACCGTCTAAAGTCCATCCCTCACAAGATCATGAATATTTGTACTAGGCAAACGCCCCAGATAAAGCAACACCGAACCATACCGTATCTGAGTTAGGGGTTCACTCGTTGGACTCAGCCCAAACTGTTAACTTGAATCAGTTCGGAGACGCTGCGGATCAAGTCCAGTACAGAGTAGCCAGAAAAGTCGCAATTCTATCCTTGGTCTTTTATGCGCTAGCTACCGCACTCATAATTGTAGCGGGTAATATAAACTATTTGTGATTACTGCTTAGTGTCGTTGTTCTATGGGCTATCTTGAAGATCGTCATTACTATGAGACGGCAAACCAGTCAGGCTCAGTTCGTACGGAAAAAAGATCAAATCACGCAAGACCAGGGAAATTTCCTTACAGTCGCTTCCCAGTGGTACATAGCATGTCTGGCGATAGCACACCGCACGACAAAATCAGACCATCTGGAATCGATGCACCCATCACCAGCGGAACGGGGCGCACGATGCTGGAACAGAAACGAGCTCAACCTTCGGACAGCCCTACAAGTGCGATACTGACGCGAGTCTCGGTGTGAACTTGTTGTTTAAAAGCAAGACGATAGTTCTTAGCGCCAATCTGTACTTGTCGATACAGCGGATCTTATGAACACAACTGAGCGCTCAGAACAGCACATGGCGTGGCATGGGAGGCAACACACAAATGCTAAACTGCGACGCCATTCTCGTAACTCCATATCAAACCATTTATTATCCACACGCTTACGGCTTTCTATGTCGTCATGACCATGCAAATACTTACGGAATATCGCCTGTATACATCATAGGGTTCAGCACCAGTATATTTCAATATTCATGTCTCGCTTATCGACGCTTCTTCTATGCTCCTCCCCTCCAGTGATGTGGTTACATACGGAAATAGCCGAGCGTATCTGTATCAATCCAGTGGTAAGATTAGTAGCTGTCTATGACTCCATGGGGCGATGAATATACACGATTCATGTGGTATGTGAAGCACATGATAAGTGAAACTGTATTGAACCCCAGAAGCTCAAGGGGTCAGATATTGCCGAAACGTCATGGTTATTACTTTCTTTGTATTTGAAGCCTCAGTAAACCACCTCTAAAAGGCACCTTGCCATGCTTCGAGACCATGCCGCCAAACCGAAATGATTAAGACGAAAGATGGGAAATATTGGAGAGAGACACCAGTAAGCCACGATGATTGAGCCCGAAATTTCGATCCTAACCCACATTTACGCCAGGGTAATCCCCATCGCCAATTATGCATACCAGATGATGACCTCTCATGAGTGAGATGAGCCAATTGACTCTCTCCAATGCTGAGAAGAAGAAAACGCCAGATCATGCAAATCATAACACAAAGAAAGAAAAGGACCTGCTCAGAAAGAACGGACGTCGCAACGAAGGCATTACTGGGAGTTTGGTCCTGAATTGTGCGACAAACGCCTTCCAAAAGCTTCTGCTGTGTCGTACCATGCTGCAGCACGCGCGATTTGTAGATGACGCTTGGTACGCGTTTGGATATGTTCGAGAATGCTAGCATTCCTACCAGTTGTTGTTAGTGTACGTTGCAGTATTTTAATAACCTTGCTTACCCTCTATCTAGCAGTCCTGTAATCCCCGATCATGCAGCATTCAACGCATGTGCAATCAGGACCGGGACCAGGATTGCTGTGACAAGGCCAACATTAACGGCAATACCAGCAATGAGCGCCATTCTCTTCGAATGTGGCGTGCAGTAACCCAGGCGACCTTCCGTGAGTGAGGCGATAACGTTGTCTCCTAGGAAACGGAAGAGAAGGATACAGGGTGGTAGGAGGCAGAAAGCTGCGAAGATGAACCATGATAGCTTACGTCGCCTTGCCTCGTCCTCTAGGTTGGGCTCCCGCTCCACACAGAGCAGGTGAGGAGAGTGCTCGTGTGCGGTGTTGGTATGGGCAGCCGCAGGGTATATATCGAGGCTAAGATACGAGGGTCGAAGAGGCGTGTTCGTATCGCGGGTAGATGGACGATCACTACCAACCATGAAGTGCGTGATACGAGTGCCTTGTGTCGAGACAGTCGATCGAGCGGCTTCGGGAGCGAGGAACATTTGGCGCAATTTCGTTTGCCCTGGTACAGCAGATCGGCTCGTGCGACGCTGTGAACGTAGGAACGTGGTTGAGTTACGGAGATGCTTACGAGCTCCAAGAATTGGAGATGTCTCTTGAAGCGTTTCCAATTCTTTCGTCTGGGCATACAGACTGCTCTCTGATGGTGTTGGGTCAGGTGCAGGAATGTAGGTTGGCCGAGATTGGCTAATGCGAGTTACGCTGCCTGTAGCTGGGAATGGTGAAGCGTAGAAGCCGTTATAGTCTGAACGGAAGCTTTGGTGACCGACGCTCGAGCTGAGCCTTCCACCAGGACTGCTGTGGTCTGCGACACTGCTACCGGTCTCGTGCATGCCAGTTCCGCGAGGAGTGCCAGTTAGGTTGCCCTTGGGCCCAACAACGGAAAGTTTCTCGAATGTATTTTGGCGTTCGAGACCAACAGGGCTACTGTAAAATACGTTCTCGTCAACGGTGCTTGATGTTGGTGTGGTATCATGGCTTTTGTACCGATAATGCTGACGTGCCGGATTCTTGGGCGGAACACGCGGCTCACTGATAATGATGTTATCATTAGGACCAGAGGCCAGCAGTTCTTGCGTCTCTTTGTCACTGAAAGCGTACGGATCTGCCCAAGGAGCGTAGGCATACGGCTGCTCAACAGCACCACGCCCCAGAACATCCTCAGCATGTGTGGAGAATCGAAACAAGGGTACTGTTCTTGATGCTGAAGGACTGGTAGCCAATGGAGGAGATGAAAAATCCGTTACGGTACGAGCAATGGGCTGAGCTCTCAATTCTGGTGGCGATGAATTGAAGGGGTGGGGGTGTTGGCTGCGTATAGGACTAGAGTGGCTATAGTAGTTCGATCGAGCTGGTGACTGAGCTTGTTTCGCCCACGATGGAAGAGAGCCATCCAAATTCAGGCCGAGGCTGTTCCGGGCACCTTCACTGCTACTGTAGTCTGCAATACTGCTGAGCGACTCGTGGCGTTTCGAATCAGGACTATTGCCGCCGACCGTTTCCCAGTCTGCTTTATCCCCGGGAACAGCTCCGTCGCCGCCACCAAGAGGAGTCTCGAAGTCTTGTGGAGCACCGTATGACCTGTTCGTAGCTGTCTTACTTAGCAGTAGGCTCGCTGAATTGCGTCTGCCCCACATGGCGGGGATCGTACTATCGCTCGGGTGCTTGTTGACCGTGTCTTGGAAGATCTGCTCAGCCTGGTCGAGAGCCTCTTTCGGCGTATGTGGGCTGTGCGGGCTATCTACTTGGGAGTATGAAGATAAAGGCTCAAGAGGTCGTGCTTCTGGTTGAGAGTACGATGAAGACGGTTCTAGGTTGCGTGCTGTATCGGGCTGGACTGAAGTTTCAGCGTGTGAAATTTGCAGCAAATTCCGAGTATCCCCGTATGAGTAGCTCGAGTCATGAGAGAACATACTCGACAATCCTAGACGCGGAGGGACAAAATGTGCTTCATCGTACTCAAAGGCTGGCGCAAGAGGAGCCGCTTCACGAGGGGGCGACTCTGGATGTTGGGTAATCGGAGGTCGCCTTGAAGGTACACTAGCTGGTGGATAGTGTGCACCCTGTGCCTTTCCTGCATCTTGATAGCATGTTGCTAAAGATGCATCCATCGCGTCATGGGGGCTATACTCGTCGATGAGTTTGCTGATAGTGTCCGTCTTAGGATCTCCCTCTTCAATCGGAGGGTGGTACATGTCCTGCGCAGATGGACGTGATACCTGACGACTAATTCTATTTGAACTGCTATGATCGTACAGACTGTTACGGTTATACTCGTGCGCGAAATCATTCGCATCCATGCCACTATAGCGTGCAAATGGATTGACGCTACTGTTACGGTTGCTCGGAAGATACTGCTGGTAGGTCGACTTCCGATGGCCATCACCAGTGTAGATGGATGAACTAGGGTATATTGAGTCGAGGTCATCGTAGTAGGGTTTCGAAAAGCCACCTTCTGTAGAGTATGGTAATTGAGAATCGTCGATTCGCCCAATCTGAGAAGATGGATCATCCGGCAGCAAAGATGCCAGCGGCTCTGTATCATAGTGTTCTGTAGGATGCCTTTGTGAAATCTCAACGTCATTCTGTCCAGGCGAAAAGGCATGGAAATCCCCAGCTGAAATGGGACTAGTGGGTGTAGCTGGTGACATTGGCACCACCGGAAAGTAAGATGTCTCCGGTGTGGTGACATAGGTCTGGTTCAGCGGACGCGGGAAGTCTTCGTCTATGCTAATCGATGCCAGGCTCGCGTTTTGATTACGCATATCCTGCAACTCCTCGCTTTTTGGTACGGCCGGGCTCTTGCTGAGCTTCTTCGTCAAATTGCGAGTAATTCCTTTCAAAGAGAAGCGCGACTCGCGTGCGGGCGCCTTGATGGCCAACGGGGAAGGCGCATTGACTGAATCCGGGCTATACAAAGGAGACGTATACGACGAAGAGTTGGGACTGACAGCGGCAGGTGACGGAGCAAGTGGAAGCTCAATATACGACTGATTGGGCGAGTCATCGGGACGTCTCAGGATACCTGCATGCGCTGCGTGGAAATCGCCGTACACAGCTCGCTTAGGCGCCATCTACATTGCTGTTAGTCGAGTGGAGAGCCGAATTGGGTTTGCAATACCTCTGAAAATACGTCGCCAGATGAACGCAAAGGAAGAAATTCACTCGAATCGAAGTCTCGCGAGGGCGTAACAATGTCGTGGAGCAGCAACGAGTTGTGTGGATTAACTAAATCAAAGGACGCGCCGCGGTAATGGATGATTGCGGGGGTTGCGGGCGGCGTCGCAGGCGCGGTCGTCGCAAAGCTAAGTGCGTCTACCTGCGCAGGCTCTCTTTCATCGTGGGGTGGGGACAGTGAAGGGTCGATCCGGTGGGGCGGGTGCGGAAAGCGGGACAACGAGAAGGTCGAAGCAGTGGGTGTAGTTTGCGCGCCGCTGGAGTGTGAACGCTCCGTAGGGATGCTCGCTACGGCGGGAGGTGGTGATTGCCGTGTTTGGATAGATTTCACGTTTGCAAGTGGGGGACAGAACAGTACAGGACCTGTGGCAGCAGGCGGTTTCGGCAACCTTTTTCTTGACTTGAACTGACGCACCTTGCTAGACAGGTTGGCAGTGGATATGCCGGATATGCTGCCCGTCTGCACACGAGGCTCAGCTGACTGCGACCGATGCGATAGGTCGAACGGTGTTTGTTGCTGAAAGGACGGATGGTCCGAGTTGAGCTGATACGCCGACTGCGAAAAGTGAAGGGGGCGTAACGGTGGACCAGAGTCTGACCGCGCCGAATGCGATACTGATGGCGCGCGTTCGATGTCGTTCAGGGCGAGCGCCGCAGGTTTCCTTCGAAGAGTCTTGCCTGCCGGTGTACCTGTTTGCGAGAGCGTAGGCGTGTGTTGCTGCTTGCGATACTCGTGAATGGTGAGGATGTGAATAGGAGTCCGAGAGGAAGCAGAGGACGTGACCGAATGGTGCGGGGAGTGAACAGGCGTCATGGGATTGCCAGCGTGCATCCGCAGTGACGCCCGTTCAGAAAGTCGCGGTGACTGTGAGGAGGGGAGGTATGCCGCCATCTTTGATTCGTCTGTTGGTTTCCTTTGATGGTCGAAACTAGGATCTTGCAGTTTTCTCTTCGACTATGAGTCTGTCGTCGGCATCACGGGCAGGAACGGTTTCCAGGCTCTTGGTCCAATGTTTCGTTTCGAGATCGGACTTGGGAGGAAGTTTAACAAATGCATTGCAACACCCACGCCATGGGCATCGACGGTATGGAGGTGATGGAGTGATTACGGTGCTCCAGTTAGTGGGTTATGCCTGTTGCATTCCTAGTCCGTCTGGCTAACCTCAATGGCTGGTGTGTGGATGCTTCAGCCGTGCCGGTATGGACTGATGTTCGAAGAAAGTGGTTTCTTTGGGAGGAATGAAAGAAAACAGTCGCAGCTGAGTGCTTTTGAATGCAGAAGTTGTGTTGTGCCGATGTTTTGTGGTAAACGTGGTATGGAGCGACGTCAAAGATACCGAATACGTGCGACGGAGACTCGGCAGCGAAGAAAGAGCGATGATGGGAGCATTAAGATTAGAATCAATACAGGAAAGACGGTGCTACGAGAATCTATCCCGCTGATAAGAAGAGGAAGGAACGCTGCACGATGGCCTGGAGAGCGATAGACGAGGAAGGCACAATGTTCTCTCACCAAGTACCTGGGAAGGAACGATGACGAGACGGCAAAATAACAGAAAGAACATTGCTAGAAAACCACCTCAGGCCCGCCCTTAGCTCCGGGGCCACCGCTGGGCAGTCGTAACCTCAGCAGGCCACACATTTCCATCGTATCCGCGTCTGCTGCCATGGCTCATTACACCTACTGGGTCGTTGTGTGCGAAGAAAGAGCGATGCAGCTTCGTGGGTGGTTGTCGGTATCCTGACCCCGGCTTAGCGTGTCTTCCCCACTGACCAGTCAAACCTCACAGACACCTACAGCGCCGAAACACAAGACATGGCCGCGCTGATGCGAGTGAGCCGTCTCTACCACTTGATCGGCCGCCGAGGGAAGCTGCTAATACCCGTCATCTCGTTTCAAAGCCTAGCCGTGGAGGCGTCGGAAGCCTGGCGGACCCAATCAGCCATCGTCGAGCCTTTGCCTCCTCCTGTCACGACCGGCATTGCGCGATGGAAGAGATGAGTCTCACTTCAGCTGGCCCATAGCTGTGGAGATGACTTCTGTTTACGAGGTTCCGGAGCTCCCGCCGTTAATAAAGATGGGTCGTTAGTGATCGAGGGCTGCGCGGCTGTCAAGTCAAGTCAACTCCTAAAGCTGTCAGAAAACCACGCTAATGTGGCGATCTGCCACATAACCGAGTCTTGGGAACAGCATGTTCTCTCACGAGTAATGATGAGGCGTTTTGTATTATCACGTGGGAATATAGCATTAAAGTTGGTGGTAATAGGTCCATTTAATATCTACGCTCTACGCATTACTAATCACCTCAGTGTATATCCACTAAGTCTGTCACCTGCATTTGATTTATCACCTTTGTCTTCTAAATCACCCTGGGCGAGTTCGTGCAAGGCCTGCTTCGCACCATACTCTTTCAGTCCTGTACGTGACTTTCTCCGCCGTATTGACGGATATCGTAGAGGCTCCAAGTTGTTTAGAGGCGAGTATGAGAAGCGGCGCGGATCAGAGCCTTGTGGATATTGATGTTCCAGAATAACCCGCACGTTCACGTTCTCGGGTGCCCAGCTATGGCGATGCTGCTGATGTGAATCTGCTTGGGGCGTCTTGCTTTTGTTTCGGGGTGTGGCAGGTTTGGGTGATGCTGGCGCAGCCTCAATGGCTTTACCTCCATCTGGCGGTTGATACTCTATCAGACTAGGATTGTTGACCTCCCCTTGCCGCGTGCCCTGTGATAATCAGCTTCGATCGCAAGTTCCATGAGGACGCAAACTTACACTAGTCGGATACACGGTTCCTGGCATCATCACATATTCGTCCAATGTATGCATCAGGTTGGCAAAATTGTAACCCTGTCTTGGATGGCTTGGAAGAAACCGCTGCCCGATGTCGTTCTCCAAACAGAGCATGCAGTCTTGAGTTGGCATGTACTTTGAGAGATTAGTGTACCACTGGGGATATGTGCCGTACCAAGCTCCGACATCCGCATCCACATCGACGGTCATGTATATGTTCTCAACGTCTTCCGGCTTCTGCACAAGTAGCACAAAGTCAAATTCGCGTGGCAACCCTGATTTCTGAAGCATGTTCTCTGTAAGTGTCCACACAGCCTTTCCGTCCTCCACGTCGTACTCTGGTCCCAATGGGCTTCGCTTTGATCGCACTGATCCTTGGATACTCATCATGTGAAATACTTTGTAGCTACGCTCCACAGCTGCGCTCGGGTTGAGCGAAGCAGAGACGGGCGCCTGAGATACGCCTAGCGAACTTGACAAGCTGAAGTTCCATTGCAGATTCTCTGGCGATACAGCCCCAAACATCAGCTCTGGTGCGTGCTTTAGAATACGCGGATGCGAATAGCCTGGCTTTGTGAGCGTCGTTGGATTGCCATCGTCGCCGTGAACCGTGACCTCGATTTCGGCGCTCTTGAAACGATGCGACTCCGGGTCGTGGGGATGGAAGACGAAGTGCACGGAAACGAAGAAAAGATTATCGATGACGGGGTCATGAAGCGCGGTTGACCTGTAGTAACCGTGTTGGAGTCGGTTCACATGGGCTGAAATGTACGCTTTTCCGGGTAGTCGGCGCTCATAAAGGCATTTCTGGTTGATCTGAAGGCGCTTTCTTGGGATGTTCGGATCTTTGGGTGGAGGTCTGGCCTTTGCTCGGCTTCCCTTAACAGACGGGTCAAGCGTTTGGTGTTTAGGCTCGGGCTCATCATCCCTTCGTTTGAAGTGTTGCAGCAAGGAGTGCATCGTGTTGTGGAGGTCTGTCGAAGACGGCGTTTACTAGATGCTCGGGTTGCCAGTCACGTAGTACCAATATGTGGCGCGTGCCAAAGATGTCATCAACACACCCGACTATGGCGGTATTTCTGATGTGCTTGATTCTGAACATATCATGACTGGCGACATGACACAGAAACGATACAAGATGAATGGATCAAGGCATGGAACCTAAGGATGGATAGGAGAGAGTCGTAAGGAGCTGGCGCAGGCTAAACTAGGCATGGATCTACTTGTCTCGATGGTGCAAGTGTTGGAATCGATAGCCCCTACGTCATTTCGCAGTTAGCTTGGATGAATGTAGGCACGCGGAGGTTCGCGACCTCTGTATGGACTTTTGAGAAGATGTATGCCTGGATCCGCACATCGCTGGATGAAGGTGAAGGGCGTGGCCGACGGCCATAAGCTCCTTATCAGCGCGTTTCTTTATCGCAAGCGAACCCCGCAACATGGCAAGAAGAGGTCAAGCCTACTGAGCGGTAGAATCGGACTAGAGTACGGTGGATATACAAATACAATCTGGCAACGCGTTGCATCAATATCATTCTTGGCTGCTTGTGATTTCGCAAGATGCAGTTGTGTCCAAAGGAGGTGTGTTCCACGGTACCATTCGCGCGGGCACCCCCTGCTAACCATCTCGTAACAGCTTGACAAGCTCGTCATCTCGCAGCTTGGCCTTCTTGCGCAACGCCGACTTGCCAGGGGAGTGAAACTAAACCACTCTGAAGCTACCGTAAGTCTACGCGTGAATCGTGTAGACACTGCTAATACTGCCAGGCATTGATCGCGAACAATCTCCAAGAAGTACGACTTCAGATTCCACGTGCATCCCCAGTCGCATGCTGAACGTATACAGCTTATTCGCGATGGAAATCACACGGTCGCAGACCTCATGTCCATTGGCAAGACCATGCTTGGTCGTCGCCATGTACAGCCCTCTGTTGTCGCTTCGCTCGCCGAGTTGATGGTCGAAGGCACCTTCCCATCCGGCACATACCTCGTTACCGTCCACCACCCCGTGTCCACCGACGATGGAGACCTTGAGAAAGCGCTATATGGCTCGTTCCTGCCCGTTCCCTCAAACGACATGTTTCCGCTACCCGATCCGGACGTATATGAGGATACGAAGCAACCAGGCGCTATAGTGGCTGTGAAGGGAGACGCTGGAATCATCAAGCTGAATGAGGGGCGCAAGAGGATCAAACTCAAGGTCAAGAGTATGGGAGACCGACCAATTCAGGTATGGAAGTATCCATAGGGCCGCAGAGCATGCGACTTACTACATACAGGTCGGATCACATTATCACTTCATCGAGACGAATCCACAACTTCAATTCGACCGCGTGCGAGCGCATGGCTACCGCCTCGATATCCCCGCCGGCACGTCGGTGCGCTTCGAGCCTGGCGATACCAAAACGGTCACCTTGGTACAGATTGGTGGGAACCAGATTATAAAGGGCGGAAACTTGATCGCTTCAGGCTTTATCGAGGATATGTCCGTCGCAAATGGCATCTTGGAGAGGTTGAAGTCTGGTGGCTTCCTTCATGAGCCGGAACCGCATGGCGATGCTGCGCACATCGACATCTGCACCATGGAGCGACAGGCTTACATCAGCATGTTCGGCCCAACGACCGGCGATCTGGTTAGGCTAGGAGCTACAGATCTCTGGATTAAGGTGGAGAAAGACATGACACAGTACGGCGACGAGTGCGCTTTCGGAGGAGGAAAGACGCTGAGAGAAGGCATGGGACAGGCTGGAGGTCGATCGGATAAAGACTCATTGGATACCGTCGTTACAAACGCTTTGATTATCGACTGGTCTGGCATCTATAAAGCCGACATTGGAATTAAAGACGGAATCATTGTTGGCATTGGCAAGGCAGGCAACCCAGACGTGATGGATGGTGTAGATCCCAACTTGGTGGTCGGTTCGTGTACTGATGTCATTGCTGGCGAACACAAGATTATAACGGCGGGCGGTATTGATACTCATATCCACTTCATCTGTCCTCAACAAGCATATGAGGCGATAGCATCGGGTGTCACGACTGCGCTTGGTGGCGGCACGGGACCTAGTACAGGTACGAATGCGACCACCTGCACGCCCGGCAAGACACACATCAGGCAGATGCTACAAGCACTCGATGAATTGCCTCTGAATTATGGGATCACAGGCAAAGGGAACGATTCTGATCTACGGCCCTTGCAACAGCAGGCTGAGGCAGGAGTCTGTGGTCTCAAATTGCATGAGGATTGGGGAACTACGCCAGCAGCCATCGATGCCTGCCTGACAGTGTGTGATGAGTACGATATTCAGACACTCATCCACACCGACACGCTCAACGAGTCTGGTTTCGTCGAATCAACCATCGCAGCCTTCAAGAACAGAACTATCCACACTTACCACACTGAAGGCGCAGGTGGAGGTCACGCGCCAGATATTATCAGTGTCGTCGAACACGACAACGTTCTCCCTTCATCCACCAACCCAACCAGACCTTACACACGAAATACTCTTGACGAGCATCTCGACATGCTAATGGTATGCCACCACCTCTCCCGCAACATCCCCGAAGACGTCGCCTTCGCCGAATCCCGCATCCGCGCCGAAACCATCGCCGCAGAAGACGTCCTCCACGACCTCGGCGCCATCTCTATGATGTCCTCGGATTCCCAAGCCATGGGCCGTTGCGGCGAAGTCATCCTCCGTACCTGGAACACCGCGCACAAGAACAAAGTGCAACGCGGTACTCTTGAAGAAGACAAAGGCACCGACGCAGATAACTTCAGAGTCAAGCGGTACATCAGTAAATACACGGTCAACCCTGCCATAGCACAAGGAATGGGCCACCTCATTGGCAGTATAGAGGTAGGCAAGTTAGCAGATCTCGTACTCTGGACGCCGAGAAATTTCGGTGTCAAGCCGTCTCTGGTAGTGAAAAGCGGAATGTGCTCTTACGCTCAAATGGTATGTACCACCCTCCTATTTCCTTCTCGATGACTGTCTTACTGATGTCCTTCCCAGGGCGATCCCAACGCCTCCATTCCTACCGTCGAGCCCATAATCATGCGCCCCATGTTCGCCCCGCTCCTCCCGCAATCCAGCATAACATTCGTCTCGCAAGCCTCCATCGCTTCCGGCGTCGTCAAATCTTATGGTCTACGCAAGCGTGTCGAAGCGGTCAAGAATTGCAGGAATATCGGTAAGAGGGATATGAAGTTCAACGATACAAGGCCGAAAATGAAGGTTGATCCGGAGAGGTATACGGTTGAGGCCGATGGCATGGTTTGTACGGCGGAGCCAGCTGAGACTTTGCCGTTGACGCAGGGGTATTTCGTTTATTAGTGCGGAAATCGAGTGATTGGGGTTGCTGCTGTGAGTGTTTGCTTTCGCCGTGAATGCTCATTCATATGCGATGAAACTCATACTTCGATGTTCCTATAAACTACTAACTCCTGTTGCAACAAGCAATGTTTACTCGTATCTCAGAAAGACCAACGAACACCCCAGAAAAGCTTGTTGTGTCTAGGGGGGCTCGCGCATCGTCCTCAAGAAGGCCTTGTCAAGCTGCTAACGATATCAATCTCCCCTCATACACACCACCACCTCCTCCTCCTCCTGACCCTCAGTGCCTCCCAACTCAGCCTTCTCTTTCTTCGTCATGGGACTCCTTTCCCTGTCACCATGACCTAATGTAACTTGTCTCTTCCGCTTGATCATAGGCTCAAAGTCGCTCGCGGTCGGGTTCAGCATGGTGCTACCACTGAGGTCGGAGTGTGCTGCTCCGCCAAGTGCCTGTGCAAGCTCAGGTCCCATACCTGTGGTGTCGACATGGCGCTCAAAGCTACCTAGTTCCTCACCAAGGGCGCTGAAGAGCTGTCTCTCTAGACGGCCGGTACTGTCGATGCTTGACAGTGATACTCCAGTCTTGTGGCAGGGTTTGAATGGGGAGAGTTTGGTGTTGTCCAAAGAAGTGTTGGTGGTTAAATGTGGATCGATGGCGTCCACATCAATGACCTCCACTAGATTAGGGATGTTATGTGAGGATCTGTCTTGATCCTTAGAGGTAGATTTATGTATTATCTGAGACCCTGAGTTTAATGCTGGTAGCAGGCTCTGGTCATGGCGCATAGCTTGATCCGACAGCCTTGGTGAATCGGACGCCACGCCCTCCTTTCTGCTCCTGATATTCACAGTTGAAGGGCCATGAGCTGACTCGAATTTAGCATATTCGGTGGTTGGAGGTGGCACTTCACTTCGATTGAACCTATACAAACTTGAAAGGGCTGGAGACGGGTCTCTCATCGAGATGTCTGAGGTGTAAGTTGGTTGCCTCTGTGCAAAAGGGTTTGGTGTGGGGATGCGATTCGCATGCGGTAGTGAAGTCGGGAACCGGGACTGCAAAGGAGGGCAGTTTTCTTTGTTACTTGATATAGAAGAGCGGCTGATTGCAGACGATCTATCTTTCGCGACATCGTGCGACCGTTGTCTACTTGGTGATTGTTTGTTCGAAGCGTTCCGCAGGGCGCTGTTGAAATCCGGATAAGACGACTTGCGAGCAATAGATGCCGAGGATGGGCGGTTGATGGGCGGAACGACTTCTGACTTTGGTGGATAGTATGTGTGAGCAGTCGGTAGCCGACCAGCATTCTCATCGCGCTGATTACTAAAGCCATGCGACATCTCACGGTTCTGCTTTGGCGGGCTCATGGCTTCAATGATCTGTCCTAACTGGTCGTCTCGAAGGGTAACGACGAGTTGTCTCTCCTTCTCCTTCCTCGATTGACGATCCTTCCAGTCTGAGTTAGTGCTCTCATCGTACTGCGACTTCCTAGGCATCCATAGCGGGCCTTTTCTGGATAGATGTGACGATGCGTACATGTAGCCAGGCATGGCCAAATCGCTAGTTGAGCCTGACGTGGTCCGTTTTGTCGACCAAGTATCCATGCTCACGTCGTCGGCACAATCACTGAGCGAGTTGAAAGTATCACCCCATACACCTGGGCGACCGCTGCCTCTAAAGCTTGGAGGTGGCTTAGAAAGATGTAAGATAGATGGCAAGTGCGCATTGGAGCGTCGATTTGGAAAAGGATTTTGTGATTTGGCGAGATTGAATGCTGAGGGCTGCGAGGTTGGCGATTGCATGCGTATATCGCCTGGGAAAGAACAAGCTTTGGGGATCCAAGAGGTTCTTGGGGACGTTTGCGAGAGCAGTGCGGTTCGCTCGAGCGCATTGGAGAGGTAAAGAGGATTTCGTATTGGCCACGAGATTCCCGCTTGTTCCAATATATCTGTCTCTCATTAGTAATGTGAACTTCACTAGTATGCGTTTTTCCGTGGTACCCTTTGGAGCATGCTGAAATACAAAGCAAACAATGTTGTTAGTAGTACCGAGGTCTACTTCTCCAGGGCTGGCTGTCTTGGTGATCAACTGCTCCGATAGCATTATCCTTATACGTCCGTTTGGATCGCGGGCATCCCATGAGTTCTGCATGAGAGTACGTTGGTGAAACGGTGGAAACTCGAGGCATGGCTTCCGTTGGCTTGTGGGATATTCGTTGACGGAGAGAGACCTCTTCTCATGGGCTGCAGCATGGTCAATTCAGACTAGATATAGCATCAAGTACACTTGACATACCGATCTCCTGGGGCCACTTCGAGGTAATGTCGAAGAAGCCATGGCTGTGCCAATCAGCACCTGGGCGGTATGTTCAAAAGCGGGAGCATGAAGCTCACAAGACTCTAGCCCCATCGACGATGATCTGAACCGTGTATACGACCTTCTGGTTCTCCTTCCGTCTTATTTCTATAAGTTCCGAGGCTTTTGATACCGCAGCCCACGAGTGTACAGAAATTCGGAACGGTGTGGACGGTGGCAAGGAGTTGATGTAGCAGGTTAGAGTAGGTAGCTGGCCTCCGTCTGCATGCTGTTAGCACCGACGTCTATGACTTGTAGGAGATGCTTGTAAGTAGGCAGGGGTAGAGCACGGTACTCACACTCCTCCGTTGAGACATAACAGGCTGTCTTAAACTCCTGTATCGGTATGTGAGAGTCCTTAGGGAAGAGAATCACGTCCCAGTCGTCGTAGCGCATGGCAGGCGTACGATTTCTGCTGTTCGGGTCCAAAATGGCAGCAAGCAATTGGCAGTTGTACCGGATGTGTGTTTTGTGAAAGGAAGAGGATGATGATTGTTGATGAGGGTCGAGCAACGGATGGCACGTCCGAGGTCCAGCTTGAGGAAGGCACAATTATGAGGGCGGGACGTCATTGCGCGGAGAACTTCATGTCTTGAGTGACCCTTACAAACGGGACAGGATACGCTCACTAGAAGGAGTTCTTCTAAGCTATCAGCGGAACGATGTGCGGCCAACTTTTTAAGACAGAGGACAGTAAGTTAAAAGACACATGACTGGTTTAGACCTAACGTATATTGCTGCATGAATATAAGTATCCATTGGAAAGCCCTACTAAAAAGTCACTGGCTGCGGATCTATGACATATCTTTCTATGGTCTCTTTGCAGAAGGCCTTGTACTAAAAATGCATCAATCCCCAATCTGTGACGTTTCTTTCTCCAGGCATCTGTCCGGATACTCATAACTAGACAAATAACATAGTGCAAACACGGAAGAAGCGCATCTTTACACCAAAGACGCAAGCCTTTTTACTTTGACAAAAGAAAACAGATTCTTGACGCCTTCTCTTGTGCATGGGTATACCATAATCTCGTTCGCCAGACGCCTCGCTAAAGCATTATGCCTTCATACCCAGTAAGAATATAGCCACATCGTTGAATGAAGTAATTCCCAAACTCCATGCTAAAGCGGCAAACAGTATTCGATATGCGTATAACCGATGCGAGAGCGTAATTGAACTACTGTGGAGGAAACTGCTGCGAGAAGGCACCGCCAAAGTCTGAGGATCCGAAGCCAGAACCGTTTGCGCCATTGGGCGGGGGCGAGACAAAGCGACTGAAGTTACCGAAGGTAGGAGTGCCATTCTGGCCGTCCGGGTTACCAGGCTGACCGTTCGAAGGGTTCGTAGAAGGGCCTGCGCTCTGGCTGCTGGGTCGCGAGCCACCTAGGTTGGTGTTCATCGAAGGTGGGTAAGGCGAAGGCTGACCAGCCTGGACCGGAAAGCTGCTACACAGAGCGACGTTAGCGAAGGTGCCCACCGAGGGCGTAAAGGCGACGAGCCATGCGCGTGCTAACAGAAGTACCAAGAGCGCAAAAAAATAAATACTAAAATGCACTTGGAACAGAACGTTAGGCGAATCAACCAAACTAGCAAGCACGCAACAAAACACGCAAAAAATAGAAGAATCGTGTGATTGGAATGATAGCCAATCCCGCTAGGAGCAGCGCACAATCGTGAAGGAAAGGCAATTCGACAGAAAGCAGCATCCGACCCATGCATGACTAGCTACATCCCATATGCTCCCAGGAATATGAGTGGCACGCTTTGAAAGGAAAGCCCGAATGGGAGAATAGATGGCCTGTTATACAAAGACTCCCTTCTATGGCCCTCCGCAAGATCGGTGTCGTTAGAAGAAGTCGAGAACTTTTGGAGAACCGCCCGATATAGAACTAAAGACCAAATCGCTCGAAATTCGTCATGCCGAGTCATGAAAGGGGTCATTGCAATAAGCCAACGGGATGAACCACGAATGAAGCGCCGTGCAAGCAATACAGAGGGAAAGAATGCGCTTACTGTAACCGAGTTAGCATCGAACACGCAGATAGCAAGGTAGGCAATCAACTTACCTTCATCATCGGACCGTAACCGCCACCACCGCCGTATGGGTGTTGCGGGGGCATACCCATTCCTGGGCCGAAGGGGACTGGTGGAGGTGGTGCAGGGCGGTAAGGGGTGCCGGCTGGACCCGAGTTGTTCTGTGAGCGGCCCCAGCTAAGACGAACGCGAGAGTTGCCAATCGGGTAGCCTTGCATCTGGTTGATAGCCATCTCAGCAGCATGGCGCTGAACGAACTGGACGAAGCCACATCCCTTGCCCGGGGGAATCTTGACGTATGTGATCTCGCCAAAGCCCTGGAAGAAAGAGCGGAGCTCGTCCTCAGTAACGTAGCCGGAGAGGCCGCCGACAAAGACGGTAGTGTTGTTAGGATCAGTGAACTGGTTCATCGGCTGAGGAGCACCGTAGTAGCCGCCCATTGGGGGAGCGCCCATGGAGTACATGCCCATACCAGGGCCGCCGCCGCCGCCCTGGGGCATGCCCATTCCACCGGGACCACCGGGACCGCCGCTCTTGTTCTTAGGGGTAGCGGTAGAGATGCGCATGGGGCGGTTGCCGCAGTAGACGCCTTGCATCTCGGTGAGAGCCTTTTGCTGGTCCTCCTCGCTAGCGAATCGGACAAAACCATAGCCGCGCGACATACCGCTGATGGGGTCGGACATGATCTTGGCAGACTTGGTGGACTGGTACTTGTTCTGGAAGAGCTGTACGAGGACGAACTCGGTAACCTCGGGGCCCAAGTCTCCGACGAAAATGCTGAACTCGGGACCACGCTCATCGCGGCTGTTCAAATCGTTAGTTATTACTGTCGTGTGTGGGAAGCCGGGTGAGACTTGCCTCCTGTCAGCAAGACCACCACCAGAGGCCCAGTTCAGCTTGAAGGGGCGGTTGGAGTTGGGGATCAGTTGACCGTTGAGAGTAAGGGCCTTGGACGCGGCATCAGGGCTCGCGAAGTCGACGAAGCAATATCCAGCATTGCTGCTATGCGGTAGTTAGCCTGGAGACTTTATCCTAGGTGATCTCCGTGCTTACCCGGAGAACTTGTCACGGATCATCTTGACGTTGACAGTCTCGCCCATGTTGTACCAAATGCTGCGCACAAAGTTCTCATCGATCCAGGGCTCAAGCTCACCCATCCTGCGCCATGTTAGCATAATAATTTTCCCACCTAGAAGAAGGCTACCCGGGCGCGCGCATGACAATCTTGTATCAATGATGCGCCACTCAGGCGCGTATGGGGACTCACCAGAGAGTCGTCTTGCCAGCACCTTGGCCTTGACCGTCACCACCAGCGCTGCCTGGTGGGCCCATATTGGCCTGGGGAGGGAAGCCGTTGCCGGAGGTGTCCATAGGCTGACCCATGTCGCCGGGTTGCGGGGTCTGGTTGTTCATGTCGCCCTGGGGCTGGCCCTGGAATTGGTCGCCGTAGCTGTTGTTGAAGGACATGGTCGATAGATCAAGCGGGGTAATCGGTTGAACTAACGGAGGTGTGGAGTAAGGTTACGGGCTCTAATTATGATAGAGAGGTGTAGAGTCTTTTAAATGGTCTGCACAGAAAAAGCAAAGGTTAGTGTCGGTGAATGATGGCTCGGGAGGTCACGCAGCGGCTGCGAGGTGAGGGTGCTGGAAGGTGGCAGGCTGCACTTACCGATTAGATCCGGCTCCTTCTATCACTGTAGACAAGTATGACCTGTGAAGGCGCGTAGGCAGTTGAGCGTACAAGCCAAGCAGACAGTCGGGAAAAGCGGCGACAGGAACTCCGGATCGCGCACGAAGGAGTGGGTGGGTGAGAGGGGCGTGAAGGAGTGACCGTGAGGAAGCTCGAATGAAATCTAGGCGGGCGGTCAGTCCCAGAGTCTTACTGCTAGCCATGACATACGGCGGGCGCACGAGGCCCAGGTCACGACAGGTCTGGCAACACCCACGGCAGCAAGAGCGCGTCGGGATGCGCGACTCTGGCTCAGGCTGGTGGGAGAGAGGTGCAGGCCGCGCGACCAAGTCCGTGCAGAGCAAAGACGTCAGTGGGCGATGGGCACACATCGCGTAGCAGACGGGTGTTGTCCGAATTGATTGTGCAGTCCGCCTGCAACCATGGCCGGATGCACGAAATTGTGCAGTGGGTGGCCCGCCAAGGCGAGATGAAAATTGCTAAAAGAGATGTACGTACCGAAAAGGCTCAAGGACACCGGCGGACGTGAGAAGCAGATGAGATCCAAACACCACAACGCAAAGGAATCAGAGAGGAAAGACGCTCGAAGACGACGAGTGCTCGGTTGTGTGGGAGGAAGGTCGGTCGGTGGGCGGGGTCGGTGGAAGAGCGAAGAACTGCAGATGATGTACGGCGCCGAGAATCCGCTAGGATTTACTTCGCTTGGATTTGGTAGCGATGGCAGCGCGAACCTGGGGACGCGGATGGCGTAGACCAGTGCTGGTTTAAGCTTTCGATCGATACAAGGATATCGCACTGAAGCGACCCAAGGACGAAGCGGCTCCATTGCGAGTGGCCCATCGCATCTCGCCTGAGAGGCTCAACACGGCTGCCACGCTGGCATCGACCAGACGAAGAACGGTGCCGGCTGCCTGCGATCTGCTTTGCGTTATTAATAGGCGACCCACCCTGCCTGCGAAGATGACTTGCAGCCAAAAGTCGTCACTGGGCTGTTGCAATGTGGGGGGCGGTGCTCCTCACTGCGAGCCTCGATTGCCATTCCAATCACTATCATCTCACCCATGTCCGCATTGCATCTCTGGGCTCTGCACACACAGGCTGCGCAGCTTTGTGCCGGTCGAATCACATACTTGTACCGCCACGGCCCTCTCCATTCTCTCTCAGTGGCCCCACCGCCTGCAGCTAGACGGCTGGTCGCTGCAGCACTCACCCAATGAGGTTGACAGAGACATATCACGACCGTTATGCTCTTGTGGTGCTGTGAAAGCATTCATCAAACATGGGCAATGGCTTCTGGTATTCTTCGATTTGATACGTGATCACAGTTATCATCATTTGTATTGGTATCTCTTATTAAGCAGATTCCTAACGCATCGAACCTTGCACCCAGAATCTCCTACAATGCCTGGCCAGGGAGCTTCTCTGGGATACCAGCGGCAGCCTTGGCCTCGCCCAGCTGTTCGCGACCCTCGGCAAACACCTTGTCGAAGTCGTACTCGAACCACCTGATATCCGGGTTCAACCCAGCAAACTTCCACTCTCCGTCGATCTTCTTGTACCAGTGCATGTTGAAGCTGTGGGCGTGGCCCTTGACTGCGACCTTTGTGCGTGTCTCATCTGTATACCTCTGGTGAGGCACACGAAGCTGGTGGTACCCAATAATCTCGTCCTCCGACGTCTTCTCCCACCGTGTGCCGCCGATGAAGTGCTGTGTCTTGAGAAGAGGGTTGCCTAGGACGGCGGGATCCGAGGCCATGGCGATAAACTCGTCTGCGGGCATGGCTTCCCAGATCTTGTCCAGAAATGAGCGGTAGTCGATTCTCAGTGTTGGTGCAATGCATTTGCTGAGACGGTCCCAGTCCTGTAATGTGTGAGTAATCGTCATTGAGCAGTGCTGTGTGCAGACCAACCTTGCTATCATAGCTGTCTGCCCACTCATAGCATGCCGACTGGCAACCCATAACGTCTGAACCTGTTAGTCATGCTCGCAAGAGGTGGTATAAGGCGACTAACCCTCGAACGTAGGCTTCAATTCGTTCTTCTCAAACATGATGGCTTTTGGGTCTGGTGAGTATAGGTGATGGATAGAGTATTATGTTATTGTGATATTTCAACTGTATCTCTACAACATCGTCCTTCGTCTTTATATCTGTCGTGTTCCATATCCTAGGACTGCTATTTGCGTCGACCTCTGCGACGTTTGGCTTCGGGTCCCCGCCCAACGGGGTTCCGCCATCCGCATATTCGAGACTGCCGGTGCGGTGCCAGCGGTCACGAACGGGGCCGAGGACATTTTTGGAGGCGGGAGTCCCTGTGTTTCGACTTGGCCGAAATGTTTCTACACCATAGTGGAGTCGTGTCGAGAAAGTGCTGCAGGGCAGTTGCTGCCGCGACCCCTCGCGGGAACAAAGAAGGTGCACGGGCCATCGAAACACCAAACCTTCCGATGGTGCGCCGCACCTTCAAACTTCCTTCATCTCCAGATTTAGTGGGTGCAGTTGATCCACTTTCGTTCAGTCTCGTCGAGTTTCGCTGCTAGGAGGTTGAGTGACTGTTTCGCCTGCCATGCCTCTTCAATCGACGAAGTTACCGCCAAGTTCGCGACAATTCGATTGCCATTGGGGCCCACCGGGAAAAACAAGACTATGTCGTGCAAGCGAGGTTCCTCTTCTCTACTCACGCAACGCAACAACAACAGCCTTTTAAGAGCAAAGGATATTTCCAACAAAGAGTACGCGTATAGAGGAGTCTCTACAATAATTGCTAGGGGGATACCTCTTATTGTCGTTGCGCTGTGTTGCGACGAAGGAAGTTGCTCACTATAAAAGGTTCACATATCCCTGAAATGGCGGTAGTCCTGCCCATTGTGAAAGCTGTTGGAATAGACAGGTACAACTCCCGGTTCCACAATTTTCCTTCAGAACGGTCGCACGCAAGAGGTATACTTGGCTACAGGCAGAGTGGTCTCTGTCAAGCGCCGACATGTGGTGTGACGAGGAATAGCGAGCCAATCGTATACCCAGCAATCCTGCAGCTGTATGGAATGCCTGTCCCGATTTCTTCATGCTGTCGAAAATGAGCCCACGTCGTGCGCGCTCTCTTTGAGAACACACGACGAGCTTCGTGCAGAATGCCCTTGCGTACCTGATTCTTTCGTGTTGATCGTTTTCTGAGCATCTTTTGTTTACCTTAATGAACGTTGCACCAACCTCCGCTGCAACCTCACAATATTCGGGCGGCTTCGCAGCCTGTCACTAGGTTCGCCATGACAGACATACTTGCGTGGAAACCACCATCTTGGTGGGGTGCAGATAACACTGCCGATACTCTTGCTAAAAGAGACATGCGTACTTTCGCGTCGGGACTGCTCCATGGGGATCGTGTCAGACGGATCAAGTCCGCATATGCGAAAGCGAAGAGATGTAAACTATGTTGCAACAACGCCTGGCCTACTGTGTCAGGAGGTGTCATCGTTGGTAGTCTACTATCGTCCGCTGAGAAGGGGTGTGCTGGTTGTTTGACATTGTGCGGGCTCCTAAACAAATGTGCCTTGATTTCCAAAACTTCGAGTGAGCCCTTCGAGCTCGCTTCGGATCAATGGGTATCATGCAGAGTGGAGAGATCGAGAGTGGTCTTGGAATGCTATCCGAATGCGTCATGGGAGGTGTTCGCTCCACAAAGTAAGATCATGGCAGCTGTGATGAGCATTGCAGACTAATGTATCCAGATCTCGAGAATCCGTGGCGAATACCGAATCTGCCTCATGAAGTCGTCGCAAATTCCGGTTCCGATCAAGCTGTTGAACGAGCGTCGTTATGGCTGCAAGATTGCGCAGACAACCATGAGTTGTGCAAGAGTGCCAGTTCGAGCCTGCCAACTCGCGTTATTTCGATCGAAGAACCGGAAAGCATCAAGCTGTATGAGTCTAACGGCGAAATTGAACCCTACATTTGTCTCAGTCATTGCTGGGGCAAGGGCGAGATTACAAAGACCGAGACGGCAACCTTATCCACGTACAAGCAAAGCATTCCATGGCAGAAACTTCCCCAAACTTTCCAGGATGCTATCTCTTTCGCTTTCCGACTGGGATACAAGTACGTGTGGATCGACAGCCTTTGTATCATACAAGATAGTGTCGAGGACTGGCGAAGCGAGGGCAGTAGGATGGCGCAGATATACTCCGGTGCCGATTTTACCATTGCTGCTACCGCGTCAAATCGCCCGTCAGAAGGATGTTTCCGCCAGACTACAGAGCGCCCGGTCAACATGTACTCGTATCCCGATACAAACGGCTCAATGTTGGATGTGTGTGTTCGATCCACCATAAATCATTATGCATGGAGATATGGCGAATATCCCTTGCTGCGCCGTGGGTGGACGCTGCAAGAATGCCTACTCTCGCGAAGAATAGTGCACTTCACAGCCGAAGAGATGTTCTGGGCTTGCCGAACTGTGAACGAATGCGAGTGCTCGTTTTGGTGGGATCCCCCGTCCTTACCCTTCAAAAACTTGCGCAGCCCCAAATATCTGTCAACAGTAAGGCCCTCGAGTGAAGCAGGATGCACGGACCTGTGGCATGGCATTGTTAGCGAATACAGCAGTTCGTCCTTGACATATGAGACGGACTGCTTCCCAGCTTTACAAGGCGTTGGCAAACAGTTGTATCAGCTAAAGAGGTCAGCATACATGGCTGGACTGTGGGAGAACAGTATAATACACGACTTACTATGGTACTCTGATCACAAGGATGAAGCATGTAGACCACAGAAATGGCGCGCCCCTTCGTGGTCGTGGGCATCTGTCGTAGGTCGGGTCAGATGGCCAAATTGGGGTTCAGCCTGTACGCCCTTATCAACTTACGTCGCCAAAGAGATCTCGCTTGCAGGATCAGATGAGTTTGGTGAGCTTCTATCTGCGAAAATTACTCTACAAGGTCGATGTCTGCTCCACAACGTGGAAGGCACTTACCAGTACAACGCGCCGCCATCCGCAGCCATCGAATACCCAGACCATCGAGCTTGGAAGAAGTGTCGTCGTAATATCTATCTTGACTGTGAATTGGAAAATTCAGATACACCTATCATTCCCCTTCGACGGGTGAAAACGCTTCTTCTGAGTGTATACCGAATGCAGTCGAACAATCTCTATGACGCTTTGGTCCTGCGACCCTTGGATACTACAGCGCAGGTATACGAGCGGATTGGCTTGATAGAATTCGAGACTCGTAAGGGATATGAGGTGTCTGACCTTCCATTGGGAAACGAAGAAACTCTACACATCGTTTAATCGGACGACAGACGCATGCAAAGATGTCGAATCAAGTCTTGTTCTCGAAGGAACCTAGACCAAGCGTACACGAGTCAAATGGTTTGCCATATGCCAAGGGAAGATACAATGAGTAGCTCATAGGGATTTAAAGAGTGAAGATGGTCTTGTCGATTATTTTGCAAGTTATTTACCTCGAAAGCTAGACAGGTATGAGCATAGCATAGACCAAAACACACGGATCCAACGCTCAAAAGGTTCGAAGCAGTCTGATTGAAGGCGACGTAAAGGAAACAAGGTGGTATCTGTATAACGAGAATGCCCAAACGCCAGGAACAACACAAAAGTCCAAATGCAGACCAGACAGAACACCGTCCACTCCTTCTCATGCTCCGCTGGTATCACCCCAACGCTCCACGCACCTCCTAACTACCACCACCCTCGAACTCCGTATATAATTTTATAACCTCCCTCTCTACTTGTACTGCGGCACACCCTGTGGCGGCGGTCCATATCCGGGAGCACCACCACCACCGTGCCCACCATACTGGTTCATCATAACCGCATTGCCGCGAACCTTCGTCCCGCCACCAAACTGCTGCAGCTCAGGCTCCTCCCTATACGCAATGTCCTGCCAGAAATTGCATATGTGGCACCCGACCTCCTTGTATGGCTTCAGACTAAACGGTATTACGGGGATGAAGCAAAAGGTAAACCATTCCCAGCGCTTCATCACTTTTCCCGTGCGGTTGTTGCAGTTTAGACATTGGAGAGTCATGTGTTCGGTGCCTTTGAGGGGAGATGTGAATGCTAGAGGGGATGTTAGTAGTGTGGGCGGAGATGGAGTGGTGAGTGACGTACTATGTGTTCCGCAGGTGAAGAAGAAGAACATGTTCGCGGATTATATGCGCGTAATGCGCAGTGGTGATTATGGTGCGTGGGTTCTTGATCTGGGGCGGATATCTCGTTGATGTCGAGCCGACGGAGTGATGCGCGTGTGACAAGCGACACGGGGGATTCCCGTTCGATTGTTGATTACTGCTCGTTTATGATACCGGTGGATGTAATGGAGCGTAGTACTGAAGTTATCTATTGATGGAGACGTTACTCGGAAGGAAGTTGAAGGTAACAAAAGTGGTCTGAGAGGCGTTGGGATGGGACGCTGCTTCGATGTTTCTGGTAGAGAGTATTGGCGCCGAGGAAGCTGCGTCATCAACGTTGCGTCTCAGCCACACTTGGCTTGGGGCTCCATGGGGCTAGCGGCTAAGCCCGCGGCACTATTACATATACACACACGTACTACGAGCTTGTCAGTTTCCGCCGTTTCCGCAGTGCGTTGGAAGGAGTATAAGTGCAAGTGTGTGCATGCTCTCTAGGAATTAAGTCGGGTGCTGTAGAGTGATTGATCGACGGTTCTTACTCAAGTAGGATAGCTGCGCCTACACGATGGTTCGCAGCGGATGACGGTCACTTGATCACATTCGCAAGGTACGTCGCAGGAAGTTGAACGAGAGCCTGAGCATGAACACTTCATTATGGTATCAAGCGGTAGCCCCCCAAAGCCACTTTTGTGGGAAAGAGACTCGTGACAGTCGTTAGGAGTAAGATGTTACAAGCTCATCATCATGCCTTTGCCTATCAACACCGCTGAATCGCAGAACCCATGGACCCTTACCGCTATTCACACCACAGTAGAAAAATGACATCCCCCAATTTGAGACGAGAATGACTCCAGGTCCACAACGAAAAATTTCGATAGTGAAGAGGGACGAGAATCTTGAAGGGCAAGGGTGCTTCGATCCAGTTGCGTTCATCTACTGAGTCTTGAAAAGTAAGATCGCACAGTGGCCGAGGTAAAAGTAGATGAAGTGCTTCGTCTCTGCAGTTTGATTAGACTTTGCCGGCCATACAGCTTCAGTAGAATATAACTACTTACCATGAGTAACAAAACTTCCAAAGTTTCGGCCTACGATGCAGTGCCATGTAGCGCCCTTCCGGCTGTCGAACTGCGAAGATATTAGCGCGCGCTTCGGATGATGCCAAGAGCTATGTTCTTACCTCCTTCTTGATATACTGAGCGATGTCCTACGTATTGAGGGTTAGTTGGGTCCTAGAATGGGATCGAGCTAGGTGAACAATGGGGACCCACCTTCTCGATGGTGAACTGCTCCATAGCCGACTGTGCTACGAGATGTCAGCGATGTTTTCAGCCGCACTTGGGAGCGAGATGACTTACCGACTTCAATGGCCTCTTGTTGCATTTCCTCGCTCTGTTACACATGTTAGGATGATATTGGAAGAAGTAACATAACTATCCCGTACCATGTCGGCCGACTTGATTTGAGCTGCATATAGTATTAGCTTGTACTTTGGCAGAAGTACCGGCATAAACAAAGGGTCTTACCATCCTGCTTGTGGGCATCTGACTTGTCGCTAGCCATGGTGTCGGTCCGTAAATATGGGTAGGTTTGAGTGATTCAGTTATTGTTCTCTTTCGAAGTACGTGAGGTCTTAAAAGGCGTGTGGTCGAGTGAGGCTATGCCTTTGTCATGATGTTTGAGCAGGCGCTCGCGCGGCGGTCTGCGCTCGGGCCTTCCACCTACGAGACTAATGCGCACTAGTACGGAACCGGGTCCGTGCGTACAACTTTTTTCTCTAGACGCGACATTGACATCCGTCACTTCTCTCACTACACCACAACTCACACAGCATGGAGTCGTCGCGTATATTTGTTCGTGGCTTACCTCCCAAGTTCAGCGAAGATGACGTGAGGAAGCATTTTGGCAGCTTGAAGCTACCCGTCACTGACGTAAAGTACTTTCCCCACCGAAGAATAGGCTATGTCGGCTATAAGACGCCTGAAGATGCTGCAAAGGCGGTCAAGTACTTTAACAAGACCTTCATCAAGCTCACCAAGATCTATGCAGAGATTGCGCGGCCTGTAGGTACTCTGCGATCACGATGGCGACAAGCGGGGTTAACATGCGTAGATCGCCGACAAGGAACTACCAAAGTCCCGACGACAGCAGAAGCTTGAGAAGAGCGCCCCGGTTAGCGACGAGTATCGACCGCCACGGCAAGAGAACGACCTCAAGCGAAAGCGAGAGGAAGCCGAACAGGATCCCAAGTTGAAGGAGTTCCTGGAGGTCTATCAGCCGCCATCTAAGACCAGTATATGGGCCAACGGCGACACACAGCTCAATGAGCCGACTGCTGTCGCTGCTGAGGAGACTGTGCCGGAGGTTGTCGTTCCAGAGGATGAGAGTGATGACGAGTACCAAGTGATCTCGAAAAAGCCAAAGATTGCAGAAGAACCTGCGACCGCCTCTGCGGTCCCACAGCCCACAGCTACTGAGACGAGCACAACAGAGATACAAGCTGAAGTGGCAGATGGTGGCGATGCTATGGAAGATATACAGGGAGCGCCAATTGTCGAACAAGGACCTGTGTCTGATGTGGACTGGCTGCGATCAAGAACAAACCGAGTTCTTGAACTGGTTGAAGACGACGAAGCACCTCCGACTCCGGCGACTACCACAACCATACCACAAACGGCAGCTCCACAGACCCATGTACCTGCTGCACCCTCCCCACACGTTGTTGAGGAGCAGCCGGAGCCACAACCTCAGGCGGAAGAGCAACCCGATACTGTTGCTGCGCCTGATGAAGAGGACAAGATTCGTGAAACTGGCCGACTATACCTCAGAAACCTGCATTACGAGGTGACAGAAGACGAGATCAAGGAGCAGTTCTCCAAACACGGAGCTCTTGAGGAAGTAAGTCATCATACATCTCTTTCACTACCCGCCTATGCAATGATGAACATCAAGATAGGGACAACTGATGCTTCGGCACTTGAGGTTACCTTGGAAAGTATTTTAGTAGATGTCTTTCTTATCTGATAGCGGCAAAACTACAGAGTCCACTTACGTACAACTTGATACGAATAGTTGCTGACTACTGCAGGTGCATGTGCCGTTGAAGAAGGTAGATGGCAAGGGCAAAGGCTTCGCCTTCGTACAGTTCCAGAACCCGAACGAAGCAGTAGAAGCGTACCTTGACAACGACAACACTATCTTCCAGGGACGTCTTCTTCATATCATCTCAGCAAAGGCGAAGAAAGACACCAAGCTCGACGACTATGAGATCTCCAAGCTGCCTCTGAAAAAGCAGAAAGAAATCAGAAGAAAGCAAAATGCCGTCAAGGCTACTTTCAACTGGAACTCACTTTACCTGAACGCTGATGCGGTCATGTCCACCATCGCAAGCCGTATGGGTATCAGCAAAGCCGAGTTGCTCGACCCCACGTCAGCAGATGCTGCAGTCAAGCAAGCGCACGCTGAGACCCACATCATTCAAGAGACCAAGTCATACTTCGCGCAGCACGGCGTCGACCTGGAAGCTTTCCAACGCAGCGCAAAAGGTGATCTTGCTATCCTTGTCAAGAACGTACCTCATGGTGTGACGGCCGATGAGCTTCGCAAATTGTTCGAGGAACATGGCACCGTGACCAAGTTCTTGATGCCACCCACAGGTATGACCGCGATTGTTGAGTTTTCCAACGTCGCGCAAGCAAAAACTGCGTTCATGTCTTTGTCGTATCGGAAGATGAAAGACTCCATTCTCTATCTTGAGAAGGCTCCTAAGGATCTGTTCAAGGAAGGTGTAGCAACCAACTTTGTGCAAACAACGCCGTCTGCACAACTTACACAGTCTACACAGCCTGGCACGAAACTTTCTGCAACCGACCTGCTTGTAGATGCTCCAGAGCCCGAAGCAACAAACACCGCCACTTTGTATGTGCGAAACTTGAACTTCTCCACGACAACTGAGCGTCTCACGGAGACATTCAAACCTCTATTCGGCTTTCGTAGCGCTAAGGTCAAGACGAAGATCGATCCTAAACGAGGCGTGCTGTCCATGGGCTTCGGTTTTGTCGAATTCAACAGCCCCGAAACTGCCACTGCAGCGTTGCGAGCCATGGATGGACATGATCTTGAAGGGCACAAGCTGCAAATTAAAGCTTCCCACAAAGGTGCGGATGCCGCCGAAGAACGTCGCAACGAGGATGCCGCAAAGAAGGCGGCAAGCACGAAGATTATCATCAAGAACTTGCCATTCGAAGCCAGCGTAAGATACCCTTTTTGTAGTGACAAAGCGATTGCTAATATTGGCTACAGAAAAAGGACGTTCGCGCTCTGTTCACCCCTTACGGCCAGCTTCGGTCTGTCAGAGTGCCTAAGAAATTCGATGCTTCTTCACGTGGTTTCGGTTTCGCAGAGTTCACCACTAAACGCGACGCCGTTAACGCCATGAACGCATTGAAGAACACTCACTTATTGGGCCGTCGTTTGGTCCTTGCATTTGCTGAGACCGAGTCCGATGATCCCGAGAAGGAACTGGAGAAGATGCAACAGAAGGTGGGAGCACAGGCCAATAAGGTCGCCTTGCAACGCCTTACAGAAGGTGGTCGCAAGAAATTTAACGTTGCAGGCACTGATGATCTTGACGACTGAGCGCGAACGTGTTCTGGTAGGAGTCGCGTGCGACACAGTCTGGCCTTGACGCCCTCCCTTGCTCCCGGACTACACGAGCCAGGCCGCCCTTTGCCGCGGCCCGCTGAAAGTAGTAGGGTGCTATGACCTGCTGCACCACGCTATATCTAGAATACTGCATTCTAAACCTCGGCAGGGTATATCACCAGTGGAGTGAATAAATGGGCATGGCCACCACACGGCGTTTCAGACTACTCCAAAGGGAGTAGGGCAGCCACGAACGAGACGTTTGTCGATCATGCAGACTTAACGTAGTTTGTTGTTTGCGGCCACTGACATTCATTCTTGCTCTGAGCAATCCGTGATGGCTCTCCTCGGACACAGCCAATCATGTGACTGTTGAATAGATGGCAGTCGGCTCAACGCCTTTGATCCCTCTGCTAACGACGCTACATTTACCATTCCAGGAAGCGAAGAAGTCACAACAGATACGATCGCATGGATAACAAGAGAATCATTTTCTCTTTTGCGGCATGGTGAAAGCACGTTAATCTTAATCTCATGGTAATGGCCACGGCACCTCGTTGACTGACCCCTCTATCAGTTTCAGGTTAGCGGATGTCGTATCGCACCCTACCGTCGGTGCTATGGCCTACTTGCCTGTCATGTAGTTCTCCTGCCTAGGGCTGGTCATCTGGTCCATACTTTATGTCAATGTAATCATCTGCATACCTCGCTACATACTCAGTTGCATTTTCATCGTTGTTCACCACATTCGTTGCTCCAGTTGCTTAACATTTGTTCCGTTCTGCGTCAACCGTTATTCTTGTTCTTATCGTTTTCCTCGTGTGCTTTTCTTACATGCCATATTTCGCCATGCAAATTCAATCTCAACCCTTATGCGGGCCGTCGGCGGATCTTCCCCTCCTGAAAAGCACTCCGGTCGAAGGTTCGTCCCAGCACCAAGGCGTCCTTCAAAGGCATTGCGCTGAGCAACCTTACAAAACTTACAACAGCACGACTCCGCCACAACTGAAACAACGAGGCAGTCTGAGTCCGTCCGAGAACGCTTACGCGCAGCGGTGCGTTACCACAGGACCTTACTACACTGGCAATGTACACGCACAACACATCGGACTGGCAGGCTTTGGGCTCGAGAGGTCGGAGAAGCAGATCAGATATGAGCTTGGGCGATTATGCAAATTGCTTCAACCCTCCGAAAAATATCAGACGTATCGCGAGAAGCAGCCTTCTCTTACACCGGCCGAAGTCATCGCACGAGATGCAGCAGAGAGGAAGGAGCAGGAAAGGAGAAAGGCGGAGGGTCTACAGCAAGAGAAGGACAAGACTGTCTGGCCTGATTTCATAGAGCAGGCCTTTTGGACAGGTAAGACGACACCCTCACTGTGTCTTGCCCTACCGTACGATTATCGCATCGCCTAAGTCGATTGTCCTCCGATTGCTCTACTCGGGCTTTGCTTAAACACCTGAATGCGAGGGCTGACTAGCATGCTACAGCACTTGTCCGATGGCCACCGATGGGTCGGAAGAAATACATGCTCGAAGGCACACAGCGAGGGCGAAACGAGCTGATCCAGGATTCCATATACAAGGACACAGGTATCAGACGCGACCGCAAACAGATCTCCAGTCACCTTCGGGTACTCAAGAGCAAGCTCAGAGCTGTTCCTGCTGGTGAGTGCCCATTTCGTATATTGTACCGAGCGGCGTCATCCTCCTCTCATTGGCTCTTACCTTTTGGTCGGCTGTCCTGCATACGTCGATCAGGTGGCAAGCCTCCGGAAAGTGCCTATCTTCCAAAGTCCTTCGAGAAGGTAGTGGCGGTGGCTTTGCTGTTACTATTCTTAGTGTCGTCGAGAGGGTTGCACTAGGGGCTGCCGGAATGAGACTAACCAGCACGACAGTCCTTCTCTATATGGCCACACCAGAGGATGTTATGCAGCACCAATGCACGAGCACACCCGTTCGTACATGCCATTCGTCACATCTGCGTGGCCGCCAACATGCGCAGCGCACTGATTCTGTTACCAAATATGAGTACAATACGTCCTCACCGCACGTTTGGCCACATCACAGTGACCCACAACAAGACCTTGCCTTAAGTTCCGGCCTGGATAGTGGCTCGCTATCACCTCTATTCACAGTTGCGGACTTTAACATAGTCGTTGACGGTGATGATCACCCCGTGCATTGTTTGACCGAAGCGCACTCGAACGGCAAGCTCGACGGCCTGAACATCACAGATCTCGCCTCCTGGCGTCATGAATACCCTGAATTTGGATTTCTACAATCCGAGACGGAGAACTGGATGAGGAGCGGCCAGAAGGTGTTGGTCTGTACCGCATCCATACAGGCGATGACAGAAGTACGACCGGATGCTGATCTAACCATCGCATTCGATCTCCACTCGCATCTTGATCTCTCCAGATACGACTATTTGGAATACATGACGAATTTCTATGATAACGGGAAAAGTGCTGTTGAGTTAGAATTCGACAGCACGGATCGTGATAAGAAAGAACGAAGCACGACATGTGAGTATCAGCCAGATTCTCATGGATCCAATGGCGTTTTGCGTATCGATTTTGGGGCTGTCTTTTGGACGGTACGGATGAGACAGTACCAGAACATGAGGCACAGAGATGACAGAAGCGTCGGGGACTCGTTGCAACATTTCACGGCACTTCAAGATATATACGGCATAGTACCTGGCACAGGTGAGGCTCGATGCCTTTGCACTATCCTTTGGAAATTCCAGCAGCCAAGGAACTCTGCAGACGTTTGTAGTATGGAATGGCACTCGATTAGCTTCGCTAAGTGCCGGCCAGCTGCAGAAGAGAGATGGTGCAATGAGGCAAAATACCAAACCGAAGATCTGGGGGATGTGGAGGTTGAGCATCAGCAAATTACGAACGTACCGACGTCTACACCAACGGATACGACGCCATATCAACAAGCTTCACAACTACCGGTGGACTTGGCACAAACACACGTAACACATCGCCCATACAAGATTGAGCCTCATCATGAGCGCTATCCGCCACCACTTTCTATTGATATCCTTGGGTCTATGCAACCAGATTTAGACCATCTCGACGGTTCCGCAGCCACCATTACAACAGACTATTCACAACAAAGCTTCGCGCTGCCACACAACCAAGGCACACTATTGTCAAACGCACACGATAACGACTTCGATTTCGACGGTGGTCACATGGCTATCAGGGGCGACTTCGAACCGACCATGAGTATCTCGGCTTATGGAAGATTCCCAAGCCAGAACGCCAGGCTCGAAGGCTCGCATTTGCTTGCTGGATTAGAGCACGCTGAATTCGCGGCTATGGGGCTTGATATCGGTGAGCATGGCCAATTAGTCCCCGTCAACGCAAATGACTTGCACGATTCCACCGATCTAGCTTGCTATTCGACCAAGCCGAACTGGCAACACGCACATCTCATCTCCAACCTCGAGAACGCAGCAGAGCAGTATCACCCTTACATCGGCCCTGATAATCATATGCAACGAACACAGAATCATGAAAACTCGCGTGGCGACGATGTTTATCAACAAATCATTGAGATGGAGGAGTCAGTGGCAACCGGCCTCCATGACGTACACGCCCAAGCCAATTATAGCTTATGGGGCTTGCAAGGGCTACAAAGCCCGTTCCAGAAAGGATCTGATAGTGGCAGTGGCAGTGGGCTAAATTACAGAAAAGAGCAAGCACACAGTTCAGAGTTTGGTGTGCCGGATGTGGTCGAGAGAAATCAAAGGGGTAAAGGCTATTAGACTTGAGTGGTTCACTGAACCGCTCCTTATGACGATACGACTGTATGTTCGCTATGTATGTACAGCGAAGATTATAACTAGACGTACTATCCAAGGGTTTTAGAGGTTGACGATATTGTAATGACACGCACTCTTTTGATGCGACATATCCCGACACATGGATCGCGACATGCTCGTGCCCACCGAATACAACCACCCTTTGAATTCTTGACTTCTTTGATGCCGCCCGCATATGAAACACGGTGCATCTTGCAGAAGAACCTGAACCACTGAAGACTACACACTAATAACGGTAATGGCGTAGGGCTACCAGCTAGGCGTACAACGGTCGCTAGGGCGTTCCTTACGCTGCACAGCCAACCGACCCGCATACATACCTAAAATAGACGGCATATGCACTTAGAAGCTTTGATCGACGGCGAGTCCGAGGCCTTTGCATACGAAAAGCATGGGGGTCTGCAAGGACTTTGTGGTAGGTGGAGACTACCAACGGCCGTGGCATCACCCGTCAGGTAAGCGGAGCCTACCTATCTCGAACCCCAGACATCAGCCCGCACACCTGGTCCTTTGCCTATCCAACAAAGACATGGTTACCTAATACAATCGCTACGCCGCATGCTTGCCGACGTCATCTCGGCCTAAAGCTTACAGCAAACGCGAGACGGCGCGCTGCACATACAAACGCGCTGTCGCGCGGTCACGCCTTCATGTGCGCATTGAGCGGGGCAAACACCGTTGAGCTCCATCCCCAAGCTTGGGAACAGCAATAGCTCGCCCGCATCTTTCCCCATCTTCGATATGTACGCAGCAGGAGAGGATCTAAAGAGATACTTAATCGTACCTCCTTCCTCTTCTCCATCATCTTCAAGTCCGGCTGCCAGCGATTCGAGAATATCAGTTTCTGCTCACGTTGGCACGGATGCAAGATACGATCGACAAGGCTCCTACGACAAGGCTGAGAAGCACACGATGGGAGTCGATGCACCTACCCAACCGCCAACACTTGGGTCTGCGCATGTAGAGGACCCCATGAGTAGTAGTACTCCGCTTGATGGCGTTTTTAAGATTGACGACTTCTTGAACAAGCACAAGGACGCGCATCAAGCTCAGATGCTCGCCCGCGAAGCCAAACATGCTCCCACTGCTGGCCCTCCTTCGAAGAAGACCAAGGCCAACGACAACGTTGCTCCACTAAAGCCTGTAGCAGTTGGTGCGCGTTCATCAAAGCACACCATACTCCTTCATGAAAAGTACCAGGTCCTCGGCATCCCGCAACCGCTGTTCCATTATGGAGGGGGCGGTGAGACTGGATGGAGTGTTTCTGTTAGCTTCCCGGGTCTGGACGATGCAGATGAGTTGCAAGGGCTGAGTGAAGAGAAGAGGTTCAATAGCAAGCAGGAGGCTAAAGAGGCTATGAGCCAGAAGGCGTTGGCAGTGCTAGACGAGTTGGAGAAACAGGGAAGGGTTCAGAAGGGGGGTAAGAGTAAGAATAAGAAGGATGCTGGTGGACAGGTTGTGCAGCAGGTCAAGGAGGAGAAGGTGCCTGGAGAGAACTATGTTGGTCAGCTTCTTGGTATGTCGTTCTCTCTTTTGATCCTTGTGCTACTGTGAGGCACACTTTCGGTATTCTGTACGCGGAGCCTTTTATCTGACTGACATGCCCAACAGAGTTTCAGCGCGCCACTGGCTCACCTCAGCCCACATACACTGACTACCAATCTGGTCAGCGCTTTGCCTGCCTAGTTACCATAGAGGGCCAGGGACAGGAGTTCGGTTCCATCGAGAGCCTCTTTACATCCAAGAAAGCTGCGCGTCAAGACGCCGCCCGTCATGCCGTCGAGCACTTCAAATCTATCGGCACCTGGCCCGACGACGCGACTGCCGTTGGCGGCATCAAGAAGAAGAAGAAGAAGAAAGCCCAACCCGGCATTCCCGAGATGGTGTCGATATCAACACCAGACCGTACCCCTTCCATAGCATCTACATCGACCACCTCCCCGGGTACCATGAGCTTCGCCCAACAAGTCGCTAGCCTAGCTGTCATCCTCGCCCTACCCACTCCAGAGTGGCAGTACACTTCCCACCCCAATGACCCCAACTTCCACACAGTATCCTGTTTCTTCCGCGGCCAAGGCCCACACGAAGGACCCATTGGCGAAGTCCGTAACATCTACGGCAAGAAAAAGGCCAAAGAAGAGTGTGCGAGACTTACACTGGACTATCTTAAGGAAGTCAGGGAGAAGCGTGTTGCCTATGGTGCGGAGGTGATGAAAGGCATTACTGGCGCTGAGGGTGTGCTTGCTGCTGCTGCAGGGAAGCCAGTTGAGGACGAGGAGAAGAATGTAAGGGAGGATGTGGCGGCTATGAGGCAGTTTGAGAGGGAGATGGAGGAGAGTAGTGAGGAGGACGAGGAGATGTTTGCTGATGCGATGGAGGGTTAGATATTGGAATGTCCTGGGGAGTTTTGGGGGATAGGAAAGGGGATTGGTCTTCGATAGGAGTTGTGGGTACGTTATAGTAGGATTGAATAGGGGATGGACGGCATCTGAGCGACGGACATACACATAAGCGTCCGGCATGCTTGGAAATTTGGGCCTGGCGTTAGTAGGGTTCTTTGAGTGAACCCACTTGGATACCAAAAATCTCGAATTCTTCAGATTCTGCCCAGCATACAAAGTCTGCCCTAGAGGCATACACCTTCAGGATACCACATCACGCCAACGTAACCACAACCATGTCAAAGTAGTAAACATTTATACGAGAAACCATACTATTCGCGAATCTCCCTGATATCTAAACTAAGAAAGATACTAGTCCCCAGACTATATAGTACAGTAAGCTTATTCGCGCCATTCGGCTTGATATACCCATTGACGGCGATATGCGTACGGTGTAGACTTTGCTCGTTATCACAGATCCGATGCCGTAAACGAACTCGTTCCACACATCTCTCTGCGTCGATAAACAAAACATGAAAGAGAAAGCGCATATTGAGGTAGACCACGAAGAGAAGAAAGCTGTCTAGGTAGAAGCAACCTCGCTCTTCCTCTTGCTACGATCGCGCTTCTTCTCCTTGCCAGCTTTCTCGGCCTTTTCCTTCTCCTGTGCTGCATTCTCCTTGTCGCCCTCGGTCTCGTTGTTGCGTGTACTACGGCCGGACTTGGTCTTCTTCTTGCCGCCGGTCTCTTCAGGGCTGGGCTCGTCAGGTGAGGTTGCTGGGGCAGGGGCAATGGGCTGTGGTGCGGCCTTGTCTTTCTTCTTCTTGTCCTTCTTAGCAGGCGTCTCGGCGACAGCGTTGGAGGCAGGGGCTGCAGCTTGGGGAGCTGTGCGTGAGGTCGGGAGTGGGACTGGAGTTGAAGCGGTATTGGCGGGAGCGATGGAGACGGGGATTGAGTTGCCATTGACAGCTGGAGTCGTCTTCTGGCGCTTGCGTGGAGTTTTTGCGGGTGGAGAGGGAGCTTTGGCAGCTGGTGCCTCGTCCTCGTCTTCAGAGGATACGTCAGAGTCGGCAACGCCAACTTCAGCCTCGATTTCGGGCTCGGCCTCATCAGAAGCGTCGTCCTCTTCGATAAGCTCAGCGTCCTTGATGCCCTTGTTGGCAACGTATGCAGCTAGCGCGGTCTTGTACTCTTCCATAGAGTTGCGGTAAGACGCCTTCCATTGCTGCGAATGTATTAGCACCAAGTCGGTATGAAGTCATGCAAGGCACGCTTACCTCCTTCTCCTCCTCAGAGAGCTCGTTCCAGCGCTTGTTCACCTCGATTTGGACAGCATTCTTCTCGATCTGGCCACCAGGAGGAAGCGCGGCCTCAAGATCGGCCTTGACGATGGGACGCGCATGTTGGTGGTACAAGAAGGCAGCAGTGAGCGGCTTCTTGGGCGCATTGGGGTCCCTCTCCTTCTTCTCGCGCTTGCGCTTCTTACTCTTGCTCGCGTCACCCGCCTTGTCGCCAAGGCCCTGAGTTACTTCTTCAATGGCTTTCTGGCCAGCTTCGAGGACGGATGCGGCAGAGGCGGCAGCGCCGAGTGCAGAGATATCGTTGCTGTAAGGCGCCGCCTCGCCCTCTTCGTAGCCGAGGACTGTATGGCAGTGCTTTCTATAGCTATCCAAGAGACTGGTAATGCCGTGCTGAACGTTGACGAGGCCATTCTGAAGGTCGTGGAGAGAGGAAATGACCTGATTGTAACTGTAAGCATTTGATTCTTCTTTGTGCGCTACACTCGTCTTCGCGCTGCAGCGATTGCGCGATTTTGTTTGCGCTGGCGCCATTGCGACAGCTTGAGGTTGAGGACGCGACTTTGGTAGAAGCGCAGGAAACCCTTTTTTTCTGATAACGTTGCCATTTTGGAGTCGCGTAGATTAGGCGATCAAGGTTACATAAAAGAAAAGATAAGGCGAGGTGAAGGTGGCGCGATAATGGGCTTGGTGTCATCGCGACGCGGTAACTACAGGCAGGCGCGTCGCAGTTGTAGACTACACGAAACAAGTTGTAGGACGTACCGAGTCGCGAGTCTTCTTGAATTCTGCAACGGGAATCAAGAGCTGACCAGTCACTGGAGCTTCCTTTCTCTTAGGTGCCATGATGGTTGGTGTTGTGTAAAAGTGGTTGAAGGTGGGATGACGGGCGGGTGGTTGAGGAGGTAGGGCGCGGCAGCTTGGACGGGGAGGAGCGCTCGAAATTTCGGGGGTCGGGGGGATCGCTCCCTTAAGTGACAGCGAGAAACAGCAAACGTGCCCTGATTTTGGGCGGCCATCACCCCGTGTTCGGGGGCACCAGTTAATTACTCCCCCCAAATCCAAATCTATTGCTTGTTTTCTACACACGCAGCCTGTACGAAGATGCTCCATGTTAACAGGGTGCATCGAGGGAAATTGTACATCAAAGACATTTGCAGCGTTCACTCTTAAAGATCAATGATACTAGAGACAGTGCATACCTCTAGGGTAACATTATACTTCTACTGCGCGATGCATATCTCCTTGCAGCGTGTTGTGCAACTGGTGTAGCGTGCCGCATGAAGGGCGGCGCCCATTTGCTAGAGGGTGCCAGGCAAGGTGCCCTCAAGCCGCCCATTGATATGGCTAGCTTCAGTACTGCCCCCTCAAGCCTTTGCACGTCTTCAGGCGCTGTTCAGCGCAACACCGACCTACGGCAACCTTTTCTCTTAGCGAAACTTCCCAAACTCTGCAGTTTGACCTCATCAGCGTCATAAATCTGCACTAGGGATGTCGAAACATAAAATGAAACACGTTTCCGTGTGTACTCGTATTGATATTATCGCTCATGCTATTCCTTGAACCGACCACCTTCGCTAACGTCGGGATATACATCAAACCTCCTCTGTCCATACAACGGCACTCCCTTCCTAGTCTCCTCAATCTTGCCTACCTCTAGTTCGCGGATGAGCACACCTTCCTTCTCATCAAGCTGCTCTAGTACTGTCGCATTCGGATCGACAACCATGCTGTGGCCCCATGCATTGTATTCGGCCTTCATGTCTCTCGCTGGACTGCACAGTCCAACGTAGACCTGATTGTCTGTTGCTCTGGCCCTCGCCAGCAACTCCCAATGTAATGCGCCGGTTGTAAGATTGAATGCGCCAGGATATAATAGCAGAAACGCGTCCTTTCTCGCCGCAATCATCGCAAGCTCGGGGAACCGTATGTCGTAGCAGATTGCTATCGCAATCTTTCCGTATTCTGGTAGGTCTACCAATGTGATCTTGTTACCTGGCGACAACACTTCGCTTTCCTTGAACTTGATCTTCCCTGGGATGTCGATGTCGAACAAATGCACCTTGCGGTGAGTAGCAAGTAACTCTCCACTAGGCGCAAACGTTAAACTTGTGTTATACAGCTTCTTCGCATCCTTGTCGTCCCTCTCCGGTATGCTTCCTCCTACAAGATATACACCCGCCTCTTTCGCCAACTTGCTAAGTGCGTGGAACGTCGGCGATTGCGATTCCGACGGCGGGGAGGGGAGCAGTGTCTCGGCGTACTTGTCGAAGTACTTTGTTCCGTAAGGCGAATTGAAGCATTCGGGAAGGACTACAAGTTTTGCGCCAGCTTTTGAGGCATCGAGAACCTTTTGCCGCGCCGATGTGAGATTCGCACTCTTATCGGCGCCCGAAGCGAGTTGGATGAGCGCGAGCTTCAGCGACTTTTTCAGGAGGGATGCCATGTTTGCGATATTCGCGTGAGGAAACAGGTAGTTTCAAAAGTATACAGTCAAATAACCTTTACGCTCAAGTATGTACAAGGCGATGTTGGAGATCTTGTTGGAGTGTTGGAGTAGCGTTGGGGTGGGGTGGTAGCTCCCATGTCATAGCTCGGCCGGACTTGCCGTCCGATGATGGCGGGGTGTGCTTGCCGACGCGTTCAACGCGTCCTCTTACCTTCACGTTCCTCGACCTTACCTCAACAACTCGATATCCTCAGCTCTCCACTCGACATCACGCGGAGATATCATTGACCACTCACGATAACTTCAGGTCGTAAGACTAATCTTTTTGTACAAAGACCGACTCCATTCTGGTACAAAGAAAGAGCTCCGTCACCACTTGTAACTAGACTACCCTCTACTATGGACGTTTCTCCTCATTCACCACTCCCCTCAACACGTTTGACTCCCTAGTCAATTGGATTATGGAACACCGAAATATCTTTTATGCAGGTACCTCATCTAGGCCAAAGGGTTTGGTCCCCGCACGCTGCGGCCGTGTCTTCTAGATACTCCAAACCCAGACAAATGTGGAATTCAACCAGTTCTCCAAAATATGACGAAGTTGACCGGAGGAGCGCAGCGATGTCGATTCGAACATCCGAAAGTGTGGCAGCCGCAGCTTTGTAGAAAATAAGCTCGATCTTGATCTTACCATGCTATTTGACAGAATGTCGAGGGATCTGCCCGGCCCATTGGCATTTCTTCCTACTAATATCTTTCTCATAGCAGAACAAACGCTCCAATGCCCCGAAATCTTCGAATGAGGTAGGCGTCTTAGTGGAGCGCAACCGGAAGGTGAACGTGTTCTTGCCCCAAAACATCAAATGATGGTATACGCGTCAGACTTGACTGGCACTGGGGACGGTGTTTTCTCCTTTCCACTGTGGGTATCCTCGCTCAACAATTGCTCTTGATTCTCGAAGTATTCGAACCAGATGCTCTTCTCGTGCTCGAAAAAAATGGCATATAAAGGTGCAGAGCTCACTTGGCAGATCGAGGAACCTGGAACCACTGTAGGCCTTGCTGGATATTGTACGCGGGATCTCAACGGAGTGAGGCGCCACATTGGGTGGTTGAGCGTAGGTTAAGTATGTGTGTGAGAAGGAGTTAGTTTGTTCTTGTGGTGGAGGTTGAAGACGGACCTGGCAGTACGCGTGGCGTGATATATCTGAGAGGAGAAGAAAGAGCTGTATTCTCACAGATCAAGCACTGCGAGTAGGACACTGACTCTCAGAGCCTGTCGTTACTATCCCAGCAAACGCTTGAACGCTATGACTCCAGGCTCCCATCGCTACGACTCCAGGCTCCCATCGCTACTACAAAATCCTGCTCAGTGCACGGATGTGTAGCAAGTCTCGATCCAGTTCTTCTGTACACAAACGCGACTCTCAGCCCTTTGTATTAGTCACGACTTTAAGTGCTCGACTCCCTTACTCGATCTGACATGGTGCCCAACAGCATACCAAAGCCTATCGCACAAGTCATCTGTAGAAAGGCCAAGCCAGATATCCGATCCTTACTCGATATACTACTGGAGATTTGCAATAAAATTTATGGCACGTTCTTCGGATCTCCAACAAGTGTAAGATTATGCATTCGCAGTTACTGTCTGTCTTTTCGAGACGAGACCAGACGTAGTGATGTCCTCAACGTCGTTTGACGCGCTCGATTACCGCCCACTTCGTAGAAAGAGCGGATGCAGATGCTGTAGGTAATGCTAGTTTACTAAGACTAGGTCGTCAGCTTTTGCCTTAGCTTCATATTCCATGTCCTGCACAGAAAACCAAGAATTTTATCAAGCATATAGCATAGATATCAGAGGCGACGAGATTGACACGGATGACTCGGACAAGTATCAAAACTACGGTCCCAGGCAGGTACCTACTTCGATGGCACAATGCGATTTTACGCAGGTTACCTGCAGCATTTACTGATGCTGGAGGACGACGCCGCATACTGAGCAGGTCAATGTAAGTCATTTTTCCTAGTTCATGCAACAGTAGACATAATCTGACCAGTGTAGACTTCGTTTGCCGCGTGCGATGATACTTGACCATTCCATAGTCTGCAAATTCAATTACACCCCGCATCTTGTTGGCCCACATAGTTCACATTAGTCCCTTTCTTCGGCCAACACGTTAGTTTTGGTCCGCTCGATCACCATGCGCTTACTCGACCTAACGCAACTGCTTATTGAAGTAGCAAACAGAGTTGATTCATACATCGCGCTGATTACTATTATATAAAGAGGATACTCACATCATATTCTTTCTTTCTTTACAACATCACCAAGACTTCTACTTCTTTGACAACTACATCCTCTGCTACTGTTGCAACGGTTTATCAATACTCTTTTGTAGCCGCGACACCAAACATGAACAAAGCAAAACCCCGCTACCGGAATAATGATATACCCAGTTTTCCAGCTATCGCTCAAGGTACATCCGCTCCATGTAACCCAACGGCGTTCTCATTCCTCACCACATTTCCTGCCGAAACTCGAAACGTCGTGTATAACGCGCTATTCCACGTCCCAGGTGGCATCCGCGTATCGCCCTCATGGGATTACGTTACAGGAGATACATTCGAAGACCAAGAATTGCGAAAGGGTTTAGTGGCTGGTCTTCCTATCTTGTCCACATGCCGGCAGATATACCACGAAGCTGCTACGACCCTCTTCTCCAACAATACCTGGACCGTCTCTAGGGACCTTGATCAGATGGAGGTCCGAGACGGTACCATTTTGAACGGAACAATGACCGAGGCTGCAGGTGCAGTGCAAATGCTGCAAGATTTTGGCTCTCGCAAAGTAATGGTAAGAGAGATCCTCCTCGACTTGGATAGGGCATGTCCGGTTCCATGTCCAATGCATCGGGTAGATCCAGTTCCTAACCATCCGATGCCATACCGTGAATCTGAACATGCGGTGGAAATGTGGGACCTCGCGACGGCGATGTTGCATCTACCACATCTCAGAGTGGAGTTTGTGCATCCCAAACGTCAGGCGTGTTATGATTTCCATCCCTCCCTCGGCGGTTTTGAGCACGACATCAGTGTTCAGCTTGATGTCCTTAATGCCACTTTCGATACGTTACGGCGAGATGCTATCGGTATCAGGGGATACGGGAAACAAGTTCAGTGGGTATTTGTTCAAAGAGATTGCTCCGAAGGCAATGTGATATTTCGATCACCAGTACCCGTCCCAATGAAAGATCGGTCTAAATTACGGTTTGCCATATCCGAAGAGGGCAGGAATTTGGCATGGAAAAGTCTCGAAAGAACACCACCTTCTCTCATGGGCCTACCGTGGCATATCAAAGACCAGATTATTAACGATGTCAGCTTCGTAGGCTGTGCTGGTCCTCCTGATCATGGTCCAGAGATCATTTGGGATATGGATAAGAAGACTTTAACGGGAGCAACCCTTCTCGCTAGCGAGATATGTAAGAGGGTGCGGGTGTTGTTCTTCGATAGGCTCTGGGATTATAAGCAACATGTCCTCAAAATAGGAACTAGTCAACTCCGCGCAGACTTCAGCAAGTTTCAGAGTCTGCAACAACTCTGGACTGTGAACCACCCCTCCCCTCATTGGATTGGTAATCATAAGTTCAAAGATCTGGGTCCTTCACTAAGACTTCTTCTGGAATTCCGAGTTCCCTGAGGTTGCCTTAGAGGAGGTCCAACTGAATATCACCAACTTATTGGCAATCACGGCAAGTTTTAAGGGCAGCACAAAGATCACAGTCTCGGTTACTAGCGGAGAAGGTGTTCCCGTTTCAAAGAAGAGTACGAACCTGTATATGTGTCGGGCCTTAGCACTCTCTGCACTTTCCCAGATCGGCCAGGACGACTGGGAAAACTCCCCTCAGTACCTCGGTGGTCCAGCAATATGGATGAACGGCCGCTTTGAAGTCGTGGAAATCGACGATTACGATCCTACAGAACCTTTAGGAGAAAACGCCCATGTGTGAGCTTCATGCGTTCGACTTATCCGGTGCCAACGCGTAAGTTCCACTCAAAGATGAACTTTGTGCTTTACTGATTGACCATACTAGCTTGCGATTCGCAATGGTATTTGCAGCCAAACATCGCTGCAAACGTGGGCACATTTGAGCAAACTATGCAAGCCTGCAGGTATACTGAAATTGGGTTCTTATGGGGTTCAAAGAAATAGCACAGCGCATGTGAGGAGGGCCTGTGAAAACGGTATACAAATAACAAGTACTGGTACGGTTGGTGTGAAGAATTCAGGAAATATATTTTTGCTTCATGCTTCAATACATCAAGCTGTATCGCTTAGAGTCTTGTCTTGTACTATTTCCTCTGTGACGCGAACCTCGTGGCTCTTCTCCAGTTCTGACAACACGATCCAGGTAGGGAAGACGCACAGCACCGTGATGCCAAAGTTGAGACCAATGCTGACAAAGTGATTCGCACCACCTTCCGATTGCATGCTGTTGCGATTGTTAGCTGATGATTTGCGAATGCTGTTCAAGCAAAGGAAGACTTACGCCCAAGCAACGGTTTGACCCAGCGCTTCTACACCTCTCAAGATACCGGTAAGATGGCTCAAATTGGAAAGATCCGTCGCATACTGGCCAACTAGCCAATAGAGGAATTGCTGGAAGGCTTGACCGCCAAACTGCCAGAAGAAAACGAGCGCATAGCTCTTTCCAAAGCCACCTTGGAACCAATCAAACACCGGGGACTCTAACGCATCGTAGTTCTGCTTCTGGAGGATTGTTGCCCAAATCCACGTACCAACCAAGAGGGTGATGATGCAACAGAATGCAACGCGACCACGCGTCTTGATGTGAATCTTCTGGTTGTCGAGCAGGAAGGCGATGATGAACGAGGAGAAGATACCGGAAAAATTGGTGAAGAACGAGGAGAATGCGCGAGCTCGGACGGTGAAGTATGTCGTCAACCATGTGCTCATGAAGCCGTTGTAAAAGTAGCTGATGAAGAAAGCTGGCAGCAGAAGCAATATGCGACGACTGATAAACAGCTTGCCAACGGCCTTGAACTCAGCACCCCATGTCGCGGCGCGCTCAGTGACGATCCTCGTGCCATCTTTTCGCCAAACTTTTTGTGCTGGCGACAAGCACATTGCGACTGGGAGACCAAGACACATAATGACGATGAATACGATATATGTCGTTGAGGAAACGGATCCAGTGGTCTTTTTGTTTGCGTTCAGTCCGAGATTGATGGCGCCTCCTACGATCGGTCCAAGTGCCTTTGCAGTCTGCCAGATAGCGAGGTAAAACGCGCGGTCTCCAGGCGACGGATACCCGATGATGATAGCAGCTTCAGCAGCCCAGAAGAAACCAGCTGAGATACCGCAAAGAGCACTGCCAAACAACATGAACCATGTGTTTGCAGAGACGTTGTTAGTGTAAAGACCTGCACCGTACAGTGGATACCCGATGGCACCCAACGCAAGACCATACTTCAAGCCGATACGGTTGTTGATAGCTCCGGCAGCGACGCAGACCACAGCGAAGAGTCCATAAACGAGGGCGTTGGCGGCAGAGACGGCGTAAGGTTCAGCGGCTCCTCCAGCCCCTAACCCACCAAGCGCATCCCACATTCCTGGAGCCGTGAACGAAACACCACATGCTACCAGGATCTGGAAAGGTACCGAGCGGAAGAACGGTCCAGAAGCCTTGAGGGAGCCCGAGGGCTCAGACAAGGAGGCGGACGACATGATGACACGGAGAAGTAGTAGAGGAGAGAAGAAGGGGTGAGGTGAAGAACCTCAGTCCAACGTGGATATTACATATCTTAAGAGTTCGGACGACACCGCGATCCTTGGCGAGCTTGTTACCCAATTTTTTCTCCTTAGCGATGGAGGTTGAGGCAATCGAGACGTTTGGTGTTTTCTATGGGGCGAGCACGACATCTGCGCTAACTGACTCGCGCACCGTTCTGCGCTCCATGCGTGCCTGGCCTCCACCCTTTGGGGTATGACTTCACTCGACTTTTCGTGTGGCTTGCCAAGTTTAGTGCGGCTTTCGTCGGTTTGTGAAGTTCATCCGCGAATGTTGAGATGAATGCGCCATTTCGACATGAGACACGGGAAGCACGTTATGTTGACATCGCGTGAGTTGTGAAGAAACTGAAAATTCACGAGGTTGTCAAATAGGAAGGTGCATCATCTTAACAACATGCCCTTTACACACTAAAGCCCATATCTGCCCATCGATTTCAAATCCGATTCTAATATTGCTGGCAATGCACATTCATCTTCAATTTTACCAATACCAAATTCTCTCCATTATTCTGCCACTGTTCATCGACATCGACTAGAGTCTTTCCTCCCATCCCAATTGTCTTCATGGATCCCAATCTTGAGTCGAGTATCAGCAATAGTGCTGAAGTAAAAGTGAGTCTTGGCAACAAGTATCGAGTGGCTTTATGCAATGTCCTGCGGACAGGATTTGGGGAAACTCGCCGTGGGAAAAGACGCTGTTTTTCTGTCACACCCTCATCTAGGCAACCTTTCCCTTTTCCAAATTGCGATTCCTACGCCTACTTTCACATTCACATGGTGCTTCATTAGTGTTTCATATGCATTTGAGAAAAGGGCGAGGAAAAGTTGGGAGATCGTGATGATTGAAGTGATCCCGTGTAAGCCCCATCGTAACCATTAAATTAACCATAGAACATTATGCATCCAATCTTAGTCCGTATCGGCCTCAAACACGTGCGGCGACGAAAGCCGCAGCCGCGGGAGCATCGATCTCGTAGTTCCTGTGCTCAGGAGTGATGACAATGCCGTTGTCGCAGATGTTATCACCCACATGGCAGATGATGAGAACCTTGTTTGCAGCAACTGGGCCGAAAGTCTCGTCACGGTCGGCATCGCCGAATGTTACAACAGCGGTGACACGCGCGGCCTGAGCGGCTGATAGTCTCTGGGTAGCAGTATGTACAAGCTGTGCGCCCTGAGAGTATCCGGAGACGACAATCCTGGTTGAAGGGCATCGAGTGGCAGCCTGGATGACAGGTTAGTATCGCTACGAAGTGGTCACAATGATCGTAGCACTCACTTGGTTGATCAAGTTGAACATAGTCGTGGCGCCCGCAGCATCCCCTCCAGCCAGGAAGCCAAAGACGTTAGCCGGATAGTTCACACCCTGGATGGCCAAGCGACTGATTCCTCCGACACGGGAAGCCAGAGCATTGAAGAAGGTTGGACCTTCTGAGCCAGCCTCGCCAACGTTGCCCGCTAAACAATTGAAGTAAGTATATGTCTCACATTCGCTTTGTAGATCGAACTTACCTTGGGTGGTACCACGGGCGTAAATGACGGTAATCGGACGGCATGCAGTACCGTCAGTAAGTTGGTTGTAAGTGTCACCATTATACTGGCGCTTGGTGAGGTCACGCTCTTCAACACTCTGGTTCTCAAGTTGTGCCGCATACTCTTCGACAGTAAGATCCGAGTCGATGAGGTCGGTGATAGGGAAGCTTACTCCGTTCGCTGGTGTTGGTGCAGCGAGGGCAGTGGTGAGAAGGGCCGCAATGGCAAGGAGGGAACGAGCGCTGGTCTTCATGTTGAGCGATTGTCAAAGGTGGCTGAGAAGAAACGAAGGAACTCAGGAGCAGCTGGTAGCGATGGTTCACCAAGAATAGGTGCAGTGTACGACCTTTTGTACCCCGACCACCACTCTCTCGATACATAACGGGCATCGCCATAGCCACAACATTACTATTGTCTGCGCTAGTGCATCGTCTCTTGTAAGCAAATTGGCATTACTCGTCACCAGACCTCACCTACATGTCTGTTTCTACCATTTCGATCTCCTCCTCCGTGTCGTTGAGCTTGATTGTTCTTGTTTACCGCCATTGACACCCAATGACTACAACAGATCCGTTCACGTTGACCAGTGGTTGTCCATTTCCTCTCCGACGCTTTAAATGACATGCAGCGTGATGCATCGGCCCTTTATTGCGTACTCCTACTTCCGGCTGGTTTCTCCGCGTTTGGTGTTGTCGTCAGTCTTGACCTTCTTGTTCGCGTTAGCAAACCCCAGGTACCGCCGGCTGCTATGAAACACGTGGGGTAAACATGGTGTTTTCGGGACGAATAGAGAACATGACTACACCCAACGCTGCGCAACGTGAGAACCATCGACGATACGATTCGTTATGCCGAGGCATGTCAAACCTGTAGCGGCGCTACGAAGCGTCGATCACTGAGAAAAACTCGATACAGCACCGGAATACAGCCGCCTCTCATGGCTTGCATGTATGTTCGATGCAGAAACGTTGCTGCATATAATTGTGTTTGCAACATGTCACTGTCCGCAAGTCACATTGTTGTAATTTGGTGGCTTCAACAGTCAATGCGATGATGTCATGCCAAGCACTAGCGTCAGCCTCTTTGATATCGACGAACTCGACTTCTGGAAGCCCATGCACTCAAGGTTGAAGCTACCTTTCTTGGTTTCTGCTTCCAACTTTACAGTAAGCGTAGTAGGCTGGTCAGTATTGATCGTTAGGCAGAGCAGAACGACGACCCAAGGTATCTGACTTCTCGTAAGGTAATTGACATAAACACTGCCAGCACCATCACACAATCAGCCAACCACGAACGAAAAACAGTCCGCGAAGCTATACTTGCGTTACTAATAGTCTTTTTATATGGAAGATGATTAGTGTTATCCCATGTCGTCGCAAACTTTCGGAAGCTCAATGGAGAACCCCGCACACAGTACCCGTTGCCAAGCAAAGCATGCAGCAACAGCTGTTGAAATCTACCCCAATTCTCCTTTTGGCGTCTTGGTAGCATTGCGAGCTTCCGCTTATGATAGTGATCTGCGCTTCCGAAAGTCATGATAGCAAGAGTTGCATTTCTCCGATGACGGTAGTTGCTGCGGTATCGCGACATTTTGGAGATACCGGCAGTCGACAGCCTGTCGTGAAGAGTGGGATAGCAAAAACGATGGAATATAAGTTTTCAGACTGGACATTTGATAAGATGACTTGTACAGTTGACGCCAATTTTCTAGCCCGATCAATATGCGGTCCACGTCCATCTTCGCAGTCTGCGCAACGACGCTGCTGCAAACTGCTCTCTCATCACCTATTCACGCACATCATCCCCATCAATCATTCCCTAGTGCGGAACAATGGCCCTTGCCAGTTGTCGGCAAGCCGCTGGAGCAACAAATGCCGGACGATGACCTTCAAGATATCATTTCGCAGATATCACGCGATAACATTGAGGCTACAATCCGAAAACTTGCCTCGTTCGGCACACGTCATACCCTGTCAAGTCAAACCGACCCGGACCGAGGTATCGGCGCTGCGAGAACATGGCTTACAGCCAAGTTTCAAGAAGCAGCTGACGTGAGTGAAGGCCAGATGACCGTAGACTGGAACAGCTTCATCAAGTATCCTGGAGATAACGAACGCATCATCTTCCCGGTCAACATCACCACAGTTGTAGCAACACTGAAGGGCAGTGAGGACCCAGATCGCGTCTACGTAACAGGCGGGCATTATGACTCGCGCAATAGCGACCCTATCGACTACCAAGGCGATGCTCCAGGCGCAGTGGACGATGCTTCGGGCGTTGCGGTTTCCCTAGAACTTGCCCGCATCTTTGCGCATTACAAGCCCAAGACTACCATCGTATTCACAGCTTTCGCAGGCGAAGAACAAGGTCTGCTCGGCGCGGAAAACCTAGCACAAACCTACAAGGTATGTTCTGACTGTACGAAATGCATGTGAGACATATACTGACTTCATACCTCCTTATCTGCAGAATGCTTCTGTCAACATAGCTGGTATGATAAACCTCGACATGGTTGGTAACTCCAAGGCCGCAGACGGCACTATCGATCCTTACAATATTCGCCTCTTCTGCCAGGGCACACCTCTGACAGAGAACTCCACAACAACTACATCCCGTCTCAGCATTGGCGGCGACAACGACAGCCCTGCTCGCAACCTAGGTCGCTTCATCTATGAAGTAGCTTCCAACGCCTTCACTGAAATGACAGTGCGCCTCATTTATCGCCTAGATCGCTATAGCAGAGGCGGCGACCACCGCCCTTTCCTAGAAGCAGGCTATACAGGTGTCCGTTTCGTCCAACCCAATGAAGACTACACACAGCAGCACCAAAATGTCACTGTCCGCAACGGCAAGCAATATGGTGACCTAGTCGAATGGCTGGACTTCGAGTACAACACCCGCGCCGCTAAAGTCGTAGCGTCCACAATGTGGAGTCTAGCCAACGCGCCTGGCGAGCCTACAAACGTCGGTATCAACACCACAACATCCGACAACTTCAGCCAATTCAAGTGGGATGCGCCGAAAGGCTTGCCAGTGGAAGGTTATGAGATCCTGTACCGTGATACTATCGAACCGCACTGGACGAATGTGATTGAGGTAGGCAATGTAAATTGGTTTAATCTTACATCTGCGACGATCCATAAGGATAATGTCATCTTTGGGGTGAGGAGTGTAGGGAAAGGAGGTTATAAGAGTCCGGCGGTCTTGCCGTTTCCGTTTGGATGTACGCGGAATTGCTAGGGGAGATGTAGACTTTCGCATAGTCGATCAGAATGAAGATTACTATACGAAGGAATTCGCTTGTTTTAAGTCGTACTTGACGAAGCTTACCCTGAAGGTATTCGCGGTATTCTATGTTAGTAAGCTTACAATACACAAGTTAATGTATCCTTCTACCTAGAGTATTCGTCACAATTTATTGCAAACAAGATCCTTCGTATGCAGTCAAAGATGACTTTTCTTCACCGTGTTCTGAGCCAAGTCAGTGTATTGTTGGTCTTGGTTTCCAATGAACTCGACTCAAGTCGCACCCCAGAAACGCATGTTACTCTATCGCATGCTCTGAGTCAAACCAAACTTGATACCGCCATTCGCACCCTGATTCTCTCTTTTTGCCATTCTACTTCCTCCTCTATACCAGGTTCTTCCATGGTTGTACCCTTAGCAGTAACGGCAATCTATACAAACTTGAGCGAGGTCTCTGAACAATCTCGACGTGCTCGAGTGTATGATTCGTCTTTGGTATGACATCTCCGTTCTTGGTGTCAATATAGTCCCGTAAGACAGTAGGTGGCGTACCATATTCCTACGGTATCCCTCCGTCTTCTCGTAAACCGATCAGGCAGGTGAAGTTGGATTCTGGGTAATTAATGAGGGTGGCGAATATCGTTGCACAGTCGTTACCGAGCGCAGAAAAAAAACTCTTCTTTATGGTGTAATGTCAGCTACTCTAGTTACCCATCAAACATGTGCAGCCTGAATGCTTCGCGGATGTGGTCGCAAACCTCCTGAACAAGCATCGATGGTGTGACAATGACGATGACGACACTATTGGGCACATCGGTAAATATGTCCTGATCCGTTTAATTTCTGCACAAATGCGGAATTCTTCTTGTTCTTCGAATCTGACTTCCATCGCACATGAGCCGATAGTGGCTCCTCGAGCGGCGGCCTCTTAAACTCGTCTGACCCTTCCATGATACCGGCTGACTCTTGCAGTAGAAGAGTTAGAGTGCGAGACTGGAATAGAGAAGTCGGGGTGTGAGGTTGATATAATGATGTGGCATGTAGCAAATGCAGACGGGTGAGGAAGAGAATAGATATATGGATAGTAATAAAATGCAGGCTGCAGCGACAGAATGACCGTAAATGCTTCCCTCAGCTCGCCATCACCGCTAGTTGCCTGCATACCCCGCACTCTGCGAGCGTGTTCATCTCGCAAGCATTGTGCGATCACTGCTTTGCTCAACTTCAGATCCGTCTCGCAATCATGCCCGCATCATGGCTATTTATTCGCTACAAGACCAGTAAGGCGATGTAGTTGGCCGCTGAGATAGGAGTAGGCGCTGTATCATGATGGATTTTTGTGTCCTATGATGATATATAGGTAAACGAGTTGCGTGTTCACAATAAAGATACAAAAGCAAAACCTGAAATCCGTCTCCTTGATTCCCTTCTATAGCTTAGCTATGCTCTAGTATCAGAACCAAACGCTTCTGAGATCATACCCAATCAGCATGAAAAACACGCAAGACTAGCATGAGGCCGTGCGTTGAGTGAGCGGTGGGCAAGCACGTTGATTAGAGATTGGAAGGAATGAGAGAAGATGGAGATTTTGACGTGATTTATTACATACGCATTACTACTTGACCGACACCTCATTGTCTCCCACTGGACGCAAGCCTCACGGAACAGCGTCAGCATCGATCGCAGAAAGTGCCGAAGGGAACGTGGATCAACGAATTTTTGGTAGCCTCCATCGCTTTGACGTCAAGGCGGCTGCTATCAAGCTGTGCGCGCCTCGCCATTGCCTTATAGCGAAAGCCCCTACCCTGGCTCCATCAAACCACTTCTAGTAACCGTCAGTACTAGTACGCGAGTGGGCTATAACGACTGCAGTGAAAACGAGTGTGCTCAGAGAGAAGATTGTAAACTCATCACAGATAGTGCTAGACGAGTCAAGAGATCAGGCCGCAAGCAGTCTTTCACTCTCGTCTCAAGCCCAGCACCATCTCCGCCTAAGGATGATAACTAAGATTGCATCATTGCACGTGGAAGCAAAGAGTAGAGAACTTACAGTTTGAAGTCTGATGAGAATGTGGTATCTGTTGCGAGCTAGCAGTCGCGGCAGGAAGCGATGCTGACTTGAATGAGTGGTTGTTCATCAGACACCGTTGCCCAATTCAATAGTCGAGATCGAGAGTATCATCCTTTTGCACATCGGGTCCGTTAGCCTGATGCCAGGCATCCCACTCGTCGCTCCCGTCGTCACTGTCACCGCTCTCTGCGCCATCGCGGCCACTCCTTCTTCGCGGCAAGCCTCTCTCAAGCCTTATTTCTTTTCTCCTTTTCGCGTATCTATCCCGCTTTCTCTTATTCTTGGCTTTGGTCGTTGCACTAGTAGTCGCCCACTGTTGCTTCTTCGGTCCTGCAGGCTTATCAGGCTGCGTCTGGTCGACATCGGCAGCCATGTGTGAGGAGCCTTCTTGTGTTGGAGAACAAGACGATGCTGGGCTCGCAGGGACAGCCTTGTCATCGGAGATCTCGCCGTTCTCTTTTTGTAGCCGCCGTTTGCGGAGCATAGCATGAATTTCCGAATGTCGGAACATGGCAATTTGCTCGTCTGTCAGGGTGCGCTTCGTGCCATCAGGGTAGTAGCCTAGCCCATCGTCTGCTTCGTCGTAGTACTCTTCAGCCGCTTCTACTTCCGGCTCGAAGCCGTGCAGTATTTGTTCTGGTGCGGGCGCGTGTGGAAAGTGTTGCGCATGAAAGGCGCGTAAGTCGTCCTAGGCGGCGTTAACGAATTGTTACTACCTGAAGACTTCAGGCTGTTGCACTCACAATAGTGACAGTGGGAATTTGAAGCTCCATGGCTGGTGGTTTAATGGCAGAGCGACTGGATTAGACGCGCGCTCCGAGGCGCGGGGTGTCACGTTGGCAAAGACATGAGTGAAGAGATGAAGTGAAGCGTCCCCAAGGCGCCCGACGATCATGCGCGCGATCACGAGGTCTTGGCTTCACCGCGGCATGACGTCTGTGCTTCCCTCCAACGCTGCGTTCATCAAGAACCTGTAACAACACTCTAATGCATACCTCTAAGCGACCATGAAGCCTAGATCTTTCGTCGCATACCCCTTCGCAACCATCGCCCTTCTCCTTGCCACCTCTGCGCAAGCTCGCCCCTTCGAGAGCATCATCCAGTCGTTCAGCATCCTCAACAAACAGTCGCCCCTTCGAGACTACATCATGGGCAACCCCGAGGAACAGGTGTCAACCGGCGTCATCATATCCGATGTCATCGGCAAGACACAGAACATCGCCATCTTCAGCGGCCTGACGAGGGACATCGACACAGTCTCCGGACGACTAGAGAACGCCTCACAGAATGCCACGGTGCTGGCACCGAACAACAGCGTCATGCGCGACCTGAAGAGGAAGCCATGGGAAGATCCTGAAGATTATGACACCTTTGGCGCGGACGCATACGAAGGTGCCGGCGGGCAAGACCGGGCGCGGGGCAACCTTAAGCGCTTCGTGCAGCGACACATCATACCGGATAGTCCATGGGAAGAGGGCAAGAAGGTCAAGACGCTTTCTGGCAACGAGATCTGGTGGGAGTCCAAGGACGGCCAAAAGAAGGTAAGCCATACCGCTCTTGTCGGTAGTCTCAACTTCTCGTTGGACGTGCCCCACCTTGCAGTGCGCCGAGCCCTTTCGCTTCACGCCCACATATCTACGAATATAGGAACTGCGAATTTGGAAACATCCATCAATCAACCAATTACATTGGTTCAAACCCGGTGAGATGGCCGAGGTTAGTAACATCCAACATCTTTCTCATCAACCATATCTAACAGTCTCAACAGTTGGTTATGGCGCCAGGTTAAGGTTATTCTTAACATTATATTCCTGGTCACGAAAGTGGCGTGGGTTCGAGTCCCACTCTCATCAGCATTCGTCTGGCTTCAGTCAGATACCCCAGGTTCTTTTTTTGCCATTCCATCGGCATGGAGCATACCCTGAGATTATGTCCTGCATATACGGCCTCTTGTTTTTGCTCACCTTTACTAACTCTTTCACTCGCTGCAACTCTACCAGGTCGTTAGCTAACTTAGAATTCTAGATCCAGCCCGCCAACGTTGTAGTCACGAGCATAGCCGACAAAGTTTCTAATGGCGAAGTTTGGGTTCTCGAAGGCTCTCTCGCATAAGTACCATATACTTAGGAGAGTCTTAGTTACACACTCGACCTCATAAGCGTTCTCGCCTTTACAACAAACCCTTCATATAGTTGTTTTCCATATTATGCATTGGATAGTGTCATGGCAACCAGCAGTGAAAATGGGGATGATTGGCCCCTATAGAATACAAGTCCTGCTTTTACTAAATTCCGTCATATTACATCTCCTCGGTGCGCCATATCTAACGATCACGAAGTATAACAGATCTTCTCAAACACTCTCCTCATAAATCTCCGCCTTCTCATGCCCACTCCTCCTCAAGAAAATCTTCATACTCTCCAACACCTGCTTCTTCAAATCTGGCCTCTTGAGATACTGCCCCGGAAACCCTCCATACGTACTATCAAACTCGAACGGCTTGATGGCCTTCCAGATCCCATGGATAGCTTTGGGTGCCAGTGGAATCATATTAGGATACGCCCACATGAACGAATAAGACGTCGTATCCGGGATGCGATGTGCGTTGTCGAAGCCAGACTATGCCTCTCGTCAGCTTTCCATATCCCGACAATCCAAGAGTAGCAGGAGAGTAACAAGGGGACTAACAGGTACACTCATGAAGGTATCAGCAATGAAGAGCTTCTTCTCCCACCACAATACCGAGCTGCCATCGAAATGGCCCCCACACTGCACCATCTTAGCCTCGCTTCCAACCTCTTCAATATCAGCAACCCCCTTGACCAACTTTCTCACCCCATCCTTATCTTCACGATTCAACCATACTTTATCATCCCCGTTCACATAAACCGGACACCCAAACACACCCGCCCACTCCAAATGCGTCGTATAGAAATGCGGGTGGCTAATGACAATCGCCTTCAAGCCCCCTTTTTCCTGGATGAAATCAATCGTCTCAGGATTCAAGAAAGCGACGCAGTCCCAAAGGATGTTTCCACGGGATGTCTGGAGTAAGATGGCGCGTTGTCCGATGCCCAGTTGCTTGCGGGTTGTGCTGGAGTCGGCGAGACCAGGGGGAAGTTCAGAGGGGGACAAAGGTGCGGTGGTTATGTAGTGAATACGAGGGTCTTGTTTGTCTGTTGCGAAAGTGTTCTTTTGGAGGGGTTGAGTTGCTGAGAGCGAGGTCCAGGATTGGCCTGTTGCGGGGACGTATTGACGGGGATCCTGGAAACAGATTAGATCAACTCACTTTCTTCATGTCTTCGGGTGCTTGGAATTTGCAAATCTTTGGGTGTTGGTGATAGACGTACATCACAGATCCGACATGTCTCCGGGTGCTGCTCAAGTGGAACATCGAATTGCGTACCACATGTTTCGCAAATCGCTAGATTGCTAGGCTCGAACTTCATTTTGCAAATTGCGAATTGTGGGATTTTGAATCGCACGTTATTCTCAGCGATACTCGTAACAAGGTAGGCGGAGATGTTGTCATGATCACGATATATGATGTATGTAGCTTCCAAAAGTGGGGTTCAGGAGGGGAAGGAGCAACTGATGACAGCTTCCTCGGAATCTAGCCACTCTCGAGCTGACAAAGGCGCTTGGCTGCACAATGGAAAGCGAACGAGACTTTTGATAGTTGTGTCACGATAATCCAGTAGGCTCGGAGTAGTGTTCAAGTGTGGGACTAGGCTAAGCATCTTCCCCAGGTTCACTCTGGTGCTTACAGATGACAAATCAACAAGCACTAGATCATGTATATGGAGTAGTTTTGTCATGAGCGTTAGCCTTCACGCTGCAGAATAAAGCGATTCAAATATGGCTTAACAAATAACGAGAAAGTTGGTTGTAAGACGATAGCGATGCCTTGCGCCATTTAACGCCTAAGCATCCCATACACACCAAACTATACATGCTAAAGCAGACATATCCTATCGTACTATTGGCCGCGCATCGAGTTGTGTTTTGGGCACTGCATTCGTAATCCGCGACCATTCACCGTTAAAAGCATTGACAAGCCACCATTTGAGTTCTAGAGCTTCGTTAGCAACTTGACCCGGGTCGCGTAGAGCGATTTACTTACTGTCATAAACAATTCTGTTTGCGTTGTGGAAGTAGATGCTATGATCCGAATCTGGAAACACATGTACATCGTAGTTCTCGATGCCTGCAAGGTCCAGCCGGTCGAGCAAAGTAAGCGTATTCTGCATGTGCACGTTGTCATCGGCGACGCCGTGCATGACCAAAAAGCGGACGTTCTTCGCCAGGGAAGTGACATCGGTGATGGTGGAGTTGTCGTAGCCTTCGGCGTTGTTTTGCGGCGTGTGCATGTAGCGCTCTGTGTAGATGGAGTCGTAGTATCGCCAGTCGGTCACAGGAGCAACAGCCATTCCGTACTTGAACGTCTCTCCTCCATCCTGCTCGAGCGTCTTGAGGGTGTTGAAACCTCCGTAACTCCAGCCCCAAATCGCCAGTCGATCGGCATCAACGTATTTCTTGCTAGCCCAGATCTTGGCTGCAGCGATCTGGTCATGTGCCTCATAGTACCCAATGTTGCCTCTCGTGATGCATCGGAGCTTGCGACCAAGGAAGCCTGTACCTCGTCCATCCACTGTCACCACGATGTATCCGAGACTGGCGGCAATGTAAGACTGGAAGTCGACCTTGAACTTCTTGTCGACCTCTTGTGAGCCAGGTCCGCTGTATTGGTAAAAAAGGACAGGGTATTTCTTCTTAGGGTTGAAGTGCGGTGGACGACGCTCGAGCACGTTCAGCTCGAATCCGTCCACGTTGATCGTCTGATAGTTGAGAATAGGCATTTCAAGTGAGCGTATGAAGCGATCAAGGGACTTGTTTTCCTCAATGACTTTCTCGTACTTGTCCTTGTTCGATGGCGTGCTGATGATCTTTTGCCACGGGATGCCAGGGCCATTGTAGCTGATCAAAGCATAAGAGCCACCAGCTGAGAAGGATGCTCCATAGTATCCTGAGCCTCCATCCTTCAAAACTTCACTCTTTCCAGTGCCGTTCAAATACACAGAGTAAGCGTGTCGCTCCATAGAACTCTTCTCAGTTGAGAGATAGTACACAAGGTTGTTCTTCAAGTCTACACGGGAAGGTGCATCAACAACCTCCCACTCGCCCTGTGTAAGCAACACAGGCTTATCGCTATCCAAGGGCGAGAAGTAGCCAATGTGGTCGTAACCTTTGTGAATGATTGTGTCGATGTAGCCATCGTCCTTGCGGCCGTTATCAGGATCAGCTGGCACGAATGTCGTTTTCTGTGAGACCTCAAACCAGCCTCCGTCCAGCTCTGCGACGTTCTCGGTTCTTACTGTCTTGCCAGTGCGGTTTTCAACGTCCATCAAGACAAGCTTCAAGATGTCGCTCTCGCGATTGGTCTCGCGAACAAGCACTTGCTTCGTCTTACCAGCCCAGACGATCTCGGTGATCAGACGGTTGTTGTCGCTGAAATCGTCTTCTATCTTGACACTGAATACTTCGCCCTTTTCAACGTCGTAGAATTGCAACGAGACGATAGGGTTGGGCGCACCAGCCTTGGGGTACTTGATGTCGCGAACCTCGGGGTAGTTCTCCTCGCCAGCCTTGGGTTTCTCTCCACTTGGCCGTGAGACGAAATATTGGACGGGGTACGTCGGGACGGTGGACTCGTCTGTGCGTAGGAAAGCGATGTACTGGCCATCCTCGGACCACCATGTCGCGCTGTTTCCTTGGAAGACCTCCTCCTCGTATACCCAGTCAGGCACACCATAAAATAGCTCAGAGCCGCCGTCTTTTGTAATTTGAATGACTTCCTTGGAGTTCAGCTTGCGGAGGAACATGTTGTTGTCCCTCGTAAAGACAATCGCATCCGACTGTGGGGATATGGAAGCTAGCTGTATCATGCTCCCTGGTTGTTCCGGATCAAGAGGCTCGCCAGTCTGTGTCTCAACGTCAAAGATCCAGTATTTCGCAATACCGGAGTGCCGCCAGTTCTTCTGGTAATCCGACATGACAAGCACCTTCTTAAAGTCCTTACTTGGCCAAACATCGCTGGGATAGACGTATGTACCATCCACCTCAAATGTGTTCTTCTTCATGAGCGTGGTCTTGCTCGCAGAAGACTTCGCCTCGCCCTTGGTCCTGATGTCTTCAACAACCAGGTATTCCTCGTTCGCCGAACCCTTCTCAAGCAACAAGCCATCCTCGCCCTTTGGTCCTGATATCCATGCGACGCTCTGTTGCTGGGGATAGAAGCGGCCCCCAAAAACGTCGTCCATTGTGATCTTCTTCCCCGAGCCCTTGGTAGAAGTAGCGAGAGGGTCGTGTGGCCGGGACGAAGTATGCTTGTAACTGCCGCTCATCAAGAAGAAGACCAGCGCAAGCGCCCACCCTGCTACACAGGCTGTGCCTACAATCCATAGCCACCTTCTTGCCTTCTTGTCTACAGAAAGGGGTGCCTGGTATCGCCCGTCCTCGACGTCGAACGGCTCGCGCGCCTGGCCTGCGTAGTCGTCATCGTCTGTGTACTTCTCCCCACGACTCGAATGCAATGCGCGATTGATGGCTGGATCGTTGATATGTTCGAGAACGAGCGATGTGGTCGAAATCGAGGATATGGATGCTTCGGAGCTGTCTTCTGAGTTGCGCGCGGATCTCTCCTCCTTGGTCAGCAACTCCGTCTCCTCCTCCTTCGCGGTGCGCCGTGGCGCCATTGTAAGTGTAAGTAAGATTAGTTATGAGAACAGCTATAACATTGTGCTAGAAAGCAATGCACGAACAGAAGAAATCAGTTTGGAGGAAAGGATGTAGTGGCGAGGCGCAGTTGCAAGTTATGGACAGTGTTTAGAGTTGCGGAGTTCACGCGGAGGTGCGGGAGCTGGTGTTGGCCGAAACATACCAAGCCACTCTTTGACGCAAGGGGCCGGCAACTCTTGCACTAAGATTTGCACCACAATCGGGTCAAGACATAATCTTCTATTCAAGCCCAATTCAGGGAATTATTGGAAGGGTAGTACTACAAGTTGAGCCAAGTCTAGATCTCATAGCTTCCTTACGCCGTACGCTTCTGTGCAGTGCCTCAACTGCTCTGCCTTTCCAAGACCTTTGAATCCATTCAAGTGATTGCCATACTCCCTACGGACACTGATACAGCCAAGAGCCCGCTATTACGCCTCGTGTTTCTACGGTGGTTGAGTTGTCGATAAGTTGTCGATGAATCCATCGAATAATGACCTCGGTTCTGTAGCAAAGATAACTCCTTGATAACGCTGCTCGCGCGCTGGCGCTCTGTTTCCGTTCATAGGATCGCGCGCGTCGGCAGGGGCCGTTGGTTCGTCAGTCTATGACGGCAATGGGCCGAGATAATCCTAGAAGCCTTGCTTAGCCAATAGCCAATAGGGCTGACTGTTATCCTTCTTACCTCCTTCATGGTGCCTACGGCATACATCTTGTCCACCTCGGATCTGAGACCCTTGATCTTGATGCGGATGTTGGTGCCCTTTTCAATAACCTGCTCTCCATCGTCGGTCCACTGCGGGGGTGTAGCGTTCGCGTCAAACTTGATTTCAGCGGGAATCATCTATCGCTGTTAGTGATGGGTGGATGCGTGGAAGTACTGTGAGACTTACACTGCGTCCCACAAAGGCCTGCAACGATCCACAGTCGACGAAGAATCCAGTGCGGAGTACTGAGGTAACGATGCCGTCCATCTTGACATGGTTAGTGATTGATTCGATGATCACGTCGGACGATTCCACATACCACCTCGCCCTTGTAGGGCCGCCATACGACTGCCTTGTAGTGTACAACGTACTCTGCAGAGCCAGAGCCAGGCATCACCTTGCCATCGGAGATATCGAACGAGTCCAGAATACACACGATGGTGTACTTTCCAGTGCTCGATCCCTCCTCTTTCTGCAGCAATTCGCGATGGATGTGCTGACGAATCAGAGGGCCAAAGTATGACGGGTGTAGCTGGATAGTCTTCTCGAGCTCTTTGAGGAAAAACATATTGCGCGTTGTGTGAGGGATACGGTAGAGTGGGTGCGCGCGGTTCTTGGAGTGAGTTGGACGAAGTTGCACGGTTCAACGGTAGAGATCGGTAGAAGGGTGGAAGGGCAGGTAGACGGCCTTGCTTGATATTACGCGACTTTAATGTCTTTATTCTGACTGGCCCAGTGAAGAGTCGACAGTGTATGATATGCAACGCGCGTGCTTCAGCGAGACGCGCTTTCGGCCTGCAACGCAGCCCTGATTCTTATATCTAGCAGCCCATGCGCACAATTTCCAGTGTGTTCGCGCCGCTCGTGGAAAGTCCGAGGATACAGTGGTAGCAGGTGTGGGCCGAGGGGGTGAAATCTAGAAGGACAATGGCCCGCGACAGGAAGGTTGAGCTCCAAAGGCTGCAGGGCTCTCGGCGCGGAAAATCATTCGCTAAGGCCCGAGCAGTGACACTTCTCCCACCTGCCAGCTTGCGCACCCCCACACACCCATGTCGTGAACGCCATTCACCCTGCGCCATCATCTCTCGGCTCCCGCGGCCGGTGCACTGGTCTTTCCACACTACCCGAGCTCGACCTCTTCACACTACCTTTCCAAGACATGATTTAGTCCCTTGACGGCCATCCCACTCTTTGACACGCGCCCAGGTTCCCCCATCCAGCACCATGTCTCTCAATCTGGAGAAACAACTTGTCTTCGTACGTCATTCTTCAACAGATGTCTGTACTTAGCTGACTGGAATGTAGTATGGAGCATACCACCATAATAAAGTAGGCTCTGCAAGCACGGAGCATCTTCACATGTCAACTAACATGCCATGTGTCAGGTCAACGTCGGGATACATCTGCTATGTGTACCTCCGATCCTGTTGACGTCTTTCCTACTGGTGAGAAGCTTGACTGCCATCCATGTGGTTCCTCTAACACGGCCGTAGCTCACCAACACGCCTGCCGTCCCACTACCGTCATGGCTCTCCGTACCTAATCTTCCGCTCAACGTCGGCACGGTCGGAGCCGTCTTATATTCGACGTTGTACATCCTCATGGAGCCCGTCGCAGGTGCCATGCTTGCTCCCATCCTCATCGGCGGCACCGCGTATGCGAATCACCTTACGTCGACGTATGGCGCGACTGCCAACTCTTGGGCCGGCGCGATCAACATCGCATGCTGGATCGCCCAGTTTGTCGGACATGGAAAGTTCGAAGGAAGAGCACCAGCGCTACTGGACAACCTTGTGCAGGCCATCTTCCTGGCACCCTTCTTCGTATGGTTCGAGATACTCTTCAAGCTCGGCTACCGCCCCGAACTGAAGCGCCGAATAGACCAGGCCGTTGACCTGGAGATTCAGAAGTTCAGGAAGAGCCAGGAGAAGGGCCACAACGGCTCTGCGAAATAAGGTCAGACTTTGACAACATATCTACAGTGTATGAGGAGATGAGAACCCAACTATTGGCACTTGCAGGATAATCGAAGGAGACGTTAGAGGACCAGAGGACAGTGCAATAGTGTATGAATACTGCAAGAGAAGGAAGCATTGCGCAGGAGCAAGGTGTACGAGGCGTCTTGAAGGCATGTATGTTGCTTTTAGTGTTCAACTTTGCATAAGTGGCCGCATGTTTCTTGAGATTGACATAACATAGTAGGATACCAATTTAGAATGTGTTATACTTCACAAATACGTTGGTTTCTCCTAAGTTGTACGCAAAACTAGAGCCTACTCTAAATGATACACTGTCGTTGGGCTCAAGTCTCTATCAGCAAGAGACCTAGCGAAGACTTTTAGACTAGATGGTGGTGTTTCAAGACACCACTGATAGTAGACGAGCTTCTTCGTGTATCCTGAGAAGCACTTGATTAGTCGTATCGATCGTGGCCTTACAAACGAAGCGTGATGGATCTCAGAGATTTAGCGAAGAGATCTCAGTAGTAATAGAGAGATATGTAGACGCCTGAGGCATACCAATGCTATACGAAGTATTTGGTTTCGACATTGCAAGGTATTGGGCTTGCTCGGGTTTACACGTTTCTCAAGTTTGAGTACATTAAATATCAATAGGGTACACTGATTGTCGTTCCATCAGAAGACCTATTATGAAAATGCGTCATCCGTGCAATGTATGCATCTGGTTGATGCTGTGTACTTGAGTGTGCAATGGAACAAAGCTACAAAGAAGCTCCTGTTCTGAGAATTGTACCATGCACCGAGACGTAGTCCGAAGGTATCCACAGTCGTCTACTTTATCTCTATCAAAGTGTGGGGTACTGGAGCGTATTCTGAGGCTCGTCTATTAAGCTCGAGATATCCTACAAGATCCTCGAAATAACTACAAGACACAGGTTAACCGCCCATCATCTTTCTGTTAGATTTGCATCGAGCATGCGTACATGAAATCACTGGGGGCGAAAGTCAACGTGGTGTTGTAGTGATGGAGCTCGGTTGAGATGCGGCTTTTTTAGGATTAGTGGTAGACGCCAAGGTCCGCGCTTTCCTCCCGAACCGCAGGACTTTCTTCCTCACAGCAGAGCTCCCCATCCTCCACTCCATCACCATCTCCCCTCTTCCATACCTGCATCAATCTCAATTGGTTGCAGAGCCTCCGAAATAGACTCTTGAGCAGCCGCAGCCATGTTCTCAAGGGCCATCCGCCAGTCGAGCCGCCGGGTCGCTGCAATCTCTGCCACCAGCAGGATTGCGTCGGTAAGTCCATCGCAACCGCCTGCAATTGCGCCTGCCGCACCGTCCAGCCATCGCCAGTAGCTCCCAGAACCGATATCCGATGCCATTGGCGCCGCAATGAAGCTTCGTTGATGGAACTGCGTGGGCTGCGCTGGGCGGGACGAGCTCCCCTCTACCGAGATGCAGTACTGATACCTTTTCTCCGCCACAGGCCCGCGCTCCCGCGTTCACCAACGCTATCCGATCCTACGCCGCCGATGCGAAGGCCACCCCCACCGAGGTTTCCTCCATCCTGGAGCAGAGGATCCGCGGTGTCCAGGAGGAGAACTCCCTCTCCGAGACTGGTCGTGTTCTCTCCGTCGGTGACGGTATTGCCCGTGTCCACGGCATGAACAACGTCCAGGCTGAGGAGCTTGTCGAGTACGCCAATTCGATATCATGACAGTTACACACGGAAGCTAACGGGTGGCAGGTTCGCCTCCGGTGTCAAGGGCATGTGCATGAACTTGGAAGCCGGCCAGGTCGGTGTTGTGCTTTTCGGTTCTGACCGTCTCGTCAAGGAGGGTGAGACCGTCAAGCGTACCGGAGAGATTGTCGACGTTCCCGTCGGCGAGGCTCTTCTCGGACGTGTCGTTGACGCTCTCGGTAACCCCATCGATGGAAAGGGTCCCCTCAAGACCACTGAGCGCCGCCGTGCTCAGCTCAAGGCCCCCGGTATTCTGCCCCGCCAATCCGTCAAAGAGCCCGTACAGACTGGTCTCAAGTCCGTCGACGCCATGGTGCCCATTGGACGTGGTCAGCGTGAGTTGATCATTGGTGACCGTCAAACCGGAAAGACCGCCGTTGCCCTCGACGCCATGCTTAACCAGTACGTAAATTCGATACGAACCGCAAGCAAGACATGTACTGACTTGCAACCCCAGACAGCGATGGAACAAGGGCACCGACGAGTCCAAGAAGCTTTACTGCATCTACGTCGCCGTTGGTCAGAAGCGATCCACCGTTGCCCAGCTCGTCAAGACCCTTGAGGAGAACGACGCCATGAAGTACACCATCATCGTTGCCGCCACTGCCTCCGAGGCTGCCCCTCTCCAGTACGTAATTCCTATGTACGAACTGCATGTGAGACTTGTGCTGACTTCGTAACTAGGTACATCGCTCCTTTCGCTGGTTGCTCCATGGGAGAGTGGTTCCGTGACAACGGCAAGCACGCTCTTATCATCTACGACGATTTGACCAAGCAGGCCGTTGCCTACCGTCAAATGTCGCTGCTTCTCCGTCGTCCTCCTGTAAGGATCTCCCATTGCAACTGCACGTGGAACGTCTACTGACTTCATACAGGGTCGTGAGGCTTACCCCGGTGACGTTTTCTACCTCCACTCTCGTCTCCTTGAGCGTGCCGCCAAGATGAACGACAAGCTTGGTGGTGGTTCCCTCACCGCTCTGCCCGTCATTGAGACCCAGGGTGGTGATGTGTCCGCTTACATTCCTACCAACGTCATTTCTATCACTGGTATGTTCCCATACGATGTCTTAAGAGATGATTGCTAATTGGTATGCAGACGGACAGATTTTCCTTGAGGCCGAGCTCTTCTACAAGGGTATCCGCCCCGCCATTAACGTCGGTCTCTCTGTCTCCCGTGTCGGTTCCGCTGCCCAGGTCAAGGCCATGAAGCAGGTCGCCGGTTCCCTGAAGCTCTTCTTGGCCCAGTACCGTGAGGTCGCCGCTTTCGCCCAATTCGGTTCCGACTTGGACGCTGCTACCAAGCAGACACTGTCGCGTGGTGAGCGTCTTACCGAGCTCCTGAAGCAGAAGCAGTACTCCCCCATGGCCGTCAACGAGATGGTTCCTTTGATCTACGCTGGTATCAACGGTCTCCTCGACTCCGTACCAGTCAGCAAGATCCTCCAGTGGGAGGCTGATTTCCTTGCCCACCTCCGATCGAACGAGACCGACATGCTCAACCAGATCGACCGGGAAGGTGCGCTCAGCAAGGACCTTGAGGCTAAGCTCAAGGAGGTCGCACAGAGCTTCACCAAGAGCTTCGTCGCATAAACGAGTTGAAGGCTGGAAGAGTGGGTTCTGTCTATTCCAATGTTCTGAGGGGCCAAAAAGTGCTGATTGGTCTTTGAGAATAGATGTATAATAGAAGATGCGTCCTCGCCATCAGCTGTGTCTCAATATGGAAGATTTGTTCGTTTTTCTGCATTGACATCAGCCTGGCAACGCACGCCTACCTTGGTCGGACGAATACCTCTTGTGATTCCCTGTGCTCTTGTTAGCGGTACATATATGGCTTCGTTTCAGCTCATGAAAGTGGGATGTTGGAGCTCTGTATATGACAAATGAACGTTTCCTCTGTTAGATTGATACCATGTGTGATGGATGTGACGATGATGACGAAACTACTGTTGATCCATTGAGGAACTCGTATTTTAGGATACGTTTTGGCGTTAGCCGGGTATTACATAAAGGTATCCACTGTGTTTTACTCCTCTACATGTTAGTACAGAAGATGGCGGATACCTTCAGGGTAAGCTTGCATCATGCCTCCTTTGGTCACTACGAAGACCGAACTTAAGCTGATATCAGACAAATCCTAGCATGTCCGAGAGGTATGGACGATACTACTGCCACTGATTTACCCAGGAACCCATATTCTCTGCTGTGCCTAACTAACGCCAAAACATATGCTGAAGGTATTTGCAGTATTTTCCCTTTCATTCTGAGGACACGGAAGACAATGTATACCTTCAAAGTACGCTCTGGTGGTATCGTCCATGAGAGTTTGTAGGATCATAGTAACCGACTCAGAATAACGCGAGCCTCTTTGTAGCAGGCGGAAAGACGCCGGGTAAAATACAAGGTGTTTGAGGTATAGGATGAAGTAGGAAGTTTTGACGATACGGATTGGATTCTAGTAGTCTATACGAGGTATTCACCTTATGCGAGCGATCCAAGCAAAAATACTCTACGCAAATGCGTCTACTTCTGCCTTGCGCGTCATCGTTCCTCGCTGTCACTTGCATCACCATCCTTGAACGGGTCATCGCCGATTTCCACGGCATCACCCGTCTCCGGTGGCTCATCTCTGTACTCATCGTCCCAGGTTGTCCGGAGACTGATGTCATCATCTTCCTCGCGTAACCGTTCGGCAGCTTCCAATGCTCCCGGGTCGTCTGCGTATTCATTCTCCAAGTCTTCGATACTCATGCGACGGATACCTGCACGCTCTTCAGCTTCCAGCTGTGCAGCGCGGGCCTTGGTCTTGCGGTATACGAGCCAGCCTGTGGTAACGCCCGCAATGAGACCAATGAAGATGGAGACGTAGGATAGAGCTTTAGTGCTGGGATCCATCTTGCCTCCACTCTCGGCAATCTTCTCAAGTTGGCTACCAATGAATATGTGCAGCATCAGCTTTGGTGATACAATGGCGGTGGCTAGAGCGTACGACGCCCAGTGTACGGTTGGGAAGGTTGCGACAGCACCGTTGGAAATGGAGTATGGTAGTGGGCATAGGCGGTACATGATGAGGAGTTTAAGGCCATCGTGTTTGAGGGTTAGGGAGAGGGCGGCGAAGCGCGTGTCATTTGCTATGAGGCGTTGGACCATGTTTTTAAGGAGGGTGCGTGAGAGGAGGAAGGAGGCTGTGCTGCCGGCGACTGTTGCTGTTGCAGCTATGAACCATCTGGTGTGATGTCAGATGGAATGTTGCAACTGTCATGAGAACCTTACCCATTTGGAAAGCCATAGACGAAGCCGGCAATGGTGAGTAAACTCGAATATCCGATTAATGGCGGGAACGATACTGTAAAGATCAAGGCCCAGAGTATCAGCCACCCGGCCGTGACGTCTCTCCACTTCTTCGCAACGGGTAATAAGGCCCCAAATATGCGCTCATTGTACACCAAGAACAGTATGCCGCCTACTGCCAACACCAAGTTCCCTACGAAGAACAGCACTTTCTGCAGGGGAGATAGTTTATTGTATTGATCCAGGACTCGTCGCGACAGTGTATCGTACTTGTCCATGGCACGCTGCCGCCATGTGCTTTGCTGGCTGTGATGCGAGGGATTGCGCCGAAAGGTCGATGATTGCGAACGTCGACTCCATATTGGCGTCTGGCCTGTTTCTTCATCGTCCAATGGGAGCGCAAGAGCGCGGGCATCATAGTCGCTCGCCGGCATGCTTGTTGATGTCCAATGTATAGTATTGGGAGGTGCGCTCAGCGGAGTGTCGCGGATGTATGTGGAGGTAAGAAGATGTGAATGAGGCGAGGATGTGAATAGAAAGGTAATGGGAGGATGTTAGCTGGTACAGCTGGAGACAGACATTCCGTGTGGTGATAGTAGAGTGTCGGAGACAGCTTTGGTGTGAGATGCTAATGCTAGTGGGAGCGCCGCTGGAGAGCTCTTGGTTTCATCGTCATCCGGGCGGACGAACGACGTGCATCCGCCCTGCATTAGGCGATTAGATCAGATCTACCCCGAGTTGAAACACATTCCTTTTCGGCATGTGTGTATGGAGATTGAAATGTACAAAGATGGAAAACACATTAATAGTTGCAGCTCCATGTGTGTGTGCATAGATGCTGCAACAGATGCATAGGTACAAGTTCGGCAGCTCGAGTGCATGTCTCCACGGACCCGCAACATCAAGGCACGTGACCGTACTCAGCCTCTTGCAGTCTGTGGCGTCCATGACCCTATTCGAAGGATACTTGAGGCATATGTTGCAGCTTGTTTTTCCGCCGACGAATGCCATCTCAGCTCTGCAATCTCAGCCCTGGTCGTCACCAACGCTCAGCCAAGAATCACATCACACCCAGCCCATCATCAGCAACTCCCGGCTTCAGGGACATGTAGGGCAGTCCGGGACCAAGTGTTGGAGATTACCGTTCCCGCTGTATGGTCGACGTTGCTGCACGGTGCAAGCATCCCCCACCCCTACGTAGTTGAGCCTAGTCCCTCGAGCTTCATTCGCGCTCGCGATCGCCCCAGGCATTCATTCACTCTGCCCGTTTTGGCGCACTTGGTGTGTCCTGCAGAGAAAGGCTGCGGGACTGGTTATTGCCCTTCGTTGCAGCTTCATTCCCTCTGTGACGCGCCGGCCGCTCCTCTGCCATTACCCGCAGTACTTGTAATCACCCCCGACGGCCTCCTGTCTCGACCAAGACCTCTGACCTCAAGCGCCCATCCCGCGCGCTATACTCCTGACCGCCTACCACGCCAGTATACTTCACTTGCTTGGAAATAATCAATCACCATGGTTGCCGACGACTTGTACGACAAGGCGCTGCCTGTGTTGCAGGACGAGGCCCTGGATGAGGAGGACAAGACGGACAAGCTCGAGGAGCTTCTGCGCAAGGAGACCAACCTCACGGGCAAGTCTCTCGAGAACATTGTCCTCGACTGCCTATGGCGCTATCGCGATGCCGGCAGCTCTTCCAGCTCTCCTCCCAGTCGCCATACCATCATCCGCCGTCCCTCGCCAGCTCCCTGGCAGGCCAACCGCGCTCCGACTCCCGTCAACAACTCCCCGCGCATGGTACACCCTCCACCAGGCTTTGGCATAGGCCCACCCGGCTTCGCACGTACAAAGTCGTCAACTGCCTCCCCCTTTACTTCTCCGCGGCCCTCGCCACGCCTTGCTTTTTCCACACCGCATATCCCCCACAGCCCCAGCCTGAGCGCATACCAGTTCAGCGAGTGTGCAAGTCCGAATACAGAGTCGTATGGCGATCTTGATGGCCACTCCGTCGACTGGCTGGTCAACGATGACGCTGCAAGCACCGAATCCTCCCTCCTGGGCGACGGCACCCTCAATGGTGCCGCGGCCGAATGGGTCCAGCCCCAGACCATGGACATGGGCCCGTACGACATGTTGCGCTCAATCCTGAGAGATGACCGATCAGATGAAGAACTTGAAAAGGTTTTGGAGGCCAACGGATACGACCTCAGTGCCGCTCTGCTTGCATTAATGGGACAGCAGCTGGACGTACAGCAACTCCCCGCTACTCCTTCCGAGCACCCTGGATATGTCATCGGAAAGTCCATGAGTCCAGCGTTCAGACCTAGTACACCCGTGGGCCAGCAGAAGAGCAATATCGTGTGCAAGTACTTCCTGTCAACCGGACATTGCGCCAGAGCAGATTGCAGGTTCAGCCACGACACCAGCAAGACATTGTGCAAGTAGGTGTATACACATGCCTCTGGGTATTCTAAGCTAACACTCACCTCAGATATTTCCTGAATGGAAACTGCCTAGCTGGAGATACATGCTTGTTCTCTCACGACCCCTCTGCTCTCATGGCTCGTATGGCTGTTTCAGACGTCCAAACTCCACCTATACCCAACTTCCAGATGTCTGATTATGAGTTCCCCACACTCCACTACAACGGCTCCCCCCTGGGCACTCCGTCGATAACATCAGCCGCAACATCTTTGGAACAGCTCTACGGTCTGACAGGTGGTGGTCCTACGCGTCCTCCGCCAGGTCTTAGCCCGTTTGCCAACTTCACTCCTGGGGGCGGTAGTCGCCCACAATCCAGAACTGGCAGTCGTCAGACCTCGCGCGCTACTACACCTTCGGTACTCGCAGTGGACGACAACGATGCTTTCCCTAGTCTAGGTTCCGCTGCTGCTGCTAAGACGGGAAAGCGTCACCACGGCAAGCGAGGTGGACATGGCCATCACAAGGATGCCCCGGGACTTAACAACCTTGCAGATGTCGTTCGCATGTCCCCTGTCCCTGCACCTGCTACTCCAGTCCGCAAGGGGTTGAGACCAACCAAAAGCTTCACCGGGTCCCGCGAGAACAGTGTGGCTGCACAGGCAATACCTGCTCCTCAACACATCCCATGGTTAGAGACTGGTGAGAAGGGTAACCAGGCCTATCTCAAAGCTCGTGCCGAGGCTTTCAAGCATGGTAGTCTGCGCAACAAGTTTTTGCAGAGGTAAGATACTTCAATCTTCATGAGATTTACCCATTCTGACATCTATCAGCGCTGCTCAGGCTTGGAACCGCAGTGATTCGCGTGCGGCTAAAGCTCTTAGTCTTAGGGGGCAGAGCGAGAACAACCTGATGCGTGAAGCTCATCGTGAAGCTGCTCGTATTCTCTACGAGGATCGCAACAAAGACAGCGACGGCTCAAGAGAGCTGTATGTTGATCTTCACGGTACGTCAATGTGGAAGCATTCGTCTGTGGCAAGACTAACATCACCCAGGTCTGCATCCAGATGAATCAGTGTCATACCTTGAGGGTATTCTCCTAAAGCACAGCTCGTCCTCTCGCCCTGTCTATGCCATCACGGGAACCGGTCATCACTCCAAGAATGGCAAGGACAAAGTCGGCAAGGCTATTCGCGGCTTCCTCAACGAGTGGCGCTATGCTTTCCGTGAGTTCTCTGTTCCCGGCGACCGTAACAACGTAGGTGGCATTCTCGGTATCGACCCGAGTAGCTACGATAAGAGCGTCGCGGAACGGCCCAAGGAGTCTGAATCGGATGGGGACAGTGCAAAGAAAGACACCAAGATTCGCATCATGAAGCGAGATGATGCAATAGATGCGCCGAAAGGTCCGAAGCGTGCTGCTTGATCTGATTGAGTGGAATGTGGGATGTACCTAGTAGGTAGCAAGAAATAAGAAAGAGTTTACTTCACCTCTTGTATCGTGATATGGACCTTGTTGACGTGTTGAGGTAGTAGGTTGCCGCGATGTGTTGGTTCACTGAGGCTGCTCGACTGAGAAGCCGCACCCAGCGTCGCACCTGCTTTTCACAACTGGACCCACCATAACGTGCTGAATCTCGTCACTCACCTAACAGCTCATGCATGTACAGTCATTCTCGTCTCGTCTCATATGTAGTGAATTCGTCTTCCTTGTGCGTCTTTGAGCAGCAGTGCCATATCTTTGCCTGCACCAGCGCATCGCCTCAGCTGCTACCTTTCTGTTACTCGTTCTCATTCTGCCACTATGGCTCCCCGAAGACCGAGCATGGCAGGCGAGATTGACTCACGCGTGCCCTTCGCATCGGCGGAGGCGTTGCTGTGGGGGCCAGAAATGAAACAGCAACATGCTCACCTTCTCACAGAGATGCGCAAACTTCAGGAATATCATGAGGCCTATGACGCCCGGATCAGAACTATCGAACATGTTGCAGAGGCCGCCGAGGCCGCGACATCCAGGGTCCGTCATCTGGAGCAACAACTTGCCGCAATCGAAGCCGAAGATAAGGACAAGGCATTCGAGAAGTGGGCAGTGGCCGAGATGACACGGTTGGAAATCTTTGTAGACACAAACAAGCACGTCAGGCAGAAGCAGATCGAGCTAGACGATACCGTGTCTCATGCTGTGGAGGATCTCGACAAGCTCAGACAAGTTCCCAGAGAACTAAAGGGTGTTCTTCAACGTTTTGATCTTCTCGAAGCTGATCGAAACCAAGATGCGCGTCGGATCAAGAACTTAGAGGACGAAATCACCCGCATTAAGTCTATGCAACAGGATCCCACTTCCAATATCACTGGCCTACAGACAGTTTCCAGAACCCAGAAAGGCATCATGAGATCTACGACACCGTCCCAGTTACTGAACGCAGAGATCTCAGATGTGACAACGGAAACGGACGAAGAGTTCATACCTATCTATAAAGCTACACATGGACATATTCAGATAGCCGCAAGTCCAGAAATGAGAGAGAAGTATGAAAGTCTTCCGAAGTGGGTATTCATAACGATACTAACAACGACAGCAATCCAAACACTGTATCCGCATCGTCAGTAGCCCTGGGCAGTCCAGTGAAGTCAGCCAGACAAAGACTGATGCAGAGGCCATCGATTCATGATTCCATATTACCATCGATGAAAAAGAAACAAAGACCGCTCCGAACACCTATTCCATTGCCTAGTAATATAGCATATGACATTCCCGCTGCGACACAGCTACTGCCACACAATCGCCGGTCTCCAGCTCCAGCTCCCGCTCCAGTCTCAACGCTCGAGGCTCCCTCACATGCCAGAGACTCTCCACCTCCAACACAACTACTCCACCATAACCGCACGTCTCTAGCCCCGGCCCCGATGCGCAAGGCTCGCCCGCGTGCCAGAGTCGCTCCGCCTCCAACACAGCTGGTCAGCAAAGCTAATCCGAGAAAGCGGAAGTTGCCTGAGAAAGAGCCTCAAACCCAACGTCTGACACGTGCCCAAGCTAAGAGGAGTCAAGCACAGGAGGCTGAGGAGCAAAAGCTGCCGGGAACTGGTAATACTATGCTCTTTCCACCTACACAATTGGTCGAGCCGGCTTTATCGTCGCGCAAGAAGCAAAAGACTGCCCATGTCCAAGAATCAGATCAAGTCGCAGCCAACTCCAGCACAGCTACCCAGGTCACTCACAGAACACCAAACAACTTGAAACAGAGTTTTTCCCCATGTCCAGGCAAGAACATAGCCATGGAGCCAACTCAGCTGGTCACAAGAAGTCCCGCCAAGTCGAAAATACCCAAGGCCATCAAAGCGCCTGTGAAGAAGAGAACTCCTTTGCCAGTTCGACCAGATGCTGCGAGTCCACAGAAGCAGAAGTCGCTAATTGTGATCTTACGGAGCCCACAGAAAGCAACAGGTTTCGAGCGTAGCGAGAATGATGATATACAAAGAACCGCAGCAGACAGAGTCAAAGTGTCACCTCGCAAAGCGGCAGTCGCGCCACTGTCAAGATTCAAGCCCATTCCTAAGCCCTTGAGCGCACGAAACACGACAGGCCCAGCCAAGCCAGCTATTGGCACAAGTAGATCCAGTAAGAGACTCGTTGCCGCAAGAACGAAACCAGATCTCTCGGAATTCGACGATTTCTAATTCTTTTAAGAGCTGATGAGCTTGACTGATTAATCTTAGCTGGCAACAACCCTATGTCTCGCTGAACTCGTACAACCCCTCGCGATCCGCGACTGGTACTTCCAGATTCGCCTCTTCGATGTCTTTACCATCCACCTTGATTCCTGCGCGCATAATGTCACCTGTCTTCACTGGACCAACACCCTTCGGCGTTCCCGTGAGTACAATATCGCCCTTCTCCAGCGTCATGACCCTACTAATGTCACTCAGTTGTCTTGGAATTCGGAAAAGCATCAATTCAGTATTGTCGGATTGCTTCATCTCGTTGTTGACTGAAAGCCAAAGGTGTGCTTTCTGTGGGTCCGGGATCCGGTTCTTCGCGATGAAGTTGCTGATGGGCATGAATGTGTCGAAACCCTTCGCAATGGACCATGGAAGGCCTTTCCTCTTCGCCTCGTCCTGCACATTACGCGCGGTCATGTCGATAGCGAGGATGTAGCCTGTATCTCAGAAATTAGTTTGACAGATCTTCGTGTAGTTTTATATATATTTCGGTGTATGGCGTTCGCAGTACCTTCAATAGCATCCATAGCACCCTTGGTATCCTCAGGATGCAGGTCCCTTATTGTTTTGCCCATGATAAGACCGAGTTCAACTTCATAGTGCATGTTCACACCACGAGGCCGTAGAACTGGGCCAGCGCCTGGCAGCAAGATAGACGATGGTGGCTTCAGGAAGAAGAAAGGCTGCTTGGGTGTAGCACTAGACAGCTCCTTGATGTGATCCGCATAGTTCCTGCCTATGCACATGACCTGGAAGGTGTCAGATTATACTAAGAGTTTCCCCTGTTTCGACTTCAATGTCTCGTCCCTTTCCAATTCGAGTTCCTCAATCCTTGACGTCAAGAGAACAGGAACCACATCTTTACAGATCATGATAGCTTGTCTAATTCAAGACTACGTCTCATGCCATCACACGGCTCGCCAGCTCTTTCCCTCATCGCAACTCCTTGATAACACGAAAATTACACGAAACCACATACCTTGCGACAATTCGCCCGGATAGCTTGGATGCTTGCCATGATGATGGGTCTCCAATTTTGTTCGGAAAACAGCCTAGAAGCACGTCTCAAAATATCTAGAAAGTAAACGTAGCACACTGTCTTCGGTAAAGTACTTAGCCGGCAATCGACGGGAGTTTTGATCTCGGGCCCCAGCCCGCTACGGGGTTAGGTTAGGAACCGAGATGTGGGGTGGGGGGATGCTGTGTGAACGAACGTCAGAACTTCGGGACTCATCCCGCTTGTGATAGCAACGCAGCGACATCAACCAAACTCCAGCAGCTTTTCCCACGCTGCATTACACGTTTATTACCAAATCGAAGACGAACAAACCCTCCAACGCATAGCATGGCACAAACCCAAGGAAACACAATGCAACTTGCGGAAATACTATCTGACCTCGTGTCTTTGCGCGTCTGTGTACGTTATCATGCCCTACTCGTTGCTTTCCAGCGAATCCCCTTTTTCTTTGCTAACACAGTCTCATCTATAGGATCCCACCGCAGCACTCGCCCTTGTATCCGCGCGCTCCAGCGACCCTAACTCGACGTCTTCTAGCGACACCGCCACGAAGCCCACTCCGACAAACGACGACCAAGACCCAGAACTCAAGCGCGCAAAAGACTTGCTAAAACTGCACTACGATGTCAAGGAGGCGCATAAGAGGGGTGATTTGGGCAGGGGTCTAGAGGAAGCTAGGAGCTTGGTTAGGAAAGCCGTCGGTGGGTGAAGAGGACGAGGTTGGGATGGAAGATGGATATACAATGACATGAGATATGCTGCGCGGAACCAAGCGCGAGGATGAGCAAGGGAGCAGAGAGCAGTGAAGACTGAGGGCGAGCTGCAGCTGGGGTTACGACCGATAGCATGAGGCCTGCGCAAGGAGGTATGATGTGAAGAGTTGAGTACATCAGCACGAAGAGGAAAGGGACAGTTTTCTTCGCAGAGCCATCATGTTGGTGGTTCTTTTGCGCACCGAGCAGCGAAGGGAACGCTGTTGAAACGAGGAATACAAGAATGGGAGTTACAATCGCTTCATAGTAGCATTTACATAGGAGGCGGTAATCAATGCCATGTAGAGGGTTTCCTTAGGGAGACTTGAAGTTCACCACCACGATCCAAATACCAATCTTCCAACTCACTTCACGGTCCTGCAGCTGCAAGCATGGCACCTGCAATAGCCTTGACATCCTCGCCAGCCTTCTTCTTCTGCCGGAGAAGCACCAAGATGGGTACAGACTCGGGTGGTGCGCGCATGGCTGCGAGTAGCTTGACCTTGTCGCGCTTGCGAGTTTTGCTAGAGAACGTTAGTACAGAGGTGGCTGTAAAAATACCATCCAGTATGGTGTATGAGGGGAATGGAGGAACCAGTTTAGTATAGGAATCGTGGAAAGGCTTCTGTGTACTTACGTAGCAGTCGTTGCCACAGAAGGGGCTGGTGCTTCTGTCTCTGCTACTGAGGGTGTAGGTTCTGGTGTTGGCGCTTCTGGTGGCGCAGGCGGCAAATCCTCCGTCTCCGCTGCAGTGTATACAGGGACTGTTTCTGGCTCGGGTGCAGGATCTACTGGTACTTCTGGTTCGGCTACCCTTGTGACGGGTACGGGCATAGGTTCAGGTTCAGATTCTGGAGCAGCTTCAGGCTCAGGTACCGGCTCACTTGGTGGTGCGGGTTCTACAGGTTCCGTCTCGACAGGCTCCGTAGCAGGCACCTGCAACGTTGGCTCTGCTGCTGGCTCAGGCTCAGGTCCTGGTTCTGTTTCAGGCACTTCAGCTCGAGGGTCTGCTGGTAGTTCTTCAGGCACATCGTCAGGTTCTGGCTCGGGCTCGGGCTCGGGCTCGGGCTCGGGTTCAGGGTCGACTGAGCGTTGAACTCGAGCAGACGTAGCTTCATGCTCTTCAGCTGGAGGCTCTGCGGGCGGTTCTTCAGGAACAGGTTCGGGGGCCGGCTCGGCAGCAGGTTCAGGTGGGTCTTCAACTGAAGGCTCATCTGCTGGCTCGGCAGAAGCTTTGGTTGCGGGTTCCTGTACCTCCTCGGGCACTGGTTCTGGCTCTGCTTCCGGCTCTTCAGGCTCAGGCTCACCTTGAGCTGTAGGCTCTGCTGGTGGTTCCGGTCCCGGTTCAATGGTAGAATCAGATGCAGTCGGGGCAGTATCTTTGGATACTGCGTCAGTAGGCGGCTCGGCGGAAGGTACTGGAGCAGGTTCTGGCTCCCTAGGCGCTTCGGGTTCCTCTACAGGAGGCACATCAGAAACCGCAGCTGGAGCCGCCATGACAAGTGGGAATGGGATAACGATAGATGAAAGATGTGGATGAGGGGTTCTGAGAGACGATCAGAGTGATACGACGGGTCGTGGGGGAAATGATATGCTGGCCCAGGTAAGTGGATGGTTGTGGCCACACCCTGTCGGATCGAAATCGCATGACTGTAAGACAAAAAGAGAAGTCTGGACTCTAACAGCTTGTTTCTGTAATGGCAGGAAGAGACGGGCAAATATAGCAAGTGCATGATGGCATATCAACCTTGTTCCGTTGGAACAATTGAATGTAGGAAAGTGCTCGGGAGCAAGTAAAGTAAGATCATTGCTGCAACGAGAATGCTTTGTATTGCAGTTGTACGTTTGTGATTCTTTGGTAATTCGTCGCGGACTGTATTGTGCGGTTTCCCAGTTCAAGATGTCGATAGGAAGGCGCGAGGTTTGAAGCGGCGGATGACAGCAGCTTAGCGCGTCGTACCTGCATGAACGATTGACGTAGCCCCCGGATATGGACGCCAAGCCCGCAGATGGATCCGCCCGAGCTCCAGCTTTCACCGTCGCGAACCCATCGTCCTCCACACGCGTCCCTCCACTTCCCTTGAAATTACATTCTATCTTCAATTCTCAAAATGGCGTCCAGCGTCGACCAGAAGCGCCTGAAGGCGACCAAGTTCCCACCCGAGTTCGACAAGAAGGTCGACATTGAGAAGGTCAACATTGACCTGATGAAGAAGTGGATTGCTAACAGGATCACCACTATTCTCGGTGACGAGGACGACATCGTAGTCGAGACATGTTATAACCTGATTGAGCAGAGCCAGTTTGTCAGTAAACTTGTAGTTGGCACAGCAAAACGTTTGCTGACCTCCGCAGCCCAAGATCAAGGAAATCCAAATCCAGCTCACGGGCTTCCTCAACAAGGACACGGCGCCTTTTTGCAAAGAGCTATGGGATCTCATGCTGAGCGCGCAAGACAGTCCTATGGGAGTACCCCGAGAGTTGTTGGAGGCGAAGAAGGCCGAACTGCAGCAGGAGCAGGTAAGCTAAATCACAGGCTCACGTCGATACCATTGCTAAGAAATTTTGTAGCTATCCAAAGCCGCAGCTGATGCCCGACGCGCCGAAGAACAAGCACAGAACGCTATGATTGACTCCTTCCGCCAAAGCGAGCGTTCAGATAGACCTGAACGCGGCCGTGGCGGTGGAGGACGATACCGTGGCAGCGATCGCAGGGGACGTGGTAGAGACTTTGACAGAGGGATCCCACGGCGCGAGCGTGATTCGAGATCACCACCGTATGTGGCCTGCATCTACATGGAAGGAGAAGATTACTGACATGTGACAGGAGACGGAGACCATCCCCACCTACTCGCGAGCGTGATGTTTACATACCTGGAGGGGGACGTGGCCGTGGACGTGGAGGCCGTCGCGACAGATCTCGCGACCGCCGGCGCTCACCTTCGGGCAGTCGTTCTGCATCTCCACCACCTCGTCGTACACGTCGCTCACCATCGTCAGAACCTTCTCGATCCCCACCACCCAGACGTCGAACGCGACGTTCCCTGTCAACTGACCGCTCAAGATCTCCACCTCGCCGTGTGCGTCGTCGGTCTCCTTCGCGTAGCAAGTCTCCACCCGCAAGACGAAGGAGAGACAGGTCTCCAAGCGAGAGCAGGAGGCGACCCGGGCATACTTCGCGCTCCAGTTCCCCGCCAGTCAGAACCAAATCGAGCTCACCAGCGCCCAGGCTGCGATCACGATCACGATCACGATCACGAACCCCTCCGCGCCGCCGGCGTCGCTCCCCGTCGAGCTCCATGTCTGTAAGCCCTGTACGAGAGCGTCGGCGTAGACGTTCGACTTCGTCCGGAGCTGATTCGAACGGCTCTCGTGCCGATATCAAGAAGCGGAAACGTTCCCTTAGCTCTAGCAGGTCACGATCTCGCAGCAAAACTGGTAGGGCTAGACGTCGTGTCACTCGCTCACCCACAGGTTCGCCGGTTCGCAAAGAGGGGGAGACCCCGAAGTCATAGGATGCCCCTATATACACGCTCTCTGCGATGCGTGCTTAATGGGGCCAAGCACCTCTTATGTGAACACGAAGCGATGTTCGAGGTGCCACCGCGTGAAGAAACAATACGATCGTGACCAGTCCGGAAGGCGAACGTCCAAGAGGGGATGGGAAAAGCGGTCATACTCGTTTCGGTCGCAATTGTCCTTCACACGTCCAAAAAAAAATGTCGTTGACGTCCATGCCCATGCGCCATCAAGAACATCAATTCAGCATAATATGCGTGGGTAAAGAATATGCGTTTACTCCAGCCACATCCTTGAATAGCCTCATGGCCATTGTATACTGAACAACTTTATGTATCGCAACCTCGAGCACCCTATGACAACATTATTAAAAGCCCTTTCCCCACTTCTTCTCACAACGTGCCGTACATCAACATGCGATGTTGCGCATCTTGTACATCTTCAAACTGGCGTATGGGTCTTCGGCGTATTGGTGTGTTGGTTATCGGCGCAGCGCTGTAGTACAACTGTGCATGCGCAAATGGTGGCTGATGGCTTACAGGACCGCTTATATCCTAGGGTCTGGTGCACTTTCCGCGGCCTCGCTATGTGGCTCGCGTGGTCGAAACCAATGCACATATGGAGCTTCAGTGCTATTGCTGCCGATCGGCGCGTGATGTGGTCTGCAATTCATTGCAGGATTTCAGTCGACGGAACATGGTCCCGTAATCTCATCCTTTGCGCCGTTTACACTGTGCGGCTACGACACTGATGTCGTCAAGCTTTCCTGAAGCGATGTTAGTAAAGTGCCTTACTCGTATGGCTAAGTATACGAACCTCCTTCGATGGACAAGCCCTCATCAATCGCCTTCTCCATATACGGACTTTCTGCAAACGGATCTTGAGCAATCTCTCTCGCAGCGTTCATTAGCTGCTTCGCTACGAATTGCATGCCATCAGCATAAGTCTGATCTTCTGTATCCTTTTCCTTGTCGCCATTCCACTTCTCTATGCTTTCACATATGTTTTCGACAATCTCGTGTTCCCACAGATTGTCTACTACGCCATCCGTGAGTGCCAGTACAACGTCTTCTTCCTGGATTTCCACACAATCCATAACCGCATTGCTGGCCGGTGTATCGGGACTATTCGTCCCCAGTTGCCGTGGACAATCGAACCAGTGCCATTGCTCCTGTGTTTTGTAGATGACCTCCTTGCTACTTGGTCGTATGACGAGAATTTGGGAATCGCCTAGTTGCGTTACGTAGAGTAAAGGGTGATTGGGCTGCTCGTTATCTGCACCGAGAAGCGCTCCGCAGACGGTAGTTGTGCCGTGCCATTCGTTGGGCGAGGAGGTGGCTTGCTTGGTGAGTTCGTATGCGGTTTGGAGATAGGTGACGGGATCTGGAGGGGAGGTGGAGGAGTAGGATGCGCCATCGATTTCAAGGGACCAGAAATGGGCGATTAAACGAGACCATAGACTGTGTAGAACATGATTAGCATTTGCTCTTCTTGAGTAACCAAACGGCACCCGACTTACGCGGCATGTCCCTTTTCTCTTGTCGCCCATGCCCCCACGCCATCGTTTGCTGCAATGAAGCTCTCGCTGACCAGTACCGCATCGTCCCCGTTTGTAACCCCTCTTATCATCTGCCCGTTGACGGTCGGTCGGCGATCCCTACTCTTGTTGTGCGTACTTAGGGGCTCAGAGAAACTCGTCGAAGGCAGCGACAGGAACGGCGGGGGAAATGGCCGTGAAGGCCTCTTTGCAAAAAGCGCATATCCAGCCTCAAAGTAGAAAGGCAACTTGGATTTGGGCGGCTCAGCGTTATCGGGGACAGGCGTCGTCGTGCCAGCGCCCGTTTGCACTTTGGACGTTTTCTGAGAATAGCATCTCGAAGTTTGTTGTGGAAAGACAAGTACTACGGGCAGTCTTGCTGGCTTTCGGAGTGCTAATCTCCAGGCTTGTGATAGTCGGTGCTGGAGGAGGGGTCTACTGCGCATGCGAAGGGAAGGTGCGAGCATGCCAGCGATAGATTATGCAGAGAGAAAGAAAAGTGCTGTTGAGGACTTCTGCGTCCGGAAATATCCAAGTCAAAAAATCATGAGGAGCCGTCGCTCTACCTTCCGGTGTGTGGGGAACCCGAGAGTGTGGTTTGCGCATGGAGACCATGGATCGGGAATGAGAGGAGGACATGACTCAGCATCTGTCGCATCATCCTATCATGACGTCTGTGGAGATTCAACGCGTTTATTTAGGTGAGAAGTGGTTCCAACAATTTTTTTTTTACAAAAGGTGTAATCTGATTGAGTAAGGTTTGACAGACTAGTGTACGAAACATGGCCTTGTGCACAGTACGATGTATTAGTGCAACGAAGACAAGCTAGTCAAGTTCACTATCCAATGTTAGTCTACCGATTCTGTGCTTCCGAGTAACATGGATGACTATTTTCGAGAGACCCATTGTCTCTGAAGCCGTTTGTTGAATCGAGCCTCCATAGCACCCGCCATAGGGTATACCAGATAAACGCCTGCCAATGCACCCAGGTGTACCCTCCCAAGTTTTCCCGTGGTCCCTCACTAAGTATTCTATGCCCTCCTCTTCGCGAAATTCTCCAGATCAGCTCGTGTAGCCACGCCCAGCACGAATTTCCTGCTCGCGTCCGTTACCACTGCGAACTCCTGCTTCCCACTTCCATCTACCCCACCAGCGAAGAACTGCTCGAGCTCCTCCAGTGGCGTCTCGGTAGTGATAACCTTGTATCTCCTGCCGCGTCGCTGGAACTTGTGCATGGCTGCCTCGACAGGATCACTGTCCTTGACTTTCCCCTCTTTGAGGAGATGTTGCAGATGTGGGATGCTAATGTAGCCGAGTAGGGCGCGATTCGTTTGTGAGATGACTGTAAGGTGTGTGTAGTCGCGCTCAAGGCCGGACATGAGCGCCCATGACACGGGGTCTGAGGGTTGGATGGACAACGCAGGTGGGGGGTCAAGGTCCTCTACTGTCGCCTACGAATGGTTAGACAGAGGGTAGTAAATGTTCAAGAATACCTACACCACGGTATTTGTCTGCCCATACTGCTGAATAGTCGCCAGTAGGTGCGCCGTTCGTGGCGGGTGTCTCAGTTGTCATGATTCTGATGTGAAGATATGGCGGGGATGCTTGTTGCGCAACTTTCTGCTCTGTGACGAAAGCTAGGGATGCAGATCTCTGGGCCCTCGATTCCCTTGCGCTAAGTATGCGCGAACCGGGCTTTAGCGGATAAGGCTTTTGCGGTGTTATGTACGTTAATGTTTCAGAACGTATGACAGACGTTCCAGGCGGGTTGAATGCACCTGCACAAGTCTGCCGCAGCACGTATCCTAAATGCATTCACGCTATAGCCTAGAGCCTCGACTGTTGCTTTTCTTCCTGGATATCTTACTTGTGGGCAATTCGATTTTCACAACTAAACTCAAATCCATACAGCATTCCTTAGGTCATGCTCAAGATTGGTTTTGCACCTGGGCAGCGCTTAATAGTACACGTGATGGGCGGACCACTAGCTCGGAACAACCACAGGTCGCTCGCTCGCAGAAGCCCATTTCGAATACCATCAACACCCTCACATCGCCAGCAGAAGAATAACCCGCATACTCCTTGCGCAAATCTTGGATATTTATCTTGATTGCTTGACAATTATGCACCGTATTACGACGACAATATGGCACTATCGACGCACTACTGCCCCTCGATCGCCCACGTAAACCGGCCGGACGAACGACAATCGCATACGTTATACGAGCAACCAATTCGAACGAACACTCTGACGCATATGGATACAATATACCTAAGGCCTTGAGGTCGGTCTTGAGGTGGGCCTGGCCTCGGCCCCCACCCCTTGGTTCTTCGAAAGCAGCTTTGGATGAGCTCTTCTCGGGTGTTCTACATTCAAACGCTGCGATAAACCTCCACCTCAAGATCCCTTGCGATCTCACTGTATATCTGCAAAAGATTAGTATTGTCCATTCGACAGCTTGAAGCAAATTGCGGTAAGACTCCGTTATACGCAACATCCGCACCACATCGGACGATCAGATCGTTGGTCAAATCTCGAGGTAAAAGCGGAAGTGACGAGCGAGCGAACGTGCTTTCACGGCGAACGTTTGGCAAGAGATGGAAGATGCAGGCCAGGCTTATCGATAGTCAGCGCGGATGCGGAAACCCCTTGTTTCGGACCGTGATAATCCGGGGCAGCTTTTCAGACTGGAAGCCCCGTGTTCAGTCCTGCCTAAGGATACCATTGATCATATGTCCTCTATTGAAGTACGCTTAATGCACAACGGACATGCATACCCTAGCGATCGATGTCCCCAAGATCGACGAGGAATACTAAGCACTACGAGGTCACGGCCAAAACCAAACCCTAGAACGTAACTTTGAGTACCGCTGCCGAGGCTGAAATCGTGTGCTTCACGCACGCCCGTTATTGCGCTCGTATACCCATGTGCGAGTTGGTTGCAGATGTGCACTTCGATGCATGCTCCTTCTGCATTTCGTGCCTTCGAGGTCTTCTCTCTAACCGTTCGCTCCCTACTAGACCTTATGCAGGCACAGACACACCTTCGTTTCCAAGAGGTCTTTGCTTACCTGAGAAAAGACACAACAACGATGGTAGCAAAGAGATGGAATGCGAGCGACCTCTACAAACTCGAGAATTTGTTCGAACTGCCCCAAAGCAATCGTGTTCTGAGCCTTTAGCTCACTGTATGAACGTTCCAGATCCTTGAGATTAGACCTGAAAGGGCCGGCGAGGCTTCACACATCAGAAGATTGACACAACCTCTAGTGTTGTATCCCTGAGAGTTAGATTCTAATGACTTCGGCCCGCCATATCGTAGGCTCCTTGTCATGGGCATTGGAGACGTCGTTGCGCAGCAAGTTGAGGCAGATGTGTCGAATTTTGATACTGGTTAACCGAAGATGGTTTATTAATGCTACTCAGACAAGGTAATATCTACATCTGCAACGAGGTTTGACCGCGCAACTAGAGCAATTGCGTAGGAGAGGAGCTGTTATGCCAGGGGGGCAATAGAGCTGCAAATGCAGTGCGCTTTGTCCGGATGGTAGGATCCGGATTTCTGGCAACGAGCAGGCCAAGTTATGGTGAGTGTTTCTTTGTTATCTCTAATACCAGTTGTACTTAAGCTGACGATGTTTTAGTAGTAGCCGAAATGCAAAGATACCCTGACAAGCCTACCTGAGCAAGTCCGAGACCCCGCAGCTCAGCGCTCTTGGTGCCACGCAACTTAGCCGCTCACATCTCACCGTCATCACGAAACGAGTATTATCAGCTAACAACAAGTACACAGAATTGACGAGATAAGAAAGAGCTAGGAAGGGTAGTTTCGACGGGTGTCGCTCCTACCGACGGCTTGCGCTCTTACCTTCAGGGCTTCGTCTAGCTCGTCATTGGCGATCCGTCAGTCAGAGCCAATCGACCGCTCACTGCAGCTCAACAAGACGATAAAGACATAATCGAAAGAGCTGCACCAACGGCGAAAGACCATCACTTTCGCATCGTCTGCAAGCATCGTGCACAAATATCAGAACTGTGGGTTTGCTTGGCCGGAGGCGCGGCTGCTCTCAGGGTTGTACTCCTGCACGGACCCAAGTCATCGCATCGCGCGAATTCCTTCCACCACCCAGCAAACACGCCACACTCGCTGCAATATTACCAAAACCTCATCGGCGTCGGAACGAGCGACAGGGAAGTACCTCCAACTTTCCCGAACACGATAAACCTCGTGGTGCGTGCAGGTCGAAGAACGTCACGTGCTACGCCTGGCGTTGCTGGAAAGTTCAAGAGTTGCGTCTCCGATCTCTTCTTCTTCGCCCTCCCCACACCACCACAATACGACCCAACCACCTCACCCACCGCGCACCATCGATCTACCTGGTCAACCATCAATCACGCGGTATAGCCATCGCGCCCAACACATCGACGAGGTAATTCGCGAATCTACGCCTCCCTTACGCGTCAACACGACATCGTACAAGCGTGAGCTCGACTCGCACAATGGCGGAGGAGGCCAACCCACCCGTGTCCGCGGATACCACGAATAATGTCGAAGAGCCGACGCGTTCTACCGATGCTGTAGCAGAGCCTGCCGTTGCTGAGGCAAAGCCGGCTGAGGACGGTGTCGTAGCCACCTCGGGCGTCGCCGAAGGTAACCACTTACTTGCTTGCAAATTACCGAAGAGGCAGTAGCTAACGCGATCGCGAACTAGTTCCCGAAGACGACGGCGCGCAAAAGAACGACGCTGTGAAGGACGACGCCACTGCTGACGCGCAAGCAGAGCCAACTGCAGCTAGTGATGACGCAGGTAAGTGCAACCAGGCTTCTCTTCAAGTTGCAGGCTCCACGATCAGTGCCGATACATCATGTTCGCATGCTAACCCATTATTCCAGATGCTGCCCCTGCCTCCGACGCGCCAGCAACGAATGGCACCCCAGCACCAAAGAAGGCTGCTAATGGCAAGCGCAAATCGGGCGCGGGTGTTCCCGAGCACAAGAAGAAGACACCGGCTAAGAAGGGAAAGAAGGTTCTTGAACTGCGTCTGGACGTGTCGCCTGGTGACATGTTCATGGTCGCTATGCGTGGTTACCAGCCATGGCCAGTCATCGTTTGCGATGAAGAGATGCTCCCAGAATCGCTGCTCAGCAAGCGTCCTGTTAGTGCTAGGCGCATTGATGGCACATACCGCGAAGACTTTCTCGAGGGCGGCAAAAACGCCAAAGACCGAAGATACCCAATCATGTTCTTAGGCACCAACGAATTCGCCTGGCAAGTCAACACTGATCTATTGCCATTTGACATCGAGGAGGTGAAGAAGGACGTGGACTCTGGCAATCAAGGGAAGAAGAACAAGCAACTCTGGGAGGCGTACCAGGTTGCTGCTCAAGGTCACGATCTGGCACACTTCAAGGAGATGCTGACTGCCCACGAATCCGCGATGCAAGAAGACCAGGAGCAGAAGGACCAGAAGAAGCATGCGAAGGCGGAGAAAGCTGCCAAGCGTAAGAGCACAGCTCCCGACGACTCGGAAGACGTTGAGATGGGGGACGCTGACGAGACCGCCCCATCTGCTAAGAAGGCGAAGGCCACCAAGAAGCGTAAGAAGGGCGATGAGAGCGATGGTGAGAACGAGAAAGTATGAATCCTCGTCGTCAATTGTCTCACGTCCGCTAATTTTTTTCACAGGCTGCAAAGACTCCCAAGACCAAGCTCAAGCTGACCACCAAGACGCCAAAGGATGCATCAGCAGCGAAGCCGAAAAAGGAGCCCAAGTCTAAGAAGAAGTCTAGTGAGGAAGCTGCAGATCCAACCCCAGAGGAACCGCCTATGACCGAGGAAGAGCGGCTACTAAAGCGCGAGAAGCAAGTTCTGTACCTCCGTCACCGCTTGCAAAAGGGCTTCCTCTCGCGTGACCAGGCACCCAAGGACGAAGACATGACGAGCATGTCCGAATACTTGACGCAGCTAGAAGCCCATGAGGATCTGGAGGCTGAGGTCATCAAGAAGACTAAGGTTCACAAGGTTCTGAGGGCGATCATGAAGCTCGAAACTATTCCGATGGAGGGAGACTTCAACTTCAAGAAGCGCTCCGCTGATCTACTTAACAAGTGGGGCGGTGCTCTGGCGTCGGAGTCTGAGCCAGCTGCTGCCAACGGCGTCAAGAGCGAAGATCGAGAGAAATCAGAGTCTGCTAAAGAGGAGGCGCCATCTGTCGAGAAGGCCACAGAGGGATTGAAGATAGACGACACTACCACCGAGCCTGCTGTCACGAAGACTGCCGAAGAGGCTGGCGATGTGCACATGTCAGAAGCTGACAAGGATGTCATTAAGGATGCACCTGCAGCGCAAGCGGAGGCTGAGAACAGCGGAGATGGTGATGAGAAGGCTGCTGAGCCCGAGGCAGCAGCTGCAACCACGGAAACTGCATCCGCCTAGATGCAGTACGTCCGAGTAACGAGCAGAGGTTTAGCTCCTTTCTCTGGCTCTGTAGTTCGTCCCACAGTGGCTTGACTGCAATACTGAAGCGTAATGGGTTTCGCTGGGCAGGCCTGGGCAGGTTTGCGTGAAGCGCGTTGGCCGGCGCGCACCAGCTTATTTTTTTTGAGCGATTCTGCCGTCTGTGTACATATAGTGCTGAACAAGCATGATTAGTGGAGTCTGACGAGGAGACAAGGCTCATTCTTGCGACATGCGTCTTCTTTCATGGGTTCTCCAAGATGAGTGTAGGTTTAGTGGAGTAAAAGACTGTCTTAGCAATCGAAAACAATTGAAACCACCTTATCATAACATCGCTGTTGTATTCCAAATTGACTTCATTCAATGGTTTCTCCTATTTCTGTTACCCACGCGTCGACATCATTGCGTTTGTGGCGCGCATCGCGTGGAGCATGCCCCATCATGGCCCCGCTATCATTATGACGTACTCTTCGCATTGAGCTCCGTAACAAAACCAAAGATCCGGAAAGCTCATCATAACAATCAACGACACTCAAAGATTATACATCTCTCATAAAAACACACTCAATATACCAATCAACCCTTGAACAGTTTTCAGTATGGCCAGCGCAACTAGGAAAGACCTTCTCAAGAAGGTGTACAACATGGTACCTCCCATGCTTGAGAGCTTTCACAAGGGTACGAATCTGTGGCAACCGTCAACGAAGTAGTGTCTAAAATATCTGAACAGGTCAATTGGGTCGTGTAGCTGTCATTGGTGGTAGCGAAGACTACACTGGTGCGCCTTATTTTTCTGCCATGGCATCCGCGAAGCTAGGTTGCGACATGGTAAGAACACCTACATATCCTCAGAACAAACAACTTACTCGCCTTGAAACAGTCCCATGTAATTTGCGAACCTGGTGCCGGTGCGGTAATCAAGACTTACTCTCCCAACCTCATGGTACACCCATACATGCGTCAATCAAAGAACCTTGCCAAGTCCGAGAGCGCAGAGAGCGTCACCTCAGAAGTAGTTGGCATGCTATCACGCCTGCACGTCATTGTCATTGGCCCCGGCCTTGGTCGTGATGAGCTTATGCAAGAAACCTGCGCACAGGTCATCCAGGAGGCGAGGAAACAGGGCATCCCGTTCGTGCTGGACGCAGATGGCCTCTACCTTGCGCAAACAAGGCCGGAACTTGTGGAAGGTTGCACCGAATGCATTCTCACACCTAACGTTGTTGAGTTTGGAAGGCTAGCCAAAGCCAAGGGTGTAGATGTCAACGAAGGCGATCCTGCAGAGCTGTGCGCTAAGCTGTCGAAGGCATTCGGCGGCGTCACCATCATCCAAAAGGGCTCCAAGGACTACATCTCCAACGGCTCGCATACTCTCGTGTCTGAGGGAGAGGGTGGTCTGAAGCGTTCCGGTGGCCAGGGTGACACTCTTACCGGTAGTCTGGCGACCCTGTTAGCGTACAGGAAAGCATACCACGACAAGATCTGGGACATTGGTACCGAGATGTCGAGGAGTGAGACTCTTGCTCTTGCGGCGTATGGCGGATCATGCATCACCAGGGAGTGCTCGAAGCTGGCGTTCAAGGAGAAAGGCAGGTCGCTGCAAGCCAGTGACTTGACTGGACACGTCCACACTGCGTTCCTGAACGTCATTGGTGAGAGGGAAGAGACCCCTATGTTGTGAGTGGGAGATGGCTCCTTTCGCGGTGACAAATCAAAAGTCGATGCCAAAGCACATGTGGTGCCAAAGATTGGCGGTAATACATAAGTGACTGTAATGAACTGTACAAATACATATTTTGAACCTTTAGCTTTCATATCCTTAAGTGAATTGGGCATCTGATAGGCTGCAAATTCGTCCAATGTTCTCACGATGTGTTTCAATAGGTAAATACTTTTCACTTGTCGGGATTCTAGGTCGTACGTGCAGACGAACTTTTGGACGACATTTTACAATATAGAAAAAGTTTTGGGAAGTGTGATCCTGATTGGAACGATGTATAAACTGCTATAAAAGGTTTGAGTTGGATGCATTAGGAGTGGCGTAGTACGCAAACAGGTACAAATTGTCACCTCCAAGCAAGGCACCATGATCTTCGACTACGTCCACGATACTTGCAGCGTACTGCTTCCACGAGAGTATCCGAAAAGGCACTGTAAGCGGGTACATATCCAAGGCATCTTGAAATAGACAGCAGGAAATTGGAAATGCTCCGAATATTGAGACTCCTATTCGTTGGGTTGGGCTGATGAGGCTCGGCGACTGCGCATATGCAAGGGGGTGTTGCGAAGAGGGTTCTGCGGCGCGAACCTGCACCCCATGTAAGCAAACTTCATCGAATCTGGGGCTACGGGCTTGATATCGGTGAACAGAGTGGTTACTGTCTAGGCAATTGTGCGTACTTCGCTTCCGTCGGATACTTTTCTTTGTGTACCAAAATATCGGAACGTATCCGCGTGGTTGTCTGCGCAACAACAGAATCAGTGCAGCGATATGTAGACAAAGAGATACTTCAAGCAGCACTGCAGTTATAATGTCTAGTACATGAGCATTTGAGTACTCACCGCTATACTTTTCGAATATATTTGTTGCACTATGGAGCACACTGCAGAGGATTACTATGACATGCCTGTCGAAATGTTGCCGTCTGCAAATTTTGCAGGTCGCCCTACGAGTGAGATCAGCACGAGCATGCTTGACGGGCTCTGGACCATGATGTTCTCCTCTTCCTCCAACCTTGAAGACGAAGCGGATGACGACGACGATACCGCGCTGCGAATACGAACCCCATCGAGATCAGCGCCTTCGCAGACGCAGCCAGAGTCACCAGAACCACCAACGATCAGAATAAGGTCACCGTCGCTCAACAATAATCCCAAGCTACAGAGGCGGAACTTGAGCAACGATGGCAATATCATGGATCAACCTCGACTGCGGAAGAAGTCACAAACAGCACCTCCTGGCGCCTTCGAAGCATTTATCGCGCCACCACTGGAGCCGCGACGAGCGATCAGTGCAAGGTTGACCTATACAAACACGATTAGGAGAGGGCAGTCGAAGGCGTGTGACAGTCTTGCGAATTGTTTGGATATCGAAAAAGCCTCTAGCAACGAGCGATTGGGACCGCGCAAGGCATTGCCAAAACCACCATGCCAGAACAACGAAGCCATCTCTTCTGGAATGAAGCATCATCCCGGATCCTTCTCCGATAGAGCACGAGTGCAGGAAGCTTTGAAACAGAAGCAGCTTAGAACGTTAAACACAGCTCTAGCAGACTTTGAGTCAAAGAAATTACCTACCTCACCAAGCTCAATGCTGTCAACACCACGAGAATGTTACGCGATACCGAACGAGCTTGCGACCAGCGAAACTTTAGATAGCCCACACTCACCTCGCTCGTGGGGCCGGAAATCGGTCAAGTCTGTCGAAACCATCATTCATCATAAAACCCACTCGCCCTTCTCCGCACGGGCAAACGTAGAAGGCCGCCGTACGCTAAAGCGCAAGCACAACAACGGAGACGTTGACGCGGCTGAAAGGCGGACAGTTTATCTACCCGGAGCGATTATGCTGGCAGAGCACCCAGCCAAGCTTCGCAGAGACTCTGTCGCAACGCTTGATCCATTTACGTTTGACCCCAGACTAGACTCACCGGGAAGGCGAATATCGGATATCGTCGGGCTGGATGGCATAGTCATGTTCTTTGAGGAATTTGGTGTGGTTGGGCAGGTTACTGAAGTCACCTTTGATCAGTATTGGTTACGAAAAAGTCTAATCATGAGCGATGACATGGATGAAGAGATGGAGGACATGGTCGCCCGGAAGAGAAGCGTTGGCAGCGTGAAGGAGACAGGGCCATTGGGCTCTTGGGTCGCACAGAGTCCTCGCCGGGAGGGATTGAAGTCCAAGTTCTCGTCCGCGTCATCTACGGTTTCCATGCATGCACCAGAGAAACGTAAGCGGAGCAGGCTGAGAGGACTGCTGTCACCCGGCCTTCCTGGTGCAGCCTTCCTCAAGTCCCCTGCAAGTTGGGGACAACATATCGAAAGTTCATGATCAAGTTAGCAACAGCATAGATTGAATCAATCAAACCTTAAGGGAAATGAGCCACGTAACGCGATTCAGGCTGGGGTACCTAGGTACCTGGGGGTGAGGCTCTGCCAAGGTGTAATCGCGATGAGGTCCAACCTTAACGGGTAGTTCACGACACATGGGCTGGCGGTTGCCAGTATGGGAGACGATCATTGAGCCTGGACTCTTCGTTTTGCTGACATGACTAACGGAGTCGAGGAAATTGATGGCGATCCGCCGTTTCCGCGATTCGCGTGCCCATGAGCGATGACGACTGATGCTGGCGATTCAGCCGTGTGGTAGACGAATTAGGGATAAGAGGGACGTTGGCGCGACGCCAAAAGAAAGATGCGTGTGCGACGCGGCTGCCACTGACCGCACAGTTTGCCAAATGCGAAAGCACGCATGAAACCTGGTGGTCCTTCACCGAGTGTGGGTTCACGATAGGGTAGCGCTGGGTAGACCCCAGGATTGAGTGGCTAGGGTCGGTTCATTGGTTTCCGTGTGTCAAAAGTGAGGCAGCGAATGAAAATTACTTACGACCCCTTTGGCCCAATTAAACATCAGACGATGGCCATCGATCGTCAGCGAGGATGGCCCTTCTGAGCCCACCTTGGCCCTTCGTCCACCGCTCAGCGCGGGCCGCAGTCGTCAGACGCTCTCCGACACGAGCCAGCGCATCGCTCGTCCCCCATGTGCTGAAGTGGTGCTAAAAGCACATGCTCCCCTTCGCAACCCGCACCTTCACTTATTCATTCGCCTCGCTATTCTCAAAGACCCCCATTTGCTTCCTTCTTGACTATCACCGTCTATCACCACCGTAAGATCTTCCTGCGCAGACAATCCCCTGTTTTGGCCGTTGTTGCTGATCATCGTCCATCGTGCAGTTTGCTTCTTACACCGCTACAACCCGCTACCACTATTTTTTTTACCATCCCTCTACCCCTCAGACGTCATGGCCTCGACTCTTTCGAATAGCAGCAGCAGCAGCAGTAGTAGTAGTAGTAGTAGTAGTAGTAGTAATACCTACGTCGACTTCCTCGCACAGGCTAAGCAGAACTTCTGCCTGAGCAACGCACATCTCTCAGAGGAGGAACTAAACCACGCTTGGTTCCAGGCCGCCTGCCAACCGTCACAACCTTCCATGGCCCACGAGGTACCACGCTCAATGGCCTTCAACACGTCAAACATGACTCATCTTCCAGTATGGACTACTTTTTGGTCTACCCGTCCCTGATCTAACACCCACTAGACAACCGGCTTTGAGTCCATGGACCGTACCCGCTCGGCTCCCGTTATGAACCGCTCAGACTCGGCCATGACCAACAGCCTCCAGCGCTCCAACACCACATACTCTGACTGGCAGTCAATGTCCCAAGAGCAAAACACCGACTACACACTTTACTCTGACACCTCAATGCGAAGACAGCCGACTCTTCAGTCAGTCCCAGAGGCTGCCTACAGCAGCATCGCTGAGTACAGTGTTGGCGACTACGTTAGCAGCTGCATTCAGCCAGACAACTCATCCCTCCCTACCCCCCAGCATTCACAACAGTTGCAACTGACACCAAACCTGCAGTGGAGCTCGTCTTCGGATGCCTCTTCACCCAGCACACCGTCAACAGCTCTGATGACTCCTGTTACTCAATCTAGTAACATGAGTCGTCAGGGTAGTTACAACCCTCTGTTTTTTGATAACATTTCCATGTCGCGTAATCAGTCAACTTCTTCATGTATGCCCATCCTCCCAGAGGATGGGTCTTTTCCTTATTCCTTTAACGTCGCATCAAAGCCCATCAGCGAGTCCGCTGATGGTTCTCATTTTCTCAACTTCACTGGCTCCTCCAGTGAAGCTTTCCTTTCTTCATCTGTTCCTGCAAGTGCTACACTTGCCTCTTCCGACAACGATCAGTCGTACCTGGCGGAGGATATGCGGAGGTCGACTTCAGCTTCATCAAGCGAGGGTTACTCGAGCGAGGTCTCTGCACCTTCATCGACTTCCTCTCGCCAATCGCAACGCGAACGCGAGATCGTTGCGCAAGCTGCGTCTCGCAAGATTGCTCCCAAGGCGATCGACATCAATGATAAGACCGAGTCTGCGTCATCCAATGCTCAGATGACAAGGATAAGGTCTGAGGATGGATCCTCTAAGACAGTCGGTGTCTTGTCAAAGACACCGTACGTGCGTCCCCAACACCCAAAGATCAAGTGTAACTTCTGCAACGAGCGACCTGATGGGTTCCGTGGCACACATGAGCTTGATCGTCACATTGCTCGTGCCCATGCCTCGCGCAGGAAGGGCTACATCTGCGTCGACTCTTCAGCCGACAAGAAGTTTCTCGCCAACTGTAAGCACTGCCGTAACAAGAAAGTATACGGCGCGTACTACAATGCCGCCGCCCATCTCCGACGTGCACACTTCCATCCCCGCAAGAGGGGTAGGAAGGGTAAGAACGACGAGAAGCGCGGTGGCATCGGTGGCGGAGACCACCCTCCCATGGAGTACCTGAAGCAAAACTGGATCAAAGAGGTCGAAGTCGACAACAAGCCTACCCCACAATCCCCCGAGAGCCAATCCGACAACGACGCGCCAGAACACATCGACAACTCCTTCGAAGCTCCCTCGTATGAGATCGAAAACACGGCTGTTCCTGCCGCCGCCTACCCCGCGTCGCAACAGCCTTTGCCCATGCCCATGCCTGTACAAATAATCAACCAAGTCCCAGTAGACTTCAATCAGCATATGGACTATGGTATGAGTATGCATGCGAGTGAGCCCATGGTGTTCGACAACACTGCTTTCTTCGATCCCAATCTTCCTGTCCCGACCGACATGAGTAGCTTTCAGTTCGATGCGTACATGGGTCCTCCCATGTAGTTTTTTCTATCTTCCTCACTCCCTTTAATTTATAGAGTCGCTGATGTATATAACGTTGGGTCTGGATCGTTTGCTTTTTTGTCTTTGGAGTTCGATGCCTGAGACCACCAGTCTGTCTTCTATGGAGCGGCTGTGGTAGGTCCGCATCGTGGCGTTTTCCAGCTTTTTTCCCCTTCTTCTTGTTCTTCTCGCGCTCGCGCCGTACATGATCGAAGTCGCTTGCAGCGTTGTCTTATTTTGCTGATAGAGAAAGAGCGAGCACTCGGTGTCGCCATGTTGCTGGGAAGATGCACATTTGCATAACGCATCGATGTCGTTACTACAATGTTAGTGCCTGCGTGTGGCTTCTGCTACCGGGCTTGAAAGAAAGAAATAGAATAACGTTAAAACCAAAGTGTGCGTGTGCGACTGTGATGCTTCATTGAATCATTGCCTACCAGATTTACCCTCCCGTTCTATTGGGCAGATCATCTAGTAACAATGTGCCTCGTGCTCGCATGTCTTTGCACAGTTATCCCCTACATCGTACTTGTCTACAACTGAGTACATCACTATCACGGCATCTCATAGTGTTAGTCAGCACTTCATATTACCCCTTTTCTTTCCTTTCACTATTACATGTACGTGCACAGCACAACACAACACAACACAACACAATACAACACAACAAACATCTCATCTTATCCCAACGCTCCGTATCAAGACATGTCATTTCTCGTGTCCACTTCACCCGAACTTCGCCCGTAGACGCAATATCCGCTTCACAAGCCTTACCATCATCGCCGATGGCAGGGACGTTGTTTGACGCTAGATGTATATGACAGTAGGTCTGATGGAAAGCGAATTCACAATACGAGAGTATCGTGCGATTAGAAAAAAGTGTATCTGTATTCTAGCACCGTAACTGTACGCCCGATCATGTTCTTTGGAACGGCTAGCATATGGGTCGAGATATAACCCCATCGTTCCATGCCTAGACAAGAAAGATCTAGTAGCTGGAATTAGGGTAGTTACCACCGCCCTGACTCGAGTTGTCGACGGGATTGGCAGGTCCACCAGTCTGACCCAATGCACCACCAACCTTTGTCGCTTCGCCCTTTGACTGTTTGATAGCTTCCCTTGCATCAGCTTGTTCTGCCTTCTTCCTGTTCGGTTGTTAGCATATACTCTACGAAACCATGTGTCGTTGAAAACTCACCTGTCCAAGTCACTCGCCAAGTCGGGCTGCTCTCCACCACCACCCATGCCCTTTCCTCCCTTGGCTACCGCATCGGCAACGCGTCCCTCACCCGGCGCAGCCATCTGTTGTCCATCTAGCTCCTTGTGTCTTCCTACATCTTCATGACTCAGACCTTTGCTCTCTTCGCCCGCTGGTGCGCCGTGTACGCCCTTGCCTTCCTCGAACTTTGCATTCCGTAGTCCTTCGGCATCGGTAGCTTGCTTGGTGGGAATACGTTGGTCGACACTGGCGGAGTTGTCGGCGGCATTGAACTCTGTTTGAACTTGCTCTTTTGGGTCTTTTTGCGCTGGGTTGCCAGGTGTGGTGTAGGCTTGGTCTAGGGAGGGCTGCGAGGGGCCCTTGGGATCGAGACCTGACATTGTTGGAATTGGTAGATGTGGTTGTAGTAAATGTGTAGGTGAATTATCGATTTTCCGGTGTGTTTTTTTTTCTTGGGTGAAGCAGGGTATGAGATTGGAAGTTACGTGCAATTAGGTTTGTATGCGGGAATTCAAGCTGAAGCTTGGAGGACATTGTTTTGGCCATCTGCCATTGCTATGACGTCTGCGGGGTGGGCCCGTCATTCATTCGCGCCCCCCACCAATGCACGCCCTTGTCATGTGAGGACGCGGAAACCAAACGCCTGTGCCGTGTTTTAGTATTTGATTGTAGTCATCGGCATCGGTGCGGGAGGGCTAAGTGCGCGATCGGTCCCAAAGGTTGCTTGCCGCAGCTACCAGTGAAGCAGGGTCTGTACAACCTAACTTAAATGTTCACTTGCTTTTTGACTGTTGGAAGTAATAGAGCGCTGCAGCCAGTATTTCGAGAATGTGTAATATGTGCTAGAGATAGATGCACTCTAATCGCCATGGGCCATGGCTGTGGAGTAATGAGCACGCGAGCTCCAACTCCGGAATAAAGCACCCTGTGGGTTACAAAGCCCGCTGCCCAACAATCCTGATATTTCATAACGCCGTGAAAATGATTCGTGCCCAAACGCCTTCGCTATGCTTGTATGATGGACGATCGGGTATCACTCCGTTTCCATGACCACGTCCTTCGAGGGCTCTCTTGTCTCGACGTGATTTGTCGTCTCGCGACTCTCTTGTTTTGACTCTGATGCTTTGGCGGCTCTCTCACGGGTTCTCCGATTCCACTCTTCTATCGATTCCGCGCCTCCTCCCTCGATTTTCACAGTCTTGGGTTCAGCTGGAACTCCTAGAACAGTGCCCTGGAAACGTGATTCGACGCCGGTCTTGCTGTGTTTCTTCATGAGGGCTAGGGAAGCAGTCAGTAAACATGTAGCCGTATTCGGAGGTATCCAGACATACTGTTCAGGTAGTCTTCCATTTCTTCTTGATCCAGTTGCTCTGTTGGATTCGTTGCCACGGGCTTGTAGATGCCTGCTATGCGCCTAATCTCCTTGTTCTGCTCGCCCTTGACCCATTCAATGAACTCGGTCACGTCTGCTGTATCTTCGGCGTCGCGCCGGGCTGCCTCATTCTCGCGGGCTCCCGTCTCTTCGTTGTACTCATCGAGCGGTTTGCGCAATATCTCCTTCCATAGTTCTTCCCCTGCTGTCATGGTTGGCACGAGGAGGGCGCAGTCCTGCATTGCCATGCGCACATCACTAACGTCTGGCGTGAGGTCGTTGTGATTGGAAAAGGCATTGTAGGCTGTGCGCTCTGCGAGTAGTGATAGATAGCGTGCGGTGAGATCTACGATGGTGTCGACAGCCGAAGGTTTGCCATGTTGGAAGCCCGTCGCGCGTAGAATGTGGAGGACGGCGGGCCGCAGCAGGTTGAGAAATAGGTCGTTCTGGGACATGCTTGCGTTTGTGTGAGTGAGATGAGATGCAGAGGTCCGTTTGGTGTCGTACTGTTACGGTGGGAACAGCAGGCGCATTGTGGTATTGTTCGGCGCAGTTCAATGTAGGGAAAGTGAAGGGACGCGATGGGAAAGCTTTGGCCCTTCACCATCGCGAATGCCAAGGCCGACGTCCATGGAATAGTTGCGCAACGACTCCGGCTCACTACCCCGGCTTTCACACCATCGCGCATCCTCGCAAATGTCGCGCTCGCACGCGCATACTCGAAACCCGCCATATTAAATAGTGGTTTCTTCCATACCGTCGCCCATCATGAAGCTCAAACTCAAGAACCCGAATGCCGCTCCCAGCGATGCGCCGCCCTCAGAACCTCCACCATCCGACGCGCCTACACCGGTTTCCGCAAAGCCAGGAGGTCTCAAGCTAAAGTTGAAGCCCGTAGCTCCCGCGGCTGGTGAGCCTGCGGATAGCCAGAATGGGGAAGCCAAAGTAAAGCGCAAGTACACCAAGAAGCCTAAGCTCGATGAAAGCGGCAATGTCATTCCCCCGGGAAAGCCTGGACCTAAGAAGAGAGCACGCGAAGAAGGCGGCGATGATTTTGATTCACCTGCCGCAAAGCGCAAACCAAAGCCTACCGCGAAGAGCCTCGCCATGGCTAATGACACCGACGACGAAGACGACTACACCGCAGTAGAACAGCCTCCACCTCAGCCGATCAAGCCCCACAACCGCACCCAGTCTATCAAGCTCTCGATCAAACCGAAGGGAGCCATGGGCTCAGCGAGACCCAGCACCGCTATTCTGAAGGTCAAAGGTGCGGGAAAGCCGCCAGTCAGACCGTACGGCGTCGGTTATGACAGTGAGGCAGAGGAGGCGGAACCCGACCCAGCTATTGAGTCTCAGTTTGTTCTACGTATGAAGCCAGGCCCAGACTGCGATTTACTGCGCAAGTCCATCGAAGAGAAAACCATTGGCAAAAGCGTATCGCAGGGAGGGCCAGGCGTACATTTCCGATTTTTCGACCGCGAGGGCCGTCGAGCCATGCTCACTATACAGAATCGCATGTACGCCGCGACCATGGTCGAGTTGCCCGCAGTTATAGAGTCCCTGAAGAGTTGGAACAAGAAGGACTGGGTCAAGACCGCAGATGTCTGTCAGATGCTGCTAGTTCTAGACGAAGTTAAGAACGAGGACGAAGCGAGGAAGTATCCCCTTCCCTCCTACATCTCCCCAGACACTCATCGGTTTCCTCATGGTTTGACGCCACCCATGAAGTGGGCTCGCAAACGACGTTTCCGCCCGCGCAAGTCATACATCGATGTTGAGCGCGCCGAAGCGCAGTTGAACCGACTGATAGCCGAGGATGAGACTGCGGTATCAACAAAATATGAGATGGTAGACAGCGAGGCTGAGAGTTCCGAGGAATCTAGTTCGGAAGAGGAGGTGGATGACGACGAAGAGATGGCTGACGCTACCCAAGTGGAAGAAATGGATGCCGACCAACTCGAGCAAATGCTCGCCGAAGGGCTCATGGATGATGAGGTCGAGTTTCAGGGTGACAACGATCAACTCAACGCCTTGCTCGCTGGTAACAACAACGTGCAAGTCGAACAGGTTGACACTCGTACTACCGCTCACGACGTCGCTATGCACGCCCTTGGCCAGAACAGAAACGTCGTTGTCGAAACTGAGACTGCGGCTTCCACCCCAGCGGCAGCGACATCTGCAGACGACGATGATGACGATGACGACGCAGACTCTGATGAGGATGTTGATGAAGTGGACGAAGCCGCGGCGGCTGAAGAACAACGTCAAGAGCAACTCCGGGGCGAAATCGCAGAGCTGGAGAGAGCCATCGTCCAGAGTACCGAAGCCCGCGACAGGCAGACCAATGTCCTCTTCAAGAAGCGTGTGCAGACCCAGATTGACAAGCAGAAGGCGGATCTAGCCATCAAGCGTAAGCAGCTGAATGAGGAGGCGGATGAATAATCGGACCTTCTCCTAGACCTCGGTCGTTCTGGGTTATAAAGGTTGGGTAGTATGTTTTAACATAGGTAGCATTGCGATGGCGTTATTACGGGGCTTGAAGCATTCATGTGGCGTTTTGGAATCTGAGGGTGTAGCAGTCATGGTTCCATACCGGGTATCGTCTATTTCAATTACTACTTTTATGAACACATGTTCCACCAACGAGGGTTCGTCTCTATTCTCCTCCATCACAGATACTGTACTTGGCTATGTATAATCATTCGCAAGAACGTGCGACTAGCATTTCTGGAAGCGTCTAGTCTGCGTAAATGTAACAGCTATAATCTGATTCCCCCGGTGTAAAAGCCTAGCGACATTAAAAGAGCATCCACGTGCCCTTGGAGTCAACTGGTCCCCGTCTCCCGCTACTTATCAAGAATCACGCAGTCACATGGGCAGCAACAAGTCATCTGATGAACGATTAAAGGAGTTGATTTCCCAAAGTCTCCAAAACGGGTATACAATAACAAGGAGACCGTGTGCGACTAGGATTAGACCGCCGTTCGTAAGAGCCATTTACAAGTTCATCCAAAGTAAACAAAGCGCCTGTGCTGAACAAATGGAACGCCTTTTGGGAGAATGCGACGCTTGAACGTGCAAAAAGAAGGGGTAAATAAGAAGACAGCCAAAAGCAGCCAGAACAACAAGAGAATCAATCCAGGATGGAAATACCTAGGAACCCAAGCGCCAAGTCATTCGTGATAATGAAAAAAAAAGAACAAGGGAGAACGGGGGGGTTTTGTTATCCAGAAACGAAAATGCCAATGCCCCAAATGGGATGCATCAAGAATAGCCAAACGTAGAACAACAAAGAAAAGATCAGTCACTCTCCAGTAACTGTCTAATCTTCTCGTAGAAACTCGCGGGATACTGGCGAATCTCATCGTCGGTAGGGGGGCTCTTATTCGGATCTCTAAACCGATCCGCGACTCTTTGGATAATCTGACCAAGCAATTCTTGCGGTATCCTAAGATCTTCTCCACCATCCGGGTAGAGGAAAGGATCTCTTTCGTCCAAAAGCTGTGCGACGTTTGGTCGGCGCGAGGCATCGCGTTGCAAGCAGCGACGAAGTGTCGCTTTGAGACCAGGAGGGACGCGCACATCGCCAACACCAAGATCAGGGATTTCGATCTTGTAGTCGCGGTTTACAATGGCGAGGACACGCGCCATTTGGTTTGTAATGTGGGCGAAAGGAGGGCGGCCGTAGACCATTTGATAAAGGATACAGCCTAGACTCCAGACGTCGGAGGGTTTGCCGAGCGCCATGTCTTTGGAGCCGTTGCCGTTCGATAAGAGGCCTCGGGCACCACCAGCGGAATCTTCAAGCGATTCTGGCGACATGTAGTTTGGGGTGCCGATGTGAGAGTCGCGGTGCACGTTTACAGTGTGGTCGACTTCAATGGCGTTTGCGATACCGAAATCGATGAGCTTTAAGCGGCCTGAGGTGAGGAGGAAGTTTGCGGGTTTGAGGTCCGAGTGGACGATATCGTGGTCGTGGACTGCTCCGACACATTCGAGCATTTCTTTCCAGTAGTAGCGTGTAAAGCTCAGGTCCAGTTTGCCGTCGCCGTCAGCGGGGTCGAGCTTCATTCGTATTATACGGGCGAGATCTGATTCTCCGAGTTCCATAAGCTGGTAAATATTAGTAATGTGCTTTGTCTTCTCTCTCATGGTTTACATACCACACTTAGCACCTGCCGCTGTTCGTCCACCTCCCAATCGTATAATCTTACAACACGGTCGACGTTTTTGAGCTTCTGCAGCAGGTCGATCTCGCCCTTGAAGCCCCGTACAGTAGCTTCGTCTGCATCCTCAAGCTTGACTCTCTTCAGTGCCAGTAGCTTGAAATTCTCTGCCATGACACGGTATACAGCCGAACTGCCTCCTCGTCCGATCCTGTCCATTTGCGAGTAGTGCTTTCCATTGACTGATAATGTGCTCCTCTTCTTTCTCTCCCTTGTCTTTGTTGTCGCCGCTCCGGCAGCAGTGGTCGCCGTCTCCAGCACTGACATCTTCGGGGGAGGTGGAGGTGCTGGTCTTCGCGGGGTGTTCGCGTCCAGCGCCTGGAGTGGCCTTTGTTTTTCTTGTTGCTGCGAAGATCGTTGTATCGGTGACTGGTGCTCTAGGGGTGGTTGCATATGGCGATCCTCTGCCACTTTCATAACAGAGCCGGTAACTTTCAGAACGGAATCGGGGACGTTCTCAGGCTGCGTCTTGACCGCTGAGATGGGCATGTTTTCTTGATCTTGAGAAGGGTGATGCTCCTCTTCGCTTTGGGGTGTCCTCCTAAATCTCCTCATGGGCGCACCTCGTAGTGGTACTCTCTTTATTCGCAAACTTGGTGCAGGTGTAACGGTATCTTGCACTGGCGTGTTGGAGCCAGGAGATGCATTGCGTGATATCTTCAGCTTTGGTTTCCTCTTCTCGGGCGAATCGACGTCACTTCCTTGCGCAAGCAGTGCGGTCGTCAAGGCGCTAAGCTTCATAGGTTGTGGTATCTCATCGTCGGAGCTATCGCCAATGTTGATGTTCTGCATCATGGGCGCATCCGCTGAGAACCCTTGTGACTGACTCAATACCGATAGTGGAGAGTCTCTCCTGGGTCGTATCGAGGAATGCGCACGCATGCGACCCCCATATGAGGGCGTGGGAGACAGGGTAGACATTCGAGTGTCGCGTCGAGATTGGGGAAGCGCGTTCCTATATATGTTCTCGTCGGGTTACGTGGATAGCGATTGTTGGCTGTGGGTTAGTTGCGCATACATCCGGAAGGTAGGCTTTCTGTTTCGTGGTAAGGATGGGATGAAGTTGGCGTTCATCAATACTTAGGTAGCGCGCGATTCTGAGACTCGCGTGGGTCACGTTGCTGAGGTAACTACGATAAACAAACAGCCGAGGCACCTTATATTCCAGGATCTCCAGCACACTTTGACGTAAAAAAGCAGTCCTACTACCCGAACCCATTACTAGCTTGAGCGCGTGATCTATGTTTCCGGTCCAAGCTCTAACGCTGCAGCACAGTCCCTGGTTCCAATGTGATGTCCGGCTCCCTACGGTGACATGAAGGTTGTTGTATTGGCGTTTAGTAGACGGCCATGAAAGTGATAGTAAGCATTTTAGGTGCTGACGGTTTTACTTGCTCAGTGCATCCCATCCTGCGATTTTTTTTTCAAATTGTCAAACGGACTGTGAATTGCAGCCTGTGAACCATGTCACTAAAGACTGCGTAAACTGATGCGCTCTTGACGCTACTATGAGTTTTACCTCAACATAATACCACAACAACCAGGAAGGTTAGTCTAACTTTACATTTGTCGTATAATGATATCTTCAAACATGCAGAGGGACGAAGTACAACGGCCGTACCAAAGTGAAAGGTCATCTAATGTTTCTATCTACTTTGCGAAATCTTCATAACCACTACTGTGAATCCAAGCGGTTAACACGATTACCAACCCAGTGCTATGCGCAGATACGCCTCCCATCCCGAGCGTAAATCTTCTCCGAAACGCCATCGCCTACCCATGCAGCCAAACAACAGAGGTCTAATGCATTCAATCATAGTTTTGCTCGCTGGGGTGCATCCTTTAGCACAACAGCTACCACGGCAGCAATGTCATCCGGCTTGCCACCATGCCAGTTTTCCCCAGGGTAGTACCTTTGCACCTCTTTAGCGAACGGTCCATCCCGACGAGTGTTAAGTCCCATCACCTTGGCCTCCTTCGCGATCGCAACCGCCACTTTGGCTTGGAGAGAGGAGCTGTCGGCTTTACGAGCTGAGCCGGCCTGTACCAGCTTCGCTAGATCTTGTCCGACTTCAATGGTACCATCTTTCTCTACCCAAGCACCCAAATCAACCATGTGACGGCTGACGATACCGAGGGCATCCTGTGGACTCAGGTTGTCCCACACACCATCGGTTGCGAAGACGAGGACATCACCATGGCGTACCTTGTGGTGTGTTATACTCGACTCCTTTGGTAGATCCGAAAGTGTGGATGGGCCTCCAAATACAGCCATTTGCACTAGCATGCGTTGGGGAGTTTTGGAAAGCTGATACGGGGTATTGAAGGCGTGCGTCTGTGGCTGCGTAAAATGTCGTACCGCGTTCAATCCCAGATGCATGAATCCTGAGTCTCCTAGGTTGGCGACCTCGACATTGCCATCCGGTTCTGCAACAGCCAGACATGCGGTGCTGCCACCACCCTCAATGCTGTCATCGTCCGTGACCTCGTCGTATGCAACTTGGAGCAAGTCTTTTGGGTGTAATGCTGTCGTGTTGAAACCATGTGGCCAGGAGCGCGCTGCACAAGCCATGTACTCGCACAATCCGTGGGAGAAGTCAGCTGGGTCCAACCCAGACTCGACCCATCCTCCCACTCCATCTGCTACACCAAATGTTGTCGTGTTTGTGTTGCCCACCTGGCTGAAGAAGAAAGCATCCTGGCCACTTCTCGCTCGTTTCCGCTTGTCTATGGATTCTTTGCAGTCGCGCAGGTCCTCATTGACGATGCTGGGGTCATGCAACGGTTGTGTGAACAGATTCTGCTCCGCATTAAAGCGATCCTGCTTGGCTGAGTAGGATGCTGCGATATGATAGGTGTATTGCGGCGTACTCTGCCAGTTGTGTGAGGTTGAATGAAAGGATCGTAAACCGACAGTGGCCGGGGATGTATCTCGGCTCAGCGGGCACGTTGGCTGTGCGAAGTTGGAAGGCATACGCTGCGAAGGAAGGCCGGTTCGACTAGAGGAGGCAGGCATTGCCAATGGCGAGGCGGAGAGAGCAAGCAGGAAGAAGCCACTAGATGAGGCGCGTCGCGACACTGGGGCAAGTCGCGCAAGGCCCGCCGCGCTGGTAATGGCAAATGACATGGCCACAGCCAAAGCCTGAAAATTCAAGGTCAGTACGTTGTAGTGTTGTAGGGTGAGCAGGGCATGTTGGCGGTGCCGTACCTCTGCGACAGGATATGTTGAAATAAAAAGGGACTTTAGGGCTAAGAATTCACATTGGCCGTCGTCATTGCCGATCGGCTAGTTTCTGAAGGCCGTGGTACTTACGATTATTTGAAGCATTCTCGGAAGATGTGTATGGCAGAAAGAAGCCACAATAGCAAGCTAACAACAACAAACTGGCATTGTTCTACTGAAATCTGGTCTCTAACCTGCAGAGCATATTCGTCTAGACCAAACACTGCAGGTGATTCAAGCGTCGTCTCAAACGCGGAGTATGACATAACCGACGCTAGCTCAGCCCTATCGCCTAAACCCGTGTCTGGCCCCGAACTTCTTTTCGAGATACCTGCCTACAAGCACCAGCAACCTTCCCCGCGGCGGGACAAGTAGTCAAGATGAGCATGCACCCGGCGCGACAAGCTTATGTGGAGGAGGAGAATGGCGCGGTACGTATCTGGTGTTTTTCTGGCAAGAGATCGGCATAGGAGCTTCACGCGCTTCGTAGCTGCCCTCTGTTCGCATATAAGCTAACTAAAGACATGTAGGACGATGCGATGGAGGGTATTGACCTTTCCAGTGTCCCGCTTGACCGTAACCATGCCATGCCTGGTGGAGGGAACGCGTCGGCCCATTCCCTTATGGAGGACTTTGACCGCAAACGACGAGCAGCGCAATTAATCGTACCCACTGCCGACCGCGACGTCAAAGCGAAGCTGCGTTCACGAGGCGAGCCCATCACCTTGTTCGGCGAAGGGCCTTCTGAGCGACGCGACCGACTTCGAGCTCTGCTTGCAGAAGCAGCCGAAGCATTGGGCGAGGATGCAGAAGATGTGGACATGCAAAATGCAGAGGAGGCGCCTGGTGACGAGCAGGAGGAATTCTACACACAAGGCACGCAATCACTATTGGACGCACGACAGGACATGGCCAAATACTCTTTACCCCGCGCAAAGGAGCGTGTCGCATACCAGCGTCGCGAAGCTACCATCCCGCTGAAGACTCACGTCGAGTTCCGGAACAAGATCAAGGACCGGCTGAAGGGCTTCGAGCTCTACGGATCGCAAACCGCAGATCGTCCAGTAAGCATCGTGCGCGTTTCACCAAACGGCAAGTATGTCGCATACGGTACCTGGGGTGGGAAAGTTGCGCTCCTGGAGATCCCTAGTTTGGAGCAGAAGAAGGCCTATCGCGGTGGGCACACGGAGCGTGCAACTGGTATAGATTGGATGCCAGGTGCAACGCTAGAGGGCAGCAACATCTCGACCTCTAGTGTAAACTTCGCATCTGGTGGAGCAGGCGGCAAGATTCAGCTTTGGTCACTAGACGACGACAAGCCTCTGCGCACTCTAGAAGGCCACACCGACCGCGTCTGCAGAGTAGCATTTCACCCTTCCGGGCGATACCTAGCCTCAGCTTCCGACGACACGACATGGCGACTCTGGGACGTCACCACCGGACAAGAGCTTCTCATGCAGGAGGGGCATTCGAAAGAGGTCTACACAGTGAACTTCAACGGTGATGGGTCACTGGTCGCAAGTGCTGGTCTTGACAGTATCGGCCGCGTATGGGACGTGCGCACAGGTCGCGTCATCTACATGCTGGAAAGCCATATCAAGCCCATTTACGGTCTGGACTGGGCAACAGATGGTCATCGCCTCCTATCTGGCTCAGGTGATGGCTTCATGAAGTGCTGGGATGTGCGGGCGATGAGAGAGACAAACTCAATTGCGGCAAACACTGGAGGTGTCACCGATCTACGATGGTTCAAGGGTACGGACGGTCCAGCCAGCGGAGTGCCGCTACAGGAGAACAGTGATGGAGAACTCGTACCAAAGAAAGCGTCCACCTTTGTCATCTCCTCTGGTTTTGACAAAAACGTTCAGATCTTCTCAGCAGACGATTGGGCGCATTGCAAGACACTCCAAGGTCACTCAGGCCCTGTCTTCAGCACCGATGTGACGAGTGACGCGTCCTGGATCGTCAGTGGCGGTAAAGATCGCACTGTGAAATTATGGGCTAGAGACGACAACGGAGGAATATGAGATCAGAGCTGTTATGCCACTCTATGGCGCATGATATTTGACGGCAACAGCCGCGAGCATGCGACAAAAGCAAAGGAAGCGAATGCCACAAGTTTGAGAAGAAGACAGAAAGGTCAGTGCTTGCCCTTTCTACCTGAACGCGGATGTTGAACACAAAATGTCCATAGCTTCAAAACGAGATACCCAGTACTCCCGAGCGCGTGGAGTTACCAATACACAGGACGTTACGCAACTAAAAGTGTGCACCGTCATCCTTCAACTCCATCCCAACCTCCTTCACATGTCTACTCGCTGCTTTTCTTCAGTCTCCAAACTCACCGCTCCTTGCCCGTTTCCGCGCTTGACAGGACCGATACCTCAACCACGCGATCCGGCTTACGCAGTGGTGATCTACTCATCATCGCGAGACTACGGAAGACCGCTCGGCATCCGTCGGACAAGAGAAGGCATGCTGCCCCCCTTCCATGTGCAGTATGACATCGCGTCACCTTCTCTACCCAGCTCTACCCATAATTCCAAAACACATATACGTCGAAGCAAGGCAGCATTCCCCCCTCACCGCAATGATCAGAATATTTAAGAATGTTTCTTCTTCACCGCAAGATGATCGACATCGAAACAGGACCTGCGATGGACTGCTCTTAGACATCGGCCGGCTGACTAGCTTGATAATGGATCACCGACTGGACTTCGGGAAGTGTAACCGCTCCCGCGAAGTGTTTCAGGTTTTTCAGATCCACTACGACAGAGCAAAGATACAATGGTCTCGAATTCTAGGTGTTCCACCGCCTTCCATGCGCTTGCCGTCATCGGCCGGCACCCTGAGCTTTTGGTGATTTCCCACATATCCCCCATGCAACCGCCGAGTGCGGAGAAAGAAGACGAGTGACTCATTGTTTCAAACAACAAAACTCGGTGCATGGGTGCCAAGACGTCAACGATCGTGGACATTTGTTACGGACAAGAATAACTATGACGGCGGAGTTCTAGTGGTCGTGGTCCATGCGCGGATGCGGAGAGTGGGCCTTTCACCGCTACAGCCTCACCTTTTTGGCTGCCACAATTTGTCGACGTTTATTTGGGGCCCTTATGCTATGCGCCCTAGAGGTTGGGCTCCATCGTGTTTCTCATCATGTCTGTCTGATTCTCATGCATCAACATCGGTAATAGTTTCCGGTCAATATGAAGCCATCGTCTCAGGGTAAAGAAGTCGGAAGCATCCGAATACAACAAGTGGAGCATTGCATTCAGTCTAGTATGCAGTCCCTGGCCCCGAGTTACGCGTGCCAATGTACGCGCCATAAGACGGAATAGAGAGGATCAACAGCAACAGTCGATCCGGATGCAGCAGCGTCGGTAGGTTGGCTTAGCTTGTCAACAGGAAGAATGACGCGTTGCCATTTCCGAGAGACGGCGCGCTCATTTGGTGTGACGCGATCTGTAAAGTTTTGCTTAGGGATGGATGTCTTAGGTAGCCGCAGTACGCGTTGCACGGGGCGGGCAGTGCGCACAAACCGCCATAGCGAGGCTCTATTACGGCGTAAAGGTGCTGATTGCTGTGGAGATGGACATTTTGCAGCTGGTTACTTTGCCCACTACGGCTGTCATGCGAGACTTGACACAAACCGTCTGATGTTGTTCGGCAGAAATGGAAGAAAGCGGCAACAAGCAAGCATGAAAGCGATTACCAAAGAGTGACCAATGATGGGCGGGGAAATTCTGGAGAGTTTCCAGACTTTCGGTAAGATGGGATAGTCGGATCTCGAGGGTGGCACAGGACAGTAGGCTGTGGCTGCTTTGTTTGCCTCTCGATGGGCACGCAGACAGAGTCCAGCCATAGCCACCCAGCCAGCCACCCAGACGGAGTGGAGGCCGCTTGGTACCTTGCACGAGGTAACTGCTCACGATAACGAGGGCGGACACGGAAGTACAGGAACGGTAGTCGAAAAGCCAAAGTAGACAGGGAAGCATGCTGCGGGCAGGGAGCGGTGAGATGACTCGCGGACACCAGAGCGAGCCGGAACTTGGACAGATGACACCATGATGAAGACCATCTAGGCGGCCAAGAGGGCTCACCTTGTTCAGGAAACGAAGGCGGGCTGCGAAGTGGGAAATGAGATCAGAGTCGGCTGACGACCAACTGCCGGGCTGCGGTTGGTCTGTGGTGGTTGTGATGATGGTCGGGGTGTAGTGTAGTGAGCAAAGGCCGCCGGGGCTAAGGCGGCCCGCGTCGTACTCAGCAGACAGTACTCATGATGGCGATTACGCCAGAAGCTCGCGATATGCGCCGCTACCATTCCGAAACAACAATTCCCAAAGTTGCGGGAGGGCATTTTTCGACAAGCGCGCATCGCATCTTGACTCTTTCGAGCAGAGTTTTCACCGCGCGCGGCCGAGGAGGGTATAGGCGAATCGCGATGCAGTCCGGTGGAATTAATGGCAGTATATGGGCCGGCCCGCGCAGACTAGCCAGTCATGCTCTACGTATCGATAGAGCAGCAGTATTGCAGCAGCGCGAAGCAGAAGCACGGGGCGGCACGGGAGCAGCAGCCGAGCTGGCGTACCAAGCGCTCAATGTCTGGTTTGACAGAGAGGGCCATGTCTGGGTTGACAGGACAGACATGACAGAAAGCCATGCCCCGTGAATCCAGAATTCCACATGCGTGACAGCGGGCGGGCGACAAACGGCGGCAGGACATCACTCTGGCAGACGGCTGCGGACCAGCGAGCATGCACCGACGGCCCCAGGGCAAACACTGGGTAATCAGTGCGGAGGGTGAATGGGCCCATGGCGGGCGTGACAGGACAACCCCAGCCAGTCGCTACTGGGAAGAGTGCTGGAATGATGCATCAATACCCGACGCTATTGGGGCGTCCTATCAGCAGGGCCTGCCACTGTTTCGTGCCCAGATGCATCCCACGGAAGCGTGACCCCGGTCGTCTCTTACAAGCCTGCTTCTTCCTGCACACCCCGCTACCACCATGCTTTAAGCCCCCTCTCCCACCTTTACCATCTACCACCCTGACCCTCACTGAGCCGCTATTTTACATCGCTCGCTATCCAGACGCGCATCGCCTCTGCTGCCCGTCTTCTGCCCCGTTATTCAGATCACTACCGTTGAAGTTGAGTACAATCGCTAGGGACATCCTGCGATCACCTTAACCGAAAAGAGCAATCCACACCGCCAGTCCCGCGCCTACACCGGTACTTTGATACATAGGCCCGCCATGGACCATCAATACTCCAACAACACACATCACATGGATTTTCACAGACCAAATTCGACACTGAACTCTCTCGACAGGAAACCTTCCGCCTTTTCTTTTGACGACAACGCTACTCTCGACTCCAGCATCCTGGACACGCCCGTCCTCATGTCGCCCACCACCAGCACCCAGGGCATCTTCTCCCCCGACACTTCTATTTGGGAGGACTTTTCAAATGGCCAGTTCGTCGACCGCACTGCCACCAGCTCCGTTGTCAACACCAACGGCAACAACCCCTTCTTCACCGAGCAAAGTAACAACCCCTTCGCCCGGTTACCCCCCAACCAAGCCGCTACCTACGGCCAGCAATCATGGCCTGTTACCGACAACTCTGGTTCCAGGACGCCCACAGCCCCCAAGCCTTTGAACCCCTTCGGCCCTGGTGACTTTGGAGCTGCACCCTTTGTCGAGCAGCAGCAGATGCCCTACCACGGACTCCCCGTGCACCAGAATGTGCGACCAAGCGCCGTCTTCCCCTCTGCCCCAGAGCAACCCATGTCACCCCACACGCACTCCGACTGGATGGCCTTCAACCAGCAGGAGATGGACGCACGACCCGGACCCAAGCGAATGAGGCCCAACACCCCGCCTCGCTCCTTCTCCCCTCGTCGTGACGGTGGCATCCGGAAGAAGAACGCCCGCTTCGATATCCCGGCCGAGCGCACCCTCGTCAACATCGACAACCTCATCCAGAGCTGCACCAACGAGGAAGACCTCAAGGAACTCAAGCAGCAAAAACGACTCCTCCGCAACAGGCAGGCCGCGTACGTACTCCCATTTGGTTCTTGGCTCCACGCTCCACGTTTGGTCCAATCTACCTTTTGGTCTCTCCTCTCCCTATTCATCAGCTAACATCATGGTAGTCTTGACTCCCGGCAACGAAAGAAGAAGCACACCGAGGAGCTTGAAGAGGAGAAGAAGCAGTGGATGGAGAAGATCTGCCAGATGCAAGATGACTTCGCTGCCATGCGCATCGAGTACGACGCTCTTGTTGCCGAGAAGGAGAACTGGCACCGCGAGTCCATGGAGATGCACCACATGGTCAACCAGCTGCAGTTCGACAAGGAGGAGCTTGTGCGCACCCACACTCTCGAGACCGGCGAGCTTCGCAAGAAGGTCTCGGTCCTTACTGAACGCCTCGAGGCTGCCACTAGCCACAGAATGGCTGCTGCCCCCAGCTCTACCTTCACCGACTTCGCGTCTGAGATGGACAACCTCAACATGGGCAACAGCGACTGGGACAACTACATCTTCGTCAACGACTTCGCCTCCGACGACCAGCCCACTCCTCAGCAGAACCAAGAACTCTCTCTTGTTTCCCGCAACAAGGACGAAGACAAGCCCGTCGCTTCTGGTCTTTTGCTTATGCTCCTGCTCTGCGGTGCCTTTGTCGCAAGCAAGTCCGGTGGCGCTCAGCCTCCCATTCCTCGCATGCCCGACGAGGTCCGTGCCGCCTCCGCTACCGTTCTTGACAGCATCCTCAAGGATGCTGGTGTGTCATCTGCCATGGGCGAGCAAGGTCTCATTGCCAGCCACGTCACCGGACTCGAGCCCACACCCTCTGGTATGGCCTGGCCCAAGACAACCATGTCTGGCTCTGAACTCGCTGGTATCTCTGGCTCCCACCTCGACCAGCTGCACTCTCATCTCACTGGACCCACCAAGGAGCAAGAGCATGAGCAACTGTTCTCCATCACTCCTGACCAGTACAACAGCATGACGTCTCTCGACTTCACTCGCTCGCGATACAGCATGACCAGCGACGACCTCAGCGACCCCCTATCTCCCGGCTCGCAGCCATCGCATCGTCGCAACCTTGCCGAGACCCTCGCTGCCATGCGTGAGCAAAGCAAGGGTGACTCTGCTGCCGAGGTCTACACTCGCAGTCTGCTCTGGGACAAGATCTCACCAGAGGTCGTTCACGAGTTCAAGCGCATCGTCGAAGAGTCTGCCGCCATGTCACGACCCAGCACATCTGACGGCACCAAGGCCGAGACCATGGGCTAAGCAGCCCCACCACTATCATTACCAACAACCCACATTTCCTTTGTAGTTCCTCAAGTTGCATTTGTCGGTTATCAGCATAGCGCTTCACTTCTTCGCACCCCTACACAAGGGGTGCTTGTAGGGACACAAGTTGCATCACGGTCCGGCTGGAATCTTCGTTCTTCCTGCGCGTTTCTCCTTTGAGCGCTCATGATGAGCCCCGCCATATTTTTTCCTACCTCAACTCTGGCTGCTTGCCAGTCTTCTACAATCTGGGACGGCAACGTCGAATTTTGGGTTACCCTCACTGGGTATCCTACTTCGCTTGAGCATAACATGGCGGTTGTTTTCCTTCCACGTCGAGACCTGGTTCACGACTTCACCTATTTATCTTTCTGCTTTTGTTTCCTTTGTATTTGGTTTTCTCCATTGGCATCAGACTGGTTTAGCGAGCAACACATTCGCGGTTGGCTTCATCTTTTGTATTTACTGCAAAGCGTAGCGAGCGTTGGATATTTCCTTTCACGTTACCACGAGATATTGAGAGAGAGAGAGATCGAAACGAAGGACATGGGACATGTATCCGACGATTGTATATGATGGCATGAGAGCGAGACAGATTGACAGCATCCTTATTTCTGGTATCTGAGCGAGGAGGATGATGATTGCAAGTTTTTGGTTTACTGCTGAAAGAGACGATTGCTTTCCCCTTCTTCTTCCCCTTCCTCCTCTCCTCTTACGACTAACATAAGTTACATCACGACTTTTACGCCTTCTTACGATAACCCGCTTGCGCTACAACTTTTCATAATACCCCCTTTCCGGACTGCTTGTCCACGATGTTTTGAGATACCAGCTTTTCACGTTTTTCCCTTGTCGTGTCACTGGGCGCGGCCGTTTCTGCGACCCTTTGTCACAGAGTCTTGTCTGGCAGGGCTCGATTGGTTGGCATGGACCGGGAACAAAGTCACTTGTACTTAGTGTTTATCGCCGCCCCATTGGGCGAAGAGAAAGTGCGAACGAGTCAAGTAATGCTATCGGATTGCCTTCCATCAGCGCTTACATCGACTCCCTTGAATGACCCCGACTTGATGTCTTCGCCACTGATTGCCATGTTCGAGACTCTTGCATCTGACAACGCCAGCCCTCGCCCACTTAGTCGTGGTGATCCATTCACTGCAAGCCCCAACTCTCCACTGCCCTCGTGTGAATTCTTCCTTCTCCACTCACGGTTTTTCCGTCAAAGACCCACGCCGCGGCTGATTGTCGCGTACCTCGCATCGCGCGAAGCGTCGAGGAAAGGATTACCCTTCCATATCGGAAGGGAAACGCGCCATGAGCGGGTTTTCGCATGCTTCACAGTCTACGCGCGCTCTGCATAACATGTCGCTCGTAAGCGTATACCTTGACTGCACAGCCATTCACTCGGTCCAGTAAACACGCAATAACATGTCGGTAACGAGCCAGCGCAAGCCACCTACTCACAGCCTTTTTTCACGCGGAACAAAAACTACAACACGCGCATCCCCCACTCCGCTCTTGCAAGGTGAGACCCGGATAGCACGCCTATCGTCCGGATTTACCACAGGGTCCAGCATTACTGCAACATGCAAATGCAAGTTATCGGCCCACAATCCACTCAGTGGGGCATAAGACAATATTCGTCATCAATCGCGAGAGAAAAGGTGGCTCAGCCCCACGTATGCAGGATATGAGTGCAGGTGGATTGCAGCTATGGTGAAACATGATGGATGAGGGACTAATGCAGCAGAGAATGCGGATGATGGATGATGGATGATTCATATTCGGACCGCGTTTTGCGAAGATCAGGGTACACGGGAGGGAAGGGAAGGGTGATGTGAGTGGCTTGGTACCACATGGTTACTTTTTCCGTACAATAGTGTCCATACGATATGCCGTGTTTGGACGTTCAGAGCGACAAATGTCTTGACTGTCACAAAAAAAGATCACATACACACACACACACACACACACACACACACACACACACCATCGCTAGGCTTGATCTGACAACCTTCCCAAAAACGGGCTGCTCTGTATTATGACACAAGCCCGTTGTTGTGCCACACCACATGCTCCCCACGTTCTGAAAGCGGAAACATAGCCTATCGCGTTGAGAGAGACCATGTCCATGTATGGGCCCTCAAGACCTTGGGTTTCCAGATCCAGATGACGGACTCTCAGCTACGCCACTTAACGCAACATTCCCTCACCCTCAGCAACACAATAGTGCGAGCTAGGCAATAGTCATGGGGAGGAGAATTTGGGAAAATTCAAGCCAGTGAAACAAGTGATAGGCCAGAAAGCGGTGTGAATTATTGGAAATAACGTTATGCAAAACATACGTTCCGAAAAGAAAAGCAATACTTCCCCGCGCGGGAAAGGGACCATGCTTCGGTTCTTTCTTCTCACACGACCACCCTCATGACTCCTAGGATAAGGCTTGTTGTACTAAAGTCGGACCGGGACGGAAGGGGTCGTCCGAAAGCGGGTTGCGGATCGCATCTTATTTGGGATTGTACTTGTCCTTCCAGATCCTATAGAGACAAAAGTCAGCACGTTGCTCGTCCCACCAATCAATGAAAACATCCTCGGTATCTAGGCAGTCCAGACCAAAGGGCGACGGGATACCGAAACTACTGCGGCCTAGGATCCAGATCGTGATGATGATGATGGGTGTCGTCCCGAGGCTGCCGTCATTGTCGCGATAGCCGTCATCCAAAAAGAATCCCGTCTCTTTTCAGCATACACCATCGTCGCGCCATCAATGCAACTCAATCTCCAGCTTTGCTCAGACCATCATAACATGCACCATCTGACACCGTCTCCACACACACAATAACGATGCGCAATTCCGTCGTCATTGGCTACCATCCCGCTTACTCTTTGATCCGCAACCGAGGCCACCGACGACACGCCACGTGTACCCCCGTAGACAAGCTTGTGTGTACTATACACCCAACACAACGGGTCTGGAGGCATGCCACTACCCACTATTGGAACGGGAGAGCGAAGCTTGTACCAAACGGGTAGTGTGTTACTGGTCAAGTTTTTCTTTGCGAATGCCATCATGTGTGCGTAGCGGGGAACTGGCAGCAAGTGTGACAGGTCCTGCTGCGGGTGAGGGCGAGGGCCGTCCAGGCGTCCGCATTGACTAAGCGAGGAAGAGAGTCAAAACGGTGCGCGGAGAGCCAATCGATTATGCTTGGCAGATGCGCGTTGAAACCGGTTGGCCGATTCGGACAATAGCGCTGTGCGTTGGATTGTTGGATCATGTCTGGTTGCTGTGGTGGCTTGGTGTTGAGAACTGATTGAGGATGCAACACCGGCTGGATGGCGCGGGTCAACGTGATGGCAGCTCGTGGTGACCACCATGTGCTCCATCCACACGGCGTGAAGGTGGTCCTCGGTCCGGCATATTCTCGCTCTTTGTGTCGATATAGAAGGTGATGAAGGAAATAATGTATGGTACTTACCAAGTATTGCCTAACGTCTTGTTCCCTTTGGATTCCGCGAGGCGCAGGAACTGAGCCGCTTTGAACTGGCGAGGCGCAGTTAGCATACCTGCCGCACCAGCCGAACACCACCAAATGCTGCCCAAACAGTGAGGCGGGATTACGAGGGGAAATGGTGTCTCAGTGGATATTGCGCGTGATGGCTGAGGTCGAGGCTGTACAAGACCCCCAAGCTGACCGTTCGCGTCGCTATCGCATGAACATCTAAACGAGTCGACACTGACCGGTGACACAGACGTACGCTGCAGGACAACGACGATTGGGCAGTAGAAAGAGACAACATGGATTTGCTTACCTTATCCTTCTTCGTACCAAAGCCCTCTGTATAGCACCAGGCTACCTCATTCATCGCATCGGTGTCACCCAAGTTGGCTGCCGTCTCATAATATTGCTTCGCGGCTGCGGGATCTTTCTTGATACCCCAGCCGTTGCGGAAGCAGTTCGCGAGCTCGTACATGGCCAGTACAAGCTCGCCTTTGGCTGCACCACCTTTTTTCATGCCGGCCCCGAGGGCCAGTTTCTCGACCTCAGCGCTGTTCGCCGCTGCCATGGATAGGTATTGGACAGCCTGTTCCTGGTGAGGCACACATCCCCAACCATGGCTATGTTCTAGTCAGTGATGCCTTGGGAAAATCACCGGGCAACAATTGGGTATGTTTTGGTGGCATCAGGCTGCAAACAATGAAGCTGAACCTACCGTAATGCGAGGCCGTAGAGGACTTGGGCTAGAGCATTGTTTGCGCCAGTTGGCTCTGCAAGTCTACCAAAAAGCGCCGTGGAAGCCTCAAGATCTGGTCATCTTGTCAGCTTCATCACAATTGTCCTCCCTATGTGACTACTCACTGCCCTTCTCGTGCAAACGAATAGCCTCCTGGATGTTCTCCTATGCAAAGCTTAGACCAACCCTTGCCCTGCTCTCTAAAGTTATGCATACCTCATCCGTAGGTGCACCGATAGTTTCACTGCGACTCCTAGCACTCGTCGGTCGACCGTGTGACATTGGATTTGCAGGCTCGTAGCTTGGTGTATTGGGCTGACTAGATCCGTGTTGCAAACCTTCGGTGACCAGCACCGTGGCCCTCGTCTCCCACCTGGCCTCTTCTTCCTCTGTTCGTGCGACACCGTCTCCTCCCACTTCTGGCAGATTGTCTGGTACGTTTATCGAGCTGCTCGACCTGCTCCGTCCAAAGTGCAACCGCTCCGCCAACTTGTTATCATGCTGCCCCGTCGCCGACCCCTGGGGTGAAGCATTACTACGACTTCTAAATCTGCCAAATTTGCTTCTCGAAGTGGGCGATAACAGGGGAGAGTCGCGCGTGGGGTCGCCAGGGAAGCTAGGCGGCTCGATGGTCTCTTGCGTCGATGTCGTGGTGCGGAAGAATTGGAACTCTGGGACATCAGGAGATAGCGTGGGCCCCGTAGGCGACACGGGAGTAGCACCCTCATCTCTGATCTTGTCCTTCTTTTTCAGCAAGTCTTTGAGCGCCATGGTGTTGCGCAAAATGAGCTGTCGCGTCGAGTTTCGCGCTGTCCGCGAAGGCAAGGGGTACGCGGCTTGGAGACCTAACAATATTCAAGGGATAACCTCACGTAACGGAAAGCGAGCGTCGTGCCGTTAGTACTATTCAATTCTGAGGGTAGTCTTATATCTTCGTAGATTCATCGCGAATGTGGAAGCGTTCATGGTCCTGCCGGCGCGGGCTGTCGAATTGCAAGGCATGATTGACTGTAGGACGAGGCCAAGCAGTAGCCGCAGCCCGTCTCAGCCTCCACAGCGCGCCGCATATGTCAGACGCAACGCTGCCACCAAGCGCAGCAATCAGCATTGTGTAACTTTGCTCCGGTACGAGATTGATGTATGTGGTAAGACTATATCGGGATTACTTTCAAAATACACAAGACATACACAGTAAAGCATCCGGACCTTCTGTGAGTGCGTCAGCGCTAGGGCATGTCTGATCCTAGGAACTAACGGTACCTGACGCTACTGACGCGCCCGTGTCGAAGCAGCTGTTAGTGCAGTATCAGCATGGCTATCGAATATGTATAATGGACAATTTTATGACTTGGTCACAGCAGGCAGAAAATGTTCAGTCTAAATTGTTCATTTTTTTTTCTTTCTTTACATGCTTTTTTCTGTTCTCTTTTCGTATACATATCCTTGATAGGACAACTATATCCATCAGCTAGCCAACAGCGACCTCGTGAAGCTCTACGCAAAGTTCGCCGAGCGTACAGCATCGCTTTTGGACACATGATCTGTCTGTAGCGTGAATGAGAGCTTTCGCCCAAATAGGAACAATGAGAAGACAAGAGAGGTAGGAAATCGTGAGAAGGGGTATCATCGAAAGAACCCTGAACGCCATGAAAAGCTCCGAACCTTCAAAAGTCAAGATAAGCCAGAAGCGACCAAGACAAGAACCTACCAGATGGGAAACTCGCGGGATCAAAACTTTGAAAAACTCGAATTAGGAAGGACCGTCATGGAATCTGAGCAGGGGGCACATACATGTCCGGACATCACCAATCCAGCGGTAGGCCGTGCTTACTCGTCTGTCTCAAAGGCAACGAAGTCTGCCTGCTGTGTAAACTGTTGAGGTTCCTGAGGGGTTGAACTCTTCGGCATCGTCCACTCGGGAGCATCCTGGGTGGTATCCATGCTCTCCTCAGGAGTGTCCGGAGTATCGGAAGTGTTTGACGAGGGGGAGTGGCTTGGGGAAGACCCACGGTTGGCCTTCCTCATGCGAGTGGCGCGACGAACGTGTGAAAGACGACAGCTCTCACCGTAGTAACAGTCTCCTGTGTTGGCGAAGTCGGGACACTCATGCGCATGCAGCTCGGCGCAGGCATCTCCCTTCTCGCAGTAGCCCATACGCCCAAAAGCTACACAGTTCAGTGCCGTGGGATTGACACGAATATGGGCAAAGCGACAGTCATCCTTGGTGCATCGACCTGCTTGAAAATGAAGACATGTTGGCGCATTGTGCGACGACGCATCATGAGGCAGTGAGCAGTAGTCTCCCTTAGCACAACTATCCTTATAGAACCAAGGCTTGCAGACGGCCTGTTTGTCCGGATCATGAACGAGGTAGCATGCTGGGCGGGAACATTGACCTATCCATACGTTAGAAGCGCCCAAGGGTAAGGAAAGGTCCCGAAATTGTCGTTTCGTCGAAATACCTGTGGATGTGAATATGGCACAAAGTTTCTGTGGTTCCGGCTGCTGTTGATCGCTTGACGAAGAGACATTGCTTTCGGCCAGTGCCCGCGGTGGATCCTCCTCTTCTTTTACCTTGAGGGACTGGATAGCATTACCGGGACCGTTGACAGCGACAGAGCTATGCGCAAACTTAGGTGCAGTGTAAGGGCGCGAGTAGGGATGGTAGGGTGTGTAGCCTCTGCCTCTACCACTACCATAGCTACCCCGATAGCCACCACGGTAGTCGCTGCGTGGATAATAGGAGGTGTCATGGTGGGTGAAGGCGCCAGAGGTGGTGCGGTAACCAGAGCCAGAGTAGCCATTCGACTTGAGCTCGTTCTCTTTCTTCAAGCGCGCAATGTAGCCTAACATGAAATTGTCATTATTTTCCAAAGGCAGTGATTCTTCCTTCACATACTCTTGAGCTCTGCCATTGCGCGTATTTTCTCCTCCGGTGAGGTCATCGCGGCGATTTGGTCTTGCGTGTACGGAGGTGGGTCGCGCGACACCATGTTGCACTAGTCGGTCGGGAAATCTATGATTTGAAGTTGTTAGTAATGCGCAACAGTATCGCTGCAACGTCACTTGAGGTTGTCGTCGTGAGGTTATTGGCGTACGGCAGATGAGGTTTTGCCAAAGCAGAGCAGCGTGGGGCAACAAAGAACAACAAGTCGCGAGGCCGCAGCATATTCTTGGCAGGGTCTGCGTCACGTGGCGCCAGTGAGCGCCGGCACCACCTCGCAAGACATGGCAAGTCTCAGTCTCAGTCACTGTCATCATACAGGCTCTAGGCCTGCTTTATGGCCGGCCTCTTGTGCTGGGTTTGTTTTGATCTATTCCGTAACATAATACTAGGGAGTTGACCGCGTTCGAGTACCTGGACACTTGAAGTGAAGCATTGAAACTAATAGATTAGGGATGCTGTTTCTGAAATAATGAGACAGCCGAGACATGGTCTGTAATACTGCTGGTAGTGATATATGCTCTGGAACAGTTGACTTTTTATCATGACAAATACACGTAAATACCACCTTGTCAACGTCCCCATCAGGCGTCTCCCTCGTTCGAGTCCTCCAATTTCGATACCTCAATCGAAGTACTGCACAACAACCTTAATATCCGCTCGGCCTGATCCCTTGAAGATCTCCAATATCATCATATTCAAATGCTCCCTCACAACCTCAATGTCGCTGCCAAACCAGATCAACGTCACTTCTCTCAGACTGACGAGTTGACACAGATCCCCTAGTTCGTCAATGAACCAGGCCTTGAGTCCAGCCTCTGGTATCTTGCCATCTCTGTAGACTCCGAAGGCGTCGACATACAGTCGTACATTGGATATAATATCGGTCTGGAAAGCGGTGAAGGTTGTCAATAACAATTCGATGACGTGCTCCGCGTAGCCGACAAAGACGTTGAGAGCGAACGGGAAGAGTTTGGCTTCGAAGTAAATTTGACGACACGCCTCAAGTAAGTTTAATTGCGACCTTGGGTACGCCCAGTGGGGCCATTCTCTATGCTCGCGGAAGGGGCGGACTGGGTGGGAGAGGAAAACGTATTCGTAGATTTTGTTACGAAGCTCGGCAGGCAGACGAAGGAGTAGAGACTTTCGATGATTCCGCTGTGAGCTTTGTTTCGGTTAGTACAAGAAAATGCAATACACCAATATGTACCCTCAAGTTATACGTAGTATTCTGCGTTACAACTCGAAAAGGGAAATGACAGTGAATACCCTTAGGGTAGGCATTAATATCTGGGGTACCAATCTGGTACTCACATTGCTGCGAGGCGATCCATGAGCATGATGCTGCGGTCGTAGTAGCGTACACGTTCCGGAACAGCCTCGGTTGACGAGTACATGGCGAGTGTAAAAGCGTAAAGTACAGGGGGTTCGGAGTGATGATAGCAAGGTCGCCAGAAAAAGGTTACCTGATCGCTGTTGAGCATGTGTGAGGAAAGTGGGGCGGTAAACAAGAATGACGGTGTGGAAGGCGCGAGCTACGATAAGAAGTGAGAAGGTTAATGACGTTTCACGCGCAAAGACCACAAATATTCGAATGTATAAAACGATGATGTACTGTTTTCGTGTCCTCCAATCGAGTGCGTCGACCGCATGTGTCCGGAACAAAGCATCAAGAGACACTACTCACTGGCGACGATGAGACTCATCTTAAGCCTTGGAACTTTTCTTAGTAAAATTTACCCACTACAGGTTTGTAATAACAATTCTTCTTTCGGAACGCCTGGCGCGTACGGAGTTATTCTCAAGGCTATCAACGTTCATAAACGTGATAGAAGTGAGTTTTTGTACATTTTGTTCGCGTCATTGCGCGTGCAGTCGCATTGAATGATGGTTGGGGAATGGGAAACCAAAGGTATACGGGAAGAAGCATTCGCATTTGATGTTCTCCACTTAGTAGTAGGTTGCGGGTCCCCTATGTCGAGAGGAGTGAGGGAGTAACATAATGCTAATGTGCAAACTGTACACTTCTACTCTAGCTTTGTGGCAGTCCTGAAGTAACGGTATATATTTCCAGATAGATCCCTACTATCATTGAAGCAGCGAACACATTTCGATCTCTTCTCCGCGATAAATGTGCTGCCCCACAATGTCCATCACCGACAAATTGAGTTCCTATGCCTAATACTCTTTCTAGACCTGCTTCAGATGCTCGTATTTGGTTTGTGCAGGGATAAAGATGGGTTGCTTCAGCTGAGGGAGCTTAGCAAGTTCCTCAACAGTTGGCAAGAAGGTCGAGTCAAATAACATGTTGACACGACCTTTTCCCCCGGATTTCTGGGAGACCCGGTACTCCCCTACGGTAATCTTTATAGCCGATATTACATGGGCTTGCTCCTGATTGAGAAGCCTCGTGGCGTATCACAGTGCTGGATGGCTACCCTTGGATGTGTTTGAGGTAAACGGGAATAGCTTGGCCTCGGCGTAGATCTGACGGAAATTCGGGAGTATTTGTAGGTCTCGGATAGTATACACGACCAGGATGATATTCATTGCCAGTTCTGGGGTGTATAGCTGGGTATATAGCTGGTGCGCGGATCCTGATGTTGTCTTTTGCGAACGTATACTTGTAGATCGCGTTGCGAAGCTTAGCGGGGAGACTAAATGGGTGTGTAAGAAGTCAGTATATGTCTCACTTACAGTTCTCATAGGGAAAATTACCGCAGGATAATGCATCGTACCTGGTTTTGGAGAGTGCTGTTGACGTTAGCTGAAGCTCATGCTGGCGAAGATGTAACTTACAGTGCAGCAAGTGCCGCGAGGCGACTTGTATCACCGCCATCATGCCCTGATTGCTTGTAAATATGCTGTCCTGACCGACATTGCGCCGCAGTGCTACAATAATTGGAGTTGAAATAGTTGAAAATATTCAAGTGCTCTGGGTTGAGAGCAATTCCAAGCAGAAGGTGTTTGGAGACCGCCAGTGGAAAGTGCGAGTTAAGCAGTCAATATAAAGGGGGCTAAACAGATAGGGTGGTGGATGGTGCACAGATCTGTCTGTTCTTATACTCCGGAAGAATGAGATGACCGCTGACTTTGGTGAATGTGTCGATCCGTGTAGATAACACTTCAGGTCCACCGGATTGTCAGTCAAGGCTCTTGAAGCTATACTTGTAGTGTACGTCCGACCTCCCGAAATAAACGCGTATCTTTGCGATGGCGCTCACCTGGGCGTCCGTGAGACGATAGTAAACGGCGAGGTGCATATCCCAGTGCTGTCCGTCGAATTCCTTGAGTGCAAACGGTAGAGGCTTAGCCTCTGAATGTATCTGGCGGCAGGTCGCAAGTAGTGTGAGGCGGCGTCTGGGAAGGTGGAAGTATGCGGGGCAATAGAGTTTTCGAGTTCTCGAGCAACATCTGTGAAATCGTTTGCAGTTCTTTACATCACAGACCCGAGTCTGTAACGTTCCGAGGACGTATCCGTATATCCGCTTTCGAATGCAGGCAGGTAAGCGGAAGAAGGGAGAGATCTATTTGTTGCGGATACTGAGTGAGTTAGGTTAGAAAAGCAGACCGTTCTCGGGAAAGTGCCTACCCTGTATCATCCGAAGTTGCCTTAGATTCACGCTGAACGCGCTTTTCGGTGCTAGCAGTTGTGGTTGATAGCCGCTGCGTTGGCCTTAGGAGATACTCCATTGTGTTGAAGTGGTGGAAGATGATTTGAAAGTAATAGTGAGACACTGTATAAACGAACGAATGAAGAGAATGAGGGGGGGAGTGAGCCTGAGAGTTAGAGGATGGCACACATGGTGAAGGGTCCGTGCCAAGTACCATGAAGATGAAGACAAGATAATTGTGCTACGTTCGCGATGTGGTGAAACAACGCAATCTTTGGAAATTATAGTATACGTTTTACAATGGTATGGTGATATACCTACGCACTCACCTCCCTGAAGGGGAAGTTGGTGTTGCTAGTCAGGCGGATTCGAGATACACTCGTTTTGGCATTTACTCGCTGCAACATTCTTTCTACTCTTTCTTGGTGATGGCCTTGAAGTCCCAGTTGTTCAGGTAGCCTGACCCAGCCTATCCACAACGTCAGCCTCTGGTAATCCACGTATGTAGAATGGTGATAGTACTTACGCAGAGATACGTTGCAAAGCTGACCCAGCCCAGGTATGGGGCGAGCAGCCATCCGCAGGTAGGGTCAACCTGTCCCCAGACGTTGATGAGGTAGGCGAGAGTTCCGCCAAGGGCAAGGACGTCGACCGTAGCAGGAATGGGTTTACCAAGGCCAAAGTAGAGAGGAGTCCACATCAGGTTCAAGGCAAGCTGGATAGTGTAGAGAGTCGCTCCATGCTGGGTCATCTTAGCTTGGATAGTACCGGGAAAATAGAGCATGATCATACCTTGGCCAGAGCGACGGTGTTGGGATTAACGGAATTGGCTCCAATGGTGTATGCACGATAGGCTGTGTAGCCCATTGTGGCATAGAGGGCTGTCCAGACGGGTCCGAAGACATAGCCAGGCGGGTGTAGTGGAGGTTGCTTCAGCGTTCTGTATGCGGTCTGAGTTACGCTTGCTGCATTGGTGTCAGTTTTCTGTCCAGATAAGAAGCACGAATATCTTACGACTGATGGCGAATCCTGTCGCTGTCCCGCAGAGAACAGGTAGTAGGATAGCTACGGCAGGGTTTTCAAAAGCGAAGTTGGGGAGCGTCAGGGAGGGTATGTAGCTCGTCATGATGGCGATGTACGACGATGCTTGTACACAGCTGTCAGGTCAATGTTACACACACAACAGGTAGTTAATGGAAGATGCCTTGTACCTGCACTCCGCAACTCGTGATATTTTCGGCCCACCAATCAAGTCTCGAACCTGCACAGTTCACGAGCGCACGCGTCGACCCACTTTCCGAGCAGCCGGAACTAGCCCCGTCTCAGCCGTGCTTGGGGCCTCTCCAGCCCTCCGCGATCAACCTCACCCTTCTTTCTGCCATCTCCCTCTCCACAGGCTTCTTTCTGCCCGGGAGTCACTTTAGCACATCGTGAGTGCACCTTCTCGTCCTTTGGCTGCCCCAATTGTTTGTACCCCTTCTTCCTCTTGTACAGCTATCTCCATAGCTCCGACAGCTTTGTCCCCGTGGCCCTGCGCCCAGCCTCCCTCCAGCTGCCTCTCTGACCTTCTTTTCTTGCGCCGCTGCTTGGGTGCGACCAATCGCATCGAGCGTGTCGGCTTCTTGTCACTTCTTACCTACCTCTTCTTCCTCGTTGCTAATCGCGTTCCTTCTCCGTCATCTTGTCCCTTACTTGTCCTCTCTTTGACCGAGCCATCATGGCAAACAGCTACCCGCTCCCATTGCCTCTCGAGCATACACCATCACCCAGCGCATACTCCCGGCGAGGTTGCGCGTCAGAAGAAGCGAAGACTACGCGCGTTGCGCCGACGGCCGCTGCACTACACTCATACCGAACCACCTGAACCCGACCACCCGTCTCGACTTCCCAACACATATTAATAACTATACCAAGCCTTTCTGGGCTTGCAATCTGTAACGATGGACTCATACACGTATGTCGAGACAGAACACGGCGTGCAAAGTACGATGCTGACGGCTCACAGCGCCACGCGTGAAGACTCCAGACCGCCTACTGATTCGTACAGACGCCGTTCGCCAGGTAAGCTATATTTCTCCTTTGAGCTAGAATCGGATTTTCTCTTCACCATTACGCGAAATAACGCCGCGTGTTTGCTCCTGGCCTGTTTTGCCAAGGACCGCTAGCGCAGAGTGTGCGCGTGCTTCAACAATGAGAAAAGTGTCCTACTTTCCGATCTATGGATGCGATTACTCGTTATATCTCTTGGACCGCGGCCTCAAACTCGGATCTAGATTGGTATCCTGTCATCATTGGACTGAGCTAACATGCGTCACAAAGGCTCCGGAGACCGTAGGGCAGGCAGACGACGATCGCGCTCACCCCAGAATATCGACCGATACCAGCCTGATCGCGCGCGCGACTACGATGGACCACGACGAGATGGCAACCGACGACGCTCTTCACCTCCACCTGTACAAGCGGGCATCGATCGATACGTGCCTGGCCAGGACAACTTTGCGCCGACCTTCACCACCAACCCCGTTCCGAACCCCATGCACCTCGAATACCAGGTTGGATTCAACTACTTTGCGGAATGGTGGCGTGTCGAGCAGCTCATGAAGGAGGAGAAAGAGCGCGCAAAGAATGGCGGACGTAAGCCTGGTCTCAAAGGCGAGCGCGAAGCTAGAGAGGAACGGGGAAAAGAGCGCGAGCAGATTCAGGCCGCTTACGACGAGTACAAGGAGAAGCTACAGGTACAGATGGCGAAGACGTTCGTGGACAAGCATAAGAACGAAGAGTGGTTCAAGGAGCGTTACGATCCAGACTACGACCTGGCCTTCAAAGAGAAGCTCCGTCAGTACCGCCACGGCATCTATGAGGAGTGGGAGCGACAAATAGACGAGGGCTACTTTGATGAATTCACGCTGGAAGGCATTTACAAGAACGATTCGAACGGTGCCGGCGGGATTGTTGAGAAAGAGGAGGGTGAAACAACGGCCGCCAACGAGGTCTTGGGCGTGGGTGATCTGTTGCCTTGCAAAGGTGGCGAGATCCGCGATGAGACTGCGTTCCAACCTACGCTACTTATCAAAACAATCGCCCCTACGGTCAACCGCGAGAAGGTGGAAGAGTTCTGCAAGGAACATTTGGGAGAAGGTCCTGGCGGCTTCAAGTGGCTCAGCATGAGCGACCCTAATCCACTTAAGAAGTGCCACCGCATTGGTTGGGTCATTCTCAACCCAAGCGATGAGCAGCCAATGGCCATCGACGACCGTGGTGATGGACGCGACGAGGAGGCTGAAGACGGCGCTGTGGAAGACAAACCTGAAGTTTCTCAAGGTCCCCATACCACCGCTCACAAAGCCCTCGAAGCTCTCAACGGAAAGACGGTCATTGATGAGCAACGGGGCAACTTCACCTGCCACGTTGGCATCCATGAGCCGCCTGCGGCCCCGCGTAAGAAGGCATTGTGGGATCTATTCTCTGCGCCTGAAAGAATTGAGCGTGATCTAGAGCTTGCGGAACGACTCGTAAGGAAGCTCGATTCTGATCTCAAGGCGCAGCACGAAGAACACTTCGCCAATGTCGACGGTGTCAGCAAAATTGAACAACGTGTTGAAGATCTGCGCTCGAAAGGCTGGCTCCAGCCTCCAGCAAACGCCCCGGTTCCCGCCAAGAAGACGCGTGATCCAGAAGACTTGGAAGAGGGTGAAGATGAGACCATGGAAGACGACGAGGGCGCCTTCGATGATGAAGTGGATGACGAAGAGTTGCTGGCCAAGAAGAAGAAGCTCGATCTTCTCATTGAGTACCTGCGACGAGTGTACAACTTCTGTTTCTTCTGTGTCTTTGAGAGTGATTCAGTCCACGAGTTGATTCGCAAGTGCGCAGGAGGTCATCTTCGCCGACCGCGCGCTAGTCTTACAACTGCCGCCAAGGCAACTGCAAGAGCCACGGCTACCGGAGATCTCTTCCCGTACAGGAAACAAGAGTCTTCAGGCGATGCTGAGAACGGAGAGAGTGGTAGCCCTGTGCAAGAAAGGAAGCCTATGCGGCTGAGCACAAAGAACCAACAACAACTTCAACGCGCTTTCAACTGGGTCAAGACTTACGAAGAGAAGCTGCTTCAGCTGCTTGAGCCAGAGAATGTTGATATTCGCAAGCTTGGCGGTAAGCCTTTGGAGGAAGCTATCGAGGACGAACTCTCCCGCTATGTCAAACAAGAGGACGAGTCCAAGTGGCGCTGCAAGGTTCCAGAGTGCACAAAGCTATTCAAGGGCCAGCACTTCTGGCAAAAACATGTTGAGAAGCGTCATCCTGAGTGGCTCGAGAAATTGCAGAAGGATGTAAGTATTTACGTCAATGCTCTCGAGGTTTTTACTAACTTGATGCAGCTGCGACTGGTTAACAGCTATGTTGTCGACCCTGCGCATATTGCCCCATCGCGTAGTGATGCCAATAGTAATGGCCACTTTCCAATGGGCAATCACGTCCAGGCTACCGGAACGCCACGGGGATTCAATTTGGCCAACATGAACATGGCAATGGCAAACAACGGCATGCAGAATGGTGTACACTTAGGCGCTATGTTCAACCCTGCTATGGGCGGTACCTGGGACCCCAACGCTGCCCATGACGACCGCGCCGGACCCATGCGACGAGGCGGCCATCGCTTCAACAACCGTACTGGACCTTACGATCGCCAACCTCGTGATGGCCGTCCTCGTCCCGCTGTCAACGGTGGCCGATTGACACCTCCACCCCGCGGTAGCCGGCAAGGCCCTCAGCGATACGGTGAGGGTGGACCTGGCCCTGTACAATCTGTGCAAGGTCGGTCGATCAAGAGCTACGAGGATTTGGATGCGGTTGGCGGTGGTGGCAGTGGAGAGCTCAACTACTGAGCGGTCTCAGGCTTGCGAAGCACCGGCGGCTATAGTGTAAGATGTTGAGTGGGCTGGCGTTTGGGTGGATAACTTGATTTTCCTTGTTGCCGAAATGCCACAGAATGCCTTGGCAGCAGTTTGGGAATGGAGTCGGTCGGCGTCCGGGATTAAGTCTTGCCATTGACTGGCATTTGGAGACATTTACCCCATGGGACTGTATCGTGTACAACTAGGCAGATATAGAAGATATCCAAATTGCAACGGAAAACCATGATTGAGCATGTTCTTCCAATGTGAGATTGTATCCAGTTGGTAAATTGGCCGTCTTGGCCCGTGGCCAGAACGTGTTCGATGTCAGACTTCCTTGCGAGACATTAGTGACACCCTGCGCCAAGTGGGAGCGTGTAAGCGATGCATGATGCTGCAATGTGCGATGTTTGCGAGCTGGAGCGAGCCGAAAGCGGTCCGATTTGGATTATTTCCGAGTCTTGCGCACCGTCCCGAGGAGGGGTACTCTGTCTGTCCAACTTGATTGCCTCGTATCCGTTCACAGCATACGGCGCGCGTATTGACGAAACGAAATGGGAAACAAAGCGTGAACATGGCCAAGACACGCGATGCCGTTTCTTCCTACGTTCGGCCTCGTGGGCCTCTGCGTCATGGGCCTCTGCGTCGGGTTGCGTCACTCAGCCACAATCCTTTACGCGCTCGACTCTGCTTCAGTGCCGACAAGCATTGGATTGATCCACTTTGAGTAGAGGAACGGGCGGTGCAGCCCCATCGTATCTCTTGTCCTTGCTATCTTGCCCACGTCTCCACAGTGCACCAGCCTCAGGCGCAGCCACAGGTACTACGAGGTGCTATTCCGGCGTCATACAACACGCGTCGACGCTCATCTGCAGGGACCCTAAAGGCTGCTTTTCGCTTTTCCTTCTAATTCTACACCCCATCTTCCTTCTTTCGGCTCGCGGCTCCCTAGCCCGTGTTTTTACGTTGCTATTAATTCAAGTATGCCCGCCAATCTGGACACCCCGCCCGCCATCCAGCTCAACGGTGCTACCGAGCCCACCACGATGAATCCCCAGCCATCAGTACAGAACTTTGGCGAACCAGCACGGCCTGCTGTGCCCACGCGCAATGACACGACCTACTCCAAGTTCTCTACCATGTCGGTGCCGCCAGAGGGGTCCATATTGACAGGCAAACAAGAGCACTGTAAGCAATATAGCGTCATCCATGGCCTATACCAATACTGACGAAT